TTGCACGCATAACTCAAACACCTTAACAGAACACCGATCGTAAACTTATTTAGCGCTTAGGGACCCTGGTTTGAGGCGATCTCTGATAACACACGCCCAATAACTGACACTCCTTTTTTTCATTGACGTTATTATACGAAGTACATCAGGCCATATAAAACAGAAACAGTTGATCTGAGCACAGACATTCATGGGGCTGGGGAAGCGGGCCACAAATAAGGTGGAAAATCAGAGGAATGTGATGCTGTGATTTGCTGTCTGGTTATTGCGACAGTAGCATAAAGACATAAAGAGAAAGCCCCTTTGACTAACTAACTATCTAATTATCATCATTCAATTTGACGATCTAGATCAATCATTCAAAACAATGAGAGACACTACGGCAATACGGTAATGGTAATTTATTGACGCCTAGATCACTAGAATTCGATAGGTTTAAATAAGTGAGCATGATCCCCCTGATGCACTTGTCATGACTATCTATGTTTGGCTATAGAAGTGGTGGACAGCCACCGGCGTTGCGCCCTGTCACATTGGAAGAGTTAGCGGCTCGTTGACAGGAAACGCGTCGATCCAGGAACAGTGACACATTCGAGCTATTCTGTCTATTCCAAATTAGATGCTCTATGATTGATTATGTGATGTCAAATCCCTACTCCAACCTCTTTGTTACAATATTCAGTCATATTACATAATTATCACCTAGGATGAATCAAAGCAACCATCATAATAATAGATTTCAAAGACCTTGGGAATGCAAGGAAATAACAACAGTATGACCGATAGAAAAACATGTAGAAGTTATGGTAGAATTAGAGCGATGACCTAGGTAATAAAGACTTCTTGAACAGAATTAATACTATAGCAGATCAACAAATATGTTGTATGACTGTGATCGTTTAGGGATCTGAATACCCCTGACACTTGAAGATCTTATTGGGCTAGATGTAAGCCTATATCGGGCTTGATACCACCAAGGTACATCATTGGATATGACGAGGAGCGATCATCTCATGCCGTTAACTTAACTCAACGGGGGGCCTTAGACCATTCAATCAGCAAGAAGAGCCAGTGAGAGATACCTACAACCAACTCCGTAGACAGGTTAAAGATGCTGATTCTTGTCACATGGACTCAGGTGACCGGAAATCCCCATCGGTTTCAATAGTACAACATACTATATAGGGAAATGGTATCGTAAGAGGCGTCCCTTGAAATTCCAATGTCACAAGCCCCTACCGAGGTGGCGGCGCGTTCCTGGTTTAGAACCCCCACATCATGTGACAAGATGCGCGTGACCATTTGCCACTTTATGAGTTGTTCTTCTCCATTAGTTCATTAATCTGGAAATGATGGGGCCATGATGGGTCATTTTTCATTATTTTGATGCCAAACAACCGAGCTTCGGCTTCCTTAAATTGCCCGATCGGCACTATGTAGGGGATCTATCGCTATTCGAAGCGCGCCCTTCGTCATGACCCTGCGCCTACCCCAGCTGTCATCTGGCCCAGGTCTCCCTTCTCTTTGGCGCCTCGGTCTGCCAGTGGTCATTTAGTGGCAATGTTATATTTTACAGCACATAGGTCGTAGAATAATGTCCCATTGGAGTAAGACTGGTTTACTTGCGGAAATCCTTTCTCCCGCCCTGGAAAGACCTCGGTACCCCGGCTTTTGGTGGGTATGACTATCATCTCACCATAAGCTATTGGCAGCCGCAGCCGCAGCCTCATCTCAATTTATCACACAACACGCATGCTCCAAATGAGGTATTCTATATGCAGCTTCATATTGCCACCTGGTACCACCCGAATATTAGACAGTGAGACAGGAGCTGAGTAGGAAGATGAGTCAATAGATGTCTGGTTGTTTTATTTTTGATTTTCGATCTCATCAAACTGCTCGACATCGAGGTGACTGAAATAAACACCACGCGTAACGGGCATTGTTGTGCAAGCTTCACAGACAGGGGGATAATAGCTATCAAAGCTAGGCTGTACAAGCGACTAGAGAATGCTTTGCATCCTAGCGGTGATTGTGTAGTGTCATACATCCGCAAGGGTAGTTAACTATATGTCGGGTAAAATTTAGAAATTGGGCCCACTATTATTTACACTGTTTTGTCATTCGTTATTTATGTTCAAACCAATGGTAGTAGTTATAAATTGCTTGAATTCAGCGAGATCGAAATTGCGTTGACAGTATGTTTGTAAGTAACGAACTGTTCGAATAAATCAGACGACTTGCCTATTTCTTTTTACGGTTAAAGATGTTGCTCGGTCGTTAATTGGTACTTCTTCAAGTAAATGGGATATCAAACGACCCCGGAAACCAGCCTGTCGGATGCGTTGAGTGGAACAGCGTCATGATTTGCAGGCTTGTTTTGCTTTTCCGTATCGCTGCAAGTTTACTATTCAGTCCAGCGATGACGGTCTTCAAGCTTCCACTCTTTGGACAGGGAACAATGGACATGGCTATATGTCGGTCAGATCCAAGTCACCTACCCAGGTAGTATTTACTCTCTATCATCTCTATTATATTCAGGGATCTTATGTTAGAATATCACATGGTAGATGAAACGTGTGCCTTGTGTGACTTTGCCACGGTAGGGGTCATGTCCTAAGGGATCGGCCTCCCAAGCCCCCGCGGGTAGAAGTTTGGTAGGGTCAGGTAGAGAGAAGCAGATCCTTTCCGCCAGTCCGGCGTTAGACCCAACAATTTCTTTAAGCGTCCTGCTCCCCCGTGACGGCGGAAAAAAGGCCCCCCCCATCTCCAATTCGCTTTCATGTAGTGTTTTTCTCATGCTGTCTGTCATCTGTCGATCTCGCCTCTACTCAGTAAAAGCAAGGGAAAAAATGATAAGCACAAATAAGTACCTCAATGACAGCTGGCAGACTCGTGACTATGTAGCCTGGGTTTGTGATACTTTCGAATGTCGTGTTTTGTTGGGATGGCCGAAGATAGAAAAATTGGCCAGGATGTGCCCGTTCGGAAGATAAGAAAAGAGAACTAGCGGTAAGGCTGATTCGATCTATGCTTCAGATGAAGCTGTTGTGGCTGCCTTTTTTTTCACATGCACATGATTGAGGCCTAAAGCAACATTATCCCTCAGATCGGTGATCGATCAGAGCTGTAAAACAAACAGGCAAAAGGGAATCCGAGGTTTACTTTTTTTTTGAAACAAAGCAATGCACCTAAAAGAGAGCGCGATCTACTAGTTATGGAAGGAGACGTTGGTTCCCCGGTATGCAGCCGGCCTTGTAATCATCCCTTTCTCCCGGGTAGCTGTTTGCGGGGGAGAGCTGGGGAAAACATTTCATAACTGACAACCAAAAAGAGACAGCCATGGACAAATTCCAAGAAATGAGGCGTTGTTAGGAAAGTCAACAATAATCTCCACCGGGATAATTTGCGTTTCAACCTCATCTATAGCCTCGTTTGGGGCTTCGCATGACAATAATTCCGGGGGCAAGTAAAGCCGCTCGAGAAATAAACGAGCCCCAAGCTCCCCATCTGTGATCACAACGTGGCTTGAGATCTTAGACCGATCCCTTCATCCTTTGAACGCGGTGTACCCCCATAGTCCGAGTATAGAATGTCCGTGACGAAAATAGCCTAAAAAGCGACATCAGTAAGGCGAGTCAGCCGGACCTCCAGATCTGATAGCACCAATAAGTGGCAGTTCGACAGTTCATCGGTCAGTAGGCCTCATTTCTTACACGGTATCTTGTTAGTGACGAGAGATTGTGTCTTATCCTAATGTCCAAACGACCATCGCCATACATAATACATTAGGTGGCGTGGTGAGAGCCCTGGTCTGGACTTCTGCCGGTAAGTCACTTCAACTACCGCGCTCGTCTTTCGATTAGTTCACTTTGGCATTTTCTTTTATTATCATTTTGGTTTGCCCCGACAGGTCACAGGCAGTCTAAGACTTTTTGTGTGTTTTCTTCATTCCTTATTCCTTGATGTTTTGGATAACTATGAATTCTACATCCCTTTGAACTAAGTATCTCAACTATTTCACTCCGTACAAAAGCCCAAATATCTGAATACCAAGTTACAATTTTCGTTCAAAATATAGACGGAAACAGACCGGTAAGTTTACGTATTTTCGGGGGGAACCTCGGAAAGAGGAAAGGAAAGTCTAAAATACTGGGGGAATACCGAAAGAACCATGGTAGATATGATACCAGCATCAAACCGTATTGTAATAAAAGGGCCCCGTGATGCGATTGAATTTTCGCCCTTCACCGATTGTCCACAGTCATTATTATTCAATTAATCTTTTTTTCTCATTTATTTATTTCTATGAATGTATTTTTTCCCCTTGTATTGTCACGCTCCATTACAATCAATTCAATTATTTATTTTAAGGAAAATAAAAAAGAAAATCATTTTTAAACCCATTTTTTCATTTTCATTTTAATAATTTATTACCGTCCCCCTCTCCTTCCACTCCACTCCACCAAACTGCCGCCCCCGTCATTCTTATTATCGTTCCGACTCCCTCTTCTCTTTTTACAGACTTTTCCTAACCTTCACCTCACAATCTCCAATCACCCACGACAACCTTGATTGAAGGATCAGCTCAATCAGCTCACTCTTTCAGTCCTTCGATTCTTCACCTCTATCGGAATCTCCGCACTGTGGCGTCGTGACGAACAAAATACCGGACATTCGACACTCAAAGTCTTCACTTGGCCCGAAATAACTTCAGAAGTCTTCTTGATTCACCGTTTCATTTCCAGATTGATCTTTTGCGTGAGCATTTGATTGCAATTCAAGCGTCAAACATCCATTGATCGACTCTCTGCAGCACTGCAGGGCCTAGACTCAAATTTCGAAGGCGTGCTATAAGACTCCAGTCGATCATCACGAACCCTTACTACCGATTCTCAAGCGCCGTACGACCACTCTCGGGGGAGACGGCGACCCCGGAACACCAATCAACAATTCTTAACTCTTATCATCACAACGCTTGTGGTTGTGGCGTCGCTAAAATGCCTTTGACAACACCGGTGCTCACCGTTGACGCGGACAATATTCATAAGGTGGACACTGCCAATGCTCAAAGTCTCCATGGAATGTGGATGGGTAAGTGACAATTTTATCTGTTGGAAGTGGTTTTTCTTTTTTTTGCTAAATGGATTCTCGCAGTATTTTCAAAATGTGCCGACTATATGGACCAGGGCCGTCGACTTGAAAACCTGAGCTGGCGGCTGTGGACACGCGAAACCTTCTGTGTTGAGCCTGGGAAGTCCAACAGCACTTCCGCTAAACCATTGCTACGTTCCGAAGCTGGGGATCTGCCGGAGCTCTCCGCCAGCGTTGAATCGGCCGCGTCCGACCAAGCCGAGCGGATCGAAGCTCACATCAAACGCCCTAAATGCTCCGATTACCGACCTGCTGTCGTCCGCGAGGATTCGATGGCCAGTCTCGGCCGTGGCAAGGAGAAGCACATTACATCGTTGGATCTGGAACGAATGGTCCTCAACATCAAGGAAAAGAAGCAGCTGGAGCCCATAGACCCTCCCGTCGAACCTGCTGCGCCTGTCGTCGATATTACTCCACGCCCATCTACTCCCACTCCTGCTCCTGTTCCGTCCACCCTTCGACAGGTCCCTCACTTCATCCGACCCACTCCTTATCCTCGCGAGTCTACCGAGTCTTGCTCGACTACTGCCCCCGAAGGCAATGAGAGCGATACTGCACAAGTCAATCATGCGTCCGATACAAGTGTTTCGTCCTCAGGTGTACTTCCAAGCAGATCCGAATTGATCAAGTCTCCTAGCATTGTTCGTGGATTTTCGCCATCGCACATCTCATCTTCCTTCCGATCGCAGCCGAGATTGTCCATCGACCCCAGTCCTTCTCGCTCCGCCACTCAGATGAGGCCATCCCCATTGAAGAAAAAGGGCGGCATGTTTACGTTGGGTGGATCCTCTGGAGATGATGATGAGAGCTCCTTCGAAGAGCGCATGGTCCCACAGACGGCTCAAGAGAATGCGACCGGTGGATTGAAGCCAAGGAACACCAACCCGAACTCAACGAAAAAGACTGCTTCTTTCAGCAACCAGGTCTCATCCCATATTATTCCTAACTGCAAGGACCTCAGCCGATCCGATGAAGACGCCATTGAAACCGACGACGAGGTCTCGGAAAGCGCCATCGAGGATGATGAGGATGACGATTGGGAGGACTCAGTGACCGAGGGTGGCGAGTCCAGTGTCGACGACCACGGAGAGATGTTCCAGCGGGTCGATTCCAGGCCAAATCTCGTTTCTCGCCGCTCGATGCTCACTATGATGATGCACCAGCCAACCCGCATGCAAAGTAATGCGTTCCGGTCCAGCCCTGCACTGCAGCGATCAAGATTGACATCACCAAATGGTCCATCCGTTCCCCAGTCTCCAGCCCAGGATGAAGAAAGCCTGACTATGCGTGGCCCCGATGTTCCTCGGTCGAAGCCTATCGGTATGAAGCCAATTCCTGGGCAGTCGATGGCTCACTCCCCACGGACCACTCGCCGTAACATGCTTGCGACTGAATTGACTGAGTCTCTCCGTCGACACCTTCTTTGGGAGCGCCAGCAGAAAAGTGCGACTGCGAACGCCTTCCTCAAGCGTCGCCACACTGCCCACGATATGAAAAATCTCCAGGAGTACCCAGGTCCTAAGGGTCCGCACAAGGGTGTTGGTCCAAAACAGTCGAGTGCTGAAGCAGACCCGAATGCCAACTTCGATCTCGGCAAAAATGGCTCGTGGACCAACTATACCACTGACTACGGTCCTTGGGAGTATCATGTGAAGGGATGGTAGTCTTTTCACCTACGCGCCTTTGAATTTCTACAGACTTGCTTTGCAACCCAGCATAGCCTTCTTTTGACACGTACGATCATGATCATGCATTGCATATACGGCGCACATCTGGAATTTGTTTAATTTTTCCTTCTCGATCTCAATGGCTCCGAGAGTTGAGGTGTTACCACAGCATTCACCGGGCATTTGTTCAGCATGGTGCTCATGGAACATCACTTTGAGGGCTAATATCTTACGACCTTAATATCCGTGTACAGTTTATCTCTCTCGTCCAATCTCGAGCCACGGAGGTTGATGAAACATGGTTCCTGCTCTCTTCTTGTTCTTCAAGATATCCCCGGATGGGGGTTTTTTCACGACCGGAAATGTTCACCAAAAAAAGGGTTTTTTTTATCTTCTATCTGTCTCAGCGCTGAGTCTCTTACTGCCTTTCACTGACAGCAGAGAACGGCAAGCATTTGTTTAACGCCTCTCGATTATTATCGGAGAGATAGCTTTGTTTCTTTTCCTTCTGCGATACCTGATACCACATTTATGTCTTGCAATTCATCTGGCGCTGATCTATGCGATCAGGCCACCAACTGTACGCTACCTGATGACTGCCAAAAAAATCAAAAATCAAATGAACTAAATCAGAGAATACTTGCTTCCACGTGCATATCGTATTTGTAGACACCTACATTCATTAGAATAAGAGGCTTGACGCCATGCATCGCTCTGAATTGGCGGTCTGGATGTTCGTTATATTAGGTAGCTATAGCTCTGCTGCAGAGCACAGAGGATCAGAGGTCCGCAGAAGGTTTTTCTAAGGCTGCCATCCTTGCGATCAAGATGCCAGCCAGATAAATCAAGCGGAAGTTCAGTGAAGGTTGAGTTTGTGGCGCTGACACGTATCAAAGTGAGGAGTCTATGGCTGATATTGATACTTGCCTACAGGTTGCATGTAGGTGGTGTGGTCATGATTCATTATCCTTTCAGCATGATTGATTATTGGCCTAACCATATGGGTAAATGTACCTAGGGACCTGATAAGCCCTATATTATATGCTTGTGTCTAAGTACTTCTACATCCGACTTGATTTTTGCACATATTACGACATAACATGGAAGCCATGGAAGTCTATCAAAGATAACAAAGGAAACACCACGAAAGATCTACATTTACTTTATTGAGAATATTTAAATCGCCAGATGCAGTACGACCTGCCTAGGTGGAGTTCAAGAAGAGTTTACTCAAGTAGCTAGGAGTTCATGAGTTCAGGCGATAAACGTTTCAAACCGAATCTTCGCAGATCCTTTCCAGGGCGAAAAAAATTTAAAAAAAACAAGGTCAGGTGGCATGAAAAAAAAATAATACAGGGGGTCAGTCACAAAAGAAGCCGCCTTAACTAACTTAACTTCCCGGTGCCCCGTTCGACCCCAAAAGAAAGCCCGAAACCTGTTAGTTTGCTTGAGGTAAAGACAGTAGTACCTATCTCGCCCGAACACTTTGCGCAGATCTAGAACACAAACCAGAAACCTGGATTCTCGTTCTAGTCATACATCTGGACGATATGCATGTTTCAAAATGAATGAGTTTATGATAATGTCCAGGTCAGGGTCCAGCCCAACAAGTATTTACTCAGCCTTACACGTCTATATCCTATAAACAACCAGCAGGAGATATTAAAAGACAGACCAGATCCGATTCCTCGGCGACAATCTCTCAGCCATATCTTCTTTGTTCGCCATCGCACTGATCGCTTGCACATGCTGAGCAATCCATGACATCGATGTACATTAGTCCCTGCGGCCAGAGCTCCCGCGGAAGTCGGGAAGAGGATGTGGGCTGGAAATCGACTCGACCAGATAAACGCTCAGTCCACGGTGGCTTGTTGTTTTACATGTTTTGCAGGGACAGCTCATCGATCGCGGATCTGGGGGGTGTGAGTGGAATCGGATGGAGAGAAGAGGGGATTGATTGGGCTTTACTTCGCGACGTGTGGTGTGGCTGACCAGCGGAGTTGGTTCTAGACCTGGGCTTTACTTCAGAGTACTTTTGTTTGGCTTCGTACTTTTGTGTCTTAGATGTTGAGCTTAGATGAGCGTGGGATAGCACAATGTGGGATATTTACTTTCGATATTTAGGATGCTGTTTAGGTATATCCCGATTACTCTTTCAAAAGTCTGGCGACAATATCATAGTAAGGAATGCTTTCACTCTTTTTTTATATGTTTTTCCATCAGTCTTTTTTCTGAAGTTTTTTGTCGTTCTTTGAATGAATATAGAGCGGTTAACAAGCCCATGATATCGTTGCATCGAAAGAATCTTTTGACCCCTGTATAGAGGAATTCAGTTCCGTTAGATGGCTGATTATGACACCATGTGTAATGTGATGGTTTCATCATTACTTTGTCGCCTTTCGCCTCTCAATAATACCAAATACTCAATATTGAAAACTCAAGAATGGTCGATTGCCTTGACTATGAGAGCATGTTAAATTCTTCCAAACTTGGTTCATCCCTGTATATCTGGACAACTATAGGTCTGGGTTTCAGGAGTTTGAGTGCTGATGTCATTTATTGCTATAATTGCGGATTCATTACCTCGGTTGCAGATATGCTTATTTTCCTGGTTTGAATGTACCTGGTTATAGGTTTAATATGGTATGTAGGAACTATGTGCCGAATACATAACCGGCTAACTATATGTCCCACAGTCATGTGGCATCTATCTGCACATGACCGTCGCACATGATTCCGGGGCCCCGGGGGTGGAGCCGCTTAATAATAATTTTCATGCCTTTCCGAGGCTGGAAGGTTGTGTATTTCTATTACTATTCTTTCCATTTCAGAATACTATTCTATTGCCCAACACGTCCCTACTGTACATATTGAAATCAAAGAACGATATTTCACTCGACCACCCCAAGTGTCTCACCCAATGACGTATACTCAATTGTTCTGTCTCCAACTTGACTGGGTGGGTGATGAAATTTTCTCCTAAAACGCCCGACACCATGTCCATTCTAGGAACCTCTCCAATTTCTCCGGCCATGCCCGATGAGTCGCGGAGATCCACCAAGAAAAAAACCTCTAATGTGACTAGAGGGCACAGATCCAAGGTCAACCCAGAACCAGTAACATGGATATAGCAGAGCTCATGGCAAATCGATACTCACCGCAGAAAACAACAAAAAGGCTAAGATCCGCCCGTTGAAGTCTCAAGCCATTCCCGGTGAAATCGAATGCTAGCAAAGCAACTAAGGCTATTCTGAGCTTCATTTAGCTAGATCCATCACCAAATCCTCATACATTATGTGCACATTCAAGCCACCTCCATCTCCAGAATCCACCTGCCCATTTAGGGCTAACTCTGCTCTTTCCCGGCCAGAAGGGTCTTCTTGATCTCAGCTTCAAAGAGCCCAAGAGGTGGATAGAATAGTGGGTCATCAACTGTCTAGGGGCCCGCGTGATTCGCAGCCTTGCTTTCCGCGCATCCCGTTAGATCAGCTCACCGGTGAAATGCGATGTATATCAATGATAGTCCTCGGCTCCGCATTGCCTTTTTGGGATTTGATACAGGCTACATACGTACACTGTATATTGTATTTGTTATGACATGGGCGAAAGGTAACCCCCACGGACCTCTCCACGATGAAAGGGCGTGGTGGTGCTTGATGCAAGTACGAAACAAACAAAAGTGGATATCACCTTCTTGATTCTGCAAGATTGACGCCTAACTGGCTGGTCGGGTTTGTGATGTGCGCCCGAGTGCAATTTCGGCAAGCCGATGCAGCATGCAGCAAGCCAGCCATAGCTTGATATGCCATGATATCGCATTTAGAACCCCGAAAAAGGAAGTGTGGCTTATGGCGAAAGGTTGTGCTTACATCCGTGCAGCTTCTGATTGTTTAGTCTAGACTCTTTGATGATTGAGGCGAATTAAACACGCAAGAGTCTACGAAGACTTGTCTCTCGATCGTCCTCTACTGTGAACTGATCGGCCAACCATGATCCATACTAAACCTATCCAGGCCTTTTGAGCTCTAGAACCTACACGATCTTCGTTTTGATGCAGATATCGATGTCTTTTATCAGTGTCGGAATACTCATACTACTAGCTGCTTGATTTCCTTCAATTCAAAGGCAAACTTTCTCTACAGAGTATTGCCTTGGCCAAACGCGACCTTGGGTATCTTTGAAATAACTTGCACCATAATTATGATTAATAAAAACCACATGAATACTCGTCTCGAGACCGATTCAGAGGCAATATGATGCCGATAATTGATTTTCGGTCAAGTCCCGAATAAGGCGCGCAGAATTGGCTGGTGCGCAATTAGTATACCTGTTTTTGCTGAATGAGTGAAAAATATCATAATTGTGGTGCCCATGATTGGCGAAACCATTATTCTAGGCCCTGTGGTGGATAGAAAAAAATAATCACGTGGGTCCGCTCTACGGGGAGCTCTGTACTCCGAAACCCCGCAAGATGTCAAGTTTTATCAATTGCTATACAACGGACTTGATTGTATTGTTTGGTTTCTTTCAAAGAGAAGAAATAATATATAGGCAATTAAATATATTTGAAACTGCCGATATGATATTCGAAACGTAGAACTGCAAGCTATGGACCATGTTCAAATGGGTATAAACCCAGGGAAGCCAACAAGGTTCTGGAAGGCTTCTGGAAGGACGATCCGGTTGGCCGGTGATTTCGAGGTCCCGATTCGCCCCTTTCCGCTTTAGGTGTAATTTATGTGTATTACACGCTATACCGGATTCGTCCAGTACGGAACTTGCAATACCGGAGTGGAGGTCCCATACACCTTTTTTACAATACACCTGACCGAGGCTCAAAATGCTACGGAGTACATAGTACATGAAAGCCTTTGTACCCTGATGCGGAGTGCGTTAGGTTGCATGAAAATCTTTGAATAGCATTGTAGAATTCTTGCTATGTAGCATTTTGAACATCAGCAGAACTCACCTCCAACTAGCTATCAAGCGCAGAAGGCAACCAACAACATGGGATGTTATATCCAAAACGAAGGTATATCTTGTGACACAAGCCACACTCCCCGACAGCTTGGTCTGGATACCGACCAGTGTCGAGCTAGCAAAAGCCACAGACAGGGGTTATGCACGTATTCTATGCAAGTGACCTCTAGAAAGCCTCGCGAAAACCGTTTTATTCCATCACGCTTTAGCTTTGTAGTTACGACGAGAGTGGCTCGAATTATCACAGTGGAAGTGACGCATAACTAACTAATTATGTTACAATCCAACGATTGTATGCTATTTATGTGTCTGTCTCTCTAGCACGCTGGACGTGCGAGGTACAATAAACAATAACTGTACTTGTACTATGTCGCACTGTTCAATTTTCGAGGCCCACACAATAATTTCGCGTTTTTACTTATTTTCCTAAATGTCGGGGTAAACACGGAGAAATTAATTTTCTACACAATAGTACTGCTTGTTATGACTTCTTATCAGTGCTGTGTGAAGTCATAAGGGTCGTATTCTACAGTCAATATCTACAATATACTAGATATTCATTTTTGAAAACAATCAAAATAACATTTAGTTGTGAATTGATGTTGCATCCCGGCTAAACGCGTACCCTTGCGAAGGCGTTCTCGTCGTGCAGGGATGCGGAGTTCTAGAAAGCGAACCCCTCATCCGCTCCGCGCAACGCGGACCGACCGCTCCCCGTGACTGGCCATTGAGGGTATTGTGTGAGCTCGTTATGCCCGTCGGGTCGTATTACTCTCGGTGAATGTATATCTTTTCATCTATATTATCACGGCTTCATTGACCGGTTGGTTGTTCTTTTATGGGGATATCCCCCGGCATAGATATCTGCGGGAGATAAGGCGAGTATGCCGCATTCACGTAGTATCTGCCAACAGATCAGTGATCCGGAATCCAGTTTCCTTCTGCTTCTTCACGCTTATTTCTTGCTTCTTTGCATGGCATTGATGTGTCTTCTTCCAATCATTTTAGTAGATAATTCCTGTTGTGGCTTGGGCCATATGGGGTGCTTTGAGACATAGGCGCCACTGCATTGAAATAATATGAGAAACAAGCTATAGATCTTATTTCGCAATTATATTCAAAGTGAACCTGATCGCAGTCGAATACATCATGCACCGTGTTTAGAAGGCCTGAAAACCGCTTATATTAAAAGGTATTCCGGTATAAATGCACATCACGATTGAAACTGGACTGGAAAGACATTTGATCGAATCTATAGAAAGACTTGAATATACTGATCGAAAGAAGAATCAAAAGTGTATAGAAGACGGCAATAAAGTGATATCTTAGAGTATCGCCAGACTTTCTAGACGGGATGTTCATTATAGGAAAGTCAAGTACGTACAATAGTGTATACTTCAGAAGTAGAGCAGCAATAGATCTACCAATGATATTACCTATGCGAATTCACTTCAAAATTGTAGCTGTTCACATCTGACAATTTCAACTTATAGATTATTCATAGTGACTCATAAAAAGATGGAGAAGCGCAATATACTACAGGCATAAGCATTGTGTGAGTCAAATGAGATCATCGGTTCCGCAAAAATCTTGGCATATTAACCAAATGAGTAAACAATTATAACTTCACCAATTCTATAAACCAGCCTGTAGCTGTCAATATAGCTTCATTGTTGCTAACACTGTTTGCTGTCTATTTCTACATCACGTGGCTGCTTGTCTCGGTCTTTTTTTGCAGAACCTGCCGTGCCTTGTTGATTTTTCTGCTTAGCGCCGTGACTTTTGAAGATCGCGGGACTTCCTATACGGTCGCACATCTCGGCTTACCTACTGTGTAGATCTGGTCCTGTCGATCCCCTAAGGTCACCCGATCTCTGCGCTGGCACTCACGTCACCCCTAAGTCGAACCCGGAAATCGCCCCAACCAGCCTGGATCATCTTTTACCAAACGGTTCAACGAAGCTCAGTATCAGCATGGGGGATAGGTCATTTGACAGCAATGCGGGTCCAGCACCCCAGCTTCAAGGTGAGTCGCTATTCTATTATTGGCTTTTGGCTTTCTTTTTGTGACAGCCTATTCGGAGGCTTTTGTCCCAATCAATTCCATGAGATCTACTTGGACATTCCCTCCACCTAGGTTTTCGTATTCACGGCGCCTTTTGCATGTCCATGCACCACATTTGGCAGCTGCCACACAGCCCATAACCCCCCATAGTTTTGTCACTGAAGATTGTGTTGGCGTACAGGCCCTTGTCAATGCGCCTGGATCGGACTCCGCGGGCCGCAAGCTTTTTGATCACACGCTCATTATGCTTTTATTGAGCAGGTACAGAGTTGCCATCCTCGTTGGTAACCGATGAGTTGTCAGTGGCCCGGTCGCATGGCGTTGCATCCACCAACGAATCGAATACTGCTCTCCAATCTTCGACAAGGCGACAGGGCAAGTGTCGATTTTTCAAAACAAAAAAGGGTAAGCCGTTATTCTAAGTTCATATCTGTATGGGCTCTTTGCCGATTTGGTAACCCGGTTGTCAACGCATCATTGAATACCGTCCCTTGTATCCCGGGTGCCACAAGTAGGCCTTATGGGGAATGCCTGTATACAGTATCTTTCATGATCACCCAAAAGGAATGATACCGAAGCCTGTCCCCGATTGCATGGGGAAATTGTGCTCCGATTCGTTGCTGCTCTTTTGTTCATATCTTGACTACTTGCTATGAAGCCATGTTCAATTCACATCAGATGCTAACATTGTTGAAGGATGCCGTATCGGTGCAACTTGCCCGTATCTCCATGATAACTCGGGTCCTGAGGCCAAGGAGCCTTCATCGGGATCCCAGAAACCTGCCCAGTCTTTAGGTGATAATACCTCAACATCAACTCAAGATATTGTTGCCGAGACCCGCGAGTTGAGCATTGCTGCTAACCCATCGACGCAAAAGTCTACTGCCACAGCTCCTGTCCAACCTCAAAGGCCAGTTTCTAAAATTGAGCAGTCGGATCCAAGAGAGTTCCAGATTAATCAATTGCGGCGGCGTTATCGCCCACATGAGACCAATGATGATCAGGGTGCTACGTTGACCTTTGGGTTGGTCCCTTCGGATCCCGATTTCCCATTCGAGCTGGAAAGACTCCAATGTGTCCTTCATGTTCCAAGCTCATATCCACGAGGGCGGCCCACGCTTGCAGTGACCAATCCTGAAATGGAAGCTGCATACCAAGCAAACGTCGCTCGTGGCTTTGACGACATTGTCGATTTCACATATCGAACCAATAGCCAAGGGACGCTCCTCGGGTGGCTGAACAGTCTGGACAAAAAGCTCGAGCCGCTCCTCACAACCCTAGAGCGTGGGCCAACTCTCAAGTTTTTTGCCAATATAGGCGATGCAACAAGCGTCAAAGCCCCAGAGAAGGTGGCGAGCCAGCCGAGTCTGTCTCAAGCCACCACGGTAGCACCTGCTGCTGCTCGACCTATCAAAGGATCACAGCCACGATTTGTGGCACCAAAGCATACGGCTGAAGCGAAAGCTGCAGCTGAAAAGAGACGTGCAATTGAGACGAAGCAACTAGAAGCGCGTCTAGGAAGACTTCCCATGTTCCAAAAACTGCCAGATGGCAAGGCGTATGTAATTCCAATTCAGCCCACCAAAAAGGATCGCTTGTCTAGAGCGATTCAAGCATTGAAAACCGTGAAGCTGGTTGTTCCACAATTATATCCACTCGAGAAAAGCTCAATCAAGCTACAGGGCGTCGAGGGTCAGGAAGTCAAAGCCACGGAATTAGGATTTACTCAATGGGTTGAACAAACTTCACAGCTAAGCCTGGTGTCTCAAATCAACTACCTGGCGAGCAATATCCACAAATTTGCAGAAACGCCCCTCCCAGAAAGCCAGGATCTGACCGATACCACGCCTATTGCGGCGGAGGTAGATGAGACTGAAGATGTTGAGGTTGCCGCGCAATCACCTCCCAAGGTGTCAGTCCCCGATGACGAAGACCGGCCACATCTTCATGTCATCCCCCGTCCTCCTGAATGGTCAGTCCCAGATCCCCACAGCGGAGCCGAGGGGGCGTCAGATGAGTCAAGCTACGACGAAGACGAGTTCTCCGACGAAGAAGACGACGACGAAGGCGGGGCACCCGTCCCTGCAGCAGTGGATAATAACGCGCCTGGACGAGGCGTGGCACTTTCCTTCCCATATATGGAGCTATACGGGATTGAGCTGCTGGAGCTCACAAGCCTTAACATTACCATCAAATGTGAGAGGTGCAAGGTTCCAGCGGACATCAAGAATGTGCCACACATTACCGAAGAGAAAGGTCAAATGGCGAAAATGGAGTCTTGCAAAAAGTGCGCTAACAATATGAGTATTGGTGAGTATATCCGCAATTTGAATCTTTATCATGTTGGACATGGACTTACATTTGGTGCTGCAGCTTTCCGGAGGCAATTGATGCACTCTCATGCTAATCGCGCTGGCTATATCGACTTGGACGGCTGTACAATTGGAGACATGTTGCTTAGGTTGGCTCTCTCTTCTTTGTGTATGATGCGCATTTTTTTTAACGATTGCTTTAGCGACTTCACTCCCACATGTTCAGAGTGCTCAACTGCCCACCCAGCGCCCGGTGTACCTGCAGTTCGCGGTGAGAGTGCGATGGCTATTTGTCGCCAGTGTCATCGTAAAATGGGTAAGCTTCAGATCGCCTAAATTCTTGTGTTAAGCACTAACCCCTTGGGTTCAGTTTTCAAGATACCTGAGGTGAAATTTTTGTTGGTGGGTAGTGCAGCGAGTAAGTTTGATCTACCAAGCTTCCAGGAAATGTCATTGCTTATTGTGATATTCAGTCTCCTCCCGAGGAGCTCTTCCCCGCAAAAGAAAGGTTCGTTTCCTTCGTAAAGCTTTCTAATCGAAAAAACTAACGATCAAGCTAGCCTCAGGAAGTCCTCGGTATTGTTGCAGGACAAGAACTCCCCCGACGGGGTCGCTGCCAGCATTATGCCAAAAGTCAGCGCTGGTTCCGGTGCGTATTTATCTTCCTCTTGAACCATACAGTAGTCACATTTTATTAACCCCTTACAGATTCAGCTGCTGCTCCAAAGTATTCCCATGTGATAAGTATGTCATGCGACAGAATCTCCCTTTCTCATGCGCATATGCTGATTGATCGATCTAGATGCCACGATGCGGAAACCGATCATCCAAATGAACATGCAAATCGCATGATCTGTGGTTACTGTTCACGCGAGCAAATCTATAGACCCGAAAACTGTGGCATTTGCAAAGCGGTTCTCATTGGAAAAGCAGGTAGTGGATTTTGGGAAGGCGGAAAGGGAACTAGGAATCGTGCCCTGATGAGTCGTAAAGGTATGTACATTGAAATCAAGTCTACAAGCTTCTATGAAATGGTTGTCTAACGCCCTGGAAGATCCGAGAAAGTTCAAGCGGCTCGGAGGCAATGCTCCTACTTCTAGTTCGTCGAAGCGTAAATAGATGGGCTGCTGAATTGGGCAGGAATATGGAGGTGTACTGGGAGTTAGTATATGCAATACCCACAACAGTGGTCTGGCTCTGTTATACTCACGGTCCTTTCTGTCACTGAGACGTGGCTTTCATGATATATCTCAAAACTTTGTCAACTTCCACGAATTTATCCTCCGCAGGGGGAGCACATTCGACCTCTCAAGCATCTTATATATTTTTACTTTCAGAACAGGCACAGAGTCACAGATATCTTATTGGGAAATTGATTGAACCAGCCAGGTAGACAACGTCGTATTAAATGTGGCATAACTTTCAATGAGTCTTTGTTCAAATTGGAAATAATTTCTATTCATAAAGTTCCTGAATCCGCTAATGAACGATGCAAATGCCCAAAATGCACAGGCCCACCCATCATAAGGTACAACTCCTTCGAGTTCATATGTTTTCCACTTTAAATCAAGTTACCGCGAAGCTCCTGTTCCCGTTCAATGGCTTCAAACAGCGACTTGAAATTGCCGGCTCCAAATCCATCAAAGTTGTGTCGCTGAATGATTTCAATGAACACGGTGGGTCGGTCCAGTACATGCTACTCAAAGTATTAGTATCTAATCATGAATAAAATTCATAGAGTCATTTGCTTCCACATACCTTAGTGAAAAGCTGTAAAAGGTAACCACCCTCGTCGAAATCGATCAAAATATCCAAGCTGCGAATAGTTTCAAAGTCTTCCTTCAGCTTCAAACCAGATTGCTTGAGTCGGAGCTTGATATCCGTGTAGTATGTCTCGGGAACTTTGATGAACTCAACACCTCGTGCCTTGAGGTTGGTGATATCACGGATAATGTCGTCGGTGTGAAGTGCGATGTGTTGCACACCGGCGCCGTTGTAGAAATCAACATATTCTTCGATCTGAGATTGCTTCTTTCCCTTTGCTGGTTCATTGATTGGCATCTTCACAAGCTCGTTGGGTGAGGCCATCACGATACTCTTCAGAGCAGAGAATTCACTATTCAAGTTAGTTGGCTTTTCGGGTGAGAGGCAAGATGCAAATACTTACGTGCAAATTTGGCTGTCATCGACACTCCAGAAACGGTGGAACCCGAGGGCCTTCTCGTAGCTAGACAGCAAGTTAGGAACTGATCCCAAGCGTCCAAAACCTTTCTGTAACTCACTATTCGCAGATCTTGTCCATCTCGTCCCAGTCTTGATTACCGACACAGTGATCAATCCTCTCAAGACGGACATCGGGTAGGAACTTCGAGATGGGATCCTCATTGCCAGCCTCAGTACGATATCCCGGCATAAAAGCACCGTGATATTGACTGCGCTCGATGAGAGTGTGTGTTGTTTGTCCATAAGTCTGAATAGTCGCAGTTTTAATCTGACCATCCTTATCTTCGAGGATCCTGGGCTGGGCGACAGCCTTTGCACCATTCTTTACGGCAGCAGAAAAGACGGCATCAACATCATCGACCTCAAAGGCAACGTCCTTGACGGCATCACCATGCTTCTCATAGTGTTCGTGGATCTCGCGCAGCTCGGCTTGCTCCTCGGGGTTGAAACGGTCGATTTGGTCAAGTGAGCGCAGAGGAGAGGTCAAAATGAAAGTGATATCGCCGTTCCGGACAACATGTGAGCAAATGTTGCGACTGTTGGTCTCCAGACCTTTGTAGGCTATGCGCTTGAAGCCCATCCGGGTGATGTAGTAGCTTGCAGCTTGCTTGGCGTTGCCAACATACCAGTGGACATGGTCGTAGCCGCGGTAGCTGGTCACCGATGAGGTATCACCGGCGGTGGAAGGAGGTGGGCTATTTGAAATGGCTGATGGTGCCATTTTGATTTATGTATTTATTCAAAGGGTGATCTGATGGTTTAGATGGAAGTGTTTGAGAAGAGAAGTTGAGTGATTGATATTAAGCAGATATACGCCACCTCTTGCTTTTAAATGCAATTTCTTGGAACAAAGGGACCTCCAGTAACCGCGCAGTATCCTTAGCGGATATCTTTCCAATGCGCTCCTTCCAATTGATGAAACCTCGAAGCCCATGGCGTAGGTTCCGAGCGGGCGGATGTTTCAGGATCCGGAGATATCCGGAGATACCCGCGCAGAGATCATTGCGAACATCCGCCTCAGATGTTCATAGACTTTCTCAAGCTTGTAAACTTGTCCATTTGAATTACCCATTTTCCTGCTTGCAATTTTCTTGATCAGATCAAGCTCATTATCAACTCATCATAGTCGCTACATCTCTCCGGATATCAATCCAAAATTTCAATATGACATCCATCACACCAGCCCGGCCATCATTAACCTCCAATGATTCGGCTGTGCTTCAAGCTCTCTTTGACGCCGAGTCCTCGCCATCAGCAGGAATTGTTATTGATACTTCTCTTCCATCATGGCCATCATCAGTGACAATCTCTGAAACAGACTTGTCATCGCTTAAGCAGCGAGAATCAGAAATCATCCGCAAGCTACAAGCAAAGGAATCACCAAATCAAGAAACAGTCATTTCATCATTGGAAGACTTTGACGAACTCATCAGCCAAAATGAAACCTATCCATCTGCATACATAAATCGAGCCCAGACACTTCGCCTCCTAGTGGACCTGATCTACAACAAAGAAACGGAAACCACCGAAAGCCCAAACACAGAACTAGCAGACGGCGCCCTCTTCTCTCCAAAAACCTCCCAACTGTGCTCCCGTATCTTTTCAGACCTCGGCCAAGCAATCACCCTAGCTACACCCACATCTCCGGCTGATGCTGTATCAAGCGCCCAAGCAAGGCTGTTGGCTGACGCGCATACACATCGCGGTTATTTACTTCTCAAGGCGGCTCGGGTCAAGAAGGCATGTTCTGGAGGCGATGATGCGGGCCCAGAGCGTCTGCGTAGCCTTACAGCCGATCAGCTTGAGGAAATGGCTAGTCAGGATTTCTTCTTCGGAGGCCGATATGGAAATAAGGTTGCTCAGCAGCTTTCTGTGCAAACGAATCCATATGCTAAAATGTGTGGGGCAATTGTAAAGGAGGCTTTGAGGAAGGAAGTTGAGGGTTCAATGAAATAAATAGAATAGGAATATAGCAAACAATCCAACATAATTACTTAGCTGTGGCTTTATTTCGAATTGTAAAAAAGGACAAGTATTGAAACATTTGTCTTGGGTTTGGTATTTGCTTATCATGCATGCTATAAGAAATCATTGACAATTTTCATACTTCAGACATTTTCTTCATCAGTGCAGTGCCAGAGTCCGAGGTCTAGCTTAAGCCTTCTTGTTGGGGTTCACAAAATGCCGCTTCAAAGGCTTCCAGCTGTGCTCGTTATACTCTGGCTGCACCTTCTGGCATTTCTTCAGTCCCCACTCGGAAACACCAACCATGAGAGTACTGTGATATTAATTAGTTGGCAAGAAGAGAGCGGGGTCGAAAGGGCTTGCTTACCTTTCAAACATGAAAGCCATGCTTCCATCTCCTACCTTGGTAGGTTTCAGTTCCGCATTGCTGGCTCCCTCGAAAGCGCCCGAATCCGGACCGTGTGCACTCATAACATTATGCAGACTCGCACCAGCAGGCTGGAAGCCACCACCGACCTTCGCATCGTAATCTCCAGCGATCAGGCCCATGAATTCCGACATTGTGTTTCGGTGGTACCAAGGTGGACGGAAAGTTCCTTCAGCCACGAGCCAGCGAGGCGGGAAGATGACGAAATCAGCAATAGCAGTACCGACATGGTCTGAGGGGCCCGTCAAAACAGTAAAGATGGAAGGATCAGGGTGGTCGAATGAGATCGAACCGATAGTATTGAATCGGCCCAGATCATACTTGTAGGGATAGTAATTGCCATGCCAGGCTACAATGTCAAAGGGAGTGTGATTCTGTTTGGCGGAGAAAAGCGTGTTGTTAAACTTGCTGTAAAGCTTATATTCACTTTCCTCCTCGTCGTCAAAGGCAGCAACGGGGGCCTGGAAATCGCGTGCATTGGCTAGGCAGTTGGAGCCAATAGGGCCCAGCTCGGGGAGCTCATAGTGACCCTGATATAATTCACAAATGTAGCCCCGCACAGGGCCGTCGGGGAGCGTCACTCGGTATCTAATGGAAGATGTTAATGGAATAATCTCGAATGAATATGATAGAGCACCGCACTAACCTCACGCCACGAGGGATAACGCAGATCTCATTCGGTCGTAGGAGAATGCGACCAAGCTCGGTCTGGATATCTAGCACACCGTGTTGAGGGACAATCAAGAAGTCACCGTCCGCAGAATAGAACGCTTCCTTGCCCATATCCTTACCAGCTGCATACATCAGGATTCCTAGACCTTGCTTCATGGTGGGGTCTCCAGATCCCGCGATCAGATGCAATCCATGTACCCAGTCTACCTTCTCGTCAAGGTCAAATGGATTCCATCGCAGCTGATTAGGGATATGATGAAGCTTCTGGGTTTCAGTTGTCATAGATGTATGGTACGAATCCGCATCCTCGGCGATAAAGTTTTCGTGGGCTGCTGCTGGCAAAATACGGTAAACCCAGGTTTGTTTATTCTCACGGCGCGGTGCGGTGAAGGCAGTACCCGAGAGCTTCTCAGTGTATAACCCATATGGAGCTTTCTGAGGGGAGTTTTGGCCAATTGGTAGAGCTCCTTCAATGGCTTCGGACCTGTGGAATTGTTAAACTTGAATTTTGGTTGCTTTCGTCTATACATACTCATGGTGCGAGTCGAAACCCGTCTGATATTTGTAGGGGTCAGGGTGGTTGAAGTTAGTGACAGGCATGATTGATGCGGTATGTGATATGTGATATGCGGTATGCTATGATGCAGATAGCCTCGATTCTTTAAAGAATCAATGACCGAGGATGTTATTTTGAACTGAGTAACGCAAATCAGTTAACGTCACACAAGCGGATGAGAATTCCCGCGATTATCCTTCTTTTCCGCGCCGCTTGAATGCGGGGAGCGGGAGTCTTCCGCACTCGGAATATGCAGAGTCAAGAGGGGCAAAACAATAATTGTTAAAGAGTTGTTGACGTGGCTGTCAGTTCTTTTCTTTTTTGATCTTTGTTCATATTTCCAAATCATTCATCATGGCATCGTGGCTACAAATCCCCAAGAATTCGCCCTTTTCGCTGGCCAACATTCCGTTCGGCATCATCTCGGCCCAATCCGCATCAAAAGTCGCTGCAATTGCGATCGGTGATTATGCACTGAACTTGAGCGCGTTTGCTTCCTCTGGTGGCTTCTCACAGCTTCCCGCAATTCAGCAACATTTGGGTGTTTTCAGCCAACCAACACTAAACGACTTTGCTGCCCTAGGTCGCCCCATGCACCGACAGGTGCGCGAATATCTACAGAACGTCTTCCGTGCCGATACACAATTCCCTCAGGTTCTCAAGGAAAACGATTCTCTCCAGAAGTCAGCTCTTCTTCCCTTGTCTCAGGTCACCAACCACGTCCCTATGCAGATTGGCGACTACACCGATTTCTACGCCGGTCTCAATCACGCCTACAACATCGGCGTTCTTTTCCGTGGCCCAGACAATGCCCTTCAGCCTAACTACAAGCATCTTCCTGTTGCTTACCACGGCCGCGCTTCCTCGGTTGTAGCTTCTGGTACACCCCTCCACCGTCCTCAGGGTCAAATCCTGGCCAACCCAGCGGCGGACCCCAAGGTTCCTACTTTCTCTCCTTGCAAGAAGCTCGACATCGAGTTGGAGCTTGCATGCTTCATTAGCAAGCCGAATGATCTCGGCAAGCCTGTCCCAATTGATGAAGCCGAGGACCACATCTTCGGTCTGGTGCTCATGAATGACTGGTCCGCTCGTGACATCCAGGCTTGGGAATACGTTCCTCTGGGCCCCTTCAACGCAAAGAACTTTGGTACCACCATCACCCCTTGGGTGGTGTTGATTGATGCTCTTGAGCCTTTCCGCGCTGCCGGTCTGGAGCCTGGCAACCGCGAGTCTCTGCTGCCTTATCTGCGTGAGAAGCGCGCCGAGAATGCATATGAAATTCCTCTCGATATCGAAGTCACCAACCCGGGTGGCCAGCCTACTATAATTGCTAAGAGCAATTCCCGTAACTTGCTCTACTCCTTCCCTCAGATGGTTGCCCACCACACTATCACCGGTTGCAACCTGCGCACTGGTGACTTGCTGGGATCTGGTACCATCTCTGGCACTGAGGCTAAGACTCAGGGTAGTTTCTTGGAACAAACGAACGGAAAGACGCCTCTCAAGTTGGCTGATGGCTCGGAGCGCATGTTCCTTGAAGACGGTGACACTGTGACTCTGCGTGGAATGGCTGGTACCGAAGGCAACTATGTCGGCTTCGGCGACTGTGTTGGTACCATCCTTCCTGCTGTTTCTCTACAGTAAATTATAAAATTTCAATGATCAATGTGGGATGCTATTATTTTGAGGATTTTGTTTCATTCCATATTTACTAGAAAGCTTGCAATAACATATTTCGGCCGGTTTCATTGAACCAGTACAATTCCTAACTCTTTCCTCTTTGAGTGTGTCAAATAGTAATGATAGCTATCTACCTATGCCTTGAGCCGAAACTCCTCAGGAGTATCATCTTGAGTAGTCCAATGGCCCAATTTAACAGCCTGCTCCGCCTCCAAGTTCTTCACAATCCCATGTGTAACCGGATATGCGCCAAGATCAACGCCAACTCTCTCAGCACCCCAAGCAGCAGGAACCAAACACAAATCTGCAATTGTAATTTGATCCCCAACACTAAACCTCCCTGCTGACCGGGCAACAATAGCCTCATAAGCCCTCAACCCATCCTCAATCAAATCCTTAGACCAACCTGCACGATCGGCGCCTAGCGGCGCAACACGCTTGAGAATCCGAAGGTTCGTAACAGGTTGAATATCACAGCCGATGATCTGTGCTAGCGTGCGGACGAGGGCACGACTCTCTGGATCCGAGGCAGGAGGTAACAGCGCCGGACCCCGGTCTGGGAATGCCTCTTCGAGGTACTCAAGTGCAGCGAGGGACTGTGTAATCGTGACAGGGGCTTGAGAATCGCGCTGGATTACGAGTGTGGGTACTGTGCCCGAGGGGTTGATGGTCAGGTGGGCGGGTGATGATTGTTCACCCTTCAGGAGATTCACATAGACTGATGTGAATGGGATTTGCTTCAGGTGGAGGGCTATACGTAGCCTGGCGGAACAGGAGGACCGAAAGTATGTGTGCAGAGTCACTGTGTCGGTCATTTTGGTTGTTTGTATTGATGGTTGATCTATGAGATCTTGATGGGGTTCAAGGTTTGTAGAGGTAGAGATAGGAGAGAGACTTTTGGGGGAAATGGATTCAAATACGAAGCCGTGTTACATACTTTATCACTCACTACAGCATTAAATCACTGGACAGCTGCGGAGTTCGTGTCCCGTTCATCTTGTACATTGTAGGACATTGGGGGGATGTGGTAGACTTGTTCAGTGCGGAAGGCATTCCGCGAGCTTGCCGAGTCCAAGCGCTTTGCATTTCCGCTCTGGTCCTCGGCCAATATCATTTCTATGACTTTCTTGCCTATTTTCTCTCCGATCACTATGTGCTCAGATATTCTAGAATTCTAGACTGCTCTTTATTTTTATCAATCAATACAGATCTCAGATCTGTCTGCGGTCTTTTGTGCCCCAATGATCCGGCATCAAATCTCTCATGTAACAAGCAACTACGCCTGCAAAATGCTGCAGCCATGTAGCTACCTAGCCTAGCTACTTTGGATGCAGCATGTTATGCTTTATTGTTAGAGTTCTATAGCTATTGGTCGCCCGCCAGGTCAGCGGCGTTCCACAACCTCACCTATCGAACTTAGCAACACCATGGGTGGGAATATTGAGCTTGGATCTTGTTTCACACAATATGATCCCTGCAAAAAAAAAGCCCAGGACTAAGCATTATACTTAGATCGACAAAACTCAGTTTTCATATCTTCATTGGCAATTTCCTCTTTGATCGAAGGTCTGATCCTCTGATGGAAGCCACAAAGAAGCTGATGCGGGGCGGACCGGCTAACGCCGGCTAATTTCCTGGCCCTGGCATCTCACTTTCATACCCTGCAATTATCCACAAGTCTCATCGAAGAATACCCACAGAGTCCACCTGGGTAACATCCCCCTGATTCAACCGCTCAGGAACGGTTGACGATGGATGGCGTCAGGCCAACCCGCCCGGACAAGCCGTATCAGCGCACCTACAAGGCATGCATCCCTTGCCGACAACGCAAGGCCAAATGCGACTTAGGAACCGGTCCAGATGGCCTTCCGATCGGCCCACCGTGTGCTCGATGCCGCAGGGAGCTAAGGGAGTGTGTGTTTCCCGAGAAGCGGGCTTGGGAAAGATCCCGCAAAAGATGTGCGTTATTATAGAATGCTGACCATGTTTAAATTGGGTGTTATCTGACTGGTCGGATTCAGCTCGATCACCTGGAAGTTATGAAACGAATGTATCACCCCGGCATGTCAGACAGCTGACCGCGACCTCACCTGAGGACTCTGTTCCTGCCCAAGGCCGCATTCATCACCCTCGTCGTGCGAGTGAAATAAGCAACCCTACCCCAGAGGCGACCAATTTCCAACACTCCCCTGATTTCCAGTCGGGGTGGTCTTATCCTCGTGGCATACAATCTTCTAACCATGGATCTTTTGATCGCAATGGCGCTTTGGAACATCCACGCGCCGATCAATCCCCATCTCATGCGTACGAAAACACTAAACATCGGTCAAATTCCACGCTGGCGAGCTCTATGATGCGTACTGTAGTTGCAAGTGGAAATGATGCTCTCAATATTCTCTTCGAGGCAGCCACTGCTCAAGAGGATAGTCGTGCTGATACTAGCCCCGAATCAATACCTGGGCCTCCATCGGCAGGCCCAAGTCAAGTTCGAACTCCGGGGAACTATGATGCTGCGTTCGAGCCAGTAATACGAGTCATACATCCTGTTCCGTTATCCAATGTTTCTCAAGAAACCCTCAATATTTGGGAAGCTTGCCGATTCGTCAAGATGGGTTGGTTCACTGCTAGGGAGGCTGTTACATTCATCGATCTGTCGGTATTCCACATTTTCATATTCCTCACATGAAATTGCTGACTGAAGCAGATTCTACAAAAATATGTCATGTTTATCACCAATTCTCACAGACTTCTACGCCAAACATCGTTATCATTATTGGCTCATCACCCGGGAGCCTGTACTTTGTTGCACTATTCTCATGATCTCTTCTCGTTATCATGTTCTTCCTGGGGCTGGGGGAGAGTCAAGGAATTTTTTTATCCACCACCGACTCTGGCAACATTGTCAACAATTAATAATGAGGCTAATATTTGGGCAAGAAAAATCCACCAAATCCAAGGTTCGGAGTCTTGGTACTGTGGAGGCCCTACTGTTGATGTCGGAATGGCATCCTCGCTCGCTGCATTTTCCACCCGAGACGGATGGCTGGGATGATGATTTGATCCCATCAGCCCCTAAAAGCCACCACAATAGTGAGTCAAACTCAGCACCTGCCAGTCGCTGGGTTGAAGACATGATTGAGCCCGCGCGACGATCTGATCAGATGTCCTGGATGTTGCTCGGATGTGGCCTTTCTCTCGCACATGAGCTGGGCATCTTTGAGACGGAAGAAAGCGGGTCTCCAGCCGAAGAGCCAGAATGGAGAGATCAGATGACACTACGTTGGCAGCGCGTACAGCGTCTTCTTTTTGTTTACATCAATCAACTCGCCTGGAGAATTGGATGCATGTCGCCAATCCCTCAGTCATTGAACCATGCTATTCTCGGTGGAAGAAAGCCGCAAGGGCTCAATCCACCCGGTAGTACATGGTTGACATTCATGGATTCCTGGATTGAGCTGACCAAGCTTGCGAAATCTGTGACCGACATGTTCTTCCCCTCTGCTTCATTCGCACGCCAACAACTACACAGCGGCCGCTATGTTGGTTTACTAGAACATTTCCGACCTCTTCTCAACCAATGGAAAGATAAGTATCTACAACCGCAGGTGCTTGACAAGGCATTCTACAATGATCTCTTTATCGAATACCATTTTGTTCGCGTATATACCCATTCAGTGGGGATGCAAGCCGTTGTTGAGCGCGCAGTGGCAGAAAACGATTCCAACAATTTCGACGAAGTTCAACCTATGACGATCGATCCAACAGACTATGAATACATCCAAGAAGTAATCGACGGATGCTGCCAAATCTTACAAAAAGTTACACATCTAGCCGAATCGGGTGCTTTACGATTCTCGCCAGTTCGCATCGTCCTCCGCATCACCAGTGCTTCAATATTCCTCATGAAAGCCCTGAGTCTGGGTACCCGACAAGCAAAGCTGCAGGAATCGATTGAGATACTGGAGAAAAGCATCAAAGCGCTCAAGTCAAACGCATTGGACGATGTGCATCTCAGTACTCGCTATGCCACATTATTGGACATGCATGTCTCACGTTTACGACGGAACCTTTTAGCTTCTTCCAAGTCTATCAAGAATAGTCGTGGGGCCACGGGGATATCATCAATGGGACCTCCGCCTTGGCCGGATGCTGGCGATCGGTCAAATACCATAAACACCCCAGTATCGCAGGAATTGGCGCCGGACCTGGGCTTCATTCCGTCTTTGAACAATATCGGTGCAGACGACTGGCTTTCTCTGCCATTTGATCCCTCCATGGCGCCGTTTGGGATGAGCAATAGTGGGCAATTTCCGATGTATGAAGGCGGAGCATTAGATTTCATTTGGAATTTGCCATCGTGATGGCTACATACATGTACCTATATTTGGCCTTTGCTCGCCCTAGTTGCGCTATCGACAAAGCGTGATACAAAATCAACGGAAGTATTGCTTGCAGCAGTGCCTTTTGGGCTTTTTGACTTTATGAAATGTTGGGCCTCGGTCTTAATCGCTGTAGTATGTTCTAGTCCTATATTAGGCCGTTGTGTGCGCAGGCGTGTCTTTGCAAAAGAATGAGTTGACATGTAGGCAAGTATACAAACAATGACCTCCTGGTATAGCTCGAGGCTGGCATGGCGGTGTCTCCCTTGGTAGATCAAAATCACATGAACAAAATGTTAAAATGTGTATTATGCTGGTTGTCTATGCGATAATGTACAAGGATCCACCTCTCGGTAAATTTTGCAGGATGGATAGGCAATTTCTTTTTGAAAACCAAGTAGCCACAAGAAATAGCAACAAAGGGGAATGCTGTAGGATCTGTCTATCGAACGAGCCCGCCATCCATATAATACAGTTTCAAAGACATAGCCAGTAGAAGGGCGATGTAAAAGCCCAAGGAGGGTGGAAGAAAAAAGGCCAAAAAAGAAAACCCTCTATGCCATGTCGTCTAATGATGACCCAAAAACACCCGAAACAAAACTCAATGTGAGATGATATAAAGCGAAAAATTGTAAAGGAAGCGTTTGTTGGCGATCGCGGTATAAGCACGACCGCATGCTAGGTTGAATATAGGAGTCGAAATCGAGAGAATCTAGGCGAATGCTTTTTGCTCGGATGGGGGAGGCGGAGGAAGCTCGAGCTTTGTGTTGTCGGCCATCATGCGCTGGAAACCGATGCCGACACCTTCGATGACGGCCAAGAAGACGGCACACATAATAGCAGAGTTGCGGGCGGCCTTGACACCACCACGAACGGCCAAGGAGCCACCAGTGAGGAAACCAGCGCCAATTGCGTTCCATGGATCTTCTGTCTTGCGAATACCCTTGATAGCGCAGTCGTACTAATGGGCCGTTAGCGATATCTGTCCACTGGAACGGGGAACGGGTTCGAAAGGACAGGTTGGACGTACTGTACTGAAAAGTCCACCCCAAACACCGAAGTTACCGCCCAGAACAGGGGCTCGCGCCTTGATGGCTGTGAGAGCGCCTATCCGGCGCTCGCCGTAGGGGCTGTTGCGGAAACCTTTGATGCCGTGCCATACAGAACCACCGATAGCCTGTGATATGGAGATAAAGTTAGGTCATCTAATCGAGACGAAAGAAGCGTGGAAGAGATATGCATACACCCATACAGAAAGCACCACCGAAGTCGCTCAGAGCGACATACGGGCAGGGATCCCTGGAGTGATCCATTCTGCAAGAGTTCGATGAACTGGTATGTGTCGTGAAGGAATTCTTGGTCGCGAGTGATTGACTAGGGGGGTCACGATAGGAGATCGGATTGAAGCAGACTGCACAGGGTTGGAGGTATCAGAAGAGAGGTGGGTATATATGATGAAGATGTAAAATGCCGGAATCAACAATAAATACGATAAGGTCGGGGGAGCGGGTCGTTGACTTTTTCTTATCTGGAATTAACGTGACTGGGTCACGTGTCGATACCCCGTTCTCCACCGAGATTATCGGGAGCTTCAGGAATCGTCAGTCCAATTGTTTTCTTGCAATCATTCCGGGCCTAATGGTTATTGCTAGACTCGGAATAGGGGTGCCGTTGCAGGGAAGAATTTTCCTGTCATTCTTTTTGACAGAATTTTAAAGTTATTCGAAATTTTCTTGATCTATTCCCGGGGTAGTGATTTCCGCAAAAAGAATTCCCACCCTAGGCTACTTGAGCATCTATCTACATACCAAGCTTTAATACGTCTAAGATCAAGATTGGTCCAATGTTACTCGTGTCGACCTTGGCCAACACCTTTCTCATTTTCTTTAAAGGGAAAGTCTCCTTTGGTTTTAGCTGGTCTTTCTAGGTTGATTGATGTGACTACTCGAAATATATATCCGCGGATCTAGAAAGAGTAAATCATGTTTTATACTATGTTTTCTAATGGACTTGATACAAGCAAATAACTTATTTCTTTGACAGTCAACTAACTCTCTTTATATTCTCATATTCAAAAAAACATACTGTATGTAGGATTAAAATTTCAGAGTAATGTCATGACACAGATCACGAGTACTTAGTACTTTGTACATGGGCCTCGGGGCTTACGCATGTTGCCCAGTGTTGCTCCCCGCTTTGGATTTCCCCCCACGCACGAGAGCAACATCCATGGATTGCAGTTCCAACCACCAAGTACCAAAGATGACAGCGACTTTCAAACCAACCCTAATCATCCACGGTGGTGCAGGCAATATACAACGCTCCAAACTACCTCCTGACCTTTACGCCGCACATCATGCCTCACTCCAATCCTATCTTCGCTCAACAAACCACCTTCTCAACAATGGAGCCACAGCCTTGGATGCAGCCGTCCATGCAGTCTCCTTACTAGAAGAAGACCCACTTTTCAACTGCGGCCGCGGCAGTGTATTTACAACAGCAGGCACAATCGAGATGGAAGCATCAGTAATGGTGACATCCGTGCACGCGTACGACGCAACACAGCCAGGTACAATAAAACGCGGGGCAGGTGTCATGGGGGTCCGCAATGTACGCCACCCGATTCAACTTGCCCGCGAATCGCTCCTCAGAACGGGTGTCAACCCCGACGGGTCACCTACCGATGACGGAGGCAGTATGCATTCCCAGCTTGTCGGTCCGCACGTTGAGACTCTGGCCAGGGATTGGGGGCTCGAGTTTAAGCCTGATGAGTGGTTTTGGACACAGAAGAGATGGGACGAGCATTTGCGTGGCCTGAAAGGTGAAGAAGAGCCTGTTTCTTTGACTCAGGGCACCGTCGGCTGTGTTTGTCTGGACCAGTGGGGAAATTTGGCTGTTGCGACGAGTACGGGTGGCTTGACAAATAAGCTACCAGGAAGGATTGGCGATACGCCGACTCTTGGGGCTGGGTTTTGGGCCGAATCGTGGGATGAACTGGCGCAAATTGGTGATAATGCCTCGTCAACGCCGAATATTCCTTCGGTGGGTGACATCCTACGTGACGCAAGGATGTATCTGGCGGACTGTATGCCGCAGTTTCTACGAGAGCCAGAGACTGCTGATTACTCGCCACTTCGGAATGCTGAAATTTCCCAGGTACCGTCCCCAAAGGCTGAAAAATTTTCAACTTTCCACCAACCACTATACCCTCAACACGCCAAGAAAAGGCATGCGATTGCTGTCTCTGGAACTGGGAATGGGGATTCATTTCTCCGCGTCGCAGCTGCGCGCACGGCTGCCGCAATGCTGCGATTTTCACCACCGGGAACGTTTCCTTTGGGTCTGGCAGATGCAGTGACGGCTGTAGCTGGCCCCGGTGGTGAGCTGCAACGCTCAGCCGATGCGAGATGGAAGTCCACCGGCGAGGGAGAAGGTGGTATTATCGGTATAGAAGCAGAGCTGGCCACTGCAGCTGGATCATCGGATGTCAAGTTGCATCGTGGACGGGTTGTGTTTAACTTCAACTGCAGCGGTATGTGGCGCGCTTGGATGGACACGGACGATACTGGGAAGGAAATTGAAAGAATCATGGTCTTTCGAGAGGAGTACTAAAGACCGGCTGCGACTGCCTGCGTACGCATGTACGGTGCATGAAACATTGCCAAAACAAAAAAGAAACTCCGATAGGGGGAATCGAACCCCCGGCTGTCGTGTGAGAGACGACGATGTTAGCCACTACACCATATCGGACGGATATAATGATTACTTAAGTCAAGTGTATCTATTTCTTACTTAGCGCTCTTTGTCCTTATGCTTCCGCGTGGGTCTACATAGTCCTCTGCTCTTCTCACCTCTATCTGACAGCTCCGATTTCTTCTTTGTCTTCCTTTCTCCTACACCTCGCAGGTGAGGCATATTTGCTATTAACCCGGATCACAGAGCTCTTAGGATCCGCCACTCTCTTTTCCTATGTGACTTGTCATCACTTATACGCAACCTTCCATCCCCTCGTTCCTAATCAGGTGCTTTCTCTTACGCCCTTACGTTGACCTATGGGTTCCCCGGCCTTATATGATTATCTGTCGGTTAAGCGTCAATTCCCTTATCGGCGGGCTTCCTGCTTTCTCTAGATAATCGCCTATATGAAGCGGGTCTACGTGTTCACGCATTGTGAGAGAACCGAATCACCTGTGTGATCGAAAACCAATGCGAATTTACCGTAGGACATAAAGAATGGTCTGGTAGGGAATTGTTGCACTGATGTAGTAGCGCTTGCTTTGTTTACACTATAAGGTTGGCCGGTGTCTAATGTGGCTTTTCTCACCGATCGAACTATTCTAGCCGGCGAAAATCGAAACTTTAGTGCTATACGTTTGTATTATAGGAATTGAGGGTCAGAATCCGGGGTTAGCTTGCATAGAAAAGAGGTATATAAGAAGGGGAACTTAGGATAAAGTGATTTAGAACCTGGAGACAAGATCCAAGTACGTATAAGCCGAGCTATCAAGAAATATAACAAACAATCGAGATACACAATCCTTCCATTTCGAAGTGGCTACTCGTAGCTTGCTATTAATCACGGAGCGAAGTAGGACACATAATTAAACTCAAAGCCCCTCGCATTTGCCTTCTAGTGCATCCAAGCCAAAAGCCCGAGTACGTTGTCTGTTGAAAGCTTCCGGGCCGGAGTCTACCATATATTTATGCGAACAAGGGTGATAAAAATAAGGACGTAGATGCGAGATGTGATAGACGAGAGAAGTCAATGGATTGTCCTTTCTACCGAGTGGATTGCCTACGCCAGACAACTTTGAATATTGACGTTACCCTTGAAATGGTCAATCCTGTATTGTATGTTTATGCCAGTTTGCCCAACATGTCTTCCTCTTCTTGGTCGAAAACTTCTTTCTGATAACATTCGTTGTCCGAGTCGTTCCAGTCAATGAATGACTTCAAATATCGGGAGATTGCATGTCGCTCATTCTTCATTGCTAACTTGACAGCTCGAATCAACTCTCTGCGGCCTTCGCCCTCGAGAAAACTCCCTCCGTTCAACAGCAATTGTAACATGTCAGTCCGGCCATGCTCTGCGGCTCCTTCAAGTGCTGTTCTACCAAAGTGGTGACCCCTGGAAGCATTTATATTAGCGCCACGTCCAATCAGTTGTTGGGCAATTCTAATGTAGCCTCGAATCGCCGCGAGCTGTAAAGCGGTCGCCCCGGAAGAATCAGCAGGACTCTGGTTGACATCTGCGCCCATGTCCAGCAGTTTGTTTACCAGCTCGAGATTCCCCTGAAGGACGGCAGCTTGTAGAGCAGTTCTTCCACTGTCGCGCCAAGGTGCCCCATTGACGTTTGCGCCGATTTCAAGTAGCCATTGCGTGAGCTGCAGATTTTCTTTCTCGACCGCAATTTGTAAAGCTGTACCCATGTCTCTAGATGTTGCAGGCGTATTGACATCAGCGCCAGCTAGCAGGAGCATATCCATGAGCTTGTGATGGCTTTGCTTGACTGCAATTTGAAAGAAAGCTGAAACTTGTGCGGGAGCAACCACCTCATCAAGATGGACCCCAGCTGTGAGAAGTATATCCACAAGAGCCATCTGTTCATACTCAATAGCCTCACAGAGAGCCATTTTCGGAGATCCAAAGATGTAGTCAAGACTACAACCAGTTAAAACGAGATGGTTGACCGTCTGGGCATCCGTCTCTTTGGGACCAAGATTCAAAGATGAACAGAAGAGTCCTTTTTTGTAGAGTTTAGCGGCAGATGCTAGCAACCCAGGAGTGAGGTCTTTTCGGTCAAGCTGTAGACTCTTGACAATTGCTTTCCCTAGGTCTTCTGGTGTCCATGCATCTACTTGCAGTAAAATTGAGAACATAGATTGTTCACTTTTCTCCACTGCGTCTTCTAATAGAGAAATCGATTGGTGGACCAAAGTCTGAGAATCGCTTTGAGCTTGCGAAAACTGCAGATTCATATTTTCGCTTGCAAACGTAGCGGGATGTGCTTTATTTTCGCCGGCCCAGTTCCACCAAGGTGCCATCGTCCAGCGACACCAACCTTCCATCTTCCAGCGATCCGAGCTGGGGTATCGAAGATTGCATAAGGTTTCTGGGTCTACAAAATATGTTCCCACAACGCCTGCCTCGGAGCGGAGATGGCGGCCTAGGGCGTCAGCGCGCGCGAAGCGCCGACCACAGCCCCATTGCGCGTCGTCGGAGAGATCGCCGCAGCAGACGAATTTATTTTCACCTGAGTGCAGGCATTCGTGGCGTTTGCGGTCGTCTTGTCGGGCGAAGGCTTTGCCGCACACTGTGCATACGAAGGGTCGTTCGTCTGTGTGATTGCGGAGGTGGGAGCGTAGGTTGTAGGCGCGGGTGAAGCGTTTCGGGCAGAGGGAGCACTGGAAGGTGGCGGGGTGTTTTTGGATGCGTTTTGGTTCCCCTGGGGCTGCGCCGGGGCGTTGCGGATCGGCTAGGGCGAGGATATAGTTTCGGTTCTCGATTGAAGAAGTTGAGAGCCGGCGGCCGGAGCGGCAGGATGAGGGCGCTCCCCATTTCTTGAGGAGTTTAACAGCAAAGTGCTGTTTGTAGTGGACCGCTAGCACAAGCGGAGACAAACATCCAAGCACACCGTCTGGTTTGAGATTGGCACCGGCCTGAAGGAGTATTTTCATAAGCTGAAGATTTCCCCTAGCCGCCGCAAGTCCGAGTGGAGTCGTAACCAAAATTTCCTGCCCGTGAGCTGGAGCTGGGAAGATATGCCAAGCGTCAACTTTTGCACCTCGTTCGAGGAGGTGTTTAGCTATCACAGTAGCTTCAATGATCCTCATATTCCAACAAACGACACCGAGCAGCGTGCCGGGCCCAGTTCGTCTGGTGTCTATGTAAGTAATAGAGAGCTCAAATCCTTTGTTGATTTCATCGCAGAACTCTAAGCATGTTCTGGCAATCTTGAGATTCCCCGTCGCTTCCAGGCATCTTCCAATCAAGTCGGGTGAGACTTGAGGAACAATCTGGACTAACATATTGACCAGTTTCTCATTCTGATTCATGAAGGCAAGCTCAAGTGCCGAAGAGCCCCATCCAGGCTGTCCGGGAATAGCATTGTGAAACAACAGAAGACGTGCCCATTGCACGGACTCCCTTTGATTGTAACGAGCCGCCGCAAATTCCAAAGCTGTTAGAGACATATGCTTATCTTCTTCATCTTTCCCACCCAGGAAGGTCAGGTTCGGATCCACTCCAGCTTGAAGCATCGTCACAAAAAGTTGGAAGTTCCGGTTTCTGACAGCACTCGCAAACAACCTTTCAACGATTGTCTCAGCTGTTACCCCACCTAATCTCAAAAGATGTTTTATGAACTCTGGAGAGTTCAAGCCGGAGACTTCAATGGTTGCCATGATCACGTCATCTTCCCTCAACAAATTGCTCAGATCCCGAGGGTCATCTATGCCCTGGCCTTGCCCATGAGCAATTCTGAATGACAGGTTGTTGGACAAAAGAAAAAGAACAACGGATATCACGTCTTTCATATCCTTCATATCCGTGTTGCAGAGACTTCTCGATGTATGGAGGTGCTGACCTTCATACTCCTCGGGCATAATGATACTTAAGAGTGTACTAGTTCTATCGGTGTCTGGAAGTGGACCGAAGATCCTCGCAATGTTCAAAAGCATGTTGCATGGTAGAGTAGTCAGTGAATTGACATTTGTTGGTAGATGACAAAAAGCACGGGTCTGATCAATATTAGTTTCTTTTGGACTGCCTGTTCCATGTTAGGTCTGGTATATAGTATCTTTCTATGACATCTCACCTTGCACCTCCTCTAATCGAACTATACGAGTAAATTGTAACCAGGGCAGGTTTGAAATAATATCTACCTGTAGCGGAGATGGTGCAGGAGAGCAGACAACAATGCCAGGCGGAGTCCGAGGTGAGGGTGCTAGAAAATGTTAGACATGAAGTACCTTTGATTTGCGATGACAAGGACTACCTGAGGTAAATCTCTGAACGGTTGATCGATATGCATTTCTTCTAATTCCAAGTTTTACCTTTTCTGGTGGGTAGAGGATCCCATCGACGTAGACTTCGGGCTCTCGTTTTTTTTTGCCCAAGAATTGCGCAGTTGACAACTCGTTTCGCATCTTGATCTTTCTAATGCGGTGGTCGATGTATTCCCATTGCTTTGCTCCCATTCTATATTTTCTGAAACGCCATTCCTTTATCTTCTTCTCGTATTGCCAATCCCTAGATGTTGTTAGAGTTCACCAAGGCACTAGTCATGGACAAGAATGGGAAATAGAAAGTAAAAGGTCGCGATACCGCTTAGAGAATCCATGGCTCATCGCCATGATTTCTATGACCCTTTCGAGCGGTTTATTTTCCGTGAGATAGAGACGCTTGATCTCTGATTTATGAATATCCCATTCCGGGTCCGCCATGGTGATTAACCAAGAGTGAAGGGAGAAACTGTTGACAAGAACCAGGAATCTTCTGGTTTAGAGTAGACTAGAAGCAGCGGGCGCTTTCTGTTCTTTTAAGCGTAATAGTCGGTGTGTTGACGTGGTTCAGCTGGTAGTCCTGCTGCCTGCCATTCGAGGTGCAAGATGGGGGCCAACCTCCAGACCAATCAATATTGGCCTGTGGGACCACTCAAAAACAAACTTACATTGGCTGATGTCCAAATCTGATGCTCCACTAGGCTTGTGGCTGAGGCAACTCATTGGGCTTCACCCTGAGACTCGTCATGGTTGAGAAATCACGCTCGTGATTTGCTAGGTCGAATTCAGAATCCCCACTTTGCCGGGGTCAAGGCACCAAATTTGTGATTGGTGCTGGTCACAATCCGAAATCCACCTTTGGGTTTTGTACCTGAATGATGTTGTGCGTACAGTGATTCATTACTTCAGTTCAATCCATCTAGCCTCTCTTCTAGATTTAAATACAGATCTACAATCCACAGGTTATCTTTCTGTCATGGACATATTCTTTTTATACCTTCTCTTTGCTGTCTCCAACCCATTTCCCGATGGCGTGGCTACCTTCCAATAGCTTTTTAGAGAACCATCCATCGCTCAGTGAAGCTGGCCAGAGCTTCGCAGATCTGGACTATATTGCCGAAACTTTGGGATATCCACCATCGACTGTTCTCCCCGAGCCGTCCGCGCTCTTTACGGATAATTGCTTTAATGACCAGCTCGTGCATTGCCCCCAGCCCGACCGACGTGCTCATGTGGGCCTAGTGGGGGTTGGATCGCACCAATCCAATTACAATAACCTAAATTATTCCTCTATCAAGTCCAACCGACCGAAGGTTTTGGGGGTGGAAAATGTCACAGGATCTAGTGCCACTTGGCCTCAATCCCTGCCGTCCTTATCCTCAACAAATGACATGGGGCAAATGAAAAATCATTTCCAAGTACTCGAGTGCAAATCACCCGGGTCTACTAATCCGATAGGGGAATATGAGTAAGTCGCAGAATTCAACACGCAAACCAGCCATCGTTTTTTGCTGACTGGGATTCTGTTATTCCAGCGTTCGCGCACCTTCTTTCTTATGTGAATGGAGGAACTGCCACCAGCGCTTCTCCTCAAAGGGATCAGTGATGCGACACCTCGAAACAAAGCATGTTTCTCCTCAGTCCTTTAAATGTTCCCATAGAGGCTGCAACAGGCTTTTCAACCGGAAAGACAACAGAGATGAGCATTCACGGCGAGCTCACCGGGAGAATGACTTCCAGTAGAATTGAGAAACATATCTTAGGAATTTGCTTAGGTTTTATGCAAGGTCGGAGCTGTTGTATGCAAGATCTAAGTCCCGAGTTCAAGGTCTAGCTTTTCTGATGCACACTTTGAGTGAAGTCATAGAAGTGCAGTTTCATTCAATGGGTGATTTATGGAATGTACATCTTGTTGATCTGGAAAGCCATTCATGGTAAATTGTAGACGAGGTATACTAGTAGGGATGTGTGGAATATCTTAGAATAACCTTGGAATAGCTGCTCCCATTGCTAATTTTAGTCAATCCCGACCACGAGGCCCATACTCATGTTGTAAAAACTATTGAGCATGTTTGGCGCTAGCTGGTCGCGGAAGGTGTTCCATATTCACCATCGGGCTAGGCGGCGATGACAGCGTTGTGTTCGCCTATCTGCCTCAAGTATAATTCACTATAAAGGGCCTTATACTAAAGCTCTAACGAGGCCTATAATATATATTCTATTATTATAAATATATAGCGGAAGAGCTTACGGTAATAAGCGATGTGGTTAGTCGAATAAGGGAGATATAGGTCCCTCGGAAGTAATAGATCACTAAAAGAGAGATTCCTAAGATCGGAGACTCTGATATACTTGGTACAAGAGATATTGATTAAATAATAAAGACTAAGAGAGAGAAATATGCTATATAAGAGAAGAAGTGGTTAGATAAAGAGTGGACAAAATTATGTAGCTAACCGCCACCTAAGTCGCCTACCGGGGAGATATCTATATCATCAGAGATGCGTAGCGGCGTAGCAAGGAGGGGTGTCTTTTTGGATAGATACTCAGGGTGAAAAGCAGTAGTTAATGTGAATGGCTTCAAAATTGGTTTTCCGGAGTGGTGCACCCCCATCCCGAAGGCAGTGGGGGAAGCATTGGAAGGCACGGTTATCGGAGAGGGATGATGATTTTCTCCATTAGGTTTAGTTTAACCACTCTCGGTTTAGCGTCATATGTCTTCATTAATAAGGCGAAGTCAGTAAATAGAGGCCGGGTGTGTAAAGACCTCCTAATTAACTGTAGGGGAAACGATTTAGGAATAGATTAGTGTCTCCGCGCTATCTGATTAATGGACGATGCCGGATTTTATGTAGTTTTGTAATCTAGACCTAGGAGGTCATTAAGGAGCTTGATCTTTGTCCAAGTCTCGGCTCGTTCTGTTCCCTCTGCACTCGAACAGAACTTGGCTGATCCTTTGAACTAGGTCCACCCTTCTAAATCCTCAAATTTTTCCTTTGAAAGCGCAAAGACGACGAGCCAATCCTGACATGGGAGGATGCTCGGGGGAAGGGAGAGGATCATATTTGCAATTTTGCACTTACATCCGTCCCTGACAAAGCCTCCCCGGACACAATCCGATTTGAGCGCCATGTACTGGAGGGATGGACCCTAATTTGTTGGAGACACCGGCTTGTCACAGTCGACAGAAAATATGGGTGACGCGCTAAGAGAGTCGAACACCATTAATTGGACCCCCTATATTTCGCAATACGGTAAACACCGACAGCAATCTCCGGCCTTTCTATATAAGCTAGCCCCGTCTCTCTTTTTCTCTATTTTTACAGACTTTTACTATCATCTCATCATGGATCCCTTTGCAAAATTCCCTCCGGAGGTGATTGCATTGATCCTCGAATGTTGCTCCGACTTCGCTTCCTTGGATGGATTACTGAGAACATCTGCGCGGGCGGACGAGGTGTTCCGCCATTACTACAAGACGATTACCGAACAGATCATGAAAAATTGTCCTATTATCTCCCAGGGACTACAGTATGAATTCCGCAATTTCATATTCCTTGAATCAGGAAATTTCAATTCCGCAAGCCTGCCGGAGCTTATCGATGGCGCTCGGATGACAGCCGTTGTGCCACTTTCTCTACCCTCCATCCACTCTTTTAATGCTGTACGAGAAGCCGTGAGTACTGCGGCGAGCATTTATTTTGCTGCTTCTGCCTGCTTAAGCCTTCTTTTGGATCGCCTAGCAGTAGCAGAGCCACGGCGCGTGGTCGGCCCTGTTAGCGCTGTTGTTGAATGGGTTGTAGGAAGATGGCCCGAGCCCCCGAACGAAATATTCCATGTTAAGCCTCGTCCTCTGTCCTGGTGTGAAATTTATAGAATGCATCGCGTGCTATGGACTCTTGCGACATTCTACTGCGTTCACCGCGCGGCAAACACTCGGTGGTCTTGGTCCTTAGAAGAACTGAGTTCATTCACGGAACAATATGTTGACAAGTGTTGGAAGACATGGCATCTCGAAGAATTCCAAACCGCCTCGGAGTGCCTTGAAGCTGTTTATCCCAAAGAAACAGCTATCCTCGACCACAACTTCCCTTTCCTGGTGTCTATTCCTTCCGCAAACAAATCAATTAGCCAGGCGCCTTTGTGTATACCCGAACCTCCATCCGAAATAAGTCTTAATTCAGGGGGGTTGTCTGTATGGCACGCGCGCAAGAGAAATAGCGCTATAGGGTTTCACCGCTGCCTATACAAAAGCCATCGGTCTACTAAAAATCCTCTTCTGCACGTGGATTTCCGAGCTTTTAGACGGATTGGAATCCCAATTTGGGATGATTTGAGATTATATCAGATCGGGCTGGAACATGCGCCTAGGAATTTGCCATCTCTTAAGGAAGCTGGGCCTCAGGGAACAAAAGGAGCAGCGCGAATCTGCATATACTACACATGGTGGAGCTTAGCAAATGAAGTGGACATTGACCCCTCTGCTAGATTACCGCATAATAGCCCATTCGTCAAGCCTTGACAGCATACTGGTGTAAAACATGGTGAGCCAGACAATGCTGGGATCCTGACAGCAATAAGCTTTTTCCGGATATATACTCGCTTTACACAAGGCATATAGGAAAGCGGACAAAATATGTGAATTGCCAGTTTTAAATGCAAATAAGGTCTACAGTTGGAAGTGGAAATCCATAGGATGTGATTGTACATACACATCGTGGGTCATACTTGAATGGCATGAAGCAGTGACCATCCTATGTATTCGAAAACTTAAAATGACATTTTCGTGGATGACACAGCATAGGTGTCCCTGCAGCGATTGGATTGATTTAATGCATACCCAATAACCAAAACCGAATAAAAGAAGGAAGTTCATATAAGTCATCTGACCTCGGGGCTTCTAGATCAATTGGGTGATAGTACTAGTAGGGTGAGCCAGTGGTGAAAATGCGTTTACTTTCCTGGTCGTAGGTGTAACAATTACTAACGTTGGAGTCGGAAAGCCCGGAAGACCGCATCGCAATTCCACCGAATGCGGAGTTGGTGCTGTACCTACGAACCAGAGTCGCGAGTGTGCTTGGTTCAAGGTAGTATTGTGCCCCGCTAGATGTCCCTGTGGCGGCATTTGGGGAAGCTGGTACACCAACAAAGATTTTAGCATTCCCATATGGTGTGCCAGCGATGGCCGAGACCCAGACGTCATAGTTGATTGGGCCGTTAACGGAGCAACTAGGGTTTTTATAGAACTGGACCCAGAGGTGGTCAAACTGAGAGCTAGTGATTATCTGCTGCATATGAGGCTCTGGTATAGGGCATTGCGGTGACCCCGTAATGTAGTACATGTTGGATGAATCGGACACGAAGTTGGATCGAAGTATGCGAATCAAATACTGGTAGTACTGATTACCCCGGGCTGCTTCGATGTCAAAATCCCAGCCATTAACGAAAGTGGTGCCAAACAGCCGCGGAACGCAACTGTTCTGTGTTCTTCCAGATGCATCCCAGAGATTTTGGCCAATAGTTTCAGCCTCCCCCTGCGACGAGAGAGAGTACGTGCCAATGGCACCACCCGGAGATAAGATGATTTTCACGCCGTTTGACTGGCATGCCTTGATAGCATCTGCCAGATCGTCACATTGTGAGGGCTCACCAGATGCTGAAATGGAGCATGACTGCCCGATAGTGCCGGAGGGAATAGTGATGCCGTTGCCATAGTCGTACAAGAAAGACCAGACTATTATATAACTTCCAGCGAACGATGTACAGTAATAAATCATTTTTCTCAACAATATCGCCGCCGTTCTGGCCTCAATAGATAACGCTCTGGGCTCTGGATGCGCGGGGATAGGTCTTGATCATACGAGGCCCTGCCGATACCACAATTGATAAAAGGCTCAAGATGGTCAACAGAGATAAAGTTTGCATTTGGTAAAGGAAAACTGAACTTGGACAGGGAAAAGCTGAATATTCAGCCTTGAAAGCTCATTTTATTTTTGTATGGAATGAAGAATGGCCCGAAAAAACGATGTGGAAGTTGGTATTTATGGTGGAAGCAAAGAGAAGGGGACAATAAATGAGTGCAGTCTTCCTTACAGAGAACTGGGAGCCCCAATATTACACACAATACCGGCAAAGCTTCAAGAATACACTACGTCCATACCAGGATCGCAATTTCTAAATTTGATAGTCTCGAGTTATCATTATTAATTTTCAAGCAGATCCCGTTGCTTCTCTCCCTCTTGAGTTCTGGAAGACCCATCAAAGTCGGTTTCCTGCAATCGCTGCGCTTGCGCGGGATGATCTTTCAATACCTGCAACTGGCGCTGGTGTTGAGCGACTATTTACTACCGCTCGGGATATTTGCCACTATCACAGAGGGAGATTAAGCTTGTCTACTATCCAAAAGCTAATGATGTATCTCTGCGCTCCAAGGTTTGATATAGAAGATGAGCAGAGGCAGTTCTTGCAATCGACCTTCTCTAGGGATAAAATTCAAGCTGCAGCGGAGGATCAATAAGATAGCCCAGATCAACTTGACGTCGACCCGATTAGTGATAATTAAGAAGGGGCTGTTGATGATACAGGGAACGAAGCAGAAAGGGAAGTTGAAGGTGGACATGAGGGTAACGACCAACCTCTTCCTCTACCAGAGGAAGCAAACGCTCAGATACGCGCATCAGTGTGATCAAGGAAGCGGCAAAGGAGAGATGATGATCAGTATTCGTACTATTAGTTAGATTTTTCTATGCTCATAATTGATTCACTTTTTGCAGGGTTTTACTCTTCTTTTTGGTACCTACTTTTCTACCGAAAAGGATCATTACTATCTTCTCAGCGGAAAAGTCTCATTTAATCTACTCTGATGTAAATCAAATACTCAAATTTCCAGCTAAGGAGTGCACAAATTATACAATCACGATTGGAGCTCATGGGGACCCCATCTTGGCTCTTGGGCCGAGTGGGCTCTGCCGCAGCCTACCCCCGCACCCCTTGGGTGTAGGGTTCCTGAAGTATAGTATTCTTTACCGTGGACTATCTCTAGTATAGTTAGAATCTATCTCTTTTAATATCTATCCTTTTTTTCTTCTATCTTATCTCTCTAGTGTTATGGTTTCTAAATAAATACTAGTCTATTTTAGATTATATCTCTAGGAGATTGCAGAAACGTACTTTTTGTCATAGAGATACTTAGCAAACAATATTGATAAATTTTACCACGAATCTCATTCACTCATGACAACCTCAGCTTGCGTAATACTCTCGTTGGAGAGGATCATCGTCTATCCGGTTTTCTCGACTGGGAATAAGCCGGATGGTTATCTGAGTATTGGGAATATTCCCCTGCGATGAAGTTTGGACCGACAATTTGGTGTTCCCAAGTGGTTTCTTCGATGGGTGGGAGTGAGTACGCTTACTGTGCAGCAGGATCAGCTTGTAACAGAAGAGGGCTAGGACACGCTCAGCTTGCCCAATCAGATAAAAGAAGCAACCCAAACATCCATAGCCTTAACTCCTTTCCGACCCCCCTGTATACCCTCTAAGCTCGCCTCACACGCATCCCGTAACGCAAGAACCACCGCCTGTTCCCTCTCATCACTTACTTGCTCCTCTACTTCGCGTTTAAAAGAGGAAGAAAGACAAGCAGAGACTTCCCATTGTCCGTCCAACAACCCATCCCCACCCGGCACGCGGGTCTCAATCTCCAGCTGCCACCCAGCAGCCAGGGCCAGCTCGGTAAGCCGATTTGGCCCCAGCACCGTGCGGACGTTCGAGTCGCTGTTGGGTTTACGGCACTCCAGCGCTGCCTGGGTGAGCGCAGCTAATACGTGAGGCTGGGCAGAGGGGTGCGTTGCTACTAACGACCACTCAGCAAGGAGGAGACGCTTGCTGTGCTGCTTGAGGGTACGGAAGGTGGAAAGGATGAGGCCAGGGGAGGCGAAGTACCATAGGCAGTGGGCAAGCACTGTTGCGTCGAAGGCCTTACTCTCGCTGGAAGAGGGGGAGGGGAGGGAGGAGAGGTAGTCCAGTGGGGGTTGTTGGACCCAAGTAATCCGGCTACCCAGCGGGCCTTGCAAGATGTGAGTCTGTGCTTGGCCGAGAGTATACGGGGCACCTGTAGGAGCTATGAGTCGGCTGCTTTCCGCTCGCACCAAAGAAAAGCACAAGGACTCACCATAATCCAATTCCGCTGGATCGACTGCCACCACACTCCCCTGCTCGCCTACAGCAGAGGCAAGAACTGTCGTGCAGTCCCCTTGCCCGCATCCTAGTTCTAGCACCTTGGAGTCAGCGGGAATGTTCCAGTGCTGCAGGAGCACCAGGCGGTGAACAGTTTGGGATTGCTGGATGCTGAAGTGGGTGGGGTCGTGTAGGGAGACACGAGCGATAGCGGCGGCGTCAAGTTGAGTGGACATGCTGTGCTCGATTGGTGTTGTGCTAGGCACAAGACGGTAGGCGATTGAACTTGGAACTATAGCTTTGATTGTAACTGCTACAGAGTTCAGACTTGGAGGGTCGCCTGAGAGTGAAAGGACTTGGAAACAGATGAGAAAAGAGGGGGAGGAAGGCTATATAGGGTGATCGGAGGTCAGTAGGGTGCGTAATCTCAGATTTTGGGTTAGGGTTTCTATATAGGACAAATACGCATTTAGTGCCTCAGGCACCAGTGCGGCATTGCGCAGTCACCCCACCTTTTAGATTGACCCTGAGGTGGGGGCATACAGGGGCATACAGCGGAACATGGCCCAAGATAAGCGGAACATGACCCTGAGGCCGGCCCCCTGAATTACGCCAGTTATTATAGAATTCTTAGTCAGACATATCCTTATCTAGCAGATTGGCCCTGCCCACCAGTGTTCAACATCTAGGTCCAATTTTATGTGCGGGTGAACTCTCAGCGCGGTAGGCGGTCGGGTTAGCTGTGTGTTTACTGGGGCTACAGGTAGAGACGGGACTCATTCTACGTGAATCATGACGCTAATTGAAAGGAAAATAGCTATCCTGCTTTCGCTCACTCCCCCCTTTTCACCAACTCAAACCCAAACCTCGGCACTATATCAATCTGCATAAAGCTCACATGACACGCCACGCGCTGGCACCTCATCTCCACCACTAGACTCTCCGCCCCGCTGGGACAGGCGAACTCCACTGTGGTGCTGTTCGGCTTGGCTGTGAGGTCTAGCACACCGAGCAGCTCTCCGCGCACGGGAAGATTCGCATACGATAAGATGTCATAGTCGATCTCGTCCATACTGGAAGAGATGGTGGCCGAGGTGGCCGAGGGTGCGATCAGCTGCCAGACTTCAATTTCCGTTATATCCCCCTTGGTTGTGAGGTCCTTGACACGCGCAGAGAACTCGGGAGGCGGCTGCCAGGAGAGTGCACAGGCGTTGATGCCGGTGGAGGGGATGGGGAAGCGCATAATTGTCGAGTCCTTCTCTAGTATCAGTAGCTGCACACAGAGCGGTAGAAAATACGGACCTCGACAGTAACATAGACCTGCACCCCCTGACCCCACACGGCATTCTTCAATTTTCGGCTCGCCCGTACTATTCTATCCGGCCAAGCGTGGTGATAGACCCGAGAAGGGGGCATGAATTGCGCTACCCGGTCCAATCCCAGCCTGGCGTCGCCATAGGGGAGGGCCTCGAGTTCAGAGTCAGAAAAAGGGTAGGCTTGGTACTTGGATAGTGTAGCAGGAAAGAGAGCGATGTTCACAGCCGATAGCAGCGCTACGGCGAAGGAGAAGTAGATGATGAGCTTGGGAAGCTGGGAGGGCTTTGATGGCTCGAGGGCAGGGAGGTTATCCGAGGCTTCCAGCAAGGGGGCAGATTGATTGTCCTCGGAGGAGGAGCGCTTCTCAAGAGTTGCGCTGGAGCCCTCGCCATCGACGTATAGCGGAAGGGGCGCATACTGGGAAGAGCTGGACTTTGCTTTGGAGGGAGACATGGCGAGGGGAGTTTCAAAGAGTAAATCAGAGCAAGCAAGGAGAGAGAGAGAAAGCGCGCCGTGGGTAAGAGCAAGTAACGTAAAAGCAGGTAACCGCTCAGAAAGTGGGACTGCCAGAAAAAGGGACTGCAGGAGGCCTAGTACAATACGCCTTGCCCCTCACCGCGCAAGCCAGTGATAATATAGTAGGGTTACCGTGCATCAGGAGCTAAAACAGGTCGCATAAGCGTGCATCCATCGCGACCAAAGCCATATCTAACCGTCCACATCATGGTCTACCGATCTGACGCCACCAACTCGGCCCCCAAGCCATTTTGGGGGTGTGAACCGCGAACGGCTGCTTCTGGCAGGTAAGTGGTATGAGGAGTAAGAAAGTTAGACCATCCCTAAGCGTAGAAGTCTTCATCTTGCCCTCCGCACTCTGCACCGTGCTGCACTACTTGACCTCTCTTAACCATGCCCTCCCCTCTCTTTGCCGCAATCACCTTCCTGCTTGCCCTCAGCACGAGCATCAACCCCACATCCGCTGCGCACGCCGGCTTCCACGTCCAGTTCCCATGGATGACCCGCGGTCCAAACCCTGGGACCCGGCCGGAGATAGATCATTACCACCCTTTCTGCAGTATGTTCCTCTCTATCTCAGGTCTAGCAGCAACGTAGGCTGATACAGAGAAGGGGAGATAATACATAACCCCCAACGATACTCCCGCCGTTCCCGCACCTTCCTCTCCTTCTCCGGTCATCCTGGGGACCTTGTGACGGCCCTCTATACACGACAGAGAGTGCCAAGGAAGAGAGATGACTTTCCCTACATCATCCTGCAGGATGTACCCATCCAGCCTTCGGGGCAGCTGTGTGTGAATGTCACGATCCCATTTCAGACCATTGTCGACGAGATGGGAGTCATGTACTTCGAGGCGAGGGATCCGAAGACGGGTAATGTTGAATACCATGTAAGTTGCTCCAGCTTGCAAATAAAAGAGCTGATGCTGATGCAGAGATAGTGCTCCGATGTCAAGATGGCGGCCATGGAGGCCTTTCCGGAGGAGCATCCCGCTATGTGTGCGGCTAACAACGAGACGCTGATCCCGATGCCAGATGAGTACCTGTAGATGAAGGCTGGAGAGCTGTCATGTCCTGCAAGTATCATATGTGGTTCGCTTCTAAACGTGCAACTTTGTGCTCCTCTCTCACCTTAAAGTACAATGGCTCAATGTAACGGTACTCTATTAGCTTGTAATGAAGCAGAAATTCAGCTTGCTAGCTCCTCTATTCATTTCTATAAAATCCAGAGTAATCGCCCTAGCACTACTGCTATCTATAGCGTATCTGAATGAACGATCCGCCGCCAACGCAATTATTAGCCCAACTTGAGAAGGCTAACGAGGAAGCATCAAAGCGCAAACTGCGTGACAAAAAGTAAATTACTCGTGAAGAGCGTCAAGGAAGAGAGCAATCGGGTCTTAGTCGCCAGGCTCTAACGCGTCATACAAGGTGTAGAGGATCTGGTTATAATACACAGACGTATAGAAAGAAATAATCGAAATAATGCTTGATATACTCTGCTTATGTATATGTATACTGCTATGTAACGAAAGTGGTGAGAAGAATACTGTCAAAGAGTATTCAAAGTTGGTGGGCTGTGCCGCTCGCCTGTAGAACATGTTATAGACACTTGCAATGCTTCTTCCATGCGAGACATTGGTAATCCGCAGCAGAGCAGTGTCTAGACATGTAAGATCTCATCTTCACTCGCACCCTAGGTTTACCGCTTCTCAAGGGCGACCTCGTCTGCGTCGACCCCGTAGGTGTGTCGCTTCTCAAGAGCGACCTCGTCTGCGTCCACGCCATAGGTGTGTCGCTTCTCAAGAGCGACCTCGTCGGCGTCCACCCCGTAGGTGTGTCGCTTCTCAAGGGCGACCTCGTCTGCGTCCACGCCATAGGTGTGTCGCTTCTCAAGAGCGACCTCGTCGGCGTCCACCCCGTAGGTGTGTCGCTTCTCAAGAGCGGCCTCGTCGGCGTCCACCCCGTAGGTGTGTCGCTTCTCAAGAGCGGCCTCGTCGGCGTCCACCCCGTAGGTGTGTCGCTTCTCAAGAGTGACCTCGTCTGCGTCCACCCCGTAGGTGTGTCGCTTCTCAAGAGCGGCCTCGTCGGCGTCCACCCCGTAGGTGTGTCGCTTCTCAAGAGTGACCTCGTCTGCGTCCACCCCGTAGGTGTGTCGCTTCTCAAGAGCGGCCTCGTCGGCGTCCACCCCGTAGGTGTGTCGCTTCTCAAGAGTGACCTCGTCTGCGTCCACCCCGTAGGTGTGTCGCTTCTCAAGAGCGGCCTCGTCGGCGTCCACCCCGTAGGTGTGTCGCTTCTCGACCGTGTAAGAGCGATCGACACGGGCGATTGACTCGGCGCGGCGAGCCAGACCAGCGTTGGGAACCGCTGCGGACTGGACAGAGAGGATGTTCAGGCCGAGGCTGGCGAGGCTGAGCAAGGGGATGGTGGAACGCATTGTTGAAGTTTGGCGGTGAGTGAATGCTTTCGTTGCGTGAGGCGAAGAGTATATCGTTGATGAGATATTGTTAGTGCTCGTCATGCCATTAAGAATTTATGCGTTTCGCGATCTGAAGGAGAACTAGTGTGCTTACTTCCCGACTCACATCCTTGACTCCTCTGGTCGACCATCACTACTCAAGAAGAGGAGTAACGCATGCTTTGGTTGTAATGCATATGCTGTCATCCGCTAGACAATTAGTAGATAGTGTTGAGACAATGTCAGCTTTACCTCGATTCTTACCTGTTACCACCTTCCTATTTGGTCCTAACTGTAAGGGGGGCACGATAATCCATCACGCAAACCTCCTCGGACTTCATTGACTAGCCAGCTGGTGAGCAAAAAGCTTAAAGTAGGGCGTAGTCATTAATCTATCTAGGTACTTTTGTTTCGAGTAGGGTAGTATCATTTATGGAGACACCAACTGCCCTGCGTGTGCTTCTCTGCTTATTGGCGCTCTTCACGTTATCGACGAAATCCTTCACACGAGGACTCTGGTGAACAGAGCATCTCGACTATTGCCCTCTCCTCCTTCCCCGCTCTTCAGGACCATGGTGACTTGCCCCACCCCCCAACCGAGATCAGATACGGCTATAGATGTGTTAAACAATGTTAGTCCGCTCCTGATGCCGAACAAAATCACCGTCTCCCTCTGCTACCCTCAACGCGCCACCCTGCCAGCACACGAAGATGTTCCCTAAGTCCTTAGCACCCCAATTCCACGGTCCCTCCCTCGGCCTGCTCGCAGCGCTGAGCGTATGTCTTGTTCTGAATTTGACCGCCCTCCTCTTCTCCCTTCCCATTTTCACGCGCGGAACGCGGGAATACAGTGCGCCATGCCCCAGATTCTCCTTCTCGCACTTGTGACTAACGCACAGTAGCCTACCTCGCCGGCAACCGACCTCGCGAGCTCCCTTTAAAGGTCCGCACCATCCAAGCCGCCTTCCATGACGACCCCTCCCACTACGGGATGGAAGGCACCACGGCCACAGCTGAATGGAACGCAATCCGCCCTGCCGGCAAGGGGTTCGTGTTTTTAGGGGAGGAGCACTTCGCATTTGGGGTGTCGATGTGGCACCAGATGCATTGCCTTAACCACATACGCGCGGTGCTGGTCAACGGGGATGACGGGTCGGATCATACGGAGCACTGCTTCCATTACCTCCGGCAGGGCATTCTCTGCGCCGCCGATACAACCCTAGAGGCGGGCGGCACGAGCATGAAGTTGGCCAACGGGGATAAAGTCGCTGCGGGCGGAGGAACTGTGCATACCTGCCGGGACTGGAGACAGGTGTATGATTGGATGGAAAGCCAGCATGCGGAGTGGACACAGGACGCATATGAGAGGTTTCAGGAGGCTAGTCAATGAGATAGTGGGTATAGGATAGCTCAGTGAGAACAGTACACGATAGCATGTTGGGATCTGCGATTACGAGAGAAGAATTGAAACGAATTAGCGCTGAAATGGAGGTAAGCTTACGTAAAGATGAATGATGATAACTAACTGAATGAAAAGAAAACATACAGGGGGTTCACCTACGGACATGTGACAATGCACCCCGCTCGATCACACAAGATGATCTCGGAACGGCCCGTCGGAACCCGACGGAACTCCGATCATTCCTTGGCGCATGAGTGATCACATCATGCAAGATGCAGAGATCGCGTGCATATGAACCAATGAACAAAATCAAGCATTCTTGGCAGTAAAAAACGCCGCATGACAAAGTTTGAGTAGACGCTGCACGCTTATCATCGAACGCCTCACTTTTCGGGACCAGGGCTTGGCTTCCCCAAAATGGCAAATCGTCTGGAAGTTAGTCTACTAACAAGCTCTGGACCCTGCCGATAAGAAATAAGATGACATTGAAGATGACGATCACGAACAGGCGACGGAACAGACAGATACTATTTCTGGGAATATTTAGAGTAAAGATAAGCAAAGTGAGGTCGAACTCCAAGATATGGATGGTATCAGTCACGTCTAGTAATTAGTTACCCCTCACTCGTCCGTATACCGATAACACAACGGCCAACCCTCGGTATCAAACACACTCCTCGGCGTCACAGGCACACTCAGAACGTCGAAGGGTAGCTGATGATCTGCGTGAGCGTCAAGGTCGTAGCGTGGGTCGCTCATATTGTGCGGGGTGAGGGGTACGCCGGAAAAGGCGGCGAAGTTGGATTGGTGGTGGCGCTGCCACTAAACAATTCATGTCAGTAACGTTGTACTGCTGAGACATATGGAGCGGGGGCGCACTTCACTCCACAACCGGTCCAGTTGTGCATGATGCAGCCAAAAGAGCGGGTCATTAGGCGTGAAGCTGATTGCCATGCCCTGGCAATCCTCCTGCGATAGGGCCTTCGGGCAATCTCCTGCCAAGTCGCCCCCAACGAAATTGTGAACGTGATTGTGCAGTAGTGCCATTGCGTGCTGGAATTTGAAGAAGTCGCCCGTGGTTTGCTCGGTCGAGTTGCGCACGAAGTCCGGGCCGAGGGTACGATTTTGAGGCAGCTCATGGGCGAACCAGCCGGTGATAAGCGTCAGGTTTCTCCGCAGCGGGTGTGGGATTGGCCAGGCAAGCTCAAAGTTTGCAAAAGCGCCGGTGGTGACGGTACAGTCCGCCTCGGGGGAGGAATCGCAGTCCCCCGTTCCACCCAGCCCATACTCTGCGGAGTCCTCGAACACTGGCGAGCCGAATAGGTCTGCATGATCGCGTGACCAGTCCCAGTATGGGGTTGGCCCGCTATACCCGCAAGTGTGGCGGAGGGAGGTGTCGAATAGGTAGGTGAACCAGCGGTCTGCGCTCATGTAAGTATAACCCTGAAACGCAAGGAGGGAGGGAAACGCACGCCACGGCAAAAAGTAGGCATTCCTATGCGCGCTGTGCTCCACTGCTGCGTGCGAGTAAGAGAAGTCATCGTACAGGCTCCTCTTCCCCTCAAGCACCGTCTGGTCCGGCGTCAAAGATAGCCGTTCGTGTCGTATGCTTGCCAGGCACTTGACAGCTCGCACCCACTGAGCTTTCTCGCTATGCGTCAACGTTCGCCATTCTTTGCGTGTCAGTAGCTTACTGCACTTTTGTGGTGGTCCCTCCTTCAAATCATGAGCATATGAGAGGTGGGCGCTGAGGAGGTGGACAGTGAGGACGGCGAGTATACAGACGAACGAAATCGAACGGCCCATGGCTATCATTCAGCTCGGAATGGAACAGAGAGCAGGTCGCGATAGTCGTAGGATTAAATCAGAGCCTAAATAGTGAGCTCACTATGAATGATGCTTATAATTGGCCACTACCATTGATGCAGAGCAACACCCCCCGCCTTTTATGCAGATTAAATGTTGAACTGAGCAGTGCTCAAACACTCTCATCTTTAATCACACAATCAACTTATTCTATCAGACATCTTCAGTACGAGCTAGTACATCAATTGTTTTTCTTGACATTAAACCCTAAGGAGCTAGATTGCCCTAGTTCCATAGTGTCTTACCCCCCCCCCCTCGTGCTAATAACAGCAAAATGAACCCAACCCTCCTCACCCCATCTTGAAGCCACAAAAGCACAATGATGCACACCTCGATCTACCTCTCCCACTCCCTTGCTCTCCTTGTCTGCATCGTCTTTCCCCTCTACCTCGCCATCCGTGGCTCCGCCTCGTTGTCAGACATCGCACTTGTCCTTTCCTCCCTCTCAGAGCGTGCCGAAGCCCTTCACTTCAAGCTCACCCCCTCGCTTGCCGCCTCTCCAGCACCAATCTCCAAATCCCTTCCCGATGGACTGGCGCACTGCATTAACTCCTTCGAGCAGTATCCGGTTCTCGCCGAGCAAGTGCTCCAGCGGAAGCATGTGCGGTATTCCAAGCAGACGCCCGCGCAGAAGGCGATAAGCAGCCAGCTCGGCTATCCTGCACACTTCGAGAAAGCCAGGAAAGGAATTGAGGTGAACGCCCGGTTCTCGGAAAAGATTGCACAGATTGCGAGGAGGGATTACCACACCGGCCCGCGAACACCGGAGGACAAAGAAGTCGCGGATTTTGGAGTGGTGGACCTGGCATTTGCGCATCTTTCGCGAGACTGGAGCACGCAGGGCGCAAAGGAAAGACAGGCCGTGTTTCCGCCTGTTCTAAGTGGGCTTGAGCAACATTTTGGCGGGAGCGCGAGAGGGAACAAGGTGCTGGTACCCGGAAGCGGTATGGGCAGGCTGGCAAGCGATATCGCTGATCTCGGTACGTTTCATCATACTTCCTTATCATTATTGAGTTGAAGGCACGGCCTCACAATCGGTGCAGGGTACGAGGTCACAGCCAACGAGCTGGACTACGGCTCCATCCTGGCCTACCACCTGCTAACGAACCATACGAGCTCGCTGCACCAGCACACCCTGCAGCCCTTCGTGACTAAATGGACGCATCAGGCCAACCCCTCCTCGCGCTACTCCGCCTTAACGGTGCCGGACCACTGGCCAAACAAGGCCGTCAAGCTCGTCGAGGGCGACTTCTTGGAGATGTTCTCCCGGGACGGTGAGTTCGACGCCGTCGTCACGCTGTTCTTCATCGACATGTCTACAAACGTGATTGATTTCCTGAGCAACATACATCGGCTGCTGAAGCCTGGGGGGTGTGGATCAACCTTGGGCGTACGTTACTGTCCTCCCTTCCTTGAACACTGACATTCACCGCCGACCTTGGGCTGACGTCTATGCAGCGCTGAAATGGAGCACCAACAGCGCTCTCCAGCTCTCCGCGGAGGAAGTACTCCAGCTGGCAGATCTGCTCGGGTTCGATGTGGACCATACGTCCAGGAAGAACATTGACAGCTTGTATGCCGAGCAGCCGGAGACTTTGCTGAAGTTCACTTATGGTGAGTCCCTGCCGTTTTCTTGTGATGAATTGGGATGGTTGCTGATGGAACGGGTAGTTACGCAGTTCTGGTCCGCAACGAAGAGGTGATGAAACGGAGGATGTATAGTCTTTGTTTGTGCTCCGCAGAGTATTCATTGATATAGTACTAGCACTGGACTGATTACTAGTTCGGAAAAGTAAACAGATGTTTTTGTTTTGATCATTGCTGTATGAGCCATCAACTATGCTCAAATAACAATTTTCAAATCATCTCTTGTTAAGTAATGAATATGAAAAACTTCGCGGTTATTCGATTCTGGTCATATGCCTTGCGGCCAGCGCTTATGCTGCAGCAGGTGGTTAAGTACACCTCACCGGGCTTGAGATCTTGTGCAAGTACAGAAACCATCTCATGTCAATTTCCGAAGCGCGGGACCAATTTCTAGAATGGAACAGATCGAGTTTAACTCTTAGGCACCATGTCAACCAGAAGGGAGATACCTATATCCGGGTGAACCCCTCTCATAGCCCTAGCAAAGCGGTACCAAGCTAACAGATCTCAAGGAACTTGTCTGCTATGGTCCCTGGGTGGCTCAGGATGACCAATTTGCTCTGCTTATGCTGTTTGTAGGCGAGCTTGGTATGACTCTTGGAAACGAAGACCAGAGGTATTCATGCATATACAGAATCTAATTTTCATTTGCGTTATTAATATTATTATCAAAGCTTTCTCGTCAAATGCTCAAGTTGGATTGGAGAGGGTCGCCATCTTGATTTACTTGATGCCATTCCCAAATCCGAGTTTGAACCTAGCGGAACAGATTCCCCGCTGGTTCAGAAATGGCCTGCGCCATGTCCACCGAATTGGATCCCTGAAGAACTAACCCCCGATCTATCATTTCTTGAAGATCTGGCAGCTTTACTCAAAGCTTCTCCTGGTGAGTGTACGAAAGAAAAACCCGGTACAGTTCATCTAATAATAATCAATCAGGTTTCGGGGGATCGACACCTCTTCAAGACGCTATTTTAAGCAAAATAGTCGAAAGTGTTATTCAGCTGCTACAAAATATGCATGAGTTACAAGAGAATCGCAATTTTCTTGGATAGACACCATTGCATCTTGCTGTCGTTGACCGGGAGGTATTCGCTCTCATTTTGGATACCGACCATGGGTTAGATATGAGGGTATGACTGATAACTGGAGCATCACCCATCTCATGTATGCAGCTGTAATAGGAGCCACGCATGCGGTCGAATTGCTCTTCATCAAAGGCGCAAACTTAATGGCTCATGATGAGCGCTGATATCGGGACTTTTCGAGATATTCCTTTGATCTTGGCCACTGGAATCTCATTCGCGTAGCTCTGGACAAAATCCGCATACGCTATGGTCCAAATGCTTTCCAATACTATGTCCGTTGGGCGCTTCTCTACCTCTTATACAACAATACCGCATTGATGGTGTCAAGAGATTCATACTTTGAAGTTCTTGTTAAACTATGGTGATGTGAATTTCGAGTATCGGGACTGTTACGAAGCAGCAGATCGCAACAACCTACTGCACTATGTAAGAAGCCAGAAGGAATTTGATGCGCTCACTCGTCGCGGCTTTCACTGTTTTAACGAGCCCAACAGCAGGCAAACTATAATATTTTCCATCATGAGTTGTGTCCCAAATGCGGATCTCACTCTTGTGTCTCGAGAATGGAATACATGTCAATCATATTGAACATCATGGACGCAGTATTCTGTTCCAGATTTTGCCGAAATTGAGAGATTTAAACTATACGACTTGGGATACTGATGACTCCATCAAGCTCTGTTTGGCTTGGGGCCTTGATATATTTCCATCTCGGACTGTTGCAAATGTGCCTGTAGCACTGATGGTTGTCATAGTAATGCGGCATTTGATATCAGTCTCACGTCAACTATCTTCAGCGGCCTGCCAAATCTTGTTTGGGCTTTTGAATGGCTCTCGCTTGTAGAAGAATACCGTGGCTATGATGCTGCAAAATCGGTGCTTCTGTCATTCCTTCGCAGGAAACTCTCATGCATGCTTGAGATAACACACATTTGCTGTCACAGAGGGGGAGATATAAGATCATGGATTCGTAGCATTTTTCAGTCAGAGTCTATTCCAGAAGACGCCGAGGAGATATTAGACGAGGAAGAGGAATTGATCGACACACTGGAAAGGGAGATGCAAGGGTATAACTCAGAAATTTGGGTGTACTCGAATTTCAGTGGATGATCCTACTGAAACAGACATATGACGAGAGATTGGAGGAAGTTGATAACAAGAGAAAAACATACGTGAATCAAGTAAGTGGTGAACCTAGAACTTTTGACTTATCAAGTACTTCGTCTAAGAAAGGAAACAGACCAAGGTCGAGGTGAATCATAGGAACGATAGATATCATCACGTCATCGACAGCTATTGTGATATTTCATTTCAGCTAGCCTGGTCGATGGCGGATTACGCTTTGTGGCTTCAGTAAAAGATGGCTGGTACAAAAGCGAATGTCTTGGTTTACCGAACTCATTGACACAATGAAAGTGCCTGCCCAAAGCATTGAGATTGAAATGAAGAAAATCAAGATTGCAGAGACCCGTTTAGAGATAATTGACCAAGAGGGGATCATTAACAGTCTTTCGGCATTCGTTGATTTTGATTCTATCGGTATACATTCCTAGGATACCAATCGCTACCTCGTTAAATGCATTGATTGTCATGTTCCAGACCAATATTCAATTCCATACACACCCCCACCGACGTCCCGTATTTGCCACGTCCATCGATTTTTGAGGTGTTAGAATGACGCGTAGAGAGTATCATTGCCTCGCACATGCGGCTATCAAAAAGTACAGACCTTGAAATTCAAAAGTAGAACTTATGAGGACCAGTGCCTTGAGAATTTGGAGGCCTAATGAGCTAGGCTGGTCCCTATAGCCAGAAATGGAATAGCGAGATTTATGAACGAACGTTACGCTAGCATAGGATTTGATGACTTCCGTGCCGAGGTGGCACCGCTGGATGATGCAGGATGCGCATAAGGGTCCCCTCGCTCTCCTATTCTCTTTGAGTTCTCTAACACTGAGTTAGTGGACCAATTCGCCATACATTATGGTGGCGCGGCGGCATTTATCGATGACTAATCTCGCTGGCGAGCAGGGCGCTCGGTGGAGAAGAACTTGGCCAAGATACAGTCCCAGGATATCCCCTGCAGCGAGGCATGGGCGCAGCGAATAGGATCCTGCTTCGCACTGGAGAAGACCAAGCTCAATCACCTCACTAAGAAGCAAGGCGAGCACCTGCACGGCCAAATATCTGTTAAAGGAATAGCCATCCCGCCCTCTTCCACAGCCAAGTTACTGGGTGTGAGGTTTGGATGCATGTGGTCATTTGCTGACGCCACGGTGTGAAACTCTAGGCACACGATTCGCGAGGGCGGTTATGCAATGCGAACGATGTTGACGGGGAGATAGGTCGAAGGCAGATCATGCTAGACAAAGAAAGCACACCCGGCATAATAAGCCTTCATGCATCTTCAGACCTCCAATCATGCCTCGGCATGGCTCTAATGGATGACATGGTAAGTTAGGCGTCAAGTGATCTGGATGCTGGAACATGAAAATAGGGGTTATTCGTAGAAATGTGAAAGACTCTACATGACAGGCCTTCAGGAGTTATCTAACTATAATGAGTCTAATAGTAACTTGAAGTTCTGGACTCGAAAGTGATGAGGACTCGAAGAATCACTCGACTCTTATCATTGCCCGGTCAGTGGTACACCACCAGCCCCAAGCTTAGTGTGACATCGTGATGTAAATATTCCAACGTGAGAATGCGCAGAGCTGATCGAGCGCATGCACGCCTCCAACAATAATTGGCAGTCCAAATTGAAATAATCATGTTTGATATGTATATCATCAAAATAAGTGAAATTTAATGGAATAGGTTTTACTATTCCTCAGGTTTTCAGATCCAAGCGCGAGGATCCAACCGCAGGAAAAAAATCAGTTTAAATTCTGCACAAATTGCAGGAAGACTAATTATATTGTCAACGATTGCTGGTGTTGTATGGAATTCACGACCATGAAAAAGATGTCATAACTTAAACCAGTGATATAGCCAACTATTAAATCCTTCAGGCGGATGATACAGACGAATAGAAATATACCGAATACATAATGCTGCATGTGCAATGAAGGAGCCTGCTATCTTGATCAGTCCTCCCCACCCTGCCATATCATTCTGTTTGAAGCCCGTGCACGGCAGAGGCAGAGGTAGGGTATTTATGTAGCTCAGAGCCTATAGATCTGCCTTAATAGAAATCCTTATTTATTTATGGGCATGTCTGCTCAGGATTATCCTAAAATACTACCTACGCCTCTGTCAGCAGAGACGATAAAAGTTCTCATTTGCATTTGATCACATTATCTTTACACACTTTGAATTGAGATCCATGGCTCACTTCAGAATGCCACTTGACCAGCTGTTGTTGTTACTGCTGCTTCAAGTTGTTCTTATAGATGCAGTGCATCTCTGTCCTCTTCTTGGACCTAGCTGGCCTGCCCCCACAGGTCTCTCTAGCGACGCCGCCTTCCAGACAGCGCTGAAAAACATCACTCAAACCATCCAGAATGCTAGCGATGCGGGAGACTTCTCTGGAGCCTCCTTGTCATTGGAAATCTTCGACACCAGTGGTTCCGATGGATTGCTTACTTACGCTTATACAGCCAAGGAAATCAATACAACTCTCGGCGTGAGCAAGGTCGACGAAAACACTATTTTCCGCATTGGTAGCACTTCTAAATTGCTTACAATGTTGCTGCTTCTGATCCAGGGCGGTTTCAATCGCCTGGGGGACCCAATCTCAAGGTATATTCCAGAGATTAAGGCGGCTGCTGATGACGTTCTGCGGAATTCCACGAAAAGAAACAATGGAATTGACTATACCAACTGGAATGATATCACAGTTGGAGAGCTTGCGAGTCATTTGGCGGGTATCGCTAGAGACTGTGAGTGTTTCCATCAATTTTCAACCCAAATTTGATCTCATATCTCCAAGATGGTTTTTTCGATCTCACCGAGCAGGCCCCGTTCCTTCAGTCATTGGGATTTCCCACGCTGCCTTCCAATCAGATTCCACCCTGTGGCGTTCCAAATCCTTGCAGCAGAAAGCGTTAGTTAACCACACTTCCTCGAATACTTTCGCCCCTTCTGATCCAGATATCGCTAGAGTTTTTTGATGGGCTGCTCCAATCTCATCCTGTTGTTTCTCCATCATCTACCCCAATCTACTCCAATGCAGCTTTCCAGATCCTTGGATACGTTGTTGAGGCCCTTGCGGGCGGCCAAGACTTTGAAAAGGTTCTCGAAGACAATATTATCAAACCGCTGAATATGGCGCACACCTTCTATACTACGCCCAATTCATCTCTTGGTGTGATTCCTAGCTACCAGGGCGAATACTGGTGGAATTTCGATATTGGCGAAGAGGCACCGTCAGTAGCTCTCATATCTCATCATTTTCAGGAAGCTCACATTTTCATAGTGCTGGTGGTATTTTTTCATCCGCAAAGGACATGTCTACTTTTGGTCGCACAATTCTCAACAGCACGCTTCTTCCTCAATCAACCACAAGGCGGTGGTTGAAACCACTCACTCATACATCATCTCTTGACTATGCCGTTGGCGCACCTTGGGAAATTCTATCATTTGGTAATGAACGTCCCATTGATCTCTATACCAAGTCAGGGGACATTGGCACATACTCCTGTGTGCTTTCATTAGATCCCGACCATAACGTGGGCTTTGTTCTTCTAGGCGCCGGAAACAACACCCACGTCTCTCTAGCTCTCGCTTCTGATCTCGTCTCCGAGAATCTGCTATCTGCACTTGAAAAGGCCGCAAAGAACCAGGCACACGCCCGTTTTGCAGGGACATATGCCTTGAGTAAAGGGAATTCCTCTATAACCATCACCACAGACAACGGACCCGCTCTGGTCGTCACGAGATGGGTTAACAATGGAATAAACATGTTCCCCAGCTATATGGCCTTAACTGGAATTACTGATCCCTCCATGCTTAGTATTCGTCTGTATCCTACTGGTCTTGAAAGTCCTGGACAGCTTTCTTTCCGGGCTGTGATACCGCCTCCATTTCCGTCTGGTATTGGGCCATTTAGCTCATCCTGTATCACCTGGGTTACCGTGGACTCACAGGTTTACGGCAATGTGGGGATTGACGAGTTCGTGTTCAAATTAGATAAAAAACGCAACGCAGTCAGTATATCTCCAAGGGTGCTGCGTACTGTTCTATCGAAGATCCATTAGTTCATTTCTTTAATTTGCTGGATGATTTGAGTTTGGGATACGCTTTTATGTACACTCTGTTGACCGCGGTTGATGCAGGGTTTTATTTCCCAAGGAAACCTCTATTTGATGTTTATATGCTTGTGAGAAACAGATTAGGGGCCATTTATGTTTAATCTACATGAGCATTTCTATTCTATGTACAAGCAATAGCTGCATATTCCTAATTCTGGTTCATGATCATGTGCTTCATTCTTTTCTCCGTGTTGTCCACACTGCCACTTTCCCTCTTATTATTTCCGAGGGGTGTTTGAGGGCTTCTGCCCTATAAAGAGATAGAAGTATGAATAGAGCCGCAGATCATCTTGGTTTAGTTTCTCCTGCACCCGACTAATTAGAGCATCGGTATCTTCTTTTGACCAGCCCAATTTCTTAGTCAATAGACGTAGGGTGTATCCCTCCAGCGCGTGCTGCATTAGAAACACATAGGATCGCCCGATGCGTTTCAATTTTGGGTCATCACTCCAGTCATAAAGGGGACCTAGTCGCAGGTGCTCGAAAATTAGCTTCTCAGGCTATGCACATAGATTATCTTCAAATATGCTTGCTCGCCTTGAATATTTCTTCCTCGACGTGTGTGATCTTTGATGGATTTGTTGGATTTTTAGGTCTATGCATCGATATGTTTGTTCCACGATCTCTCGATGGCCTTTCTATGGATATGCAATTCAAAGGGGGAGCCAGTATCATTTCGTTAACGATCTGTAGAAAAAACTACATAAGCAAATCGCATAAAGTAAAAGCAAAGAAAGGGTATGAACTATGAATATTCCAGCAATTAGCAACCACCGCCACCGCCACCGCAACCTCCACCACCACCACCTCCTCCTCCGCAACCTCCACCACCACCTCCTCCTCCGCAGTTTCCTCCACCGCCACCTCCTCCACAGCCAGCCGAGGAACCTGTCCCAACACATCAGCACACATCACTCAGGATCGAAGTAACCCAAGAATATAATGACTTACCACATGCTGCTCCGCCACCTCCTCCGCAGCTACCAGCGGCCGCACCACTACCTGCAAAAGTTGGTTAAACCCAATAGTTCTAGAAGAGCGGAAGAAGAGCTTACCACATGTACCTGCACAGCAGTTTCCGGCAGCGCCCGCTGTAACATTCATGCAACCAGGGTTACAAGCGTACACATCGGAGTTAATGCAAGGGTCCGCCATATAAGGAGCATAATAAGGGACCATAATCGGGTACCCATAAGCATACGGCATGTAGTAAGGGTCGACAAGAGTACGATCACTAGATTTCGAGCCCGAGCGACCACGACCACGCTTCTCGGCTCGTCGCGCGGCTTTCTGGTAATTACTTTTTAGGCGCAGATACTGGAGAGTGTTTGAGCGCTCTGTCGGAGCGTGCAGATTTGTAGGGCGGACGGCATTGTGTGCAGAGATGTGTGGATTTTTGTTTGGGTCGGAGGAGATATCTGGACGGTCGTGTAACAGGTCTGCAGCTTCGCGGGCGCGAGATGCTGAACCGATGGTGATCAAACGGTCGTAGAGGTCTGGTGTTCGTGTTGCCTCGCAGTACCAGCATGTACATTCGCTGTAGACGCCGCCGTTGGTGGCTCGGCGGTACATTTTGCTTGTCCATGCGAAGCCATCGGAGAGTTTGCCTTCGTCGACTTTGTCGTCGTGGTCGATGAAAATCCGAACACCATTGCTTGCTGCTTTCCCCGTGCTGTACTCGTAGTACCGGGATGGTGCGAGTTGGTGGGTGTGCCAAGCTAAGTCGACGTCTAAAGTGGGCACAGCCATGTCCTTTGGGTTGTCCATCATGATTTGGAAGAAGACTTCGTACTTTTTGATGAGCCGGTCCATAGTGTCAAACACTGTCGGAGAATGCAGCCAGTCGATTTGGTCCATTTTCTCCACGAAGGTTCCTTGTCGGATCACTGCACCTACAAGGTCTAATGCGAATGGACCCAGGTTGTCCCAGTACCGTGACATCATTCGCCGGAACTGAATTCTCTCCTTTGGTAGCAAAATCTTGGTGTACAAACCTCCCTGGGCATCTATCAAGACTTTTCGGTCGCGGAGCTTAAGTTCGAGCTTTTCTCGGAGCTGGGTGATGTCTTGACACCAGTCCACCCGGCCATCCGTGAATTGCATTAAATCATCCCCAATAGCCTGAATTAATCGTGTGGGGAACAGCATGTACCGCAAGCTTGGGTGACTGCCCTTGACAATCGAACCTTCCGGGATTCCATAGAGATTGGTAAATGAACCAGGCATGGGTAGATCCGAGTACAAAGTTGCTTGGAGGTCTTTTCGGAACTTTGCCACCTTGAGCCGGCCATGGTCGATTATGTGACTACAGCCGACGCATTTCACCTCAAATGTGTTATCAGCGTAGCCGTTGCCAAATCTGAAAGCACAATCGACGGTCGCCCCGAAGTGAGCTTCTGTCCACGGGACAGCGTTCACCTTTTTGCAGTAAGGGCAGTCCACTTCCTTCGTGGGCTGATCAAGTAGATTGTTCCATTTGAGTTTGAGTTTCTGCTCGAATAGCTGCTGGGCTTGATCAGAGACTTTATATTCCATCGTCTGATTGTTTATACAGTGGTCAATGACTTCCCATGGGAAGCCCGTTTTCCAGGTGCTCATCTTGCCGTACCGAATAGAATCTTCAAGGAAGCTGCGGGGGTTCAAAGAATGAGCATGCCAGACCATCAAAATATCTAGACAGCGACTTAGCCTTCATGATTAATTTTGGTATATAATGCACTTACCTAGAGGTGGTAGATTATCTGGACTCCATGCGACTAGAGTATCGCAGTTGACGATGCTTTCATAGCTGGCGTTCTCCAGTTCACTGATTGTTGCCATGGGTCTTGATCGCGGGAGACCGATCGACCACCAAGTAGTATATCGGTCGACGGCGCGGGCCGTATACACAGCCCAGCGCTTCTCACGAATACGCGCCCTGGCTTCGTTGAGCGAATCCGGAAATTTGTCCGCTTCGGCATCGAAGATACCGAATAGCCCGTCATCACCAGAAATGGTATCCCGTAGGTCTGCGAGCACAGCTAGGAATTTGAGGTGTGCGACGCACTGGTCGCGTGTAATTGTTGAGTTGGAAGCTAACTTGGAAGAAGAATCAGATCCCAGATTTAACTTTGGTAATTCCAGTCCTAACTGCTCGACTTGGTCGGCTGGGTCGGCTGCATAGGAAGGTGGTTGTTCACTGGAAGATTTGCTGGATTCGGAACGTTTGGGTGTCTCTTTGGACATATCATCCGTTGACACACCCATTCTGATTGATATTTGAGTAGAATTTTCTGAGTAAAATTGACTGAGGAGGGTGAGATTTAGCAAGGTAAGTCAAACAGAAGGTGCTCGGGAAGTCTCGAAGTCTTATATACTACGCTCTGGAACCCCGGATATGTCAATCATGTCCAAGGAACTTTTGAAAACTGCAGTCCAACCAAACGAAAGCAAATTAGCGCGTGCCAAATCGGATTATTCATAGCCCCCAAATAACTGTCCGTCTCCGCAGTTTCAATCTAGAGGCAGTGCGGGGCCAATAATGATGGACGCCAGTTGCCCTGCAGGTCTGAACTCAAGCCGGCCTGCTAAGCCTTGGAGGATACAGTTTCTAACTGATCCACAGGTTCGTATTAATTTATCCTCCGAACGAACATTCCATAAATTGATTATGTAATTATTGCAGGGCGAAGTCGGGCGCTGCACTGCCTCGGCTGCGGCTCCACATCGCCCTATGGCCCCCAACCGCTGATGATCATGACCTCATGAATGTCCGCATGTCTACAGGGTAGTCTCCGATGACGGTTAATTCAATACTACTTATTAAGTACCCATTATGATGTATGTATACTCATGGCTAGTAGGAATATCACTTTACATTTGAGGTATAGATACTTATTGGTTTTCATGATGGCTATCCCGGCCGCCCTTCGCAGACGGGCCTGCCAATTCCGTAGTAACTTGAATTTCGGTATCCGGTCGATTCAGTAACAACCCTCGTGCCTCGATACAGGAGATATGATTTAAAAGATTCTGTCAGGTCATAAATCACAGGCTTGAAAAGCCGTCTGATGTGGTGGTCGACTGCCACACCCAGGCAAACCTTAGGTTGTGTATCTGGGTCCATTATTTCTAATCCGCAGAGAGGCTGGAAGTCTACTCAAGCGGCCAGCGGTCAGGTGAGAAAGAGCCTGACTCAGGGTACAAATAAAGAGTACAATCATTTGAAACGGGGAGTGAATAGAAGTCAGACGAACCAAGCGAGCTGATTTTCTTTAGAGATCATACAATAGAGACATATGTGCCCAAGTCCAAGCCACGGCGCCAGGATCCTTTGATGGCCGGCCATTTGTCTATGCTCGGTACACTGCGTGCCACGTCTCCCTATTAAAGCAAAATTTTCCTCATACGTTGGTGACCCTCCATCACGAGGCCTGATGTGGGCTGTAGGGATATTATCTGGAAAAATCCTCAAGGACATACCATTCACCAGCCAGTTGCGGGACTGCAACTACTGATCCTTTACCGCTGTAGCCCACCCAATTGCGACTAACCCGACATATCTGTCAGCAAATCACATCAATGGATACCATACCTAATACCGTGCAATCTGAAAATAATCTTCACGCCGAAAATGATTAGTTGTGAGAGTATTATGCATCAACTTCACCTGTTGACTCCGCCCCTCTCCTGAATAATGGCATGCAATTCCCAGACGTGGGCTTCGCAAACCTATTCCAAGTACACTCGCAGGTACGGTGTGGTAAAATACCGAGGACCGGTGATATAGGCACTAAGGGGCTCAGCAAATTTGAATACCACCAATAGCGCGGACCATGAAGGCTGCAAAATACACCCCCTGTCAACACCAAACTCTCTTCCCCCTCCTATAATCACTTGCAAACTTGGAAAAAAATGCCGTTTTCAGGCGTATTTTTCTGCGAGAAGTTATATGGTAATAATCTTTTGGATTCACGTTAGCAAAACAAAACAGTTCTCCCCGAATTCTCCAACATACGTAGACATTGGATTGTAACTAACCATTATTTATTCAGGTTTCAATCCCGATTATATAGAATGGTCTCTCAGCAAAATTTATCCGGACCCATCTACACTGGATAATGTGAAAATTGGCAATTTGATGCCAAAAGTACTGATGGATTGACCTTGGATGTAGAATTATAATGAATGTAAAACAATTAAAGAATATGTAACCGTATAAATACAAGGAAGAAAAAGGGCCCGAAGTCGGCACTTCATGCTGGAGATTATAGAAGTGGGTAGAGAGTTAAATATTGACACCGTCCAAGGGTAACCAAATCGATTTACTACTTAAAATCGAGGAAGGCAGAAACGCAGAGCGAGATTTACTCGGAGTCTAAATTTTATGAATATTCTAATTCACACTTTTATCTCTCTCATCATGAGGAGACCTAAACTATTATAAGGCCACCCCCCCCGTTTTCTCCGAAGACATGCCTACGAAGGAGGTGCATTTCCAGACCCATCGTGACCCCTTGCTTATGCCCGAACAGCCTGGACAATCGTCTTGATAATATCTGCTGCACGGTCTAGCGCAGCGATGAAGCGCTCGGCACCCGTTCGAGGACTTACAAAATTCACCTCAATGCTGCAAATATGTTAGCTGCATGCTCCGGACTGGATAAAGGGGGGGACTATATACCAATCTTCATTTACAGTGTAATTTATCCACACGTTCTCTGGATCCTCCATCGTGTAGCCGGGATCTTGGGCCAGTTTCTTCTCGATCATTGTCTGCATGATCAGTCGCGGGTAGCTCCTCTTCCACACGGGGTCGGAGAACAGCTCGGGAACGGCATCGGCGGCGCCCTCGTCGTACGCGTCGTGGCTCATGACCTCAAGCACATCCATCAGCCGGAAGTAGTTGCGGCCCTCGCCGCCCTTGACAATTTGCGCGTTCATCTCGCGCGCCGCCTGCAGTAATTTGGCGCGAGCCTCGGCTGGCCGCACGCTACTGTCGAGCGCCGCGTCGCAGAAGTCAACGACCGACTTTAGCACCACCTGCACAATCTCCGGCCGGCCCAGGTGGAAATGCGCCGTCGAAACCGTCTCCCAACTCGCAGGCAGGTAGCCAAAGTACAGCCGGCTGGCGAGCTGGATTGTCAGGTCCACGGTCGCTTTGATGGGGGCCGAGTTGGCGAGGAGGACGGCTTTCCCGAGCGACTGGATGAAATGCGGCGTGTAAATCTTTATCCCAGTGGTCGCCGCATACTTGTCGCGCAGCGTCGTCATGCGGGCCTCGATCTCCGCCGTCGTCGCCACTAAAGGAATCTCCTCCAGGCTGGCGGCATCAGCGATGACTTCGCCGTTCTGACCGGGGTCGTCGTTCTCTGGATCCAGAGTATTGATGGCGTCCTGTAGCCTCTGCGAGATCTGCGACGTAGTCATGAAGTCGATCATAGAATGCTCGAAGATGGTACCAGAGCTACCGTTAGCGGTGACGATAAGCTGCAGTGTCTTGTCGTGCCAGCGGTTGAACGAGTCACCAAGGTATCCGGACCGGACCCGTTCCTCGCGCGTGATCGGGCTGTTGTCATCAAGACACATGACAAAGACGGATTCTTCCAACGTTTTGATATACACCGCGTTCCTCTCGTCCATTGAGATGAGCTTCTGTCGGTTCTGCTACATAGTTAGTATAACAAGTGGTATAGAGGCAGAGAAGACCTACAGTGCCCCAACTGTCACGGTTGTCTGTCGTCAGGATGCCTGTCCAGTGCCTTTCCTCGAGGTTAAGATCCAGGATTGCTTGGAATGTTGCTTTCAATTTGGAATATGAAACGATGTCGTCTCTTTCCAGGAGTGGCACGCGGAACAAGTGCCCTCTTCGCAAAACGGCGACGTGATCAATCCCAGGATACCTCATCATCTTGTCACAGCCCACATTTGCCTCTCTCAAGGCGTTGAAAAGCCACGTCAGAGAGTTGCCACAATTTGGCCTCTCTCCCAGAAAGTCGGGATTCAGTTTCTTGAAATCCAGGTCGTGCTTAAACTCGGACAGGGCCCTAGTAAGTGCGGCCGCTCGCTGGGCCTGTGAATGCGGCACCCTGCTGTCAAAGTGGGTTCCGAGGAAGCTGCTGAATGGTACTATAGGATATCTACGCTTGAGGTACATTGCCTTGAGAAGGGGACCAGCAATCCAGCTCTCCACACTTGGATCGTCGGCCTTGGCACGAAGCTGGCTGTACAGTCTACGGCCGAGACTGCCCGGTGCAGTGAGGGCGTGAGCCTTGCGGGTAAGTTCCGCATATTCCTCCCGCGTGTGCGAAAAATGACCGATGGCGTTGAGGAGGTCGTTGACTGCCTCGTCAAGGTCGACAAGCGGGTGCCTAGGAAGCTCCTTGCTCGCCCTGCAACAGTAGAAGCCATGATTGTGCTCCAACTCACCATTCTTTGGGACTTTCTCGTCCTCTTCCTGACCAGTGGTCTCCTGCGGCTTTAATTGCCGGATCCCGTCGGGGATCAACTTCGACCGCGAGGCGACCGTCGCCGCCAGCGCCATAATGCTGCCAGCTCCTCCCAGCTCCGACGTTTGGAGGTTGACTTGGAACGTGCGTACCATCCAGTTCTTCAACTCGATGCTGACAAGGGAGTCGAGACCGATGGTAGCAAGCGACTGATCGACCCTGATGTCGTCGATCGGCCGGTCAAGGAAGACGGCGAATTTGGTCAGCGTGGCGTCCCGAATGAGCTGCTCAGCCTCCTCCATCGTTTTCACGCCACTCAGAGACTTTTTCAAGTCAATCTTGTCGGTCTGCGTGGCACCCGCGGCTTGCTTCTTCTGGGAATGAGCCAGCTGACTGAAGACGGGATTCTCGAGAAGGTGCTCGTCATTGGCATCCAGCATTGACTGGTATGTGACACCTTGGATTGTTTGGTGCAAGTGGTGGTCCCGGGCGAGACTGGTCATGGCATACTCGATATTGGCAAAGAATTCGTCAAACGAGATGTCCATAACGCTGTTCTGGCGGAGAGATGCCCTCATACCACCGATGGACATGTCGCCTTGTTGTGCCTCTTTGAGGGCGCCGTGCGCATCGACAGATACGGCACCGACGTTGACCGAGATGTAGTGCGTGTGAGGGTGGCCGGCGTGTGCAAGAGCGAAAGCATCTTGGAAGCCATTTCCGGCGGCGTAATTAGACTGACCAGCCTTGCCAACAACCGCCACGACGGAGGAGAGGGTTAGGAAGAAGGCCAAATCAGGCGAGGCAAAGAATTTGTCGAGATTCAGGGTCCCGAAGACTTTAGGCTGGAGTGGTAAGTTCCACTGCTCGACGGTCATCTGGGCGAATGTTCGGTCCTATTTCAAGGTGTTAAAAGATGGTATCGAGCTGAAATGCCAAGATACTTGATGACTTACCCTAAGCACCAACGCACCGTTTACCACTCCCCTTACCGGGGGCAGCCTAGAGCAGTATGACGCAGCGCGTTTCATGCTCTCTTCATCTGTGATATCGCACTGGAGGATATGAAGTTCACCCCCATGCTCCTTGACCGCAGTCATGTACTTCTGTTTCGTCTCCTCGTCAATGGCGCGCCTCGAAAGTGCCACCACATGCCCGGCGCCTCGAGAGGCCAAAAACAGACAGATCCGCGAGGTGAGATCACCGAGGCCGCCGGCTGCGATATAGGTGCCGTCTTTGCGTACGCGCAGCGACATGGGCTTGGCAGGCAGGCACTTGACAGTGGACGTAGGCTCGACCTTGAGGACAACTTTACCGGTGTGTTTCCTTGAGCCTATGAAGCGGAATGCATCCTCGATCTGCTCAATGGGGTAGGTGGTGATCGGGCTTAGGGGACGCAATGCCTTGGAATTGAGAAGGTCGATGATGTCACCCAAAATACGATGGACACGCTTAGGGTCTCGAGCCGACAGTGTTTCTAGATCGAAGGCGTGGAAGGTTATCGACTTGTTGAATGCAGCCATGCTCAACTGGGATCCCTGTTGCATCTCGCTCTTCCCCAACTCAATGAATGTCCCTAGGGGCTTGACGCAATCAAGACTGTCCCTGAGCGCCTCTCCTGCCGACGAGTTGAGCACTAGATCCACTCCCTCACCATTCGTGAGTCGTATAATGCCCTGTTTAAGCGACCCCGTCTGGCTGGAGAAGATATGATTTTCCGGGATGCCGTACTCATCTATAATCAGCTTTCGCTTCGCAGCCGTGCTGACGGTGCAGAATATGGTTGCGCCGATATGCTGGGCGATCTGAATGGCCGCCTGGCCCACGCCTCCGGATGCAGCCTGGATCAGCACCGACTGGCCTCTCTCGAGCCGGCCTGTTCCCTTGATGCAGTGATATGCTGTCACGTACGCGTGCGGAATGGATGCCGCTACTGTCGCGGACATCCAAGCGGGTGTCTCATGGGCCAGATGTCCATGGACGCGCGACAAGTTGCTGAACGGCCGTGAACCGAAGCCCATGACGCGATCGCCTACCTGGTACACATTCCGCATATCTTTGCCTACAGCAGTCACAACGCCGGAAAACTCGCCAGCCATATGGACGCCGGGGCCCCTCTGGCCAAGAGCAATGCTGACGTCCTTGTAATTGACACCATGGGCCTCGGCCTTGACCGCGATCTGATATGAGGCGAGAGAAGTCGACAAGTCATCGTTGACGAAGCGCAGCGAACTCAGCAATCCCGGTGTCGCAAACTCGGCCTTGAGAACTCTATCGCCCTGGTAGGGGACAGCCTCAGTCTCGTCGGAGGCTCCTAGCCCTGTACTACGCCGGGCCCAATGCAGAAATTCGGTATCTGGCCTGACACGAGGGATCAGAATGCGGTCGTCTTCGTAGGCAAACTCTGGCTCTAAAGAAGGCGCGACCTCCGCGGTCGGCCAGAAGCGCCTGCGTGTCACATCGGCGATAACCCGGGCCGTCATCTCTGGATCCAGGGTGGGCTGGCGGATGTCAAGGCTGACGAGTTCGGTGTTGCTGCTCTCCCGCCGGACAACGCGGATGAATGCGTTTACCATGCCCTTGTAGGCTGAGGCGGCGGGGTCAGCTGTGTCTTGAAGAAGTACCCAAAGGACTCTGCATTTTGCACTGAGAAGGGCGTTGACCGTCTCGAATAGTTGAGGCTGTGGATCAAGGAGGAGCCGTTTCTCCGCGTGGTCGAAGATAACATAGAGGCTACCTTCCTGGACTTTCACTTGGTCCCACAGGCACTCTATGACATCGATGTCGCGAGACGCGAATTCCGTGGCGGTCTTTACCACATAATCGTCAACGCTGTTTCTGATCAGGACGATGCTGTGCCTGGCTAGTGCCCCGTTGCTTGGCGAGGGCTCAGCTTTCGCTACCATCATACATTCCCAAGAAAGGTGAATCCCCCCGAATCCATTTCTGGCCAGCACATCCTGCCATTGGTTGCGGAACAGCAGCGGACTATCAACCCGGAAATCGTCCTCGGGGGCCCACCACCCGGTGAGCGAGCCGGCCACGAGACCAAAGGCTGCGCCTCTCGGCTCGATCTCGACAAGGACCAGGCTGCCCCCCGGTTTAAGCAGCTTGCGTATGCGGCTGATCGTCGTGTCGATTTTCTTCGTCGCGTGTAGCACGTTGGCCGCCACTACCACGTCGTAGGACTCAGGCTCGAATCCCTGCTCGATGGGATCCGCATCAACATCCAGCGTCCGGAACTCCATGACCTCCTCCCATTCGGCAAATGTCTGGCGCGCATCCTCGAAGAATCCGCTGGAGACGTCCGTAAAGGTGTACTTTTCGACGGGGAGGCCGACGGCGCCGTTATGGCCGGAAAGCCCGCGGAAGAGCCACTTGGTGCAGCCTCCCGTCCCCGCACCGGCCTCGAGGACGTGAAGGCGCGGGTTCTTGAAAGTAAGAGTTTTCAGGTACGTCACTACGGCTTCATAGGGGCCGACGAGAATACCACTCTCATAGTACCTGGAAAGCAGATTGCCTTCCAACATGACGTCCAAGGGCTGGGTTTCGCCAGTCAGGATGCGAGGTAGGGCTCTCCCGACACGGGCAAGGAGTTGCAGTTGGGCTGAGGCATCAGACGACTCAATATTTTGCAGAATGCTCTTCTCTTCTTCCTGAGTTAAGCCTGAGGTGATCTGATGGCAATAGTCTGAGGACAACCATCTCTTCATCCAGCCAAGAAATTTGACCTGCTGAGGTGTCACTATGCCAGCATTGCTCTCCTCGACATAGCGCACAGCATCTCGGAACCATATGGACGAGGCCTGGTCTGTAACAAGGTATTCCTTATCAGACTCCTGAATAGACACTTTGGTTCCTTCAAATCCGTGTGTCGTGTTTCCCTCTAAGCCCAGGGTAGACGATAGCACCTGGAGGAATGAGCGTCCTGTCATGAAGTCGGCGTCAAGGTTCCAGTCGAGTCGATTCACCGCATCCTGAACGAAAGGACGGTTCTCCTCCTCGCGAGTCTCACCAATGGCTCTCAAGCTGACAAGAAGTCGAATGACCGGGTTAAGATGGCCATCCGCATCCTTCTGGAACACCCATCCCTCTCCCCTGGAAGATTTGGGATCATCAGCTTCGACCTGCATGGCGCCAGTCAGGATGTTTCCTGCCGTGGTGGATAAACTAGCACTTATCTCCAACAACGGGATCTTGGTCGGGACACATGCAGCGTTGGTGACGAATTTCTTGAACAGGATTGCGTTGATCTGCTGGGTAGCGTCTAGGGTAGTCGGATGGATGAGATGAGGCCTGAAGGACCGGTAAGGCATCAAAGGAGCAATATCTGGCGTGCATATTTCGAATACGCCCCGGCTTTTGCCATACCTGGCCGAGACGATTGGGGTAAATGCTCCGCTAAACTCGTTTCCTGTGAGTCTTGCAAAGTCGTAGAATTCCGACTTTGTCATGTGCGCGTCGCAGCTTTCCTGAGAGGTTGCTAGGAATTGCATGGCTTCTTGGTGGCGCAGTTCCTCTTCTCTGGTCCCCTCAACCTCGTCAGGTTCGCCCGCCTCGTGTTCGACAGTGATCTCGCCGGAGCAGTGTTCACTCCACGACCCGTCCGCATTGTAGGACCTGATCCGGAACGACTCCCAGCGGCTGCCCTCGTACTGATTCGCGGCCGACATGCTCAGCTGTACTTCCACCTCGCCGGAGCTGCTTTCATCTGGCTCACTGAGGATGACGGGGTTGGATATCGATACGTTGCGGAGGACGAACTTGGCGATCGGCTTTTGGAGGCCTCTCATCTGCACAAGCTGCTTCGATGCCTCGATGGCCATTGTCAGGTATCCTGCCCCAGGGTAGAGTGTGAAGCCCTCAACAATATGGCCTCTGAGCCAGGGAAGACTATCCAGGTTGATAAAGTACCTCCAGCGAGGCTCATGAATTGTGCTGGCCGGATCGAACAGGCCGAGGAGGTCATGATGTGGGAACTGGCGGAAACGCTGGGCTTTGCTGAGTCTAGACTCGCGCCAGAACGGTACGAGATCCCAGGGATATAGTTTCAGGTCTCTGATGATCTCTGGCTTTGTCTTGTCGATCATTGTGAGCACTGCAGTCATATCGACCTCGAGACCGAGCTCGAACACTCTACCAACGAGCTTCAGAATGGACTGTGTAGCATCGGTGTTGCGCACGAGTGCAGAAAGGTACTCAAATTTGTAGTTCTTATCTCCCTCCTTTGTGAGAGTCTGGCGAGCGGGTCCCGCAAGGGCCGAATGTGGCCCTATTTCAACAAATACGCCCAGGTCCATGTTTGCATCGTGTTTGATCTGGTCATTCCGCAGCAGGGTCAGTGCATGGCTGAACTTGACTTGCGAAACTAGGTTGGCCGCCCAGTAGTCGGGACCGAAGCCAGTTGATTTGATGGCGCCGGTGACGCTGGAGTAGAAGGTCACATCGTCCCTTACTCCGGAGGACTCGATCCTGCCGACAGCCTCTTGGTAGTCTTGGGCTATGCGCTGCATGTGATGTGAGTGATATGCCGTGTCAACCTTCAGCTTCCGGGCGAATACGCCGTCCCTGTCAAGTGCTTCCTTGATCTCGTCGATCGCGGTTTCGTCTCCCGACAGGGTCTGGCTCAACGGGCTGTTCACGCAAGCCAGAACGGCCGCCCCACGGGTAGCTTTCTGGAGGTACCGCATCGCTTCGCTCTCGTTGAGGCTAACCGCCATCATGGAGCCGGGGACATCAGCCATCTTCTTGGCTTTGGCAGAAGACACGCCCCGCTGGTATGCTCTGTTTATGATTAGCAAAAGACCACTGCAAATATAAGAGTCTTAGTTACATGATAATGGCACTCTCAAGACTAAGGGCACCGGCCGCGTACGCGGCGGCAATTTCACCGGAGCTGTGACCCACGACCCGGTTTGGTCGTATCGAGAAACTTTTGAGCAGATCAACGACCGCTATCTGAATGGCGGTGGTCGCAGGCTGCGCTATTTCGGCCTCGCCAATTCGGGAACGCTCGGGAGACTTTGACAGCTCCTCAACGAGATTCCACGGGCAACCTTGGCGGCGCAGCACATCTTCCATGGCTGATATCGATGATTTGAAAATCCGCGAGAAGCTCATGAGCTCTAACCCCATTGCATGCCACTGGGCGCCTTGCCCGGAGAAGACAAACGTGACAGGCGCCATCGACACGATTCTCTTCTGAAGCCCCGGTACTTTGAGCTCGGCCACGAGCTCCTCTATCGTCGACGCAACAATGGCTCTCCTGAACGGAAGAGCCGACCTGTGGGCTCCGAGTGTATATGATAGGCTGTGCAGAGTGCGCGACGCCATCTGGTGAGTCTTGATCCACAGGAGAATGTCTTTGGCGCGCGATGAATACGCTTTCTCAGTCGATGCACTGAGAACGATAAGTTCCGGACAGGGTGACGTTGAGTCATTCAAAAAGGAGGCCTGATTCGTGTCGGTTCCATTTGCCGTTGAACCATTGATTCTGGTCACGTTGGATTTGATACCATTGGTTCCATTTGGTTTTTTCCCAGAGTCGGCAGCCTCAAGAATAATATGGCAATTGGACCCTCCGTAACCGAACGAGTTGAGAGACACTCGCACCGGCCCACCATCATGGGGCGTCGGCAGTTTTGTAAGTTCTGTCGGAATCTAGTAGAAATTAGACCTGATACTTGAACCCCGCATAGCAGCCGTACCTTGATATTTCTCTCAAAGAGCTTCAGTGATGGCTTCGGCTTGATGAAATCCAAATTTTGCGGGATGAGGCCATGTTTCAGCACAAGAATGCTTTTGAGCAGGCCAGCAATGCCAGAGGTTGCCTCGAGGTGCCCGACGTTCGGTTTGATGGAGCCAACGTAAAGGTCATCAGACCTGGCAACACCCTCGCAGAAGACCTTGTAAATAGACGCAATTTCTTCTCGGTCGCCTACTTGAGTTCCCTAACCAAAGGCCTGTTAGCACAGGCTCATTGCCCCGTATGGGATACTTACGGTGCCGTGAGCCTCGACGAATGACGTATCCGCAGGATTTAATCCAGCCTCCCGGTATATACGCGAAGACAACGCAGCTTGAGCATCGCCATTGGGAGTGTTGAGGCCGGTAGTCTTGCCGTCTTGGTTCGTACCAGAGTTGGCTATGACGGCATGTACTCGGTCCCTATTCTACTTATTAATAAAAGTCACTTCATTCGGGAGCCTTGCTCTGTATTACCCGTCCTCGAGTGCGCGGTCCAAACGTTTGAGAACAATTGTGGCCACGCCCTCACCTCGTCCATACCCTTCGCCTCGCGAGTCGAAGGCATAAGACTTGCCATCGGGGTTGAGCATGCCCATGCCGCTCACTGAATCGAGGTTAGCACGTGTGGATAACTATACTCCAATGCATTATGACAAAGTCTCTCCTGAACTGTGATATTGGAAGGAGATTTAAATGGATAGAAAATGAACTCACTGATAGTGAGGGCATCAGGGTGGATAACAAGTTGTGAGCCACCAACTAAGGCGAGGTCTGACTCGCCCAGCCTGAGACTGTGGCATGCTTGGTGAAGGGCCACCAGACTTCCGGACTATACGTTGTTTAGTCTGACATATTCCACATATTTGCAATAACTTCTTACGCAGCCAGTGTCAATAGTCATGCATGGTCCTCTCAGGTCAAAACAGTACGAGATCCTGTTCGAGAGGACTGCTGCCGTGTAAGCATCATGGCAATCATTTGGGCTTTGTGGACCTACTCGCTTCCCCTGTCCCGTTCATATGCGTATTACTAATTGTGGACAGGTCCTTGTGTCCCATCCGGTCGTAACTTCTCTCGAATATGCTAGCAAAGACACCTGTATTCGAGCCTCGTAATGTCTCTACGGGAATGGCGGCATCCTCCAATGCTTCGTATGTCGTCATCAGGAACAGGCGCTGCTGAGGATCCATGGCATGTGCCTCCGTGTTGGAAATCCCAAAAAATTTGGCATCAAATTGCGAGATATCTTCTTTCAGAAAGAACCCGTGCTTCGTGACCATGGACTGTTTCGCGTCAGGGTATGCGTCAAACCACTCCTCCGCAGCCCAACGGTTCTCCGGAACTTTTGTTCGGCCGCTGCGGCCCTCCGAGAGGAGTTCCCATAGCTTGTCCAGGTTGCTGGCCCCTCCAGGGAGCCTGCAGCCGACGCCGATGATGGCAATAGGAGCTGGTGCTGGAGACATGGCTTGAAAACAAAAGGTAACGGGAAGCCCAGTCTTAATAGTAATTTAACTTTTACCAAAGCTCTATCTGTGCCTACGCCCCTGTCAATATATACTGCTGATATATGTTGGCGATGCTATGCAGTAATCCATAGCTAGGGTCATACTAGCAATTACGCACCGCAATTTATCCGGATTTTTCCTCCCAGTCGGTGAATTGCGCGCCGGATCTTCCTACTGAGTCCCCACTACTGTACCATCTCCCTTGCAGAAAACAGAATTCTCCAATCTCCCCAACTTGTCACTTGGGAGACGCCAAGACGCCACATGCACAGACTCCCGGCTCAGGGCCGGTGTGGACCCATCGGACCGCTCCTGATGGGCCCTTTCCCACCAGCTGAAGCCAAGCAACGTCAATTTGCCAATCATGCTACTTATACTCTTTTCGTGGTCGATGCTCTCGGCCTTGATCCCGCTACCCACTGGGAATGGTCGTTGTTATAGTAGGTATACAATACATCCTCTATGGCTCCATGGCACTATTTGGTGTTAGCTTCAGGTTACATAGATAGATAGATATATATGTACATAATATGCAGGAAGAGAAAAGGCAAAGATGAAAAAAATGTAGTACCGCCTTTGCAGAAGGCTATTTCGAGACGGGTGTATAGTGGCCAGGAGTCAAATCCAGTGCGATGTCTGGAGATGTCCTATTCTAGACCGCTCTATATAATGCATTGTAAACATTCCCCATTTTCGATAAGTATTGTTCTATCATTCGTTTTACATCTTTTTCTACCCCTACCTAGAGATTCGATGTTCAGGATCAAATCCATAAGCTTTTATTTCGCTATAGTACTAGTGGTAAAAACGTATACCTTGTGTACCTTGCGCATTAGGGCATCCGCTATAGCAATCTATGTAGTTCAATTCATCACTATCAAAACACAGATTTGACCACTGGCTTTCATAGACCTGGACGCCTTCGCAACTTTAGTGCCGAGGACCAATTTGACATGTGGTGTTCACAAGGGTTGGATACCCCGTCCATGTAAGCTCTCCAATGCACGGGCGTGCGTCGCCCGTATTTGGCAATCTTTATCAGAAATGCTCTGAAGAACGGTGGACTTTGTGAAACCTGGGATGAACAACATGACTAGGGATGCAACCCCGGGAGCATCCTGGGCTAAGAGAAGATCCTTGCAGAGGATTTTCCGCCTATGAACGCACCTAATTCGCTTGTAAATAGTGAGGGTATTCACTTAACCCGGGGTTGCCGCCGACCGTCGATTATAGTAGTTACAACTACGGTATTGGTTCCAATGATGCATTTAGGTCCAGCTGCAATACAATAGCCTAAAAAGCAGACTTGGTGCGGGGTCGTCTGAACCCCTGGCGTCTCAAGGTTTTATGCTGTTCTTATCTATTCTTGTTGTCCAGTCCAATAATGCATTCAGGTGGAGCTGGAGTAAGCTCGGCTAGTCTCACGATGAATAACCCGCCAGAATGGTCAAATTTGCGGAGGAGTGTGGGGAGGATCTCCCCTTCAGTCGCGGACCGTCCCCGTCCCTCCCGCTCCCCTCTACTGCCCGCCTCTGTAAAATATTACCGACATCAAGTCAGCACTTGTTGATCTCACTTCTCCTAGTGGCCGGATTGCTACTAGTTGCAACATTCGGAGGTTGCATGCGCCTAGACGGCTGGCTTCTAGTTTTTCAATGCTTCCAGCTCCGTCAGTATAGGCAAGAGCCACGTTACCTTCCGAAGTCGGCGTAATGAATGCTTGGAAAGCCCTCTCAGCGATGAATATAAGTATTATCTCATTTCTGAGGTTACCTCAGTCATAAATCATTCCAATTTCAAAGACTTGGGGCCCAGAAACCTTCTTGCCTCCCTCTATCTATCCTTCATAGATCTCAAGAGACTCTTCCATCAATGGTAGAAGCTCACTAATGTTCTCATCTTCTCAACCAAGATCTTGCGTACTGAAAGACTGCTTGTCCTTTATCTGAGATCGGAAATGGCAGTGGCTTTAGGAGCACTCTGGTGAGTGTTTTCACGCTTCAACACACATGATTTGGGAGTTGACTTACACTCCGTATTGAAGGGCCTGGAGTGTTCTAGACAAAATTGTTATATCCTACTATGCTAGAAAGTACAAGCCTGTGCCCTTGCCCAAAAAGCAAAATTACAGCCACGAAGACGTGAGCATTATCGTTCCGACAATCGACACCGAATCGACCTTCACCGAGTGCATGCGCCTCTGGCTCAAGGCCAATCCTCGTGAGATTATCATCGCAACCGTCGAGCGGAACAGAACCCGGGTCGTGGAGCTGATCGAGCCACTCCGGCAGAATGCTGACAAAATCATCATCGTGACTGCGCCTCTGGCCAATAAACGTCACCAGCTGATGGTCGGTGTCAAAGCGGCAAGCGGTAAAATCTTCGCTTTGGTGGATGACGATGTTTACTGGCGCGTCGATACCGTTGTACCCTATCTTTTGGCTCCGTTTGAAGATGCCGAGGTCGGCGCAGTGGCCGGCATACAAAGGTCAGACCCGAAAGTCAATGTCCACCCTGTGTATAGCGTATGACTGACTATGATTTCTATCAGTGCTGAGATCCCATCCGAGCGCCAGGATGCACGAGTCATTACCCCTTGGGAAGCAACTGCGACGTTTGACTTGAACCAGTGGAAAGTCTCTCGGGAGGTGCACTTCGCTGCGGATGGAGGCTGCTGGTGCTTGTCAGCACGCACACTTTTCGTTCGAGCTTCTATCCTCCAGGACCAGGGCTTTGCCGATTCATACACACAGGAGGTCATTGGCCGCAGGATCGTGAACACCGCTGACGATGTCGTTTTGACGGGGTTGATATTTGACCGCGGATGGAAGGTGTCGATCCAGAATACCCCCGAAGGCGAAGTTACCACCAACATTCCTCAGGACCACAGGCTTGTGTGGCAGATACTTCGTTGGGACCGGGGAAATTTTCGCACTTTCCTGGGGTACATCTTTGTATTCCCCGGCTATAGAAGATTGATGCAGTAGGTAATCCCCCGTCTTGGTGATGAGCCTCGTCATGGTGTTGTCAGGTTTTGATTGTTGACTCTCTACTTCTAGAAGACATCCATACACGACATCCAAGATGGTTGAGCGTCTTGCTCGCCCCATCTGGGCCCTTGCATACGTCTGGGCTTGGCTTCAAACGCTGTACACAGCGCCATGGATCGCGTGAGTATCCACCCACCGTGCTGCATACATGTTTAGATCTATCACTCTATCTCACACTCGTTGATCAACAGCTACGCATATATAGTGTGGATGGCCTTTGGATGGAACGGATGGCTTCCAACCTATCGAGGATTCCTCAAACGGTACCCCTATTGTGGACGTCAAGTGTGGGCGTTTCTGCTCATGGATTATATTGGCCCTATCGTCGATATATACGTCTACTTGACTATGAACAACGATAATTGGCTGACTAGGACAGCGGACATAAAGGATATTGAATATTAGAATTTTCATTATGTCTTGGGTATACAAGAGGTGATTGAGTTCCCGAAAAGCTGATGTTGAAATTTCACTAGTGCTATAAATATATACACGTGTTTTCGCCAAAGCTTTTGCGTACCTAGGACTTGTTCCCAATGCTATTAACAAGATATATTAATATGGAATTAGATCTCAATTTTTATTCATCTGATCAGTACTCAATTGGTATACAATACTTTTGGAAGTACTGTGAACGCTGCCTATCATCCAGTTCTGACCTCCGGCACAAATGCAACCCCCCACAGAAATCTGCACAAGCATTCATGCATTACGAGTTTCCTGTTAAGCACTCCAGAGCTGGCGTAGTTATGAGGTGCTATACGTTTTGTTTCCCGATTGATCGTTGCTTAGGTACTCTGCGGATTTGTACTTTATTGATTACAATGTAACGAGCCGGGCATGTTGACTGTCGAAGCCGGTCTCATGGCACACCCCCTTTGAGTTCTAGGCCGCACTTTGTTGCTATCAAGCTATTTCTCCACGGCTTCCTCGGCCGGATATTGGGTAACCTTTTTCTTCGAGCCAGGCAATTGCCGCCATTCCAATGCCCAGCTTGTTATCCAAGCAATGGCAGGTGTAGCAACCGCAACCCAGAACACATTCCGCAAAGCAGAATTAAATGCGTCAATGACGGCATCCATTAGATCTCGAGGAACTATCTCCCTGAAACCACTTGCACCGGCCGCCACTATGGCTTCACTGTCTATTCCCTGCAACTTGTTGAGATTTTGCAAAAGCCCATCAGTGAAGATGTTCTGCCCAACGCTAGGAGCCAACGCCCCTCCAAGCATCTGGAAAAACATGATCATGACAAGGCCCGTTGGTATGTCCGGTTTGCTGAGAACAACCTGCACAGCTAGGATTGGCATTTGGCTACAGCTGCCATAGCCAAGCCCAGATAGGATTTGAAACCCTATCCAGTGTCCACGGGGACTGTCGGGACGTATTAGTTGATATAGACCCCCTCCGGTAGCTAAAATGAGGGGCCCAATCCACATGAACGGGACATAGTGCCCGAATCTCGACGCTATGGACCCCGCACAGAGCATGCCGAGGCTGTTTGACACGATCAATGGAAGTAGGTTGATCCCCGAGTCTCTGGCATTGGTGTTCTTGACGGACTGGAAGTATATGGGCCAATAGTACGATTGCACAACTATTGCCACCTGAACGAGCATCATGAAGCCGCATGATGCCGATACGGTACGACTTCGAAAGATTCGAAGAGGGATATTCGCGCTTGGATGGCGTTAGCAAGCTTGCTGGACAAGTAGCCTCTATGTAGTAGGAGCTAAAGTTGCAAGAAGGAACTAACTTTTCTTTGCCTCGGAGTTGCAAGCATAAAAAGATAATCAAGAGTAGACCAAATCCGATCAGACACCCGAATACCTTGGAATCAGACCATGGGTAGACGATTCCACCCCACTGTAATGCCAAGTTCAAACAACACGTGGCACCGAGCAGCAGAAGAGCTCCCAGAAGGTCAAGTTGACGTAACTTCTGGTCCCAGGGTAGGTCACCCTTTACTGCGGGTGGAGGTCTTTTTAAGGTGAACCAGACCAGAACCAGCGCAACAGCTCCGAAGGCTTGAAAGTTTTAGTTAGCCATTATGGAAAATGATATGTTTTTCTTCACCGACACAGACATACGGAGATTGATCCAGAAAACAAACCGCCAGGTCAGCACCTTATTGTCAGTTATCGCACCACCCACGAGTGGTCCAATTGCCGATCCGATGTTGTACATGCCCAAGACAATAGGTGACAGCATCGCCTGCTTTTTCAAAGTCACGCAATACGACAGAATAGTTGTCGTCCCGCTCACCAAACCAGCAGCGCCAAGGCCAGAGACCGCCCGCCCTATGATAAGCGCCATAGAATTTGGGGCGACTGCCGCGACGATGGAGCCGATTTCAAAAACAGCCAGCGAGATGCAGTACACCCACTTGATGTTGTAAAATGTGTAGAGGCGGCCGCAGGTCGGCAGCAGTGCCATCTGCGCGATCAAGTAGGAAGAGCCGTACCAGCCAATGTCGTTAAGGCTGTGGAAGTCGCTGGTGATCTTGGGTATTGCCGTCGCTTGATATGAGAATTAGGCCTGATGCACTCTCCGCCAGACTGTGGGAAGGACGAACCTAGAATAGTATTATCAATAGCTAGCACGAGGCAGATGGACATTTGGGCCAAGGTAAAAGAGGCGAGAGCCCATCCTTGCATATATCCAGTTGCAGGCTGCTCTTCACTTGTGTTCGTGCTAATTACGCCCGTGGTTTTCACCGCAGGACGCGCAGTCTCCGGTGCAATTTCCATCATGCTTTTCTGAAGATCGCTGGGGTGGCAAGTGCTGTGGAAAAAAATGCGATGAACTATTAGCCGGAGTCTGGCAAGTTATGTAAAGTGAGGAGGAGTCTGCAGGCGCCAGGCAGCCAGCTAAGGACTGAATTATCTCTCCCACAATGGGTAAATTTCCTCTGAAAAAGTTGGTTCACGACCCGGGATGCATGGTCGCTTCTCTTTATAATAATAAGCGAGTGCTACGCCGCCCTTACGATGCGGGTTGGTGGGTTTGGATCGTATCCCTAGTCTGGCGGTCTACATGGCCTGCGACGAGTCAGGGGCTGTTTATTAAGCATGTAAACTGCAATCTTGGAAGGCTTATATTTAGCCTATTATTTTTTTATCCGGCACCCCTGTCAGAAACTAGCTTCGAGTCTGTTCAATAAGGACTCGATCGAACTTTTATCTTGAGCTATCCGAAAGGCCCAAAGAGGAAGGGATGCTGCGCTTACCTTGATGGAGTTGTACTATCCAATTGACTTACCACTCATAATACCACTCATAATGGAAGCTGTCGTACAAGAGGCTCTCCTGCTTTGCCGATTAACGGCCCTGTTGTGCTCCCCGTCTTGGCATTGCCAAAAAGTCTCAATAGTACGAATGAGGAATGTCTTGGCATTTTCGTATAAAAAACATGGATGTATAATTCGAGACGAGTGGTTTTTACGGAAATCATACCTGCGCACACAAAATCTGCCATTTACGAGGTCCTTAAATTCTAAAATTCTTTTTAGATGAAACAAGAAGTCGGGTGGTTTTCATATCCTCCAGGGCCCCAGATTTTCGTGCGGTCGTGCCCCGCACTCCGTACCCACACCGGTCCGGACCGCACATCCGAAAGCAATTTAAACCAAGTTATTGATAAGGCCATACATTTTCAGGTAGTTCCCGCTAGTGCTCGGATTCAGCCAAGTGTACGAACTCGTTTTTGGAAAAAAAAGATTGGCATCCACAGCAGACGGGTATTGTTCCGGCCGTACCATACCCCCCACGGAATAAAACCCGAGTCTTGCAGCTGGTGAACGATTTCCGATAAACCCTTCAAGAAGAATCATCTCGTCTTGATGTCTTAGTAATTCCTCCTTTTCAATATTGACGTAGCATACATTTTCGTTCTGGGAATTCATCTCATCGCACTGCGTTATGACCGATATCAAGGCATTGCGTAGCGAAACTAAATCTTCTTGATTCCAGCACCTAGGAAACAAGCGGATGGGTTCTGCTTTGACATGGAGGGAAAGATCAGCAAGAATTGTCCATCGCAAAGGATCAAGTCGCTTGACTACCTCGTAGTTATGATATAGAAACTGTCGCTAGTATGCACCTTGCTCGGATTGCCAGGAGGCTGATCGTTCAAGCATTTGTGTATGTGACCGTTGGAGGGACATTGGTGGGATAAAGGCTAACTGCCAGTTAATATGCAGGGCAGGTAGTGCTTTTTGTATGAGGTTTGAAGAAACTGTTGTCTAAATGTAAGTCCGGATATCCGCCTGTTCAATATTTGAAGATGCCGCCAGATTTGCAGAAAGGAGTAAGAATATATGGAGAACAACGATATAGTCATCTAGCATCTCAGGGATACCCCTTCTATTTAGTCTCGGGTACTATTACACACGTGTGTACGTATATCAAACAGCCAAAAAAGTACGTCTAATAAGCCAAGCCGAAAAGTCGCCGAAAAGTCACCGAGCTTGAGCGTCATCTTCATAGGTATATATACCTACGCATAGAGAGAATTCGATGTAGCTGAGCTACTATTACTTACATACATGAACACTGGGCAATATAAGACATGTCGGACATTTGTTTTCCTAGGCACAGCAAACAGCTTACTCTCTCTACCAAAAATACTTACGGATATGTACATATCCCGCCCTTGGAGCCATCAACCTCAACAGTCTTGTTCCTGCACGGGTTTCCATCCTCGTGTTACGATTGGCGTCATCAGATCAAGTTTTTCTCGAATCAGGGGTATGGGGTTCTCGCTCCAGATCTGCTAGGCTATGGCGGCACTAGCAAACCTGCCTCGGTCCTAGAATACCGCACTAAGCGAATGGCCGGGGAAATGAGGGAGATACTAAAACACGAGAAATTAGGCAAAGTCCATGCTGTTTCTCACGATACGGGAAGCATATTGCTTTCGCGAATGGCGGATTACCATCCTGAGCTACTGCTTTCGTGCACGTTCTTGGCGGTACCTTATTCGAAGCCCGCCGATCATTTTGATCTAGAAGCTATCAATGCAATGACAAAGAACATTATGGGCAAGGAAAAGTTTGGATATTTGAACTTTTTCATTGAAGAAAATGCGGGCCAATTGATAGATGAACACGTCAGTGATCATTCCACCACACGTTCTGATCGCTCAGTATTGACGAAAACGATCTCTCCGAATAGAGCGATTCCTTTTTTACTGTCTTCTATCCCGAGGACCCCGCGATATGGAACGATCATGTTGGTCCTACCGGTGCGTTGAAAGCTTGGCTTAGAAGCGATCACCAAGCAGAATTGGCCTCGTTTATAACAGAAGAGGTAATCATCTTATATCAATTTAACCCCAAATTATCTCAAGACCTAACGTTACAGGAACGGACAATCCATCAAAAGATTATGGAAGGGCATCATAAGTCTGCTCTAAATTGGTATCGTATGTTAGTTTCGAACTTGAACGAGGAAGATGAGCGCGAAGCTTGTTTATCTGGCAAGTTGTCTCTACCAGTGCTCATACTCAACCCGGCACCTGGCTCTTCTCTGGGCCCCAATATTGAGGAAGCGATGAGGGCAGTAGCCGAAAATTTGACTTTCCATGAGGTCCATACCCATGGACATTGGTTGCAATTGGAAGCAAGGAATGAGGTTAATGCTGCGCTGAAAAAGTTCATTCAAGCCTGTGATGTCGCTCTATCCAAGTCGTGAGGATGACAGTCAGGTAAACATTTTAGGATATGCAATCTCCCCTCTATGTATGAAACAGAGTTGATGAACGTGAAATCTCTTATCCTTTGTCCGTCAAATCCAGCGATGATAATCAGACTATACGGACATGTTATACCAGGTAACGGTGTAGTAGGGGCCTTACCCCTAGAGTAACATAGGGGATCTAGCTTGTGGAAGGTTTATGTATTGTTTCAATGATCGCTATAGTTCAACCTCCTATGTTTCGCTGCTATCATTCGTTGAAATCGCTATGCTATATCAGCGGGCTCATATAGTGCCTAACAACCCACACAAATACCACTTATTTTCAAATCGCTCCGACGCTTGTACATCCCATCATGCATTGATTTCGGCTGGGGGTATTCGGCAGATGCCGTATCTTTACATTAAAAGTCTTGTCAATCGTAATTTTCATGAAGATCACGTTTTGGAGCAGCCTGCTATCCAATGTAATCGGTAGGTCTATAACAGATATGTCGACAATGTTTCCTCATCACATCCCACCTTGCGTTTCAGAGTGGGAAAGCGCGTCGCAAATATAGAAAAGCTCGGATCTTTGACTGTCTTATCAATCGCAACCTCGACTCGACCTCTTCGACTGAGAGACGATGCGGTGAAAATGCCTACACAAATTCTGCATTGTGGCGCTGTTTTGAAGCAAAATTTAAGATACCAGGGTAAATAGTCTCGCCGAATGAGGCGTCCACTTTTTTTGAGGATGGTCTTCGGAATGGCCATCCAAGTTCTACATAGCGTAGGGAATTTTGGAAAGCAGAAACGATAGGAAACCTATCAGTGGGTACATATCTTTCGTTGCGCGGGAAAACCAGGTTCCATTCTAATATGTTAGAAGAAGCGTTGATCGTGCTTGCTACGCACTTAGCGAACAACCAGCTTGCCCGGGGAATGTGCACATCAAGGACTGGGTTTACAAAGATCGCTTTGGTATGAGATATGCCTTGATTCATTGAAGATTGTGTAGTTTGATTTCCGAAATATTCGAAAGTAGCGCGAATAGATATTACAAGAGCAATTTAGCATTAGTGTCTTGATAAATTCATCTCTATCCATGCCTTCCTTCATCAATCTGAAAACTAAATAGAAATAAATAGCAACAAGTCAATTCAACAACCTTCTTCATACCACCATACGTGCGAAATAATATAAGTCTGGGGGAAATGTGCCATACCCTGATCATTTGAAGTGAAGCCCAAGCTTGAAGCTGACAAAAGCCATTAAGCAAATGTTCTCGGTCGCAAATTCTTCAAAATGGGATCCAATGCATTCTTAAGGTCGTTCCAATCATCGTGTATTTTGGAGTCGTCATAATCTTGAAAAAGACCAAGGGCAAGCCCTTGCTCACGAATGTCACCCAATCTGGTTGCTCTTCGGTGCAGTGCTTCGATTGACTTTCTCATCAACCCTTGATATTTCTCATGACCCTCCAAAATTCTGGTTTCATATGCTCTCCGAAACACTGCATAAGGGCCAAACAATGAATGCAATATGTCTCGAAGAATTGCTTCGTTTTGTCCATTGTCTTTCTTTCTACCTTGGTATGACAGGGATGCAGGATGGAAGCCATGCACGACATACGCCATGTGTCCTTTGCCTTTGAACCGAGACACCTTTTTGTTTTGTGCACTATTCATTGATGAGCGCAGATCGCCGGCCTTGGTGTGCTTAAATGAGGCCCAGAGACTTGACTCCTTTGCCTTGAAGCATTGGCATGAAAGAATAATGGGGAGCTTGAACTCATGAATGAAATCAAGAGTCAGCTCAAACATATCATGAATGGCTTGTAGTCTTTTATCCGGGTTGTTTGTTAACCATTCGTCAGTCAGCATGGGAAACAAGTCCATGATAATTATATCGTCAATGTTGAGCCCAAGTTCCTTCAGGGCTTCGTCAATCCAACTGAGTGTAAAGGTTGTCCTGACCATTGTCTCAAATTCAAGAAAGTCATTCTTTGGATTTTGAAGCAAAATACATGGGAATTCGCGAATCCCACATAAGAGTCTTTTGAAGTTTCCAAAACCCTCCCGGGGTAGACAATGTTCCTCAACGAGCTTCTCAGCCCGCCTAAAAAAGGGATGATTTGGAGATATTCGTTCAATGGTTCTCTGCGCATCAAGGCCAGGCTGAATTGTTTTCTTCAAAAGCTCTTCGAGAGTGTTTTGGCTTTGCACAGTAGAGACATTGCTGGGGGTGGATTTCGATAATTTTCCAAATCCCAGAGTATCGGATCCGTTACTAAGAACAGTTTCTGAGCCTTGCAGGGTTCTAGGAATATCTTTGAAAGGGTTGATGCCAGACTCCGAGATTTTTCCAAGCCCTAGAGCATTGGATCCGTTGCTGATAAGGACATCCGAGCGTTTCGGGGTTCTAGAATGATTTGAGGAAGGGTTGTTGGGGTACTCCGAGATTTCTAGAGTCTCGAAACTGTTGCTAAGGACATTCTTCTGGTCGGTCATATTGGCTTGACACAAGTGGAATGCAAAGCAGTGAGATCAAGTAGGAAATTGATAGGAAGTGAGTAACCTTTGCAGCCTTATATATCCCCTCAGGTCGCAGTTTTGTTGTGCTACAGGGATTGTGATATGGCTCGGTCTCAACCTATTGATGCGAAGCGCCAACATTGGAACCAACAATTTATTCTTTACACAGCCACTATCTTCGTGCGGCTGGCGTCCACAACTGTATGGTTGGTAATAGACCTTAGTCCTTGGACCGGTACTTTTTGTTATTGCTGCTCTCGTCTCTCCAATCGTGCAAGGTTCTTGGTCATGAGGCTCAACATCTACAACGTTCGAATGCCATAATTGGCTGGAGAAGAGGCTCTCCACTTACGTAGCCAATAACCGTATGTCACAAGGCACGGCCCGTCACTGGACCGACTGTCTATTTCCGAATTTGATTTGGCTTAAATTTCTCTTTTCTGTATCTATTTATTGAGAACATAAGGGAAAACCCCATATTTTCGAAAGAAGTCAGCAAGATTAGGGGGGAATTGGTACGTTAGTGTGAATGGGTAGTTGGCCTGGGAGTGGTAGGGCTACATTGCAAAAATAATGCTTCTATGTATCCTCGGGATTAAATTATACGAATCAAGGGGAATCAACATATAGATGGTGCAGGCACATATATTGCGTTGTAGAGTGTGTAAATATTGTTGGATTGTTGGAGATAATCGAAGCTAGGCAGCCACAACCTTCAAATCAATAGGGCGAGCTAACAATCATCTATGTAATTCAAGCCTGCCGCATGGGGCTGTTTGCCTGGTGAAAAAACAATGAGCACTTATGTTGCAGCCTATCAGCTGAATTCGAATAATCTTCACTGATTGCCCCAAATTATACCCCTGGAATGCCACAAGCGTTTAGATTGAGCACAGCCATCAGGGCGATAGTACATAGCAGTGCGGCTGAGTAGTATTCGACTTGGTAGTTGCCTTTGTCACACATGACACTTTGCACAAGTACTCTGCAATCTATATGGAATCTTCGAAAGGTTAAGGCAGCATCCGTGGCCTTCAAACCCTTTTCTGATCCCAAGACATTCTGCATTTGCTCTCTTTATCTCAGCCGGGCTTAAGCATAGGTTTTGTAATTTTTGGGTCCATGATCTATGCTTGGCCGGTCTTGGGATGGTTGATATTAGTCGATGCGTATTCTGATTTATTTTGATGAAATTAAAATAGCAATAGACCACTTGATGTACTTTGTACACTGAAATAATGACCAGAGTGTTCAGATTTCTTACAAAATTCCATTTCAGCTATTCAATCGCAAAAGTACCCCTGCATGACTAGGCGCTGGCTAGACTTGCGGGGCTGTACAATAGGCACTGCCTCAACATCTCTGATAGGCAGTCTTGCAGGCTGCACTCACCTGGTATTTTCAAACCCCATCGGCTTCAGCCATGACGGTAACCAAGGGCCCAGGAGGTGGAACTTGAATTTTGAGGAGCGGCCGAGCGTTTTTAGGAAGCATGGGAAGTCTGGGTCTGAGTGTCTTTGGCGAGTCAATTAATCTAGTCCGGCTACCGCAGGGCGAGTTTGTCATGTTACTACCCAGTTGCCCATGTTTGAGCCATATCCTTTTACAGCATGCATACTAAGTATATCTTCATTTATCAAATCCTCGAGACTCCGGTTACATACGACTATAAGGTCTGGAGAACAGGGCTTTCCATCTGCTCTGCCCAAGCCACGCCGGTGAGTTAGTACTTGGATGAATGACCACCAGCGAGTCCTCTATCAATGTTGAGTCTATGAGAGCTTTTCACGGAAGAACTGACGATGGGACCTTTTGAATAGGCAACAGGGAAGTCCGCATCGTTTTACACCACATCCGAGATAAATTCCGATTCATTCAATACCAGAGGCTCAAAATTAAAAGCAATGTTCTTCAACTATACAGTTCACACTTGTGTTCTCAGTGCGCAGTCCTGGGATTTGCAACCTTTTTATAGCATCCATGCGAAAATCACAAAAGCACTGACAGCACTGAGAGAAATTGGTGCATGGGTCCGGGTGGTGCCGCTGGTAGGTTGCGTCGAATTTCGGCAAAACATCGCGCTTCTAGCGCTCGGCAAACGACCCGAGTCCACAAGCTCCGTAAATGGCGTGCAATTGAAATGGGTAGAGTTGGCTGATGGAATAACCCGAAAGGTCTTCAAGGCTGAAGGAGGAAATTGACTATCCAACGGGGCCTTTTGCTGGACCACAAAGGGTTCACTGTTCTCCCAGGTAAGCTTTTTTGACCACTCCGTGGCTGCAAGCGAGGGAAATAAACATACAAGAATGCGTTTCCTGTAGTTACATCCACCATATCAATGTATGAGACATTCCTTGGCCAGTACCACGTCTGAATGCGATTGCCTTTCTCGTCATGGTCGTATATCGACGTCAAATTTAACTCTGGGGCGGATGAGATATGAAGTTCAAAACCGCCTGTCCAATCTAGGGCTTGAGGGGGAAGGATGATGGATTTCATAGGATGTGTCTCGGCGCGTCGCTCAATCATGAAAGAGCGGAGATTGTCAAACGGTAGTTCCAGACGAGTGATATCAACGGAGCTTGATATCACTAAAGTATCAACCTCGAGTGTATTGACCTGTGCACTACGCTTAAGATCCGTAACACCATCAGAGAGCCTGAGTTCTTCGACGGCCATCGCTGTTGTTGAGGAGCCTCCCAGAGTGACAGATGAATTGTCCTTGATTATGAGGTATTTTGCAGACGTGAATCCAATAGGAATATTGTCGACGTTTGGGAATGGACCTTCCAACGTCGCTTCTCGCAGATTGAGCTGATTATCAGTCAAACTATCAAGCGAATTAATCTGCATCGGGTGAATATGCAATTTAGTCACATTGCGCAACCTTGTGTGGTGGAGCGTGGTGAGATTTGGGGCTGAAAGCGTAATGGTTGACGCGGTATCCAGACTCGTGATGTCCAGGTACTTTAGATTGTAAGCATAGTCTCCTGCCTCAAAATAGTCATTCACGCGTTTGAGATTGGGAAGTGTGAGGTTCATTATTCTAGTGTCATAGGCTCCAAACTCGACTGCATCGACTCCTCTCAAAGATGAACTGGAGAGTGTGTAATAGGGCTGAGTGGAATATTCGTGCCGGGAAGCAGGATATTCCCCAAGGGTGCCTGCGATCAATTCGATACCGTCGAGGTTGATATGTACAGTGGAGTCGCCGTCAAATGGACCGATACCAACATGACCAATGACGATTGGACAGTTCCGACGAAGCGCATCTGCATCAGCTTGGGATCTGATCCAAGTTGAGTTGCAAACAGCAGCGAAGGCATCTGAAGATATAAGTCTAGATACTAAGGAAGTTAAAAAGGAAGCGAGAGTTTACTTACTGGAGAAGCATATCGACACCGCTAGCAGTTCTGCGATCACCGATGCACGGGAAAAGCCGAACATGTTGAAATGATTGATGCGGAAAATTGCAGATCACCGTTCATAATAGCCGCAGGACGTGGGGCGTAAGTAGAAATGAACTAACTCATCCTGAGCCCCTGAGAAAAAAAAAAGTCGCAGGTGCCACTTCCGGGCGGCATTAGTTCAAACATGCCAATTCAACAAACAGATAACGTAACATCGGGGCTCTGCCAGGGCTCTTTTAGGGAGATCTGATTGGGGGCAGGGAGCGGAAACCAGGGCGCCGAGCTCTTGGCAGCCTTGGAAACGTCTTGGCCTCGCTTTTGCCTAGGGAATCAGGCCGCGTATGACTCGACATCCCCACCAACTAGGTTCAGGGCTGACTCACAAATATAATGGTAGCTTTCCTTTTGGCTTGAAATCCTTGAGGGAGATGGACTTGCTTTGGGGGGTCAACTGGGACCAGAGGCATACGGCGTTGGGTCTTTGCTACTACGAGGCGATCTGAAATGAGACTTTGCCTCCTTTCCGTCTCACGCCTCGCTGAATTAGTCTTGGAAAATGAGATGGTCTCATGTTACCTGACTTGCTCTCTAGACATTAGCGCTTTGTCTGACTATAGCTACGGCAAGTCGTACAACAAAGATATTTTTTTCAATATCGTAGGTAAAATATTGCGCACCCACAAATGAGTTCATTTAATGGTCAGTATGAGCTTTGAAACGATAATAGATATAAGCGACTATACGCATGACCGAGAGGCCACATTAAAGTTTTAGGGAGTATGTAGATCGAAGGCGAGGGATCTTTATATAAAGACTGTTCATCAAGCCATCATGTCAGAGATGTAGAGTCTTGAGATCCGATCCACGGTTCAGCGCTTCACATAGCTTGCTTTCCTTGGGTTTCGATTGGCAGGAAAATCATCGCCACAAAAGAGGCCAAGATGAGCGCGCCAGCGGCGTAAATTGGCGCAATGGGATCGGTGCTAGCATAGATACCGATAATCGGGGCCATAAGACCGGCGATCCGATTCAAGCAGCTAGCAATTCCAGATCCGGTGCCTCTGTTTGGTGCGGGGAAAACTTCGGGAGTGTAGGCATACAGCACACCGTACATGATCATTTGGAAGAAAGACTCAAGACAAGAGCACACGAGTTGAATGTTGGGATCTTTGGTAGCTGTGAAGCAGAATAGGAGGACACCCGTGATTAGGGTGGAAACTGCCATAGTGCCCTTGCGGCCAATATACTTGATATCAACTGTGACCCAGCCAAGGAGTGGGCCTGGAATTCCACAGACAGCAGTAATGGCGTAGTTGCGATAGGTAATATAGGTGGAAGAGTTGGCGCTCAGATATTGAGGAAGGAATGCGTTGAACAAAGTGTAGCCCATTCCAATGCATGTCCAGCAGAACCAAATCAGGATAGCTTTCATCAATGTTAATAAGAATGCCAATAAATGAACCAAGGAGTCAGATACTTACTCGAAACGGCAAGACGCTTTGTTCGGAACAAGGGCTTGATTTGTTGGACAGAGAATCTTTCAAGGGACCTTTTGATGATTTCTCCGGTAGACAAAGACTGCTTCTCCTTAGCCTCCTCGGGGTATCCACCAATTTCGTTCAATATTTCTTCGGTAAGCCAGGTAGTAGTCTTGTTCTTGTGGGCAATTCCTTGGACTGCAGCTACGGCTTCGGCTTGACGTCCACGCGAAACCAAAAACTTTGGCGACTCGTACAGTGTAAAAAGGAAGAATCGACAAAGGAACATGGCGAAGGTGATGGCGCCTAGCGTCAAAACAAGGTATCTCCAGCCAAAGTTGTTTGCCTTGGTACAGGTTGCAAAGCTCTCACAAGAATTGCTTGGGATGAAAGCCCAGGCAAGCATACTGGTCAGGTATTAGTTTGGAAGACCACAAATAGAAGTTGTCTTGAAGACGAACCTAGCAATCAGTGTACCGACAGACCACCATGTGGCAAGTCCACTCAAGATATTGGTTGAGTTGGGAGGCAAGCACTCCAGGAAAACAGCCGCATCCACGGGCAGGTTTCCGCCGACACCCAGACCCAAGCAAGCATATAATGCACAAGTGCCAATCCAGTTAGGTCCACCTCCAGCGGCGAGACCAAAGGTACCGCAAATGCAAAGAGTCATGTTAAAAGCCGGACGGCGTCCAATGGCATCGGAAGCAATACCCCAAAAAGAGGCACCAACAATAAGACCCACGAAGAGAGCACATGTTGCAAAGCGAGATTCATTCTCGGAGATACCAAACTCTTTGGAAATGGGCGTTAAAGTGAGTGCAACTCCCTACATTTGATTAGACCACAGCTCCAGAATGAGCAGAAACACATATCATACCTGTAGCCAAAGGCTAAAAACGAAGCCCGTTAGAAAAATGATTAATAAAATCGTGAATTCAGGATTTGCTTACTTGTCTGCAACCCAGCCCATTCCACAAAGCACAAAAAGACCCCATTGATAGCGTCCCATACCAATATCCTGGACTGCTCTGTTGATCACTTTTGCCTTCCCTGTAAATTATCGTTAGATCTAATACCAAGCATCAAAGTTTGGCGGCGAAAGAATGTCTTTTCCGACTTGATAAGACAAGACTGGATAGTCATATAAACGTACTATCGTAAGCAGTGTCATGGCCTGAAGCATGAATGTCGGCTTCAACTTCTGCCCTAAGAGCTTCCAGAGTCAGTGTGCTACCTGCACGAGTACCAGCGGCACCCTTCTCCTGGGAAGATGCCCTGTCGAGACCACTGTTGGAGTCATCGTCCTGGTTGTCATTTGCTTTCGGAGGCGAACCATGGGCTAAGGGAACCACAACCTCGGGGAATGAGCGTCGCTCCCGATTGGCGAAAAGATCTTTCCAATTCGGCATGTTGATTAGGAATTTGATATCGCAACAGGGCAGCTGTAAGATTGAGTCGCTTGGCAAATTGACCGATTGTTGCAACGGATGAGTCGGTTTGTCGTATATAGCTCTTGCGTGAGGGCTAGATCTACCGTTCTGCTTGGGGATGTTGTTACTAGAACCTTTCACCAAGTCTAATGATAAAAAGTGGCGCAATGGAAATAAAAGTCGTGGCTGCAAGGGCTGTCCGAGACTGATTCGCAAGTGTATTCCGAAAAAAGCGCAATGGAACAAGGGAATGCGAATGCAATCAAAGTTGGCGCGACGGGATAGGATGCAACTATTTGCTGCTACTTCAGAGCCTTGAACTTTTGCGAAGCTGTTGAGTGAGATCGAGTTTGTTTGGAGAATGAACTATATAGTCGTGTCTCGTGCTTAGTATCGTGAGAGTGAATGCGACAATACGTCGAGCCAGATCAGGGTAGGCAATGTCGCAAAAAGCCAAAGAGGAAAGATGAGAGTGAGAAAAAGAGCAGAAAAGAAGAAAATCCGACTATATCACTCTACAGAGCTGGAGGGATAGAGCTTGAGGTAGCAAAGGCTCGGCGAAAGGGGAATTCGCAATTTATAAAATGTTCGAAAATCTCTCAAGTCGTTAGATAATATCAAGCCGATGAGTGGACTGATGGGTGGACCTTGTATGATATTGACCAACCACGCTGCATCCATGTGGCCCTATGGGTCAAGCTCCAGCCTCTGATGTAGGTGTGTCCGCCAAGTCTACCCACACTGGGTCCAGCGTACCTTTCCATATTGAGCAGGACGATTGAGATCCGTCTTCGGCGGCCAAGAGTCTTAAGCGAGGATAGGTTCAAATACACAGAGCTTTTAGTTTCGAAAAACCTGGTTTTATAGCACGTCTTTCCACTTTTCTAAAATTGACTTAGCCGGCGAAAATATTCAATTCACTTAAAACTACAACATATTGATGTCGGTGAGCCCCAGAAGGTCTTCCTTCAAGGTTTACTTACGCAGGGTGCGAAGAAGATTCAGCACACGTCCGATGTGGACTGTTCACGGTGGGTCTGCCCGCCCGCGGAATTTATGCTGACTAACCCCGCCCCGCCCGAGCCATTCTCGGGGACATCGTCGGGCCGGCGCATATCCGGTTGCATTTGGACAGTTCACACCTTCATTTATCACTTCTGTTGAGCTTGGTAATTCCGGGCTCTCGTGGAAAGATTTCTTGTTAGCTCTTTTATTATCTGTCATATTGAAATTCCATGCATTGGCCCAAGAATTCCAATCAAACAAAGGTAAGACAGTTCGATTCCATCAAATACCAGTCATGCTTGAAGCACCTCTCTATGTTACCCTGTATAGTATAACAAGCATGTGCGTGGCTATTTGCACGCCATTCGGTAAAGCCTCACCTATCTATCTTCATTCAGAACACGACCTGTGAGACATTTCTGTTGTCTGAGACTTTGATGTTCTTCATCATCAGTACCCATGCAATGGATAGGCACATGATTCCAGTACCAGTGATCAACATAATTCGCTGAGTGAAGGCATACGCATCTTGAATGGCGATGCGAGTGATTGAGCCCATGGGGTAGCTGAGCTGAACCTCCAATGACTCGTAAATTTCCGACCAGGCTTCCTTCGTCTCAGCCGGAAGATACTCTCGCAGTTTCCGAGGGAGTATATTGGTCCAAATAGCGCCTGAGACACTGTTACCCACAGCACCACCCAGGTTACCGAAGGTGCTCAACAAGGCCAGCATGGCTGCGTAGTCTTCATGCTTGGAGGCGGCAAGAACCGAGACTTGCTCAATAAGGATCAAGGTACCCCCACCAACAGCCAGGAAGATCTGACACATGCACATATACCCAACGCTGTGACCAGGAGAACGGAAATAAATCATCAGTCCACTAGCTAGAATGTACAGGGGAACGGCACATAGCAATAACCACTTGAAACGGCCGGTCACTCGAATCAAATAGCCACACCCAATAAGCCAAACAGGATCCATGAAATCGAAGATAGCGCTGATGTAACCGGCTTGAGTGAGGCTGGTTCCGTAGACAACCTGCAGAAATGAAGTGAAGTAGGTTGCCCAGCAATAATATGACACCTGATAAGTTATATCAAGAAGACAGGCACCGATGACAGTGCGGTTGATGAGTAAATGAGAGGGAATGAAAGGCTTTTGTGCCCCCCAGCGCTCATAGGCCACAAAGCCAACTAGAACGAAAAAGCCAACCACCATCAGAGCAATAATTTTGGCAGATTTCCATTCGTCTTCGGTGTTTCCAGCAATATTAAAGGAAATGAGGAAAAGAATCAAGCCACCAATCATGAGAAATATTCCAATCACTATTTATTATAGACCCTTGTATTAGCTTCGATTGTTCAATTCAAGAAGACATAATGAAATCTGTGAAAAAAAAGGCTCACCGTCAAATTCAATTATGTAGAACGTAACACTTTCCCCCCAAGTACGGGCAACATGTGGCTTGTACTGTAATCGCCCCTCTTTGTCTGCTTTCCGCTTGGCTAGCTCCCAGGTTATGATCAATGGAAGCGCGATGACTGGAAGAATAATGCAAATTGTTCCATAGGCCCATCGCCAGTTGGTCTCATGAAATTGATTAGACAAGGGAGAACCAGCAAAAGCGGTGATAACAGAGGGTGAGGAAGTAAAAGCGAAGGCGATTCCTCGATTGCGCAACGAGGAGGTGTCGGATGTCAACACATCGACACAGAATATGACACCAGTGAGACCAACTGTGTAAAAGGCCTTGAACCAATTAGCTTTTAGATCGGTTTACGGAAGATTCATATGCAAGATGTTAAGAATACCTGTGCAGCGCAGTAAGTGGCAATGTTGGTACAGCTAGCCATCATTATCAGACCCATTATGGCGATTAACACCATGATACCGATACCCACGGTACGATCCCAGATATTTAAGACTTTGGCGATGGGCATTAAGCATGCCGCACTCATAACACTGGTGACAACACTGATCACTGTAAGCAGGGAATGCTCCGAGAATTCGCTGGTGATGTATGCCGAAAGGTTCGAAGTCAAGCTCGATTGGAGTGCATTGACAAAATACAAAAGCCACATGCTGAATTTTTTGGAATATGTTAGAGAAATGGAAGTTAGAGTCTTTTAGTAACAACACTTGCCAGGCATATACTGTGATGAGGGAGCTTTTGGACCACGAAGCGGTGATTGCTTCCGCAACACGAACACCATCCTGTTGATCTTGCTCCTTTACCACTGACAAGTGATCCAAAGGTAGTGGATCCTCACACACCTCGGTGGTTTTTGAAGGTTGCTCATTGACCATGATGACTTCAATGAATAAAAATTGAGCAATTTTGGCTCAGTATAGACTCAGCTAGGGATTTTGGTTTAATTGAAGACAAGTTTTACTGCTTCCGATCATACCGAGTTATATAAAATCTTATTTGGATGCATGGTTTCTTTCGGACAAAAGATCAAAGCAGTTAATGCGATCAAATTGTGGAGCTGTTTTGACTAGTGTAATTTGAGGATGGTCTCACTTGTTATAACGAGTTCATGGTTACACCAGGGACCACTTAATCAAAGGCTAAGGATTTTCCCACAGTGTGGGCATCACGATGTGAGACAGCCACAAACCACAGCACTCAGAAAGCATTATGTTTCTTACATGGCTTACATAGACATAGCATTGGTAGTTTACCAATGCTTGCTAGGATGCCCAGCCCTGAATCGGCAACGTAAGAATTGCAAAGGTCTGAAAGAATAAGGTAAATAAATGATATCCGAGAAACTTGGTCAGCATGCTGGATCTTATCAGATTTTGTAATTACAGTACATTTGAAGCATTTAGGCTTGAGCCTTTATCAATCTCGTATGATATGGAGACAAACTAACCGAATATTATGACTGTTGCCTAGACAGAGCAGCCTGGTACGCTCAAGGATCATCTCTCTATGGGCTAATTGGTAGTACATTGTACTTTGACTAAAAGGTGACCCACAGAGTGGGTCACATTCATGGACCCTGACTATGATATTTATTGTCGAGATGAATGGGGATACTTTGCTGCCTAAATCTAGATCCAGATCGATCTTCAATATTAGTCTTCCCAGAGAAACAGTTGCAGACCGGAGCCCGCGTGCACCGGTGGACTGCCATAGCAACCCCAAATTGAACAGTATGAGTGCTTTCAACTGTATATAGAGGAAAATATTCTCTTATTTCGGGAGGCGAAAGATAGATACCCGGTGATTAGCCTTCCTGCCAATCCAATATATTTAATGTGTTTGCCTCTTTCCATGTTTTGATCCCAAAACCGCCCGTACATCTCTGATACAACAAGCAGACTGTCGACTTAAGGTACCCCCATGCCTGTTATGAGGCAACATGTAGAACAGTCTACTTTACAGCAACAAAGCCGGTAGATTTTCTCAAATAGGATCGCATTTATCAAGCAACTGCAGTTTGGAAATTAATCGCTGGATTCATAAAGAAGGTCTCAAGGAATGAATACTGGGCCATATTAGCGGGGACGATTTGATGTGTTTCAATAGCACCTATAGACAGTAGAAATGTACACAAACAACCTGATAGGCTATACACAATGAAGCAAAAAGCAAAGGTATTCGGCTATAGGATAAGGAAAAAACTTCAAACTACCCTCGTAAGTCTGCTCAAACTGCCCTTACCACCCTTCCAGCGGGGTGAGCAATGTAATGACACCGTCCTTGGGCGAGACAGTGGCCCCCTCCCGAACTTCCAGCTTGGCGTCAGGGAATTTTAACTCCATATGAAATCTCCCAACCATAGCAGCAAGCAAGCAAGCAAGCTCTGATTTAGCAAAGCCTTGCCCAATGCAGCTTCGGGGACCATGTAAGAAAGTCAAGAATGCATAGTTGCTGGATGCGCCACCGGTATTAGCTTTCCCAGGACCCATGAACCTGTCCGGGTTGAACTCATCCGCGTCATGCCCCCACAATTCTTCCATTCGATTGAGAATTTTTGGAGAGAGAGTAAAAGTGGTATCCTTGGGGATATGTTTTCCAGCAAGCGTCGTATCACGCACAGCCTTGCGGATTGTTGTTGAGACGGAGGGGTAGAAGCGGAGGACCTCATTGCAGACTGCGTTGAGGTAGGGGAGGTTATCAATTGCGGCTGCGGAGATCGGAGTTTTATCGTCAAGAGAGGGGAGATTGTCACGAATCTCATCCCTAAGTCGGGTTTGGACGCCTGGGTTCTGGCACAGCGCATAGATAGCCCATTGGAGAGCCGAGGCGGTTGTTTCGTGTCCTGCGCCCAGGAAGGTCATACATTGGTCGACGAGGTTTTCTTCATCAAAGGTGCCGCTCGTTAGGGCAACGGAGATTATGTCAATGCCGGTTTCGGCTTTGGGGTCTTCCATTTTGGCTTTCTTTTGGCGGATCATTTGCCGAGCGACGTTGCGGATCACCTCGCCGCCTTCTGTGATCTCTTTGTTGCGTGTTGTTGGTAGATTCTGGGTCCAGGTAGGGTCGCCCAGAAGCATGCCGACAACGAAAAGGATCTTCATGTACAAAGGGGGCGACGCCATAATCTGGCGGTAGGATTGATTGAGTTTGTTGTTGGGGTCCTGGAGAGAATCGAAGTCGTGATCCATGCCAGCGACACCGATAATATCTAGCGTTGCCCGACTGGCCCATGTGGAAATTTGGACCGTTTTGTCGGTGCCGGTGGCACTCTTTCTGCTGGGTGTACGTAGGTCTTGTTGGATCATATTGACCATTTCTACACTCTTGGCCCAGAATACTGGATACAGATCTTTGATGTGGCGATATGAGAACGCTGGCATGAGATTCTTGCGTTGAATCTAAGATGATGGATGTTCAGTAAACCTTGTGGGTACATGAGCTACGTGCAAAGGGAGTATTCGGAGTCATACCTTATGTTCTTCGCCCTCGGCAAGTAGAATTCCATCGCCGGTGATACGTCGCAGGCTCTGCCGAACCAACTCAGGTTTCTCGAAGTCATACACTTTAGTCACCAGTATTTCGCTGAGTGCTTTCGGGCTTGTGCAAATCACACGCTCAAGATTTCCCACAAGATAGTAGCGAAGAAGATCTTCATTGGGCATGGTTTTAGTCCATTCCTGCAGTTGTGGATACGGGGTTTCCAGCAAGAGACTCTGCGTATTTCCTCGCAACCAGCCACGATCCTAGATATTATTAAACAACGTGATTAAATGGACGTGGTGGGCATACCTTGGGTGAATGAATATGTTTCAACGGAGTGAAGTATTCTGGGTATAGAACAAATTGATAAATGAACTTTGAAGCTGTGATGAATGCGAGGAACACGATCCCGGTCACAATCCTGGAGTTGAGTATGGCATATTCAGGCTTGAGGTATATCCCAGCTGCGACGCCAAGATAGAGAATGGTAAAGCTGCCATTTATTCGCCCCATGGCCGAGATTGCAAGTACTGAAAATAAGAAAAATGTGGATTTTTTTTCAATTCAGATCTCAAACTCGTAAGTGAGATTTCAATTTGTACTACGTTTCAACTGGTGAATTCCAGTGGGGCGCCTGGCGATTATCCTTGATCCAAATTCCCCGCGATTTCAAAATGTGACAGTGTGGAGATGGAAATAGGGAGATTTGAGTGGCAGATTTCAGTATCAGAACTTTTCTTTCGAATAATAGAAGCGTTGGATTGGAAGCAGGACGAACCTTACGACATAAAGGTGATTTCTAACGAGCGGCACGGGATTGGATTTAACCCGATTGCTCGCAAAATATACCGCATTAAGCAAGGGTGGATTAGCGAATTGACCCCTGATATCCTCAACACAATATTCTCAAGATTCATGTAAATTTGAGCTTGACTAAATATATATTGTACGATTATACACTACATATGGACGTAGTTCGAAGAACTGATGCATCTACCCAGGTGCATGATGATTAGATACGTCATCGTGCCTGATGCCCACGGGCAGGGCTGGGATTCAATTAATTGAACTTTGACCTTGGGTTCAACAATCATGTTATCGATTTGCTTGATGAGGATCTTTCAAGGGGATTGAGAAGAGCTTGAGCCACAAGGGAGTGTGTTTCCCTCTCGATCTTTTCATTTGGTATATGGCCATGTTGCCATTTGTGAGTCAATATATGTATAACATAGTATACAACGCTTTGCTTGACGAATTCAAGCAACATCTGACCCGGTAATTCGTTTGAACTCAGTGACTGTGTGCTGCCAGACCTTTTGCGCCATTTTCTGTTCTCTCATTCCAGACAACAACCCAACAACCTTCGGTCCAGTATGTTCGCCATCCCAATGAATACTATAAACACCACTACCAATTCCCCCATCAGTCCCCTCAGCAACGACAATCTCACCGACGAAAGGAACCCCAGCAGCCTCATCCACAGCAGCTCGAGGTGGATACTTCGCGCTCGTTGCAAAGAACAAATGCCTCTCTCCAGACTCCCGAATGGGAATGTAGATCAGAGGCCCAATAATAAGAAGAGCAATGGTCATTAACCACGTGAGAAAGGCATTAGGATCGCGACCGATCCCGGTTTTAACCGTACCGGGATAATCGTTGATAAAGGTCACTTCGGGCGCTTGCTCGGCCAGTGTTTCCAGTGCCATATCGGTCATTGAGACCACATGTCCACGCAGCTTGAGCACAGACATGTTCTTTCCTTGGAAGTCTGAAGTGTCAATAGGTCCTTCGTGTCCACCAGCTAACACGCTGACGACACGGCGCAGACTCGTTGCGTGCTTGAGGTGGGGAAGGAGATTGACGATGAATCTGATGCGCGCGTAGTACGCAGTTGCGGTCATAATGTGGAGACCTTCGGATGTATCTGTATGCAGAGTATCAGCATCAAGAGCTTGGTATTATTGTATCTTGGTGGAGAGAAAGCGGGCTCGTAATGGATGTACCTTCTCCATAACGGATGGTCCCACAGCTCAGGAACAAAAGATTGATAGTACGCTCTTTTTCTTTCAGCTCCCGGCAGACATCGTCGACACTGCGAATCAGACTAATATCTGCTTTGATGAAAATGAACTCTCCTTCAGGATTCAATTGTCGGCATTCTGCTGTGATTCGCGCTGCGGCTTCTTGGGAGCGGCCGACGAAGTACGCGCGGGGAGACCGCGCTGATCGGGCGAATTCCTTCAAGGCGGCTTCGCCAATCCCATTCGTTCCTCCCACAAACACCGCGACGAGACCCGCTGGGAGTGCGGTCTGAATCTTTGCGTTGGAGGATTGCACATCCAGTAAATGGACCATTGTGGAGAATGAAACAAAATTGTACACAGGATGCACAAAAATATATTAGACAGGAATCATATTGTTGTGCTAACTTATATTTTCTGATTCCTCGCTCCTGGATCATAAGATTTTTGCTAATCGGCGCATCTATGTGCCGTCCCGCAGCGTCGCTCGGACGAGCAAACGGACGGATTTAAAGCACCACGGACGGATTAGTCAAACGCGGAGGATGCATGGCCCCAAAATTTGTCAAAATTTTCATCAACATGGTCTTTATTTGTTTCTAGAGAGCTGAACTCCAGTCTAAGTACATGTGTACTGTCTATGCTTTACCTGGTCTGTTATGCAGATAAGGACCACCACCAGTTCCACGGCTAGCAAAGCCCCAACGGATTTGATTAGCCATGGAGATATCAACACCAAGGTCTTCAGCCCAAGCCCAGACAAGTCCTGGGTTTTTCAGGAACCCACGACCCACAAGGACAAAGTCTAAGCCATCCTTTTCGACCAAAGAGCTGGCCAATTCAGCCGAGCTGATCATTCCAACCGAGCCAACCTTGAGCTTATCTCCAACGGCTTTCTTGACAGCAACGGCGAATGGCGCCTGGAAACCAGCCTTGGCATGGATATGCTGCTTCTCGTGATTGCCACCGCTGCTGATATCCAAAACATCAATGTCACCGCTCTCAGCCAACGCCTGCGCAAACTTGACTGTGTCTTCGACGCGCCAGCTGGGTTTGTCCGCCATGGCCTCTTCCAGCCAGTCAGTTGCCGAAACTCGCAGGAAAATAGGCATATCATCCGGGACATTCTCGCGCGTGAGCTTAGCGATTTCGAGGGAAAGCCGGATACGATTTTCAAAGCTACCGCCATACTCATCGGTTCGGTCATTGGTCGCAGGTGAGAGGAAGCTCATGAGCAGGTAGCCGTGGGCATTGTGGATCTCGACAAAGTCCACACCAGCCTTGAGAGCACGCTTAACAGCTGCAACCCAATCTTTCTTGAAGGCCTCGATCTCAGCCTTAGTCATTGCCTGCGGCGTAGGGAAATTCGGATGGAAAGGCACATTGGAAGGCCCTTTGACATTATCAGGCCAGCCGCCGAACTCCGCAGGCGCTGTATCCGCCTTACTCAACCAGGGAGCGACGGTGCTGGCCTTGCGACCTGCATGCGCGAGCTGCACACCGATCACTTGATTCTGGGAGTGGATGAACTCGACTACGCGGCGGAGCGGCTCAATCTGCGAGTCTTGCCACAGGCCGTGATCCTCGGGGGTGATTCGGCCGTTGGCTTGCACCGCGGTAGCTTCCACCATTAGGAAGCCCGGCCCGCGTTGCGCAATGCCGCCCAGATGCGCCATGTGCCAATCAGTCATGTGGCCATCTTGGGCGCTGTACTGGCAAAGCGGGGAAAGGCCGATCCGGTTGTGGAATTTAACACCTCGCGCGGTGAAAGGCTGGAAGAGCTTGGGTGGTTGTGTGCCGTCGGATTGAGGGATTGCGGCGGTTCCAGCAGGGGGAACCTGGGCTGGGGTAAAGTAGGAGATCCCTGCAGCGGGCTTGTTCTGGATCTGCGGGGCGGCTGGCATGCTGGGTGTATGTGGTATGTCCGATGCTATACGTATGAGCAATTGGAATGTTTGACAACAACTGGAGGATAGTTGGCAATTTATATGTGCTCTGTCATATACAGACGGCAACCCCACTAGATTATAAATGCGATTTACTCGCCCCCAGTTGCGATGAACTGACGTCACCATTGGGGAAGGTCCAATGAGGATAGCTCCTAGGGTGATAAGAGATGAGGCCATAAATGCATTCTTGAGACAGTTTCACCCCCATGATGCTGGTTTAACTGGAATGGGCATATTAGCCGTTGAGTATAGATGAAAGTCTCATGCCACGTTCGTATCCAAGGATTGTGTTAGCGGTCGGGGGACGCCCGCAACTGCAAGCCGTAATTAGCGCTTAGAAGATGTTTCAGCGGAAGATGCTTTTGAATCTTGGCAGTGTTGAGAAGCGTACAACTATTGACCTAGATCAATAGTCTAAGCTTCGTAGTAAGCACATGTACTTGAACTCTTGTGACATTGAGGGCCCCCGAACAAATGGCTGAAAGAGACGGCAGAAATGAATCGACACCTTAGGTGTTATGTTAATTGTTTGTTGACTCCGAGTTTTTGCTGCCAAGCGGCACAACGAAAACAAACGAGAACAAATCGAACAGCTGCCAACAACAGCACCCTAATATAGCAGTTGAAAAGCGCCATAAGGTTTGCCAACATCGGTGATGCCCAAAGCTCCAAGGCGTCACAATGTGTACAAATTCGCGTTCTGGGAATATGGGCGGCTACCTAGGTACGTTATTTATTTGGGGGAAGGTTAGTCGCGTAGAGAGCTTATAATCAACAAGCAACTTCATTCAGAGAGGTAGTGATAGTACGCGGAAGGAAAGACGGGGTAAACACAAGACCTCCAACAAGACACTAAAGAATATATGACAACTTAGTGTTTTCGGGAATGTTAACATTTTTTCAACCTCGATAGTATGATCTTGCTACGTATAACTACGCAGATATGTATGTTGTTATATAAAGTTACATGAGTGGATTGAAGGCCAGTGGTAAAAAGTTCTGTTGTAATAGTCCGCGAGTGTGTATGTCAACGGCGCTTAAGTACACGGATTTCCCCGGCGCGTGCTGGGGGCCAATAATAATGAACCGAATGAGCAGAATGGAGTCAGTCGAGGACTTAACAATTCCGATGCCCCATCTGTTTCAGGTCTCAAGACATTTTTGAAAGTGGACCAGTGGGGAAATAGCCGTTGTGTGCACGGAGTATTCCATAGCAATCAGAATCGATCTATGGAAACGAGAATGCTTTTGTTTAGACTATTAAACCATTGTGAATAAGATCAATAGCACGAAAGGAAGTAATTGAATAGAACAATGTAGAGTATAAATAGTAGAATACAGAGATAAAGGAAAAGAATTGTGTACAAACATTGTATCTTCAGCCCTAAGATAAAGGACGACTTCCCGCGTCTCCACTTCTGTTGAACTCCTCTTTCTTTGTGTTTCACTTTCTTTTCCCCTTTCTCCTTCTTTGACCTACCCACCTTCTCTTATACCTGTCATTGAGTTTTGCTCTACAAGGCTGAAAAAAGCCCTTGCTCATTCATTCACACTGATCATTCTGATCCCCAGCCCATTCACGGCAATTGCGCATTCTTTCTCCACAATCCGTTGATCGTGCCCCTTTCTTGGCGAAGAGATCGGCACGTTCTGTTTGTTCAATCAAGTTGCTGTTCTTGAAGGGCCAACAAATGCCAATGCACTTCTGAAACACCAAGCGCTTTATTGTCAATCCATACATGTGGCTTGAAGTCCTCAATACCTGACAGCCTCCTGGCCTCCCGCAGTTATGCGCCATTCGCGCGGCTAAGACCAATCTTTCTACTCCATCGCTCGGTTCCCTAGAGCTTTGCTTCACTCTTTCCTTAAACATCTACACCTGTCTCTACACCTAAATTGCGACTTTCCCTGGCTGGCCCGCGGAAGTCGACTCTCTCAACTGTTGGTCATTCCACCTCCCGCTTGACACCTTAGAACCGCCTCTGGCAGGACCAGGTCTATCGCCACGATGATGTGCGGTGGAGATCGAGAGAAGGGAGAGGTGGCTTTGGAGGAGCAATGGGACTATGTGGTATGCTCACGCGATGAGTGCTGAATTGACAACGGGATATACTGATCATATCCTTATAGAACCTGAACGACTTCAAATCCGAGTCTTGCTGGCCACCTTTCTCATACTTCTTTGTATGGGTATTTCTTTTGATTTCTATCGCTGTTTACGGCGTTGATACATTTACTGCAGTCAATTTGCTGGTTTTTTCCCGCTGGTCTGGCAAAGTTCAACCAGCCATTCCTTTCAATATCTCCCGATGGATCTTCGCCGCCTGTATCATTGCATCATTCATTATTCTGGCATACCGATGGTTCAATGCCATCAGTGCGATGCGCTCCGGTAGTATCACTCGCAGCTTCTTGGACCCTCTCGCCGTGCGCGTTCAGAGTGTCCGCCCCGGCAAGCAGGGTCGTGGTTATAGAAGATTCCTAGTCTTTGCTGAATTGACAAAAGACCGCAAAGCTGCTGAATATATTGGTCTCTTCGCATACTTCTCTTTCCGATGTGAGTTACCATCTAAAGTCCACTGGCTTTCTGAACGTTTCTAATTTGAGGTTTTAGCTTGCTTGATCACAATCTTTGCGGACGGACCACGTCAAGTTATCAATGCGATAACTCTATATTCAGTCATGCAGATGGATCTCATCCCCGGCGGAAAGAATGCTCATGACGATGGCAGCTCGTCAATTAGTCAATTTTTCAACAATGTCAAGATACTAGCTGAGGAGAACAACAACCAAGCTTTCGTCTTGTTTGGTATGCTGTTCACTCTGATAATCTGGGCATTTTCGGTTCTCAGGCTGATCTCGGCGGTCGTACTTTACGTGATCTTTCTAAATCACCATATTCCAACTTCGGATAAAAATCTTTCGGGGTACTGTCGCCGCAAGGTTACCTCACGTCTGAAGCGCATCGTGCATCGCAAAAACACCAAGGCATTGGCGAAGGGACTCAAGTTACGAGACCGCCTACCAACTCAACCAAGTTTGCCGACGTTCGATTCAACGCCAACCCTGCCTTCTACCACCGGGGACAAGGGCCTATCGCGCAGCACTACTCAAACCACGTTGCCGCCTTACTCGCGGTCGAACTCGTCCACCGCCCCGTTTCAAAATCCTACACTACCAAACTTGGACTTCGATCCCAAATCCCCGCCGGCGCGGACGGCCACGTCATCTTCAGTAATGTCTGAGTCTGCTTCCCTGACGGGAAATGCGGCTGGAATGGGATACAGTGACCTCGATAGTCAGCAACCGACGCTTCCGCCAGTCCCTCCTCTACCTGATAATGTTCCGTCAAGGATGGTTACCCCTCACTCGCGAGCAACTCCTGCGTCATATGGGAATGAGATTGGCCACATTGGTCAAAACACTGGATATCGCAACCTGACCGATGACAGCTCGGAATCTCGGCCGTATCGAACTTATACACCGGCGCCTGAATATAGCTCGGCCGATCCTGCTGGCTCCGAGGATAACGCTTATCTCAACCGTGGTCACACCTCGCCCCAGTACGACCCATATGGACCGAGAGGCGCGCCTCCCTTCAACCAACAACATGATCACTATCACCAAGATCCTTACTCTACGCGATCCTACACCCCAGCTAGTACAGGAGGAACGCCTGTTCCTTCTCGCTCATACACACCGGCAAGCTACATGCCCACACGTACGCCAGCTGCATCGGTGCAACCTGCACCAAGGACGTTCACACCCATGAGCTCGACAATACCCGCACCTCAATACAGTGAATATGCAGCTTTTAACCCACCGATGCCATCGCAAACACCCCACCCTCGCTCGCAGATATACCCAGATCCTTCCAACTACAACCGAGCGCAAACCGCATCACCATCTGCTATGCGCCGATCACCACCGGACTATTCGGTTAATCGCTCGAATACTCACCATAACTGATGTTCTTCTTATGAAAGCAGAGAGCTGGCTCTTTGTGTTAAATGCCTGGATCACCTATGTATATTGATCACGACCAGCGAGAAAGTCTCGCTTCTACATACCCCATTTCCATTACTTTGATATCCTTTACTTCTTCTTTGATATCCTTTACTTCTTCCGATGGCATGAATTGATCTTTACACTTTCCCTCGCGGCTGATTGCAGTGATTGATAGACGAATAGTTTGATAGATGAATTAATCGTCTGGATATCCATTATCCTCCTGGTCAGCTCATAAATCTGGTAATTCGGGCCTTGTGTTAATTCATCGCTTGATCAAATACCATATATTATCTAGACACTAAACGAGATGCTGCTTCTATAAATATGAAGTTGTGAGAGAGCCAGTTCAGGCTATTAGGATCACTTTTGCAGTCGTCAGTTATTTCACTCTCCCACTTATTGAGTCCTGTCAGTCGGGAATAGAAAATTAATGAAATATATCCAATGGAAGCGATATTAAGAGATTATGTGATTGATATCCATGCATCTTTACAATCGACTTCGATGCAAGTCGATGGATGACACCCCAAATCAAAGCAGCAAAGCCTAAACAGACTTCACCAAATCTTCTTCGCAATCATCTCATACCGCTGTACATGATCGACATTGAACTCCTTATCTTTACTCTTCTTGTCCTTTTCTTCTTTCTCCTTAACCCTCCGCAGCCCATCCAGATCATCTGCATAAATCAGTCTCCGCTTCTCATCCCCAACCTCCACAACACCCCAGCCACCAACGCGCTGGCTGCCCTCAACATCGAACTCGCGAGCGTGGGGAACACCATTGCCATTGTCGCCAGATTGGCGCGAATGCGACTCTCTCTTCTCGGCCTCTGAGCTTTTCATTTTCCTATAGCGCGAGCGCGCGAACGCAAGAAGAACCATGCCTAGCAAGAGTTTGAGGATGAGCAGGACAATATAGCCTGTCAGGAGGAGGACAATGGTGAAGATATGAACCGATTGCGCGGGGGAGGGAATGGCGTTCTCTAGTAGTGTGCGGAAGAACGCGCTGACATGGGCTGCTGACACGGGGAGAATGGTTGCGAAGGTCAGGGGTGGAGCCGATGGGATGGGAGAGGGTACATAGTGGCTGTGGATTGAGGAAAGGGAGGTTGCTTCCATTGCCGTTGAAGATGGGTGTTGCGGGAGGAGGGCGGCGAGGAACATTTGGTATGTTTGGACCGAGACCCGGAAAAAGAGACAGGAAAGTGGGATGACAGGGAGACCGATGCGGCGGGTGAGGTTCTGCTCGCCAAAAGCATTGGTGTAGTAGTCCTTTGCTAGGACGTCGAGGAAGCGGCCGTAAATGGCTGGTCGGTTGTTATTGAATTTGTTGATGTAGGCGTGTTTCAGCCAGTCAACTAGCATCTCTGAGCCCAGTACCACCAAGAATGGACCCAGGACTTGGGCTAGGGTTGGAATGAAGGAGTTGACGCTGTTGAAGGACGAGAGAATTGAAGATGGGAAGAGCGTGAATGCCTGAGGTAAAATGGACGATGCGGTTCGTGGAGGTGTGGATAGTGGTGTGCTATTAGTAACGGTCGATGACTGGCCGGTGAAACTAGAGCCCAACCCGAGGTTTCCGACAAAATTGAATGCGCCCGTTTCCACAATATTGCGCGAAGCGATGATGGTGAGCATCAGCCAGAGCTGGAATCGTTCCACGACGTCTGCGCAGGTAAGCTGGAAAAGATTATCCTTTTCGAACTTGCGGAAAACCGTAGATTTGATTTCCACAAACTGGTTTGACAGCAACAGGGTGATCAATGCGTTGGAATATGAGTTCACAGCAACATTCAAGGTCATGACTTGATAGAAGAGTGATGTTGCATGAGACACGGTGTAAACCAGTGCCAATAAGAACAGCCAAAATGGACGGATGATCTTGCTCCGCCCGTCAGGACGTCGCTCAAGAGCTTCTCGTGAGAAAAGACATTCAAGCACATCTTGGCCAATAGCAGCCAGAAGCCTATCGCTGACTTCCAGGACGTTGTATATCACATATAGCTTGATGGCAGCTTGTCCACGAATCCAATGGTACATTCGACTGGCATCGAAGTACATCAAAACGCAGCATGTGGCTATCATAAGCAGACCTGTCAAAATATCCGCTTTATCATCCGGAAGTAACGCTGAAGGCATCGATTTCTTGCGACGGTGATGATTTTTACGGGATTCCGAAAACCGATTCTTCCTTCTCGATGCGTCCGTCTGCGCCTGTCTAGGATCTCTTTCTGCGGCTACCGTTTCTGGTCCAGCAGAAGAGCCCGGAGGCAAGCGAGGGGTGGCATCAGATTCGCTTTCGCGTCTTTCGCGCTTGTCTTCCTTAACGGTATGATTTCGTCTGCGCCACACTCGACCAATTCCGTTCATGACGAATTTCCAGATGAAATGAATCTCAGCGCCCAGATTCATCACCCATGACTCAACCAAGATGTAGATAGCCTTGATGAACCGTAGTGGCATTATTGTGAAAGAATAAAGCCATGCGTCAAGGCAGGCCAAACTTCCGAAGCAGAGTACCTGCTCTAGCATGGGTGGGAGCATAAGAAAATTCATGAGTCTTTCAATTTTCACACGTGAGGATTCGTATGGGAAGTCGTTTGATGTATCATGGTGGATGTACAATGGTGAAGGTCGACCAGATGCAAGCTCAAGTTGTAGATAAGTAGGTAACGAAATCGGAGGCAAGGGAATGGATGATGGCAAAGGTGACGACAGAGGAGTTTCTATGATTTGAGGAGAGGCAATGAGGTGGCTCTTCGGGTCGCGGTCAGGGACAATGCCGTCCGGCTTCGAACGGGATGCCCATGTCTGCGTTAGCCGATCGTTCGCTGGCGTAGAAGGCGGTTGACGCCGTGAGGAGCTAGGAGTAGAAACAGTTCGGGATGGGTGCGGCCTGTTACGCAGAGCAGGTTTCTCGGTGTTTCGAGTGAAAGCGGGGCCTGCAGGCGCAGAAGCATCTCCCATTGATATTTCCTTAGTAGGTCGTAGCTTTGGCAGAACTTCCGCAGTCGACAGTCGTTCGCTCAAAGGCTGAAGAACAAATTCCGGGATCTCAGGTCGAGTCACCGGAGCATTCCCATGGACATTATCGGATACTGATCGCCTGCCAGTGTTTGTTTCCGGCCCTGCTGGACGGTAAGGTATTGACTCCGGCGAAGAAGTCAGCTCCTGAATCTTCTCAGGAGACAATTTCATGACTTTTTCTTTGTCTTCAGGTGCCCTTTGAAGTAGTTCGTCGGATAACTCAGCCAGAGCAGCCTTGGCCTCAGGGCCGTCGTAGACGTCCAATACCGACAACCGGTGAGGGTCGATTCCATCGCTTGGCGAATGCTCTACCAAGATGCCAAGACCTTGTTTTGAGGATCCAAAGTCTCTTGCCTCATGTCTGCCGCTAGAGAAGTGACGTTCCGAGGTCGTATCATGCGTTCGTGGTTCCGTAGTATCACTGTTGCGATTGATGACGCCACGCGCAGCCTCATCGTCGGATTGTTCGACTTCGTCGACCTTGTCACGGCTTCCTTTTTGAGCGCGAGACTTTGTGTGTTGATCGGAATTTGAGCTTCCGTTCGCTCCATTCGCGAGTTGATTTCCGCCCGTATTCTGTTGCAAAGCTTCCCTATTTTGCGTGACCGAGTTCATTGTGCCAGCTCCGTGGCTCCGCCACTAGGTGAGATCTTCGAATTGTCCACAGATTTCAATTGTCACCAATCATACCAGCAGGTAGCGTAAAGCTTCGGCGGGCATTGTTAGATTTGGCTCCTGACCTGGCCTGATTCAGCTATGATTAGACGGAGATTGTCGCTTTTCAGACCGCGGAAACGACAAATGTGGTAGGATATGGCTATTTGATTGCTTCAGAAAGTGGCCCCCAGTGTATAGTCTGGCCAGAACTCGTGTTGTTGGAGTCTGGGGATAGATAACGGCAGATTATCAGGTCGGTGAGTCAGTTGTCGCTTCTGACACCTCAGGCATTGACTATCACGTGCATCTTATCGGCAATCTAATCGATAAGCAATTAATGCATCGATCCATGGATCTATTTGACTATAACTATGGATGGGTGCTTACTGCAAGTAAACACGTACGTCGTAGACAAGCCTAACTATCTATTTATATATTTAGTCAACGTGCTACTTCATATTTTGGGATGTGAGAGACTTCAGAACACCTGAGCGACATAGAAAACAATCTGGAATCAAATTCTTGGGTTTCCAGAAAACTCCCAGTTTCCCGACACAGCTTCCCTCCGGCGGAGCTTTACTTTGTTTAAAAAATGATAAACAGATATTCTTGTTTTAAACGAAGGTGTTACATGAGATACATAAACTCACACAAGACGGCACCACAGTGCAGCAAGCCCATCATCCACTGGACCTGCCTACGGCGTATCAGAGCCTTTGTTGATTTAGAAACCGCATCGTCTTCTAGCCTCCATAACATCCACGTGGTCCGCGTTATTATTCCATATCAGCTAACGGGCTTTCCGTCAGCCATCTGCAAGAGCTGTAGTGAGCTCATACTCTTATATAATCTGCGAATACTAACATGTTTGCAATGTTGATCGGCGCTTAGCTCGTCTGAGACTTTGTTCCAGAAATTATGGTGAGCAGGACTAGGACTATAAATTTTGACAGTTGAGAGAACTTGGCGTAAGAGATTTTGAGTAATGACCGGCAAATGGGAGCTCCAAGAGAACAAGATAGCTAAACACATCATACACACGTGTAGCCGGGTAGAATGACAACGTCTACAGCTGATATTGGATTCATCTCGCTTTAACAATATCCTATCTTAATTGCTCGGTATACTTGCACAATGACAACGAAGTTGCAACGGGATTTTGCAGACGTCATAAAACGAGCGAAAAGTAATGCTATTGAAACGTATGGGCGGAAGACAGGAAGACAAAAACAGAACGATGTTTAGCAGTCTCACTATACTTTTTGGATATCATGTGGCCAGTTCCTTCTTCAAGCCTAAGTGGTAAACTAGATACATGTAGATGTAGAAAATCGAGGAAAGATCTCTATCGGAAGCGGCCCAAAAAGAGCATAGATAAAACAAAGCTTCTTGTGAGAATGAGGCTAAACTTCAACCCGCAATCTGATCATGCGTATGCATATCCCATAAATACAATGCAATGATATATGCCGTGCTACACTCAGTGTGTCACGCCCTGAATCTACCAATATCCAGGGAACAGCCAGTCCAGCTTCTTCTTAGCCTCTGGGGACCAATTAGTCTGGGGAGTGCTAACACCGAACTTGATACCACCAGCTAGGTGCTTGGCATGGACGAGGTCAGTGTGCTCGTCGCCAGCCAGGGCATCGAGAACAGCAGTGATGAAGCGGCGAGCGTTGTCGGCGTTGGCCTTCATGTGGCCCATGACCATCTCAACGGTCACATCGGCGGTGGACTCGTGCCAGCAGTCGTAGTCAGTGGACATGCAGATCATCTGATATCCGATCTCGGCCTCACGGGCAAGCTTGGCTTCCGGAAGCACAGACATGTTGATGACGCTGCCGCCCCAGGAGCGGTACATCTTGCTCTCGGCGCGGGTGGAGAACTGGGGGCCCTCTGAAGAGTTGATTAGCTTTATTCCTCGTGTGATAAAAACGTTCCGCTTCCACGTACCCATACAGATGATAGTGCCGCGGTCGTGCAGGACGACACCCTCGCCGTCGAGGCTGTGTCCACACTCACGCACCACCTTGGCGATACCCTCATCGAAGGGGTCACCGAAGGGAACGTGAGCGACAACACCACCCTCAAAGAAAGTCCATGGCCGCACACCCTTGGTGCGGTCAATGACCTGGTCGGGGATGACGAAGTCGCGGGGCTTGATCTCCTCCTGCAGACTTCCAACTGCGGAGAAGGCAATGATGGAACGGACACCGATAGAGCGAAGGGCAGCGATGTTGGCGCGAGCGGGAACCTCATGGGGAGCGATCTGGTGGTGCAGACCGTGACGGCTCAGGAAAGCGATCGCGACGGTCTTGCCGTTGTGCTTGCACTCGTGGTGCAGGATGGTGATAGGGGAGGAGGGAGTGCCCCAAGGTGTCTCCACGGTCAACGAGGCGACCTGGGTGAAGCCAGGTAGCTCACGAAGACCGGTGCCGCCGATCACAGCGATTGGGACGGACCCTGTCAGATTCACTATCGTCAGTTTTCGACGGAAGTGGGGGTGTGAGGGGTAAGTAAATTTTGACGCAGAGGCGTACCATCGTAGGTGGTGGGGAGGGAAGTCATTCTGCGAGCGAGTTGTTTAGGAGATTCAATTCGACGAAATGGTTTCGATATAGAAGTGAATGATCGACTCAGGGTCCAGCGCATGTTGCGCCATCATCAAATTTCTGACGCTGCGATGCAATTTGCTTCTTCTCCGATTGGTTGAACACCGACCCACGTGCTGACGGTTCCTGAGGCCCCCACTTGCTTTTTTGGGTATCTATACATCTACCACATTGTATACAGATCTACGAAAGCATACCATTGTTTACCAATACGATCCCAAATGTGGCTTCTGCAAATAAAAATCTGTAAAATTTGTGAGTAAAATTGAACGGAGTTCAAAAGTCTAAGCCGGCAACCACTCATAATGATGAGGGCCCTTATGAACTGGTCCTGGATCCTCACCCGGAATACCAGGCTTGTTATAATTGTGAGCACCAAAGTAATCCATCTGCGCCTCCATAAATTTGGTCGGCAACCCCAGTCCTCCCTCATATTTGAGATACTCCAAAGTAGCCGAAAGCGCAGGAATGTACTGATCAAACATAGTACCCTCCATGACGATTTCCTTCAGACCGCGGAAACTCTGACGCAGTTCGTGTGCAACCGAGTCCACAAATTTGGCATTTGTAAGCTCGTTATTCGCTGCAAGCGGTGGTTGCAAAAGATCAGCGATATGATCAGATTGGATGATACACCCAGCACGCCAGATCTGCAAGCAATCACCTAAGTTGACATTCCAGCCTTCGTCTATCGAAGCGCGGGATATCAGCTCCAAACCTTGACAGAAAGATGCGAGGAATGAGCAGTAAACGGCTTGATGCAAGGTTTCAACAATCTCCTTGTGGTCCCGAGTACCCTCAATTGGCTTTGGCATGGGCATCTCAAGCTTCTTGGCTGCACGTACTCGCTCTTTCCGGTTTCCGCTTGAAACTCGCATATAATGCGCTGCCGCTAATGTGGGACAAGATACATGACGATAAGCAGACTCCATGAGACACCAGAATGGAGTGCCCTCGGTATTGTCGTCGTCCTGGACAACCTTATCGAGCACATCGTCCAGCACGTATCCATCATCCCGACTGGCTCCCTCGCCCTTGCGATCACCCTGGGGTGTTCTGCGCATATGCAGGATCTTCTCACCAATACGAATGAGGAAGTTGCTGCGCAATTCGCCAGACTCATTCCACTTTGCAAAGACATCACCAATCTGGCTATGTGCCATGCCGAGTCCGTCGTGCATGTATTGCCAGGCTTCAGCAAGTACTGACAGCATACCACCTTCGATACCATTGTGGACCATCTTGATGTAATGACCCGAGCCACCAGGGCCCATGCGCTTCACACATGGAGTCCCGGTCTTCGGATCTTTGGCAGCATAAGACTCCAAGAATGGCATGACCAGCTGCAGCGCTTTGGTATCTCCACCAGGTGAGAGGCTAGGACCCCTTCGTGCAGACTGATAACCGCCTGAAACACCCATTCCGATCCAGCTGACACCAATCTTGGCGCATTCTTGCTGGCGGCGCTCCGTATTCCGATAGTTCTCGTTTCCGCCGTCGAGGATGATGTCGCCCTTCTTCAAGTCGGGCTTGAGCAAGCGTAGAACTTCATCCGCGGGCTCACCGTGCGTGATGGAGAACATGAACAGTTTCCGATCCGACTTGCCTTCCAAACTTTTGGCAAATTTGTTAATGTCGTAGAAACCTTGGACTCGGCCTTTGATATCCTTGTCGTCGGTGGCATAATTCACGACTTCGTCGACATTCTTCTTTTCAATATCCCAAACCGATACGGCAAGGCCGAGCTCGGCGAAACGAAGGGTCATCATTGATCCCATGTTGCCGGCTCCGACGACGCCGATGCTTTTGATGGACGACGGCATTGTGGCGATATATGATCTTTTTACTGCAGGACTAGTACATTCAGGTCATGAGCTACCGGATAAATGCACTATACTTTAAGAAGATTTATTACAACCAGTTGCGATGACTTTCGCTCTTCTTCAACGACTAGCTCGTGGCAATCGGGTTTGTGGTCCGAGACAATGTCAATATGCAATCAGAAACGCCACCAACTAACACACGGACTGCTATTCCATATGCCCAGTTGCACATCTTAAAAAAGAGGTAAAAAATGCAAATTGAGCTGACTAGGCATAAACTTGGCAGACGTGGGAGCCCGTTCGAATATTGTTATGATGTACCTGTGACGAAATCAGCCTTAATCAGCAAGTGCCACCTACCCCAGGGGAAATAATTGCATCACGATGGACACAATGAAGAGGCAAGGGTAAAATATAATTGCATGAGGCAAGCATTTATCTAATTCCATCTTGGGTTATAGCGGATTCTTCATAGGAGACTGCTCCCCGTACGCCCAACTCCAGTGTACACAATCCCCGAAATCGAGTTTCGTTATCAATCTTCCAAGAGCAAAAGGCCAAAATGGCAATCCCCCTCTCATCCCTCCAGACTATCCCGCTCGCCTACGCCTCATGTTCAATCGGCTGCGGACCTACCGACACACTCCCGCGCCGCCTCGAAGCAATCAGCGCAGCAGGCTTCACCGCGATAGAACTTTCCTTCCCTGATATTCTGGACTACGGCATGCAGCTGACCGGCCACGCAATTGGCTCAGAGGACTATGCTCAGATACTGCCTGTTGCAGCCGAAATTCGCAAACTATGCAAGGCCAACGGATTGAGCATCATGATGTTACAACCGTTCTCCAATTTCGAGGGCTGGATCAGGGGCTCCATGGATCGAAAAGAGGCATTTGCTAGAGCGACAGGCTGGATGGAGATTATGAATGTTGTGGGTACAGATTTGTTGCAGGTGCGTGAGACCCAGGGACACGGCAGAGAACCATAAATACCTGTGGATGCAGTGGCTGATACTTTTACCAGGTCGGAGCAACCGATACACCAGAGCCGACTATCACTATTGAGCGCGACGCCATCATCTCCGATCTACGCTCGCTATCTGACCTTCTCGCAAAACGCAAATACCGCCTCGCCTATGAAAATTGGTGCTGGTCATCTCATGCGCCGAGCTGGAAGAATGTCTGGGAGATTGTGAAAGCAGTCGACCGCCCGAATTGCGGATTGTGTTTGGACACGTTCCAAACTGCAGGGAGCGAATGGGGCGACCCAACGACTAAGTCAGGGCTCATTGAGGAGGTTTCAGAGAGCGAGTTACGGAAGCGCTTTGAGGCAAGTATGGATGAGCTTGCGACGACGGTGCCGGCGGATAAGATTTATCTTCTTCAAATCTCGGATGCGTATAAGGTGGAGCCGCCGTTGGAAGATAAGACTATTGGGAAGCTCCGGCCTCGGGGGAGGTGGAGTCATGACTATAGGCCTATGCCTTATGATGGTGGATACTTGCCCATTGAGGATGTTGCGAGGGCGGTGTTGAAGACTGGGTTCCGAGGTTGGTTCTCTATGGAAATTTTTGATAGTGGGCCGGCAGGGAAAGGGAAGAAGTACGAAATGGGGCCTTTTGCGACCAAGGCCATGGATAGTATGCAGAAGCTTTTGAGAAATTGTGCGACAGACTAAGAGTATACTTGAATGAACGATTGAAGAATTAAAATGTAAACTTAGACATATGGTCAGGTTTGACTTGAGAAAAGTACACATCTGGAAGATTCCTTTGAACCTGGTAGAGCAAATTAACAGAACGCCGGGGTGGGATGCAAGATTGACGCCAACTATATCATAAAGCATGCAACATCAACTGAAAGGACTCATGGATAGTGATCCGGCTTTTAGTTGGCGTTGCTGGGGTAGGCAACGGTGTATGTGGGGACATACTCCTCCTTGATGGAGCGCAAGCTGACGAAGCGGGTCATCAGGTTTGCACTGCCAGCCTTGTCGTTGGTACCACTGGCACGGGCACCACCGAAGGGCTGCTGGCCAACAACGGCACCAGTGCTCTTGCAGTTGATGTAGAAGTTACCAGCGGCGTTACGGAGGACTTCATCGGCAACCTGGACGGCGGCGCGATCCTGGGCGAATACGGAACCGGTCAGGCCGTAGGTGCTGGTGCTGTCAATCTTGTCACAAATCTTGGTGAAGTCGGCGTCGGTGGCGTCGTTGTAGGAGTAGATCACCAGAATGGGGCCGAAGAGTTCGCGGGATAGAAGAGGGTGGTCGGGGTTGGTGGTACGGTAGACGGTAGGTTGGATGTACCAACCCTTGGAGGAGTCGTAAGATCCACCAGCGATGAGCTCAAGCTCAGGGTCGTTCTTAGCCTCATCGATAACACCGGCAAGCTTTTTGAAGGATCCCTCGTGGATGACGGGGCCGCAGAAGTTGGTGAAATCGGTGGGCTCACCGACGTTGATCTTCTGCACCTCAGCGGCAACCTGCTGGGTGAAGTCCTCGGCGATAGAAGAGGCGATGTATGCGCGAGAAGTGGCACTGCACTTCTGGCCCTGAAACTCGAAAGCACCGCGCACGGTCTGGACGGCGGCGTTGCGGACATCCGCAGACTTGTGAACCAAGTGGAAGTTCTTGCCACCGGTCTCGCCAACAATGCGAGGGTAGCTGCGGTACTTGCCATCCGCCACGCCCTGGGAGATCTTGCCGTACAGCATACGGAAAACGTCAGTGCTTCCAGTGAAGTGAAGAGCAGCGAACTCGCGGCTCTCAAGGACGGTGCTAGTGACCTCCTCAGCATCACCTGGAACGAACTGGATAACATCCTTTGGCAGGCCAGCCTCAAGCAAGATCTGGTGCACGAGCCAGTTGGAGGCGATAGCAGCGGGAGAGGGCTTCCAGATAACAACGTTGCCCATCAGGGCTGGGGCACCAGCCAAGTTACCACCGATGGCAGTGAAGTTGAAGGGGCTAATGGCGTACACGAAGCCCTCGAGAGGGCGGTACTCAGTGCGGTTCCACACGCCAGGGGAGTTGTGGGAAGGCTGCTGGGCGTAAACTTCCTCGGCGTACTTCACGCCGAATCGGAAGAAGTCAACAAGCTCGGCAGCGGAGTCGATCTCGGCCTGCCAGGCGTTTTTGCCCTGCCCATGCATAGTCAGAGCCATGATGTCGTAGCGGTACTTGCTCGCGATCAGGTCGGCGGCCTTGAGGAAGATGCTGGCACGCTCGGCGAAGGGAGTATCAGCCCAAGACTTACGAGCCGCGAGGGCTGAGTCAATTGCGGCCTGCACATCGGCCTTGGTGGCATTGGAGTAGGTGGCCACAGGAGCATGGGATGCGGGGTTGCTCTGGGTGAAGGTTTCATAGCCCTTGAGCTGTAAGTTTGAAGTTAGCAAAATTGACACATATCAGAATTGCCTCGTAAATTCCTACCTCCTTGCCTGCAATAACCAAAGGCACATTCAAGGGCGCACTCTGCTTGTACTTAGCCAGAGCATCCTCAAGTCCCTTGCGGTCTGGTGAACCGGGAATGTAGTGTTTCTAGATCTTTCGGTTAGCTTGAAATCATTATATCATCTATTATGTCACACTCACGTTGGGCTCGTTGTTAATTTGGGGGACCTTGAAAGTGGCATAAGTGCCCATAGCGCGAGTGCCAGAGCTAGGAATGCGGTATACGAGCCGCGAGATGGGCGCGCGGGCGCGTAAAATAGCTGACTGCAACATGATTGATTGATTGATTGTTCGAATCTTTACAGGTTAAAAGATTGCTCAAATAATGAAAGAAGAGAAAAATCAAAAGTTGGAGAAGAAAAAGTATACGCGGGGAAGCATGATGAAATGGCCGGCTACTACCGGTTGACCACCAAAAGCTGTTACTCTGTTTGAAGTGAACCAATCCGAGGCCGGTTGAGATGGATCCCTGTCAGCCAATCACCGATCGCCGGCAAGACTTCCCGGGTGGGTCTCACCGGGCCGGGTGGAGATCCCCCTAAGCATCAGATTGCGCCGGCCCTGAAGCTTCAAAGGCTTCAGGGCTTCAAGAAATTATTAGTCAAGTTATGGTATAGACTCCAAGCACTATCTTACCTCAAGTCCAGATATTAGGTATTGACAGTTATGATAAGCTTATTATAAAATAGAGAGTAGATAGCAAATAAATCCACAATCCGTGCCAGATCTGGAGATCAAGTCTGACATCTGAGATGTCAGACAAGCGACAAATATCCAAACGGAGGAAATATTGGTATAAATCAAGAATCAAGAACTGTACTTTGTGGGTGCTTTTAAGTAAAAAAAAACTGATCTATGCTATCCACCACCACACTCGCTCTAACCAGTTTCGTGGCTGTGGTTCGATATCCTCCTCCTCGAGACGGTCAATCTCCTCCTTGCCGCTGAAGATATCAATCTCCGATGCTTTGGTCATCCACGGTGTCTTGTAATACAACTTATGGCCAAAGTAAAGAACAAAGAAGATGGCAAAAACAATATAAGACACAAGGAAGTCCGAGGCTGTGAATGAACCGGGGAAGAAAATCGCATATCCATTGGTGATAGCCAACAACGATACAAAGCCCATGGCATAATATGTACCGTACGGTTGGAAAGGTGTCTTGAATGGCCTGGATTCAAGCAATCCGTGGAACTTCAAGGCACTGCGGAAGCGCTGCAGGTATGTTAACGACTTGAAATGATTAGATTGAAACGAAGAAAAACACACCAAGTAAGCAACCCCAACAAGAACCCAGGAAATGAATCCTCCGATCGTAGTGATGTTAGTGAACCAATAAAACACGGTTGAGCCAGATGCAGACAGATTCAGGAATGAAAGGAGACCAATCGACCAAGTGATGAGCACTGCGTTGTATGGAACGCCGTTCTTAGTACACCGGGTAAAGAACTTCGGTGCCTGGCCCTCGCACGCCATGGAGTATAGCGTGCGCGACCCGGCATATACCCAAGAGTTGCCCGAGGAGAATGCGGAGATCAAGATGGCAGCGTTGATAACGTGGTTCAACCCAGCAATCCCAGCATTCTGGATACCAATAACGAACGGACTGGCACCGGCACCAGAACTACCACTTGCAACCCCTTGCAGAAGGTTTTTGTCATTGTAGGCGACAGTAACTCCAATGACCAAGCTGCCCAAGACATAGAATGCAAAGAGACGGTAGATGAAGCGGTTGGTTGCCTTGGGGATGTTGCGGCGCGGTGCAACAGCTTCGCCGGCAGCAGTGGTGATCAGTTCTGGGGAGAAAATGAAGGAGAAGCCGGACTTGATAAGGGCCGTCCAGAATGCAAGAAAACGACCCGTATTGGCATTGGGCACCAAATATGGCTCGACAAATGCGCCTGGTCGCTGCCAATATCGGAAACCAAGGCGATCATGGTTAGGACCTCCTCCGAAGAACAGTACAACGCCGAGAATTATAAGACCGATTATAGCGATGATTTTTAGCGAAGCGAACCAAAATTCTGCTTCGCCATACCATGATACCGCGACGATGTTGAGGAGGAGAATTACTAGATTGTTCCCAATCAGACTATAGATGCTGGAAGCTGGAAGCAGACTTACCAATGAGAATGATTGCAATCCAAACACCCACATTGACTGGGGATGGCCAATACTCAATCACAAGTCCGGCTGCAGTGACTTCAGATGCAAGTAGCATTGAAAAAGAATACCAATAATTATATCCTAAACAAAAAGGGTTAGCAACGATTTGACAGATATGATGATATGGAGTCAACATACCGACAGCAAAGCCAAGACTCGGTTCCGTAAATCGGTTAATGAAATAAGGCACAGAGACACCACGAACGGGAAGATAGGTGGTCATTTCTCCTAACATGTTCATGACAAAATATACGACTGATGACATGGCGATGTAACCCATGAGCAAAGGGGCTACCACAATTAGCGCGTCATGAAACCATGCGATGCAAATTTTCACATACCAGGACCAACAGTTGCGAGTGCCTGTCCACTTCCCACAAAGAGGCCAGTACCAATACAACCACCCAGCGCCAGAAATTGAATATGGCGGGAGCTCAAGCCTCGTTGAGTCTCCGAGTTATGGAGGCCGGTGATGTCCCCTTGTACAGCCTTCGGGTCATCATAGGGAGATTCGGCACGAACGCCTTCCTCAAGGCCCTTCGGAGAGTCTTTCATGGTGGGCGAAGGGAGAGAAAAGGGAAAAGATGCCAGTATGCAATACACAACTATGGGGAGAAATTAAGAGAAAAACAAATCTAGGACATGGATATAGCAATATCTGGGGAAAGTTCTAATCTTTATTCTATTGTGAAACTAGGCAAGCCATCAAAGCCTTTATCTATCTCGGGTTTAATGGAACGAGTTGCCCATGTTGATGGTGTGCTCTAATCAGGGGAAATACTATCTAGCAAAAAGTATAAAACAAGTCCTAGAAAAGTTTCGCGGAGAGGCAAGAACTCACGTTGACCGGAGATTGGTTTACTTCCGATTCCTCTGGTTGATAGTTGACGTCAATTGGCTGGCACCAGTATCAGGCACCGCACAATTATATGAAGAGCGCCCAACAGTGATCTTGAAGAGCGCGCCATAGTGGAGACTACGGATAAGATTCTAGAGACAATTGGCTTTATCGGCCCATATTGCGCTTTGAGCTTAGTTCCGGTAAGCTTCCTATCAGGGTTTTATATCCTATCTTTGTCATATCCTAATGCCATGTTGTAATGGTTTATCTGAAAAATGTTATATTCTTTCTCAGCCTCAGATTTTTCAAGGCTTAGCTCAAACTCTAAAACATTCTAAATGGTGGCGTCAGATTAACTTTATGTGTTTGGCTTGTCTGCCACTAGAATCACGTGGAGTCTGGGGAGAATCCGGGGTAAATAGGCGATCAGAGCGATCTAGCCATTGGAATAACGTAAATACTGGCAAGTTGCAGTGATGGATACCCGCGTGGATTCACAAAGCATGCTCACAACTTGTAAAGGCTACTAGACCGAAAGTAAACGGGCTAAGTCACGCGACGTGCAAGATCTGAAGTGCACCGGCCCGGTCAATGTGCTTATCAGCTTATCATTGGTCCGTGCTCTATGAAAAACCGGCCCGTGACTACCTAGGGATCGAACTATCCCTGACGAACTGCTGCAATGCTGAACTGTCTCTCTGGCTGTGCAAACTAGGGGCCAACATGGGCATCCTGTTTAGGGCTCGGACACATGAGATCTTCAAGATCCTAGTCTAATAACCTTTGATCGCTCACCGTAGTAGTCGCAAGATGCGGTATAACTACCCGTGGATGAGATAGCATGAGTTATCAAATATTCCCCACAAAGAACCAAACAAAGGGACCGACCATCAAAAGGCTGTGGAATTAGCTTAGCAATAGTAACTCCATAAATCCTCAAATTTTGAGGTGGCTCTGCCGGCCCGTCATTTTCAACCTGCTGACCGTACCGGTCCCTGGCGGTTGCCACCGGGTCTTAATTAAGAGTTCAATCTACATAATTCTATTCAAAGGCCATCAACCGTGGCTCTTCTCTTCACTCTTACCAACGCTGAGAACACTTCGAGATTCCCAAAACTTTCCATCACTCTCTATTATCATTAACCCCCAAATACTACACTCATGAAGGCTGCACCTTCCGTACGGGTGCCACTTAAGGCTACCGCCCGCAATACCAGATTCGTGAGCGGCACCAACAACTCCCGTTCATCTGTCGCCTCCGTCACCGCAAACACATGGCAACCGCTTTCACGGGCTCCTCCGCCACAGCCGCGAAAGGCCCTGAATGCGCCGCTGGCTAAACTGCCCCTCTCATCTGTTCTGCGCTCTTTGCTTGTCCTCTCTGTCTCCTCATCTACTCTTCTTCTCAAGCCATGCATTTACACGCTATCGCTCCTTGCGCACCCGCGCAATGCGTTCTGGGACGTGGCAAAGAATCCTCTCCTAAACATGCTTATCAAGCACACTATCTACAAGCAGTTCAACGCTGGTGAGAACAAGCTTGAAGTTCAGGAGTCTATCAACAATATCAAAGCTCTCGGATGTCGGGGTGTTCTTCTTGGATACGCCCGCGAAGTTCTTGTCGGTGAGAACGACGATGCTGCATACGATGTGAAGGCCGCTCTGGCTGAGATCCAGATGTGGATGGATGGAACCCTGCAAACCGTCGACATGGCTCAACCCGGTGACTTTGTCGCTCTGAAGTTCACCGGAATGGGCACTGATGCTCTCCGCCTCCTGCAATCTCAGAGCATGCCCACCGAGCTTATGGACACTTCTATCCAGAAGGTTTGTGACCTCGCCATCTCCCGCGGTGTTCGCTTGCTTGTCGATGCCGAGGAGCAGGCCGTGCAGCCCGGTATTGAGGCCTGGATCATGAAGTATCAGAAGTACTGCAACTCTAAGACTCCTGGACGGGCCATTTTCTACGGAACCTACCAGGCTTACCTGCGCTCGACCCCGGCCACTCTTGCTCGCCACCTTGAGATCGCTCGCGCTGAGGGATACACTCTGGGTGTCAAGCTGGTCCGCGGTGCCTACATGAAGACCGAGCCCCGCCACATCGTCTGGGCCGAGAAGGAGGATACAGACAAGTGTTACGACGAGGTGGTTGCCGCGCTTCTTACCCGCAAATACAACTCCATGCTTCAAGCTCCTTCAAAGGAGACCCCAGCCGAACTCCCTCCCGTGAACGTCATCATCGCTACCCACAACCGCGAGTCTGTCCAGAAAGCCCACGCTATCCGGATGGAGCAGGCTACCCGCGGTGAGGACTACGGTGTTGACCTCAGCTACGCTCAGCTGCAGGGTATGGCCGATGAGGTCAGCTGCGAGCTCCTGCAAGGTTTCGAGTCCGCCGAGAACAGTGTCGGCGCTTCCCCCATTGATGCCCCCAACGTTTTCAAGCTCTTGACTTGGGGCTCTGTCAAGGAGTGCATGGGCTTCCTGCTGCGTCGCGCCGTTGAGAACACTGAGGCCGTTGGCCGGACCAAGGATTCGCAGATTGCTATGGTTGCTGAACTGAAGCGCCGCTGCGGTAACGCTTTTACCAGCCGCAAGTAAAGCTTAAATTTCTTTATTTGACTTTGGCGTAGAATGTTTTGATTGTTTTCTTGTTGCTTCAGCCTACGGGTTGATCGCGTTTGCATTTGTATCTAGCTGGGGTGCATACACGGAGTTTGTTTAGGAGATTAACGATCAATGAACCTAATTTATCAATTTAAACTCATACTTGCCCATTGCTTGTCATATAACTGAATCGTTTGGAATGAAATAATAAGAAGAGCCGGTAAAGGACTACGTTGAAATTGTAAGCGAATGCAGACTCCACAAGTGGTCCCGCCCGGTAGGCTTGCCCCTCAGTAGATGTGGGAAGGTCTATCCGGTACGTTCCCCATATATTCCGTATACATTTGGCCAATATCCAATTTCTTTATATACACTCGACTTGACCTAACACATGTTCGCGCTACAAAACAAGTTACCTTCAAACAGTAGCATCAAAACCCAATCTCAAAATGCACGTCCTCTCCGAACCAGACGTCTCCAAAATCTTCAGAGGTCTCACCCAAGATCAATGTCATTCCTTTATCAAAGCTCTAGGAGATGCTTTGATCAGTATCTCAAAAGAATCGAAGCCTTCATTCCCAGCCTCAGACAAGCAAATCCACCAACCCCTCCGCACAGTCTTCACAACCAACAAAAACAACAGCTGTATCTTCATGCCAATCTCCGATACCGTCTCAACCGGCATTAAAGTGGTAACCGTCGCTTCCAGTGGTATCCAAGGCGTAATCAACGTCTTCAACCCAGAAGGCCGCCTCCAAGGCCTACTCGCCGCAGCAGAAGTAACAGCCTTCCGCACGGCGCTAGCAACAATGACTCTGCTTGTACGCGTGACAACCATCCGCAAAGAGCATGTTCTCGTTCTCGGCTCGGGGCGTCAAGCGGAGTGGCATGCGCGACTTGCATTGCTTCTCTACCCTGAGCAAATTCGGCGCGTGAGCTTTGTGAACCGCGGAGCGAAGAGACTTGCTGAAATGGAACGGGACGTGTTCTCAGAGTTGCGGGCTTCTTATCCCAGTGTTTCTTTTGTGACGCTCGCTAAGGAGGGCGTGGATGATTATCCGCAGAAACTTGGGGGGGAGCTTGCGGCTGCGGATGTCATTTTCAGTTGCACGCCTTCGCTAGAGCCGAATTTTGGGTTTGCGGAGTTGCAGAAGGCGCCCAAGCAGAGATTCATCTCATTGATTGGGTCTTATAAGCCGCCTATGCATGAGATTGATACTGAGACGCTGCTTTCGGGTGGGGGGAGGGTGTATGTTGATTCCAAGTCTGCTTGTCTTGAGGAGGCTGGGGAGTTGATTACTGCTGGTCTTGGGGAAGGTGACTTAATTGAGATGGGGGATCTTTTGGGTGCCGGGCGCAATGTGGAAGAGGCGATTGATGTTCCAGTTGGGTGTAATGTTGTGTATAAGTGCGTTGGAATGGGGTTGATGGATCTTGTTGTTGGTAAGAAGGTGCTTGAGGTTGGAGGCGAGATGGGACTTGGAATACATGTCGATGGTTTTTAGTCAAAGCTTGAGAAACTCTGGACCTAAGGTAGTACCTAGGTACGAAAGACGCCTACATCTACACCCAATGTATAATGTCTAGCAACACTCTTTTATCTCACCTCGTTTTTATGTAATTGTGCATATTCTCTGCGTACTAAGGTTATTTCTCTTGGTCATGTTCAAGGGGTTTCTCTCAATGGTTCTTTGGAATGGGCCCCTTCGCGGTCTCGTTCAACCATTAGTAGCAACTATATATATCTGCTGACTTCCCCATCCCTAAAACCTTGGATCCTATCTACAATTGACATTTGCTTGGAAGAAAGTGTTAAGAAACCTCGGGAGTAAATAAATCAGAAATAATCAAAAGTCCAAATTTCGTTAAACAACAGTACTGGAAGCATTGACCAGGGCCGATGGGCGGAGGCTCCGAAAGAGTCTGCCGGGATGCGGGGATGTTCCGTGCTTTATCGATAGCGACGTTCCGACTTCCCTTTCTCCTCATTTTTATTCTCCTGACCGAACTAAAGCCGAGTTCTCCTTTCCCTGCTCTCTTCGCTACAGACGATGCCCTGACCCGCTGAAATTGCTGGCAATGGATGACTCGACCCCGACGCCCGTCCAGCAGCAAAAGCGCCCTCGTGTAGCCGAAGAAAACCGGAAGCGAGCTGTTCGAGCGTGAGCTATTGCCCTGTCTCATACGCACCAATCGTCACTTGACACTCTCGCTAACGAATTGTTTTGTGCAGATGCGATGGCTGCCGTCGGGTAAAGGAGAAATGTGAAGGTGGTGTGCCATGTCGGAGATGTCTGCGATATCGCCGCCAGTGCAATTTCACACACATTGACCCCAGTGAAAAGGCGCGGTCGACCTCTGTTTCGTAAGTCCCAGAGAAAAGCTCAATGTTTGCCTCCAATTACTCCCCAGGTCACTGACAGGAACTTCCCCGAAATCAGACTTCTCGACCGAGCAGCCGGACTGAGTCGAAATGACATCGCCGAGGCAGAACGAGTGCGCCTCATGGAGCGCCTTTTATCCCACTATATACCCAACATTACTTTCGACATTCAGTCACTGCGCCAGGCTGTGGAGGAACTAAAAAGCAAACACCGCGATTCCGAATCAGATGCGATCTCTACAAGGGAAGACCCCAATGAGTTGGAGGATCTTGCTATTGATGATGAGCATTTTACTATTAAGGCCATGCCCGATAACACAACCCGTATGCCTCCTTATGTCACATGTGTGGACTTGAATATTGACACTTTACAGAATATTCTGGTGAATTTTCCTACTTAAATTTCACAATGAAGATTCGCAAAAAGATCGATGAGTGGATGAAGACAGCGGCTCCAGAGGTGTGTTTTCCGAATTGTCGGTGAGCGAAGCTACCTATACTAAACCGAACCCCGCAGGCAACCTCCGAAGTTGAGCCTTTCGAAGAACGGTGGCGAAGTACGCAACTTCAGTCTGCGTCTCCTGCTGTATCGGCATCAATTACTTATCTTCCGCCACGATATGTGGCCGACTTCTTGGTCCAGATTTTCTTCAAGTACGCACAAACCAACAATTTCTATATTGAGGAGGATTGGTTACTCGAGAAATTGGGCATATGCTACACTGACCCCGACAGTTTATCATTTGACGATGCAGCTGCAGTGTGTTGTATCCTTATGGTATTGGCTGTGGGTACCCAATTCGCACACATGGAGTCATCTACACCTATGAACCGATTGCCTTCTGGTTCTGCAACTAACCAGGACCACCATTTTTCGGAGGACGAAGTCGGCCTCACATTCTACCAGTTTGCTTCAAAGCTTTTACCTGACATCATCGCCACTGCATCCGTTCGAAGTGTGCAGGCTTGTCTACTCATCGGTACTTACTTGCTCCCGTTGGACACTTCGGGACTATGCTACACATACTTTGGTCTAGCACTAAAATTGGCCATTCAAAATGGAATGCATCGCAGATACCATGGTGAGGGTCTCTCCCCACGCATGATTGAGGTACGGAACCGGGTTTTCTGGACCTCCTTTACCATCGAAAAGCGCATCAGCATTCTCCACGGCAGACCTTCATCATTGTCTGATCCTGACGTCGACGGCCCTCTGCCTGTTGATTTCCCTGGGCTCATGCCTGCCTCTCAAATCTCAAACCACACAAATATGGTAGCTTTGATTACCTTGACTTTGAAACTTGGGGAAGTTTCAACTGAAATTACCTCATTGCGAACATATCCCAAAAGTCAGCAACAGGACTGTCTCGAGCGGCTACTCAACTTGCGTAAACACCTCGTTGATTGGTGGTCCACTCTGCCGGAAGAAATTACATGTCGTGATCTGAACCCCGGAGGGGCTTTGTTCAGGTCTAACGTGCACCTTAAATTGGACTACTGCCTGACAAGGATATTCATTGGACGGCCATTCCTTTTCAGCAATATCAAAGGCATAAATCAAACCCCCTCTCAGTCAACGTCGTTCAAGGGAGCTTCTGGTCTGGCAAAGAACCGTGCAACTCTAGTGACTGATTGCGTTGAAGCTGCTCTGGAAATCATTGATTTGTGCCGTTTGCTCCGTGATGAGACAGGCCTTGCAAGGGCCTCATTCACAGAGTTCAGCTCGTGCCGTGCAGCTCTCTTGGTCATTTTGGCACAGGGATTAACAAAACGAACTGAACGACTAGGTGCTGCCCTCGAGCAAGGTATCTCTCTGATCAAGATTATGTCTATGGGTGTGGGATCTGCCCGCTCAGCTGTCAGTGTCATCGAGGCTCTTGAACGTGCTATCCGCCGCCTCGAAGCATGGAGCGAAACACAACCAGATATGAGCCACGGAGGCACTGTAGAATCCGCATACGACAGGTTCAAAAATTGGGAAATGCTCTGGAAGGCTGGTCCAATTTCACCATCCACACTCGCTTGGCAGCAGCAGGAGGCATTCCCCTCCAACGAGCAGAAGGTCGCACACAGCTTGCCTCCTCACTCCTCCGCCGTGGCGGGTCATCCCACCGTCATGCCTGGCATCCCAATGACACCCCCTTCAGCCGCAATGCTCGGCACGAACGGAGCTATATCAAACCCCGTTGGACCTGATCATGACCTCGTGGAAGGCGACCCGGGTAGTGCACTCTCTGACAGTTTCTCCATCTCTCAGCAATCTCTCTCACATATGCCGCACTTTGGATTCGATCACTTCGTTTCAAACTTCCCACAAGAGTTGGGCGAGTTCACTGCAATTCCTTGTTTCGAGCCAGACGCCCAAGGGCAACCAACTGGTATGGGTGGTCCTGAAATGAAGACGCCAGGCAATGCTTCTGATCCTCACTGGCTACAATTCATGAGAGAGTGAAGAGACTTTTATAAAGTGCTTTCTTTTACGGGCGGCTCATTTCGTCATATTTTGGGTTGAAACTTTTGATGATTCTAGGTTCTGAATTGGCTTGGTATACCCTGCGTCTATTTATATGTTTCTCACGAATTTTGTCACCGATTGCAACTGGGAGTATGAATTGTGGAAAATTGCACTTGGATGTTTATCTAAAATCAATGTAATCAATCCACACACTATGTTTACAACAAGCTTGAATGGGTTATAGCCAATGCCGGCTTGATATTTGCGCAATCGATGGTGTTGACATCTCAAATGTTGATTGATATACATACATCGTAGCCATGAAACTAATCGAACGTAACCTTTTTTCCGGCAAACGTAGCTGGAGCCTGCTCCTTGGCCTTCCGCTTGGCCTCCCAAGAAGGATGCAAGGGACCCTCGTCCTTGGGCGGACCCTTGGGCTTGACAGACCTCTGTCCACCAGAATGAGGACCAGAATCACCTTGCCTGTTGCCTCGCCCAAAGCCACCACCAAAGCCACCACCAAAGCCGCCGCGCTTGCCTCCCCTCCCTCTGCCACCGTCGGTAGCACCACGCTTCGTATCCCACCCATTATCCCTGCCACCGTACTTAGCAGCAATCTGCTCCTGCTTGACATGGTTTGCTCCAGCTCCAAATTTCTTTTCCCACAATGCTCGACGAGCCTGCTGACCCATACGGTTCTTGCGCTTGGGCTGCGCATCGGCTTCCTCATCAGTAGCCTCTTCAGAGCCAGACCAGTAGCCGCCAGCCATGAGCGAAGGTAGGAATGTAGTACTCTGCACTGGTGCAGCGCTGCCTTTGATTGCCTTTGCTTTCTTGGGCGGTGGGGAGTTTTCAGCTGAGAAGGAGGGTGAAGGGGAGCGGGAGATAGAGTCGGAGATATCGTCTGCAGCTTCTTCGTGTCCGTCGCCAGATTCTGAGTCCGCCTCAGAGTCAGAGCCTGGCGCCAAACGTGCATCAAATCGCGAGTCATCTTCATCGTCGGATCCGTCTGAGCCGGAGATCTCCATGTCATCAGTGTGAGAGACCTGCTCCCCGCGCCTGGATTTCGTGTTCGCTGTCTCTGATTCGGACCCGGATTCGTCTGCGTCCTTTGTCGCCTTCTTCTTCGATGTCGTTTCCTTCTTACTGGTTTCCTTCTGTTTCCCACCTGGCATATCGTCTACCCTCAACAATTTGCGGATTCCGGCCATAATACCAGGAATTTCCTTTTGCACGGGCGTAGATTTAAACAGTCGCGCGAGGATGTTAGCCTCAGCGGTGCTCTTGGGGCCTTCCTGGGACACCTTCTTGACTTGCTGGAACTCGCCAAATGTTCGTGTCTCGGCAATCCGCTTTGTCTTGACAAGTTGTTTGAATAGATATCGCTCCGAGACGGTCTGGTAGTCGAGACCCTATTGGCAAGAATGTTAGTCCCAAATTGGCCGGAGGTCCATAGGTAAAAGAACGTTTTGAAACCTAAAAGTAAAAACTACATACCTTCAAAGTCTCAATTTCTTCCTTCAGTCGCGCTAAAGCCTTATCATCTTTCTGCTGCTTTGCCGTCTTCTCTCGGCGACTGAGCTTCTGTCGCTCGAAGCCACGGGATGTCTTGAGTCCGCGCGAAATCATTAGTACACCGTTCTCGAACATTTGTGTCAGGCGAGTGCCGTGGATTGACATTTTGCGGGTGTCGCTGGCGCGCGGCCGCGGCGGGGGAGCACTGAGCTCGTCGAGCTTGCGTTTGGGCATTTTGTGATTACTGCTGGTGGATGATGGTGTGTAGAATGTTGCGACCGATGTATCTGAGGGATTTTGGGTCTCCGAGAATTCGAGGGCAGTTTTCAAGAATTGTGCTGATCTTTGTCGGATGTTGGAGTAGCTTAATTTTTTTTTTTGCGCGGATCCCGGTGCCAAGACAGCCGCTTCCAATGGCCGTTGTCAAGTCGATCACGAACAATATGTACAATTTGATCTATAAATCCAAAAAATTATTTTTCTCTCTCTATGGTCTGGGTCATAGACGCGACTAAAAATCTGGAACTCCCCACAGTGCTATTATTTGGTCAGCTCTAGGCAAATTTACGATCTTATTGGCTTCATCATGCACTATGTACTTTATGGGTTGGCTTGGGCAAAAAAGACCATCGATTAACACTGACGGATATGTACATAGAGACATGACAAAAACAAAGATACGCATACAGACTCCTTCTATTTCTTTTCCTCCGCCTTCTCCTCTGGCTTGGGAGTGGGAAGCTTGAACTGTGATTAAAGGTTAAAATTGAGTCTAGAACAACGGAAGGAAGATTACTCACGGACTCGGGAGTGCGGTTTTGACCCGCACCCACGGGCTCCCAAGAAGTAGAGCCGCTCTCAAAGTTACGGAAGGCCTGCGTGAGTTCCAGGGGCTCAATGACAATGCGCTTCTTCTCCTCGTCGTAGCGAAGCTCGGTGTAACCAGTCAAGGGGAAGTCCTTGCGCAGGGGGTGACCATCGAAACCGTAATCAGTCATGATACGGCGCAGATCAGGGTGACCGGAGAAGAAGACACCGAACATATCGTATACCTCACGCTCGTACCACAAAGCACCCTCGAAGAGACCAGTGACACTGGGCACGGGTGTGGCCTCATCCGCGTAGGTCTTCACACGGATACGGGAGTTGTAGCGAACACTGAGCATGTTGTAAACGACCTCGAAGCGCTGGTCGCGGGTGGGGAAGTCGACACCAGTGATATCGGAGATCTGGGTGAACTCGGCGGCGGTGTGGTTCTTCAGGAAGCTCATGACGGGGACGACACCAGCGGGAGCGGTGTACACAGTAAGCTCGTCCTTCCACACGGTGAACTGCTGGATGTATTTAGGCAGACAGGACATGATGTATTGTCCATAGGTGTGGAGGTTGTCGGCCATGGGTTGATATTTGTCGGTAGGGTTGACCACGGGGGCACGCAAGGGTCCCTGGGCTAGCAACACACAGCTCGGTTAGTTCAATTGGGTCCTATGGATCGATTATTCTGTTGCACATACGCGGGCGCTGCGCCTGGCGCATGTTCTCAGGTTCCGGGCCTGGTTGTGTCGAGGCCTTGGGAGCACACTGGAGGGAGGCTGAGGAAAAGGTGCGGGCGGCCATAGACCTCGTGGCAGATGCCACAGAGCGGCCAGAGCCCAGGCGCATTAAAGAGCGTGCGGAGGCCATGGTGTATAGGGAGCAATGGCTGTTGCAACAAGTGGAGGGGACGGGAGCACGTCGAGGGAAAACCCGCCTGCGAGGATGGTCAGCATTTGGTCACATGACCTGATTGGCGCTAAACTACATCGGGTAATGCTAATGCCAGCAAAATGAAGCCGCGCTTCAATTTCCTCCTCCTCCTCCCCCAGACCCTCTTCCTTTAAACCATCTCCCTTTCTTTTGCCCTTTCTATTTCTCCACCCTTCTAATCTCCGTTTCTTTTCTTTTCCTCTACGGGCTAGCGAATTTTTCTTATTCCCTCAGTTTCTCGTCCGATTTAATCGAGTGTCGGCCTTTGAGATCTCGCGTCCCTCTCCGATTACCAACGCTTTCCCCGCGACCATGTCTGGCCTTTCATTGATCGACTCCGTCATTGACGACGATGATGAATTCTGGTACGCTCACCTATTGTACAACCTACGCGATCTGTGTACTAATCACCCCACAGCCCCCTTTGCATTGAAGAATTTGACCTCTCTGATAAGAATTTCAAGCCATGCCCTTGTGGATATCAGGTACGTTTGATCACTCTTAATGCTCGTCTGACATATTTCTGTCTGTCTGTATTGGAGGCAGATAGCTTGTTTTCTGTTATTGCTCAATCCACTGACGTTTGTATCTTTTTACATCTTATAGATTTGTCAATTCTGTTACAACAACATCAAGACCCAGAACGAAGAAGGTCGATGCCCAAACTGTCGGCGTGGATACGATGAAAGTACTATCCAGTACAAGATACCTGACGCCGAAGAGTGAGTTACCCCACACTCATCGATATTTCGCCACAACCCAACTAATATTGTGTGTTCACTAGGTTCAAAGCAGACTTGGCATTGAAGCACCGCAAGGCGGCTGCGGCGAAGAAGAAGGAAGCTGAACGGCGTGAAATCGAAGCCTCCAGTCGGAAGAATTTGGCCGGTGTGCGGGTGGTCCAAAAGAACCTGGTTTACGTTATCGGCCTGAACCCTACGATTCGCGACGAGAACCAACTCCTTCAAACCCTCCGTGGACGCGAATACTTCGGTCAATATGGCGAAATCGAGAAAATTGTGGTTAGCAAGGCAAAGCCCGGTGGCAACCCCAACCAAGGCATTGGTGTCTATGTGACTTTCTCTCGCAAAATCGACGCGGCGACGTGTATAGGCGCGGTGGATGGCTCCGGGAACGGCGATCGCGTTCTCCGAGCGCAATACGGAACCACCAAATATTGCTCATCTTTCCTTCGGAATGAACAGTGCAACAACCGGAATTGCACGTTCCTCCACGAGACTGGTGAAGACAGCGACAGCTACAGCCGCCAAGACTTGTCATCCATGAACACGATCTCTACTCCACGTCAAACCCTACCACCTACTCCTTCTCATGTGCGGACTGCCCAACCGATCTCCCATCCTATGCGCCGGCAGCCGAGCAAAGATGAGTCGATCAGCAGTCGCTCTGGTGTTCCAGATGGCCCCGCTCTTCCGTCTTCTGCTAGCTGGGCCAATAAGGATGTCGCATTCCACCGAACGAGAAGGGCTAGTCTCACTGGCAGTCAGGCGTCCAACAGTCCACGGCCTGCGAGCGTCAATGTTGCTACTCCTGTTGAGGAGCCAAAACGCGCTGATAAACCGTCTCCGATTTCTCAAGAAGCCCCACAATCTCCCACACATACGGAACCTCAATCTCCGGATTCGCAGCCCCAACCTCGCCCTACAACTCAACACCCCAAACAACCATCACCATTTGATAACCTGTTGAAAGACATCAACTCCCCCGACTTCAGATTTTCGTTCAGTACAGCCGAACTCACTGCCGAAGAAGTCAAATTGATCAAGGATTACCCATCCTTTATCGATCCATATGGCGGGGTGAAGCGCCGAGCAATGCGCGAGAAGGTCGAACTGGAGCGCCTAAGCCGCGAGCACGAGCTGCTCCAGTCTGTCGCAGCCGAAGAGGATAGCCGTGAAGCCGGTAGCCTTCAATTGGGCGGTGAGCCCGAAGACGCCAACATTCCACGTGGTCGCCAATCTCGTGACTTTCATGGTGCCATCCAGCCTCCTTCGCAGCAGGATACTGCAGAAAACTCAACTGTTGGATCCCCTGTCTCTGCAACAAGCCACCAGTTTCAAGGTCTGAATCTTGCTGGTCGAAGCTTGACCCCCCTTCAGCAGCAGCAACTTATGTTACTCAAATCCGCCGGTAACCAACAAGCTGGCTTGTCTGACCCTCTGAGCTCTGCTGCTCTGGACCAAGCTGCTCAAGTCCGCCAGGGGCTTCTTCACAACCAGATGGCACAATTCAACGCGCTGCAGGCAGCACAGAGCCGACAGTCTTCTCGATTTTCATTCAATGAAGCCGGTTCAAAGAATATGCCCAATGCACGTATTTTGGGTCAGATGCAATCTTCATCTCCCAACCCCCTCTCCGCTCCAAGCCCTCAACATAGCCTCGCAGGCAATTTTTATGCCAGTGGTGTGCAGGGCCCCCCGCCTGGATTGAAGACTGCTGGTACGCCTCCGATCAGTGGCGGTGGAATGTTCGCCCAAGGCCATGGCTTCACATCTGGGCTTGGTAGTAATGGAGCAAAGCAAGATGCGACCCAGGACTTGATGCGCGAGCTAATGCGTGGACGAACTGGAACCAATGGTAGTAGTGGTAATGGTGGTCTACAGGGCCAGGAGGCGGCTAAGCGTGAGTTCATGTTTCCTTTTCTTCAACAGCACAATACCCCTACCCCACCCCCCATGACTCCCGCCAACGGCCTTCTTGGCTCTTTCTACGGGTCCCAGACAGGTGCAATGCCTGACTCTGGTGGTCAACAGAAACAGAAGAAGAAGGGAAGGAAGCAGAGACACGCTAACACTTCCTCCGGTGGAGGTGGTGTAGTAGATCTTGCGGACCCGAGCATTTTGCAAGCGAGAATGCACCAGGTCGGTGCGACTGCTACTGCTGGGCAAACGTTGTACGGGAGTCAGGGTCAAGGTGGGTACAATCCCTCAATGGTGTACGGTGGAGGCATGAGAGGCTGGTGAACTGCCACGGTTTCTTTATAACTTCTTTCCCACACTTTCTTTGCATTTTTCTATCTGTTCTTTTGCTACGACTCTGATCCCTTGATGGGCCTGCTTATCTTGATGACATGATATCAATTCCCTTTCTTTCTTTTATTTTTTGTTATTGCAAAAGAAGATATTACATTCTGATGTTTCTTTGTTTGCGGTCAGACCGGCAGCTCTGATGCGATGGCCGGGCATGCACATGGCGTACTGAGGCCGTTGCTTCTTCCATTGCTATTCCTTTTTTTTTTTGCATGTTGTACCCGGTTATCCCCGCGGTTTCAAGGTCTTTGCATCTCATGGACATACCGGCATGTCTTTGCGGCTCCCTTTGTATTCGGCGGCTGTGTATTCCTTTACTACGTTTGCTCTTCATCTTCCTATCCTTTTTCTTTTTGCAACGGGACTCTGTTACACCATCTGCTACATCTTGGAGATTGTGGATGGTGTTTTCATGGATTAATGTACGTTAAGATCTCCCTACCCTGATACCACAAGCCGAAACAGGGTCTTATTCGAAATCAGTTTCCTCGCAGCCGCCGTTTACTTAGACGCTTTGTCCCGCAATGTTCCTGACCCGGGGATACCACATCATGTAATTATCGCTATTTTTGTATCATCGCTTAGTCGTGCTGTTTAGTCGCCCGGGCGTTCTCCCCAACCGGGTGGTTTGTTTTTATCTTGCCTACCCTCCGTCACCTGCCCATTCACGCATTATCACACATCGCTTTCTTTCTCCAGAAGTTTACTGACCCCAAGTCTCTAGTGAGTGAGGATTTTCCTCCGCTCGGTGATAAGTCCAAAGATTTGCGTACGGTTGACAGCTTTGGCTTTCTGAAGTCACAGCTGCCTCACGAGTCAGCGGCTCGTGCTGGCACTCCGACTCTGCCACCTGGTCTGCCGTTACCTCAAGCTCATCCGTCATCTTCTGTCTTTCAGGAACAAATAGGTTCCTCCAAACCCTCATCCCCTGCTCCAATCTTGCCGCCAGGGTTGACACCCAACATCTCACGACTCAACAGCCCATCTCACAACTGTGACGACAACCAATCCCGTCCACTGAGCCCTGAACTCACTGTTGGAGGCCCGTTGACCTCGACTCGAGTCAAGGACGCTTCTCAGATATCATTCGGATCGCCTGTTCAAAAGTCGGCAACCAAGGCTCGCAACCAACGAAAGAGTGAATTCAATATTGGTGCCGATTTCAAGGATATGTCCATCAAATCATTGAACCAATCACAGCCAAGCTCTACTGCAACGAAGGGCAGCCCACTCGACTTTGGGGCGGCACTGGCCAGCTCTATCAAATCCGAACAGGCTCCGGTGATCCCTGGTCCGGTCTCTGCAACTGAGTCACAGCCCGTTACACCTCAGATTATCGCACCTCGGTTGTCTGATTCTCCTGCCCCCCGACAGCCTCGCGTTCTGCGCGTTGTGGAAACCCCAAAGGTCGAAACTCCACCCGTTATGACCACGCCCTCTGGACCCGCATCTGTCGCTGGTGGCATCAGGACACGGTCCAGAAGGCAGAGCATCTCTTCCAACAGCATCCCCGACACTCCTGCTGATGCTGCATCTGAAGCTGATTACTATCCGTCCACATCCGTTTCTCGCGCAAATTCTCCACCCGCCGCTTCTCGTATCGGCTCTGCCCCAGTTCGCTCCATGACCAAGAGTCAAGTCAAGAAGGAGAGAAAGCAGAAAGCCAAAGAGGCTGAGGCTAAGAAGGTAGAAACTGCATCCGTCAGCGAGGAACCTGTCCAAGCACCGATCATGGGCCGAAAGCGCAAGACCAAGAAGGCCCCTACCCCTACTCCTATCCCGAGTGTGGCCCCGGCGAAACCAGCACCCCCTATTATGCCCGAACCCGCGAGTCCGGTGAAACCCACACCCACTTCTCCAATCAAAACTGAAACCAAAGTGAATACCACTAAAAAGCCGAAAGTCAGGGAGGTCGAGCCTGTCAAAGAACCGACTCCTCCACCTGTCGAAGAGCCACCCCTTCCAAAAGAGGTTCCCGTGGAGCCATGGCGCTCTAATAACACCGTGGAGCAGTTGTTGAAAGACTCCGAAGCCAGTGGAAGGAGTGTCAAGGATCTCTTCATGGAACGGACCAAGCCTCTTCACGAATTACTAGCTGAGATGCACAAGTCCGGCGAACTTGACCTCAACAAGAGTTCACTGTTTAACCCCAGCAATCTCAATCAGCGCACGGATATGAAGTGCAATGCAGATGACTACGAGCTTCTTCAACGTCCCACTGAGCTGAACATGGCGGACCGTAGAGCACTCGTTCGCGGAGAGCCGCTTAGATTCGGAGGGGATAGTCTCAAGACCCGATGTCTTATCACACCCCGCGGCTGTGTGCTTCGCCACCTCGACCCCGAGGAAGAGGAGCGGTACCTTGAGCTGGAGAAGAGGTCGGGGGGGATCGCAGATCCTATCATGATCGGCGACGATTCAAGTAACTACGGTGGAGGTCTGGACGCGCTCTTCGCGAATCCAGAGAAATTCAATATCTGCTGGTTCGATGATCCGCCCACTCAACCGGGTGCTACATCCCCGACATCTTCCCTTGAAGCTACGGAAGCCGGAATTCCACCAAACGTGCTCTCCGCCATGGAGGCAGACAGCACCCGCAATCACGACTGGGCTGTCGCCAACTCCGCTGAACTGCTCAACACCACCCCAGCTGCCGTGCGATCCTTTGCTGCAGTCACTGCTCAGCACATGCTTGGTAACCCGACCATGCTTGGTGCCAACCCAACTCTTGATGACATTGCCGGCTTGACTAATGAAGAGCTGAGGGATCTATCTGCTCGTTCGCAAAAAGATCTTGAGCGCAGCCGAAAGGACGTCGATTCACTAGACAAAAAGTTTGCCGGTCTCCTTCGCCGGAACAAGAAGCTCCAACAGCAGGCGCTGGCCCTGGCAGCTGAGTCGGACGTCTGAATTATCATTTCATCCCTGATCGGAGTTTTCATTTGGTCCCCTTCACAATTCCAGATATCTTTGTGGACTTGAAACTCCTGAAATTCTTAATACTTGTACTTATGGGGCAGCATGATACCCTGGACGGTGTTTTTGACGGTGTTTCCAGCCGAACATGTAAGATTAGATTAGCATGAATGAATAATGTACGATATTTGCTATTTGTCTTTTGTAGTCGCTAGTATCACTCTAATTGTCTACATTCAAGTACATGAACCTCGGAGGCCTTGCAGTAGTCGGAGTCATCGCGTGCATGTTCCGGGCATGCCTTCAATCCTTGGCAGGTAAGTGACCCAACATACCAATTTGAATTGTTCGGGCCTTCAAAATCCTGGGCCGTTTGCTGCAAGTAAACAAGAAAAACTCCTTGGTGTTTGTCTTACAATGCATAACTATATGACCCCTTGGAAAGCCAATTATCTTTTTCTCCATCCCTCCTAAGGTGGCTCTATCCAACTTTCACTCCAATTCCCTGGAGATGTATCTCAGACTCACGATGTGATAGTCAGGTGTAAGAAAAGCTTCTCTGTCTCATACTTAGGTAGCGTCAGATCTGAAACCGGAAATAATCAAGGTATCCGATCCTGTCAGGGGCCGATTCCTTGTGGCGTCCACTAATGAATAATTCGATGCGCCCAAGCACGCAACTTGGCAGATGCACGTAATCGAAGATTGATTTGATTAACTCCGAGCTCGGAAGCTAAAGACTGACATCTCCAAGTTGCGTGGGTGAATGAATTCCCCGAACAGATCCTGCATGATTGAGATGCGTCTCACGAAGCGCCTCGGTGGATCTATTATCGAACTCGGCCTTGTATCCCACAGGCGCCTAGACTCTCCTCACAACCACATTCCTTGAATTCTAAATGGGGCCGTTCATTCGGGAGATCATTTGGCTCATTCCTCCGAGGGGTCCGTCATTGGCTCATTCTTCATGGTGGTTCCCCGTTGGGCCTGCAATATTGCAAGGGCTTGTCTGAGTCTATAACCGTATATTTCTTTGGCTTCTTAGGGGTAGATGATGTTTGTTGCTTGAAACATGTGGCTGATTACATTTAGTTAAGTTCTCTTTTGACATGGGTACAATAGAAATGAAAGTTGCTCTTGGACTCTCGATGCTTCAATTCCCATAGGCCCTTGATCGGTCTCACATTTCGAATGTATAAAATGCTCACTTAATCCCCATCCCCGGATTTTGGTCAGTCCTACGACGCTTGCACTTCTTTACACTCGTTTTTGAGACGTCGATTTTTGGTTTTACATTCACTCTGTTATTTCAATTGGCTACAATTGTTTCCAATCAACTATGTTCCAAATCCTCTCGGTCTTGGTGACTGTACTGGCTTTCGCATCTATTGCCCAATCAACCGGTGTTATAGTACCATTATATGCCTGGCCAGGCACAGACGTCTGGAATACAGTCTACGAATCAATCGCTGCACACCCATCGACTCCATTCTACCTAATAGTCAACCCAAGCACTGGCCCCGGTGCAACAGAGTACCCAGAAGACGCCTACATAACAGCCATCGCAAAGCTAAACAGCTATTCCAATGCCAAAGTCTTGGGTTACACCTACACAAACCACGGCAGCCGCGCCATCTCAGAAGTCGAAAGCGACATTGCCACGTACGCAAAATGGTCCACCTACGCAGGGACGGACATCAGCGTCGCTGGAGTCTTCTTTGATCAGACCCCCAGCGGCGAAGACCCGAGTTTTCTCCCATACTTCCAGCAGTTATCCTCAACCACCAAAGGCAGCAACTTGAACACGGTAGTCTTCAACCCAGGGGTGAAGATTGTCGCCGATGTTGAGGCGTGGTTCGCTGCTGCGGATTTCATTGTCGAGTACGAAAATACGTATACCAATTGGCTTGCTTTGGCGCCTTCTGAGCATTTCTCCGGGGAGGCGAACTACGCAAAGGATGCTATTATCTTGAATCAAACTCCTGCCGATGCTAGTATCGATACCGTTGCTAAGCTTGCGAAGAATCTCGGGCTGGGGGCTATCTATTTGACTTATGACGATAACTATATGGGTCTTACTTCTGTGTCTAAAATTGCTGTTGCTGTTTCGCAGAGGAGAAAGGTTAAGCGCAGAGGGCATAGCCATCAGTAAAGATGTTGTTTCATACTTTTAGTTTGATCTTTTTCATGATTTCATGTGGTCGGCTACCTAGGTGTTGTCTCAGATTTGTAAATAATTTGCTTCGCTGGGTAAAGAATTAATACATCTTTTACAAAGCCTGGAAGCCGCTCATGCTGAAGATTTTACAGCGCAACGATATTGTGGGATCGTTGGCGTAATATATTCACATAGGTATCTAAGTGAGATTGGAGGAGAGTTATGAAGCGACCTCGAAAAAAGGTTGAAGAGAATTTGTGCAACTGTATGCCTGAGCAGTTTGAAATCTAATGCAATTGGGCATCAATATAATGAATATCTAAGTACGTACCTAGGTATTTTGTTTCACGACGAGGACTCTTCATCTAAGCCCTTGGCTCCGTCTTTGTAATGCCGCAGATCATACTCGTCAGGGTAAGTTTCCAGAATGCGCTTAAGCTCACCCATCTGCTCACGCTGTTCCTCAGTAATCTCCTCATATACATCCCTGAAAGCCTCTCTGAGAGGAGGCTTTTTCTCCTGCTCTGCTTCACCAAACTCCTTCAACACAGCCTTTCTCATCTCATCTCTCGTCTCTTTCTCCTGATCCTCACTCCAAAGCCCCTGTTTCTCAAGCCACTTGCGCAGCCGGATAATTGGATTGTCTCTGCGCTTCCAATCCTCGACCTCGACGCGCGCACGGTATGCAAAACTGTCGTCACTGGTACTGTGGTGCGAGACACGGTAACTCATGGCTTCGATTAGAACGGGTCGTCCCCCATCGCTGAGGGCAAGACGACGAGCTTCTCTCATTGCTTCATTGACAGCGAACACATCGTTGCCGTCGACACGGATCGTGTCGATACCATAGCCTACACCGCGACTGGCGATTCCGTCACCGCGGTACTGCTCAAGAGTTGGTGTTGAGATTGCATAGCCATTGTTTCGGCATATAAAGACTACTGGGCAGGAGCGAGTTGCGGCCATGTTGAGTGCAGCGTGGAAGTCTCCCTCGCTTGCGGCTCCTTCGCCGAAGTAGCAGGCCACGATGCGTCGATCCTGGTTTGGGTTTTGCAAATCCTGCATTTTTAGTGCATAAGCTGCTCCGGCCGCTTGTGGTATTTGCGTCGCTAATGGGGACGAGATGGTGTGCTGTTATGAGGTTAGATAAGAGCGGGCTTCTTCTGTCACAAGGGGCACAATGCTTACCATGCGAGGATAATTTTGTCCGTAGTGAACTGGCATATTCCGACCCCGGCCCGTGTCATTGGCATTGGAAAAGAGCTGGCTCATAAAATTTTTGAGTGTGAAGCCTCGTTGTTGGAATACGCCTGCTTCACGGTATTGGGCGAAAACCACATCGTCCGGTGTCAATGCTGCGGCCGATCCAACAGTAATGCCTTCTTCGCCAGCGGAAACCTAGAGATATACCGTTAGATTACCTATCCCTCAGTTGGGGCTCTTCAGTATATTCAACATACCATATAGAAACTCAGGCGGCCTTGCCGTTGTGCCTCGAACATAACCACATCCATAACACTTACTTCACCGCCAGTTAGCAACGAGATGCTAGATCAGGGGATCGCGACACTAACCCGACAACATATTCTTATACCATGTTAATACCTCCTCGTCTGTAACATTGGGTGGTGGTCTCGTCTTATCAACCAATTCACCATCGGAGTCCATCACTCGGTAGGTAGGGATGGCGGGTAGATCCGATGCTTTAAGGAAGGACATGTCGGTGGTAAATTTGCTGTTCACTGCACCTGGAAATCGGACACTAGAGTCATTTTCAACTCATCAGCTGCCAGTTCCTAATCAATTGCCTTTGAAGATATTCCTCACCTGTCCGCTCCTGGCGGTTGCGAGATGGAGCTACTCCACCTTCGTGCGGGGACGATGCGCATTGCAGCCACAGACTGTCTCTGAATGCCGCTTCTAGTCAAAAGCCTCAATGCCATTTTGGGATGTTGTGATTTTAGCATCATGTTTGTGACAATAAAACTGCATGAAAGGTGAAAATGCGGGATGTTGTTCTTGTTAAATCTGGGGGTTGCGGAGAGCGGTTGGCGACGGAGTTGACGCATTGCCGACGCCAACCGAGCGGGGAAAGGGTCCACGATCTATAAGATGAACCTTGAACGTACAACTACTTATATACTTAAACAGATTTACCGCGTAAGGTTGGATTAGAATGGCTGAATTTGCTTCTTGAATTGGTCATATCGCGATCGAGCTGTCGTTGTCACCACACCCCACCCAATTTGGTACCCATTTGCGTTTTCAAAGATCATCCGAGCATGCATCATATGCTTCATCAATCACATTTAGCATGGCGAGCTCCCTTCTCAAGTCGTATTCATACGCATGGTCCTGTCTCGCCCAGACCAAATCTGAGTAGTTGATGTCGTTCCAATCGGCCAGGACTCGGTCGGAGAGTCGCTCATTAACCAGGACCCTGAAGTTGAGTTGAATAACAAGAGGGCGCTCATTGGTTGGGGAGATTTGGATTGCACTCAGTTCATCTTCTACACGGAAGACTGTCAGTTGGGTTTGCTCCCGAACAATGCGCCTGATAGCTTCTTCGACATTTCGGTCAGATTCCATGACTTCCCCCGCCGGTATTTCCCACAATTCAGCGTCGGGTTGGCCTTGGGCCCGTCTCATCAAGAGAATTGACAAGGTTCCTCCAGCCCAGATTCTGAAAATTGCAGCACCAACATATAAGCGTCCGGGACTGGGAATTATCTCACGGAGAGTCGAGGCAAGCAGATCTTGCTCGGGGTCCATGGCCGAGGAATTTGGATTGAAAGTCGATAGAGGGTTAAAGGTGATTAATCATGTAGGAAGGTGGGAGATACATGGTGGTTGGGAGTAACAAGCCATCTCCCACCTTCCTCACATCCTTTCATTGAAAGATTCATATTACCATGTGATGTTTACTTAGGTCTGTTTCTATGTTTCTTGTTATCTGCATGAAACTGAATGAATAGTATTTCAATTCATAAAGGCAAGAAAGTCACAAACAAAATTTTGAATAATTTTTCAATTCACAAAGGAAAGAAAATCACACACATAATTATGAATACTATTGATGAGTAATGGAGTACGCTATAAATAAATTAAAAAAATGAAGCTTTTCGCAAATCGAGAGTTCTCACGAGAAACGATGTCATATATGATGACATTGTGCCTGCCTCGGCCCCCACTATTTTCAATGGATACTATGACATAGTTGGAACAGGTTCTATTGTAGGTAAAATGGCACTTCTCTTTCTCACTTCCTTCTTTCATATCTCTCTTTCTATTCACAAAAAGAAAACAGAACCAACAATGCTTGAATCCGAACAATTCCGTGAGGTATTAAATACCGACATCACCACTCCTATCCCAGAGGCTCTAGCGACCAAAATTACATCTTTGCCACCTTTTATTCCCATACAAGGAGTATCCAACTTTCGGGATTTGAGCCATGATGACAACAAACTACGTCCGGGATTTGTATATCGATCCGGGAACTTGTCAGATATCATGGACTCTGGGAAATCGATCATTGCAAGTGAACTAGGAATCACCACAATCTTTGACCTCCGAAACGAGGGCGAGCGACAAAAGGCGCCTGCAGCGTCCATTCCTGGCGTCGATACGATATGGATGCCATACGGTGCCCGACCGGCAACCTTGAATCTCCGAGACTTTGCAGGTGAAGACAAAGGCTCGTTGGGATTCGTGAAAATGTACACGGGAATCCTCGAAGCGGCCAAACCTTGCTTCACTGAGGTCTTCAACCATATCAAGGATAATCCAGACGACCCTTTTATCTTTCACTGTTCTGGTGAGTGACCTTGCGCTTTGACATGCCATTGATATCACTTATTGCTGTGGTCATTCGCATATCTGAAGTCCATATTGGATATTAATTCTCATTTATAGCCGGTAAAGATCGCACTGGTGTCCTGGCTGCTCTGATTCTCCTCTTAATTGGACGACCACACGATGAGATCATCAACGATTACATCCTCACTCGCGCTGGACTGGAAAGCGCTCGGGAGAACCTCATGGACGCTTTTGCCATCAACATGGAGACCGATGAAGTCGATATCGGCCAGTTGAGCCCGGAGGCATTGGGTATGCTCGAATTATGCGGTGTTCGCGCGACTGCGATGTCCGCTTTCTTGAAAACATTCGAGAGTTCCTACAAAAACGGAGTTGAAGGTTACCTGATTGATGGACTTGGATTCTCGCATAGCGATGTCGAAACGATGCGCAAGAACCTGATGAGCTAGAATATCCCCCAACTGGCGCATTCCTTTGTAAATTAGACAAACTTTGTATATACTAGATCTTGCGTTAGGAGTTTATTGTTTTAAATCATTAACCATATATACGAGGTTATGTTTGAATATTTGGATTGCTGTGTCGCTCAAATTTGTTTGTCTGATGGAATCCAGGGGGCCATTCCACGATATCAGTAGCACCGAGACCTTTTTTTCTTTTATGCAGAGGCAATGAAAATAGAAACCTTTCTTTCTCTAATTAGTACTCCATTCCCATCACGCTAAGGGAAGCAAGCATTTGGACTTCCCCTCTCAATCTCCGCATAACTCCACCACCCACCTTGCAGATCATCGCCTGGTCCCGCCGGTGAGTACAAAATCGGGGAATCACGACTTTATCCCCCCCTGGGGATCTTCGCGATTTCGTACCTCAGAACTACTACCGTTGCTTTCCCCCGCACGTACAGAGTACTAAAACATCGGGCGGACTACAGTGCCCCAGATTGTGTCACCTCTTTTCATTTAGCCGATATGACCTAGCGATTCCATGTTTGTACTTTGTGGGTCGGCTTTTTCTATGATCCGGAGGAAGTAAGGATAAATTGGACGTACTTAATTTGCCAGGGCCCTCGGTCCTAACTACACGAAAATTTTGCTTTTCATACCACTATGTATCTCTGGAAGCAGCTTGTGCTGGCGGTACTTCCGTCATCACTGCCGTTGGGCCTTGCACAAAATGTCATTGATCTTAGTGGTGATGGATGGACTGTCAGTAGCGATGCGCTGAACATCAGTGTCCCTGGTCGTGTTCCGTCGCAGGCGCATTTGGATCTTTTTGCTGCTGGTGTTATTGGTGAGTGGTTTTGCCTTGGTTGAATAGGATGGACGTGTATTAACAAACGCAGATGACCCGTCAGTTGTGTTCTTTCATCCTTGTTGATTTATGCTGACTCCCAGTAAAATAAAGATACCATGGCTTGAATGACTTCAACTTGCGTTGGATCGCCAACAACAATTGGACTTACACTAGTAAACCGATCGCGGGCTTGTATGTACTTTTGCAACGTCCGTGTTGAGCTCCTCTCACATTTCACAGGTCAACCGACTCGACAAAATCCTGGCTCGTTTTCAATGGACTTGATACCTTCACAACAATTGAATTCTGTGGTAAACACATAGCCACGACGGATAATCAATTCCGGCAATACACCTTTGACATTTCCGATGCATTAAAGAGTTGCAAAGGATCTCCAACTGTGTCGCTGAATTTCGGGAGCTGCCCCAAGATTGCAAATGCGATTGCTGCTGATCCAACTTCACAACGTGAGTAATTGGCTGAGACTAATGCCAACAGGTTTTGATTCTAACAATATTTTCAGATTGGCCCTCTGGTATTCAAGGAACTTTTGAATTCCCAAATCGCTGGTACATACGTAAAGAACAATCTGACTTTGGATGGGATTGGGGTCCAGCCTTTTCGCCTGTTGGGCCATGGCAGAACGTCTATCTAGTGCAGTCCGAGGCCGAGGAAAGTGCATATGTTCTGAACACAGGATTCGACATCTACCGGAAAGGCCAGATCAATCACATTGCGCCCGATCAGACTCAGCCCTGGATTGTGAATGCCAGCATTGATTACATCGGCTCTCTGCCCAGTAAACCATTGATGGAGATTGAGATCAAGGAACTTGAGTCAGGCAAAGTGCTGAAGACCGGCTCGCTAGATAACGTTGTTGTGTCTGGTCAAGCCATTACAGGTCAAACGACCGTTGACGCCGATGCGCCACAACTCTGGTGGCCCACTGGAATGGGCAAACAAAGCTTATACAACATCACGGTGAGAATCCAGGACAAGGACAAGAACCTCGCGAGCGTTACCAAACGCACTGGTTTCCGTACGATTTTTCTGAACCGCTCCAATATCACCGAAGAGCAGAGATCTCAAGGAATTGCACCGGGAGCCAATTGGCATTTCGAGGTAAATGGTCATGAATTCTACGCCAAGGGCTCGAATCTCATCCCACCGGATGCTTTTTGGCCAAGAGTCACAGAGGCAAAGATGCAGCGACTATTTGATGCGGTAGTTGCTGGAAATCAGAATATGCTCCGAGTGTGGTCTTCCAGCGCTTATCTTCCGGACTTTATGTACGATCTTGCCGACGAACGCGGAGTTCTGCTTTGGAGTGAGTTCCAATTCAGTGATGCGTTGTATCCGACAGATCAACCATTCCTTGACACTGTTGCTGCGGAGGTCGTTTATAATGTCAGACGAGTCAACCATCATCCATCCTTGGCCTTGTGGGCAGGTGGAAATGAGATTGAAAGCTTGGAACTACCAACTGCCAAACAGAAGGCGCCTGAATCATATGACTACCTGGTTGGGGATTACGAAACTTTGTTTATTCGTCTGATTTTGCCTCTGGTCTACGAAAACTCGCGATCGATCTCATACATGCCAAGCAGTACGAACAATGGTTTCCTCGAGGTCGATCTGTCGGCCGCAATTCCCATGGTCGAGCGCTATGACAACGGAACAGATCAAGAAGGATATTACTACGGTGATACCGATTATTACAACTATGATAGCAGCGTGGCATTCGACTTCGATGGCTACCCAGTCGGCCGCTTTGCGAACGAATTTGGATATCATAGCATGCCGAGTCTCCAAACCTGGCAGCAAGCGGTAGACGATAAAGACCTTCATTTCAACAGCAGCACTATTCAGCTTCGAAACCATCACTATCCTTCCAACAGCCCCGACACCCACAACTTCAAGAACTCATCCATGGGAATGGCCGAGATGACCCTCGCAGTGGAGAGATACTACCCGATTCCGAACAAGGATAATTCCATCGCAAACTTCAGCGCCTGGTGCCACGCGACACAGCTCTTCCAGGCAGACATGTACAAGTCAGAGATCCAATTCTACCGCCGCGGCAGCGGAATGCCAGAGCGCCAGCTCGGGTCCCTATACTGGCAACTCGAAGATATCTGGCAGGCCCCGACCTGGGCTGGAATCGAGTACGACGGCCGCTGGAAAGTTCTCCACTATGTCGCGCGCGACATTTTCAAACCCGTCATTATCTCTCCATTCTGGAACTCGTCAAACGGCGACCTCTCGATCTACGTGACTTCAGACCTCTGGGAGACAGCGCATGGCACCGTGAGTCTTACATGGACAGACCTATCTGGCAAACCTCTCGCCGATAACGCGGGCACCCCCAAGACTAAGAGTTTCTCTGTTGGCGCACTCAATACCACCAGTATCTACGCCATCAACGTGTCGAAGCTTTCCCTTTCCAATATGCAGGATGCTGTGCTGGTCATTGATCTCACTGCCAAAGGTCATTTGCCGAATCAAGAAAGCAAGTCTGCTACTATTCTCACCCATCGCAACCAATTCACACCAGTCTTTTCCAAGGATCTAAAGCTCAAAGACCCCCAACTCCAGCTTTCCCATGATTCTAAGACAGGCATATTCACTGTTGAAGCTAAGAGCGCTGTTTCGTTGTATACCTGGCTTGACTACCCCGCTGGGGTTGTAGGGTACTTCGAAGACAACTCGTTCACACTGGTTCCGGGTGAGAAACGCGCTCTGCGATTTATTGTGCAGAAGGATGAGACCGGTGGGAAGTGGGCTGATGGTGTCACCGTGCGCAGCTTGTGGGATCAGACCACGAGGAACTGAGAGGGTGGTGGCTTTATCAGAGGTCGTGAGCAGTTTCATTTGCTCGCCTGTTTCAGCACTAGAATAAGAATCTGAAAATTTATCGCAGGGAATTGATAAATATTTTATCCGTATTAAATATTTTATCCGTATAAAATTCTATTAAGTCTATAATTAATATACTTTAATCTATCGTTGTCGCCGTTTATCATTATTTTTTCACCATTGAGTTGATGGCCTATCACCAAACCCATCAACCAATTTTGAGTCACCACAAGTAAGAAAAGCCCGAATAGAGATATGCGGTCTTACTCATGGGACATTTTTGCCCGCAATCTGCCGCCAAATAGCCAAAAGACGTAGGGAATGAACACCATTGCGACACCAATGAAAGCAAGCAACCAGGAAGCCCACTGCAACCCAAGACGGTTATACATCTGTGTGGTAAACAAGGGAAAGGCAGCACCGCCTCCAGACCGCAGGAAGACCTTCGCCGCCAAAGCGGAAGCAGCGTACTTCTGGTAAGAGTCGATGATATAGTTGTTCACGGCATAATAGCAAAGCACCATTCCAAATCCAAAAGCAATACCAGAGGAAGCAGGCCCGACCCAGATAATATGCTTATAGGATGTAGCACCGAGCAGGAAGAACGCAATCGGAATAAAAGGCGCACCGATAAGTGCAGCAAGAAGCCTATCTTCGGGCGTCGGGGATCTCGCACTGCAGATCTTGCGGAAATGATTCTCAATAGCCGGGGTGAGAAGCAGAGCGAACGCCGCACCAATCAGAATAGGAATAAACATGAGGCCGATCTGGCCATCGTTGTACCCGTACAGTTTACCAAAGATGACCGGGTATGCGAAGAAAAAGGCATATAGCATCGCATAGATGAGAACGATGTACATGCACATCAGATCAAGGACCGGCTCTGTCATGATCATGGTGATCGGTCGGATCAGGCTCGTGCGGGCGATATCTCGCAGCGTAGGCTTCGTCGTCTCCTGCTCGGTAATGATATTTGGATTTCCGGATTCCTTGCGGAGTCGTGCAGCGCGGCGCTTTAGAATGACGGGTGCATATGTTTCCGGCACGAGGCCGACGAGGATCATGATTGCGCCTGCAAAAGCGAGGTTCACCCAGAAGAAGAGGTCCAGACGGTGAGATCCGACATTGATCCAGCCTGTGACGATGGGGCCGAGGACGGGGCCACAGTAGGGTGCGGCGGCAAAGTAGGCGATTGCCATGCCGCGTTCTTCAATGCTCCAGATGTCGGCGATTGTGCCGCCGGCCAACGAGAGCCCTGAGCTTGAGAAGACGCCACAGAGAAATCGGCAGACGAGGAGACCGCCGATGTTGGGTGAGAGGGCGCAGGGGATGTTGAAAATGACATATAGGCCTAGTGAGATGATGTAGACGGGTCTGCGGCCGATGATTTCGGAGAGCGGGGACCAGAGAAGTGGGCCTACGGCGAAACCGCAGACCATTATTGAGCACGTTAGGATTGCGACTTCGAGGGAGACATTGTATTTCTCCTCAATCAGACCGAGGCCACCTGTCACGATGGATGAACCGAATGCGACACAAACGACTAAAGCAGAGGCCACAAGGGTGATGTACCATCGATAAGCGCGAGACCAGTTGTAGGGGTGTTCCGGGTCATGTGTTGTGAATGTGACAAATTCGATTGGACCATTGCCTCCTTTTTCGAGGTCTGTGTTTAGTTCGTTGGCGTTGGCCGGTGTGCCGATTTGCGTGGATGAAACCGAGCTGTGGGATCGGATTTGTTCAAGGGTCTTTTGAGACACAAGTCCGGTGTTGGTTTCTAGGGTATACTCTTCGGGGAAAATGGGGTCTGAATCATGTCCGATGGTTGGATAATTATAATCAAGTGCAGCGTGGGTTTCTGAAATGCCTAGGTTGCGGAGGCTTTCTTGGGTTTCGGCCACGAGCTGGTGTTGGGCATGTGATGGCTCAGGCTTTTCCGAGTGGTCTTCGGGTATTGTTGAAGACATGGTGCTTTTGAGTAAAATATGAGTAATGTATAAAGACTTGGGATTGTAGGATGATGACTGTAGGGCTTATGTAGAGGGAACATGGTATTTATACATTATGGGAGCTTTGCAAAGCATTGCAAGTATATACTTGTAGACCGACTGATCTCCGAGATAGACCGCATGATCACCGGTTACTCGGCATTAAATATGGCGCACTGTCTTCACAGTAAATTTTAACTGGATTTGGTGAGCTTCAATGTCAGATTGCTTAGATGTCAGCCCGGTGATCACTCGGCCCGAACTAATGCCGATATACATATGCACCTCTGGACTTTTCTCGGGATGAATGAGAGCTGTACCAGGGCTATTTCAGAAGTTCAAGCTCTTTCATCGTAGCTTTATTGTGTATAAATACCCTTATCAGACTGGCGACTCTACCTGTATTTGTTAGATCCCGATCTCTCATATAGTGACCTGACGTCCTTCCAGGCTAGTTCCGATTATAGATTCTTACTTCGGACTGGAGCCCATCAATAAATTTTGTTGAGCCTTCAATCCGTATGCACAAGATCCTATATCATATCTTGGGATACACGAAACGCGTAATTTTACTGTTGTGCGACTCTCGCAAGGGGGGGGGGCAACTCTGCCTGTTGACAAGTTTCTAGTTAATTCGATTAGCAAATTAATTTCCCAACATCTTGGAGATCCATATAGGAATATGTTTGATGACGCCACAACTATAACTTGGGGAAATTATTTTGGGCGCTTACCCTGGTGCCCTCGGGATATTGTGCGCACTTTGTCCAAATCAGGAAATTGTTTCCTGATAAAGTGCTCATCTGCGCAGCCCTGGATCCATGGATGGATTACTACGAGGATGAGTAGTGGAGTTCGTACTTGATCTTGACAAGCTGTTTGGCTGCTAACTTAATTTCGACCCCAGTATATCTCTTTGTTCCCTCTTCTCCTAAAGTTTTTATTCTTCCTGCAGCATATTCGTTTTGACTGCTTCTTAATAAGGTTATCTTGCTCGTCAGATTATCAACGTCTGACAGATGTATTTCTAATTTGACTTACTTTCTAGGGCTCAACAGAATTTTTTGAAATCGAATGTTGCAAACTGGTTCCCTGGTGATAAGCCGGTAGAGCGGAGTTTCCAGTGCAAGGCGGTTTCAGCGTCAACAGACCATGTAGGAAAATTGAATTTTTGTACTTAGCAGTGACATGCGCTTACTTTAAGAGACTTGATATATTAAGATACCTAGATATCAACTTCTCATAATAAATAGAAGAAAAGGCCGCTTAAAGGTCTAATGCTCATTGGTCGAAGTGGATATATATCCACCGTGATTCTTAACGTCGACGCAATCATGCATATATATATTTGAGCTTAACCTTGGAAGACTCCTGCAAAGATTCGATTTATTTTTTGTTTCTCTAAAACAAAACACGAAATCTGCCCAACCCATTTGCTTTCTGTAGTGCAGCGCAGTGCATCCTATTTATGACTCCTTCGACCAAGAAACACAGCCCGTGATGTCCAGAAAGACGATCGAGCTTATGATCATGGGGGAGCGCGACGTGGACAGGACCGGGCGCTATCTAAAAAAATGGGAGCTGCTGATTGTGTTGATAGCGAGGAATAACAACATTGTGGAGAGTATATGGCGGGGATGATACGCCTGATTGGTGATTTCATATTTCGTGGATTTAGCCGCTTGTCTGTGTGTTCGAGTGGCATCTAATTTTATCGTCCAAATGTGAGACGCGGGCCTATAGAAGAATTCCAAGATATTCTGGGATATTGATTGCGGAGATCACAGGTTACATAAATTGAGCCAACCGCAATCCCTGAGGGCCGAGGATTATCAACAATGGAACAACACGTATGAAGCTATAAACAAAAAATTATTGATAGTTTATATATATATATGTATTTATTTATATTTTCAAGATAGATAGCACCAAAAATACACCGAAATAGATGCATCGCAACCCATTATGCAAAGGACTTCGTGAGAAAAGAAAGTTCGCGTTCACCACTTGTTGTTGAAGACCTTGCCATCGACGTAGTTGACAAGTTCCTTGACGGGAGCAAGATGGTCACGACCAGCGCCGAACAACATGCCCTGGCGCAGAACCTTGCGGTAGTTCTTGCCCGGAGAGACCTTGCCGAGGACATATTCTTGGCGAGTCTCAACACGAGTGGGGACAGGAATGGATCGACCAACCACAGCCTCCATACCCTGCCAAGCAAAAGTAATCGCCTCCTTAGCACCACCAGGGATACCCGCCTCGTCGAGCATCATAATGCGAGTGTTGGGGTAGTTCTTCTGAATGAACGCAGTGATATTGGGGTTGTACGCACCACCACCGCACATGAAGATCTCGGCGATCTCAAGGCCCTCGGGCGCATAGCGGCGGTAATGATCGACGATAGCCTGGGCGGTAACGCGGGTAATGGTGGCGACAACGTCATCAGGCTTGAGGCCCTTGGCTTCAGCCTTAATGATCAGGTCGTGGGCGAGGGTGTCGCGGAATACTTCACGGCCCGTAGTCTTGGGCGGTTCCAGCGCGAAGTAAGGGTGTGTCAGGAAGTCGTCCACGAGTTCCTGGTCGACGGTACCGCGGGCTCCCATTTCTCCATCACGGTCGTATTCGCGCTCGCCGTTGGTGTAGTGGCGGACGACGGCATCGATGAAAACGTTTCCTGGGCCGGTGTCGAAATCGTAGCTCTCATCAACGCCGCCGTGGCTGTCCGGCAAGATAAAGCAGACGTTGGCAATACCGCCAATGTTCTGGCATGCGCGGAGCTTGGTCGGGTGGTGTAGTACCAATGCGTCGAAGAAGGCAATGAGGGGTGCACCCTGGCGACCAGCAGCCTGGTCACTAACCCGGAAATCTGTGACCGACGTAATGCCCGTGCGCGAGGCGAGGAATGTACCCTCCGCCATTGTCAGAGCGCTGCGGGTCTCGCCAGCCTCTGGCATGGAGAGGAGCCAAATGGTTTGGCCATGGGATCCGAGGACGTCGATCGAGTTGATGTCCACCTTGTAGTCTTCGCAGAACTTGTGAACGGCCGACGCAAACGTCTCACCCAGGATCACATTTACTTCGGATAGCTCGGAAGGGGAGGTCTTATTATGCAGGATCATGTTCATCACGCGCTTCTTGATCACGGGCTCAAGAGGAATTTCGCCATACTGCATTCATTGTTTAATATCAGTATTTACTTTGTGCAACCCCGGGGATATTATCAGAGATACCTACTTTGAGTAGTTCAAAGTGCATAGGGGATTCTGGAGTCTCCTGGCGAAAGCGGCAAAGGGCACAGTCGATACCATCCTGTACATGGATAAGTTCAATGTTTTAATCCATGGATGAAGGCCAAATGTTGATATTGTTGACAAGCCCTGAAGGTGATTACTGCTTACCATGGACGTTCCGCTGTTCAAGCCCAGAACCGTAATATCCAAAGCATGGCTAGTAGCCTCGTTCACGTAAGAACCCATGATTCTTTATTTCAACTATGGCGGATTGAAAATAGATACAAATAAATGGAAGAGAAGAAAAAACCTCACAAACGGGGTCTTAACTATTTAAATAGGAAATCGGTCCAGAGCGCAGCCGGTAGCCATGATCTAGCCGGTCTATGGTGGATACCGTAGAAAAAAAACATGCTTTTTGGATTGTGATAGTTGATATCTTCAGCTTGAAGCAAGCACGCCAGAATGGAAGATCGGTAAAACGCCTATTTGAGCATACAAACAATTCTGAATGGCTAAACGGCTACACGCTTATTGTGGCTCCAAACACCCCCACCACCTCCCGGGGTCGACAGTAGCTCCATCACACTGTCCATTCAGATTCTTCACAATTACCGGGGGCGGGACCCATAACAATAAGTGCCATCGGTATTGCTTCATTTGTGGGACAATCTGGGGGCTTCAATGGGTTACACAACTCTCTGGAAGCGGCTTTCGCCGCGTCAGCTGAATGTCGCCATTCAAACATTTTCGCTGGTGTCGATTTTTTTCGAAGGATATGATCAAGGTGTGATGGGCGGTGTCAACAGCGCGCCAAGCTATGTAACTAAGGTCGGTATTGGCAAGGCTGATGGCACTGTAACAGACACCACCCACCAGGGTGGAATCGTTAGCGTGTATTATTTGGGGGCCATTTTTGGTTGCTTTGCGGGCGGATGGCTTGCAGATCGTATTGGTCGGATTAATGGCCTACTGGCTGGATCATTGTTTGCATTGATTGGTGGCGCGCTGCAGGCAGCTGCACAGAATTCAAATTTCATGCTGTGTGCACGAGTGCTCACTGGCATTGGAACTGGCGGTGGGTACTCTCGCTCAGCCTTGCCTTGGCTTCGATCAAAATAATGATCTGTCTCTAACTCGTTTCATAGCGTTGACGGGCATTACCCCGGTTTTAGTGTCGGAAACATCCTCCGCGAATCATCGAGGCGGCTTTTTGGGTTATGTTTTCATTGCAAATTGTGAGCTGTTCATTTCGTGTCCACTGTGGACTGTGCTGTATATTGTGGGGACCAGTGCTAACATTCGTCATTGTCATTATGAAGATTTAGGAATTTCCGTCGCATATTGGATCTCCTTCGGTCTCGCTTTCGTTGATCATGGATACTCGGATGTGAGATGGCGGTTTTTGCTGGCTTTCCAGTGCTTCCCGGCACTGATTTTGGTGGCTTTCATCAAGATGTTGCCGGATAGCCCCCGCTATTTGGCTTCAGTGGGGCGGAATGAGGAAGCACGATATCTTTTGAACCGAATTCGTAAAGGCCGGGCCTCCCAGGCTGATATCGATCTCGAATACCTAGAAATCATCACTACTGCTAAGGGGAGTAAGCTCAGCTCACCAGTTGAATTTGTTAAAATTTTGGTAGGTAAGGGCGGAAAGCCGGGACTTAATCTTGGCCGACGAGCATGGTTGTGTGTTTGGTTGCAGATTATGGCATCTTGGACAGGCATCACAGTGAGTATAGAGTCGTAAGATATGTTTTCCGATCGGTACCTAATGCCCAGGATTTAGGCCGTGACTGCCTACTCCCCTACCCTTCTTGCCCAGGCCGGCTACAGCGACATCAAGCAAAACGGTCTTGCTGGAGGAATCAACACAATTGGAATCATCGGTACTATAATTAGCGCCCACATTATTGATCGTTTGGGTCGACGTGTTTGTTTGATGGGCGGAGCTGCTGTTTTGTTTGCCGTCAACCTCATTGTAAGTTGCTTGAAAATGTATAGTTCGATCGCGATGTGGTTATCTGACTATTCCCTTTTCAGGCTGGAGCCGTCTATGAGGGTTCTTTGCATAACCCCGAGAAGGCATCTCAGTATGCACCTGGTGCAGTGCTGATGCTCTTCTTGTTCAATTTGGGGTAAGTTGTGTGAAATTGCTGTGCTATCTCTTGTATGCTAACATGAAACTAGATACGCTGCTACTTGGGGTACCGTTGCCTTTTTGATCCCCACCGAGATCTTCCCCAGTGATCTGCGAGCTCAGGGTAATGGATTCGGAATCACTGGGTGGGCTATTGGTGTGGGTATGACCACTTTGGTTAACCCTATCATGTTCAGTGTCATGACCGTGAGTTCCTTATATAAGATGTTTCATTCCTATGGATTACTGACTTCTCTTTAGAGCCGTACATATTTCCTGTTTGCTGGACTGAACCTCATTTGGATTCCGATCGTCTACCTCTGTATGACTTACAATGTTCTGGTGTGTTGCACGTTTTAATATATTTTCTTTACAGTCTACCCCGAAACCCGGAACCGTTCCCTAGAGTCGATCGATGCCCTTTTCTCTACCCCCAATCCATTTTATTGGAAAATGGAACAAGCCTACAAGCTTCATGGTGATGTTCTCGCTGAACATGGAGTCGACAAATATCAAGCTCTCGGTGAGGTTGCAAATGTCTAAAGCATACCTTGTCACGCCTCACTGGAGGTATATTATACCCGGGACACTATAAGTCTCTTCTCTAGATTTCTATATGATCATGTTCCTCTGCACATTACTTTATTATACACAAATATAGATATTCATTCTCCCATCTTGACGAGAATCGCATTTTGATGATCACCACGCCCCTATTCCCCCTATTATCATAACACGGAATTGAAGCCGTATACATTTCTTCTTTATATATCTGTCTATACTTTAAATTGAGGAATTTGATCTGAAACTGATCTTAATCTGATCGTCGAATTCCCCACTGCATTCTCGGGATCATGTCTCGCTTACTCAGCAGTACCATATTGTAACCTTAATATCGACTTTTATCTTCGGACACCAATTTCCTGCTATTGAGAGGATTGCGCATCAATATCATTGAAGAGAATCGCTACTTCAAATCGCCTTCTATCACATTTTTGGGGTGTCTTTTTCCCTTATCACATTCTTACCCCAGAGTGCAGTACACGCGACCCGTGTCGTTGCGCAAACCCCGAACCCCGTTTTCTACCGGCCCACTGAATTTCCTCCCGCAGTGGGCTACTTTTTGCGCCCAAGTTCAAAGCTTCCGAGAAGGTTGGAATGATTTAATGAATTGAATGTCGCAAAAACCCCGAAAGCTCCAACGCGTCTCCAAAGCCTGTAAGTCAACCCCCCGCGTGAAACTTTGTGATTTATGCTCCACTTGCGCGATTGGCGGCAATTGCCCCGGATTGCGACAGCTCTGAAGCTCACGCGGAACCAGGCGACTTCTGCAACCGGCGCAGCATTAAGTGCGGCAGAAGTGAAGATACGCTAGGCAGGTGTCAGAATTGCGCGGATTTTGATGTCCCGTGTACTTTTGATCGCCCCGCAAAACGCCGGGGCGTGAAGGCTGGCACCAGGGCTCCCTCGCGCGAGACGCCGTTGGTTAGTACGCCTGTCTCCGAGAATGTCCTCCCTGTACCGCTCGCTGCGCCGGCTACAGGGAGGACATCAAACTCCTCCGCTTCTAGGAGCTCTTATTACCCCGACTCCACCTATCGGCTATCGTCCACTGCAGATCCTTGGGCTACGTTCCATGCCGGAGGTGTGTCAACCGAGGGGTACGATGATGACGGTGCACTGCGCAACTCATGGAATGCATTTGCCATTGCCAGTGACCGTCAGATCAGGAATCTCGTGCAAGTGTATTTTGAGATAGTATATCCTATGTGAGATTCACCATCGTCGCTCGATCTGTCCCAGTTTGCTGATAACATAACAGCTTCCCCCTTTTCCACAAGCACTCATTCCTCGAGAGAGTGCACAATCAAGAGCATCTGCGGAACCCTGGGCTATTTGCATCCACAATGGCCGTCTGTGCTTTGGTTTCGGGGCGAGCGCGAGATGGCGCATTGTTCACGAATAGATGGAATCGCGATGAGCTTGCGGAACCACCCTCAGAAGCATTCTATGCAGCAGCGAAGGACTCTATACCCCGGGATCTTGTAGCTGCAAAGGGCATCAACTATATGCGTGCATGTGCTATCCTCGCCATTGCCAGTATCCAAAATGGGCAGATCAAGAATATGCAGAAATACTCTGGTATGTACCATACGCTCACTAACATGGAAGGGCTTCATGATGAGAAGCTTTGGCCGAAACACTTGAGTCCCATTGAGACCGAAGAGCGGCGGAGACTGGTATGTTTGCAATTTCCCTCAGTGCCCCTGCACTTTCTGTTTACTGAAACACTTCTAGTTCTGGTCGCTCTATACGTTAGATATCTATTCCACCATCGTATGGGGAGGCGTGATTCGATATCGCGAAGCGCATTCCCTAGTGCGATATCCCAGCGAAATTGACGATGAGTTTATCACACCACATGGCTACGGCGTCCCGCCCGTCTCTCCATCATCGAGTGTGCTCAGCCCGGGCGATGTGGCTGTTGTCACAAGACAACCCGTCGCATGGCTTCGGGGGTGGAATTTCACAACGGATCTTTATCGGATCTTAGAACATGTTGTGGATGGCAACCGGCGTCGTTTCTCGTCGGCCAACGGCACCACGCAAGTTTGGCCCTTGTTCACTCCAGCCTCCGTCTCGGAACCAGCAGTGATGGAACGAGTACTATCCATGTACGCTGCCTTGCCCCCACATTTCAAGGAAACCCCGCCCATTACAGGCGACATGGCCAAGGATCTGTTCGGTTTCCAGTCCGCCAACATCCAAGCCACATTACAGCTTCTTCGGATGGTGCTCTTGTCGGGCGAAGAGCTTGGAGTGGACCGCAAATGCGACGTGGCCGGAGAACTCCTCAGTGTCTTCAAACATGTCCCGGTGGAGTATTTGAAGGCGATCAGCTCCCCACTTGTATGCTCATCAACTCCACTCAAATGAACTTGACTGACCACTTGAAGCTTCACCATCTCGGCGGAATTGGCTATATCCTCGGTTCTGTCATGGAAGGAAGCTTGTCAGAAGTATCCTACCAACGGGTCCGCACATTGCTGTGAGTTTTCCTCTCTTCCTGTATACCGAGCCACAACCCCACATTCTAACACAACTTCAGCCTCGAAATGGCCGACCTCCTCGGTCGTCTCGAAATAGGACTCCAGCGGGCAGCAGGTGCCAGCGAACGTCTCCGGTGCCAGGTCGATCGAATCGACGGTTACATGCGAACATCGCGACTCATGAATCTCACAACCGGTCATCTCCCGCCGCACCCCAATACAATGCACATGGACTCAAAGTCCGAAATGCCCATTTCATCCGCAACATATAACCCTTCTGCCGGCCCAGCCAGTGGGCCGAATCCAGCAGTCGGGCCGCCGCCCATGGGCGAGCATATGATGCAGTTCCAGCTGCCGCCGGAGCTGCTGTCGGATTGGCCGTGGCCGCTGGACGGGGCTCATTCGGAGGGCTTCCTGCCTATGGCGTTTGAATAATTGAGACGGTAGTTGGGAGTTGGAGGCGGCGTCCATTTTACAATAGAGTAGACGGAAAACATTGTATTTCATTGCCTGTTTATACTCATAAAGGGAGGTGTCTAGTCCGAAGTAACGAAGTGCTAGTGGAGTCTCTGTAGAACCACTTTATAGGACACTATAGCGAGGTCTTAGAGGGGCAATCAACCCTAATATGGGGTTTCGCTGCCAGGTAGTATCTGAGGACTTCCTCCTTACAACCACGGGCATTCATCGAGCTGTTTGTGGACGAGATCGGGGTAAGATAGTATGAGGGTCCTAGTTCGGTCCTTCTCTCTTAGGTATAGGTAGAGCTCTGATTGGCGTTACCTCTCTTCTCAATAGATATTTCTCATTGTCCTACAAGTTATGTTTCCAGCGCCAATAGGAGCATCTAGACCTCACCCCGGATTTTTGCACAGAGCTAGCCACTTTCAGATTCTAATGCGCCAAATGATTCATCAAAAGGTAAATACTTCCGAGGCATTTGTGTTTTAATGCGCAAGCCCCTGTTCCTCAAATTGCGGGGTATGCATCTTAGGTTTCACTTGGCCGATCTTGGATACAACCTAGCGGGCTTCGGTAATATGATTTATGCAAATGCCCCAGTGTAATATGAGTGTATACATGGAGTCAGTGCTCGTGGTCTTACACCTGTCGAAAATGTGCCTAGGTGGATTGATCGACGGTTATACGAGAACCTAGCTAGGGCTCGCAGATGTTAATATTCGGACAATTTTCCGACCCAGCCAATGATATCGCGGGAAAAGCGACAGGAATTATCTGCCCGTCTTCTCTTATCAGAAGTACCTCAATAGAACTACTCCAGGGGCTTTTCTCGTATAAATCGTAGGAAGTCAAGCACTTGATAAGCTTATCACTTGGCAGCTTTAGCATCGCCATCTCCTCCCCCTTTTAGACTGACCCCGATAGCCATCTCTAATCCTTGTCTCTTTGCTATGTAAATATACCCTCTTATCAATATTTTGAGTTATCTCTAATGCATCACCGGCCCGTATGCTTGGCGTTTCACCCCATCGCATGATGGCCTCTATCCAATATCAACCTTGGCGTCTCTCCGCACCTTAAAAGTCTATACGTTTGACCCCAACATCAGTGCGCATATAAGGAATGATGTTCCCCGCTTCCTGTACCGAAGTCAACTCAGGCTCGGGTACCATTTCATTATGGAGAAAAAAGAATCTACAGAGGTGTCTAACCTCAAGGAGGACACTAGTCAAGGCGATGTTCTACCCTTTCGACAGACACAGCGCGGTCTGGCTTCCAGGCATGTGCAGTTGATGGCCATTGGAGGCTCCATTGGTACGGGACTGTTCGTGGGTATTGGTTCGTATCTGCGTGATGCAGGTCCGCTGTCTTTATTTCTGGGATATCTTGTTTGGGGGTGTCTTTTCATTTTACCTGTCAATCTCTGTGTTGGAGAGATGGCTGCCTATCTTCCAATTCGTGGATCTATTTTTGAACTTGCTGCCCGCTTTATTGACCCGGCATTTGGATTTGCAATGTAAGTTCAGATCCCTCTTACCTCGGTGATTCTGGATACTAACACTTCTAGGGGCTGGGTATATTTCTACGGCGGCGTAATGTTAGTCTGCACAGAATACTCCGCAGTTTCAACCGTCATGCAATACTGGAACACAGGGGTAAATCCTGCAGTATGGGTAGCAATGGCATTAGTCGTATGCACCGTGCTCAACCTCGTTGCCGTGAAGTGGTATGGCGAGAGTGAATTCATCATGGCATCAACTAAAATCTTCCTCCTCATCGGGCTTGTCCTCCTCACGTTCATTACAATGGTCGGTGGAAACCCCCGACACGACGTCTATGGATTCCGAAACTGGACCGATGGCGTCATGTTCGAGTACTATACCGACGGTGATACGGGTCGATTTTTGGGCTTCTTCTCTGTCATGGTATACGCCGCTTTCTCTGTGGCTGGACCGGATCTGCCTGCCCTGGCTGCAGGAGAAATTCAGAATCCTCGCGTGACCATTCCCCGCGTCGTGAAGATGACATTCTGGCGAATCGTCGGATTCTACGTTGTCGGTGTCTTGGCTGTCGGCATTATCTGTAACCCTCGCGATCCCCGACTTATGTCCGCCATTGATGATGGAGCATCCGGATCCGCTGCATCGCCTTGGGTCATCGGGATCGAGAACCTAGACATCACCGGCCTACCGGATCTTATCAATCTGCTCATTCTGCTGTCTGGTTGGTCATGCGGAAATGCCTACCTCTACAGTTCTAGCAGAACGCTTTACTCTCTTGCTCGCGATGGCCAAGCCCCAAAGTTCCTCTTGAAGTGTACTTCCTCTGGCATTCCTGTCAATTGTGTGCTCACGGTGTCAGTTTTGTCATGCATCACCTTCCTGGTGGCGAGCACCTCTTCCGTCGAGGTATTTTACTGGTTCGTGGATCTGACCACCATCGCCTTCGTTCTCACCTACACGGGCATGCTTTGCGTCTTCATCGCCTGGTACCGCGCTATGAAGGCACAAGGAATTGACCGGAAGACGTTTGTGCCCTGGGCTGCGCCTTTCCAGCCATACGGTGCCATTCTTGCCATCGCGATTGGTTGCACAACAGCGATCTTCAACGGCTTCGCGGTCTTCATGCCATTCAACGTGCAAGGCTTTATCACTTCGTACTTTGGTCTGGCGTTCTGGGTTGTCATGTTTGCTTTCTGGAAGATCTATCATCGTTCTTCGTTTGTGCGCGTGGTTGAAGCCGATTTGTTCTCTGGAAAAGCAGAGGTTGACGAGGAGTGCAAGATCTGGGAGGAAGGCGGCTGGGAGGAGCGACGGAAGGCTGAGCTGGCTAATATGAACTGGGTGCATCGAGCATGGGAGAAGATGTGGTAATCACCACTAGACTGATACTTTGTTCTTATAAACTTTGAATATGATTTTCCTTGAGTTCTATTGATTCCACTCTTTGGTGTCATAGTTCTCGCGAAATATAACTGGGGCCTTTCGGTAGCGATTGACCTCCAACCGGAAGACGTCCAATCTCTGATATCCACCCACAACATCGTGATATTGCTTCCTTTCAACACAGCTCTCAAGATCCAGATCCGCATATATGATATCTTCCTCTTGCTGCAAAAATTCTGCCACCTGGGACGTGTTTGTATTTTCATCTACTGTAAAAGAAGGGACTGGTGCCCCCGTCGGATCCAGAACCATACTCACACCCCGAGCAGAATAGTGTAAGGAGTGTCTGACAATATCAGGAGAGCTTGAACCTTCTACAACCGTCTCAATGGCCTCTTGATCAAGAAAGCCACTGCACTTACACCGAAAGCCTTAGCCTCGAAGCAGTGAGCAGCAGCACGCAACTGATTGGCAAGAAAATTGTCGTAGTTGCGCGGTTCTTTGGCATCGTTGTTTCCAGGTAGTGCAGGTATTCTGGTTGGCCAGATCGCCGGCCAAGATGAGATGTGAATCTGCTCCCGTTGGGCCATCAATTAATATCGCGCCAGTGGATTTGTATTCTCGCCGCAGATCAGCGCGCCGACATTGCCATATGTTGTTTCAGCAACTCGAAGTCCATGTCCATCGCCAGAGCTCCAAACTAATTTCTCGAAGAATGTCGGCATCAGTTTCCGGTGATGGACGAGTACCTCTCCATCATTGTTGATGAGCAAGTTTGAATTGTACAGGCATGCTGTGCTGCTATGAGACTTTTCTGATATTCCGATACTGATGACAGTTTTTGTCTCTCGGGCTGTATCCCGGATAGCTTGGATTTCTTGGCCGTCGGCGTATATGGACTCTTGAACCATGCGCTTAAAGAAAGTGTGGTTCTCGGCTGGGGGACGTAAGGCGCTCCATATTGGGAATGCGGCAATGTATGATTCTGGAAACACCACGATGTTTGCTTTGCGTCTGCTTGCTTGGTGGATCAGAAAGATCGTTTTGGTGGTTGTTTCTTTCGCTGAGAGGAAGCGAGATGATACGTGACAGGCGGCAACACGGGTAAATGACATGTTTAGAACTATCCGGAATGTATTCTTGGAAGATTTCAATCCCTATGATCTGTGTATAGGGCAAGAACTTTTCATGAATGAACGTTGAATTATGTTAGGCTTGATCTCACCGCGGTTAATGTACCGCTATACCATATCCCTGCAACATCCGATATCTACTTTAACTGATATATGGTGAATTGGTGCAATGGCAAGTACTCCCGAGACATCTTCGAGCAATACTATGCTGGCTAGAAGCTGATGGCTGTACAGCTGATAAGTCCAATCTATGGCGAGGGCTTTCATATGTTCAAAGCGGATGTTCCCGTGGATCACGTTGAATACAACCTGAAGATTGTCATGAAGCATCGTGTTTGTTTTGGGCCATTTCCGCTCCCCGAGAAAATAGCAGACAAGGGACGACTCGGGTCTCTGATCTGGGTTATGCAAAACAGCCCTGTGGAATCCATGAGATCGATCAATCTCACTACGTCCCGGAAATCTGCGAGGAAGACGAATGCTTTGGTCTCAAAGTCATGAGGCTTGATCCGAGAGATCGGCCGTCCGCTCAAGAATTGTTAAGGGGCTGCTGAGTTGAATACGAGCAGTGTCCAATCTGTATATATAGGACCTAGGAGGTGAGTCCACCAGATAGATCGAATTGTGTGAAGGATCTAGAGGACAATCCGATAAATATTCTCCTTTCTATTTAAATATAGGTGCATATGCAACATTGTACTCATGTAGATATATCGAATTATACATGAATTTCAAAGGACAACCCAGCAGATATTCCCTTATTTAAATGAAGTGCATATACAATGAATATTATAAAATAGAACTGGTTTATATCAGAAGTACATGCTGTGATTGGTCAGATCGGGAAGGACAGCGGTGGGACCCGGCGGAATCTGCTGTGGGAAAAGTTGCCGTTCCAGCTTCTCCAGACTCAACAACATCAATTGCACTATACTATGTCCATGTCCACCCGCTCCGCCTGGCGAGCTTTGCACTACAGTGCGAAGCGCCGTGCCTTCCAGCCTTACACCCCGTACCGCTGTTTCTCCTGCGCCAACCGCGCCCAGGAGCAGACCAAGCCCGGCAATGATCGCATGACACACTTTGGGTTTACCAATGTTCCCGAGTCAGAGAAGGAGACGCGAGGTAAGGACCAAGAAATTCCCAATTGCATGAGGCAATTTGCCCAGCCCAAGCTCAACTAACCCGCTCTTTCTAGTTGGCGCCGTCTTCAGCTCCGTAGCAGCCTCCTACGACCGCATGAACGACCTAATGTCACTTGGCATCCACCGTCTCTGGAAAGACCACTTCGTGCGATCCCTCAACCCAGGCTCATGCCTGCCCGCCCTTACTGCCGACAAGCCCGGCTGGAACATCCTGGACATCGCCGGCGGGACCGGTGACATCGCGTTCCGCATGTTGGACCACGCCACGCACATCAACCACGACATGGAGACCCGCGTGACTATCAGTGATATCAATGCTGACATGCTGGCTGAGGGCCGCAAGCGCTCCCTCGACACACCGTACTACAACACTAAGCGATTGGACTTCGTCGAAGCGAACGCCGAGCACATGCCCCATATCCCGGACGCCTCGGTGGATCTTTACACTGTTGTTTTCGGTATCCGAAACTTCACGGATAAGCAGGCTGCGCTGAATGAGGCGTACCGCGTGCTCAAGCCTGGTGGTGTTTTTGCTTGCATGGAGTTCAGTAAGGTCGATAACCCCATTCTTGACGGAATCTACAAGCGCTGGAATTTCAGTGCTATCCCGCTTATTGGGCAGGTTGTCGCGGGTGACCGTGATAGCTACCAGTATCTTGTTGAGAGCATTGAGCGCTTCCCTAGTCAGGAAGAGTTCAGGGGCATGATTCAGAAGGCTGGATTTATGATTCCTGGACAGGGCTTTGAGAACCTTACTGGTGGTATTGCTGCTATCCACAAGGGAATCAAGCCTATTGTCAAGGCTTAAATTTGGGTTATGGGGCTTTGGGGCTATAGAGATGGACTTGTGTACTATAGATCTGGCTGGCATATGTACTGATTGTATTACCATAAGAAATATTATTGGCGTTAATATTTGCATCGTCTATCTGAACCCTCGGCCATAGCCTGGGGCTTTTGAGCGTAAATGTGCATCTAGACAAAAATGTACGTATCTAGAGTAAGCTGTATGTGGGCATAACATCGTTATTCGAATGCATGAGCAAACGATATGTAGAATCAAGAAAAATATCCAAGAAAAAGAATAGACATAGATGGCTTTCGGCCTTCTCAATCACCCAAAAGATCCTCGAACTCTACAACTCCCATGCAGCTGTCGGGATTGGTCATGTCTTTCATGAGACCAATCACAGAGACGGAGTTAGACCCTTTGTGAAACTCGGACACGAGACGCCGAAGATCAGCAAGAGGTGTTGAAGCTGGGACTAACAGCCAGTCGGTTCGGGGTATAGTAAAAGGAGTGCCCGAACTGTTGGTCGCAACGTCGGAAACACGCATGTCCATGTTTCCACCTGGCAGAAGGAGAGCGCGTACACGACGAGGAGGAATGATTGAAGATGGCGATATGAATACCCATGACTTGGCATTGGGATTCTGGATGGCCGTGAGAAGAATGTCGAGAAGTCGTATTTCGCCGTTAGAATGGGGCGAAGGTGCAACGAGTGGAATTTGCTCTAGCGGAACAATTATATCTTGCGGAATTAAACACTGTACTGATGGTGACTGGAGAGTGAAAGGAGGGATCAACGGTGTATTCGTGATATCCTCCCATGGGAGCGACAGAGACGAGGTTGGCGAGTCAAATGTCGTCGTTGACATGCCACTTGACGACGAGGTTGGCGGAGTGCCCGCCGACGCTGCTCCAATAGCACCGCCTGGATGGAAACCCCGGAAGACATCCGAGGGGCTTTTCCCAGTGGCAGTGTGAAGCTTTCGAGCCGTAGCGATGGCCAGCGCATCCCCCAGCGCCAAGGCTACGGTTGTTGATGACGTGGGCGCACTGACACCGAACGAGGACTCTTCGTCTTCGTGAATCGGGGCCGGCAAAAGAATGCCCATGCCCGAAGGAGCATGCAGCGAGAGCAGCGGACATGACGCCGGATGTGTGTGTGAAGTAAGAGCGATGACAGGCACAGTAGAAGGCAGATGCGGGAGCAAAGTAAGAAGCTCCGGAGAACGACCAGAAAAGGATATCAAAAGAACGGTATCATTCTGCGATCAGATAAGTCAAGATACGTAGGTAAGTTTCGCCAAAGCCAAAGCCAAAAGAACGAAAGCCAAAAAGCATTTTGCAGGCGGCTTACCGGCCGAATTAATCCCAGATCGCCATGCAAGGCCTCAGTCGGATGTAGGAACGCACTGTACACGCCCAAGCTATTCATGGTAGCCTCGATCTTCCGTCCAACCTTCCCACTCTTACCCACCCCGCAGACAACCAGCTTGCTGCCCTCACGCACGCTGCGAGCAATCTGGTCCACGGCCCGAGCCAGATCGTGCTGTGCGCGCTCGTCCGTCTGGTAGATGTGCTCGAGGTGAGCGAGGGCCGCTCGCTCGGTCGATATCACATGGATTGCCGTGACTACCGATGAGACATCTTTAATGGGAGGATCGGAGGAACAAGGAGGGGTGGGGGGCCATGTAACGGGTTCTTCGGATACGGCCATGGTCTTCGTGCAGTGAAGTGAAGTGAAGTCGATGGGCTAGTGCATTATGCGAATTGGGTCAAAGTAGAAGTTAAATGATGTAAAAGATGAATAATGTACAACGTCAATTGTGTCTTTATAACACCCGTTGCTAGGCGCAGGCAAATTGTGGAGGCCAAGATCAAAGATCAATCGATATCGGGAGATAGCAAGGGCGGAATGTAGGCGATCGATCGGATCGAGAAAGGGCCGGTATTCAGGTTTTTTCGTTTAGGAAATTGATTATTGATCTCGATCGTGTTCTTTTCTGAGATGGATTGACTTTGCTATGCATGCATGTAGCTCTTCTACCAATCAAAATGGTGTCATTCCATGCTACAATGGTGAATGTGGAGGCGATCTACTTACTGTTAGTATTTCCGCATCCATCGAGTAAAGATCATGGGCCAATTAGTATACTTGATAAGAGAAAAATACACCATATGCGCAATAGGTAGGAATCAATAATTTTTGAAGTCTATGACATCTTCATATTTACAAGGTCCATTGTATGTACATCCAGTGTGTATATCCGTTGTAGTGCGGAGATAGTAGTTGCACTCTCCCGCTCCAGATAATTGATTCGATCAAGCGGACAAAAAAAAAGATCAACTCCAAAGAACTCCAAAACAATAAGAAAATAATAGATAAAAACATCTGTCATACACAGGTAGGGGTATCGTCTCAGGATGCGTCGCTAGGGGGTCATTATGGGTATGCCTAATGGCAGTATTGGCTTGTATCATCCCTGCCGCTCCTTACCCTTCTCTACTGTCGTGCCATCATCCTCATACAAATGGTGCTGCTCAATGTAATGAATGACTGGAACGGGGATGAGGTAGCGTACACTCATCTCGCGCCTTAGGAAAAGCCGAATCTTTGTGCTGCTAACATCATTTTGAATGAGCTGCTGGATAACATGGATGTTATCTTTCCAGGGCTGCAAACTAGCAAGAGCTTCATCGATATCTGTGCCGCTGCGCTCAACAATGAAGGACTGGGAAAGGTGTCAGCAGATTGGTTCCCCGGTGAAAATCGATCTTCGAACTTACGCCATATTTGCCCAAAATGTGATCCAGATCCTTCTCACTCCACACACCTGGTGTAGACATAGTGTGAATCAGATCTGCGCCCGCGAGAAGAGCAATGCGAACGGGCTTCCGAGTTCCATTTCCAGCCTCCACGCCTTGCCGCACCACATTGATTTCATGATCAAAGTGATCCAACACAACAGCAGTAGGCTGGTATGCTTTTTGAATAGGTTCCCATGTATCCACCATCAACCAATCGGAGGTTTGATCGACGGCCAGTTGGCACATCGCGACGCTAAATTGAATCCCATTAGCCTCGGGTTCATCAAACCGGAGAGAAAAGATAAAAGATAAAACCCTTACCGATGCTCTGCACTGGCCAGACCAGCTTTGCGATACGCGTCCGACACGGGCGAAAGGTATCCTCCGATGAGTTCGTAGTCGGTACTGAATCTGACGTGATCGGCGGCCATCTCGAACATGCGGAGGTGTAGATAGGTGATTGGTGAAAAGGAACCACAGGCGACCAAGAGTAGAGGGGTCTTTTCTGGGTCATTCATGGTGCGCTTGAGGCGCAACTCGGGAAAGGTGTAGTCTTCCATCGGGGCGGGGGTGATGTCGATAGGTGCCTGGTGAACATCATCACTTTGGCTTCCAACCATTTCGATTGCCATTTTGACAGGAGAGAAAGAGAACTGGAGAGTAATGGAAAGACTCTTTAGATCACGAAATATAGTTGAATTCCGGGGAAAGGGATAAAGCGGGGGGTAAAGTTGAAAAGACGAAATCTGGCGGGGGGCAAAGACCGAAGGCGGACGGGAATGCGCCGGAGAGGCGAACGAAGAAATCAAATTAGTACTGGGATGATATTGTGAGTACGTTGTAGGATACTCTCTGGAAGAACTAAGAGAATTGGTTTTTGTGAAATTCTGCCTGCTGGATTAATTCGTGATTTTGATTATTAAGGTCAACCTCGGTGAGTCAAAATGAATCGAATTGGTGTCTCCATCGGCGTGTCTCCGATCCGGCCTTAACAGAAAGTCCAATTCCACTAAGTTTACAGGAGATCACTTGCCATTCCTAGAGCTAACAAGGTCCTAGGTTTCTGTGATTGGATAGGCTAGGGATTTTGAAAGTTGATTTTGATTCAGATGGTATAGAATGTGAATTGTATGGATAAGTTGCATATATGCACACTTGAACACACCTACATAATAAATATCGAACCAACCTTGAAGGGATGCGATATTTATCTGGTGGCACCTGCACAGTCAGACAGGTCTCGGGCCATCTGTGCCCAATAGATTGAGGTAACTCAGGCAGGATACAAATTTGTGACAGATAAACGGGGCAAAATTATTTACAAATAGGTCAACACTAGAGGACTTTTGGGACAATTAAATGGATTGTAAGTGTTAAGTAACGCGCAAGAGAAAAAAATAATGCATATAATTGCATATCATTGACATGAATAGGAGTGCAATAATGTATGTGACCTACACCATAGGTAAACTCCACTATCAAAAAGTGTTATATCATCGAATGTTGCACTCCCGCCGCCTGACGCTCCCCGAATACCCATCACAACCACCACCTCAACTCCCCTATTCTTTTCTCCTATCTCACACCCCCCCTCATCTATTTTAATTCATTGCCATCCTTTGATTCTCCCCATCTCATAGCCTCAAAAAAACAAAAAAACAAAAAAACAAAACCAATCCAGCAATAAATTCTACTCCCGCTTGCCCACTCGGCTAGCCTTACAGGCGAATGGCGGGTTAATTCGGTGACGACGAACACTCAATCGAGCTTTCCATACCCAATAACTTATGGCCAGGCAAAGGCCCTCCACCAACCGCCAGGACCCTCTTGAGGATTATTCCGTTTCCCCAGGCATATCCACGGCCTCATCTTCCCAGAGGTAGATTTCCCACCCGTTCTCCGTTCTCCATTACTCTGTTCTCTCCGCCTTCACACAAGTACATTCGAACATCAGACTCACGTTTGTGGGTTTTCACTATCGAGAACCTTGCGGGTGGTTCTACAGCCCTCATCTTGGGTTTAATCGCCTGTTTCTTTGGGTGTTCTGCCATCTGGGTGCTATCGTTGATACATTTGTCGATTCGTCATCTTTCTACCCAACTATCTGCATATCGCTTTGACCATCATTGGTCATCGGTTTGCTTTCTTTCTTCTCTTTCTTTTCTTCTCCCTTCCTCGCCACTCATAATCAAAACGAAGAACGCTTTCTCATGTCATCCAGAATCACTCGCTCCTCCGCGAGACTTGCTACCGACCCCCCTCCTGTTGAGTCCGATACACCGCCACAACCCCCGGCCCAGCTTCATCTCGGAAACGGAAGGCTCCATCTCGCAACGATCGACCGGCAGACACCCCAGTTCAGCCAACAGCGCCGTCGCCCCAAAGGAAAACAAAGCGACCGCGGACTGCAGCACCACAAACAGCTCCATCCACTGGTCCTGTTGCTGCTGTACTCCGTCGAGGCGCCCGCAGTCGTCCAGCCATGTCACAACCAGGGTAAGTGGGAATGTTGGCAGTGAGATCGGATGGATGCTGACTAGCTTGTTTTCAATAGACCGTCTTCTCGGCCATCGGAGGACTCGTCCATACCCACAACGACCCCGCAGCCGTCACGGCGCAAGTCCAGCCGCAACGGTGAGTTTTCGTGAAGAGAAACACGGTCTTCCAAAATTGGGTGGGTATACTCAAGAGTGATGGTTGCTAATACTTGTTACTTGCTTATCACAGAACGTCACGGGACAGCACAGTCTCCACCACCCCGACGTCAGAAGAGGCGATTTGCAAAACAGAATCCCGATGTCATGATGCGAGATGCGGAGGGGGAGGACGAGGAGGAGGAGCATAGTGAAGAGGATAAAGATGAACACGAAGAGGAACATGAGTCTCCCACGGGTCAGAGCAACGATGGAATCAATCCCTCGGCCTTCGAGGATGACGGTGACTTGGACCCGTTCCACAGCAGTCTTTTTGGTGGTCGAGCGCCCATGGGACTGGAGACCACACTTCGTGCGCTCAGTGGAATGATGTCCGGCTCCGGCTCTACACGATTTCGGGATATTCTCTGCAACCTGAGGGCCAAGGATGATCCTTCCCTTCAACTGATTGCCCTCCAAGAGTTATCGGATACCTTGCTTATCTCCAATGAGGACAACCTAGCGGGGCAATTCTCTCCTGACCCATATGTGAAGGAGCTCGTGGCCCTGATGCAACCAAATCAATTCGGCGAGGAGAACCCAGAGATTATGCTTCTTGCATGTCGGTCCCTTGCTAACTTGATGGAGGCTCTGCGGGGCTCCGTTGCCAATGTTGTATATGGAGGTGCTGTGCCAATTCTTTGTCAGAAGCTTTTGGATATACAATTTATCGATTTAGCCGAGCAGGCCTTGAGTACCTTGGCCAAGATCTCCGTCGATTTCCCCGCCTCCATTGTGCGGGAAGGCGGATTGACGGCTTGTCTCACCTATCTGGACTTCTTCCCTACCAGCACTCAGCGCACAGCTGTGTCGACGGCTGCTAATTGCTGTCGCAACCTGCCCCATGATTCGTTCCCTGTGGTGCGGGATGTTATGCCCACTTTACTTAACGTGCTTTCGAGCAATGATCCTAAGGTCGTGGAGCAAGGGTGCCTCTGTGTATCCCGAATTGTCGAGAGTTTCAAACATCGGCCTGAGAATCTCGAGGAACTTATCGAGCCTGCGATGCTCAAAGCAATTTTGAGACTTCTGTTGCCGGGAACAACCAACCTCATAGGTCCACATATCCACACGCAATTCCTACGGGTATTAGCCATCACCTCGAAGACAAGCCCGCGGCTGTCAAACGAGCTCCTCAAAATGGATGTAGTGGATACTCTGTATCAGATCTTGACTGGCGTGTCTCCTCCACAGGACATTGATAACACAGCTGTCAAGATGGATAGCGTTCTGGTCATGCAGGCATTGATCCATCGGCCTCGAGAGCAAGTCTTTGAAACGCTGAATGTGATCTGTGAGCTCCTGCCTGGTGTTCCTAGCCGGGATGCATCGAAGACAGACAACCTGCTGAGCACGTACTTTGATAGCCATATGTCCATCGGCCTGAGATCTCCAAAAACTAAAGAGGCCGTGGAAGAAAGACGGTCGTTGCTCGTTAACTGCAAGAATGAACTGAAGCGTTTTGCGATGATCCTGTTCCCCACTCTGACCGATGCTTACTCAAGCACAGTTAATCTGCATGTCCGCCAGAAGGTTCTGATTGCACAGCTTAAGATGCTGCACATTTTGGAACCCTCTTTGATCGAGGATGCTCTTCGCACTGTCCCCTACGCCTCATTCCTGGCTTCCATTCTCTCCCAAAAGGACCACCCCTCTCTTGTGTCTTTGGCACTGCGATGCGCCGAGCTTTTGTTCCAGCGGCTTGAAAATGTCTACCAACATCGATTCCACCGCGAAGGAGTCATTTCTGAGATTCTCAAGCTCTCCGAAGGTTCTCTGTCCGGCGACAGTGAAATTGTTGATTCATCTGATCCCACGCATTCCGATACCACTGCAGAAACTTCGCGCAGGGCTCACGCAGATACTGCAGCCGAGAGAGACGACGATGGCCATGAGAATGAAGATGCTGGTGACTATGATGATGATGGCGACGAAGACGACGATGGCGAAGACATGTCTGATTCCGAGGATGAATCTGTCTCAGCTCCGCGCAATCTGCAGAAGATGGACAATGCCCTCAATGACGTAGTCATCCGAGACGCCCAGGCTTTCCTTGAGGTTTATGAGGCTAGTCATGGTGAAACCGTTCGAGAAGAAGCAGTACGGATCTTGACAGCGCTCAAAGCCCTGGCATCGGAAGTGGGGTCTTGTTATAAGCGTGGTGGCGATGGCGGTCTCCCGTTATTCAAACAGCTGGCTTCATATTTCGACGGAGACGCTTTGGAGAGCATCACCAGCTCCGAGTTACTGAACTCGGGCATTATCCAGGTTCTTTTGGACGTTCTTGGAAACTACCAAGCACCCTCTATCCGTAATGCCCGAGCTGCCTTTTTGAAGGCTTTCATGGGTGTTTCAATCTCAGACAAGGCACAAAGTCAGAGCACAGCCACGACTCCTTTCAGCGTGCTTATCCGCAAATTGCAAGATTTGCTCAGCAGAATGGAACATTTCGAGGTCCTTACGATCAGTCACAACTCGCTTGAAAACACCCGCAGCAATGCCACATACATGCTCTCTAAACAGCTGCGGCTCAAGTTGGTTGCTGATGAGGCCTCATCGGTTCCCCGCCCTTATCGCAACATTATGGTGTCGATCCATGCTATTGCCCCATTCCATGCTCTCAATGATTTCCTTCACCCGCGAATCGCGATAGCTGAAAAGCCCCGCTCTTCTCGCACCAGCAGAGATGCCCTCCTCGCTCAGATCGCGACCGCCTCACGACTACGTGATGAGATGGCTTCGGGGTCTGGATTGCTGTCGGGCCATGGAGCCCAACATGGTACCAATGCAGATCCTTCGACAGATGGCCATACTTCCCCTAGCGCACGGCACCGACCCAACCGACCAGCGCAGCCTCAGGAGGAGGACGATGAAGAAGAGCACGATGGCGAGCCACTTGAATGTGCCGACGAGAGGCAATTGGCTGATGATGACGAACACGATCCCGATGAGGACGAGGAGGAGGAGCTCAACGCCATCGATGATCTTGACGAGGACCTGGAAGAAGACAACATCTCTGACCCTTCAGCTGTCAACATGGAGGTTGGATCCGGAGGCAAGGTAACGGCTCGCAAGGAAGATGGTACCCGGGTTGGAACCCCATCCCAGTCTACGGGCGGATCCAAGGCTTCTTCGTCAGCGCCCAACCCACCATCTCACTCTCGCTCTAACAGCTCATTGGCCACCGCTGGGCGTCCGTTCTCGTCCTACGCTGCTGCCACTGCATCGGTCCCCCAGGATTGGCACCTCGAATTTTTCGTGGATGGTAAGAGTGTCAATCTAGACACAACCATCTACCGAGGTGTTCATCACGACCGCGAGGATTTGGATGAGACCAATGCTAAGAATGTTTGGTCTTCTGTCCACACTATTACATACAAGCGTGTTCCTGGCCCGCCGCCGCCAGAGCCCTCAACCCTGACCTCAACCACCCAAGGCAGCTCTACCCAGGGAGATATCCTTGACATCCCGGCATCCCTCAACAAAGATCCCACAACTGCATCCATTATTCGCTTGCTCCGCGTCTTGTACGAAATGAACGCAACCATTGATGATATTCTGACAGACGTCAAAGACTCAGCGACTATCACTTCCGAGCCCTTGGCCCAGTTTATAAACACTAAGCTTACAGCTAAGATCAACCGGCAGCTAGAGGAGCCTTTGATTGTGGCAAGTGATTGTCTCCCGAGTTGGAGCGAAGACCTGGCGAGGCTCTTCTCTTTCCTCTTCCCATTCGAGACAAGACATCTTTTCTTGCAGTCCACTGCTTTCGGTTACTCGCGGGCAATGTTGAAATGGCAGGCCTCTCTCAATGGTGAGGATAACCGACGGGACATACGTCGCGACGATCGTCCATTCATGGGAAAGCTGCAGCGCCAAAAAGTGCGAATCTCCCGTACTCGCATCCTTGATTCTGCGTTGAAGGTCATGGAGCTTTATGGATCATCCCCAAGCATTCTTGAAATTGAATATTTCGAAGAAGTCGGCACTGGATTGGGACCAACTCTTGAATTCTATTCTACTGTATCTAAAGAGTTCTCCAGAAGGAAGCTCAAGATCTGGAGAGACTCTGATGGTAGCTCCACTGCGGAATATGCTTTCGGCAAGCGTGGCCTGTTTCCAGCACCAATGAGTGACCAGCAAATAGCACAGGACTACGGCAAGAAGCAGCTGAATCTTTTCAAAGTTCTCGGAAAGTTTGTCGCCCGCTCCATGCTTGACTCCCGGATCATCGACATCTCGTTCAACCCCGCATTTTTCCGTATCGCGGACACAATGTCCTCTGTTGCCCCATCCCTGGGCACAGTTAAGGCAGTGGATCACGATCTGGCCAAATCTCTGATCATGCTCAAGCAATTCGTGCATGAGAAGAATGCAGTGGAACAGGACGAGCACCTCTCGCCAAACCAGAAAGCCGAGGCTCTGCAAGATATCGTCGTTCATGGTGTTAAGGTTGATGACTTGGGTTTGGATTTCACACTGCCTGGATACCCCTCCATCGAGTTGATCCCAGGTGGCACCGATGTTCCATTAACTATTGAGAACGTTGACACTTATATCGACCGAGTGATCGATATGACATTGGGCAGTGGTGTCCGTCATCAAGTGGAAGCCTTCCGCGCGGGCTTCTCCCAAGTGTTCCCTTACTCCTCTCTCAGCGCGTTCACCCCCAGCGAGCTTGTGATGCTTTTCGGACAAGCCAAGGAAGACTGGTCTATCGAGACTCTCATGGATTCCATCAAGGCCGACCACGGCTTCAATATGGATAGCCGCAGCGTGCGGAACCTGCTGCAGACTATGAGCGAGCTGGACAATCAGCAACGCCGAGACTTCCTTCAGTTTGTCACCGGTAGCCCCAAGCTCCCAATTGGAGGTACATCATGCCCATCCCTCGTCTTTTGGAAATTCAAAACAACTAACCTATTATAAACACAGGATTTAAGAGTTTGACTCCCATCTTCACCGTCGTGTGCCGCCCAAGCGAACATCCATATACACCTGATGACTACCTCCCCAGCGTCATGACATGTGTCAATTACCTAAAGCTGCCAGACTACAGCGATTTGGAAACCCTGAAGAGACGTCTTGCTCTCGCCATTAAGGAAGGCCAAGGCGCATTCCATCTTTCTTAATCTACCCGCCGACTGCCGAATGATTCGCGCAGTCACACTCTCCCCTCCCTCCCCTTTCTCTTGCTGCTACCCACTCACTTTCCTCCTTTCTCAACAAGGACGAATCAATATTTACGACGCGACGATATGCAATCCTTGTTTCTTGATTTCATCCCCCATTCCCCCAATTCACAAGTTTTCGGACGGGCTATCTCGCTGTTTCTGGTTTCACTTTCTCTTTCTCTCTCATCTGCCATTTGGGTCGAAAGGCGTCATGGTGGGATTCCTTAACGATAGTGGTATTAGATAGCAATGGTCACTTGACTGAAATCTTCTTGTTCTGGTTCAATTAAGAAAACTAGATGTTTCAATGATTTATTGTTACCAAAACTAAATACCTCCCTTACCTTATAGCGACTGGCAGGATTTATTTTTTATTACCCTGCGCCGAATATCTGACTATCTTTCATTTGCCACGTCTTTGAGAAAAGAGGGACAAAAGAATACTCGAAAGCAAATGATACACTGACCCAATCACTAGCAACAACCTAGAGAAAGTAAGTAATGATGATGCTAAGGCTGAAAAACTCATGAAACATACCCTGCATCAAAGCCTGTTCTACCCACCGTGTAGCCCGCTAGATCTGCCGCGCCCTGCGTATTGTAGATATGTGAGAGTGGGCTAATATTTCCAGCGAACACGGCCTCGGAATACCAGACCTGGAAATTTCATATTAGCCAAAACCATCTAGGGACACTTAAAACACCATTAAAATTGAACTTACTCCGGGCCACATGTACCAAAACCACTCAAGATTCCAGTCCACCACTGTTTTGAGGCGAGGTGCACAACCGACGAGAGCGGTTATAATGAGGCTGGTTAACATTGCCATGAGAGGTCCGTTTTGAGGCGAAGTGAGAGCCGCCACAACACACCCGAGTCCGTATATGCCTAGGAGTAAAGTAGTGTGAGCGATGCAATGGTCTGCTAGTTGTAGTATATAACTCACAGTAGAAGTATAGGAAATTGAGACCGAGAAGGACCTTGAACGATATTATCGGGGCTGTGAGGACCATGTAAAATGCCGTAAAATGCATTGATGATAGCAGCATTCGGGGAATGGTACACAATATTTTTCCCAGTAAGTAAGCGCTTTTGGAGTGTCCGGAGTCTGATTCTCTATAGAAGATCGGCTCTGGATGGACGCTGTTAGTCAACGTCGAAAATAAAACGACTCAACAAGCACCTACTCTCATCTCCAAATGTTCGGACGCCAACTGGTGCCGCTGTACAACCTACAAGCATGCATCAGTAACAAATATCCAGAATAATGGAACCTGACCTACTCATTGCGAGAGAACAAAGCATGCCCTGTTCCGAGACAAGTCTATAAGAGGTAGCGCTGGAGAGTGCTTCAAATGGCGACAGGTAAAGTCCTTGGAATATATGACCGTTAAATTCGTAGTTGGACAATCCGATCAGGAGGCCGATGGTGGTTCCTGATAGGATTTCCAGAATAAAACTGGTATACCGTCTGCTCTGCTGTCGTGTGCCTCGTAGGAATGTTAGGTATACTTGGCGATGCCAGAGCGCTTTCTGTTTCTTAGTGGCAAGTAACAGGATGTCCAAATTTCGATCAGCACCAGTTCCATGCTCCTCGACGAAGGTAATTGATTTGCAGATCTGTTCATCAGATGCATTTTCGAGCCTGGGCTGCACCAAAGAGAACCCTTTCGATCCCGATATTATATCTAAAATCACGTCGGCGGGGTTGGAATCCTCACAACTCTCCTCAGCTCCTTTCAACTGGTGAAACGCATCTTGCGCTCGACCGAAAAAGACCTGTTTCCCAGCTTCAAGAAGAAGCAAATCATCCAGGGCAGTGAATATTTCTTTTCTCGGTTGATGAACAACACAGATGATAGTAACGCCTTGTTGGGACAAAGACCTTAGAAGCTCAATCAAGGAGAGAGCAGTGGTCGCGTCAAGGCCGGAGGTTGGCTCATCTAGAAACAATACACCCGGTGCTGCGGCCAATTCCAATGCAACATTCACTCGCTTTCGCTCCCCTCCAGATATACCTCTTTTTGAGACATCGCCAACGAGAGAATGCCGGACTTTGGCAAGTCCTACATTTGAAATGAGAGAGTCGACAAATTGCTGAATCTCCTGGTCGTTCAATGTATTCCCGATGCGAATGCGGGCTGAATGTAAAATGTTTTCTCGGACGGTCAGGTCGGGGAGTACAATGTCGTCCTGGGGCACAAACCCCACAAGACTCTTGAGACTGAATAGCGGTCAGTATAGAATTCGTCTTAGTTTGCCCGAAGCTGAAAAATGTAACATACTCCGCTGGTTTCGCTAGATCTCCATTGATGTAAACGGAACCTGTTGTTGGTTTAAGTCTTCCAGCGAGAATATTGAGCAAGGTCGCTTATAACACCAAGTGTTAGTTCCTCTGGATACATTCTGAATGTGCGTATGACTTACACTTTCCAGATCCCGAAGGTCCCATCACTCCGAGGAATGATCCGGCTCGTATATTCCCGTTCTGTTGGTGCAGGATTCTGCTTTTGGAGGGACCAACACACATAGAAATGTCTCTAAATTGGATCTCGACTTTACTGGAGCGCATTTGCTCCACAAAAGACGGGAAAATCCCGGTGTGGATATCTCCATTCGAGGCCTTACTCATGGCACGGTCTCTCGGTCCAGCCTCCGGCTCGTGTTCAAGTGTTTTGCTCCCGCGCAACCGCGATAGGAGCTTCGTCATCTCCTTGACTAGAGGTCCACGCCAATATGTTGTGACCCATGCGAAAAGCAGAGCGAGGTCCAATATTGCAATGCAAAGAAAGGGCAGACCAGGAATCTGCTTCAAACTTCCTTCGGGGCAGACCGAAAGAGGATCACATGGAAACGGGCTTACAGTTCCCAGGGGGCAGAAGTATCCTTTGGGGCATGGTAATTCGATGGTTCCTCCTGGCGGACAGTAAAAGCCCGCTTTACAAACGGCCGGCTCGTACCTCCCTTGGGAAGAGTCGCAGATGCTGTGTGCTTCTTGTAGCCTCGTGAGTTGACACTCCAATGTCGGTGGACAGTATTCTGGTGGATGCTGGGCTGTGTTGTTGGGGCCTATTGAACGAAGTTTGAACACGATTCTCATGGACTGGAAGGGTGGGACATACAGTAAAATCCGTCAATGCATGTTACTTCTGATGACAGGATGGTAGCGGGCAACCCGGAAAGGCATGTTTGATTCGATGTACTGCTCATTTTTGGTCATTCAAGATAGGCTACCTTGTCTAAAAGTTTCAAAAAGAAAAAAATCCTGGTACTTTAATCTTAATGGGACCTCCTAAGTATGCTGGTGGTGTCCGATTGAACTAGTGATTTTCTGCTTAAGAAATAACTCCTGCAAGTCTTCTCGATCTGCTGATTATTGGTTGATCTAGTGACAGAGGGGCAAGCCCCTGCATTAATGCAGCATTAATGCAAAACCACATTGCCTCATATGACATGTTCGATCTGTACGGATTTGGAACATACAAAGAGAGCGAAATGGTGGTTCTATAAAGTCGACAATAGAACGAGCAGGATTTTATTAAAAACATTTAAGACCGCTGTTCTTCTTCATTTCCCTGGTACAAAGATGTTGATTCAGTTGTACAATGCTGGGGGTTTCCCATCGGTAAACAGCTTTTACTGAAGCAAGATCAACAAGGCCGAAGCGGCAGACTCATAGTAGCACTTTCAAATGGTTGATCATTCTACAAGTGGTGTGTAGTTTTGGCTCGATCATAGTAAGTAATCATAAAGAATAATCCCCCGCGTTATACATCTAGTTCAACAGGTATTTCGAGCAAGGGCGTAGACACTATTTACGTCGGAGAGCAATGTGGCCTTTTTTGCTTTTTCCTCCGAAGATCACAATTATAGACGAATAGAAATTGTAATAGCCATATAACCAAGAATCTTTGCACTTAATTAGCTCCTGTTAAACAAGTGAATATCACGAGCTCGGTTGTGTCAAATAAAACAGCGCTATGGCTGCGCCCCAAAATGTCACTATCGAACACCTCAACGGTAACTGGATTTTGGTAATTGATAGTAATTTTCCATTTTCCAATCAAGGTACTAATCATGGGGCTTTCTACAGAACAAGGAACTATCGAGCGAAACAGACCCTATCTTGAAGCTAGTATGATTATTCAAAATGACCATATTCGGCATACGCTCATTATCATGACAGCAAAAAGTGCCTTGGTTGATACGAAAAGCATTTGCATTCGCAACGATCTATATGAAAATCCAGCAATATCCGATCAAAGACTCGGAAGCCAGTCAGCCGTCAACAAAAATTGACTGCATACAAACAGCAACAGGAGGCCTGTCTGGAACCACAGAAGAGTATGTCTTAGATTGGGAACTAGCCAGTCACACAGACTACTTCTATGGCACAGTACAGGGTCGATGTCGATTCATCCATGGTGCTACCGGCAAGGACGGAGTTATACGGCCAGAATTTGAGCTACAGACAGCTACACAAAGTGCAGAGATAAAGCAATTTTTGCGAGGGGAGATTGAACTGGATTGGACCAAGTCGCCGGGCTTTTTAGTCGAGACGCAAGATGGGATTTCGGACGATAGGACTCCCGGTCTTTGGGTGCACACTTTTGTCCGCAATGAAAAATCAGGTTGGACGGCAGAGCAGGTAAGCACTGCGCCATACGAAATGATATTCAGTATTCCCATGTTATGACACGAAACTGACATTTTGACTGTAGGTTTGGGGGTTTGAAATGATTGGGGGATCTCGCTATTATTCTCGTCGAGTAGTGATCATGACAACCAAAGGGCAGTTCATTTGTGGGAGGATTGTTTTCGATTTTGTGGACTTTTGATAACAATCTACCTGGGCTAAAAAGTACTCTGTACTGGAATTCAAAACAGCAGGGTCAATCAAAGTCACATATGAACATCCCGAATATGTATTTAGTTGACGTAGCTTGAAGTGAGAGAACTGATTAGACACACGCCGCAAACACTTTCTCAATACCCGAAGGGTTGAGATTTTCTTGTTCTTAAAAATCACAGAATGCAGCTTAATTGAACATTTTCGACGTTAACCAAGATCGCGTGTAAGATAAATACATGCAGCCAATTTGCCAGCTAGGTATGCAACACAAGTCGAGAATAAGGTATTATATCTTTGCATATCGACTGGTTTGGCTTGTTTTTCCAAAATTAAAGTAGAACAACAAAAGAATCAACCACGCCCACCAGCTTTTGCGGGCAAAACGATCCATAACGTAGCGGATATCTTCGACTCGGGCGGAAACCTGATCAACTGCATCGATCTGCTTGAATAATTGCAGATCTACTTTATCCTTTTCAGACATATACTGATACATGGAAATTGTTTTCTCCTCCGAAAAGTCAAAAGATGTTCCAAAAATCGCAAATAATCGAGATATTGCGTGTTGTTTTGGAGATTTCCAGTATCCCTTCACCCAGGTAGGCCGCAGCTCCCAGGGAATTCGGCGGAGCTTCATGAGTGATTGCCGCCATGGTTCGAATGTACCCCGTGCCCTAGCACCACTTACGGCATGGATGCAGCCGGTGGTGCCCATGGCAAGATGACACAGAAGACGATCGGCAACCACGTCGACGGGTACTTCGTCTGCGGTCACCCCGTAGTCAGGATTGTCAATGCGTGTGGCGATTTTTATTCTGCTGAATGGAAACAAGAGTAATGTTGCGGCAATCATGGTAGGTGGTGAAGACATGGGCATGCTATATCCTGGAAATGGAAGGGATTGAGCCGGTCCAATAATAGCAGGACGAACGATGAGTAGCTTTTCATCAGAGCCACTAAATCGGCGCGATAGAAGTCTCTCTGTGAGGTTCTTAGCGTAGGCGTAGGGCCAGGGAAAGTCCTCCGCTTCATGCGCCATGCTCGTGCCGTAGCTTCGCACTTCATCCAGCTCTTCTAGGGCATCACATCCACTCGGAAATCCGTATATCTCCTCGTCGACTCTCACATCCGGCTCGCTACTATGAGAGTAGAGATATGTGTTTGCGTATGCCGTGGACACATAAACGAAACGGTCTAGCATCTTGCATGTAAAAGCAATGTTGGCCATCATCTCCGTGGCTTCAATGATGGTACCGCTGATGCGATGTAATGGCTGTGCTAAGTTGATAGAAGAGGCGGCGTGTATGATAATGTTGGCAGTGTTCCGTATAGCCTCCAACTCGGGCTCCGAGAGGCCTAAGTTTGGTAGGAGAATATCGCCATCAAGCACGATTAGACGGTTTGGATCGCATAGTGTATCTCCTGTGCCATCGGGTAGCCATTCTTTCCATCTCATTCGAAGCTTTCTTGAAGCGAAAGATGATCAGCATGTTCTCTCCCACAGATCTTTATATATTCTCCTGATTAGACTCACTCGGTGCCCCCTCTGCAAATCAAGTAGATTCGCGAAATCGATGTAGTTGTGAGTAGGCGATGAACTATCGCTGTACCCAAAAACCCGGAGCCGCCAGTGATCAATATTGACTTCCCTTCATAGTAGTTCCACATATTGAAGGATTAATTTTTGCTTCTTATGTTGGTATAGAGAATTGATAGAGTAATAGAGTAAATATAGCATGAGGTGCGCATAGAAAATATTCCGCATGTTTCTGATTGTTGTCAAAAATTTCAATAATTGATGGGAGCTATCACATATTACATACTCCTTGCGATATACATCAATTTCTTTTCATTGTATGATTTTGATCTATCCTGCTCTGTGACCTATGTTCTACAGTATACTGGTTTGCCCCGTCATCCCTTGCATCAACGTATAGCGTCGACCTCCCTCAAAAGGACTCCGTCTTGTCCAGATCTCTCTCCATATTTGTCCTGTTAATATCCTTTCGGTCGGGAAAACTTGGCTACTAGTTATTTACTAATATCCTCCCGGCGCAACACCCTCAATGTAAGCAGTTCCCAGGCTTTTAGACACCATATAGCAATGCTAGCAACTATGCAGTATTTGATCGCCCACGATTCGTTACTACGAAGTGGGGCAAAGAAGTAAAAGAATAAGTAGTTCTTTTTTTGAAAAAAAAATCCTGTTGAGGTATATAGTTTGCGAGAACAGCCACGCGAAATTTAACACTGTGTCGTCAGCACCGTGAAATCGGCCAGATACACGCTTGTGATGGTAGAAGTCGTAAGTTTGCAGCTCATGGTAGTCGCTGCTGATGTAGCGACAAAACTAAAGGACATTTGTCTCCAAGCATTCTTGTATGCGGCGCCAATACTGATCGTAGCACTAGTGGCAATCGAATTGTCGACCGAACATTGCACCGTGGAAACCGCGTTTCCTCCGATTACTAAGTAATAGAAGGAATACGAGTAGGTTTTGCCAACGACGGTCTTTAAAGCCTGGGACACGCGTGCAGTGCTTGAGCCAGCTGCAGAGCTGTAGAGGTTGAGGGCATAGGTAGTATCATATCCTGCGACATATCTCATTCTTCCCGCTCCGGTGGCGCCAAAGGTCCATGAACTGATAGAGCCCCCTGATGCCCCGGTTGAGTCTCCCCCATCAAAGTTGGAGTTCTGCACAAGGTTAACGTTGCATGTTGGTGTTGCAGCAACAGTTGTAGTCGAGGTCAAAGTAGTAGTTGTGGTTGTCGAAATCGTTTGCGTGACAGTAACGTCAACGGTGGCGGTCGTGGAGATAGTGCTTGTGAAGTCAACGATGCTTTGAACAGTTGTTCCAAGGGTTATCGGTGAAGTGACAGTGACGGTCACAGATGATGTGGAGGTCACGGTAGTAACACCAGTCACGCTAACTGTTGTAGTTTCAGCGACTGTGACTGTTGCGGACGCAGTCTCGGTGACACTTATATCGGCTGTTTGGGTAGTTTCCTGGCTGATTGTTGCAACAATGTTTTGCGTGGTGTAATCGGTCAATGTGATGTCGCTCGTTGCAGTAGCAGTTAGGTCTGCGGTTACGTCCTGAGTGACAGTGGCTGTCTCATCAATTGTTGCATACAAGGCTGTGAATGAGAAAATATCACTAGTGATGTCTGCCGTGATAAAATCGGTCAAGGTGACAGTGTCATCCTCAGTAATTGTCACCGTCACAACGTCGGTTTCTGTGACAATCAAGGTGTTGGTAATAGAAGATTCGGAATTCACGGTGGTAGTCTCAGTCACATCAACAGTAACGAAAGCTGTATCAACAGCTGTACTTGTAGCAGCCAAGTATTCAGTGACATGAACCGTCGAGACAGGGACATCTGTTGCTGTTGTGTGGAGAACAGTCGACTTTGTGAACTAACTAAATGTCAGAACCAAATTTATGATAGATTGAGAACCGGTCCTATCGAGACTTACCGTAGATGTAGATGTTGAGCAATTTAGGCTCAACTCAGAACATGCCCGGGACAAATAGTTTGGTGCATACCCCCTTAGGCTTGGAGGTGTTGTGATGGCTGACTTAATAGCAGGACATCCCTCGTCATGATGGTCTCGACGAGCCACAGGAATTGCAGTCACGATAGCAGTTGTTGTGAAGGTAGTACCATCCGTGGTCACTGTGGTGACGGTGGCGGTTCTAAAGGCCGTTTCAGTAGCCAGATGAACATTGGTTGTGGGGTCAACCTCAGTCTGGAGAACGGTAGGCGCCAACGTTTCAGTAGCAGTGACATCTACGTTTGTAGTAGTTGTGGTAGAAGTTGTGTCAGTGACTGTGGCGCTAGCAGTCTCAGTGAAGAACAGCGTGACAGAATTTGTATGATAGTTGGTGATTGTCTTCGTGGAAAGATCGGTGGAAGTGTCGGTGACAAAATCGGTGACAAATGCGGTAAAGTAATCCGTAAAGAATGTAGTTGAGAAATCCGTGATGGTGTTGATGTATGTTTGGGTTTGGGTGTCGGTGACAGAATCAGCGACGGTGATAGCAACGACGTCAAAGATTGTTTGCGATTTGGTCCCCACGAGAGAGGTGGTCAAATATCTTGTGGCTGTAGTATATACTACATCGGTAAGAATTTGCGTCGAGGCATCGACGAGTGTCGTATATTCGTTATTGGAAATTGTATGAATGACAGGATTAGTCACAGTTGCAGTGACATAACTGGTTTCCGTGTTGGTGGTATATTTCAGAAGCGTAGATGTTGTTGTACTGGGCGTTGAGCCTTGAATATGATCTGTTACGGTCTTGGTGAAGGTAGTGTGAGTTTGCGTTACGACTTCGGTTGGGATATGAATGAGATCGCGACAGAAAGATTCAGCTAGTGGCTCATCCCGTAGCGAATGAACAATATGTTCAAGGGCCGTATCCTGTGTTTTCTCGTTCTTCGGCTGGAGGGCTGCTACCGTAGCCGCGACGGCCGACAGTACAAAAAGCCAGCGCATTTAGGGACACAACTCGGACCAAATAGAAAGACAAATTAGATGGAACAACGTAAAATTGAATCAAAATTCCACGAGGACAGACAGTAATTCATATTGGATATGAATTTGCCTCAGGAGTAGGTCGGCAACATTGACCTAAATATGTCTGAACAACCTTGAATCTTGCTGAGAACTATTGAACGCCAGATCTCCACTATTTTGGTCGCTAATTGCAAGTCAGTCCAACAAAGTGGACTTTTCCGCTAAAATAAACCAATACTAACGGACCTACGGGATAGTATTATCCAAGCCAATGCACATGATGTCCGTGGATTGTCACTAGAAAAGGCCTAGAAACAGCCCCGGAATCGCCGAAACATCACAACACCGTCTTTTAGTTTAGGTCCTTTTAAGGGTTAATCATTGAGAAATTTTCACATGGTTAAGTGATAAAGGTGGCAACATCTTATTAAAATAGTCTATGGGTCGTAAGCTCTATATAATTCTATTAAACGCATCACACGGAATATAACAACACTTCAATCAATCAAATCAGATACCTAGGTAAATTAGTTTCGGTAGATCGAAACCATGGACTGAATGAATATGTTAGCAATCTCCCCATTATTATTGATGAAATATAGGACAATTGAACTCACGTCTGCAAATTTAGGCTCAATAAACAAAGCCTTCGCTTCAGCAACCATGACCGCTCCTTCATGATCTTCCTGCAGAAGGCTTAGATCAGACATGACAGAATTCGCGTCTGAAGAAATAGGCAAAGCCAAAGGAAGATAGGTCATGCGACCCTCAACCCAAGCCTTTCTACCTTCAACCTTGGTCGTCTCCGTGCGCAGGACATACATCCTGTCTGGCAGCGCAGGTTTGCGGAAGTCCACATTGAGATTTGCTGTCATTCCAAGGCCACTAGGGAATGCAGCAGATACACAGCGCGCAAAGACCTCATCAAAGAGTACTGAGAGTAGACCGCCATGAACAAAGCCGGGGTGACCGCACACGTCCTGGCCAATATGGAACACGGACACGACGCTGCTAGCCCTCTTTCCGTTCTTTGTCTGCGATCCGGTCTTCCCAGTGGAAAGCCACATGTATGGTTGGAAAGCAAGCTTCCCGGCGCCTGTCAAGCTTCCACCAACGAAGTGATGCTGTCTTATGGCTGGTGGAATCGCAAGATGAGGTCGAGACTCCTTGTAAGTACTGTGGGTGTCACGAAGAGTTTGGACTAAAGGCATTTGGGATACTAGGGTGTCGAGGTTGGTGGCCCCATTTTGGGATGACGTAGGCGTTTGTGTTTTGGATTGAGAGAGGAAATGAGATCCTTCGCCCGTCGGCACATGGGTTTGGTTGTGCGGAAGTGCTTGGTCGTGAACCACAGCAGAACGCGCGGGGCCTTGCTGATGGAGACGGGCAATAGACACCGAGGATGCTCTGAAAGTGAAAGTGTTTTGTGGTCGGAACAGACGCAGAGCTGTCTGTGAGATGTTGGACATTTTGGGAAGTATGTTTGAAGTCCGATCTCGGCCGTATATATTAACTGATACATCCTGGTCAGTATAGTTTATAAGACTGAATATCACCGAACATACTTAATATACCAAAAGGTGTTCTCGAATTGTTCGATCGGCAGCAGGCTGCGGGTGAGTACGTTGATCACCGGCTTTGCAGTAGTGTGAGATCGGACTAGGGCCTACTTGATATATGATATACCACAATGGCGCGGCGCAACGAAGACCCTGAGTTTTGTGGATATTGGCCTTAGAGTAATTAAAGACTAAATCCAGTGCTTTAGAACGGCGTTGGGCTGTTTTTAAGCCACTGATTTTTCATCAGTCGGGTCCAACAGTGGGGCTCAAAGAGCCGACTATCGGCGGACCGGTATACCGAACTATATCTCGGCATGCCGAATGATGCAATACATAGGGCCCACTCCCATGCTTGCATGCTTAGAAGCGTTGAAAGATTTCGCCGTCTCCGTTCCATTCCTCTACAAATTGTTTTTTTTATCTCTCTCCCATATAATCACTGTAGCCACTCATTTTCCCAACCTTTCTCGTTCTCTCAATCAATGCTAACACGGAACTTCCAAGCCATTTGAGGGATCAATCTACGAAAGGAAATTGATAGCTATACAATACAAAACGTCCGTGAAGGCAGAAAACATTGCAGAAAACATTGCACAAAGGAGAATGAAAAAAATCGAACTGACTTGTTCGACAATCAAATCTTTGTTCTATGCCATATAGCTATACGTAAATCTAGAACAAGGTCCCATCACCAAAGTTCAAGATAGGGCTACACTTTGTATCCGGTCGATTAGCTGCAGCAAGCTCGCGGCCCGCCTTCCACGAACCAGCCTCTAGCACCTGCGGAAGAGACAACTGGACGCCATCCAAGCGCGCAAGAATCTTCTCATGTAGTACGTCCAAAAGGGCAACTGTCATCGCTCGCCACTCCACAATTTCATCGTCTCCTGCGCCATACGAAGGCAAGCTACCACCAGAGAGAGTTAGACCTCTCTGTAGAGCCTCGGGCTTTAATTCAAGAACCCCCAAGTCAACGAGCATTCCTCCATTACGGTATTCCGGTAGACCAGTTCCCAGGTGGGTGTTGGTCCATGAGACCGACAAGAGGCGAGAGAACGGTACTTGCAATGAGTATGCCAGCCACTGAGTGAGTTTGTGGAAGGGCTGTATGTTGGAATAAGGGTTTGACTCATTCCCGGGCTGTTGTTCAAGGGCTCGGAGGGGCCATGCATCGCCGATGGGTTGTCCTTTCAGGTGAGTCCGGTCAGATGGCCAAATGGGCAGCAGGAGGGTTTGGAGAACTTTCCAAAGATCCTTATAGTCAAGCTTTCCACTCTCAGTGGATTTGGCGCCGAGGTAGTCTGGGACTCGTTAGTTGAGAGCAAGGTACAGAACTAGATTAGCTCATCGCCGGCCTCTTAACTTACCAACAAGATTTCCTGGGCGGCCAGTAGGGCCGAAGATATCTTTCAAGTTTACCAAGGATTCGCCGAGCTTGCGGAGAATATCTGCACGTGCACCCACTCCGATCATGGGGTTGCTTTCAGTATTGACTTGGAGCCCACGAGATAGGATATCAACGTTGATATTGCGCAGTGCCTCGCCTACTTGGAATTAGTGGCTATTTCAAATGAGTAGTTGAAAAGAGATATTCTCACCATTAGCGGTATGCTTCATCGCCGAATTTGGGCCAGCGAAGTCACCATTCAGGAACATGTGTAGCGCTGCCACCGCGATACCCTCACTCCGATTAAGAGTATGACCAGTTCCTGGCTCTTGGAAGCGCCAGAAGTCTCCAGCACCGGCATCGAGAAGAACAGAGACAAAGAAAAGATCCACGAGTCGGCGTGTCTTTTCGGTGGTGTCACATTTCTGTTGATCCCATTCGGCGAGAAGGTTGGCTATGCGGGGAACCCCGCCGACTTCAAAATGCTGCCAACGTCCATGGGGCGGAATGAGGTGGTATTTGTCGGGGCCAAAGTCGCGCTGTTGAATAATGTCAGCTTGTTATGCGAATTGTACTTCAATATTCTAGTATATCCTGCTCCTACCTGGATCAATTTCAGAACATAATCGGTGGCATCTTCCATTCGCTCGGCATGATAATTAAAGTGGTTAAGACGGCCTTGCTCAGCTAGCTTAAGTACGGCATGAGCTCTGGCGCGGACGGCTTCTAAGCCTAACAATTCTTCGATTTGGGGGTCCATGTTGAGAGAGTGAGGAGAAGATTTGGAGATTGGGGGTCATCGGCCTTTTAGTACAACGCTGGCAAGGCGGGGAAGCTATGCCATTATGTAAATAGATGCATAGCTGCATGTACTTTGATCCTTTAGGCAGGGATGCACTCAATTGTCTCAGGCAGGTTTATTCCAAACACTGTACAATACTGTAGTCTTTGTTCTTATCTATCTGTTTTCTTATCAGCCATCGGGGAAGTCCGATGATTGGCGGTCTAAAAGTAATCTTGAATATTCAAAGGCTTCAAACGTTGTTTTGGTATAAAATATATCACAAACAAATGCTTTTTTACAAACATCATGCTTCCAAAATGTTGAGTCACAATTAGAAGGTCAAAGGATCCAGGTGGCCAAGGAAAGACTTGTTGCCTTCCCCACGAAGGAGAGCATCAATATCAATGCGACCGGCAGTAAGATACTTTTCGCTGACACCAATATTGATGCGCTGTGAAAGGTGTTGCTTAAGCTCTGCGCGAAGAGCAGCCATTTCGGATTTGGTCATTTCGCTAGCCTCCTTTTCACGACGTTCGCGGCCACCACCACGACCTCGGCCCTTACCCTTGGACTGATCGAATTCATCACTGTCATATTCGACGCCGAGATCATCGGCTGCAGCACGAAGCCAGTTGTCCTCCGTGTTGACCTTCTCCTTGGCAATGGTGGACTCGGTGATCCGCTTAGCAAGCGCCATGCGGGGGCGGAGACGAGCGACGACCCGACGATCAATGTCAAGAGACTCTAGAGGAAGTTTCTTACTAGGTGCATCATCGTCTTCGCCCTTCGTTCTCTTGGCGTGGATCTTCGCAGCGAGACGGGCAACGCCGACAACTTCTTCGGGAGCACAGATGAGGATACTCTTGCCGGACTCACCGGCACGGGCGGTACGACCAGATCGATGGACGTATGCGTCTGCTGCGCGTGGAACATGGTAATGGATCACACAATTGATGCCCTTGATATCCAAACCACGAGCAGCAACGTCAGTAGCGACAAGAATTGAGCTGGGATCAGCGGTGGGTGATGAGAATCGCTCCACGGAACGGAGTCGGGCCTTTTGGGCCATGTTGGAATGGAGGGCGAATACAGGGAGCTGAAGAACCTGCAAGAGCTGGGTGATACGGCGGACAGCAGAGATGGAGTTTGTGAACACAAGTGTGCGGTTTTTGGGGTAGTAGAGCAGGACCGAGTAAAGATAAATGTCCTGATCGTGCAAGTCAGCATAATGTTTGAGTTCTTCGATAAAGAGGTTTCTTACCTTTTCCATAGCAGGACATTCCACAATTCCTTCCTTGAGTCCCGAAGCCATTTGAGACTCGGGGTTCACATCAATGAACTTGGGTTTCTCTTCGCGGAAATTCAATTTCTTCAAGAGATACTCCATGGACTCCTTGTTGTCCAACATATCACCGCCTGTCCAGCGGCTCTTTCCTGCTAGCTTTTGTTGCAGGTCCTTGTGGAATGTAGCTGAAAAGACAAGAGTCTGTCTTTGGGAAGGCTCTTCTTGCTCCTCTTTTTCGTCATCCATGTCGGCAATGTCTCCGGCTTGCACTTTGTCCAATGCACCGAGGATATCTTCCACTTCCTTGAAGTTTCCGTGGCTCAGAAGTCTATCAGCCTCGTCCACGACCAAAAACTGGATCTTCTGCATTTTTCGGATCAAACCTGTTCCCGTGCTAAGGATCTCCCACACACGACCAGGTGTTCCAACGACAATGTCAGCTGAAGCGAGCTGTCTCTGTTGTTTCTGAATAGAAAGACCACCAGTCAACAGAGCGATGCGGGCATTTGTGTCAGGAGAATTGGCGATAAGCTCTCCGATATGCTTGGCTAGTTGATGTGCCAGTTCGCGAGTAGGGGATAGGATCAACGCAATAGGTGTTTTGGCTTTTTCCTCGGTTTCGCCCTGCTTCGCCCTCTTATCTAAATAGTGCTCGATAATGGGAATACCAAACGCCAACGTTTTACCGGAACCCGTGGAAGCCTTGCCGACAACATCATGGCCATCCATAATGGCTGGAATAGCGGACTTCTGAATAGCTGACGGGGTGCTGAACTTCATTTTGGAAAGACCGGCGTAAATCTCAGATGAAAGGTTGAGGGAGTCCCAAGCTGAAACGTCCACCCCATCATCATCTTCTGCCTCTTCAAGGGCGGCAAATGAGAGCCCACTCATGCTCTGATTTTGAGTGGATTTAGGATCTTTAGCCTTCTGCTCCTTGAGCTTTTGATCTCCATTTTTGGCCTTGTTTTGCTCCTTTTTCTTGTCCTTCTTCGATTGCTTATCCTTTTTATCCTCCTTTGCTTCGGGTGCAGCCGAGCTCTTTTTGGCGGAGGACTTGTCAGCAGTCGGGGTCATCTTGGACGAGTCTTCGTCGCTGAAACCACCCCACTCTTCGCCGTTGTCATCTTCAGGAACGACCTTAAGGAGCGATTTTCTTGGTACCCCGGACTTTGCCTAATAAACGCCAAGTATATTAGCCTCTGCTCCGCATAGGTCGTAAAAAAAAGTGTGTAGCGTCTTACTCTGAACTGAACCTCTCCGCCGCTCTGTTTTATGATATCAATACCATCAATTTCTTCGAGACCAAAAAAGCCCTCAGCATCCTCCATGCGATCCGGCATAGCAACCTCTTTCCAGTTAAGCTCCTCGACTGTGACGGAGCGCTCATTGTCATTGGCATCATCAGTCTTGACAGCCTTCGTGCGTTTGTTTGCCTGAGCCGCCGAGGCTTTCGGGTCGCGTCCTCTCTTTTGGCCCATTGTGTATTGAGTGATCTCTAGGAATTAAAGAGTGTATAAGTAAAGAAGACTTGCAAGCATGTATGCAGCCACGGAAAAGAAAAAAAGCGGCAGAAAATTTAGTCCGCCTTGGAATCTTATCTTTTCGTTCCCCACGTTCATCGCAAAATTAACCCACTTTGACACGCGATAGACAATTGCGTGAGAACAGCCTGATTTCAAAATGGGAAAGTCATCGAAAGACAAGCGCGACGCCTACTATCGTCTCGCCAAAGAGCAAAATTGGCGCGCCCGCTCCGCCTTCAAGCTTATCCAGATCGACGAGCGATTCGACCTATTCGAACACGAGAACCCGGACAATGTAACGAGAGTCGTTGATTTGTGCGCTGCTCCCGGAAGTTGGAGTCAAGTACTCAGCCGTGTGTTGATCAAAGGTGAGAGCTTCGGGCGGCGGGCATGGCTCGAGAAAAAGCGCCAAGAACAGCAGGGTTTGGCAAGCGCGCAAACGGCAGCTGAAGGCGACAAAATGGACTGCGATGAGCCTACTTCCAATGCCGAATTGAAGCCTCGGAAAAACGTCAAAATTGTCTCCATCGATCTGCAACCTATGGCCCCCCTCGAAGGCATCACAACCCTTAAAGCCGATATCACACACCCCTCTACGATCCCCCTTCTCCTGCGCGCCTTGGACCCCGAAGCATACGAACAAACCTCCACCCCCTCCGACACTCCTGCTCCAGTACCAGAGGCAATCCGAGAACCCCACCCCGTCGACTTGGTCATCTCCGACGGCGCCCCCGATGTAACTGGCCTCCACGACCTAGACATCTACATTCAATCGCAACTCCTCTACGCAGCCCTCAACTTGGCCATGGGCGTTCTCCGACCCGGCGGCAAGTTTGTCGCCAAGATCTTCCGCGGCCGCGACGTTGATCTCCTCTACGCCCAGCTGCGCACTGTGTTTGAACGCGTCAGCGTCGCAAAGCCACGGAGTAGTCGCGCGAGTAGTTTGGAGGCATTTATCGTCTGCGAGGGCTTTATTCCACCCGTCAGCAACAGCGGAGTGGTCGGCATGGCCGCATTGAAGAACCCTCTGTTTGGCGGTTCCGCGGCGCCAGTGCCAGTGTCAGAAGATGGCAATGTGGGCGTCGAGGTCCGCGAGGAGATCGACCAAAATGCAGAAGCTCGGAACACTGTCGCGAGTACGACTGAAAACACTACGCCTTATCACTCTACTGAAGTCCGTCATCTTCAGACCACAACCACAACCACAACCACATCACAAGACCAACCCCAACCTCAAAAGTTGACCAACAAGTTTGCCGCTGAGAACCGGTGGATTCCGTCGTTCATTGCCTGTGGTGATCTCTCTGCGTGGGATTCCGATGCTACCTACACATTGCCCCCCGACTATGTGAACCTGGATCCTATCCAACCCCCCACTGCACCGCCGTATCGTCAAGCATTGGAATTAAGGAAGCTGAAGAGTGGTGCGTATGGAAAGACCAAATTTGGACCCACTGCTCGGGCTTGATTTTGACGTTGCATGAAAATTAAAAGTTGTATGTATAGATGACCTAGACACGACATAGCATTTGCAAGAATTATACAAAGTCATTGTCTTCGGAGAAGACACCCAAATAAGTACACACTATTCAATTAATTCTATCATAATCCAGCCTATACTGATTCCAAGGTTGTTTCCTGGAAAGAAGTGATTGAAGATCATGAGATGAAATGCATTTTTGTCTATCAAGCGCGCTAGACCTATTCAGATCGATCAAATGGGGAATAATATATACGGGAATATGCTGATCATAAAAATCATGCCATGCAAGAGAAACAATCTAATAGACCTCAAGAACGTAACGTTCCTCGTCCTTGAGCTTCTCAATCTCCTTGCGAGTCTCGACCTTCTTGCCATTGAGACGGGCCTCGGTGGCGATAGCCTCCTCGAGAACAGCGGTGACATCGGGCACGGGCCAAGTGGGACCGCACAGGTAGAAAGCACCCTCTTCGCGAATGTACGCCTGGATGATCTCCGGCAGGGTCTGGCGCATACGGTCCTGGATGTAGATCTTCTCGGGCTGGTCACGAGAGAAAGCAGCTCCAAGAAGGGTGATGACACCAGCCTCCTGGTAAGCCTCCCATTCCTCGCCGTAGCAGTACTCCTCGCGCTGGTGACGGGAGCCCATGTACAGCAGGACAGCGCCGATCTCCTTGCCCTGGGCCTTCTCGAGAGCGCGGTGCTGGACGAAGGCGCGGAAAGGTGCCAGACCGGTACCGAGACCGGCCATGATGATGGGCTGGGTGGACTTGGGGGGTAGCTTCATCACGCTGGACTTGACGCTGACGGTGATGGGGGAGCCAACGCGGAGGCTGCTGAGGTAGCGGGTAGCAAGACCGAAGCGGTCGCGACCATTGGGGGCGGTCCAGTTGACGGCGACGATCATGAGAGCGACCGTGGTGGGGGTCACCTTCTGGCAGGAGGCGATCGAGTACTCGCGACGCTTGAGGGGACCGACAATGCGAACGATATCGTGGAATTCGGGGTGGGCGGAAGGGTATTCCAGCAGGATGTCGGCGAAGGTGACGGTGTCAACCTCGGCGCGGCGCTTGAATTCAGTGGCGCCGTCCGGACCACCCAGGGTCTGGAGATCCTTCTTCTCCTTCTCATCGGTGGCGAACTCAGCGAGGGCTTCGTAGAAGCGCTTGGGGGGACGACCGTAGATATCGACGTTCTGGATCAGAGCCTGGTACACAGTGCGGTTCTCCAGAACGGCAGGGTCCTCGCGGCTAGGGACCTCAACAATGGCATCGGGGTCCAAGCCGTAGAATTTAATGAAGGTGCTGATATCCTCGGCGTTATTCTCAGCGTGGATACCAAGAGCCTCGCCGATGTCGTACTTGAGACCGGTGTTGCCGAGGTCGAACTCAATGTGGAAGATGTTACGGTCGTAGGTGGTGGGAGTGAGACGGCGGTTCTCCTTGACGTGGACGGTAAAAGTCTTGTGAGCAAGGTCGGGACGAAGAGCATCCTTGGTGCCGTAAGCTTCCTTAAATGCCAGTCCACGAGCGGCGGTCTCCCAGTCCTTGAGGAAGGTGACGGGCTCAGACTCGTTCTTATCGAAGGGAACAAAGCTGTTGGCGTTGATATTCTTAGGGAGCTGCTCGATCTCGGTAACGCCCTCGGGCTCCTTCCAGGACTCTGGAACCTCGATCTGGCGGAGAACCTTCTCAAGGTCCTTGGTCACGTTGTCCAAGGCCTCAGCGTTGCCAGTGACGGCAGACAGCTTCTTGGTGGCCACACCCTCCTGGGCAGGGAGAGCGACACGAACGAAGGAGGCTTGGAGAATGAGAGCCTCGAGAGAAGAGTCCTCAATGGCCGATGAGTCGACAACGAAGACGGGAATGCCGCGCTGGGCAACGGTCTGCTTGAAGTTGGCAGGGAGCTTCTTCTCCAAGTCCTCATCCTTGATGCCAGGGGCATTGAGAATAATCTTTCCGGTGTCCTTGACTGAGGCGAGAACATCAACATCCTTCAGGAGCGCAATGTTGCCGACGTAAGAAACGTCAGCAGCAGTGACGGCATAGGGAGCGTCGACGATCTTGGTGCTCTTGCGAATGTCGATGCGAACAGCACCACCCTGGACCAGGTTGTCGTGAGACTTGCTGGTGGTGACGTTGCTGGCCGAGTCGGCGCCGAGAGCCTGGCCCAAAATGTGGGCAGCCTCCTCAGTGACGGAGCTGTCGACGTCCCAGAAAGTGTACTCCTGCACGGAGGCGGGATCAAGCAGCTGGAGAGCAGCGTTGGTCTCGTCGTCAACGGTGAGGATAGGCTGATCATAGACACGTTGGAATGTGGCAGCGATCGAAACAAGATCCCAACGCTGAGAGCGGGCGTATTTGATCTCAACAGCAGCAGGGTTCTGTTCGCGGTCTGTGGCGAAGGTCAAAGCGGCGAGGACATCCTCGTAGAGAGCGGAGTGGACACCTTCTTCCTGGACAGCCAGCTCAGAGGCGACCTGTCCAAGAATTCCGACGGTCTTGGCTGACTTGGGAAGAACACGCAGGAACTCCTCTTCGATGAAGGGGCGGTAGACACGGACATTGACAACGCCGACGCGGACACCATCCTTGGCGAGGGAGCGAGCAATCTGAGCAGTGAGAGCAGCCTCGACAGTGCCGAAAGCGACGAGGACAGAGGTGGGCTCGGAGTGACCGTGGTACTCAAACGCACCATAGTCAGTGCCGAGTTCGCCGTTCAGGCTCTTGAGGAGGTCCAGAACCTTGCCTTGAGCATCGAGATGACGGTTGCGGGCCTCATCGAGAGTCTTCCGGACGGTCTCATAGGTACGGGTGAGACCTTCCTTATCGAGAACATCAATGACGCGAGTAGTCTCACGGCCAACACGGACACCGTCATAAATGTGAAGAGAAGGAAGAACGGACGACAGCAAAGTGGCGAAAAGGGCCATGTGCTGAGACTCGTGGACCGATCCACTGGAGACGAGGCCAAGGCCGAGTTCCTCAGCCAAAGACAGAGCGGAGGCATAGTCAGAGACCAAGCCATCCTCGCCGGCATAGTCGACAGCAGCGACATGTGCGGCAACGGGGCTGGCGACGGAATAAAGAAGAGAGAGCTGCTCCAGAGCGGCACGCATGTATGGAAGGGTTGCCGACGAGGCAACGATACCCTGGGGAATGTGACGCTTCTTCAGGTCGAAGTCTTGAGAAAAGAGATATCCAAGTGCCATGTTACCGGCACCCTGGCGGGTTTCTAGGGTTTGGAGGGCGGGAGATTCGCCATTGGCATTGGTCTCACTTTTTGAGTTCCATTCCTTGAGGGCTGTGTCAAGATCGAAAGTCTCTGGTGAATAAGAGAAGATCTTGTCACTCAGCAAGTATGCGACTTGTTGGATCAGCGTCTGAGCTGTAACATATGTTGGGCCATTCAAGGCTGACAAAGCTGGGACTGATGAACCCATATCTTCTTGATATCGGAGTTGATGAACCGACACCGGAAGATATATAAGATGATACCAATTGGAAAAGGAAGAAGAACACGTATATTCTCTTCCTACCAAGGATGATATCTTTGACAGTGAAAAAGAAAGTGAGATATTGGGGAAAGCGAAATGAGTCGCGGGGACTCAAATATTTAGATCGCCGCAATTGCGATTGGCCACCAGATCGATTGCGTGCTCAGTTGTGCGTGGGTGGACAGGGTTTTATGGCGTGGTGTTAACAGAGATAGAGCTTGATTTTCCTTGAGCGTGGCAATTGGACCCCGGAGATTCCCCGATGCACACGGCCGCTTTCGGAGGTATTATTGTGCCTTGCACGTGACTTTATTCCTCTTGGCCACAATCAGTTATCAGAGATATGCCTGCAGCCTGGAACTCCGACCTCTACTCCGTAGGGCTTGGAAGATCGTCAACTAACACGCGCCGCAGCCCAATAGTGGTCAAACCAACACTACATCATTGAGTGTGCTGGGGACCGCTGAGCCTGTTGTGCGAGATATCTATATATAGTGAAATCTGTGCAAACTGCATAGTTTGTTTCACTAGACCCAATTTTTATATTTTGGGTATCTGATGTAGGACTTCCACACAGAGTACAAAAAGTGTATTCTACTTTTTTCCTCATATGTACAGGTAGTACTCTTTGATATACTCTATATATGGGAGTAATTGAATTATTTACACTGTTGAGTGGTATTCCGGTTACTTAAGTATCTTCTTAATCTATTTCAAAGTATTGAAACTCTTGTTGTGAAGCTTGAGGCTACAGCTGTGATAATAACCGCCGAAACTCAAGTATGTTCATTGCCATTTGTATCCATTCTAATTTTGATGTAACCCAAATCAAACGCTACAATTAGATTACCGTTTACCGGTTAAATATAGAAGAAACCGTAGGAGAAAAATGGATCAAGTATCTTCTGTTTCTGGATCATGTATAAAGACTTGGAAGATATCTCAAAGAGTATTGGAACACATTTTGTAGTTAGTCAAAGGCGGCTACAAGTACCCAGTTTGGTAAGTCCATACGCATCTACATGTATACTAAATCGTAGCATAATTCAGTGCTTAGTTCTTTGTATATTTTCAGACAGAGCAAAAAATAGCAATCCTACCAGTAGCTCGCATCAAAATCAAAGCCTCCTAAATCAACACCTACACCTACGACAGCTACGTTAAAGCCTGCGCCAACGCCTGCACTAAAGTATATAGCACCTACATCAATACCTACGCCAACGCTAACGCCAGCGTCTACGATATCTACGCCAATTTATAAGTTTCGGGACACTTACAAAGTTGATTCTACAGGTGTAGAAGTTGGACTTTTTCAGCCATAAAGTATGGATTGGAACGACATAAACAAGGATGTACGCCTAGTCATGTACAAAGAATGCGAGCGAGGGTGTAACTACTACATATGCGAGAAGGATATAACATGTTCCGCAGTCAATCTCCATGTGTACTACTTGCGGACAACAGCGAAAACCCTGGAGGATGACCCATTGAAACAGGGCGGATGCAATGTCAAGATATTAGGGGAAAAATTGAATACTAGCTCTTGCCCTTGGAAGCAAGTACACGGCCCGGGCGTACAGCTTGACGGCCGAGAATAGGACAAAATCACGACTATCTAAGACAGTGGTGAGATAGAGCCACGACCATGGTTTCCTCGTTTGATAACCAGCGCCAGTAAGTGGCAAGTACTATCAAAGAATAAACAGTTGACGTTGTATCATACAACATCGATGAGATTGTTCCCGGTCGGGCTCCTTGCGGCGCATGTTCCAGAGAATTTAGTTCCAGACAAGAATGCATTCAAAGTATAAATCGAGAAGATTCTTTTTTCATTTTCGAGAGTATGTAGTATGTGGTACAATAGTTCTGATCAACTAGTTCGTCTACCGATACTCCGTAGGGCTATAAACAATGACATTGGCGATTAAGGTCAACAATGCGTACGACAGATAAGAAATGTGTGAATTTCCGAGAGAAGATGTGGGTATTATCTGTGTGGGTGTTTCAACCAATCAAAAGCTCCATTCAACACATAAACTGAGAGCATAAGAGCAGAAGAGCATAAAGCCATGTGAATAAATATGTGAAGACACCGAGCCTCGGTCGCAGATCGCAGCGCGGATCGCGGATCGACCCCAGAATGCGGAGAACTCCCCAACTCATATTGCATTTAAGGACAAGACATTCTTCAAGTTTTTCGACAATTGGGATTATTTATCACAGTCTTTCACAATGGTAGACACTTCACCAAACCTCATCCCATTTGCCGAGCCACCTTATGTTCGTGGCCTCCCTTCCCCCTACATTACGCCCGCCCACCGTCGCTTTCAACAAGCATGCCGTAAATTCGCGACCGAAAATCTGATCCAGCATGCCCTGGAGTGGGAACGCGAGGGAACCGTTCCCGAGCATGTTTTCCATACATTTTGCAAGCACAACATGCTGTTGCCCAATATGCCGGCCCCGCTGCCCGTGGATTGGTTGAAGCGTCTGGGAATCAATGACATCCTAGGGGTGAAGGTTGAGGATTGGGATTACATCTACACTGGAATTTATTGCGATGAGGTATGTCGGAAAAAGACGCGTTTGTAATTTAGGCGTCATAATTAACCGAAGCTTGACGGGTAGATGGGTCGATCTGGTCTCAGTGGCCCAGGCGGCTCCCTGAACGCCGGGTTCGCTTTTGGAATCCCACCCATTGTCAAGTTTGGCAGCGCGCAGCTGCAAGAGCGATTTTTGCCCGATCTGCTTACGGGTAAGAAGCGTGGCTGTATCGCCATCACGGAACCCGAGGCTGGCAGTGATGTCGCCAATATTACCACAACAGCGGTCAAAAGTCCTGACGGTCAGCACTACATTGTCAACGGATCTAAGAAATGGTAAATGGTTATGTTGAATATACAGGCACATTTGAAACTGACACCACGCAGGATCACAAACGGTATCTGGTCAGACTATGCCACTATGGCCGTGCGAACTGGCGGACCAGGAGCCGCGGGCCTTTCGGTGCTAGTTGTTCCCTTGAAGAACCACCCTGGTGTCACAATGCGCCGACTCAAGGTCTCAGGTCAAATGGCCGGAGGAACAACCTACATCGAGCTCGACGATGTCAAGGTTCCCGTGTCCAACGTTGTTGGCCGAGAGGGCGATGGCATGCGTATCATCATGACCAACTTCAACCACGAGCGACTGATAATCGCCGTTGGAGTCACCCGGCAGGCTCGTGTGGCACTCTCCTCTGCATTCTCTTACTGCCTCAAGCGCGAGGCCTTTGGAAAGACCTTGATGGATCAACCCGTGGTCCGCCATCGTCTGGCTAAAGCAGGCGCAGAGCTGGAGTCTATGTGGGCGTGGATCGAACAAATTTTGTACCAATTGGTCCACCTCAGCAAAGAGGAGGGCGACCGGCAGCTTGGTGGCTTGACGGCTTTGGCCAAGGCGAAATCGGCCATGGTTCTGAATGAGTGTGCTCAAACAGCTGTCTTGCTGTTCGGTGGAAATGGATTCACCAAGACTGGTCAGGGTGAATTGGTTGAAGGTATGCTTCCACTGCTCGCATAAAACTTTGCTCTCAACTAACAAAACTCTCTGCTAGCCATTCTTCGCGATGTCCCTGGTGCTCGGATCCCAGGTGGCTCAGAAGATGTTCTGCTTGATCTTTCAGTGCGTCAATTAGTCAAGATCTATAAGGCCGAAGAAAAGAAGCTGTCTCAGAGCTCTAAGATTTGAGTTAGGGATTGAAAACACAATGTCAGAATCAATTGTCACAAGTTCCTAATTGAAATCGCGTTTCTCGGACTTAGTTTCATGCCAAGCCACAAGGTAGATTTATGTTACATATCATCAGGCAATCCCCATGAATGAAACCAAGCGAATTCATGGACTAAACTGAAGAAGTCGAATTATTCACAGGGCTCGCATTAGCCTTCCCACTAGTCCCACTCATCCCGTCCCCGAGGTCGCTCTAGGTTACCGCATTGGGTCGTGTCCGTCCGACACTCACTCGGAATTGATCCTCGACTAAACCTGCAGAATCAACATGACATCAAGGAGCATCATTTGAGTCCGGTGCCTGCGTGGCCGGTGTATGATCGACATTCATACTCCTGAATTTGTCAATTGTTGCATAGCGCACATGGATCAAGTCTTAATAAGTAGCCCTCGTCTGCTCACATTTAGTTCTCTCATTTCTTTTCAATTAACCCTCCAGTCCAAAGTGGGTATCGATTATAGTCTCTAAGATGGTACTTACGCCTGCGCTTGCTAGTGCCATGCTAGCTTTCACCCCCTTCGCATCTGCCGCGCTGTACGACCAGGTCATCCAAACCAACAATGGACCTGTCCAGGGTTATGCCGCATTCAACTCCACCCCAACCGGGGGACTAACTCACTGGAAGGATATCACCGTGTGGAAAGGCATTCCCTTCGCCGCCACGACCGCAGGCGAGAACCGTTTCAGGGCCCCACAGCCTGCAAGCTCATGGAATGAGACTTTAGATGCGCGCTCTTGGGGCAATGTTTGCCCTTCCGCTACCTCAGGAAGTGACTACACCATCGACGAAGACTGCCTCAACCTGAACATCTGGAGTGCAGCTAATTCGACGAATGCGAAGCTCCCAGTCGTCATGTGGAGCTACCCCGCCGGCTCCACAGCTGCCGATTCCCTGTTCGATGGAGGTGGTATCGCCGACAAGGGGATCGTGTATGTCAACTACAACTACCGCACCGGTTCTTTCGGCTGGCTCGCAACCCCCGAGTTGTCCGCAGAGTTTGCCAAGGAGTCCGGTTCCACCAGCTCTGGCAACTGGGGTGTGCTGGATCAAATTGCTGCTGTCAAATGGATCCATAAGAATATCGCCGCCTTTGGTGGTGATCCCGATCAGATCACTGTTATGGGTCAATCTGCTGGCTCGGCTGCTACCCAGCACATCCTCAACAGCCCTTTGACTAAGGGCCTTATCAAGGGTGCTATTATCGAGAGTGGTGTGCGCGATCCCCGGGATCCCCTCTGCTCCAGTCTGGCGGAGAACTATCTCACCTTGGAGGCAGCCGAGGCACAGGGAAAGAAGTACCTGGCCAGCCTGAACGTCAGCACTATCACAGAAATGCGCGCACTTCCTCAGAGCGACCTGATCACCGGACTTGCATTGTTTGGCAGCAGCTCTGAGTTCCAGTTCACCGCAACCCTGGATCACTACGCCATCCCCGATACCTACTGGAACACCCTCAAGAAGGGACTTGCCCATGACGTCCCCGTAATCACCGGCAACACGAAAGATGAAAACGGCGCCACATACGGTCTCAACATCAGCATGACCACCTACCTCAGCGACCTAAACTCAACCTTCAGCGGCGAGTGGCCGCAGAAATTCCTAGCCGCCTACCCAGCTCACGACTCCACCACCGCCTCAGGGGCCTACAACTCGCAATTCACCGACCGCTCCAAGGTCGGCACGTGGTTTTGGGCTCGTCTATGGGCATCTGCGCGCACCAGCCCGGTCTACACTTATATCTGGGACCATGCCCCGCCCGGTGGGCAGGGAGCGCCGCACGAGTCTGAGATCAACTACGTTCACAACAATCTATATGCTACGGATAAGGACTGGACAAAGACTGATTATGCGGTTGCTCAGAAGATGAACAGTTACTGGGTCAACTTTATCAAGACTGGAAACCCTAACGGGGGTGGATTGGCGCAGTGGTACCCGGCTAATGTTACGCAGACTGTGCAGCATGTTGGTAATGGGTGGGGACCTATTCCTATTGCTTCCAAGTCGAAGGTCGCGTTATTTAAGGCTTGGTTCTCGACCTTGCATAAGTATTAGTTAGGAGATTTTAGATTATGGGTCGTTTTGCCTTTGGTGCATGATATTATCACTCGTCTGTTATGGATCTATTCTATACTTATTCTAGTGCAGCTATCATGTGGTTTCAGGTGTATTCTCTTATGGGACCGGGAAACATATTCCAGTCTATATTTCAACCAAGCAAATTCTCCCAAAGCAACAAATTTTCACATTAGCAAATCAAGTCTGGTAGTAGACAGCAAAAATCTCAATTCTACACACACTTCTTCGAGGGCAAATCCATTGCAGCTGACACTCTTTTCTATAGCTCTTCTTTGAGTAACTTTGTTTCATCAATCAAGCCTTGTAGCTAGGTATAGAACTTGGCTGCTCTCTCATCCGCTTGAGCTCCGTGCTTTATCAATAGCTCTATCGCTTGTATCACGCGTTTCCTAAACCATTTTTGTCCTTTTGCTTCCCAGTCTAAAAAGTCAGAGATGATGTTAGCGCCACAATCTTTGCAAAATTGTGGCCCAGCTTCCAATAGAAGCTTAATGACATCATAGCGTTCCATCATGTCATGAAGGGAATACTTCTTTTGTAAATTGTGAAATGGAATGCTCAGATAACAATCCCTCAATTGGAGATCAGCGCCATGGATTAGGAGTAGTTTTATGCCCGCGCATGCTTTTGCGAGGCTTTTGGAATCTACTGCGTCATAGAAAGCCGCAGAATGTAGAGGAGTCCAGCCGCGATGGTTTTGTGCATTCACATTCGCACCATGTTGCAAAAACAGCTGGATAACACTTGTATCGGGTAATTTGGTGCAGCTATGCATAAGGGCATGCAGAGGCGTATCTCCATCTGATGTCTTTGAATTCACGTCTGCTCCATGCTCAAGCAGCATTTTTATTACGGTAACATTAAACGACGGAGATAGATAGACCATGTAATAGAGCAGCGGCATGAATCTATAAATCTGGTGGTTCGGATCAGCGCCAGAATCGAGCAGCAACTGAATCACAGCCACGAACTCGGTCTCGCTCTTCAACCCCTCCTGCTTGTGTTGAGAGGGCTGAATGGGACTTCGTTCCATGATTCTATTGATCACAGCAGAGGCCAGCGGTGTTATCTTACCCATCCCCATTTGATTCACATCAGCTCCGCTCTGAATGAGTAACTTGGTATGGTGGTTATCCCCCCGACTAGCAGCACGCCCCAATGGTGGCATAAATTTTCCGTCGTTTGGGTTGGCTCCGTGTTGTAGAAGCAGCTCAACAATCTCTGTGGGACCAGCTTCCATGGCAATGAGCAAGAGCGTCTCGCTGTCAAAGGCTATATCCATATATTTTATGTCAAAGGACTCGAATTTGGTATTCGCATCAGCATTGCGTGACAGTAAATGTTGAATATCGTCCTTGCGTCCTTTAATTGTGAGCCAAGGGAGCGATATTGCCAGACAACGTGTGTCTGTGTTTAGAGCTCATGAATAGCGATGTTGTAGAGCCGGCGGTTGACTCTAATGAGGGATAATCTATCTTCGTCCCGCGGTAACAAGCTGGCGATAAGACAAATGAGTTCAGGAGGCAAGGAAAGAAAAGACATTTTGGTCAATGTGTTGGTCAAATACTTGAGGGGAAGCGGCAAGAAGAGTGTTGGAGGTTGTTCAGTAATCACGAATGGCTGAAGCTTGAGTTGAGTGGAAATGACTGGACTTTAAATTAGCCACGGATGAACCAGATCTATAGAATCTTAATATTGAGAACGGTGTACAAAGGTGTACAGCTTAGGGTCACACAGTTAGAACTTTGTGCGCCGATGCCTGACTTGGCCTGCATTTGAGTCTCCTTTTGGCCGCTCTCAGGACTGTATATACAGTGCATCATAACCCTATCGATAACGTCGCTTTTAAGTCATGAAAATCTTTGTACCAATCGGACCTCGCGTAACTTTGATCTCGTGCATGTTGATGTTGAACCATCCCATAGTGCGTGTTGTTTGAATAATCCGAAAATAGCGTTTATGGGAATACTCTCAACAGAACAATGTCAGGGGATAATTAGCAGCTAGATAGTCATGATTCAAGAGAGACCCCAACGAAGGTTCAAACCGACAAGAAAAGAGACTGATAGAAAGACATATAGAAAGCTGTGAAGATCAAACCTGAATATGGCATGTCGCCCGGCTTTCTCGATGGAATATATATGGAACTTCTTGAATCATTGGAGGATGGACGACTTTCGATTCTGGTCTTCTAATACTTGAATGAAGCAGAGGGTTCTGTCGTTGTTGACAGACAGGGATCTCTTGGGGGAAAGCCTTCTAACTGTAGCTACGACGGCATGACAAACATGGCTACATGCATGTAGTAATCAAACGCATAAATAAGCAGATGCTGCCGTATCCAACGACTTTCTAAGTAATTTTTCATTTTAGACGTACCATTTCACTAATCTTTCATCATTTATCAGTAATTAGCTAGATTATACTATATTTTATGATTGAACTAGTATGGACTTTCGGAATCCCTTAGTTAGCTCTTGGTTAGCTCTCACTTTCATATCAATCTATTCCGACATGATGTCAGGAAACGAGAGGATGACCTAGAAGCTACAGTGGCAACCTAGTCACATAGACTTGTCTAGACCTATAGAATGAATAGAAGAAATGACAGAGAAATAGATTTCTTACAACCAGAAATGTCAAAAGAACAGAGCAAGTAGAGACTGTGTTGCCGTGTAGTAGATAGCGGGGTCAATGGGATATCTGGCCAATCAGAGCCAATGTTTCAGAGCTCCATTCCAAATGACGAAATGCATCTGCGCTTGGCATCAACAACCACTCACACTTATTCGCGATACTCACAGTTATATGCAGATATGGCAAATGTTGCATTGATCGGTGCTACGGGCATGGTGGTAAGTGTTAATTCTACGTCTTCACCCTTCAAGATAATCTCCGCGAAAAGGCCTTCGTTCTGTCAAAGCTAACGCACATCAGGGCTCCCACATCCTCACCAGCCTAATTGCCAACCCCGCCGTGACGCGTGTAGACACTATCTCCCGTCGCACCCCACCGGCCGCCAGTGGCACACCCCCAGCAAAACTCACCAACTTCGTCTCCAGCGATACCGCCACATGGGCAAGCCAGCTCTCCTCCCTCGCCCCAACCCCCAGCATCTTCATCTCCGCCTTCGCAACGACCAAAGCAGCCGCCGGTGGCTTTGATAACCAATACAAGATCGAGCATGGGCTGAATGTTGAATTGGCCAAGGCTGCACGCGAAGCCGGCACCAAAGTCTACGTGCTCATCTCGTCCAGTGGCGCCAACAAGGATTCCAACATCGCATACACGCGCATGAAGGGTGAGATCGAGGAAGATATCAAGGCGCTTGGCTTTGAGCGCACGGTTATTCTGCGCCCCGGTTTGATTGCTGGTACTCGTGAAGAGAGCCGGCCCCTTGAAGCCGGCATTCGGTTCGTCGCTAACTGGGCTGGCAAGCTGCACTCCAGCCTCAAAGATAGTTGGGCGCAGGAGGCCAGTGTTATTGGTAATGCTGCTGTTGTTGCTGGTCTTAAGGCGCTGGAGGGCGATGTTCCCGCTGGCAGTGAGAAGGTTTGGACCTTGTTCGGCAGCGACATCATGCAGTACGGTAAGGAGGGTTCGTCCTGATGGTTTGGAAAAGTGCGATTGAACGAGTGACATTCTACATACCGCCTATACCTTTGTGTTCATGATTTTATGCTGCTGTCGAAAAAGAAGCCAAATAATGTGGATATTTATTACTGAATCGATATACTACTGCAACTGTGCTTCGAACAAGCCGTGTCTCAGAACGAGAGTACATGTCTTATGCATCCAGCAAGCCTACCATCTCCAACGAGTCCTTCCAGAGTCTAGCTTCATCCTCGGGGCTATACATGTGGCTAACATAGCCTTCTTCCTTCGGGTCAAGCTGCACCTCCGCACAATCATCCAGATATCGCCCCCCTCTTCCTTCCCACTCCTTTCCAATCGCAGCCCAGACTGACGTGGCAGCACCCTGCTCAAGGCTTTTCTGAGTCTTCATCAACGCCTCATTTTGGAGCATTGCATCAATGGTCTCCGCAGAAAGAAAGTGGCCGAGGCCAGTGGCGATAAAGCCAGGATTGAGGCTGGTGGCATGCAATCCGCGAGATCCATAGCGGCGCTCAATCTCATTAGCCGTGTATATGTTCGCGGTTTTGGATTGGGCATAGGCAATCCAGTCTGCGTAGCCTCCATTCTGCCAGTGGTAGTTATCAGAGGAGTTAATTCCATGAAGCCTAAAGCCAGAAGATGCCACATTGACGACCCGAGACTGGAACTCCGGCGAGGAAGCAGCTAGAAGAGCAGGCTTCAGGAGTTGGAATAGCAGGAAATGGGACAGATGGTTCGTTGCAAACTGCAGCTCAAAACCATCGTTGGTCAGGCGGAGGTCGGGTACTGCCATGATACCGGCATTGTTTATCAGGATGTTCACGTTCTCGGTCTTTGAGAGAATTGTCTTTGCGGCAGTGCGAACACTGTCCATAGAGGTTTGGTCCATTTCGACGAGCTCCATTTGGTCCGGCTTGAAGATGTCTGCCAGGGCGGTCTGAGCCTTGCTCAAGTTTCTCGCTGTCAGATAGAGGGTTGCACCAGTAGTTGCGAGGGCTCGAACGGTTTCAATTCCAATGCCTGAAGATACACCGGTGATGACGACAACTTTGCCTGTCAGCTTTTCCTCCATTTCCTCATCTTGGATGATTTGGAGAGCAGTTGGGCGGACATCTCCGGGCCCTTGAGGATTGGAATGAGCTGCAGCGTATCGAGACATGGTGTGTATATAGCAGTAGAGTTGGATGGATATGAAAATAGTAATGTTTTCGAAGCTTGTTGGACATTTTGGAAGAGTTCCTTTCGCCTTTTATGCCTCTTTAGAACAACCTTTCTAATGTTCATGGACCACGGCATGATTTATATCCAAACAATACTCTCGCTGACCTTTTTTGCCATTATTAGCATAGCGCAGTAAAACCTCGGAGTATTTAAACTTCAAAACTCCGATTCCTCGGATCCACTGGCTGACGGATTTTACTCGTTTGGGTCTAGCTTGCCTTGTATGACGGTGGGGGCCGATTCTCTACTCCAAAGTCTGTACCCGATTGATCTCACTTTCTACATACTGCAACGCAAACATGACGTTCATATCAGGAAATGATAACAATGGAGGATCGGAGACTATTGAGGAAAGGAAGTTGAGGAAAAGAAAGCAGAATCGCGAAAATCAAAAAGCGCGCAGTAAGTACTTTCAGGTCATTTTCTATCTCATTTTAAATACATAATTACTAACGTCTAACGCGTTTTTAGGGCTGCGGCTGAAGTCCACAAGACCATCCGACACAAAACTTCAAGATCCATATCGTATACATTCCTGGCGGCTAGAAGCCACGCGAAGAGAACCAACTAGGCAATCCAGCAAGCCGGACACGACTCCTTCTGAAAGTCCCAAATCCTCGGACGAATTCGACTCCGAGTTTCAATCAATTCTGGATGAGTGTTCAGGCTCCCAAATAGTCTCGAGAACATTAAAATCATTCCTCCAGCCGGAGCGTTCTATATCAGCCGACCACCTACTCCGCCTCGTACATTGGAATGTATTTCGAGGACTATTCGACAACAAAGTCACTCTCGGAAACTCAGTTGTGGCACTAAGATCATCATCCAGTCACATCAAGAGTTTGGAGGATGTCTTTTCCCAATATTCACTAATCATCCCGAAGGGGAGCCTCCCTCCTTCTCTCGAATTGACACAAAGCCAAATGAGTCTCGTGCATCCTACATGGATCAATTTGCTTCCATTTCCTAGGATGCGGGATAACTTGATCCGCTGGGAGGCATACTTTGATCATCAGGACTTCATCAGAGACTTGATAGGTAATTTGCTAGACCCAGTGATGATCTCCTCGCAATCCCCGATGCCGCCCCTTGCAAAAAGGAATGTGGTGCCTCGCAAACTTGACATCATCTTCAATGATGATCTTGATGAAATCAATTCCACACGGAATGGTTTCGTTCTATGGGGAGACCCCTTCAGAGAGGAAAGCTGGGAGGTAACACCGGGTTTCTTGCGAAAGTGGCCATGGGCAGTCGAGGGATGTGAGAAACTGATACAATCAACCAATCGATGGAGAATGCTGCGCGGCGATAAGCCTATACTAATAATGAACATCGCTAAGAACGAACCTGACGACTGTACATGGGGTTCCGAAGCTGGTCAAAGCGCAATATAACGGCACAAGTGTCCACGCAGATATATCGAACGGATAAATTAGTTTTCGCAATAATTAGTTCCATATTTACAATCATTGCTCAATACAATAACCAAATGCACCTAATCCTTGTACGAAACATGAGTTCCATCCTCCTTAACATGAACACTGCGGTTCTTCTTCGGTGTGCCACGAGAACTAGAAGCATCACGCTGCCGGTTTCGGTCAGGGCCTCCTTCAGTCGGGCCTCTCCAAGCACTGACATCCTGGTTGGCTGGGCTCATGTTCAACGGGTCATGTTTGCCTGCCTCCCTGCTCTCCTGCTCGCTAGCCTGATACTCGGTTTCCGGTGATGTGTTCGACGGATCGAATGCGGAGGGGTGCTTGGCAACTTCGCCGTCAGTGCCGGATTTGGTGGTCTCTGAGTGCTCTGGATTGAGAGTTTCGCGGTCTGGCACTTCTTCTTTCTTGGAGCTTGGGGTTGTGCTAAAGGGCGCTTTTGTTGCTGCGGGAGCGGTGCGAGATAGGGCGGGCTTTGAGAGTTGGGAGCGGGTTGCTCGAGTGGCTTGTTGGCCGGTTGAGATAATTGATTTCCACATTCTGTTCGGTGTGAATGTGGTTGTTTGGAAGGAGCTTAAGATGCGATTGAAGCAGTTGCTTTGAATATATTATCGTAAAGATTTGTCTGAATGTAGAATATGTATCGTGGAATGGATTGGGAAGCAATTGACAATTATGATGAATGATGTTAATTTTAAAAGAAAACTATTGCAAACACTATTTAAGCTACGTGATTCTTTTCATTCCTTGTTCAGAGCTAATCGAATCATGTTGACGTCAGTCATGAATTTCAGTCGATTACTTAATCATGCGACCCACCTGGGCAGCCCTAAGACGCTCTCCATAATTGAAAAGGAGATGGACCAGGTCTGCAATTTGGCTGCTTGAGTGTATCAATATCATAATATGATCTGTTGCAATTGTTTATATGGTTAGATAAATGACATCTTGAGCGACATTTCATTGCGCTTTCTGCGCCTCGAATCTGGCCCTACTCCGGCGTCCTCTGCCGACACCATTGGGTAGATTAGATTGCATGATCTCAATTCATGCCCTAGCAAAAGAGATAAATGTTTACCTGCGAGATGAGTCAAATTTCGCTGCTGCGCCGCTGCAGCTCACTCTGGATACATCGAGTCAGTGAGTGGCAAAGCCTAGATCAATGCAGCGTGATCCTTGGCACACTGTGAGATAATGTCATAGTAAACAGGACTAAGACATTTCCTGGTTAATTATTGTTTTTTGTGTACATTGAATGCGCCGCAGGTCGAATGAGAGGTGGTCAATATCGATATAAGCCCGGGCAACATGCGGATGTGAGGGTCTGTGTGCAGAAAGCACGATCTACCAATGAGAAACGGGGCCCAGTCTTATTCAACGCGAGTGCTGAGGAGAAGCACATGTCTCCGTAATGCAGGAGGGGTGGGGAATCGTAATCGCTAGTTGCATATGACTAGCATCCCGGCCAATAATTACGATTGGACGCTTCGCCGGGCTGCAGCTGAGGATAAGTCTATGGCCAGGCCAATCCCCGTGCCTCGAAGGAGCTTTTAGGCGGTGGCATTTTGGTTTTTCAACGCCAAAGGTAAGGTGACCATTAATCATTTGTCGCAGGCTAAAGGCAGGCGTGTGAACGCTGCGGGAGCCTCCGTTCACCTTAAGATCACGGGATCACAGGAGCCCGACGCTGTGGGAGCCTGTATGCGGGTTCTAGAATTCAATTTCAACGTTGAAGCACGAGCGTTCTAGGTTCATTGCAGACAGAATTAGCCCGCAATAGCTCCAATCTAATCAAAAATGCTCTGTCAATTCACCCGGCAACTTCGCTTGTTGGGCAAAAACCATAGCCATGCTTTTGCAGCGCCCTCGCCCTGATCCTTGCCAGGAGAAAGTGTGGTACACTAAAGCTAATCGAGGGAAAATGCGTAGTAAGATGGAGCGAGAGGCAAAAAGGCAGGGGGGCTCTGGAAGTTGATTCGAGACTTCTTTTCGGGTTGGATGTAACGAGCTGGCCGCAGCACCGAATTGATCCACCGAGTGTGACAGCCATTTTGCGGCTACAAGCCATCTCCAGGGATGTGGGTTGCCAACTCAACATCTTGCCATGCATCAGCTTCCTGGGTGGTGGCTCCAGGCGGCTTTGAGCGGCGTTTCCCGACGATCTCGTGTTGAGTTAATGAACTGCCCAAGGCAGACCGGACAGGACGGCACGCAGAGAAGCCTGCAGGATTTTCCCTTCCAAATTGGGAATCAGTCATCTTTCGTCATTTTCAACAACGTGAATGGCATCTGAACCCCCCGGTGGGGCAAGCATAGAATTGATAAACAGCGACTCACAGGCTTCGAGCCAGCCTTCGCTACCAAAAGAAACAGGCAGCGAGCCAGAAAAGACGTGCCACGTCAGAGTCTCCGAGCTTTAGTGCAGCTGCATGTGGTTGAGCAGTGTGTGGAAGGTGTCACGGTTCGTATCTAGGGCGAGGACCGTATGTATCAATCCTATCCTATCGTTTGCGCCAAATGGAGCAAGTGGATGACGATGGACACACCCACATGAGCGGGGGCAAATGCAGGATTCTTCTTTGCAGGAGTCCAAGATCAGCTGAACGAAAACGGATCTATCTAGCCTGCATCCCTAATTTTGGGAGTGGAAAGCAAAAGATCCAATTCCGCGGTCCGTGTCACCGAGCCCAGGTGCCAATGATAGAGCTTCAGTGACCCAAACATTGCCACTCTGGAGAGAACCATTGGCTGATAGCCACGGACCGGAAAGGTGCGGCAGGCGTGGAACTAAGACCAGGCCTGAATTTCGATAGATTTGCAAATAAAGCTCGGCAGAATAACGCAAGATGACAGGGGCTAAAGGTTGCAACCACATGCTCAGACCCAAGACCGGTATCTTTGAGTGGCCAAATATAGAAGGCGTAAGAGCCATGAAGCATGAAGGGAACAACCCGGGATGCGTATGCGTATTCAATCACACAGACAGTATTATCGGATATACACTTCTGTGGATAAAACATTCCTTTCGGTCAGTGACCCATGTCAAGGGTCATTGTAATGGAAATATTGGGCCAATCAATAATTTCACACGTCAAAAGATTGCCTCGAGATAGAACATCCCATTGCAGTGGATCACAAGGGGGCGTGCATAGTCCCATCACATTCGCGAAGGCAGTAGCCTTTCTGTTGCATATAGACAGGGTATCCCTGGGAATGAAAGCCTGATTATTGCATCAATACGACAGCTGGCAGGTGCCGAGACCGACTCGGCCGTGCAGGATCAGCCATGCAAGACCCAACAGCATCATAGGAGTGCTAGTCCATGCGAACATCATCCACATGAAAGCGGGGAGAAGCAGGCAGCGACGGTGCAGCAGACGGCATGATTGCAGTAGCCGAAACTGGACATTGGAGAACGATAGCCATAGATTGAGGGATTTTCCACCCGTCATCGTACATCACTATGAGGAGGAACTTGCCACGGCTGAAGGTTGCATGCATCCATGAAGCAACCGGTTGCTCATAGTGGCTCCGTTCGAGATGGCAAAGCCATCATACAGTACCCACTGCTCGGAGAGCTTCTCACAGCCAACCAGATCAACGGTCAGGCAGATGCGATGTGAAAATGGCGGACTAGAACCCACGGATAATAAGCAATCGGGCACTGACAACCGTCGATCAACAGTGAGACGATACAAACATGGAGAAAGGAGCCATGGGATACAATCTTCGTCCGAAACATAAATAAGAATGTCAACACCCCCAGAATGCCGTGAAATTCCCAATCATCCCTCCGGTTTCATAATTCAAGTCTGCAATCTTCAAGCAAGGCCAATAGACATCCTTCAAAAACAGGATTTCATTCAAAATCTGTTTCAAATTTGTTGAGCTGTCCCGAACCCTTCAAAAAGATCAGGCAAAGGTCGACCTATCAAATTATCAAATCCATCAAGCGTGGGTGTACTTTCAGTGCAACCAATAATAAGGCGTTGTTCAAGCTGAAACACAAACGGAGAATCCTGAGCAAGTAGGTTATGTCGTACTTGCAGATTATGCAACGCTAATCAATCTCATAGACATGTGCTTTTACAACCAGAAGAGATTTGCGTGTGGGGACTGGAGCTGGACCAGCTTTGCTCACCGCTGCAACTATGAATATCGCACCGGCGAAACATGTGGAATGAGACTCGTCAACATGACTGAGGACGATTGCAGTAATTGTCGGCTCTGTGAAAAAATCGAAACCAAGTTTCGTCGTCGTAGCGCCGAAGTCGACCGATTGAACAGATGGAAACGAGAGGGGGCCACCCTGGTGGCTTCGATGGATCGATCTTACAAGCTCATTATGGACCTGGACAAAGAGATCCGCTCCCTGCAACAGGAAAGGGATGACCGCAGGAGCACTCTTCTGAGATAGGATTGGCTTGGAATTGCAAACGGGTGTTCTCTTTTTCTTTTCTCTTTTTTTCTGGCACGCTTACAGCGATTGTACTGCCTTGTCTCAGTGTGCCTTCTTGTCCTGTTGCTTTTTTGTTGTCTACCACTTGTTCGTAGGTGGGTTTTGCAGCGAGTTTCATGTTTCACCATTTTGTCCGCGACATCAAGTCCGAATCGAGTTTCTGCAAGGTTATAAGAAAATCACATCGCCTTTGAAACAATTGACAAGAAGTTTGATTGGTTCAAGCTCTGTAATGTTTGCTGTTCATAGGCTGTTATGCTCCCATGGAAAATGACAATAGGGACTAGCCAAATCATAAGCGCCGTATTTCCTATCTGAGCGGTTCCCTGAGACAGACGGAGTCTCACAGGGTGAGGGGTGGCATCTGCTACAGCTAGGCAAACAAGGCATTGAAGCTTGTATAAGTTGAAATATTGACCATTGACATTGTCGAAGAATCCTAGATCTGGAAACAACGGTATCAGAGCGAGGGCACATACCTAGTGCGAGATGCCCCTCATCACCACACGTGATAACACACTGCTTATATAACCGTTAAGGATCACCGGGACAGGCCGATCAGAAAGACTGCAAGTGAGAATCTTTGGCAAAAGATATTAGAAGAAAGTGCAGTTTGGCTGAAATAATGCCTACCTGGGTAGGTGGCTTGTCAAAATATTTGTACGGGGGAGAGTACCTATACGGTTAGCTCCACTTTCCTCCTATAACGCTAGCTCAGAAAATAATGCTTTAGTCGAACCCTTTAGATCTCTTTTTTGATCTTCGATTGTGGTGAATATTGTGGTGGTGTAGTTGTTACTGCATGATTATTTGAAAGAAAAAGGAAAGGGATGTCGAGGGTTGGCATGCGGAGCGGCGAGGTGGGAGATATATATAGAGAGTTGGTTCGGAGAATTTAACTTGTGCGGGCAAGAGCCTGCATGCCCCTAAGCATTACCACCACTCTTCAACCCAACTTTGTCCATCTATTGGAACATATCTACGGCAAACATAGTCAAATTGGGATGCAGCACTCGAGAACAGCGTTGAGACTGGGCCGATGTGCATGCCACGTCACAAAAGAACAACAAATGCAGAGACAATTGGTAAGCAGCTGCATGCTTGAAGAATGCAAGGTGAATATTCTGCTGGATTGAAGCAAACAATAAGGTGGAAGCGGATGATTATGGTCAAAGTATGGGATTCAAGTATCTGAAACGGAAAAAAGAACATGAGGATTAATCTATTTTATGTCGCCAGCCTCGGGCTCATCATCGACCTTAGCCAACCCTTGTTCCCGAAGAAGAGCATCAATCTCATCCGCAGTCCATAGGTGGTGGTAGATCTTGCCATCCTTGGTCTTGCCCACTGTTGCAAACTCGACTGCGTAGGGTAGGATTGTCAGCATGAAGGATCAAAGTGCAGATAAGACGTTCGAGCAACCCACTCTTCTCACTGCTCAGCTTCGTTGAGTCCATGGTCTTGCTCAGGACCTTGACAGCCATGGCACAAGCCTCCTTCAGGTCACAATCCTCCTTGTAGTCTTGCTTGAGGAGACTCTGTGCACTTGCGTTGTTCGCGCCAACACTGGTGGCCTTCCAACCTCCGTAATTTCCACTGGGGTTGCTCTGGTAAAGCTGGAACTGGCGGAGGTGGTCGTATCCAGCGTAGATGAAGGACACACCGAACGGACGGAGACCACCGTGTTGGGTATATCCTTGTTTCAGATCACACAGCCGACGAACAAGCTGCTCACAGGGAATGTCTTCGTTGTACGTAAGAAGGTAGCGTTGGGCATTTTGACGGGCGTAGTTGATGAGAATGTTGGCATCGGCGTTCATACCCGCAACGGCGCAAATCATGTTACTGTAAACTATCAGCTATCCATCTCATTCAAAGTATAGCCAAGTAGCTATTCCGAGTTGAGACAGAATTCCAGGTGTCGTACTCATTGATTGTGTAAAGCTTCTCAGCGGAGGTGTCCTGCTCTAGCAGCTTGCTGGTCACCTTTCTCTCGGCAGCGAGGACAATTCCATCCTTGGCTAATATTCCAAGGGCTGTACCGGCATGCGAAATAGCCTCAAGCGCATACTCAACCTGGTAGAGACGACCTTCCGGGGAGAAGATCGTAGTCTTTTTGAGAGCGTCATAGGTTAGCTGGAGCTGCACAAATGGAATGACGGTGTGCACAAACCCTAGAATCGTATCTCCGAGACATCGTGTATTGTTAAACAAAAGCAACAAAAACTCAAAAAAGGGCCAAAGGTGTGTTAATGTTGCAAGAGATGTGATTCAGGATGGTGAAGGTCGGTGATGAAGACGTAGAAGCTCCAGGCAACTCGCCCTGGCGCGTCCTCTGTCATCCGCCAAGCTCGGACCACCTCACCACACCAAAGCTTCAAGTGCAACCATTTTACTATTCTCCCCCGCAACAACTGACTATAAAGCCATTTTTTGCATTAAATCTGCAGCTTAATTGATCGGGATTGATAGCCATGCTCAAGTCAACACATGTAGCTCCCCCCCTTTGCCTGCCGGGTGGACAGAGCATCGAGCTCCCACAGGTTGGTCGTGCGACGAGAAGATTATGAAAAGCGGACAATGCTAATATATATACAGGACATCTGTACTATTATAATTCCTCTACCAAAAAATCTACATATACTCGACCCCAAGAACCGATTCCACAGCCTGTCCCATCGCAACCAAACTACACCCCCGAAAATCTACCTCCATTCTCTTCAACACCTTATGGACCGACGGGCTCTGGAACCGGGCCTAGTCAATTCGGCTCGCCGCAAAACTTCCACAGTCGAGGAGGGTTTCGCGGTGGGAGAGGTTATCACGACGGAGGGCGGAGAGAACCCGAGGACCGGCCGAAAGCCAAGCATCCCATACCTGGGTGCGCTCCATGGCTACTAATCCGAACTAAGCTTGGGAGGAGATTTGTCCACAATCCGGAAACAAACGAGAGTTTTTGGAAATTCCCAGAGCAGGTTTTAAAGGGTGTGATTGAATTTGATCGTCTCGAGCGCGAGAAGAAAGAGAGAAAGGAACGAGGTGAACCCGAAGAACTGCCGAAGAAAGAATCGCCTAAACCCCAGGACAGTGTGAATCCCCAAACGGAAACAGAGCAAAACGAAGAAGCCCGGCCGTTAGATTATGACGAGGAATACGAAGAGGTCGAAGTCACAGATAGCGAAGGAGAAGGACAACCGTCAAAGCGCACACGAACTGAAAGTGTGGGTGCCGAAGATCAGCCCCTTGAATTTACCGAGGAAGATATGGAATATCAACTGGCAGCCATGGGTGAAGACTACGGATTGGACCCTGGGGAATACGGCGATGCGGGAGAAGAAGAATGGGAAGAGGGCGCAGAAGGCCTTCCATTGACCGAGGCTGATGCCGAAGCACTCTTCCGGGACTTGCTGGATGACTTCCAAATCAACCCATTCACGACGTGGGAAAATGTCATCGAAGAAGGCCGTATCATTGATGATACCCGGTATACTGCACCCTCGAACATGAAAGCTCGACGTGAAATATTCGCCAATTGGACCAGGGATCGAATCCAATATGTGAGGGATCAAAAAGCGAAGCAAGAAAAGACAGATCCCCGTATCAAGTACCTGGAATTCCTGCAAGAACATGCCACCCCTAAACTTTACTGGCCTGAGTTTAAACGCAAATACCGCAAGGAGCCTGAGATGAAAGACTCTCAGCTTGGAGATAAAGATCGCGAGAAGCTTTACCGTGACCACATCTCCCGATTGAAACAACCTGAAAGCACTCGCAAGTCAGATCTTTCAGCCTTACTAAAATCTGTTCCGTTGGATTTGTTGAATAGATCTTCCAACCTAGAAGCTCTGCCAACAGTGATCATCACCGATATTCGATATATCGGGCTTTCACTCAAAGTGCGCAACCAGTTGATTGAGGCATACATATCTACTTTACCTCCGGCGCCAGAGGTACAAAGGTCGGCTGAGGAGTTAAAGGAACTTGACCGCAAGCGCGTCGAACGCGAGAAGCGCGAAAAAGCACTGGCGGATCGAGAAAAACGGGTGGAAGAAGAGAAGCGGAGGCAACGAGGAGATCTTATGCGCGGCAAGACTCTCCTGCGTGAAGGCGAGGTCGAAGTTGAAGAGGCAATGAGAATCAATAAGGACGGCCTACGAAGTTATATGGAGGTTGATCAGGTGGAAGATGAGGAACAGAAGCCAAGCCAATAGTTGGTCACTGAATCTCACATGTAATTTTTGTCATAATAATGCCAGCCAAAATTATATTGTACAAAAAATGGCAATATGCGTCATGCCAATGTATGCCAATCTTTCGATTACTGAGGGTATCACTGTAGACGAGGGAAGCCAAGGCCCTCTTGCGTAGGCGGGTTGTCATTCCACCACCAAGATAATCACTTGAATCTCCAATCATCCCATTCCTCGTCATCATCTTCGCTCTCACTCTCAGCAGCATCCGCCTCCCCAACATCAGATACCGGTTCAGCTGGTATCTGTTCTTCGGCACGGGTTTGACGTAGCGCCTCGCGTTGTTGCTTGAGTCTTCGGACGCGCTCCTCCAACTGCTCCATCTCATCAAACTCTTCTTCCATGAGTCGCGCCGCATCCTCTCGCTCCCCCTCCAACTCTGCCTCGCGGGTGCGGGTTGTCGATGCCTTCGCTTGTTCCTGCTGTGCGGCGAGTTCTGCAGCAGTTATCGGTGCAGCCGAAATCGTGGCTTCCGCCGCTAGGGCAGCCGGTGCATGATGTGTACGAGATGGCTCGGCCACTTCGCGTTCGAATGCGGCCCATTCATCTTCGTCTACAGCCATAGGTTGGTTTTGTGGCGGGACTGGGGTTGTCGGCTGAGTAAGTTCTGTGACTGGTTCGACAACTTCTTGGTCGGCATCATGTGGAAGTTCTGGGCCCGCAACATCATCGTCAATTTGCTCTGAGCCTTCGTCCGCTGTGCTATGTCCGGCGCTTGGGGCGTCAGATGCAGACTGAAACGCATCCAATTCACCCCCACGTAGCTTCTTTCGGACAACGCCGTCTCCGCTGTCAACTTTGCGCTTTTTCGTGACACGGTTTCCTGTCGTGTTTGGTTGGGATGTGCCCTTGCGCGAAGCTAGTTCGTTGCGTAGTAGCGATCGGACGTCAGCCATGCTTTCTGTGTGGTGTGGAAGGTATCGGGTGAATATGAACTGGTGAAGTAGAGACCAGGTAGTAATATCAGTATGAGTTATGATTCAAATTGGCCTCGGCATTGAGAAAAGTGCCTGTGATGAAGAGTGGGGAACCTGGAGAAGCTCAAGATTCACTTTTGAGGCGCGAACCTGTGGCTGACGATCAGATCACATGACCGATGACAAATAAAGAAACGGGAGGCAAGCCACTTTATCTTCTCCTCATCCCAAGCTCACTCTCTCTTTCTTTTTTATCATCCTTCTTGCGTTACGATTTTCGCCATCTAATATTTGCAGGGACCAATACTGCTTCAATTGCAACTACATACTTTGCGTGATAAATTCCTCGCCAGAGATCACGATCTGCGCTTGAATATACCTTCACGCGACCCCGCTCAGTTGCCAAATTTCGATTGACGCGCAAGGGATCGCACAGTCCACCACAACACCACTACCTTCGGCGCGTCATTTGCCATCGCGTGTCAATCCAAGAAATATTGCGCGAAGTCTGGATCAATTATCGATCAAGTAATACTGTGGACACCATCGCTATTATTGAGCGTCTTCTTGTGTATTACTTTAGCGCCTTGAGCTTGTAGAGACCGTTGTCAGCCCTGGGTAATACCCAATTTCACCAACAAGTGAAAGGACTATTACCCCACCCCCAAACGTGCTGTAGTACGCGCCAAATCACTGTTTTATCATGGCCGGTAAGCTTTTGTACACCATTATTTCAGTTGTTGCGGCCCGATCAATGGAAGATGGCAAGGCAAACACATTTTTGATCGCGGACCCAAATACACGAAACAAGCTAATCAAAAGATCAGATGAACCCCGACGCTCCGGCCGGGCCACCAAAGGCCAGCACAAGAACCTCGAGCTACCAGATGCCCCCGGAAAGAAAGGCAAGGGCAAAGGCTTGAAGGACAAGAACGCCAAATCCTCCGCAGAACCCACACCCGGTCCCAGCGAAGGAGAAGGAGGAGAAGAGGAGGAGGAGGAGATCATTCGCTGCATTTGCGGTGAATACGAAGAAGAAGAGGATGTGGAGCGTGACATGATCTGTTGCGACCAATGTTCAGCATGGCAACACAACGACTGCATGGGCCTTACATTCACGAAAGGCCAAGAACCTGATCAGTACTATTGCGAACAATGTCGACCGGAAAACCACAAAGTCCTTTTGGAAAAGATCAATGCCGGGGAAAGGCCTTGGGAAGAAGTCGCTGAGAGGCGTCGTCAAGAGGCCGAGGAGAAAAAGTCCAAGCGCAAGAAGGGCAAGAAGGGAGCTCGTAAATCTAGACCGAGTGAAAGCAGGACAGATGCCAGCACACCGATGCGCACTGCACCCTCCATCACACCTGGTCCGCTCGGTTCTCCTAGGACTGGTGTGTCCGCGTCGGCCGAACCAGAGAAGAATGGCCATGCCGTTGATTCCCGGCGGTCCAGCACAAATAAGCGCAAGCTTGAAGAGTCAGTCGAGGTAGAGAATGTAAGTGTTTGCTTCCCACCAAACCTCTTTTTGAAGCCCGTTAACCTTTCCATCTACCAGGGACCGCAGATTAAACAACAGCGCGTATCCCCTCAATCTATCACCGCAGCTGTCCCACAAATCAAGGCAGACGATGCTAGCGAGACGCTAGCAACTTCAACGCTGGAGGAGCTGATGCCCACGAGAAGGAGTATAGCTTTACTTCTCATCAAGTTCTTGGCAGATCAACTCGCCGTGGCGTTGAAAGCCGGGTCATTTGCATTGCGTGCGAACCAGTCGTCGGAGGACTTGGCACGGCAGCTCGGTCTATCTATTGAGGATGCTATGTATGAGAGTATCTGCGGGCGGTCAGGCGAACCGAGTGAAACATATAAATCGCAATTACGGTCGATCATGTTCAATGTAAAGAAGAATGCTTCTCTGCGAGATCGCTTGCTCGTAGGCAGTCTCTCCCCCAAGGTGTTGTCTCAAATGACATCTGGAGAGATGGCGAGCGAGGAATTGCAGCAGAAGGATGCCGAAATCAAGCGAGAGGCAGAACGACAGCACATGATCATCCAAGAGCAAGGTCCTCGCATTCGACGCACCCATAAAGGAGAAGAGTTGATTGAGGATGAAAACCATGGTGCGAACGAATCCGTTTTCTCAAGGGCCCCCCGTCGTGCTCCCGGCGAAGGTGACGGCAGCCCCACAGAAGGAAGCCCGACAAGCCCAAAGGGACCTCAGCATACCAGATCAGACAGCTTCACCCGGGGCCCTTCTCCTGGAGGTAATCACCACGAGGACGTCTTCCCAGAAGTGGCCCCCAATGTTCGCGAGCCTGTGCCTAGCGGAAGGGTCCAAGCAGATGCCGAGATTGACCAGCTCTTGCGAGACGATGAACCTTACTCCCCTCCATACTCCCCCAAAGACTTCAACGACGATGGCATAATCTGGCGCGGCAAGGTGACTATGCCTCCCATCGGAGAATTTTCCTCAACAGCCAAGCATGTGGGAGGTGCCGACTTGAGTGGCCGAATCCCATGGAGCCAACTCGCCCCATCTACGTTCTTTGTTGATGGACGCATTGACATCCAACGAGCCACAGATTATCTCTGCGGTCTTCAGTTCAGCAAATCAACCGATGTCTCTGTCATTGCAGTCAGCAGCCCCGACCAGCCCGAGCAAAAAGCTGGCTTCGACCAGATGTTTGACTATTTCCACAGCCGTGGTCGTTATGGTGTGATTGGAAAACACCCATTGTCTGCCGTCAAGGACACATACCTTGTTCCCATGGAGGTCGGCACCACAACCATGCCGGAATTCATTGAGCTCTTGGAAAACATTTCCCTGGAAGGACCCATCACTGAACGCATTCTTCTCACAATTTTCGTCGTCAAGACGGGAGAGTCCAACCCCCCCTCTGTTCAGCCACCCTCTCACCAAGCTAGCCAGGAGCCACCCGTCTCTGCTAGTCCCCTCACAGCCAATTCATCAACGCCCCAACAGCCTCAATTTGTCACAGGAGTGGCGCCAACACCTCCGCACTATGCTGGATACAACTCGAACCCTGCACAGTCAGGCCAGTTCTCCAACCAACAGCCATCTCTGACTGGGCTTCCAGCTGCAGTGCAGGTACTAGGCTCACAAGTGGAAGCCCCAGCTATTCAGCAATTGTTGAAAACTGCACCCAATGTGGACATGGCACAGCTTAATGTCGTCCGTGACATCTTGACTCGCCAACCTGCTGCCGCCGACAGCTACGATGCCTTGATGCAAGCTCTATTTGAGATCCAGGTGAATGGTGGCCAGGTTCCTAAATAGATTGCTCGTTAGAATCATGTCAAAGATAGCCATCCATGGATATCATGCTCCTGTACAGTTTACGTCATGTTTGTATTCTTCTTTACAAGACTGCGCACTGCGAGTCTGGTGTTTGGGACTGAAGTTTGGGGAACAAAATGGGTTGTTTTATGGATGTGGAATACCCACTATCGAATGCTTTCAAATGTTATGTCTGCTGGGTCTCTGCACTCAACATGAAACCGTGTTTACTCCTTTTTTTCTTTCACATTGTTCTCAAGTTTAGCTTGGACTGCGCGTCTCCTCGAGACTCAGTCTACCTTAGTTTGACACCAATAGTCCATTCAATTTAGAGTGTTACATCCAGCTTTTCTCTTTAGTACTGTAGAAGAACAGGCCAATTGGTTTTATTCAGAAAATGACTACGGAGTACAATTCAACTGATGCCTTAAGCATTTCGTGAGCCTTGGACAGAAAGTTGGCGAGAGGTAAAATGAAATGGATATTGAGCGCATCGTTTTAAAACTTTCCTGACCGTCATCCAAGCATCATACACGAAATAATCAAACAAAAACGCCTGCGCTATGCAGAGGGGGCAGAGCCCGAAACACCGAGAACAAAGGGACAATAAGGAAATCTATTACCATCTGCCACCACCACGACGTCGGTATCCACCGCCACCGCCGCCGCCGCCGTAACGGGGACCGCGACCAGCGTTGGCGCGACCGCCAGAGGTGTATGGGTTATCATCTTCTTCTTGTTGACGCACTGGCGGAGCCCGACCCTTGAGTTCAGCGCTGAGCTTTTTGCAGTTCTTGCGCATGTCCGAGTACCCCATGTGCATCTTGCCGAAGAAATGATCGGCCAGTCGGCGATCGTTATCAAGACGAGACAAGTAGGCCCCGCACACGTCACAGACCTGCAGCTTCTGGTGTCCAGAGGGACCAGAGGTATCTTGTAGATTCTTGAGATCGCGCTCAAGAGTTTCCTTTTGATGCTTGGCCGTGCGGACTTTGTGCATTTCATTCATAGCCAATGAGACAGACCCTGTTTCACCCAGAACGGAGACCTCGAGGAGACCGGAGTTGATTGTGTTGGAAAGATCAGCGATTTGTTTGAGCTATTGAGCATGTTAGTAAGCCAAGAAAATCGTAGCAAATCGAATACGGAGAAGATCAAAAACGTACTAGGTCATTGGTCTGTCGAATCTCATCCGGTGTCTTCTCTAGACGACGCTGCGCGGAGTCGATGCGGCGATCACAGTCATCGATGTACTTCTGCATGTCGCGCATGTAATCGAATTCGAAACCCCACTTCGCCTTGTCAGAAGCAGATGCAGTTTCGTATTCTGTCTTCAGGCCTTCACTATGGACCTTAGGACAAAGTCCGAGATCTTGCTTGGTGTTGGTGAAGAGGTCGTGCGGGCATGTTCCAACGATGTAGGAGCGACAAACTTTGGGATCCGTGATAGACAACTGGGAATTGCGACCCTGTGCGCCAGTTCCAGTGAGCTGGTCAGCTACAAGTGAAGCAATGTTAGTATGGCTTGGAGGTTTGTCCGGGTGGGCTGGAGCTTGAGGAATTTTGAGGGGTATAAAGTCAGCTACATACCTCCCATCAGCTGCTCAAGCAGCTTTCTTTGTTCTGCTGCCATGCTGATAGCTCTTGCACCAGACTGTAAAGTGAAAAAGAGGGCAAAATTGTGTCAACGAACTGATTGGAGACGAGCGACGAAGTCTTTCCCTTCCGATGCTTTTGGCGCCAAGCAAGGCGGTGAGACTCCGCAGTCAACAGACCAGATGGACAACTCGGAGATATCGACGTTCGTTTTTGTCTTCCATTCGATGTGAAAGGAGTCTATTGAATTGATGATTTCTAGGATCTAAATATTGTGGTTGGATGATATACAGTGAACATCTCGCCACTGTCATCCTCCTGTCCTGTCAATTGAGCTTCATCATCGCAAGGACGCAGGCCGAGCTCCGGCAAGCATGAAGTCATGACGGTCCTTTCACTACTCTCGCTTCCTTTCGTTGCGCTTTTCCTTTCATTCTGGAGCTCCTCAGTCCTCGCATCATCAGACTATCATGAAAACCTACTCCTACACCCTCTACCGCAGTCCTCCCTGTTAGCTTCGTTCAACTTCCGAAGCAATACATCACAAAAATCATTCGATCAACAGCACTTTAGATATTTACCCCGCGCACTTGGTCAGATCCTACAGCATGCCCACACCAAAGAGCTGCACCTTCGCTTTACAACGGGAAGATGGGATGCTGAAAGCTGGGGCCCACGACCATGGAATGGCAGCAAAGAAGGAGGCACAGGCGTGGAGCTTTGGGCTTGGATCGATGCGCCAGGGGACGAAGAGTATGCTTCCCTCAGAACAAACCAATTGACAGGATATGGAAAGCTGACATATGCAGGGCATTCGCCAAATGGATTACACTGACGCAATCCCTCTCCGGTTTATTTTGTGCCTCCTTGAACTTTGTGGACTCAACACGGACGACCAGGCCTGTGGTCTCCTTTGAACCCTCCGGAGACCACTCTTCAGCCGACCAATTGCACCTTTTGCACGGAACTCTTCCTGGAGAGGTAGTTTGCACAGAAAACCTGACTCCGTTCCTGAAGTTACTGCCGTGCAAAGGCAAGGCTGGAATTTCTAGTCTTTTTGATGGACATAAATTGTTCGATGCTGCATGGCAGAGTATGTCAGTGGATATCCAGCCAGTCTGCTCCCCAAAGGGAGAGTGTGTGGTTCAGATCGAGCAAACCGTGGATATGGTTCTGGATATTGACCGGTCTAAGCGCTCTCGCTGTGCGTATTATTTGCCTGCATATTATGTTCTGGAATTGATTGCTGACCTCCCTTTAGCCAACCCGATCCCCCGACCTGTGCCAAATGACCAGCTAATTTGTGATACGTCTAAGCCTTACCACTCGAGTGATACTTGCTATCCTCTGGAAAAGATGAATGACAAGGCCTGGAGTCTGGCAGAAATATTCGGCCGAAGCCTAAACGGTATTTGCCCTTTGGCAGAGGTAAACGATTTGAGCGAGCAAAGTGTTTGTCTTCGTATTCCCCACGAACGAGGTGTCTTCATCTCCGATGACGCCGTGGAGATCAAGAAAGAGGACGGATTCACACGTTGTTTCAAGGTACCGCCAACCACTTCATTTGATCTCGCAATTCCCCAACAGCCAGTGAACGTTGAAGTCCCGTTGGAGGAGCCCGTCCTCCACGCGGAGCGAACGATCGTTGGACATGGCCAGGAGCGCGGTGGAATGCGCATCATTTTCGGCAACCCCTCCAACACTAGTGCAGTTGACTTTATCTACTTTGAAAGTCTTCCGTGGTTCCTGCGACCATATATACATACTTTGCATGCGACAATCACAGGCCATGATGGAGTTCCGCGCGAAGTTCCAGCATCCCAAATTGTTAAGGAGACCTACTATCGCCCTGCCATTGACCGTGAGCGCGGTACACAATTGGAGCTGTCGATGTCTGTTCCTGTTGCTTCCACCGTTACGCTGACCTACGACTTTGAAAAGGCCATTCTTCGGTACACCGAGTACCCTCCAGATGCCAATCGTGGGTTTAATGTTGCGCCTGCGGTCATCCGGATTCTGGACAATGTTCACAATGCACCAATTTACATTCGCTCTACCAGTCTCCTGCTTCAACTCCCGACCCCGGATTTCAGCATGCCATATAATGTCATTATTCTCACCAGTACTGTCATTGCACTTGCCTTTGGTACTATTTTCAATATTCTAGTTCGGCGAGTGGTCTCTTTGGATGAGGCTACTGCTCTAGGGGCTCAAACACTCAAGGGCCGAATACTGGGCAAATTGGTTGCCATTCGGGATAAGTTCCGTGGCAAGGACACCAAGGTTGAATAAATTCATAACAGAAAATAATAATACCAATTACAAGATTTTCATAGTTACTTGAATGTGTCGAGGTTTGAGAGAGTAACTGTGTTGAAGGTTATAAAGCTCAAATATCCGGGGACTTCCAGCTACAACCAGTACCCGGCTGGTCTACATTCATCAATAAGGGACAGAAAGAATGTATGGAAAATGCGGTCACCGCACTCGAGGACATAGCATATCTTGTAGTCTGCCGAAGAGAAAATAGCCCCGGTTGGTTCTATTCCTCGGCCAGTTGCAATTAATCACAATCTGAGTCAAACTGGACGATATAGCGATTGTCTCGAGATGAACCGTCTACATGATCTTTGAACACATATGCAAGACCATTAATGTTTATCACGGTGCTCTGGTCTTTTCATTTATCAAAATGGAGATTGACCAAATCCTCGAACGATTCACCAACGCGCTAAACGGGTCACTACACGGTGCAGGATTCAATGTTCTTGACCATTCAGGTATTGTTAACCATGCATTTTTATATATCCATACACTTCCTTCCATTCCACTACATGCTAGAGACTGATCTGATATAATCGCATAGGGAAGGAAATCTACAGCAACTCCGTTGGCAAAGCCAATTTTGACCATGACAACATAAACACGGTTACCCCCGACTCTCTGTGTTGTATTGCGTCAGTGACGAAGTTTGTCATGGCTGTGGCTGTGATGCAGTTGGTTGAACGAGGTATAATCTCTATGGATGATGATGTTCGCGCAATCATTCCAGAGCTGAGAGATATGACAGTTTTCGAGAACACAGACCTGGTACTAGTTGACTCTACTACCTATATTGCACTTGGAGCCTCGGATCTAATGATCACAGGTGGGAGCGTCTCATCATCGCCGGCCTATACTAAGCTTTTACCTATTTTGAAATTCCACGAGAAAGGCATGGATGTGATTCTAACCTCGAAAAATAGTCCACTGATGATCCGTAGCTCTGGTTTTGTTTATAATAGTTCGTCGACACTGTTGCAAGAATGATCCAAGTCCCAAGGTCGAGTAGAACAAACATTCCGTGGAAGCCTGGCGATTTTCAAGTTAGGTCATTTCACAAGCTCAAAGATATATCATTCCTGGACCGAATTATGGAGACTCATAGGCAAAACTGGGAGTGATACAACCATCCCCTGATACCTCGACCAAACACTTCATGGGCCTATGGTGGCGGAATAGATTGGGCTGGTCGATTGTTAAGTGATTCTATGTATATCCATTTTTCTCTTCAGGTCTAAGATATCGGAGTATGAAATGGTCGAAATTGTGACGAGAGACAGCCTTGAAGAATTCATGAAGAACAATAATGGTCTAGGCTCGGCGCAACATCGACAACATTTCGCCCAGAACAACAAAATCTGCCCGCGCCCTTAGAAATGGGAACCCGACTAAGCATCGACCAAGGTACAAACTCGGTGAGTCCAGGAGAGATCATTCCCAAACAGCCATTGGAAAAGGGTGGCATCGGCCTGTTCAGTACACTAACAGACTATATCAAGTTGCTAGCTGCCCTTCTGATTTGGCGGGTACCCTCTGTTGTCTGAGTCAAGTGTTGATATACTATTCAAACCTCAGCTAAGTGAGGCTTCTCGTGCAGCGATGCCAAGAGGACTTGGAACTTAGGTGAGGTGAGTTCTTGGGATCAAGTCCTCTGGAGATATCACACAGGCAGACCACTGCCTTGCTGGAACTGTGGCACCAAATGGTATCCCAGGTAGAAGAGAAGCAGGTACTGTCAACTGGAGTGGGTTGCCAAATTTGCACTGGGTAAGATTTTGCACTGGGTAAGATTTTTTCTTCCTTGTTTATGTTGGATGAATTTGGCAAATTTCGTATAATCTCGTCGTTCGGTCCATACTAACCTATGACAAGTGGATCGATCGAAAATCGGGCATCACGGCGGTTCTGTTCACACAGCTTATACCAGCTGGAGATGCTGCTGTGACTAGTATATTATTTAACTAGAATAGGCAGTCTCTAAGCTTGTCACCAGAGACAACAGCTTCAAGCTTAGGATGCGATTGAGCATAGCTCTTTTGTATCTACTTCAACTACGAGAGCTTAGTGTATGCAGCGATTGATAATAATTTGGGCATTTGACACACAAACACTTGCACAACTGATCGCTTTATATTCATAAAATTTACAGAAATCCTGAAGATCCAAAACCAGGGGAGAGAGAAATCCTCTCCAAGCCGGTCTTTATCGCACAAAACACTCCCTTTACTCTGTCCTAGTGTGAAGCTCTGTGGTAATTGGTAACCAGTCAGATATCATCATGCACATTAAAAACTCAATATCGCAACTCACCCGCCGTTAACAAGATTCTTGATGGCGTGCCAGCCAGGCAACGTATCAGAGCCACCAGCCTTTTCTCCCATGAAGCTATGGTCCTCAGTGGCACATGTCGGCTCTCCTTGGCTATTCATGGGGCTGGCGTTGCCCTCGGCCAGGTCCACTCGCTGGAGGTACTTATTCTCGGCACGCGACTTTTGATCCTGCAAACCAAGAAAGTCGCCCATTGTTGATTTGGGATTGGGAGCCTGCAAATGCAAAACAGTTAGTATACGTTATCGACCTCCTCACAGCCGGCACTGTAACACGAACATCTGCATGGCCAGTGCCCTGCTCTGTGCCTCCCATCCAGACCTTGTCCCCCCATCCCGCTCCGCCTCCGACGTTATTGGCTGGAGTGGGTGTGGCACTGGCGCCTCCGGCAACCGAAGTTGTTTGGTGGTTGGAGCTGCTTTCTTCACCCATTTTGTTATGGACCTCGGTCTAACTGTGTTTCTTAGGTTGATGATCAGCCCCATGTCTGGTTTGTATATTGAGATCCATTTTGTATGGGCATGGCACATGATCGAACGGAATATACAAATACGGGCAAAGATATATACTTACAATGATGTGTGTAGATGAGTTGATGTTAAAATATCATGCAATATAAAAAAACCGTACTAGTTATAAGAAAGAAGATGAACTCATATCTATCAATTTATTGCTATTGTGGTTGTTTCCAGGATTTTGGCCTAATCCTTGCCACAACCCCGGATGAAGTCATGATGAGTGTACAATGTTTCGGCGATTGGCCGACAATTGGCACAACCAATCACTTCCGATCTCAAGAGCCTGTTTTATGTTATTTGCTTTTTTCTGCTTTGAAACATGTCATTCTGGCTAGTCAACTAACTAGTTATATGCGTTCTACATTAGTTATCAAATGTTCTGATTGTGGGCCTGTGTGACAAACCCTGAAATTACTTGGCTGTGATATTCAAGTTGGAGACCATGGTGGTAGTGATGGAAAGGCACAATACGTCTAACCCATAATACATATTTTACTTCTTGCGAGGATTTTCCCGATCATACCGTATCACTCTGAAAATTGGCCAAACCTGCAGCAACACAGCTCCAACCATCATACATCCCGCAAAGATTTGCGCATGCAGGAACTCTGCTGCATCTAGATTTACCAAAGATCCTGCAATTGGAGTTCCAGCCAAAGCTCCAAAGGATGAGATTCCCCACATCATACCCAGACGAGTTCCCAGGAATGTGGAATCAGGGCAGAAGACCGGGTGTGCCACAATGGAAGTAGGCGCGGTCACCAAAACTCCGCTAAGAGCTCCCCAGTAGCATGCCCAAACGATGAACCCGGCCGAACTGGTGGCGGCAATCCAAGTGAACATAGCAATCGCCGAGGCAGCCACGGCGAATATCAGAATCCCAATTGGCTTGATGTATGCAACAAGCAGGTATGGCACGATACGACCGATAACGGACGAGCCATTCACAATTGCAACCATATAGAACCCCAGGCTAGTAGTTGTATGGACGACCGTTCGGGCATAAGAAGCGACATAAAATATCGGAACATAGTAGGCGAGCATAACACACGTGAGTGACAGCGAAAACATCATGAACGAAGGCTCCCGGAAGGCCTTCCAATCAATAAGGCTTCTTGCGCGGGCCTGTTGGCCCGGCTGCCGACACAGGATGGTACATGCAATGATGGCAAGAAACAAGCTGATAAAGCCAATGGAGCGGACCGCCCACCCAAAGCCTACCCTTGTCTGGAGCTGGCGGAACATGACGGGGAAAATGACAGCCCCAACACTAGATCCAATCGACGCACAGCCGATTGCGATCGGGCGCTTTGTGGTGAAGCTGGTGGAGATCACAACGAGGGCTGGGATGTAAGAGATGCCGCCTCCCATTCCAACACAGAATCCTTGCGCGAGTAAGACCTGATAGTAGGAGGTCGCGAGACTCGTCATCATCAAGCCGAAGACAGTCAGGAAACTGCCCGCTATGATGAGAGGACGCAAGTAACCAACATCAACTAATGGCCCTGTGGCAAGGCCAACCATGGGAATCAAGGTGGCTTGAATACTTCCTACCCATGAGATTGCTGATGGCGTTTGATCTGGCAGGAGGACTGTCTGGTAGTATTCTTGAAAAGCACCATATGTAGTCAATATTCCCCTACAAGAACGGTTAGTCCTGGTTGTAGAAATCTATGAAAAGTCGTTTCACTCACCAAGAGTTGGCAAAAATGCAGAAACCTGCAACAACGTTGAGCCAAGCATCCAAGCCACCATTGATTTGCTTTCTTGCGAGTTCATTTTCGGTTTCATGTTCGTTGGGCGCCGAAGTGTTGCCTAAAGTGGGCGTTGAGTATGGTTGCTCGACGCCATCAGGTATCGTCTTTTCTGTCTGCGCACTCATATCGATCGAAATTTGACATTTTGAAACAAACAAAACTTAGCAGACAGCAATTATAAGCCAAAGTCCCTTTACCCCGACACTCCACTGTGGGGAAGCTCTTCTCTCCACGGGCTTTTCATTAGTCACGAGCTTCTTCGGTTCGACCGGCACTGGGTAGCCGAGCTCTACCGATTCTCTACACTCTATAAGAGTGGTATTGATAGGCTAGATTGTTAATGAATTCTATGCAGCTACTCCAAAATGGGGTTGCGGGCATCTCCGACGGGATCTTAGCTCTGGTACGAACTAAGGGTCCTATCGAGATGTTTGACGCCGACGTCTTCTATATGATCATTATAACCATCATGATACATATCGACTGGCGTTCTAGTTCTATTGAGATTCAAAGTCGATGGTCGCCGATCCGAGGGTTTGAGATGAAATTAGATCAATGTTCAGTTGTATACCCGTTTTTCGGAGATTTCTTGGCTGCACTCATCTGTTTAGTGCCAATTGACGTGACGCTACACCAATCATAGGCTTGTTGGAAAAAAAAAACGTGTGAGCCATTACATTTTATGCACGGATACATGGGCAATAAAAATCAGGAATGAGTTAAATCCTAATGTTCAATTGACTTAAATCGCTTTGACGATAGTACCGCTAAAATATCTGGAGTTCATGATACCTACAGCCGATTTCGAGATATCTGGTCATTCAGGCTAGGCGCCTTATACAATGTTAAAGCCAGGAATTATTGGGTTCAAAAGACATGTTATTAACGACTGTTTCTAATTGGCGCAAAGCATTCGTATGTCCGGCACCACAAAATGAACAGAGACAATTCCTCAAAATCTCGTGAAATCATAAAAGAGAAAGAAGGACAGCAACACTACCCAACTATCACAGACGGTCACTGCCTCCGGGTTCCATAGGCCTGTTGCATAGCCCTTTCTTCCTCAGCCAAGTATTCAAGATGCCGAGATCGCAGCTCCTCAAAGGTACAGTGGGTACCTAGAACGTATGCATCCTTGTGCGAGTGAGATGGTGAGAACTCAATTGGTTCGTGTATAGGCATTTCTGGGGTCTGGGTATCATTTTTCGACCCAGTTAAGGCGGAAGTAGCAGAATTGGGATTGTCGGATTTGGGTTTCTTAGCAGCCACGGGTGAAACATCGTCGACGGACATTTCGGCAACTCGCTTTGCTGGGGTAATGCCTTCGTTGGAAGATGCCATATTCTTGTATATTGCAAGAAACGAAAGGCAGGAGAGTCAGTTCTATGAAGATGCATTAGTCTTTGCCTCGGGATGAGAAACTGGGATGGTTGGGTCGGTTGGCTACCTGATGGGAGGGTTGGCGGAATAGGACAATCAGCAATGAAAGAGCAGGTGGTGGACATGGGATGAAAGAGGAAAAGAGACGGAAAGACGCAAGCAAGAGATATCTATGCAAAAAGCTAATGTGTTAAGGCGTTTCTATAACGTGCTCCTATGAGATACCCTAACTTATAATGGCGAGAAAAGTTATAAAAAGTCATCTAAACAAGAACATAGTACAAAGGCACAATTCTGTACGGTATTTTCTGCATGGTTGTACCTAATGCTGAAGAACTTTTTGCATACAAGCCACCCAAGTCGCTAAACTATACTTCAGGGGAGGGAGGGATATCGAATTGCAACTTGCAGAGTGCAAAAATGAGAGTCTTTTCTTTCATGTCATGAGCAGTGCAAAAAGAAATTCGTAAAATGCCAAGATGGCCCAAAATAGGAAACCACTTATCTTTCATAGAAAGATCCCATCACTCGTCGTCCTCAAACTGGTCTGCCCAGCTGCCAGTGATTGGCGAGAATGTAGAATCCAACTTCTCCAATGTTGCCGGTGATTTAGATGGTGCAGGAACGGCTTCGACTTCTGCCTTGGGATCGGGCTTAGTATCGATCTTAGTCTCAGGCTTACTCTCCGCCTTCTTCGGGGCCTCAGGTAGAGCAGGGAACTCATTCTTGTCATCCACCCCCGGCTCAGCAGGACTATCCGCCCACATGCTGCTGGACAACCCCTTGGATGCTGGCCGTTCTCCCGGTGCAGCACGCGGTGAACCACGGCCACGCCCTCCTCGTCCACCCCGACCACGACCACGATGCCCACCAGCGTTATCAGCAACCTCTTCTGTACGGCTATCTTCCAAATCTCGTCGTGCATAGCCGGACACGCCGCCGTGCATACCACGTCGGAATTGGCTACCACCGCCTCGGGGGTTATAGTCTTCCTCGCGTTTCTGCGAGTCCCACTCACGCCCAGTCTGGGACTTGAGCTTCCTTTGTCTGTTTTGTTCACGTTCCTTATCCATCACGCGGCGGTGCGCGAGTTCCTCGCGGCGTTTCTTTGCCGCTTCTTGCTCGCGCTCCATGAATGATGCCTGGTCAGCCTCAGCACGCGCGTGAGCTGCAGCCTTCTTGATGGCGTTCTCTTTAGCAGCAGCAATGCGCTTAGATAGTTCTTCTTCCGTAAGTTTAGGCTGAAAGCAATCAGCATTGGTATCGTCCCTTGGGTATTGGACATATCATCTTACCTTTCTTGTGCCACCCGTGGCACTCCGGTCCCCCCGTACAGCGGGCACACGCTGCACATCGGCGCTATTCGCAGCCGCCTCCCCATTACCCTCCTCGACGGTGCCGGTCTGCTCTTTAGACTCATCGATCTTTTCAGGCTTAGGACTAGCCTCCCGCGCATGCGCAGCCGGCGGGTTGGCATTGTTTCTCTTGCGCGAGGAGCTTTCTGACCGCTTCTGATCAGATTCACGCCCACCGCGCCCTCCTTTACCCCGGCCCCGTCGACCCCGACCGCGTTCTCCGCCACGGCCCCGCTGCGGAGTCTCTCCGCGCGGAGTAAGCTTTTCAGCAGCTGGCGTCTCGGGGACATGTACGTCCCCCGATTCCGGCTCGGGCTCGGGCGCAATGGCCTCTGTCTGTGCCTGCTGTTCTTCTGCGGAGACTGGGATAATTTCGTCGTCGAATAAGTCATCCGCACCGCGAGTTTGCGCAAACTCGTCCATCTGTGGGTCTGCCATTATAATTGAATCGATTTTTATATACTGTGAGGTTGAGCAGGTCAGGGGTAACCTGTGAACACGCGGGATTGAGGCTATATACGAGATGCGAGGGGTAGCTTCGAGGGCCACGAACGGTGATCCGTGCGCGGGTTAGTAGATCGTGGGATTGTTGGTTAAAAAATGGCTGTCGAGAAACATTCCACGGATGTTTTGGGGATCAAATATAAGAAAGATAACCGGGAATGCCAAGTAACACAAATAAACAAGTGCACGGCATCCCCATAACCAAGGGACAGTCTTCAAGGCGGTCTACTTCTGCCATTAAATGCCGAATTTGTTTCTGCCGATGACGTAGAAAGTAAGTAGGTCTGAAGGAAATATATAACTATCTATTCCAAGCTAGTTCTGTAAAACAAGCCCTCAATCTCTCAATATGAATAAGTCTTCTTGTATTTGACAGACTTTGTGGCCTATTTCTATGTCTACACCTCCTTCTATCCCTGCTGATCTCTAGGGCTTCTATATCTCTTGGGAAGCTTTTTCAAAAGATCTTCCTGAAGGTCACTTACAAGCTTTATTTTAGGAAACCCGAATGCTGTATAATATTTGTTTTCACCGGCTGATATGTGACATGTTGTACTGACTGTCTAGAGACCCGGTGAAAAGAGGATGACGAAAAGTCTTGTGATATCAAATGAGTATCTCATCAAATATCTATTTACATAAGTACTAACACCCCTCAAACACACTGCCAAGCGTTCTCATCAGTATAGTTTCCAGGACCCTTGTAGACATTGCGTCGAGGCCAGCGGCAGTGCTTGCGCCTATACTCGACCTTCGACCCGGGGCCATTGGCAAACTTAGCACCACGAACAGTCTCCGGGGCCTTACCCTCCTCAACCCACTGAACCATTGCCATGAGCACGTTATCCTCCGGCTTGTCGCCATCATAAGTCCCCACGCCCTGGCCAATACCATTGGCGCCATCGCCGTTACCACAGTGACCCATACCACTGATTTGGAAGAAGCGGTAGAACTCATCCAGCTTGGAAGGAGGCAGCTTCATGGTGTTTGACACGTGGGAATAGTACCACTTCGAGTCTTCAGAGCTAATGAGCTGATCTTGCAGGCCGTGGTAGTGCAGGACCTTACCGCCGGCCTTCTGGAAGGGCGAGATGTCGCCCTCCCAGGTCTGCACGTTGCAAGGGTTTTGAGCGAGTGCAGCTGCGGCATCCTTGAGGGTGAAATTTGCGCCACTCCAAGAAGGGTCGTTGTAGACTACGTAGCGGAACCAGTCTTGGCTGTATGTGAATGGTGAACCGTTGTACATGATGGGTGCGGCGAGGATCTCCGAGCCGGGCTGCATGCGTGGGTATAGCAGATTGCCGTTGATTCCGTATAAGGGAGATAGGACTTGCTCAGCGGCGTTGACTTGTGCACTGCTGAGACAGCTTGTCTTATTTGAGGCGCTGGGGTCGCAGGTCAAGGTTGCCAGAACAGGGCGGCAGAGATCGGGGTCCTCGATGATTCCGTCTTTGGCGCCATCGATTGCGTCGCATTGGCGGATGATCTCGTCGTGAACGATCTTCCATTCAGCGGTTGACAGGAATGTATCCGCAGTTGGGGGGCCGGTGATGGGATAGAAGTGCGCGCTCCAGGCAAATAAGTTGATCAAGTTGATCGCGGGGGCACCAGCAACGACACCGTCGAAGTCATTGGGGTATTTCTGGACAGATTTCCATCCCTGGCGGCCACCGGTCGAGCAACCAAGGTAGTAGCTCTTGTTGAAACCTTCATCGTAGAATTGCTTGGTGAGCTCCTTGCCCACGACGACTCCAGTGTGCACAGATCGATAAGCATAATCTTTGACCACTTCAGGGTGACGGTAGAATGGCTTTCCCGAGGTACCATTATGTCCATTGTTAGCTCCGACCGTGGCAAAACCCAATTGCGCGGTATATGCAAGATCATAGTACTGAATACCTATCTGTGAATCAGCCACTAGACGAGTATAATTCTTCGACTCCGGTAGGGTTCCTTACAGCCAGAGATACCTCCATTACCAGTGCTCAAGAAACGGCCCTTATATTCACGAGGGAACCAAGCTTCCAGGGTGATCTCGCTGCTGTTCGAGGTCGTCACAGCCATGGCAACTCGGCATAGGTCAACCGAGACAGTCTGGCTTGAATAACCGCAGCTAGGCGGATTGTCTACCAAAGACAGATTGGTATTTCCAGGCACATATTCGGCAAAGTTTACTTTGACATTGGGGATGTTGATTTGATCACCAAATTTGGCACATTTTGATTGAAAGGCATCTTGACTGGCCAGGGCTGTTGAACCCAGGGCCAATAAGGATAACAGGTGAAAGCGAGTCATGTTAAAGGAAGAGATAATTTAATTAACAACATTTGCGAGCATAGCGAAACTAAATAGCTGTGATCAACACCGAGGTTGGCTTGTTCCTGACCTCATACCGTATCGTACCAATTTAAGCCTTGAAACGGCAAACGTGGGACCTGAAATTCCCGCAATCAATATGTGCAGATCTTCGACAAAATAGCTCATTTGTCCCGAAGTTGAGCCGAAATTTGAATTGTCTAACCTGGTCCTATTTGAATCTTGAGTACGGAGTACTATATTATAACAGTGAATAATTACAGGCTATCTCAAAAGGGATCTCAAAAAGGCTTCCAAAAAAGAATATCTCAAAGTAGGGGGGCAAGGGTACAGTACAATTTTATACATTGTAGAGGAAAGATGGAACTTACTGTGCGGAAGTATGATGTAAACATGGAGTCCATATTGGAAGCTTCGCTTGTACAAGATTGTGGCAAAACAAGTATTAAATCTGGAAAAGCCGAAATGAAAGCGGATTTTCCACCGAGTCCAAGGGCATTGGTGTTATCGAAAGGAGGGGGAAATCCGGGGATCTCCACAAATGCGGAGAATTCTGGCTTTTGAACTCGGCACTTGACACTACACCGTAAATTTTAAGAACAGAGGGATACGATGTTGGGTGGAAAAGAGAGAGGAAAAAATCACATTTTATTGAAAAAAAAAACCAAAGTCATACGTAGGCAGATCTACAGATCTACCATTCCCTCCCACGGATGATATCTGCTGCCCGCTCAGCTACCGCATATACCGTCGCGATGGGATTTGCGTGTGTTATAAGTGGAAATACACTTGCATCGACAACTCGCAGATTCTTCGTCCCGTATACCTTCAACTCTTGATCAACTACACCTCCCGCCTCGCGAGGAAGCATGCCCACAGTTCCACAGGCATGATGGCAAGATCCTGCCGTCGACTCACGAAGCAGCTGTTTGATTGCTTCTAAGTCCAGAGCCATGCTGGGCTGCAAGAATGGTTCCAGAGCTTGCGTGGTTGTCAATTGGTGCAGACTTTCCACGTGTCGAGCGAGGAACTCTATGTCTAGATCGTTGCTGAAGAATCCCATATCTATGCTCGGCATCTCGTCTGGGTTGGAAGATGTGATATGACAGGTACCGCGCGAGAACGGGAAGCTTGTGATGACACCCAGCACAACCTTGCCACCGGGTATGACGAGAATCATGAGAATCGCAGAGGCTTCATCTGGTTGCGATATGATTGATTGAATAACCTTGTCAGATAGACTTGCGGGCTCCATGTGAGCAAACAGTTGACCTTGGTCGTCTTGGCCGATACGGGTGTAAGCCACACCTTTGAAACCAAGAGACATTCCTTCGATGTCTGGGTGAGCTTTGAGAGGAACAGGCAGCATACTCATTACATGATTTTGCAAGTTCTCGCCTACTCCCGGTTGATCAATGATCACCGGGATACCGAGACGGCTGAGTCTTTCTTGGCTACCGATGCCTGATAGTTCCAAGATTTTCGGTGTATGGAAAGCTCCTGCAGCCAGAATGACTTCTCTCGTTGCCTGGATCCTTGCTGTCTTTCCTTGGTAGGAGAACTCCACTCCGGTTGCGGTTGTCCTCTCCGAACCAGAAGAAAAGAGAATCCGACGAACAGAGGCTTCTGGTATGATACTGATATTGGCACGCTTGGCTGCCACTTGACCGTATGCATTATCTGCGCTACTGCGAAGGCCCGAGGTCGAATCGATAGTCGCTGTGTAATCGCGCGTGCCAATTGTCCTCTTTTCACCAAGAACATCGACGCTATGCTCATACCCCAGGCTATTCAGAGCATCTTTCCACGCCTGAGCAAGCGGACTGCTCTTAATGTCTGCCAAAGTAGGAAAAGTGACTTGGATTGGTCCATGAGCCTGCTCTCCCAAGCTTGATGACTGAGTTGACTTCGGTCCATTCAGGGTATACGATTTCTGGAGATAAGGTCGCAAAGTCTCCCAATTCCAATCCGGATTTCCCAATTTCGCCCATGCATCGATTCCAGCCGGTGATGGCGGGGTGAATACCAAGCCATTGATCGCAGAGGAGCCACCCAAAACTTTCCCAGCGGGATGGTCCACCTCGCGGCCATTGAACCCAGTCTAAAGGAAGATTCATATGAGCGATTCTAATCAAATTTGGAAGTCCAACACAACGAACCTGTGGGGCTATCTTGAGCTTCCAATCGAGTTCAGATCCGCTCCAAGAGCGCCAAAGCAGGGGGTCTCTAATTCGGCCATCCTCAGACGCATCTGGGCCGCTTTCCAGGACAACAATATAATTGTCGGGATCTTCGGAGAGACGGCAGGCAACTACTAATCCTCCGGTTCCTCCACCGACAATAAGATACTGGGTGGTAGTTGGAATGTCTTCCAATCTCATGGTTAAAGTATCTGTACTGGATGTGAAAATTGGTTGTGATCCTGATTCAGGGAAAATGAAACAGCGGTGAAATGAGCTTCTACATTTCCAAGGTTATAGAGCAGGTATTGGGTCAGGTCCCCAACTGCTAGAGGATTAAATTGCGCGTCAGCAAGGATCAAGGCTGTGCCGGTCAACTTAGAAATTTATAGATTTTCAACCAATCATAGATGTTGCGAACGTCTACGCTGATAAAAGAAGTGTCACACAACAAAAATACTCCTAAGCTCGACTGGAAAGCTTTAGTTTACTGAATTGGTCATTTCTGTCTCATCTTGTATATACTTGACTTCAATGTTGCTACGGACTAAAAAACATGCATTGCGAGTAAACTGCCGTGTGGTAGTGATAGTTCTCTACATCTCCGCAGTTCGCCGCCTTCCTCCGAGAGGGGATCGGATTTCCCCCGATCACCTCAATCATCCTTGGACTTTGTTTTTATTTTGATGTTTACATCTCTGCACACATCATGGCAGAAGTGAGAGAACCTGCATCTGAGCAGACGCCTCTTCTGCGGGCACCCAGCGAAAATGGGGATACCTCGCTCCCAAAGGAACCCACCACGAAGGAGCTGATTTGGATCCTTGGGAGCATCTGGCTGGGTGTCTTCCTGGCTGCACTGGGTATGAAAGAATAAAACGAAATTGAATCTACATTTCAAAAAATTAACAAGCTATCTCTGGCAGACTCGACAATCGTTGCAACTCTCTCCGCGCCTATCTCTTCGTCCTTCAATTCTTTCTCGCTGCTTTCGTGGCTGGCAACCTCTTACTTAATCTCCAATGCCGCCTGCCAACCCCTTAGCGGTCGATTGACCGACATATATTCTCGCCGATGGGGACTTGTATTTTCCAATGTCTTTTTCGCAATTGGAAATCTGATTTGCGGCCTTGCCAGAGCTCAATGGGTTATCATCTTTGGTCGCGTAGTGGCAGGTGTCGGCGGAGGCGGTCTGACCGCGATTTCAACCTTCGTCACGTCCGACCTGATTCCTCTACGCAAGCGCGGCATCTGGCAAGGCATTGGAAACATCTGCTTTGGTGCCGGCATGGGACTCGGCGGTGTCTTTGGGGGGTGGATCAACGACACCCTGGGGTGGAGGTGGGCGTTTTTGCTCCAAGTTCCACTCCTGGTTGTCTCGTGTGTGCTGGTCGCGGTGAAGGTCAATATTCCGGTGAAGGTCTCGGAGACCGCGCGCATCAAGCGCGTTGATTTCCTCGGTGCTATCACCCTCGTTCTGACACTGGTTACTTTGCTGCTTGGCCTTAACACCGGCGGAAACCAGGTTTCCTGGACTCACCCGCTAGTTTTGACATCGCTGGTCATGTCTGTTGTCTTCCTCGGATTGTTTATCTACGTGGAAGCGAAGGTTGCGTTGGAGCCTATTATCCCCGTGCGGCTTCTGTTGGACCGCACGGTGGCAGCCGCTTGTCTGACCAACTGGTTCACTACCATGACTGTATTCGGTCTTTTATTCTACCTTCCCGTTTTCTTCCAGGTACAGGGCCTGTCGGCTACCGCTGCCGGTGCACGTTTGATCCCGCAGGCCATTGGTACCTCGATCGGTTCTTTGGGATCGGGCATCATCATGCGTGCCAGCGGTCGGTACAAGCTTCTCAATTATGTTGTCATGGCTGTTCAAGTCCTCTCCGCTGGACTCATTTGCACCATGGATCTCAACACGCCTGTCGGACTACCCTTCCTTTATTTCTTCCTAGGCGGTGCTTCCTATGGCAGCATGCTGACCATCACATTGGTTGCACTTATCTCCGCTGTTGATCACCAGCACCACGCGGTAGTGACCTCTGCCTCATACGCTTTCCGCAGTACCGGAAGCACGATTGGTATTACCATTGCCTCAGCAGTCTTCCAAAACACCCTGAAGCTGGGGCTTTGGGGTCGCTTTGGTGAGCGCGAGAATGCCAAGGAACTGATCGGTCGCCTGCGGGATAGCTTGGACGAAATCTGGAAGCTGCCCGCAGACTGGACACCGGGTGTTCTTGATGCTTATATGGACTCTCTGCGTGCCGTTTTCATAACTCTACTGGGACTCACAGTGCTAGGTTCTTTGGCTAGTATTGCTATGAGGGAGCACAAACTACACAATAACTTGGCTCGACGTTAAAGTGAGTTTTTGCTTCGGGCTGGATAGAAAGGCACACGCATTTTGTATATACATCGCAGCTATCGAGAGCATAAATAGACCTCGATTGATAACGGTTTGCTCATTCTCTGTACAAGATTAGTACAAATCGTCGTTATCATTGAAATGCACATGACCGATTCGAGTACAACATCATCCAGCTTTCGCCAAATATGGGACTTAAAAGTGTCTTTGCTCCTCCCGAAAGCGCAAAAAAACAGAGACAAAAGCCTGACTCATAAAAAGCATCGTATTTTGTTTAGTCGGAATTGCCCCAAAGAGGTTACAAATAGCCAAAGAAAACAACATTTGAAAGGAACCTTGAGAATGATACAAAGATGTAGAATATCGAGGCTATGCAGCTCGGCATATATCAATACCCTGCTGTCGCTCAACCTATATCATATCAACGTCATCAATCCCACCAAATCATCAAAAAAGTGTACTACTTTCAAATCACATTCAATAGCAAGTAAATATGCACCCTCAAATGACAAGGCAGGCCATCAGGGCCAACATCTCTCGGTTCTTTCGCCGACTGACCCCACCTCCTTACCAGGAGCACGAATCACCGTCTTCTCACCAGGAGCACGAATTGCCCCTTATACAGATCCATTGATCCCCCGCCGTCAGTATAGTGTAAGTGCGAATTCCCTGGTATCAGCTTCATCGTCGACCGCGAAAACTCCGACATCCGCCCGGAAGGTAGGATTGATGAAACCCCCTGTGTCGCGCATTTCATATGGCACATGTGCGCATACTTTACCGATGCTACCGAGGACCCAACATGGGCTTTAGCGTTTTTCAAGTGGATGGGAGAGCTGGAAGACAGGATGGGATTCGATGCGAGTGGGAGTGCAAAGATATTCGTTTTTATTTGAGATCCCTAAGCCCACGATTGAGGGTCTCTCAGTACTCCACCTATCGACCAGCCGGACTGGTTTTTGAAGGCGAAGGGCCTTGTGTACACTTGGGTAAATAGGGTCATTGGTGTATTGGATGAGATTTATACGGAATTTCGAGGATTTGTAAGTGGGTTTGAAAGGAATAGTGAGCAGTTCGTTGTCACTATCATTGAGCGACCTGAAGACAGGGAGGCCCTAACAATCAACAATATGTGAGGTTGTTTTCTTTTTCTCGACCTTTTTTTAAATTTGAAATCTTCAGTCAGGTCTTGTTGTCTCCCTGCATGCTTCTGATTCAACCCACATAGATATCTACGTAATCAGAGTAAACCCCGTGGACGCCTGGGGAAGGTCATCATGAACTCTTGAGGAAGAAGCGAACCATATGAGTATAATTCCAACCCCCCTCTCTCCTCTCTCTTTCTCTCTTTCTCTCTTTCTGTGACATAAAATGACTTGGTGACTAAACTAACCTCTCTTATTTACTATACACATCCGAGCCATCGATATAGCTTGTCTGTTTAATACATTACCATCTTTGAGTCACGGTGGGGCTCTTTGCATGTTTTTACTAGATTTAAGCTGTTTGCGGTCGAAAAGACCTGTCTGTGTCTCACAAACTCCGGCACGAGTTAAAGCTCAATCGAATCGTTTTCCACGACCATCTTCCAGCATCTAGCAAACAGATTTCTCTTAGATACACTAAGTTGACCAGCCATACAGCTATATCGAGCTACAGGTCAGATCAGAAGCAATATTTCACAAGCAAGGTAGGTTTCGCAGAGCCATGAATCAAGAAGACGATTTGCTAGCCACCTCTAGTACATGGTCGACGGCTGAGATCTCAGCTTTGGTTTCCTCAAGCTCCCTTCTCAACGCTTCTAGCTTGAGCTTGAGGGCATGATTGGAGGACTCCAGCTGCGCGGAAACTTCGCTTTCAGGCTCAGTTTGATCTTGAGCTTGGCTGAACTCTGACTGAACATCTGGTGGCCCTTGGTTTTGGCTTTGGCCATCAGAAGGTGTAGTCTTGGTTGTGTGGGAGGACATATCGAGATATGATGTGATGTAAGATTGAAACAAGGTATATGGGGTATATCAGGAGTGGAAGTGTTCGAATATTTAACTGAGCAATAAAAAGATGAAACGGAGTGATAAGTATGAGGTCAAGTCAACCTTGCGGTGAACCGTGTTTTGATGACCGCCTGCGCGGGCCGTGCCAAATCCGAGCCCCCACCTTTAGGCGAGGAGTGCCGGGAGAGTCGATGAACTCACCCTTGCAGCTATGTACAACATATTTATCCTCTCATGGATGGTTATATCGATCTCTAGCATGGTAAGAACCAACCCAGTCAACGGGGATGTATTGAGGAACATCTTTAAGCAACAAATATCATCCTGTTTAACGCCTATGTTGGGAGTCAATTGTGTACGAAACCCGAGACAGCAGACGAAGTTCTCAAGTCCAGATGCCACTCACTGGTTGGGTCATTAATATATGCGAATCTCGTTACTCAATTTGACCTAGCATTTCCGGTCTCTCATTGGTTGTTTTCACGCATTTATTCACATAGCTTTATGCTCTTCTACTGTTATACTTTTAGCTTATGTGTAGAATTAATCTTTTCATTGGTTGAAACACCTACATTGGTAAAACCCTATATCTTCTATTAGAAATTCACACGTCTTTTATATGTCGTACGTATGATTGAGTTCATCACCGATGTCATTATTTATAGTCTTAAGGAGTACCGGTAGGTTAACTAGTTGATTAGGACTATTGTAAACCTACTTAGATATAAGAAGCGTTTTCTTAATCATATACTTTGAATGCATTCTTGCCTGGAGCTATCTTCTCTTGAAACTCATGCCGTAGGGGCAGAACAATCTCATCATATCTCATCAAAAGTAATTTTTGATCCTTCCGTAGTCTTAAACTCGCCTCTAACCTTGAACTTTTTTGTAAGCCAAAATTGTAGGATTGACTTTTCGTCAATACGGTACGCTCCTCTTGGTAGTTTCAATAGTCCATCCATTCTATCATCATTTTCTTTGTGATCTTCAAGGAGCGGATATAGAATTTTATCAATTTTATCATGTATGCGTTATATACACAATAGCCGCCTTAAGTTACACTATGTTTCACTAAATATAGCTCTTGTCTTTTTTAAATATGTTTTATCTGGGACATATATATAAAAGTATAGAAATTGTAACGTAGATAGTTATAAGCTTTAGGCGGCTATCGTCGTACTTGTCATTTTTATGAAGTCGCGAAAGAATCTAGTGCTCCCTTCTGCTTTAAGTGTGGCATGTTGGAGTGACAATGAGAGCGGTCCAATACAGACGCCTACTTTTTAGATTGCGATCGGCACTATCAGACATCAATGTCTCTTGAGGTATATCTTGCAATGTATGAGGTTTGAGAAAACACATAAAACACATCACACATCTCACTCAAGGTGGAGCTGCACTAAGAGGAGACGATGATCTCAGGCACTGACCGCCCTCTGGGCATGAAAAAGAAAAAAAGTACATTCCCTCTGCCAATCAAACGGAGCGTCATGCACGGCCCGTCTCTAACCGCCTACAAGAGACTCTCAAATTGATGTTTTAACTTCCTGCCATTGGTGGTTCTTCCCTTGAAGGATCTCGGCATCGTCTGTGGAGGGCCGCAGCTCGGCAGCTCAAACGGAGTGGCGACGTGGCGACGGGTCCACGACGGTAGAACTTCACCGCTTGGAACGATCGGTCCCAAAGACAATTTTGGGGTTGCATGATTTTCTTCCGATCAGACCACAGTTGGTTGAATATCCCTCGACTCTTCAGGTACAGTGCGCCAAATTCATCTCGTTTTATCGTCTTGAGCGGAATCAAGCTCGACTCGAACTTTTATCTCTCTCACCTGTATCTACATTTTCTGCGACTGCTCTCTTGCCTGTTCGACTTTCTCAGCACGCTTGTTTTTTGACGCATGGCAGTCAGTTCTTGGTCTTATTCATCTGCTCCAGCTACCAAAAACACTATAATTTCAAAAACGCGGCAAAGTGAGATGGAGGTGGATGGCGATTGCAAGAATGCGGTGATTCGAAAACCTTATCGGGTGACCTCCGACCAGACGACTCAACATGCACAGTCGCAACCCCGCCGGCGCTTGCTACTGTCAACCGATAGCGCATTCGCCGATACCGTTCTTCCCTCTCTCGTTCAAAACCCTTTCATCGAATTGCGATTAATCACCGACGAACCTTCCGCTTTACTCACGGGAACGAACAAGATCCCGCACTACATGGACACGGTTGACAGTCAAACGTTTGATAAGAAAACCGGGGCACGGAAGTGGCTCAAGGCAAAGACGGCAGAGCTGTGCGAATGGGCCGACATGCTTTTAATTGCGCCTATCGACGCAGGAACTCTTGGGGCGATGCTGGCAGGCCTGACGAACACATTGACTCTAGCGCTGCTTCGTGGATGGGTCTCGAAGAAGCCTGTGATTCTTATTCCAGGAATGACAGTATCGGAATGGGATCACCCGCTGAGCACCCGACAACTCGACGAGATTGGCCGGTTTTGGCCTTGGATTCGGATTGTCAAGCCCGTGCTTTGGAAGTCAAATGGCCCCGAGGAGCTGACAATTCTGCCATGGGATGGCCTGAAAGAGCTACACGAGGCTCTGGAAAATACGTTACTATTGCCGCCATGGGAAGCTTCTTTGTTGACTGGGGCAGGTCCCCAAGGCTCCGCAGCCTCAACTAAACCCATATCCAAATCCAGATACCCAACTCCAGCGTCTGGCAGTGCTGCCCGTTCTTCAACGCAAATGAAACCCGCAGACAGTGCCGATTTTTTACCCCTTGAGATTTGGCTCGAGATCTTCGAACACCAACTCGGAGACTGGGAAACAGCGAAAGCAGTGGGAATCCCCGTGAATCTCCCCGTCCCTCAAGAATGGCAGAGCCATCTACCGAAAATGTCTACGCCAGCTACACTCGAATATACCATCCTTCGAGGATCCTTTGCTGCCATCAAAAAGCTCATTGACGCCCTACCTCGTTGGAAACCCCTTTCTGACCTTTCCTGCCATCTCATCGTCAAATTCTCACGAACCGATATCTTGTCATATCTCACCGAAAACCACCTGGACCTTCTTTGGACAACCTCCAGACTCACAAATATTCCCTACCGCGCATCTGCAATCTACGGCAACCCTAACGTTCTGACTTGGTGGCGCGATGCTCCTGCCCTGCCCAACAAAGAGTACAAGACAGACGCTATGGACGGTGCATCCCGAGCGGGATTCATCGACGTGCTAGACTGGTGGCTACATTCTGGTCTTCCCCTACGATACAGCGAGCGAGCACTCGAAGCAGCCAGTGCAGAAGGCCGAGTCGCTGTGCTCGACTGGTGGAAACAAGCCTCTGCCAATGCCCCATTGAACAACCCCTTGCCCCTTAAGGTAGGCAAGTCTGTTCTTTTGGCCGCCCAATCGGGCCGCACCGCTTCCCTTGCTTGGTGGGATGCTTCAGGGATCCCGTATAGTCATGCCGAGAACGTGGCCCGCATCGCGAGCACGCATGGCCACGTACATGTGCTTGAATTCTGGTACAAACTCAAAGGCCCCAAAATGATCTTTGATAACCAGGTTCTGGTTGGCCCAACAAAGAACGGCCACGACCAGGTCTTGCAGTGGTGGAAAACCTGCGGCATGCGGGTTGAGTTCAAGACCTGTGATATCGAGGAAGCGCTTGAAGACGCTGATCCGTCTTCTGGCGCTGAAGGTCGTGTTCGGCGATGGTGGGAACGGAATGGGCTGAACCTTGGAGTTGGCACGAGCGAGTGGATGAGACCCAAAATTCTATAAATACTTGCACGGCTACATCCGGGGTTTGGTTTGATTTCTGACATGAAACCTGCATTTATATCTCTCGACTCTTGCGATTGTTTTTTTGTTGTTCTTTTCTATATCACGACTCCAGACGATGACGACCATGATACCCATTTGAATATTCGCGCTGTCACTTACATTGCGCGTCAAGGCTTCTTACTTGTTTTGGAAGCCTTCAGGAGAACATATCTCTTCGGGTGTATTCAAATTGAATCTGTACTCTTTACATATCTTTCTGGAGTGAATGTTATACCATGTCCACATCTCGAATGCTCCAATCTTAGATTAAGAAAATGCTCACGACTGGAAATGTCTCACTGAGCCCCAAGCAAATATTTTTCCTTGGGCTCACCGGTCAGAATCCTTCTTCTCTCTTTCAGTGCAACCCAAAGAAATCGTCCTTGGATAAATGCAAAAGCAGCATTTTTCACATATCCCCACCCAATAAAATTATACCAGTACCAAATTCCAGACCATGGGGTCGAGATGAACCAGCGAAGCGGCGGTCTCGGAGCTAGATGATACCAGGAAAGGCCGATCCTGATATGAAATGTAGTTTGAGTAGCGATTCCCACGAGGCTCCAAATAGACATGGAATGTGGCTTCACTGGCTCATCCCTTATAGGCATTACACCATGGAAAATGGCATAAACGACTGCCGGGTTCATGAAGAGCGTAAGATGCAGTACTTCGTTCCAGGTTCCACCCATAGATCGAGTAGGCTTACCCTTGAACAAAGGAAGTGTTGCCTTCACCGCACCGAATAGACTGAGAGATATCAATAGCAGCTTTTGCTTGAGCGGACTAGAGGTATAGTATATGCCCCCTATGTATCTGGTTTTGATAGTCAGCTTCGGTTTCATGTTGAACAGGGTGTCCGGAAGTCTAATTTGCTTATAGGACGAAAGACATTGCCATCCATACTGCCGTCACTTGGAAGAGGTCTAGCCAGCCTTCAGACGTCTGGATCAGGCTAGTCACTAGCGCTTTCTGCGAAACAGCTGATGCAGCTTTCTTATTTCGTAGAAAAAAGAAATAGGCCATATGCAATTGCTCCGTGGCGCTGAAGACGCTGAAGAGTAGATAGATGAAGGAAATATTCGCTGGACTTTTTGTTTGATAGAGTCGGCGGATTTGGAGAATGAGAGATATGGCAGCCAACAGGATACTGAGGAATTAGTTCGAGTCAGAGTTCGGAAAAGATATATTCATACCCAGATAGCCAGACTAAAACCATGATGCCAAGAGAATGTATAGACTGTTCTTCGTATTTGGGTTCAAAGGGCCAAGGAGAAGAACGAAAACAAAAATGGACACGGGCCGGCCCTTAGTGCGGAGTCAAGGTCCACCCCTCCAACCTCCATGAGATCCATAGAAGCTGCCACCGGCGATAAATCGCAGAATCAGCTCAAACACTTTCAAAAATTCTCTAAAATCCATTATAAGACTACTACCTGGGTACTACCTATATAGATCCATACCTACATTGTAGGTATTACCCGTAGGACGTGGTAAAGCATCGATTATACCATCATCTTTAGACTCAGGATTTGAATTCCGCAATGGCCCGGGGAAACATTTGTTAGACCCGAAAGCCTACTAATATTTTCTAACTCACGGTGGCACCTAGGTAGTCGTCACAGCTACCTATCCTCAGAGGCTGCTTAAATGCTCGAGCCCCAATACAGTCTAGTGGGCCTTGATATTAGGGTTCGAGCAGAATGAAAGAGTGTAGGCGATGACACTAATCTCCGGAACTACTGTAATACGCGGTACTGTCTATGGTTAGAGAAGGATAGGCTTAAACGTTCTTTTAGTCGCGGGCTGTAGGTATTGATCTAGTGTCCAATTTCCAATTGAGAAGCAAGTAGCGCCCGACAGCCAGTCCGCACCGACCGTTTATTTAGAAGATGCTGTGTTATGTGGCGAAAATTCCTTTGTGTAAAGATTGAATTGTTGATTGAATTGTTGATTGAATTGATAAATAGAACTCCATAAAGATAGGCCGACAAGGAAGCAAAAGCCAAAGTTGTCTGTTAGGTAGCTATTGATACATAGCGACAGACGCCAGGGTCCGAATCCCGATATTTTCTCTCTTCTTCACGCATCCCGAATGTTTTTTTCACAACAGCTGTTGCTTCAGTCTTTCATCGTTTCTAGAATGTAAAAGGAGGATGTATTTCATCAGCAAGACACAGATTCTGTCGTGCTCGCCCTTCTACGTGGAGAAAGAGACTTGCGCGCTCGTCGACCTATAGACTTCAGCCATTCGCGTCCTGTGCGCTGGACCTCTGTGTTTTCATAAACGCGATGATTCTGGAAGGCCTGGGCGTCTTTCAGGAGCTCTCTGATAGCATCAATGATAGCGGTAGTCTCATCCTCGGGCTTCTCAGCCTCTATCAAAGCTGCTATCACGTAGTACATTGGCCGGCGGAAGCGCGGGCCCTGTTGCTCCAGGCAGGGAAAGTTGAAAGAATCTTCGAGTGCCATGGATATGGTTGACCAGCGTTCCATGACTTCAGACCTCGAAGTGGAGGTCTTTTGCTGATATTCATTCAACCAAAAATGCCAATCCCACATGATACAGATCTCCTGCCTTGGGACTGGAAGTACAAACATCTCAACAATCAAGTCTGCGAGGAGTGCCGCCTCCCACCGGAAACGAATAACCGACTGAATCATACCCGCGCACTCAGGTTGCTGGTCCAGCTGATAGAAACAGAAAAGAGTACAACTCAAGGCCACCTGATCTCCTTTAGTCCAGTCCCCTGGACAGGTGCTATGAAATATCCTGGCCATTTCTTTAGTTCTCCCACGAGCGATATGAGCGGTCATAGTCTCAATGATGTTCTGATCCTCTCCACTTTGACCCCCACCTGTTTGGTTTGGGTCCCTTATAGCGAATATGGGGTTTTGAGGGTCTGTGTTCCTAAGTGCACGCATATCCTCTGGTCCTGTATAAGGGTGGGATTTCAGTGCTTTCCACCGGTCTTCAAAGTAAGATAGAGGTATTCCAGTCCTTCCTGTCCACGAGAAATCCCACGCATCATCCTGAGCACTGAACGTGAAGTGCTGGTATTCGCTCAATCGTGTAACCTTGTTTTGGCATGTATCCAACACTGACTGGCAGAATGAATTATAGGTAAGCGTTTGCTGACCAGTCGGCTGATCTGGCTGGAGGGACTCTTGGTGACTCGATTGGCTAGACTGGCGAGTATCTAGCATGGGACTTGTAACGCTAGATAGCGTTTGGAATATAGTACTCGCGAATATCGAACCACAGGCGCGGCCGATACTTTGTGATGGACCCCAGGCATCAGATTGGCCTTCATATGGATCATCCTTGACACCGGCAGCCGCCATAGTAGTAGTATTTAGCTCGGGGGTAGTGGCCCACCCTCCAGAGTAGCAAGCGGTGGTAACCAGGGTAATACGGGCACCTGGCTCAAGGAAGGCTTTCAAACGAACGATACTCAGACCCTTTGACTTATTACCATCATCTAGGCAGAGGTGGTGATTCGGGAGTCCGTGGCAGAAGACCAGAAGGAGGAGTGGCGCCTGGGTCCTTTTAGCCAACTCCGATGCCCGCTTCGCCTCGTCAAGGAATTCTCTGATCATTTCACTTGAATGAACCACAGTAACAGGGGTCAGTTGGTTCCGGTCAAGCATTTCACGATCCAGGCAGGTTTTGCGCTCCTCGTATGGGTTACCATGTAAGTAGGGTCCATATTTCTGCACCAGCTTCTCTGGGTCGGCTGCTGTGAGCCACTTCTGTTCCTGACCCTGGCCTTTCAGGAGATAGTTAAATGCGTAGAAATCTGAGATGAACCATCCGTCTTTGGTTTGGTTTGCGCTGGTGATGGATGGGTGGGTAGCGGCGAGGATGATGGTGTTTTCATAGATACAGGGCATTGTCGAGGACGTGAATGTTGAAGGCAGCTTGTCTGGGAATCGTCTATGACCTCCCTTGACAAGAGGCTCTTTCTGCACTGACGAGGCCATAATGTAGGTAGACTGGGGACTGTGATATCTGTCAAGTTGAAATCAATGAGTCATGTGGTTTTAATCCCAACCTTAGAAGGTTGGCGCTAAGGTTACCATGGTATGGGCCACTTACTAATGGAAAAGTGACTTAATGAAATGCCGAACTCCAAGGGAGACGGACTGTAGACGATATAGAGGAACGCGAGTATAGGCTGTCGATTCCGAACTCCAGAGGAGACGGAATGTAGACGAGGCAGAGGAGTACGCGAGTACAAGTTGTCGATTTCGAACGCAAGAGTGGACGGACTATAGACGTAGACAGATAGAGAGCAGGTAGCTCGCGCGAGTAACTGAAATCCAGAGGAGAAGGACTGTTGATGCAGACAGAAAGAGAGCAGGTAGATCGTGCGCGAGTATAAATTTGTAGGTAGAAAGAGCGGGCGGATAGCAAGACTACTACGGCATCATCAAGGGAATTCAAAACAGCGTAACTATAGACTCTCTGATCACGAATCTAAGCCTGCTACCCTTCGAGACTTACTAACCAAATCCCATCCTTTTTTTATGCACTTTTCTTTCAGACTCAATCCTTCTCTCGCCTTAGGGTCATAGCTGTTGTTTTTGTTGATGTTGATGATGATGTGGTGAAGAAGGAGCTGAATACGGAGGCGATTGCTTTTGCGGCAGCTGCTTTATCCAAAGCACATGTACTGTTCGCTTGACAGTTATAGCCAAATTAGCAGCATTCATTGCCACATCTAGCGAGCCTATCGCTACTGAGTTAATCTAAGTACGGCCTTCGGGTAGAGGTTGACTTTCTGCTGCTGTCTGTAGATCACATATAATCGGGAATAAACAGTCACAATCTAACTCTGCGGGACAGCATACAACAGAACTGGCGTTGTCCAAACTGATACAGGTTGAGCCTGAAGGAGAGCAGATATCATCCGGAATATTTGTATTGCTACAGCTTGTGTATGAATTTAGGCACGAATCATAGCTTCTTAGGAGGAGATCCAGAAAGCCAAAAGCTTTCGCTAGGCCGATGCTGGCTAATAAAGATAACAGCAGTAGCATAGATAGTCGTCCATTAACTCGTGAGTTAACAATTTTTTATGCTTTCCATAGGGATATGATATATTGCAGACGCTTTTTAGCGATTAACCAAAAGTGCTTCTGGTACCTGGGTAGATATAGTGGAAAGATCCTTTTCACATAGGTAAACTACAAGGAGAGTTATCAAAAGCACAATCTCAAAATAAAACAGGGCATTTTGATAGATTTTCAGCATTTTCCTGCTCATTCTGAGCAAGTTATATGGGCTTAACGCCCGCTAGTTCCTTTGTTATTGGCGGATTTGTGGTATCATCCTTCGGGCTGGCTCTGACACCAATTCCCGCCTAGCAGCATTATGTAAATTGAGGTAGATCGGGTTAATTGATATTGTCAAAGCAAGAATACGCACAAATACACCGTACTTAAGCCTAGCTAAGTAGATGAGCGCCTTTTTGGCCTAGCGGTCACGAAACCGGCGTTTTTCCTATGCGACAGATATCAACATAGATATGGCAGCCAACAGGATACTGAGGATTTAGTTTGAGTCAGATTCGAGATTCGGGAAAGAAATATTCATACCCAGATAGTCAGACAAAAACAATGATGCTGAGAAAATGTATTGACCGTTCTTCGGATTTGGGTCCAAAGGTTCAAGGAGAAGGAGAATAAAATTGGACGCGGGCCGGCCCAGTGCTGAGTAACGCTCCACTCCTCCAACCTTCATGAGAGCCAGAGAAGCTGCCACAGGAGGTAAATCGCGAAATCAGCGCTTACACAATTGATGTTGGGAAGCTGGATCTTCCGACGCGTGCTGCGCGGTTCGTTAAACGGAGTCGCATGCCCGCCCCGAAGATCTTTCACGCAAAATGGCATACAGAGTAACACACGCAAAAGGACAAGCATCGCTCAACATACGCGAACAAATCCAAAGACACGCGGTCTAGTAACGGAAGCTATTCCCGCTTTCTTTGTGCCACCGTTGATGTTCATTGGACTCCTGGTGGGCCTTTGGACATGGAAATGCTTTTGGATCATCGTCATGCAGAACAAGCTTCTCTATCTCACTTGGCTACCACCATTTACACGGTCCGAGGTCATTTCCGACTATGAGGCCGAGTGTAGACCGGTGAAATGGGAAGAAAAGCAGATTCGCAGTCTAGATGGGACCAAGTTGGCTATTTGTGAGGGTCGCATTCCAGCCACGGTCCGCAATAAAGACACCAAGACTCTGCCAAACCACGATGTCCTCAGATATCAGAACCAAGGAGTGCCTAATTCAAAATCAAAATCGAAGAGGTCTGTTGTTATCTGCTATTTTCAAGGGAATGGTGGATCAACGCCTATGCGACTGCCTCTCCTCTCTCAGGTCCTACACGCAATCTGTGAAACATCAAAATCATCTCCGGACGGTCCTCTGGGGGTTCAGTACACTGAATATACTATTGTAGCTCTTTCATACCGGGGCTACTGGACGTCGTCTGGCCACGCGACCCAATCCGGCCTCGAGATGGACGCCCAGTCATGCTTGAAATGGGTGTCAGAAACGTATGGAAGCCCACAGACCGATCTTGAAATAGTCGTGTGGGGTCATAGCCTAGGTGCCGCGGTTGCAAGCTCAGCAGTGCCTACATACATAGCTCGACGATATCAAGAGCAGCTATCAGACGATTCAAAAGATGACCAATCCCTGGCCCCCGTTTCCAGGCTGATATTAGAGGCGCCAACCTCAAGTATCAAAGACATGCTCATCAGTCTGTATCCGCAAAAATGGCTGCCGTATCGATATCTTTGGCCTTTTTCCTGGAATACTTGGGACATCAAGGCGAGTATGAGGCAAATGGCCACGTGGAGAGACCAGAACGTAGTTTTGGAAAGAAACAGTCCACCACAAGGACAATTCTCTACACTGGAAGCGACAAAAACAAAATGTCATTACATTCCACCCATCCTTCTCCTTTCTGCCGAGAAAGACGAAGTCATCCCATCCTACGTCCCAGGTCAACTAGAACAACAAGCCAAGTCTCTGGGTTTGCCAATCAAGACCAAAAACGTTCTCGGCGCAATGCACACAGAAGCACCACTCAAACTTGATGGCAGGAAAGCATTGGTCGAATTTATACTAAACGGACCACACCCCCTTGAGAAAGCACTCAAAAAATAAATCGTTAACGCAACACAAACCACAAATTACTCCCACTTCTGAAGACGAACATGCTTGATCTCCGCCCCCATCGTAAGCTCTCTAATCTTCCCAAAATCTTTGGGGCCCTCGGACACAGCAAAGTCGAAGTGATCCTGTACTTCATTCCATCCACTGAAAATCACAAACTCCTCATCTTCGCCCTCCTTATCAATGCGCCATGCACCGCAGTAAGAAAATGGTGCCGTGGCAGCACCCAAGTAACTCTCACTAGCCTTGTAGGCAACGTCGAATTCGTTCTTCTTGCTTGCCTCAACGAAATACCTACTTATACCAAGAACTGGTGCATCAAGAGGGATTCTGGATGTGGATGGCTAGTTTATGCTGTTAGCTTGGTTACATAAGGCAATCATTCCAATATACCCTATATAGATTGAAATTTCGCAAAACTCACATCCAAATCTAAATGAAACATCCAGCTGACATCCAAGTCCTGGCCTAGCCGTTCAAGCAGCTTCTGGTTCGTCTCAGATGGGATCCACTCGTGCATGTGTTTCTCGACGGATTCCCATCCGCCTAGCAGGTAATAGAAAGATGGGTCTTCGATTTGATGCAGGAATCGGACTTGGTGTTTTGAATACTCTGTTTGTGCTTTCTGGGCTTCTAGTAAGGTTTCTTTGGTGGAGGGTGAGAGGTCCTGGGATTTCAGGTGGATGAAGGCAATTTCAGATACAGCCATTCTGTCCATATGAGTAAATTGTTTGATTGGGTTTGTAGGTTGAGAAAGGTGTTGAGTTGATGTACAAATGTTGTTTGAAACCCCCACCTGGCGGTATCCGTCCGTGCTTGGTACTAAGGGCATGTGTATCTAGGGGATTTGACCAGGTTTTGTAACAACAAAGTAGTGGGTTTCAACAACCCGACATTGACATTTTATTGAATCAAATTTTTTTGGTGCAATCAGAGCCAATAATGGCCACGCACTCGTCATTGATAGTTAGCTGCCTTAAAAGTCGTTCATATTACAACCTATGTGTGACCAGCTACACCAGTATATATATATGAAGCGATGCGATGAGCAGCAAGAATGCCCGGACTGTCCAATCAAAGTAACAATACATGCATCCAAGACACCAATGGTAAAAATGAATGTGCATCCCAGCAACATGATAACCAATGACCTTGGGTATACCGATCAAGCACAAAAATCAAGGACATGCCAAAAGTAACAAAAAGACGCAAAGACAGTACGACCAGTGAATTCCATATCCCAATATCCCAATATCATGCGTCAAACCTCTTTCCTGTATATGTGTTAATGATGTTCCAGGCGAGGAAAGGAAAACGACATACCAACTGTATCCGGTTTTCTCAATACCAGGCGTCTTAATAGCATTTCGGTCTCCAAAGGGATTGTCATCATCCTCCTCCTCCTCTGACTCACTCTCACTCTCAAATATTTGACGAGAATGTTGGGATGAAGATGCAAGAGGTAGACTGTCAGGACGAGAGGGTCGTGGCGGCTGAGGAGGATTGATGTTAAGCCCAACAAGGCCATCATTCACCGCATCCTCGTCGTGGAGTCCAGATGCATGTCTCTGCTTCCAATTACCCTCCAATATATCATCCTCACTGTCACTGTCATAGTCCACGCTCTTGTCCAGCACCTCGAAGGCCATCAATGCGGCCACCAGCTCATCGTTTGCATGAATGAGACCCCCCAGGAACTCCTCGGTTTCGATGCATTGGATGTAACGGAGAATTAGGTGACGAAGGTCCTTACAAGTATCGAATCGGTGAATGCATTCCGCATCCTCGCTCACTCGGTGCGTCTCACGATTGACCAATTTCAGGGCGTTCAGCAGGTTGGTACTCGCCACAGAAGATTTGGCAAGTGTTTGTAAGATATGTGGGCGCTCTTTCTCCATGTCGAATTTCTCGCTGCTGCTCAGTCCGAATTTCTTGTCTTTCTTGCCTTTTCTCGACTTGGATTTCTCTTTCGGGCTGGTCAACACGGTGGATGGCCCAGAACCCGCAGACACAGAAACAACGTGACCCATTGGAGGCTCATTCCGATTGGAGGTTGACCCCTCACGCAAGACTTTGGCTTTGGCTTGGGTTGCAGGTTGCTTCCGCTTTGGAACTTGCTTATAGAGCGCTGTGACTCTTGCCATGCCTGGGGTATCTTTGAATGTTGTGGCCCATTGTCCGAAAATCTGTTGGCATTTCTGTTTCACGAGGGGATCGGAGACGGAGTCGGTAGCTGCGATACGGAGTCGTTCGAGAAGCGCTTCATCGGCGAAATCGCGCAAGAAGCGTTCTCCGGCATTCTGAACCAAGAAATCGAGGATAGTGAGCGCACGCAGTTGTCGGTGGAGATTGCCGTATTTTCTATATATATAGATATTAGATTGGACCCTCACCCCGTGCACTACAAACTCACAGCTTCTTGCGCAAAGCCCGGCTCGCTTCCGTTGGACCGGTGGCCTGGATGCGAACTACTTCCACCAGATCGACGATACCGCTGGAGTCTTCGACTTCATATTGCTCACTTGTGAGGACCTCGATCTGTACGGTCACTGCCGAATAAGGTTTCTATGCAGCGCCATGTCAGAGTCGGCGTGGTAAAGCGCATGCTATTCACCGAAATGACTTACGGAAGATTCAAACATGCTGGCAAAATAAATATATCCTCTAGAGCGATAGTAGAAGAATTGGTTTGAGTAGCGGTAGTAGCGACACGGTACAAGGTATCCAAAATGCCCCTGATATCCAAAAGTCCACAGTCACCCCACGTTGCGATGTCGGTATAGATAACCCCGCACAGCGCTATTTACACAAACGTTCGGTGATGATCGGGTAGGGAATGGGTATTTTCTGTGAACTGATTTGATTTGCTATGACTCAAAAACATGATCAGCCCAAAATGCAGCGCAAAGATTTCGAAGTGCTAGCTATACCTTCACGTGTTAATGTCGGTGACGTCGGAGGCTATCTCGGTTGATTTTGATAAGGTCAGTCAATCTTGAAACATTTCAAGATGTAAGATAGAATCAAAATCTCCCCCAAGAGAAGATCTGTTGTAAATTGGACTTGACAGACTTTATAGAGAGGAAAAGAAGAGACGGAACAGTAGTGAAACTGTCTTAAGTTTGGCAGCGCGCCTCGGACTTAGTTCACCTCTTAAAGGGGTTAGAGCGGGGTTGATAGCCTAAGGTGTCTAAAATGATGTTGCAAATTGAAAGATGATTAGTTAAATTAACGAACGACATTAGGAGATCAATACGAACTAGCTGGAGTCAATCAATTCTAGCTACTGAAATTCTCCATCGATACTCGAATGAAGCATTCGACCGCTCACCGAACGGATCAGACCCCACGCTCTTATTTGTTACGCGTCCTGTCCCGCTTCCTTGTCTGCTCCACCCTCATCCTGGCCCTCAGCGTGGCTCTCAAATCCCGCTCTCGTCTCTCCCTCCTCCTCCCCCACCTCTCTACCACAAAAGTCGAAACCATGTCCTACCAACAAGAACGTTACATTGCCGAATTGGCCGTCCAGCGGGCGTGCCTTCTCACCCAGAAGGTCTTCTTCGAGAAGGCTAAGGGTACCGTCTCCAAGGACGACAAGTCCCCCGTCACCATTGGCGACTTCGGCGCCCAGGCCCTCATCATCTCCGCCATCCGCAAGAACTTCCCTAACGACGAGATTGTCGCCGAAGAAGAGGCCAGCTCCCTGCGTGAGGACAAGGACCTCAGCGCCGAGATCTGGCGCCTGGTCAAGGACATTAAGTTGGACGACGAGGAGAGCGACAACATCCTCGGTGGCCCCCTTACCAGCGAGCAGAGCATGCTCGACATCATTGACAACGGCAACAGCGCCGGTGGCCCCAAGGGCCGCATCTGGGCCCTCGACCCCATCGACGGCACCAAGGGCTTCCTGCGTGGCGGCCAGTACGCTGTCTGTCTCGGTCTGATGGTTGACGGTGACGTTAAGGTCGGTGCCATCGGTACCCCCAACCTCCCCGTTGATGATGCCGCCCCCATCGATGCCAGCACCGGCTCTCAGCAGACTGCAACTGCCGCCAACGGTGTTCTGTTCTCCGCCGTCCTCGGCGAAGGCGCCACCAGCCGTCCCCTTGCCAGCGGCACTCTCGCTGCCAGCAAGGCCATATCCATGCGCCCCGTTGCCAAGATCTCCGAGGCCGTCTTCTGTGAGGGTGTTGAGGCTGCGCACTCCGCCCAAGGTGACAACGCTGCCGTCGCCCAGCTTCTCGGTATCACCGCCCCCAGCGTGCGACTGGATTCGCAGGCCAAGTACTGCTCTATTGCCCGTGGTGCCGGTGACATCTACCTCCGTCTCCCTGTCAAGAAGGACTACCAAGAGAAGATCTGGGATCACGCTGCTGGTGACCTTCTTGTTCGTGAGGCCGGTGGCCAGGTCACCGACATCTACGGAAATCGCCTGGACTTCAGCAAGGGCCGGACTCTCGCTGCCAACAAGGGTGTTGTTGCTTCACCCAAGGCTCACCAGGACGCTGTCGTTGCTGCCGTCAAGACCGTGCTGAAGCTGTAATGGATTTATGATTTGGGATTTCTATTTGTGGCCTCTTTTACTGAGAGCTCCCGGGGAGCACAAAATATCATGCTAGATGCATCCGCCTGAAGTAGATTTTTGATACCATCGCTGTGAATGAAAAAAGTACATATATATGACGATAAGAGTACAAGCACAGAACCAAAACACGTCCCGTGTAGAAAATAAATGCGCCATCCGTCTATTTGATCTTCTTCGCCTTAAGCTTGATCGTCTCGCCATTGACGAAGATACCCTTACCCTTGTAAGGTTCGGGGCGTCTCCAGTCCCTGATCTCAGCCGCGAATTGGGTCACAACCCGCTTGTCCACGCCCTCGAGCAGGATTCTAGTAGGTTGGGGTGTACTGGCCACAACACCCTTGGGAATACCCAATTCGATGGGGTGGGAGAAGCCGACCTTCAAAGAGACAAACTTTTGGCCAGGGTAGGTGGCTTCAACGGTTGTCGCCTTCTCTTCGACTGTCGCCCTGTATCCGACACCGACCATACTGAGGACGCAGACGTGGCCTTCGGAGACACCGAGGATGTGGTTCTGGAGAAGTGCGCGGGTAGTTCCTGGACAGAGAAATAGACAGTTAGATACGAATGACTTAAGCGAACAAGTCGCAGCAATCAGGAGAATAACATACCCCACATAGCACGCTGGTGAGGCACATCGGTATCCAGGACAGAGAGAGTAGCCTTCTGTCCGCTCTCATCACGGGTGATGGTAAGGAAAGAGGGAATGCTCAGAGTCATCTCGCCTGAAATCGTCAGCTTGCATCCTGGGCGTCAGTTTCGCACCACATACCCCTGGGGCCCTTAATCTCAGCAGCGAACTTGGGGATATCCTTTCCGCGAGTCCGGGTCTGAGTAGCGGGCAGATCGACAAGCTTAAAGCTCACTTCCGGAGGGATGGTGATTGCGGCACCTCCGACTCGGGACTGCGCCGGCGATGTGGTCGAGAAGCATTGTGTGCGGGAAGGGGAGAAGGCCGGAGCGAGGAAGATAGGTAGTGAGCCGCGTTGAAATGGCTCTCGGAGAAGCTGTCTGGCACAGCGTTGGGGTAACGACATGATGATTGCGCGTCTTTGGGTTGTTTGCTTCTTTGCGGACTTTGGATTTTGTCGCAGATGAATTGTCTCCAATGGGTTTAGCGTGCACGTGACTATCGATATTCTTGCTGGACTTTTCAAATTCGATTCTTTATGACTCTTTCTGATTCATTTAGATCCAATTTTTGTTATAAAAACATTCCAAAACTCTTATGGAAAATATCGGTCGAATTTGAGCGTTTGTACTAATGGATTTTGTTCGTGTTCAAGCTCTGTTAAGTTTCGCCTCACATTCGAAAACATGTCCATCTTTCAAGGTTAGCGTAAATGTCGATTAATGTTTATGACAAAAAAAATTCCCGATCCAAGGATTTATTCGACTAAATATTGTTTTCCGGGCGTGTATATATGAAAAAAGAAAGTAGAGAACAGCGCAGTTTGAAAAGTGAAGTACAAATAGCACGAGTCCAACAATTTGAATATGAAGTGATCCTCGACCAATATCTTTTAACCCCATAACACTCTTCTTCGTGTTTTCATCGACCTCAGACAGTCGATCTATAACAGACACATATACGAAATTTCTTTGGAAGAAGAAAGAACCTATACAAAGCCTCTCTACTCGACCAAGAACCAGTCACCAAGTCAATGATTCACGATGAAGGTAGCCGACAGCCGTCAAATCCTTCCCTTAATTTTCCTGCTGCTTGCCCGTTTCTGTACAGCAAGTAAATTGCAATACAGTAAGTAAATGTGGAAGGAATTGTCGAATCATTCTGCTGACACAAGAAGGCGAACATCCAGCCCTATCGCCCAAGCCGCCGGGTATTGACGCCGTTTCTGTCCTCAAAGCTCGAGAACGACACCAAGACAGCATATTCAATGAAGCAGTCCATATCCTGGATTCTATGACCACCTCGCCGTCGTGCAACCGCGTCGCAGCAACAAGGCTGGTGGCTTCGTGTCAAACGTTCACAGACGGCAAAGATAACACACAAGCGGGTGGCCCAGAGAGTCTAGACATTCTTCGGTCCGTTTATGCAGCTCGATTGGCGTTATGCGAGATTAAAGGCACCGGTATCGCAATTCCTCCCTCATGCCTTCCCATTACTGTATCACCACCCCCGCACAAGATTCGATTCGGGTTTGTGAATCGACACAGAGGCTCTGACGGTTCATCGGATGAAATACCCAAGGATTTGCTGGAGCAATGTCTCAAGACTCTCGAATCACGTCCCCAATGGTGGACATCGTACAGCAACAGCCGACAAAATGCCCTCGTTATATGTCACGCGTCACGAATTGAGACGGAAAAGCAGGAACTTCTTGACTTGCATCGATCAATTGCTAAAAGCAGTCTCAAACTCAACGATGGTCTCCAAGAAGCTTTGCAAAATGCAGCTGCGCAGTCTGAGCAACAAACGGCATTCATGCAAGCTGTTCAAGGTCTGCAAGAGAAAATTGTCGCGGACATCGATATGACAGACTCCCTCTTGAAACGGACATTCGGCAATTTTCTTCAGGAAATTGCAGCCGGGATAGGGTATCTTCAAGATACTTTATCTGTGGCTTTGTCAAATGCGCGAATGGAAACGGGTGTTCTCGAAACGGTCAGACGCAATTATGTCATCTTGTTAAATGAGTGTCTAACAGCTCAATAGGATATACGGAACGTTTCAAGCCAGGTGAGGGTCCTCCAGAGAATATTGCAGTCGATGCATGAAGATGCAATTATAAGAAGCCAGGACGAATTACTGGCGCAAGAGACCAACGCCGTGGCCACCAGAGATCTTGCATCCTCGTTGCGCCTATCACTCCAATCGATTCTTGATTCTGATATAAACAAAATATACCATGAGATGCATAGGTTTGACGCCGCCATGGTACATCAATCCGGATTTTGCATCAAATGACAAAACTAACTTTTTTGTTTCTCTTCCAGGAATGGCTGGCCATCCGAATGAATATGATCCTTGAGCAAGAGAATCGTATGACCGAGGTAAGACTGATTCCATTTTATGCAAAGCGTCTGCTGACGTTTGAAGCGACTCCAAAGTATGGAAACATATGTGCAGCAATCCGAATTGAAAGCGAATGAGCTGCAGAAGGCCCAAGACAAACACGCAGAAGCGCTTTCTGCACAATCACAAACACAAGAAGCCATTCAATTCCACGCGCAAGTTTCACAGACATTGTTGAGCAAAGTCAGTGCTTCAGCTGCCAACTTGCAATCGGTCATTGACGATGCGGCCTTCAAATTCAAATACGGGCCAGGTTTCACCATTGGGGGATACTCCACGTGGTATATCTGCGCTATTCTCATCGTGATAATCGCAGTTCAGAATATGAAGACTGCAATTGCTTTATTCTTTCTATTCTTAGGTTAGTGGAGTCCCTATCTATGGCTCGAGACTTAATTCTAACATTTTGCAATCCAGGACATTCCGTTGCTTTAATTGCCTGGAAATTCTTCACTTATACCACCACCATGATCCCGAAGCCTTTTGATACCCTTCATTGATACGCCAATTTGGAATTTTTTAGTTATTTCAGGTTGCCTTCATGATCTTTTGATACTATCTATGATTTTCATCTCTTACACTTTACATTCTCACAGATTGCATGTGCTTATAAACTTGCTGACCAGGCTATAATCATGCTATCTCTTTCTCAAGATGATAGGTTTCTTTCTTGCCATTTTTTATACCCCCAACGTATTACCTTGTTAGACACCATGTAGTACTTGTGCAGTGAAGTTTCATATTGTCTTATTTGATCATGTACTGTCAGTACTATAATTTGATATCCCTAAACAATACACCTGATGTGAATAATCTAGCACTTCACGCGTTTTTTATACGTAAGCCTCGAACAGGGGCTGAGTATATCAAGCGCCTAAGTGTATGAGATGACGAAAGATTTAGCACTGGCATTCCGCAAACATCACCAATTGTAGCCCTAACCAGCTCCCGGTTATTCGAAGTTGACTCCAAGCTAGCGTCATTTTATTCGTCAACAATTATTATAGTATTAACTTTGAGCTTACCAACCGAAATCCCCTAGTATCTATTCGATTCGATTAATTACGGTTGACATAGTATAGTGTTTCCGTCGCTGGCTATGTATTGTTCTAAGCCTCCTCTAGATATATAGATATTTTTTCTTGAAGATCATAAATTAAGTACTTCTACCTTCCTCTCCTTTTCCTCAGATAATATTATGGTCCTTAACGGTCCAGAACATCTATGAAATGAAAGGGTAAGCGACTTAGCACAGCCACAATAGCTGTCAGAGCCAAGATAAGATGCGGGACGGGACCCAATTATATGGAGACCAGCCAATCGAACCCCTTTCTCGCAATGAAGATAATATTGTACGAAGTGAAGTAAAGTCGTTTACAAGTCGAAAGCAAATGTCGTATAGTTTTGAAGGGGCGTCACGTGCTGTTAAATAGTATCGATCGACTTCGCGCTGTTGTTCGTGCCATTTCCTCCTTCTCTGCAACAACCCGTATCGCGTTCATCAACATCGCTCCGGAATCGCAGTCTACATCCTTTCTTCTGATTTTCCCCCACCCCCGTTGTTTAAAATGCCTGGTGTTCGTAAGTGGATCATCACCCCCTATACTCGTGGCTCTACATCTGGCGCCTAAATAACGGCAAGAACATCGTTCTGATGATACCTTCCAGCTCCCGACGCGCTTGAGCAGGTCAAGAAAGGCTTCAAGCGTCTGTTCAGTCGCAAGAAGAAGGCCAAGAAAAATGAGGAGTCTTTTGAGGCCCAGCGTCCTGGTGTGACCAGCGCTCCCGTGGGCAACGAGGCCGCTGCTGCTAAGCCTGACCCCTCTGCCACCACAGACTCTAAGACCGGTATGATAATCCTATTGATTGGGGTTATATTGACTTCGATTTTTCCTCATTTTGTTCTCCTCAACTAAACTCATTGACCCCTTCAGACACTGCCAAGTCTGATGCTACTCCTGCTCCGCCCACTGCCCCTGCTGCTCAGCCTGAAGCCGCTGCTGTGCAACCCGAGGCGCCTGCTGCTAAAGTTGAGGAGCCTGCTGCTAAGCCTGAGGCCCCCGCTGCCCAGACTGAAGCCCCCGCTGCCCAGCCCGAAGCTCCTGTTGTCCAGCCCGAAGCTCCTGTTGTCCAGCCCGAGGCGCCTGCTGCTACGGCCGCAGAGCCTGCCGCCAAGCCTGGTAAGTGAGTCCTCCCTGCAAGGCAAAGAACACACTAACGGCCATTGTAGATGTTCCCGCCAAGTAAAGGTGTAATTCCTGTATTGACTGGATTCGCCCGAACAGAACATTTTTTTGGGCGTCTGTTCCAACCTGCAAGTGTTTGATTTTGCAGCTTCTTGTTTTTTCTCATACCCACGGCGTTGTTTTCCTGCCTTAATTATTGTCGCAAAGCGATGCATTGTATGCTTTCCCCATGTTTTTCGGTTGTGAACAGACCACTCAATATCATGCAACTTCTACTCATCCAGATTTCTCGTAAAATGTTGCGCTCCACGAAGAATGTGCCGCATGTGGCTTTTCGATCTGCAATGAATCTTCCTATAGATGGCACAAGATACCGCTAAATCGAGAGTCTCAAGGGTATCAAATTCCAAATATATTCTAGTTCTCTCCGCCCGATGAGGCATCATCTCCGTCGGCCATAGCGATATCTTCCACACTGACACCAGCCGCCGCGGCCTTCTGCTCTCTGGCCTTTTGTCTGCGCTTGAGCTTCCTCTCGCGGTTTTTGCGGGTTCGCTTCTCCGCCTCATTCTCTTTAGCAACTTGGGCAGCGACAACACGCTTGCGCAGCTGCACCCGCCTCTTCTTCCCGGGCTTCTTCCGGGTGAGTGGACTCTTTGACACGGGTGCACCCTCCACCACGTAAATCGGGAGGCTGCCCGCAGGCCGTGGCATTTTGGTTTGATGGCGCTTAAGGTGGATGACACGCCATGGCAAATGGCAGCCGGGCTATACATATGTCAGTGGTCGTCAAAAAGCCAAATGTACACACGCATATAGAGTGCTCTTACCCAAGCTTGCGACTGAGCCCACCCAAGCATATGATCCCCACTCACAGCCATGTTCTCGAACTGTTTCTTCTTCTCCGCTATCCGGTCTTCGTCCTCGGATGCGATTTCGCCGTCGTGTGTGCCTGACAGCGCAGGCGTAGAGAAATAGTAATCCCAGTCGCGGGAAGCCTTCACAAGTCCACCCTCACCAGACCCGGGCGTAGGCGAATCAAGTCGAATGCGGAGTTTTTGCGTTGTGCTGGCAGGCCTAGCCTCTGTATTCGTGGCGTTCTCATCTTGCTCGCCATCCACTTGTTTGGTCGTCTCTTCTTTAGATTTGGTGGGGGCACTGAACAAACGAAACTCGAATTCTTGTTCATCATCCTCCTCTACAGGCTGAGAGGGGTCATTGTCTTGTTCTGCGGTGTCTGGTGCATCATTCAAATGATCGAGATTGAGCAATTTCCCCAATCTGGCATATGCATCTCGGGCTTCGGAGTCGTCGGCTGATGGTGATGGCGAGCGGGATGACGCCGGAGAACGCATCTCATCTCGACGGACGCTGTAAGAGAGAAGTTAGTCAATGTATCAATTGATAATTATTCAAGCGAAGATTGACGACGAACCGCTTAGCTTCTGGTAGATCAAACATTTTGAGTGGTGTGTGGGAGAAAGACCAAAATGGTGTCGCAAAGTCAAGAAAATGATGCTTCCACGCCAAGACATGTGCGGCCACGGCCTCTTATCGATGACATGGCACGGACCTCAACCTCAGACTTCGAGAACCCAGTTCTTTTCGATATTCGACTCTCTCACTATCACTGCGCCATTTGTTTCATTTCATATTCTCCAATTTGTTTTTGTATATCACACACTCATTACGATCTTGAATAATCCCTCACATCTCCGCTTCAACCCAGTTCTCCACACCTCCGACTATTGGAGGTGATTAATGCCTCGTGCCCATCGTAGAGCGCAAACGTGCAGCCCTCAACACCCTCGGTTCAGATCCTGGTCCCTTTAAATGGGTGTTTGTGCCTCCTGTCTCGGCGGGAATCGCCACGAGTCTCCAGAGGTGAGTCCTGAGACTGTGTTTTCCGTCACCATGTTCAACGCGCACTACCTCGGCCTAATGCGCGATGCATGGGATGCTTATCGTCACCGACAGTTCTCTAACATTCTCACTTTCAAGCCCGAATCTTCGCGTTTACTCGAAGAAGACCCTTACCAGGCTGGGTATGGCTACGGAGCGCTCAATCATGCCCAACAGGCGAGTCAGCCGGATCCGGAATATGTGAGGCGCGAGAGGGAGGCTTTGGAATCTATCTGCCAACGCACATCCGAGTGAGTATAATACTTTCACTGGCAGGCTCATTCTACCGATTATTCTGCCAGTCTTGGTCGCGAAATCTTGCTAATCACCCCTGTAGCTCGGTTATTGATATCTGGTCCCTCCAACCACAACCACACCTCCAACCCCAAGCAACTCTCCACACGCCCATATCTGCATCGCCGGTTCCATCGCAAAAGACCGATGGAACAACACCTGTGGCCTCCACACATCGTATATCGCCACCAAGCCGACCTACTTCGGGCACCGAAGGGACAGTGCCGAAACACTGGGGCGAGGTTATCATCAATCCGAACAAGAAGCGTTCTCGTCCCGACATGGGCACAGATGTCAAGGTCAACCATGATGTATTTGGTGTATTGAAGGTCAACTAGGCTCGCTCTTCTTAGCTTTTTGGGCATGGATCGCTGCACATTGACGATGACGATGTACACGACAAAAGGTAGGCTTTGGGAATCAAATTGAAGATTCGGACGAGGGTACCGGAAGACCCGTCATTTATTCTCTTCTTTACGCTGCGCTGGTTTGTTATTTGGGGGATTTTGTTTCTTGCATGATCGCAGGTCGACTGTTTTTCGCACATACATAGCCATTCCTTTTCCCTCACTGGTCTGATAATACCCAATGGCGCAGACTTTTTCTTTTGTATCAGACTATGTTTTCATTACATGTTGACTTTTTTGTTCCTGTTGGCGTGTTTTCTGGTTTTGTGTTGTTTATTCATCATTGTGTCAACCGTGTACTACTTGTACAGTCTTTTTGTGTTCAGTGTATCTTCTTTCACTCATCTTGGTTAAGAAACAAAAGAATTCAAATCTCACACTTCTTTCATTTACCTATGGCCCCCATTGTCGAAGGAAGTAGAAGGCTCTAGGTACCTTTTGTAGCCACACAGTTAGACCAAAGGTTGATTGATTGCAGTATGCCTTGTGACTAATTTCAAATTTGCAGTCCATTAGATGTTACGGAGAGGCAGAAACTAGAATGAACCCATCAAAAGTGAGAAATCAGGCATAAGTGTGTCCAATCCTTGACTCCAAGTACGACCATCGCAGATGCCCCTCCGAGTGGGAATAAAACAAGCCATGAAGAACAGAAAGTAAGAATAAGTGTGAAATGAAATGGAACATACAACAATGCCCATGTACGATAAAAATAAAGAAAACGCCCGCTGACCCAGTTCCAGCATGGAAAGAATAGAGTTGAGAGATGCAATATGTGCGGGCCGGGCCGATCTCGGACCTGGCGCAAGCGTCGAAATATCGAGTCAACTAGACATCATCCATCGTGCCCGCTGGCTCTTCACCGCCAGATTCATAGCTTCCCGCGGAACTTAGCTCGTCTTCAGACTCGGTGTCCTCGCCTGCTTCATCCACCGCTTCTTTGCTAGCGTATTTGGCAACATATTCTAGGTATATCAGTACCTGGATAGGATATGCTAACATGGGAAGAACGCACCTTTCACCTTTGCCTCGTATGCCTTCGGTTCCCTCATCAACAGTGCTGCTGCTTCACCATTAAGGGGATCGGCGGGATTGGGGTAGCGGAGGAGCTGAGGGAGGAAAACTTCGAAAATATTGAGCATGTCGTACATTGGTGACCATGTTTGATTGATCACATCAAGGCAGACAGAGCCCGATCTATGCCAACACTGCATTAGCTGCTGTCCTTCGATAACACCTAGATTACCTCCACTTACAACTCATCGATATTTGGGTGGAAGATGCGATTGACGAATCCAATGCTTGGGCTCTTGTATGGGTATTGGTCGGGCAATTCCACATGAATCTTCCAATGACCTCCGGTGAACGGTGCTAAGAAGGTTAGCACGAAGTGATGCCGAAGTGCTGTGATATGACATACTCTCTTCTGGGCCCTTGAAACGGACGTAGAATTCTTGCCTGTTGAAAAGATTGGTATCCGGACTATTTGTGAGTCACTGAGGCGTAGAATACATACACTAGGTGGACAAAGTCAGCGCATCGGGTCATAGTCCAGGATCCAATGGGGACTTACTGTTATCGTTAACCAGAGTTACTTCATAGTCACTCATCAGCCTAGATATATCGTCAGACTCTATTGCCAACACCAGAAATGACCTGCTCAGCCCAAGTAAGGGTTGTGAAAGGCGGTGGCCACATTGAGATGAGATAGGGATAGGATTATCGTTCGTACATCCTGGATCAAGGTTAGTAAAGGAATTGTTGAGGTTGGTTTCATGCTTGCGGAGCATACTTCATAACCTAGACACCAAAAGAACCATTGTTAGCATCTCAAGTGCCCTGATGCCTTATCAAGCCATCTGCGACACCACTCACATCTGTCTCGATTCTGCGCTTTGGGCTACTCATGTTGGCGGGAGAATAGGCGCTTTGAGGGCGGTGGTGATGTGAAAGGAAATGAAGTCACTAGCCTCTCAAGGTCAAAGCAAGTGCAAAGCGTATCGAAGTGGCGTGGTTCACTAGGGCCGGTATTCGCGCAATCGGAGCGGGGAAGTAATGAGCGGGGCAGATGATGGATCTTGTAGGGGCGGGTATTGAGCTGTTAGGGTGACAGTAGGCAGTGAATAAGGAATAATGTGTATAGTAAGTATCACTCAAAGCTTTGAAAGGTTTCACAAGGTCTGATCTGAGCAAACTAGAGAAGAGAGAGAAGAGAGGAGGTCGGATGAAAGCTATCATCTGAATGATGAGTGGATGAGTCAGCATATGGGGCCCAAAGTGGATCCATAGATCGGGACGAGGCTGAGATGGCAACTCGACTCTAAAAACCACACCCTCAGTACTTGAGATATCTTTGATCCGTTGTTTGATTGCTTAATTTTATCTCAATTTCTATTGCATTTTGAGCTTTGGTCACCAGCACCTCTAAAATGTCACTTCACCCACCTAGAAAATGCTGGACCAACCAGAATCAGGATTTATATCTCTAATATCCTCTTTAGCAAGTTGGGGCTCTTAACACGTAGACGCACAGCCAGTGGCAAACTTATGGGACCTGAGTGGTTATCTTGAATTTTGACTTCACTAAGCTGTTCGGTGAAAATCTTGGGCCAACTTTATACGAAGTTGTCGCCGAGGACATGGCCAACGCCTGACGTGCTTCAACTGCGGGAAAAAAAACTCTTTATGTTATTTTAAGCGTTCCAGTTGTGATAATTGTCCCGTCTCTTCAACATTATCGAGCTCGAATACGGATCATACGCCAGAAGGAGATGGATCCTGAACGCAAACCGCAGCCACACCGAACCACACTATACAGAACTTTGTCTGGCCCGTTGAACGCCTTCTATGGAACTTTGGACGGAGCCTTCTTCGCCAGTTTCCAGAGCAGGACTTCTTGAATCACCTTAGTCTAGATGTTGGCCGATATCTGTATTGCACCGTCAGCGAGGACATGGTGACTGCTTGGCATGAGCCACTGGCATGTTCCCTCAGCGTTTGTATGACCTACGGCATCCCTATTCTTGCCGCTATTCTCGCGGTTCGACTATATTGGAGCAGCGGGAGGGGCAATGGTTTCAGTCGCAGCTTGCCACTGAAACGTTTTTCTGGTATCGGGTCCAATTTTGGCCTCTTGCAATAAGCTAAAAATATAACACAGATCTGAATGGGCAGGCGAGAGCTTAGGGACCCTCTCTCTCTTTTTGTGCTTTTTTTTTGGGTTAGCTATCATGATCAGAGGCATGGTATGAACGGAATGGCCTATTGGTATTTGAAATGCTCTGAAAGACAACCCACATTTCTTCTTGAAAGTTTGGTTATAATCTACAGGATCACTTTATTGTCATTGCTTCTACCCTTTTACATCGGGCTCCAGGGCTTGTTTCAGGTCTTTTTCTTATGTTTTTTTGGCGTTTCTTTACAATATATTTTCAAACCTGCATACGCAGCTGATAATTGTTGCAACGGGATAACTTTGTTATAAGCGGTTTCCAGGTTTTAGGTACGATTTAGGTCTATCTCATGTACCAAATTCCTAGGCACTGTGAAAATCTCACAGATGAACCATGATCTCACTACCCAGAGAAAATTTTGCGATTCTCAACTCAATTTATGTCCACCAGAGAAGTCCTGGTAACAATCACTCAGTCTCAGACAGACTAAAGACGAATCCTCACACGGAAGTATATTGAGGCATTGTAGGACCGTCTATGGTAACAGAGAGCATAATAGAAGAAGTCAACGAAACATACCGCCTATTGCTCAGAATAACACCATCATATTTTGCTGCAACAGACCATTGGAAAAGCTCTTAGTGCTGCTCTTCAGGAGGTAGCTGAACCTTCACTGTACCCTCTGCCAAAGCCTGATTCTGACTATTCTTCTTGGTGATGTAAGAAGTGATATACTCCGGCACTCCCGCAACCTTACTATCACCGCTAGGAATAGGTGTACCAAAGGTCTCCCAGACCGGGACGACACCAGTCCAGACACTATTCGTGATTTTCTCGTTGGCGGAATCCTTGCGCTCATCTGACACACCACCATCACGGATCTTACCACTGCCATCCACGATTTTGACTTTGAGAATGACAGTTGACTGCATTTCAGCACGATCCGGTGGCACACGCGAGTGATCCCAGCGGTCCTCGAGAACCGAGTTCGTGATCAACTTCATAGCCCAAAGTTTCTCTTCTTCATTTGTGACGAGATTTGCATATCCGTGCAAAATGGCAGAGCGGTAGTTATAGCTGTGCGAATTAGGCGTGAGTGACAGAATCAGTCCGTCTATCTTGCTGGTTGCCACACAGATTGGAAGCCCTTCGCCCTCACTGCAATTACGGGCGAGGTTCATAATACGTGAGCTGACATATCCATGGAGATAGCATTCGAGAGGCTCGTCGATGCTAGCAGAGGGATACTCGAATGATCCCATCTGGCCAATCATCGGCAAGATGGCCGGGAAGGGGTCCTCGGGGCCTGGATTGAATGATACATGGAGTACCTGGGAATCATTGATGATGCTATGAATTGGACCGAGGTCATATGTAGCTAGAAACTGTTTTCAGCAATTGTAATTGTCGATGTACTTTAAGGTTTCGTCTCACCTCGATGCTTGTAGCGATTCGCAGTGTTGGAAACCCGCTTGGGATAGGTCAAAGTTCTGCCCATAATTTAGAGATCTGCAAAGTTATCGTAAACTAGAGAGAAATTAATGAGAAGAAGACGAAGAAAACAAAATACTTTATAGTAGAGAACTATCAAATAATGATTATCAAGGTAAATGATCCGGTGAGCTAGGGCACGCCTTAGAGGACCTGTTCAAGTAGGTCCATCCGTGTAAGATTTCCCCACACAGGCTGGAGTGGACCATCGGGATAACAAGGATGTGCACAGATGCATTGAGCCACGGAAAACATAGTACGACAGGGGATGAGAGTGGACGAGAGCAGCGCATCCGATGGTAAACACAGTGGAGGTGATTGGCCCACACCGCCGGCTCGGAGAGCGGAAAGCCTCGCGATAACAATTCCTACAATTTATCCTTATCACTCACTTTCTAAAGCATGGCGACGTGCAGGGCTCTCGTTCGCCAATGTGCTTTGCATATGCGCTCATGTAGACCTTTGAGTCATTCGCTACGTCAATTACCTAGATGCAACCTTTTCCCTCGGAGCTATGCGACCTCGGTGGCTGCCGCCGAACTCAAATTTGGCCAGCCGTTACATGAGACGCATCCCCACATCCTCAGCTCGGGCGAACGTGAGTCATTGATTTTTGTTTAATTTCGAGATTGATCTAACTGGTAGACTTGTGTATAGTGACACCGGGAATCACTGCCCTTGAATATGCGCAACGCCGATCCAAGCTCGCCAACAAGCTACCCAAAGGCGCGATTGCAGTGCTGGCCGCCTCAGAGGTCAAGTATCGTGCCTCGGGGATTTTCAATGAATACCGCCAGGACTCAAATTTCTTTTACCTGACTGGTGAGTTAGTTAGGGGCAAAGTCACAAGAAGGGCCACCGCTTAACATTTGCCCGCCGAATAGGATTCAACGAACCGAATGCGCTGGCGATTATCGGGAATGACGGCTCGGGCGACAACCATATCTTCCATCTATACGTGCGGGAAAAAGACCCCAAGGCAGAGCTTTGGGATGGAGCACGCTCCGGCACTCAGGCGGCCAGAGATGTCTTCAATGCCGACGAGGTATGGGATACGAATATGAGCATGGTATATGACTTCAAGCTGATAGCAAGGACAGACAGGCAATATTGAGCGTATTGGGGAAATCCTGCCCAGCATTATTCACGGTGCCACGGAGGTTTACTCGGATATTCCCTCATTTGATGGTTCAAGATCATCCTTGAATCGGTATTTGTATGGTCCCACGGTTGCATCGGAGAAGCTTAAGAAGATGGTGGATCATCGCAGAGTCAGGCCATTGAAACATATGCTCAACGAAATGAGGGTGACCAAGAGTGAGAACGAGGTTGTCCAAATGCGTCGCTTGGGGCAAGCTTCCGGCAGATCTTTCACGGAGGCTATGCGCCAGGACTTCACCCGTGAAAAGGATCTCTACTCTTTCTTGGAATACCAGTTCAAGGTCAATGGATGCGACACCAACGCCTTTGTCCCGGTAGTTGCGGGTGGTCAGGTATTTTTCCAAGCTATCCATTTTTGGCCTAATGCTGATTAAAGTCCAGAATGCCTTGGCTATTCATTACACCCGAAACGACGATGTGCTGAAGTTTGTACCCCCATCATTGTCCTTGTTACTATATGCTTACAATACACCTTAGGGATGGCGATCTCGTGCTGGTTGATGGTGGTGGCGTAGGTCTATGTGAATTCAATCGTTAAAGTTCAAAGTACTAATCAGATCGCAGGAATGGGGAACATACATTTCTGACATTACCAGAACTTGGCCCGTCAACGGCAAGTTCACTGATCCTCAACGGGATCTGTACAATGCTGTTCTCAAAGTGCACCGGAGTTGTCTCTCCCTGTGCCGCGAGACTTCCAACCTCTCTTTGGACAAACTTCATGGAATCGCCGAAAATGGCTTGAAAGATGAGCTTAAGGCACTGGGCTTCAATGTTTCTGGTGATGTATGGAAAACAAGTCCTCTGTCATATAATACCTCGCTAATAAAGATAGGCACTGAATGTTCTCTTTCCACATCACTTGGGCCACTATGTTGGCCTGGACGTTCACGATTGCCCGGGATATTCCCGAGGCTATGACCTGAAGGCAGGACAATGTATCACTATTGAACCGTTCGTGCCCCCAGCCTATTTTGCTTCACCCTCAAACGCGCTAACTCATGCCAGGGGTATTTATGTTCCTGACGATGAGCGTTGGCCGGCCCACTTCCGGGGGATCGGAATCCGTATCGAGGATAGTGTCTGTGTCGGAGATGAACACCCGATTGTTTTGACCCCCGAGGCTGTCAAAGAAGTATGTTTGCCAGCGACTTGGATTGTGATTGTGATTATTACTAACTTGTATTAGGTTGAGGACATTGAGGCTCTGCGTAGGTAGATGTGATGTGTATAGTCCCTAGTTGCCAGATACCCTCGATTCCATGTACAATAAATAGCATAAGCAGCATAAGGCTTCAAAGTAATTAACTTTAAGCCTCCTTAATCTGTCTCTTTCATACTCCACATGTTTGATATAACCTTGCCTAGATTGCTTTTTGGTGGCTGGTCTGGGGCTGTTTGGCTGATTGAAGGCTGGTTTTGGAGGGGGTTGGAGACAAGATTGGTCAGATTTGTAATTGCATGGTAATAAGTTAAGAGAGGAGGAAAAAGCCAGTTTAGAGAATGGGATCGGGAATGAAGTAAAAGAAGAAAAGAAGGTAAAAAAGAATGGTCGCGGTTGAAAGAATGCAATGTTGATGTTCATGCTTCGCGCGCTGCTGTTGGTTGTCAGGCCTCCGCTCAAAACAAACTAAGATCCACACCACACGACTTGCTTTCTTCTTTCTTTCTCTTCCTTCAGGTCTTCCACCTCGTCTTTCTCTTCCCAACTTTGATTGTTCTGGTTTCTCTCTCCTTTGACTAGTTGCCTCTTGCCATACAATGTCCATTTAAACTCGTTTAACTTCGGCAAGACGTGTAGCACGTCGCGTGCTATTGATCGAGTACCCCTCTCCAACGGCTGATAACTATCAGTCTACAACATCTTTACGCGTCGACAATAGGAACCTGCTCTCCAATGGCAACTGTATTCGTACCCCCATCGCCACGAAACTCCCTGACCATGGCGACTCGTCGTCCACTCGCAAACGTGCCGAATGCAACCAATTCTCCACACAGGGCAGGCCATCTGCCAGCTAAACGATCTCGATCTACCCAGATGGAAATTCCCTATGGTCAACCACCACCCAAGAAACAAGTGATGGACGGAATGGACTACGAAGCAAGCAGGTCGACAGCGTCGACAACAACCTGCCAAAACACAGACTCGAAACTCTTCGCTCGACGATCGAACGCCGCTCCAAGTGCCTTTGAGAAGAAGCTAGTTGCTGCCAGAGAGAAGGAACGCCAGCCGCTGGTCAAGGCAGTCAGAGCCGAGAAGGCCCCGGCAGACACTATGGATTCCATTCGACAATGGCAACGTCACTATCGGAAGGCATTCCCTCAGTTCGTCTTCTACTTTGACAGTATTCCGGAGGATATGCGACGGAAATGCTCTCGCCAAGTCATGGCTCTTGGTGCTGTAAGTATCCTAATATCCCTCCCTGCACTCACCAAGATTATGACGCATGCATATCTTGTCCTTAACACCGATTGTTCGAATCTCTCGAAAACTACTTTACTAACAAATTCTATTTTAGTCAGAGGAGAAATTCTTTTCACGTTCTGTGACCCACGTTGTCACTTCGCGTACGATCCCGCCAGAATCTACCGCCCCTACAGCAGAGGTATCTGCCCCCGCGACTAACGGTGACAGCAATGTCCAAACTGTCAATCCTTCACTCCTGGAGCGGAATGGCGAGGCCCATCTCCATACATCATTGAAAACCGAGACACGTCGAGACCAAGGCACTATGGATGTTCTGCAAAGAGCTCGGCAAATGGGTATGAAGATCTGGGCTTTGGAGAAGCTGCAGCGTATGATCAACACCATTAACGACAGTGATATCTGTTCTCAATACGAAAATGCCTCACGAAACAAGGCTGCAATTGGTGCGAACGGCAAGGTTGAAAACGATTTATCACGGGTCCTTCGCCAGGAGCTCCTGAACGGACCGTCCGATCGTGACCCTTTGGCATCCATGGAAATGGTAATGTTCAAGGGTCCATTTGTATACATCCACGACATGAATGAAAAGACCAAGCCAGTCATGGTCCGTGAGTACCCTCGAGTTGCCAGGCGGCAGGATGGTTCTTGGCCACAGTTCAGAAGTGCGCCTCTCGGAAAGTGTCCTTTCATCGATGAACCTCCAAGCCGAAAAGAATACGACCGACACAGACTACGTCAACTCCAGAAGGAGAAGAAAGCGGCCGCTCTCAAGGCCGATGGAAATCGTGATGCTAAACCGAAGGCTCCGGCTCCGGCTCCCAAGGCCCTCGAAGGCGGGCAAGCGACAGAGATCCCCAGGCCCTCTGCCACCCAGGATGTGCGCGTCTCGCATCCAGTTCAGCCTGAAATGCAGAAGCCCTCGATTGATGAGTCTCATGTACGAAAGAGTTCAGAAAGTTTCATCCCTCCTCACTTCCCTCGGACTGGACCTTTCTACACTGGACATGAACCTGCAGCTTCAGGTGTTCAGCCATCCAACATGACATCCGCTATTCGATCTCAGATGATCTCGTCTACTGCTGCTGCACCTGGCGCAAAAGCAGGTCTAAGCAAAGAGGTTCATGGGCTCAAGCGAAAGGTTCTTGAGAAGGGCACTGGTGGTTTCACACTTGGATCAATGGCCGCGCCACAACGATCTGCGGCAATGCCCATGAAAGACAACCTCAACCCTCCTGGCAAATCAAACCTTCGCCACAATGAAACCGAAGGTCACCAGGATGCTGCTGGCTCCAAACGGAGCAGAGATGAGAAGGATGCCCAACAAAAGAAGCCCGAACGCCGGAGGGATCCTAAGCCCGGCTATTGTGAGAATTGCACAGACAAGTTTGATGATTTCGAAGAGGTAAAATTGATTAATATCGTTGTTCGCATTGTCGATGCTAACTTTTCTTACAGCACACCCTGACCCGGAAACATCGCCGCTTTGCTGCGAACTCGACCAACTGGGCAGAGCTTGACGCCCTTCTCTTCGATATCCAGCGCCCCCTCAAAGACGAGTACGAACATGATGAATAGATCTGCTGTTTTAGCATTTCATGATTTCCTTTGGACTGCGACAGCATCTTCTCTCGAGTACCTTAACTTTCTGGTACAAGCCGAGATTGCATTTTCAATTGCTTTTCTTCTGCCTCACTGCACTTTTCTTCCCGCCCGTCATGCTAGAATTGGAAATCAAATGCATAACCGTATCCTTTTCGGCATCGACGAACATGCATGGTGGCGTTTTCTTTGTTTTCTTTGCATGAGCAGCATCATTGACAAGTCTAGTCAGACGTTTCGATCTGCTCGTTTTGATTTCCGTTGAAGTCGTCCACTCCTTTTCATAATTTTCACTTCTTCCCACTGTATTCAATAACCGATTTCCCCAGCTCCACCTTCACATCGTGACATGTCTTCTACTCATCAGCCGACGGCAGTTTTGGATATTCACATCTCTATGTCTCAATGAACTTCCGTCGTCGACGCTGGTTGCCACTAAGCAATCAGTCTGCGCTTTTCGGTTCCGGTCCTGGCCGTTGCGATATACTGAAGGTATAATGGACGACAGCATGAACCACAGGCTTTCCCGCCTTGCATTGCCAGCCCATTACATTGTTATCACCCTTTTTTGGTCCCACGGGGCCATCTTTTCTACATCAGCCTTTTCCTTGTGTCTTACCGGTGGTCTCTTGTTTCCCGACTCCTGCGACCCGTTGCCTAGCAGGCGACTGAATCTCCAAGAGACTTTTCCTTTCTCGTGACATTACTTACCTGAATAAGCATTTATTCGACTCGATGATCTGTATGCAGTTTGTGTCGTGCTAATTGAATTGTCTGCAATCCAATTTTTTCCTTAGAATCAATTTAAGTAGAGGAAATAAAATTTCAAAACTCTAGTAACGTTGGTCAGTTCAGTATTAGCTACATGTACAGATCTAAGTAGAGGGCCATCAGTCCCAATGCGGTAATCACCTCGGCGGCACAGAAATAGTAGGCGGTGTATTGTTAGTGCCAGGCGGTGAGAGTAACAACCGTAAGATACTGGAATCTGGTTCAGCGAGGTTCTTTATTTCTTTCACAATGAAAAGGAATATTGCCTGTTTGTCTGATTGTTTCTTATTTAAATAACTATCCGAAACCCTCAGCTGCCTTAATTGTCTTCATACATTTTAAAAACTGATAGCATGCACAACACCAAGACTGCAGGCTGCCCCGCAAAACATCTCGGTACTCGGCACTGTAATCAACGGCAGTAAAGAAGATCTTCAACAGGAATTTTTGATGCTCCCATCTACGCCGCATAACCCAGCACGTTGCTCCGGACAAAAGGATATATGAGCGAGGATTCAAAGGGCAAGCGAAAATTATCAACATAAGACTTCTCGCCCTCCTTCTCCTACGGACCGAACATACCGAACCGCGCATGAACCTCAACTATTTGCCTCTGAAGTCATAGCTGTCACCGGTGATCGCCGCTTGTACCAGTGGACAACTTCCAATTGAGTTTGTGGGGCAGCTGATATAGACATATAAGGCGATACACCGAATAAGAACATTGGCATTTGACGCACACACACACAAGCGCAGTGCTACCCAGCATCAACAATGGCCACGCTAGGCCCCGCGCTGCGGCGCATATCACTTGCCTCTTCGCTATCGAGAACAAGAGCTGTCTCCAGTCGAACGCAATTTATACCCTGGCAAACCCAGCAATCTCTCGTTCCCTCCTGGTCAACACCATACTTGCTCTCACAAACACGACATAGTTCCTATTCGGGGCCACCGAAGGAAAGCGGCAAGGCACGCAAAAAGGTCACCATTCAAACGCTGCAGAACTTATATAAGAAAGGCGAGCCAATTGCCATGCTCACAGCGCACGACTTCCCCAGTGCGCATGTTGCTGATGCATCGGGTATGGATATGGTGTTGGTTGGGGATAGTTTAGGAATGGTCGCCCTCGGATTGGACAATACCACGGAGGTAGTGATGGAAGAGATGATTTTACATTGCCGGAGTGTAGTGCGGGGAGCAAAGAGCGCTTTCATTGTAAGCAGACTTGATTCCCTGGGTGCACAAGATCCCAAGCTGACAATTTGATCAAATAGGTCGGCGATCTACCGATGGGCTCGTATGAAGTGTCCGCAGAACAGGCCATTGAATCATCCTTGCGCCTAGTGAAAGAAGGCCGAGTTCACGGCGTTAAAATTGAAGGCGGCGAAGAGCTTGCTCCTACAATCAAACGCATCACACAAGCCGGTGTACCGGTCGTAGGCCACATCGGCCTAACACCACAGCGACAAAATGCTCTCGGCGGCTTCCGGGTCCAAGGCAAAACAAAAGCCAGCGCCATGAAACTTCTGCAGGACTCAATAGCGATGCAAGAAGCCGGCGCGTTCATGCTTGTACTTGAAGCCATGCCACCAGAGGTCGCATCGATCATCACGCAGAAGCTGCGGATTCCGACGATCGGCATTGGAGCTGGCAATGGCTGCTCAGGTCAGGTTCTTGTGCAGGTTGACATGACAGGCAACTTCCAGCCTGGTCGGTTTGTGCCCAAGTTTGTTAAGAAGTATGCGGATGTGTGGGGGGAGGCGGCGAAGGGCATTTCGCTGTATCGGGATGAGGTTAAGAGTCGTGCATTCCCGTCGGAGGAATACACGTATCCCATCTCGAGGGAAGAAGTCGTTGAATTTGAAAAGGCGGCCGATGGAATTTACCCGAAATAATGGTTGCATCTAGTCCGTCTGGCCTTTTTCTGTGGTTTTACTGCATGCCGCACATGTCATTGTCATCATTATCATTATTTGTACATAGCATCGTGCATCCGGTTGAGCTGAAAGTCTCAGCCAAATGCTGGCGTCATTGAATAGGCGACAATCAATTGATCGTCGGTTTTAAAGCACTTCATGGTAAAGCGTTATTAGCTTTTACATGTTGCAATCATAAGTAATTCGACTCACTCTCCACAGTCCACCCATGCCTTCATCCAGGCCGGGCGCAAAAACACTGTTGACATAACAAAAGACAGAGTCTGTCTCTTTGCAATCCAACTTTTTGCGCAGGAACTTGACAACCGTTTCAAACTTTTGCGACGCGCTAACCTTGAATACTCGGTTTTTCAAGATTGGAGCTGACGGTAGAGGCTGAAATCGAACGGTGACTGCTGTTGTCAGTTGTCGTCCAAAAAGCGGAGAATGAGCCTGCACCTTTCCCTGAATCAATACTTTCGACATCTGCAAGGGCCTGGGTCGCATCGCGGGGTAAATTTGTCAGCATGACAGATGCCGACATGTTCATGGGTAGATCTGCTCCGTGCTCATCGTCTGGTATGGGTGCGTTCTTGGGTACATTGGAGCTTTCGCGTATAGGGCGATGGCTCAGTGTGCTTGATGCGGGGTTCTGGGTGGGAGAGCTCTGTGGGGAGCTGATTGGGGGTGATGAAGGATTCATTGTTATATGGGAGATGTTCAATAATAGGAGGATCAGGAAGATCTGAAGAATGTACGGACTAGACTTGAATGTGTTGATGTTTTGATGTTGAAGAAAAAGGTGGGGAGCTTATCGCGCTTACAGTTCGTTGATCACCTCCTTTGTATCTGACTTCGTAACACCCAAGCACCATTGTTCGTATAACTACACATGTACATACTATATATGGACGCGCATTTTGCAAGTAAAATACAGAAAGAACTAAAAGAAGACAGGTAGAAAGATATATAAAAAGCTAAACAGAAAAGAAGAAAGTGATTTAAGACAAATGTATTTACACTAACAAAGTTATGGGAAACTACGACATCAAGACGTAGTTTCAATTTGACATATGACGATCATCAACACATCATATATCTTCCAGTTTCTTTCTGAGCCTAAATTCAGTCCTTCTCTTTCTCTTACCTTTTTTTCTCGCGTCTTGCCTGCAACTATGACGTTCGTCAATCACGGTCAATTCTCTTTTGACGGTAGGACATTCAATGTCGCTTCTTCGGAAGGACATATCCATCGTCGAGCCTCGCATGCAGACCTAAGGGCGCTATTTGATACTTCCATGCCAGATAGAAGCGGCCGACCCGACTATGCAGCACACTGGTACGAAGCACAGCTTCTGCATTATGGACTCCCTTCTTCCAAAAAGAAAGTAACTGCAAAGATGCGGTTGCTGGATGCGTTACAAGATGGTACTCTCAAAATCCCAATGGACATTCTCAAAATTGAAAAAGATTTGAGAAAGGAGTGGGAGGAGAAGGACTTTGAGGATCGTCTGCTAGATGCCAGGATTCATGGCCCAGAGAATTTTCGCTTTGAAAACACCGTGACAGGGACAAAAAGTGCTACGAGAACAACATCTAATTCTCAAGGGGCACCAGGGCGACATTATAGTACTTCCTTTTCCACTGATTCAATCATTGGCGCTAGCATGAGCTCCTTCAATCGGCAGCAGCAGAAGAGGACAGCAGGCTCTTCTGATCCAACACCTTCGAAAAAGCCCAAAAAGGAGCAACTGCCACCTGAACCTCTTCAAAATACCGGATGCTCTCATGGCCACTCTGGAGCCACCTTCAACTTGCACTTGAACACTAACATCATCAGCAACGGCTCACAAGGAGTTTCAACATCACCGAGGCCAAGGAGGATGGAATATGGATCCCGTCAATCTGAGAACCCATTCCCACAACCTAGATACGAAACCATGCCTTTATCGCGCGAGTCTAGTTATGTAACGGTGAGAATGTGTTGTGCGCGGTGCGACTCAAGGATCCGTATCAACTAATGCTTGCCCAGAATTCTTCTGACGTTACCAGTGGGCCATTTGGCGTTGATGAAATGGACAACGATGAGTGTTATGAGTACAGCTATGCGCCGTCGAGCTACTCGACCAACTCAACCCAGTCTTCCCGAACCCTAACACAAAGCCCGAGACTCGGCCTCATCAATGGAGAGTACGACATTTACTCCTCCGACTTCCAAGACTGGCCAGAAGTCGTCCCTTTTGAGGGATTCAATCTTGCGCTTTGCATCGACGACAACAAGAAAGAGATATGGGGCGAGTTTCGGTTCGGGGTCCTTTGTGGTATCATGCATATGCCTCAACGACCCATGGGAGCCTCGGAAAGGAGCTTCCACTTTGAATGGCGGGGCCGAGATGTGACTGGTGATGGGAATTTCCCAGCTACTAGCGAAGGATGGATTCGCTTTCTTGGCGATGGTGAAATCGATGGACAAATCGAAGCCTGGGCCTGGTTGAGATTCAACGGCCAAAGAGTACGTGGTCAAGGTATCAGTCGACCGAGGGATTTGTACGCTTTAAAACGGGAATGGGTTGCAATGTGTGTGTAAGAGACAAGCTTGGCTCAAACTTTGCGCAATGATGAAGAAAAAGGGTTGACGGCAACAATAAATCTCGGATATCTCGCTAACAAAGGCAATGAAATGAAATTGAGCGCTACCTCGTCTTTAATTGATGATAGCATCTATGGGTGTAGATGTGTATGATAAAAGATAGCGCATGACTCGGCTGCCACTCGGATAACCTTTGGTAATGTCAAAGGCCTGCGTATCAACAACTGTGAACTGGAATGGTACACTCTCCAATCTAGAAGGCCATAGTTTCTAGGCTGTGTGGGCAAGCAATTTGAGAACAAGAATTAACATTGCAGTACCTTCACTTCCTATTTTCAACGGCGTGTATGGTGCTCGCACAGAGAAACCATTTGAACAACTTCAGTGCGAAAAACGGCTGGCTTGATAAGGCGTTTAAATCATGAGTTCACACTGTATAATTGCCCCTAGGGCTGAAGACACCCCTCGAGTGAAGCTCTATACAAAGGCTCCAACGCACCGATTGAAAACAACTCAGCTCAACCTGAACAATGGATGTTTCAGACATGCTTAGGTATCTGCCTACTCGAAGCAAGTTATCTGTTGACCAGACCTTCTTTCGCCAGCGCCTAAACAAGGCCACATCTTTCAATATCTCTACAGAACACTGCATTACCACTTTCTCTTTGAATTACACGGATCAGGTTTGCAATTATATTCTTGCAGTTCAGGAAGGATAAACAATGATCACTTCTTGCGTCAAATATGCAGTAGTACACTGGGTACTCGACAACCCTCTCTTTTCTGGCTAGCTGGTGCCCAGGTGTAAATGGGCGCCTCGCCACTCAGGGCTGTTGTTTTGAAACAAGCTTAGAGCCTAAATTAGTCATATACAGCAGCCACATCGCATAAGCACTAGTCATCTGGCGCGATTCCAGCAAATAGACATACATATGGGTATGGCCTCGTTGCACCAAGGCTGGATCTCTAAACAATTTTTTGACAAAATGAATCAAGAGGCGTCGAAAACAACAAGAGTAGGTAATCTTTTTGTGCCAACCAGGTTGAACGCGGAACTGTCCGATGGCTTGCTGAAGTGCAATGGTTTTAAAATCCACATCATGGAGGCCGCTGAGCAGGCAGTGGGCGATATGTCTCGCTGCACTACGCCAGATTTGTGGCGGCGGATTGATATATGTGATATTCGGCTCTTAATCAAACCGGTACAACTCGAAATTTGGAAGCAGGAGATCGCCAAAAGGTTCAGCTTTAAAAAGATTGTTATCGAGGACTTAGGCTAGTTCACTACGGTAACACTCGACTGGGACGATGCCCATTTGGCAAACCAGGTTATGGATTCCCCAGTGGAACGATATTACCTACCAATGGCAACTGACCTAGGAGAGAGAGGTAACATATTGGTGCAAGTGCATCCGAGAGTAAAGCGTTTGGGAACTCACAGCTTCGTCTTTACACTTCACTCAAATAGGGGAGTAAGCACGAATTCAACTTTGATTCTTAGCTAGAAGTTTATTTGCTGGTTCAGGCAGCCTCCTAAAAGTAAGTGGTACATGCAAATGTATATCGGGTTGTTCAGCATGTTGCACAAGCCATAAAGTACTTTGTATACAGCTTCTCTGAAAGAACAACCTTGCAATAATTTTTCAAACGAATTCCGCTTATTTCCTTCTAATATAGTCTGAATATCGAATAACTAGTTAACTCTTGAGTTGGCATTATGCCATGTAAATCAGGCACCAACCCAACTTTTGGGGTAAAATATAAACTTCCCCGCAGCTCCGCTCCAGCTTTGTCTTTTTCAATAAGCGACCGATTTTTATATAATGCCTTCCGCTGAAAATAGCGGTATCCCGGCCGCTGAGCTTCAGCGATTCACTGCATATCTGAGAGGATGCAAACGGATACTTGCACTTGTTGGAGCGGGGCTCTCTGCATCGTCTGGTCTACCGACATTTCGTGGCGCTGGCGGGCTCTGGCGCTCCTTAGATGCCACTGCACTTGCAACCCCGGAGGCCTTTGAAAGGACTCCTGGGCTGGTATGGCAGTTTTACAGCTATCGACGACACATGGCCCTCCAGGCTGAGCCTAACAAAGCACACTACGCTCTAGCAGAGTTGGCACGCAAGAATGAAGACTTTATCACATTGAGCCAGAATGTCGATGGTATGGAAACAGACAAGTCTCTTTATAGAGCAGAGCTTGGGCTAATATTAATTACAGGTCTCTCCCAACGAGCAAATCATCCCTCGGAGCAGTTACATTTACTACATGGTACCCTTTTCGACATAAAATGCACCAACTTCTATTGTGATTATACCCGAGAAAATGAATTTACCGACCCCATCGTTCCAGCCCTTGATATTCCAAAGCTAGATTCGGGTCTGAACCCCTCGGCTGTTGATAAGACCGGCGAGGAGGCAGCCAAATCTATGCGAGAAGCGCTCAGCGGCACACAAACCGAGATTGACATCTCCGATGCTAACAATCAAATCCCCGAACTGGACGCGAAAGACCTGCCTCAATGTCCGAAATGCAATGACGGATTACTTAGACCCGGGGTCGTATGGTTCGGCGAAGCTCTACCAGAGAAAACAATGAATACCGTCGACGAGTGGATCGCGGCGGGTACAATCGACCTGTGTTTGGTCATTGGTACCAGTGCGAGAATTTGGCCCGCTGCTGGATATATACATGAGGCTCGTTCGAAGGGCGCTCGAATTGCGGTTTGCAATATGGACCCTAAAGACACGCCGGGCGAACTGCATAAGGGTGACTGGTTCTTCACCGGGGACGCCGGTGTCATTGTCCCCGAGATATTTAAAAGTATAATCGGAGAGATTTGAATCTCACTCTGGTAGCTGGAATCAGGATCCTAAAAATTTGCTCTTGCTTGACTCGGCGACTGGTGACGGTCGGATGCATTATGACGTTTTGAGGGGATGGATTTGGAGCAGACTTCATACTACTAGAAAAGATTATCTTAGTATAAATGATCTTTACACGAAATTAAAGTAGGCTTCGAGTCACCCATTTCCAATGAACGTCGTGTCTATGTTGTGAGTGAAGAATGGTATGGAGAATGGTATGAAGGATGGTATTCTGGGATCTCTGAGCAAAGAGCTTTCTATCTATAGCTAGGGAGGCGTGGTAAACATAGATTCGCAAACCATGCGAATGCACAAACAGGCAAACGCCGCTAGATCTATAATTTCATCACCAAAAACATCATGTTAAGTTCCTGAAGGGCGAACGGCCGCTGGCGAAAGAACATTCAACGCATCCCGCACTATTGCGGTCCCAAAATTCGAAAAGTTTGATTGCATGTCTTCGAACAGTTTCACACTCTTTGAACACGTCTCTAAAAGGTGGCACTTCTCCTCCAGAGGGCTATCGAAGGCAATCGTGAGAATAACCAAAGCTGCGGCAATGACTCGATGGTAGTAGAATGACTTTTCGAGGAGGCTGAGTCGGGCCTTGAAGAAAATGGTTAGGGTCTCTTGTGCGGCGCCAAGACAAACAATCCTAGCCATGCTTGAAGTGTAGAATGGAGAGGAGAAGTTTTTGTAGGCAAAGAATGGGCGATGCATCATCAACATGACCCGATTGAAACCTAGAATAATGGCATATGAGCATACAGAAAATGGCCAAAAGAATTACTTATGCATGGATACTCACGAAGCTCAATCTCAGCACATTGGAAATCGAACGTCGTTCTATTCACCGACCCTTCCGAGTTTCTGATTTGGAGATGCACTGGAAGCTCTTCTCGCCAAGCCATGAGCTCTGCCTGGTGGTTCATCATCCGTCCAACAAAGGATTCAATTTCAATGCTTTTTTCGTCGATATTCGAGACCTTATCAGACAAACTGTCAGCACAAGCCATACTCCTTGAGCGTGATAGTAGCTACCAAGTCAATGATCTTGCGAACAATTCGGCCGAACTTCGCCATCACAACAATGAAGGTTATCTTGCTCCTTGAATCCGATGGGTCCTGCCATAGTCAGTAGGCACGTTATTTTTACATGCAAGAGAGACATACTAAGATCTGCTGCGGATAGGATGCTACAGAATCAGTCTCACGAATACATAGCGGGCGTCCGTATTCCATGCATAACTCGGATTCCAGGCTATAAAGCGTCCACCATGTTCGTCGAGCGGATTGAATTTTGCTAGTAGGAACAGCCGCCTCGTCTAAGTTTCTGTTGATCCCACTTGAGTATGCAAGGCGGATTGCAGAACCCAAATAATTGTATGCAACTTCACACGGTCAGTAGATTGGAACGGCCCATGTGTACGAATGGAGTAAACATACCATTGGGCTGGCCGGTATGATGTGCATAGAACGCCTGTCATCCTGTCAGTAAAGCAGAGGACATCTCAGAGTATAATTTGCATATACCATTAACATTGCTGCTTGCACTACTTCGATGGAGTTTGCATATAATAGAACCCCAAACAGGATTTGAGCTTCGGCGAAATATTTAGATGCCAATGCGGCACCATTAGAGTTGTACAAGCATCCAATGGCCACTGTAGAATATATGAGACACTGTGACTGCCGACAGTGATTAGTTTCGGAAATTGATGATGATGGGTTAGAATATTTTTCGTAGGCAAACTCGAACTGGATTATGTCCAGGATAGGGATTATGTCGTGCGCCCTGAAAGCGAATGCGGCAAAATGTGAGTCTTGCAATTTTTCCGGAAGTCTCAGTCCTTCGGCTTTGGGTGGAGACGATGATAGATAGATATTATGTTTCAATGGATTTCGAGACGCATCAGAGGATTCTGAACAGTCATTGGTTTCATGTCGCGCCCGTTTGCTTGGTCGTTCAGAAACGATTCCATTGGATCGAGCTTGATGTACCTTTTCCTCAAAGGTTTTTAGAAGAGCCACTGTTGATGTTGATCCATAGTAGCTCAGTGTGCCATCTTCATCGTTCGTGATAGTTGCCCCGGAGTTATTTTTATCGGCCATAGGGGTGATATCTGGGTCAAAGTCAACTCCGTCTAAGAGGCTGTATAAGAGTCCACATCTACCTGCTGACTCTACCGTTCTCCTGGGTTTAAAGTTTCTTTCACCGAAAACGGCCCGCTCAACTTCCATCATTCTAGCATTCAGGACATCGAGTTCTCTAAACAGTACGTTAACGCTTGAGGCTGATATCTACACATGAACTTTTCAACACAACTCACCCACGAATTTTAATCCCAGATGTTGAAGGATCATATTTGCACTCAATTTTGTTTTTTTCACATGATCCGCATGGAAACATGCCATCACACTGGATACTTTAGTTTGAAACGCCTCTCTGGCTCCTCAACTTTAGGTCCAATACCTTCAGCTTCCGCGAACGGCATGGATCACACGCTTCGGTCGTCTTTCTGCGCCTCACTGGCGTTTCTAGATTTTGTGACATAATGCCAAGTTGGACAGTCTTCAATGAGCTCTTCTCATAAGTCCGTATAAAGTCCAACGCTGGAGTCGGGGAGATTCCGGAGATGATAACGTAATGATAATATCTCTGCCTTGTATCTCAGGCCTCGTGTTCTTTTTCACCTAACTACGAGATTGTGAGATTGCGCGGAACACACTTGCAGGCCAGTTGAGTGGAGGTTTCACATTTAGTCCTTTACTTTTGTTGTGGCTGGGCCTCCGCCGAATGAAGTTCTAACGTTGTATTTTCACTTTTGAATAAATTTAACGCTAAAATATATAATACCTAGATAGTAGTCATGATTAGACCCTCTAAAACCCTGGCTGATTAAAGACAACTCTTTGCAGACTTCCTTCTACCTAGGTATAGATTGGTCACGCAAATTGAGCCTTCAAGGCCCTTCCGAATCTCCGAACCGCTTCTTTTAGCTCTTCTCGAGAGGCGGATGCATAAGTAGCCCGAAAGAACATGCGCTCCTCTCCAACATCGGCGTTGGACCAAAAGCAAGAACCTGGTGTCAGAAACACTTTATGTTCAACAACAGAAGCAAAGATCGCCTGTTCGACAGTCTGATGATCGGCCTCCGACTTGTACAAGGGATGGGACCTCCACTGAATCTCAATCCATTGCTGCTTGCACGATCAACATGATTCTAGCCCAAGAAGAAGGATGTTCACTTACAAACATGCCTGCCTCCGAAGGAATCCAGCTAGTGATATCTGCAGGAAGATGTTCAAGACAAGCTTGCACAAACGTATCCCTTCTCGATGTATATTCCGCCTGGACTTTCTCAAGCCAGCCGAAGAATCCTGAATGGCCCCAATGGTGATTTAAAAGCTTGAAAACAATAACTTGCGAGAACCCGCTCGGATGCTGAGAAGATGACTCGTTGAGTCGAACAAATTTTTCGATGACCTGCTCAGATGCTGTGACCCAACCCATGCGAGATCCCGGGGCAAGAACCTTAGACAGGGAATCTAGCCGTAAAACCCGGCCGTCGACGTCTAAGCTCAAGTAAGACGGAATGAGTTCGTTGCGCACCTTTGAGTTGGAAAACGAATCACTCGATCCAAATGGAGGTAGCTGAATATAATAGTAGGGTTCGTCCTCCACAATGTAAAGACTGTGCTTTTGGGCAAGGGCATAGATCATCTTTCGCCGTTCGAGTGATTGTGTAGCACCTGTTGGATTTTGGCCAGTGGGAACCATGTACAAGAGGAATGGCTTTCTGGCTTTGCGCTCTTTCTCATCCCAACTGGAGAGGACATTGTCTAAATGCTCGGGGATAAGACCCTGATCATCCATATGTATGGATAATGCCTTCACCCCAAGAGGCAATGCTGTTTCCAATGCGCTGGAAAATATGTAATCTTCGAGGATGATATAGTCGCCCTTTTCGCAAAATATTCTCAGCGCAGAGTCCCATGCAGAGGTGCTTCCAACAGTCAGACAGCATGCCCAATCCGAATATGGAGGATCATGAATCAGCTATGACAAAGTCAATTCTAGAAAAAAAAGCTTTCAATTTTGAAGTAACTGGACCTGGGTGTGTTCGGTGACAAATCGTAACATTTGTGCGGAGCCACTGCCTTGTCCATAGTTTAAGGCGACATCAAGACCTATCCGAAGTTTGGTTAAAAAATTTATGGTTCATCAGCCACTAGGCATGGGCAAAAATTGACAGCTTACTGTAATCGCTGACACCTGGCTCAAAGTCGAACTTTGCCATGGAAATCATGGTGGTATTCTCCTTCATGATTTCGGAAAAATCAATAGTGTTTGAAATCCGGACTTGTATCTCCTCAAATGGAAAACATGCGCTTGAGGGGGCACCAGCGCCGAGTGATATCATGCCTGAGTATGATGTATCAGGACCGGCGTCTCTATCGAGGAAAGAATAAATTTTGAGATAAATAATCATACCTGGCTGACTTGCTGCGCGAGCAGAGCTCTTGATGCTGGAGGGCTTTGCAAATTAAATTCAGTATAGTGAGTTCGTGTAGGTACGTACATGGCGAGTGATACCTTTCTTTTAGTAGCTTCCTCCGAAAGATAATCTGCTGGGTCCAAGTTCGTCAATAAACAGTAAACTGTGATACTCGAGGTCTATTTTGCTTTGACATACGATCCCATTTCTTCGCCAGAGGTTTGCCAGATCTAGTTGACTAGGGACAATGATTAGTTTACAAGTCTCAATCTGGTGATTTCTGTACCCTACCTCGCGTTTGAATAATTTGCTCTCACCATTGGCCTCAATGCTACCGAGCAAGCTCGCATTGTCTTGGCGCCACAGGGCAGTGCCCTTAACATCAATCTGGTCAGTGGCTCTCTTGGGAAACATATTAGCGCAACGGTGAAATGTGAGGGGTACTCAGGCAAATAAGTGCAAAGAGAAAGTTCAATCACGACGAGGGGAAGATTGCTTCAAAGCTGGAATCCCGATTTCGGAGCCCCATTATTTTTAATCGAGGTACGAGAAATAATCCATCACTTGTGACTTGTTCATGATCGCGGAGAATCTTTGACTTGCGGCTGGATCTACTATGGGCAGAGAGGGTTGTGGCTTGGCTCAGCCAATCGCGGAGATCCCGTAACCCGCAAAACTCCATAACAATGCCGATCATGCCTCGGGTTCTAGGCATTTTATTTGTATGCGGAATTTTAGGAGTTCAAGCGCCCCCTGCGGAACTGTGGTGGGATTGCTCCGCGATTGATTGGCCTACAGTGACATCCAAGACTTTGAGGTGGTGCTATGCGGGGTTCATCGGTTGTATAAAGAAGCTGCTTGGTCCACCTGTTGACATTTTAACTTGGACTTGCCCCCTTGCCCAACAATCAGATCCCATTCCTCTCGTATCTTGCTATACCAAATACCTATAAAACATCATGAGCAGTCAGGCAATCCCACGAAAGAGGAAGAAGGAAGATAGTGATGATGAAAGCGAGATCATAAAGGATGGCGCCCTGACATCCGCCGCCGAGAATTTCTTCGAGGCCTTGTGTACGGCAATAATCACTCAGAGAATAATTGGAGAAAGCTAATCTTGTTAATAGCTGAGGCTGGTATCTCTCACTGCTTTGTGAATCTGTAAGTCGTCAAATATCCCAAACTCTATGGAAGTCTCCTGACCGCTCTGTTAGGGGGAGCGACCATCCCGCCATGTTGGAAGCAATGATCAAAGCGAAACAAGGTGAGGGTTCAGTGCTCCAAATTCTGTTGAGCAAGCAGTTCTAACTTTACAGAGAATAAACCCAACTTTCCGAACATCATCACATGTCCTTCGGAGCTAGTTGCATTGTCAGCAGCGCTAGGATATGCCCAAGCTACAGGAATGCCAGTACGAGGATGATTCTGTCATATTGATTCCTATGAGCTAATGTTATCATAGCAATGTGTTATTGTCCACGTCGATTGTGGCACTCTTGCTTTGGGCCAATCGATACATAATGCCTCGGTGAGCAGGGTTCCTGTCTTGTGCTTTGCTGGTTTGAGTCCCTTCACTCAAAATGGCGAATTATTGGGTTCGCGGACAGAGTCAGTGACCCCAAGTTTCTGGAATTGCATTCTCGAAGCTCACTGAACAGCAGGTTCATTCATTGGTTGCAAGATGTACCCGATCAGTCTGCCATTGTCCGGCAATACTGTAGATATACAGGTGAAATCAAAACCGGGCGTAATATCAAACAGATGGTACGCCGGGCGTTAGAGTTTGCTACATCTGATCCCAAAGGCCCAGCATACCTAATGGCAGCGAGAGAAGTTCTTGAAGAAGTAAATTTCCCGATTCCAGAACAGTATGAGCTAGACTGACAATTGATATAGCGTGTGGGACCCGAAGCTTCAAATGGAGAAGTTGTGAGTCCAATTATGCCAAGTGCATTGCCAGAACAAGGTAGGATGATAAATTCTGTTTATTTTATAGCTGCAAGGCACTGATCACACTAGAGGTGGAATTGATTGCCAAGTCGCTCATGGGTGCGAAACGGCCGCTTGTAATCACAAGTTCTCTTGGAAGAAATCTCAAAACACCCGCGCTATTGGCCCAGTTGTGTGACAAGCTGCCGATTACGGTCGTGGAAATGGTCGGCTCCGATGTTTGCCTGAGAAGTGATCATGAAGGATATCGCGGTGTCACTGTCACAACTCATCCAGAAGTCCTCGAGGCCGACGTCATTCTTATTCTTGATTGTGATGTACCTTGGATTCCTACTGCTGGAAGACCTCAAAGTGGTAAATATATCGATAGACCTGGTTAAAATTCTTTGCTGACGGGTGTCGCAGGCACAAAGATCTTCCACTTGGATGTCGATCCGCTGAAACAGCAAATGCCATGTACGTTCTCGGACATATTATACTTCGGATTCGGCACTGACTAGTGCAAATCAGTATTTGCAATCAATGCAACTCGCAGACTGAGAGTTGGTTGCGGATATGCACTTCAGCAAATCAATACTTTCCTGGAAAAACAGGAAATTGATGCGACACGGTATACTCAGCAGTTTGCAAATCGGTCAAAGAACTATCACTCATGGAGGAAGACGTTGCACAATCTGGAATCACCGACAGAGGATGGCGGGGTGAGTGTGCCGTATTTAGCATCCAGATTGCGAGTCTCTCTTCCTCAGGACACCATTTACGTGTTGGAGGCTGTGACCAATGCAGGGCACCTCATTCATCATCTTAATCTGACTAAGGTTATTCATCTCTATCCATACGAATCTGAATTCATACACTAACAGTATTGCAGCCGGGGAGTCTTGTTGCAAGTGGTGCTGGCGGTCTTGGATGGGGAGGAGGTGCAGCATTGGGAGTCAAGCTAGGCAAGCCCGGATCTTTCATATGTGGAATGTGAGTCTCAATCGCGAAAAACCTTTGCAGCGTATCCGGATTTCTAACAAAAGAAAGTGTCGGCGACGGGGTGTATCTGTTCTCGCAAATGGAAAGCGTTTATTGGATCGCCAGGCGCTATGACATCCCATTCCTCATGATAGTTCTCAACAACGGCGGATGGAACGCCCCCAAAGTATCTGCTCTTCTCGTGCATAAAAATGGATTGTCTTCGAAATCAAACAGGAGAGGTAAGCTGAACCGAAGCTGGCGAGTAGTTCGTTCGTGATCACTAATTCAAAGCAGACTTGAATATCTCCTTTGATCCTTCGCCCGACTATCCTGGAATTGCGACCGCGGCCGGAAAGGCTTGGGGTGCAACAGTCACGACACAAAGCGGGCTCGAGCCTACCATAAAAGAGGCAACCGAGGTCGTCCATGGTGGGAAATGTGCAGTTATTGAAGTTTTGTTAGTGAGACGAACATCCTCTGATTGACACTACATTAACACATAGCCATAGGGTTCCGTCTATGTGGAAAGAAAATTAGGATAGGAAAGCCCCACCCGGCAGAGGAAATATGTTACGTACAGGTACCTAGGTATGCCTATGAAACCCTAGTGAAAGTTAAGTATGAGATTAGGGGTTCGATATATATTCCGTTTAGAAAGTCTGGCGACACTCTGTTACCTATCTATACGCTTCTAATACGGTTTCTCATCAGTATAATTTTAGTCGTTTGTTTTCCATTGCCTGAAGTTTCATTCCAATCGCCTTGCAGTCGTGCATGTATATAGCGGGTAAAAATCCCAAGATATTTCAAGGTTGCCACAACCTTCTATAACCAAGCAGGTCTTTGACCTTTTAAGACACAATATAGTACTGTATTAGGCATCACAATTTAGATCATCCAGACCATCGTTCAAGCGAAGTGTTTAGCATACATGATCAATGTATGTGTTCTTACGCAAGACATAATTGGTCTAAATGAAAGTGGAACCAGCGGTGATTCAGGCATACCAACAGCCGGGATTCAACGAAATATTTATTAATAGGGTTGCCAAGAGATCAAGTTGGGAGCTATCCGATATATCCGGACAAATATCCAAAGATGTAGTGGGCCCTGCAGTCAGCGTGAGTCTCCACTTCGGCAAAATCCAGCCTACTATTCCCCTTGTTACCCTTCGGGGGTTGCCCGTAGCTCCATTATTAGTTCTCACAGCCTCATCAACAAGAGAGCTGTGCCACCAAATACAATTCATTGTAATTTACCATTGGGCTCCTGGGGGAGCTTTGATCTATCTAGGTAGATAGTGGCACACTCAGGGAAATCCATATTCAATACCATTGACAATCTTGATCCAAAGCTGGGACCACGCTAATAGACACAACCGAACAATCGGTAGATCGATCGGCACAAAGTAAATTACCCAGAGGCACATTGTACTTGGCAGGTGGAGCGTAGTTGGCAAAATCAAAGCGAATGTGGGTCTATGTGTGGATATAATATGGGTATGAAGAAACCATCTGGGTAGGAGTCAGTCCAGCGAAAATCACTCTAACCATCGTCGTTGGTAGGCTACACGATCTATAATATACATTACGCCTACTAAAAATATGATATATTGCAGCCCAATATCCCCCGCGAACTGATATATCAGAATCTAACGGCTGGAATCTCGAACGAAGGTATTGTACATGCCTAGTCTCTAGCACCCACTAGTTCGCACTAGTCAGACTCAGGATGTAGATCTCAACCCAATCTCGATGTGCCCAAATCTTGAAATAAGTTTCTATTTTGCATGCTAATTTCAAATTCAACGAATTTCCATAGTACATAAATCTAAAATCTTCTTCTCTTAGCTCTCTACATCTTGACAGTAACGTTATGGACTTTAAAACGATGGACGAGAAGGCGGCGCCTTATATCCCAGATGATGTTTATCCTTTACACGTTTTGGATCACAATCCAGTTTATGTGGATTGGGTGATGCGATTCAACGATGTCCTTGACGCCGACATGTTGAAGAAATCGCTTTCCAGGCTCCTGGAGATTGGCGATTGGAGAAAGCTTGGTGGAAGATACAGATATAAGGTATGTGATGAGAGACTTTCGAGTCTTTTAGACTAGGACTCTACTAATAAACACTAGCCGGACGGCAAATTAGAAATCTTCTGCCCTGGATCATCCGCAGGAGATAGAGAAAATGTATCTTTTACGCACGAAGTGATCGACTCGAACATTCTAGCCCATCCTGTGGCTAGCAAACTTCCTCTGAAAACCGACGGCCCGTCAGTCCAGACCCTTGAACCCAACTTTCGGCCATTTGATGGGAGGCTGAACTTCCCGAAGTTTGAGGAATTGACAAAACACGATATCCCTCCCATTTCCGTACACGTTACCTCGTTTAATGATGCAACTATTGTTGCTCTTTCATGGCCACACCATCTGATGGATGCAATGGGTGGTAAAGCTCTGCTGTCTGCATGGTCATTGGTTCTGGCTGGACAAGAAGAGGAAGTTCCTGAGGTGGTGGGCGCCCGAGAGGACATTCTCAAAAACCCAGAGATTACTGCGGAAAATGACGAAGAGTTCGCGTTAGGCAAAAGCCGTATGGGTGGTATAGGCCTTTTACTGTTCCAAGTACGATTCTTGTGGGATTGTCTTTGGAATGGATCTCGTGAAAAGAAAGTGATATACATTCCCAAGGAAACATTCAAGAAAATTGAAGATCAAGTCAAAGAGGATATAGCTGCAAATGTCAGCGGGGTCGAGACTGCTCCCTGGGTGACTGAGAATGATATCCTCGTATCGTGGATGGGTCGAGTCTTCGCAACAACTGAACAAAGCTCCCGTCCCATCACAATCTTGAACTTCTTGAACCTTCGTTTCCGAGTTCCACTTTTGCTCAGAACGCCCGGTATACTGCTACAGAATATCTGCGTTGGAACATACACATTCCTTTCTGCTGCAGTCGCTCGGGGCCCGGTGGGGCAGATTGCGCTTGAAAACCGGCGCCATACTGCTCAGCAAGGAACCGATGAGCAAGGCCGCAGATTCATGATGAGTATATACAAAGATATCGAGGAAGGCAGAACCCCTCATCTCTTTTATGGGCCCATCACCGGAGTTGTTTTGCTCGTCAACAACGTTATTAAGATCGAGTTGATCAAAACTGTCGATTTCGCCCCAGCGGTCATTCGCACGGGGGAGGACTCAAAGACCAGAAAAAATCCTCTGGGAAGCATGGTCAGCTACTACAACGCATATCTCGATGGCATGTATGATGCTCTGAACACATTGGTGATGTATGGAAAGGATCATGCCGACAACTACTGGATTGGCGGTGCTCTCTTGCCTAGGGCTTGGAAGGCCATCGATGAAGCACTGAAGAAGTTATAATGATGGGGAATATCCCATATGGCTGTATATTAGAGAAACTATTGGTCTTCTTAATAGTGAAAAAATACAAAAGTTGTGGGTTTTTGATATTCAGTACTGCCTGAGGCATCAACCGTTGCTAGGGAGATTCAAAACAAATTGATATCGATAACGACTTGTTTCAACTTCCTAACCCCCACCATCGACATTCGACACTCGACACTACTCGACCCTTAGGATTGTGGCATGAAATATGTAAGTGATTGATGCTTATTTTTTGTACTTTCCTAAATGTCTTGGGCCAAGATTCTACTCTTGAAAGCCACTTCAAATTGGTCGATCGCAGATAGCACACAAAGACTAACCTCACATTCCAGTCCTCTGATTGAATTTTCTTCGCCTGAATTGATGTAGAGGGATGAAGACTTAGCCGCATCAATAACTTGAGAGTCGAGAATACGAAATTGACCCCTCCGATCCCGATCGAGACGTGCCTCCAAAACACACCGCTCGTTGAACAACATGGCTAGAGAAAGCACCGCGCCGGCAGAAGTTCCCCTCACGCCTGGGGCCAACCCGAACTCTCAGCCTCGCCCCGCACATATGAAGGAGCCAGAATTTGGCAAACCATCGCCGATCGGCCCACAACAGAGATCGAATCACCTTTTTAACATTCCCAAACCAAACCAGGCTCGGGCCGAGCATCATCGAGTTCCCCAACCATTCACATCCCAAGCCGACCCACGGGCGCCCAGACGAGACCAGCAAGGTCCTCCGCCACACGGCTTTCGTCCACCGGTCACCGGCACCCCTATTGCAACACCCTCGGTGAAGCGTAGTGAGCCATGGGACCCTTTCAAGCCGGTGGCGCCGTCTGCCTACAACAACCCCCGCGGAGGCTTTCAGCACGGTTCTGTGAGCATCAAGCGCCCTGAAAATGTCACTTGGACAACTCCTCGGGCGCCTCGGCCTATCTTCCAATCCAAGCCTCTCCCGCCGAAGATGTCGAATTCGTCGAAGAACCTGCAAAGCTTCATTGATCTTACACGCGATGAAAATGAACCTGCCCATAGAGCACCAGCTAGTAATGGTCACCCCAACTTCGGGGCCATGGATATGAACGGCTATGTCGATGCGGCTATGGCGAACGAGAACATCAAAGCTTTGCTAGAAGGTGCATTCGAAGACGATGAGGAGAAAGCAGAGTCCAAATCCAAAAGCAAGAAAAAGAAAGGGTCAAGAAAGAAGCAGCCCAAAAAGAAGGAAGACGTTGCGGACAAAAAGGAAGAACAAGCAGCCGACGACCTTGATGATCTTGCCGCTCAACTCTCTGGCGTCACTGTCAAAGACCCGAAGGAGGATGCCAAATTTGACGAGCTAAATGAATCATCTGTGAAGGATAGCGAGAGCCATAACCAAGCTGCCGAGGAAGACGAAAACAGCGCTGAGGCTGAAAAGGAGGAAGAGGAGGAGGAGGAGGAGGAGGAGGAAGAAGAAGAAGACGAAGAAGATGATGGGGTCGTTGAGGGCCTGAAAGTCACCTTATTGCCCCATCAGATTGAAGGAGTTAGATGGATGTGCGACAAAGAGAACGGGCGAAAGACGTCCAAAGGAATTTTTCCAAAGGGCGGAATTCTCGCAGATGACATGGGCCTGGGCAAAACCGTCCAAGCAATTTCTTTGCTACTCAAAAACCCCAAATCCGCCAACGAACACAGCGAAGACAAAGGTTCCAACGAAAAGGAAGGCAAAACAACCAACAAAACAACCAAGTTGCCCCCGAATTGCATCAGCTCCACCCTTGTTATCGCACCCCTTGCGCTGATCAAACAATGGGAAGCGGAAATCAAGGACAAAGTTGAACCAAGCCACAGGCTGAGTGTCTGCCTCTATCATGGTGCAACACGTGCCAAAACTGCGACTACTTTGGATAAATACGATGTGGTGATCACAACATATGGAACTCTTACCTCCGAGTTCAACTCATCAGCATCTGACAAGGCCAAGAAGGCGGGAATATTCGCAGTTCACTGGTACCGCATTATTCTTGATGAGGCGCATACTATCAAGAATCGTAACGCCAAAGCCACCCAGTCAGCCTATGCTTTAGATGCTCAGTATCGCTGGTGCTTGACCGGCACGCCTCTACAAAACAACCTGGACGAGTTGCAGAGTTTGATAAAGTTCCTTCGCGTGAAGCCTTACGATGATTTAGCCGCCTGGAGAGATCAAATTAGCCGACCTTTAAATAATGGTCGGGGAGGTCTTGCCATTCAGCGACTCCAAGTGTATTTGAAGGCATTCATGAAACGTCGCACTAAGGATGTACTCAGGCTCAATGACAGTGTCAAACCTGGCGAGGAAGCGCCAGATGGAAAGCCAAAAAAATCATCCAATGGGTTCCATATCACCAAGCGTGAGGTCATCAAGGTTGCCCCTGAGTTCATGCCTGGCGAGTTGAATTTCTACAAACGCCTGGAACAGCGAACAGATAACAGCCTTGAGAAGATGATGGGCGGTTCTAAGGTCGATTACGCGGGCGCTTTGGTCTTACTCTTACGTCTTCGTCAATCCTGCAACCACCCGGATCTGGTCAAGGGTGATTTGGCCAAGGATAAAGATATTCTCTTGCAGAACGGCGCTTCGAACAGCCAGTCATCCCAAGCCAAGTCAGATGACCTCGACAATATTGCCGATCTCTTCGGCGCGATGAGCGTTGTCACGAAAAAATGTGATGTTTGCCAGACGGACCTTAGCCAAGACGAGGTCAAGGCTGGTGGTACTCGCTGTGCGGAGTGTGAAGCTGATTTAAACATCAATGTCATGGGCACAGATAAGAAGAAAAAGAAGAAGTCAAAGAAGAATCAACACGAGGAACTCGATATTCTAGAATCCCCGTCCGCCCGCAAATCTGAGGCGCCAATTTCCCGCTCTCGCAGAAACCGACGAGTCATTCTCGACAGCGACGATGAGGACGAAGAAGGTGACTGGATCGTCCCCGAAGATCAACGCAAGACGCACAACCTCGGCAAGGCTGGCGGATTGGATGACGAGAACGCTGAAGGTGGTGGTGAATGGCTTAACTCAGAAGATGAAACGGATGATGAAATCGAGTCACCGTCCAGGAGAAAGAGCAAACCTATCGTTCTCAGTGATACAGAGGAAGAATCCGACTCCGAGGCGGAGGATATCTACAATGATGAAGGCGAAAATGGAGAGCTTCCATCGACCAAGATTCGCCACTTGATGCGCATTCTCAACCGCGAGGCGCCGGATTTCAAGTTCATTGTTTTCTCTGTCTTCACCTCTATGCTTGACAAGATTGAACCTTTCCTTAAGCGCGCCAACATTGGCTTTGCCCGCTACGACGGTGGAATGACAAACAACCACCGCGAGGCCAGTCTCGAGAAACTACGCAACCATAGTGGAACTCGCGTCCTTCTTTGCAGTCTGCGTGCTGGTGCATTGGGTCTCAATTTGACTGCGGCTAGTCGTGTAGTCATCCTAGAACCATTCTGGAATCCAGTAAGTGGCTGAAATATCCATCCACTCGGCTTTTTGCTAATTGTTTATTTAGTTCGTAGAAGAACAAGCCATCGACCGTGTCCACCGCCTTAACCAGACCGTCGACGTGAAGATCTACAAGATGGTCATCAAGGGCACTGTTGAAGAACGAATCGTCGCTCTACAAGATCGCAAGCGCGAACTAGCCAACGCCACAATCGAGGGCAAGACCGGTGCTGGCAAGTTGACCATGCGTGATATGATGGCTCTCTTTGGTCGTGACGCCGAGTCCAGATTCACAGATAACCAAAGCACTCTGGATTTCAACCAGCCTACCCGCCTCTTGAACAATGGCGAGACTGAAACCGGTCCCTCGACTTCTCAAACTTCATCGAATTCTGATCTACGCAGTCGTGGTCGCGAGTTCAAAGCTAACAAGCCACGAACTGAGGACTCTGTTTATGGTCGACGATGGTAATGACACGATTTTATGAATTGATACCGGGGAAGGATCAGGAGTCTTGGTTGGAGTGATGGATCTTTGTAGGGTATTATAGAGGAGCTACTTCATTTATTGTCCGATATTCCAATTGATCGTTATTTTGTTGTCATTATTCTGTTTTCTGTGTTCCTCGACGTCAAGAATCTCTTGATGGTGTTCGCAGCCGATAGTTTGCCATGACCGTGTTCCAGCTCCACGCCAGATGGAACCTTGGGTAAGGATCTTACATATCAATTTCACGCGTCCTGTCCGGGAAGTATGCCCACAAGTCAGAGTCTGGTCCAATTTTCAAGTGGCAATTCCTCGCTTCGCTCCGGAATTTTGGTCCGATTGGTACACTTTGACTGGATAATAGTTCCCCGCAGTTTTTATACTGAACAGGCGAGTTCTGAACGATCAGGATATTCATTGCCCCAATCATTGATCGCTTGTTTTGGATCGTGCTAAGAGCGTGCCAGGGCGATACTCGATCCTCTCCGTCTGTGACAAAAACTGTCGGATTGGTCGAATGAAATGTGACGTTGGGTGATCACAACCTGTGGCCACTCGCCATCCAAGCGCATTTGCACTATCAGCTTGACCAGGCAGGATACATAGCAGCTGTGGGGTATTCTCCATAAGCTAGTCTCTCAACGGGTCTAGACAGACACTCTATGTCGAGTTCAATGGTCCTGGTCCGGGGTCATCAAAAGTTGCCTTCATGTGCCTCGATACTAATCCCACCATACTTCGGATGGAACTGAACTTTCTTTACAAAGAGAGAAAAACTGCTTGCAGGGAAACAAATAGTATACGATGCCAAAACCACGTAGTAAGCACTGGTTGATGAACATCTTGGGAGTTCATATCTCCAGGCCGAGGGTATTTTCACAGCTCAACCCGTACCACGGTTTGATGTCCTGGTTTATGGAATGTGAGCCATTTTCCGATGGTAGTCTCCGGCGAACCGGACAAGGGAACCGAGAACATATCCCCAGGGAGAAAGCTTGTCTATTGCGGCTCATATTTTGATAGGTCGAGAGCTCAGGACAAAAAGCACGAGCTGGGGAACAGAGTCTATGGTACCCCTAGACAATTAAGATCCATCGAGATGCTTCAGTCTCTCACACATCCACTTAATTCTTCTCCTAATTTCTGCATTGTCTTAACGGGTTGTCAATATATCCTGGCCTCAAAGCTATGAACTTCCCTTTGAGCTAGTCATTCCCTTTTATTTCTTAGTGAGCTGCTCCCCAATCGTCTTCTTGTACCTTTGGTCATGGCTAACTTTTAATATTTGCTAAGGCATCCTATTGTCAATCGTTTCCTTGCCGAGACGTGGCGATCTTAGATATGTCCGCCCCATCTGACGCCAAAGACTATAGCGACTGGACAGTGATCTACGACGATCAGAATAAAAAAAATGAAGACAAGCTGTCTGATAGAAGGAAAACACTTGCACGCACACTCTCAATACCCAAGACGATGTGTATATTGTCCGACACGAAGACTGAGATATCCACAGTGGCTGAGCTGCCCTCGCCCAAACTGAAGCTTCCTCAATTGGGCGACGAATCAACCGAAAGAGTCTTTCCAGTTCGTTCGGTCGTTTCGTTTGATTCGACGCAATCATCTGCGTTACCAACTCCCTCTATTGATAAACTTGAAACGCCAATATCGCCATTTTCAGACACTTGGACTGGTGGCCTCGGTGATGAGGATGGCTGTCGACAGAAAAATGGTTCTTCCAGGGGTTTTAATATGGATTCGAGTGCTTCCAAGACGCATGAATTTTCTGCCCGGGTCCGTCAAAAGAGGGAGAGTGAGAGCGACACTGCATCTGTGCCCAAGGAGCAGCCCACGCCAGGTCAAGGTTATTCAAAGGAAACACCCGGAGGGAAAGGACACGTTTTGGCAAATTTGCAAGAAACTATGCGAAACGGCAGTGATGTTCTCGGTACCCACAAGAGAACAAAGGAGATACAATATTCGCACGAAGATGAAGAGGATATTTTCATTCAATCCTTTGGTGCACTTCTTGTGGTTACCGAGTCTGACGGCAACTTGGAGATACAGATAGCCAGCAGCAACTCCAAGGATATCATTGGGTATTCTCCTGACGAGCTCTTTGATATGCAATCACTTTGTTATGTCTTGCCTCCCTCTCAACGACGCATCTTCATAAATCACTGCAACTCTGTTTTGAGCAACCAATACGATGTTGAAGCTTCGGGTCCAGATGTCTTCTCGTTTTCCATATTGTCACCAACTGGTGTCACTCAATACCATTGGTGCATCATGCATACCAGCAATATACATAAAAACTACATTATCTGCGAGATTCAGCCGGAAACTTTTCCTGTTCACTTGGATGAAAACATAAACAAACTCGCAAGGTCAGAAAGTGAACAATTAGACTCGACTTCAGGGGCATATTTCAAGAGCTTGAAACCCCCAGACACAAACGACAGCAACACACCCAATCCATCGGAGCTTCTCAACACAGTTCCCCGAATCCTTCGACAACTAACAAGTTCCCAAACATTGGAAGCCCTTGTTCAAGACACCATGACCATTTTGCAAGAGGTTGTTCGATTCGACAGAACATCCATATATCACTTTGATAGTGATCGGAATGGCATCGTTGTCGCAGATGCCAGCTCATCTGCCGAGTTCATTTCGCATGAAGGCGTCCATTTCCAGGGGTCAGCATTCCCAGAAACAGCAAAAGCACAATACACGCGCAACATTGTCTCTTTCTCTTATTCGGGGACTCATGACAAGGCAAGTCTTGTGTATCGTGCTTCTCCCAACAAACTGCTACTGGACATGGCCCACACCTATCTATCAGTTGCACCAACGCCCTCGAAACCCCATGCAGAGAATCCAGTCAGAGCTTGTTTGTCCATTCAAATAAGTGTGTGTGGTAAGCTTTGGGGTCTTATTTCATGTAAGTCCTACACAAGTAATCAAGGATTGCATCCACTGAATCAGAAACTCTGCTGGTTTATTTCCGAGGCTGTTTCGAGCAACATCAAGCGCCTATCGTACAGTCTGCCCTTTCAGCTGAGGGAGTCCAATGTTTCCCCAAACGACGCAGATAAAGTGGCGGCAATCAAGACTCCACCAGGAGACTTACTCAGTCTCTTTGAGGCAGATTATGCCGTGGCATCAATTCTTGACGAAACAAAAATCCTGGGCAAACCAATTGATTCGCAGGAAGTCCTGGCTTTACTTGAATATATGAAATCGAAGGAGAACGACACTCCCCTCTGGTCTACAGACGTTGCCTCAGACTTCCAAGATCTTAATTACCCACCAGGGTTTCACCATCTGGCAGGTCTACTCTATATCCCACTCTCGCGGGATGGGCATGACTTCATCATTTTCTTTCGAGCTGATTCTGGGGACTTTAATCCCGAAGAGATCCCCCAAAATCCTGCAAATCATGAAGCGGAGAAATCGAGCCGACAGCAACTTTGGTCAACCGCTGAATTCGGGAAAGCGTCTATCTTGTCTCTACTGTACAGGACATTTACCGATCTATGGCAAGAAAAGGAGGTCACTATGCAAAACAATCAGTTGATGAGGCTACTTCTTGCCAACTCTGCGCATGAATTTAGAACTCCGCTCAACGCCATAATAAACTACTTGGAAATTGCCCTCGATGGACCTTTGGACCGAGAGACAAGACATAATATATCTAGATCCCATTCTGCCTCCAAATCATTGGTATATATCATCAACGACCTTCTGGACCTCACCAATACCGAAAATGGACAACGATTGATCAAAGACGAGGTGTTCAACCTTTCAGAAACCCTAACCGAGGCGACCGATATCTTCTGGGAGGAAGCAAGACAAAAATATGTCGATCTGCAGGTAGTCCAACATGCCGCTCTACCCCCGGTTCTTGGAGACCAGCGACGGGTACGCCAAGTCATTACCAATCTGATCAGCAATGCTGTACAGCATACGTCGTCCGGAGCCGTCACAATCGAATCTTGTGTCGTGCCGGAGTCACTGGATTCCAATCAGATTTCCGTGGAAGTTGCCATCCACGATACTGGGTCGGGCATGTCACAGGAGACGGTAGAAATCCTCTTTTGTGAACTAGAGCAGGTATCCAACAAGGGATACATGCAGGACCCCAAATCCTACGAGCAGTCCAATGGCCAATTTCTGGACACTGAGGGTGTTCTTGGCCTGGGGCTCGCTCTCGTAGCTCGAATCGTGCGAAATATGAATGGGCAGCTGAGCTTGAAGTCTGAAGCAGGAAAGGGAAGTTGCTTCAAGATCAGGCTTAAGTTCCCTCTTCCCGAAGAAGACTGCGGACAAAGGCAGAGCCCACTCGCTGCGTCAGACGAGAGTTTGAAAATAGACGAGACAAGGCGGAAAAATGCATCGCTTTGTGCGCCGGGCCAGAATAAAAATGGAGTTCCTTGTGAGTGTGGTGAGAGTCCAGAGTTTTCGTCCGGAGAGCCTGTCGTCAATATCGATGTCAGTCTCAAATCTGGCATGACCAAGAATCTCTGTCTTCGCGGGAATGAGCTTGAAAAGAGCAATCTCTTAGATGAGAGCGACCCAAGCATAGCCACCAAGCATTCACCATCGAAAGCAACTCAAACTCCCTCCAAGAGGCGTTCCTCGTCCACAATTGCAACAAAAGAGACCCAAGACCAAACAAGCGTATCCCCAACGATGAATTGGAACCTCCACGTTCTCGTCGCTGAGGATGATCCCATCAACAGCACTATCGTCCGCAAGCGCCTCGAAAGGCTCGGCCATACGGTCCACTTAACCGCCAACGGCAAGGAATGCGCAACTATCTACAACCAAAATCCTACACGCTTCGATGCTGTACTGATGGATCTACAAGTGAGTCGATATGTTTTTCCACAGAATATACCCACCTAACCCCGATGTTCTGCCCACAGATGCCTATTGTTGACGGACTCGGCGCAACAAAGATCATACGCGAGTACGAGCAGCAGGAGATAGCAAATGAGTCGGCCCTAGCACCTCGTATCCCAATCTTCGCGGTTTCGGCGTCTCTGCTGGAAGAAAACCGCGAGATGTATATCGACTCTGGATTCGATGGCTGGGTGATGAAGCCGGTTAACTTCCAGCGGGTGGATCGATTGCTGGGAGGGGTGAAGCTCCCGTGGGTGAGAAGGGAGTACGTTTATGAGCCGGGGATGTGGGAAGAAGGGGGGTGGTTTGAAGCTTAGGCGATGCTATCAAAGATCAAGAACGTGGAGTTTCAGTTCACTTTTACAGAGATAGAAAAAGCATTATATGTGTGAATGCGAAATGATCCAGGTCCATTATATGCAGGCGAGCTCAATTAAACTCATGGTATCTAGGCAATGCAATGCAGCGCAAATTGTCAATTAAGTAAATTCATAAACATTGAAATCAGTAGTACTCCGGCATGCCTGAGAAATCGGGGATTGTATCGCCGCACTTGAAAGATGGTGAATATGCTTTGTTGGGCATGAATCCGTTCTTCCATGCTGTACGATAACTCCACTGTGCTGCAGACTCAGTGCGCCATGTCCAGTAGAACCAACCCATGGCTGTTTCAAAGGCGGACATTTGGGCTTCGGCGTATATCTGGAGGAAGCTTTTGTATGTGTCTGAATATTGGGAAGGGTCGATGTTGGCATTGGAGCAGCTGCAGGTTCCGGCATCTGCTGTTGGGCAGTATGCTGTTGAATCACTTGTGTCGTAGGTCCCCTCCCAGCGGGTGCCACGGCCGACATTGTTTACATATTGTGCACAGTCCGTGTCGGCTTGAGACCATTCGCCACATACAGTTGGGCCCCATCTGATCGGGTTAGTACATAAAAGCCATTTGCAGGAGGTGACAGAGCTTACCCAGAAGTGGTGGTATTAATCTCTTGGATCATCGAATACCAGTTATTGCAGATGATCTCGACCTTGGCGGTATGATTAAGTACGATTTCACCCGTGTTGAATGTGGTGTACTGGTGAGTATCGAGATACATATTGTCTGGATGAGTTTTGAACATCGCGTCCCACTTGTCGAGGTTCAAGAATCCATCATGCAGAACGAGAGTGGCAGTGACGCCGTTCTTGCGAACGAGTTCTGCTGCATCCTGCGTCCAGTTTAGGACACTTTCAACGGGGAGAGTCAGCATTAAAGGTTCATTCACTAAGCCGTAGATAGTGACCACATTCTTGTACCGATCTTGGGCGAAAAACTGCGAGAGCTGATCGTGGATTTCTAGTGACCGCTTGCGATTGAGGGCGCCGTCTGAGCCATTCAACCAACCAACGCTGCCCTGGCGGCCACTGTGGTTCCAGCCGTTCTGGCTGCCAGGAAGTCCATGGAGGTCGAGCTTGACACGCAGTCCGTTCTTGCGGCACCACTCAATGGCACGCAGAAGATAACGCCAGGCAATCTTTGGGACGTACGGGTCGCCATCATAGGTTGTGACGGCCCAGTAGGAGTATTGCATGCGGACATGGTCCAACCCCGCCTCCTTTATCTCTTCAAAATCTGACTCTGTGATGAAGTTCGCATAGTGTTGTTCAATGGTAGCCGCTGCAGAGCTACCGAGCTTTTTGGTCAAGGTATACTCATCGATGATTCCATCACTGGATGACCATTTACTGAATAAAGATGGAACAATAAATGGTTCGATAGACAGCCACCCTCCGATGTTGACTCCGCGGATTGGCTGAGTGCCGTAGGGGAACGCCTTGTTGAGGGCAGGTACATTGTCATTGGGGCGTGCAGAATCATCCCAAGTCGAGTTGAGACCCATGAGCGAAAGACCACCAACGGTGGCATTTGTAAAAGTGAGGTTGAAACCAGTGGTCTCGTACCATGTGAAGGGATCCAGGACTGTGCCTTTTGCGTAACTCTAAAGTATAGCTGTCAGTGAGATTGGTAGAATGGATCGACTCAAGACTTACCGGAATACTGTCACGACTAATACTGTCCAAATTAGAAGTGGGACCGTCCGAGCTGCCGGAGGAGCTGGAGGAACCGGTATCCGAGCCTTTCTTCTTAGAGACAACAAACGCAACCGGGATGACGATAGCCAGGACGAGGACCACGAGTAGCAAGCATCCGATGACGATACGCTTCTTTTTAGACCAATTGGACCAAAACTTCCAGCCCGGTGGCCCTGGTCGGCTATCATAGCTTCCCTCCCAGCTGTCCTCCTCCTTCCATTGGTCTTCCATCGCAGGACCGCCGCCACCACGACGACGAACCCGAGCATCAGAACTATGTCCCTCTTCCAAGTAAGCACCCGAGACAACCCGTGCCCCCGATTGATGCCGTGAGCGGCCCTCCGCAACTTTAGCACCGAGCGCCGCACCAGCAGCTTCATCAAGGGCAGCCCGTTTTCGCTGTCTCCGCCGCTCCCTGCGTGAATCATCTTCGTCTCGAGACTGCTCCTCGCGATCGGCATCTTCATGCTGAGCAGCCAGACGGGCCATAGCATCAACACTAAGAAGATGTGAGGCACTGCCCGAAGACTCGGTACTTCGATGTTTCCGCGCCGGCACCGCAGCAGCAGCATCAATATCCCACTGGCGTTGGCGTTCCTTCTCCCGTTCTCTTTCACGTTCGCGCTCTCGCCGTCTGCGCCGGCGCGCCTCAGCTTCAATGTCAACGTCAATATCACGGTTCCGTCTATCCCTTACGGGACTCCCAGTCTCATCCCGTCGCCGATACCCATCACGGTCCCGGTCCCGATCCCTCTTCTTGATAGGTGACGTAGCGGGAGACTCCTTTGCCTTGGAAGTGCCCCTCTCTCGCCGTCTGTCTGAAACAGGAGACCCGTAGGCAAGCGCTTCTTCTTCTCGGCGACGACGTCTGCGTTCCCTCCTCCGCTCGCGCTCTTCGTCATATTCATCCCGCTCGGTGTGGGAGTTGGACTCGTACCCGGACTCCCCGCGGAACCGGTATTTTGCGCTGCGCTCGTTTCTGGGGCTTGGTGTTGCAGCCTCGTCTGGTTCTTCATAGCGGCCGCGGATGTAGTCGCGCTCCCGGTCGTTGTCGCGGTCTCGGCGGGAGCGCTCTTGGTCGCGTGTGCGATCGCGATGTCTGTCGCGACGGTCTCGGTCGCGCGATTGGCTCGGCATGCCTAATAGGAGTTGAGATACTTGCCGATCGCGAGGTTCAGAATGTGGGATCCACGTGGCTGGACGAGTCCATTGGTGGTGGGTTGGTGCGGCCTGGTTTGAGGAGAGGTTGGAATGTGGATCTACTACTACACGTGTACTTTTTGGTGAGACTTGTCGTTACGTATGAAATATGTCAATTGGCTTTAGACCAGACCAGATACATGTATATATAAATACGTATACATGGACATTCCACTCACCTTTCGTATAGCCGGATGCTCTTGACTATTAGTCGCTAAAAATCGCTGATTTGCTTGCCGCATCCTTATTATAGCCCGTGTTTACGGCGCATCTACTACAGTCAATTTATTTTTCTCTAAATTCTTAAACCTCTGATACCAAGGTAAATTTTATCTAAAATCAATGATATGTATACATAAATATAAAAAAAAAAGCCTAAAATTGTAGGATTTAGGTGTATCCTCGTTGCAAAGGTCTACGATCTCGGAGTTCAGAGTACTTTAAGCACTTTAAGCCCTAGGCTTAGCCCCAGTTTTGGGCGGGTACCTTTATAAAGATATCCATATTCATTGGACTGAGGTTTATTGTTTATATCTTTTCCATCAACTCCGTATCCTAATACTCTTTACTTTGCCAAGCTATTCATATCTACATGATCTATGGGGTAAACAGACAAGGTAAACAGAGAACGCGTACACAGTCGCATACCGCCTTCAAGTACTGCCAGCAATGAATGGCGCGTCACTCGATCCATGAATGTGAGTAACCTCTACAAGAACATAAACAAACATGGCAATGTGAGAATCTTGTAGGCTGAGTAGCGGGACCGAGGAGAATGCCGAATTGTATTCCATCGTTTGATTGGCAAAGGACATTTTTTCCGGGTGGAGGGATTGGAAGCAGAGAATGATGAATAGTGCGTCTAAAAAGTCTCTACTAAGCAGTGAACAGACCTCTGGAGCTATAATGGTGATACTCACGTGGAAGCAAATAGGTGCTACCAATTTTAAAGTACCTATCTAGGTAGCTACACAAATTAGAGGCCGCCGCTGCGCGAAGCGCAGCTTTCGGCTTTTTATAGGACTATATATCATTACAGATTGTCAATTTTTCTTCGATGTTGTGGTGGGATCTTGATGGATTAGGCTGCTTTGTTTTGTTGTTGTTTTTTTCCTCTACTGTTTGAAAATATATGATTACCACTTGATGTGAGACAAGACAAGGAATGGGCACAGCTGCCGCAAAGGTCTATATGCTACGATAATAGGGAGATTTACGTGGATATGGCCATGGGTCATGGAATAATCCCTTGCTTTTTCATTCGCACTAATGGCACGACCTTCGTTCTCTCCAAGGACCCATAAATAAGCCATTGTGTGATGTTTTTTGGGTCTGATTTAGAAGCTAGGGTTTTTCGGCTTGTACTTGCGTTTCCAATTTCATATTCCACACGAGCAAGTTCCAGATCTCCGAGTTTGAGGTATATTTCACCCAATGCACAGTGAAGAGCCTCCCATCTGCGCGACGAAGAGCCTGCATGATCATGGTATCTTTCATGTTCCTCGCAAAGGTCTTTGTAGCGGCTGAGGGCACGACCGTACTCTCCCATGAGCATGCTGTGGCGGGCCATGTTCCATTTTATGCGGAGTGCAAGGGCACGGGGACTATTTATCCCTTTTGAGATACTTTCTGCGTCGTAAATAATCTGGGTGGCGTCTTCTATGTTTCCTTGCATAAGCATGGCTTCCACGCCACTTATGAGTGTGGAGATTGTGCCGACGTTTGAAATCCCGGCTTTGTTCGCGTAGAGGTCGGTACAGTGTTGGAAGATGGACACAGCATTATCGATATTGTGTTTGCGCATCTGTGAATGACCTTGTAACACTTGAACATCTTTTAATGCAACCATGTGCGGATGAGGCGCCTGTGACTCGGCTGAGCTTAGCCTGTTTATCATCGTCTCTGCCTCTTCAAGTAACATATGTTCGAGATAAAACAGTGTCAGCCATGTCATTGTTGTACATGTCAGTGATGCTGATTCTCCGATCCAGCTAGACAGTAGACCAAGAGATTCCAGTAGAAGGTCTTGAGTGAGTTTTTTTTCCATCGCTGTACATGGCAAGGAATGCAGCAAATGCTGTTTGGTGGCCCTCCAAGATACCGCCGTAAATTTTCATGTCATCATGGCTGGCGATCATGCATGTGCGCATTTTGGTACACTCCAGGATGTTTTTACGAATGATCTGTCTATGCTGAACCTAGATTATTTCCCAGTCATTAGCTGACAGGGAAGCAGCTACGGTAGCTGTAGTTCGGAGCATGATCCGAGGACCGAGGTAGGGTTCCGCTGAAATGACCTTCCTTTGAGCCCAATGTTTCACCACCGTATGCATTTGTAGACCCCTTGCACCACTCTCACCTACCAGCTCGGTTTCAGTTAGCCCATAGAGGCCTATACACGTGACTGCGTAGAAGAAAAGTTGGGAGCTCCATTCCCTGTCTTCAATAAACAATCCGTAAAACGAAGGAAGGGTTTCACCCCGGAGCTGGGCTACCAAAAAACGGTCCTTAAACAGAAACTCCGCCGGGGCAGCCATAAATGACAGTTGGAACAAGAGATCTGCCAATCGATCATCGTCGTTCTTTAATTCTTCAAGGCCGGCATGGTAGGCCGAATCCACTCCGTCGGTAGAATCTGACTCTTTTCTTCTCTCCCTTCTGTCCAACAGGGCCAGAAATTGCCTGGGTGTTAATCCCTTCCTCTGCATCTCAGACCGCGTTATATGCAACTTAAGAGGTAGCCGCCCCATCTTTCTCGCAATTTCTTTTGCAGCATTCAATTGACCGGGACTCGAAGAGACAAGAGATTGATGAAGAATGAATTGTCCAGCATCCTCTTCTGCAAAAGGTGCTATTGGTATTTGAATACCCCTAGATCGTGTAGCTTGCCTTGCGGTGGTTATAATCACGTCGCGCTGGCGGCCATCTGCAATGAACTCAAGCAAAAGTGGATCAGGATCGATGGCGTTGGGGCCATCGAAGACCAAAAGCCATGGTCGATCTGAATGAACCTGACTATTCCAGAACAGGTCTCGCAGATCGTGATCACTAAAGAAATGCCGCCGAATACTGCGAGGACTTCGGCACCGGACATGAGGTAGATAGTTCTTATAGCCGGACTTGTGGCGGTTGATTAATGTTCCATGCGGAAAGAGAACAAATGCGTCCTCCATAGAGGTTAGGTTGGAGGGGCGCAGCATGTTTAGTGCCCGAGCTGAACACTGCCCAGGATGAGGCTTGGAATGTATCGAGGGTAATATTCAATTCAATTGATATATTTCACAATAAATAATCACAAACATTATGTACACTTATACTAGCCCATAAACACATACAAGCTCCGATCCATTCTAACCATCTTATAAGGTCATGTCCATAAACGAGTGGGTATGTAAACTCCAGGGAATCAGAAATAGGATTGAAAAACACATCATTTCGAAATAAACACGAAAGCATCAAACCCACCGAGAGAATGTAGGAAGAAAAAGGTAATAACATGCGTGGATCTGGTTATTTGGTTCTGCCGTGGACATCTGTACAGTTGTGAAGGGAATAAGCAGAGATAAGAGAAAGAATGATGATATCAGAACAATATGAATTCTTGCTGTTCACGGGGAATCTAAGAATGAAAGGTAGGTTGATGGTGCATCGAGCTTTCCATCTATGGCTGCAGTGAGTTACACTCGAACGCACTGTCAACTCGCATAATGCAATATTGGTTTCCTCCACTCCATAACGAAGTGAAAAGGGTCGGAGACGCATGGAAATGGTGGCAGCTGTGCCAAAAGGAGGGAGGAGAGATTCCAGGGCTCTTCCAGGGCCATTCGTCTCCTTGGCGCTATACGGTAGCATTGAGACGGCCCCGAAGTCACCTCAGATTCAAGTAGAGATTGTGGAAGATGGCACACAAGCCCAGGTGGTGCATGCCATTGAATCACCAATGCCGGCCCTCTTACTCAGCCGGGCGCGATTTTTGTTTCTTGTTTCTAACCACAATTGGTTATCAGTTGATGATTTGTCTAGCTCCCTCCTTGCCCAAAACACCCGGTTCAGTGGGTTTAGGGCTGCGATCGCGACCCTTCTTTCGGCTGAAGAAGGACATCATGCCATTGGCCTGCTTGCTCTTGTCATCGCCGCCCTCCAAGCCCTCCGCCGGAAGTGTGGATGTATGAGCCAGCTCACTCCAACTACCAGCTTCGTTGAGAACCATTTGCACGCCACCACTTTTACTCATTTGCCGAGCGGCGCCGCGGGGTCGGTAATTTTGGGGTAGGGGTCGGTGGAAAGATGGGGCAGGTGGCGGTGAAGGTGACACACGGTTTGAAGGGGATGGTGGCTGAGCGCCATGCGCGGGATCATTGGGGTTGAGGTTCTCGTTGACTGTATTGATTTGTTGACTCGAGGGAGCACGGTAGGCTCCGTCGGTTTGAGTGAGGTGTTGGTTTCCATTGGGGTTGGGTTGTGAAAATTGACGGGCATGTTCTGCTGTGTTTGCGGGCGTTGTTGTGGCCACTGGGAAGCAGTCCTCAGGGTTGCTGATCGAAATATTAATACCAGAAGCACGGGATTTGAGGGAAGATAAACTTACGTTGCAGCGGCAATGGCATCAGCAGCATTGCCTTGGTAATCCGTCAAAGTGTAATCAAATGGCTCAAACATTGTTTCGATGAGACGGTGGAGCTCATCCTCCCGAATTTCCTTTGCAGTGGCATCGTCCCTTAGTTCAGCACGGGGCTTTTGGCGCCGGGCTCTGGCCTCGAGGGGTGCTTCTTCAAGGAGAAGCTCCTCAAGGTCATAGGTCGCATCGAAATTGGTCTTATCGCTGGATGGCCGGAACACAGGCGGAATCTGTTTGCGCTCGAGGGCATCAAAGTCGATCTCCGCAAAGAACATGTGCTGGGTGTAAGTTTCAAACCCGATGGCGCCAATTCGCTGGCTCCGGTCTTTTTGCATCAATGATCCCAATGCCCGGAGACAAGCGACCGAAACTGCGGGATTAGTGACATAATATTTCGGCGAAGCCTTTTTGATGTTTTCGCTCAGCGTATCCTGGCTTCGTCCTTCGAATGGTCGCTACGATCAAAGTCAGACGAGAAGAAGGACAAGAAACGAATTACTCATACCTTATTATAGATGCACTCGTAGAAAGTGACACCTAATGACCACCAATCGACCTCGCAGGAATAACCCACTCCTTCGTATACCTCCGGCGCCAAGTACGCTAGGGTTCCAGACTTGCTGGTGAGAGGCTTTCCTGGTCGGAAATCCGATGCCACGTTCTAGAAAACTCAAGTTAGACCTAAACTAGCCTTGGTGGAATCCGAACTTAGGGAACTTACGAAGTCAGCCAAGTGAACATGCCCCTCGGAGTCCAGGAGCACATTGTCTGGCTTCAAATCACGATGAATAATACCCTGCGAGTGGATATATCTCAAAGCACACCCCAATTCCGCCATCCAAAACCGCACTGCATCTTCTGTAAAGCATTTTCGTGAAATATGGAATCGAAGATCACCGCCGTTCATTAGATCAACGACAATATAGCTATGGTACTATTAGCAATAGTTGATAAAGATGGAATTGGAACAACTCACATGTACTCCATGTCCTGAAAACTGTACCGCAAGTTACAAAGAAATGGGTGGTTCAGATGCTCGAGCATTCGCCGTTCACGAATTATGTTTCGCACACTTTCCGAGCGAACAACTGTGTTGATTGTCAGCTATAGCTCACCCGATGAGGGAGATGGAGCTCCAACAAACCTTCCTCTTTGCGGATATATTTTAACGCGAATGTAAGACCGGTGTCCTTCCTTTCAACGATTCGAACCTTTCCAAAGGCACCTTTGCCAACGACACGGAGGAGCCGAAAATGATTAAGGTTGACTGTAAGATAAAGCGGGATCAGCTTATCATTCAAGATAATTGGCGGGGTGGTTTCTCAAACTGAAACACCGCCTCCCATGCAAGCTCGGAGTGGACGTACCCGCATCATTGCAATTCACCGGTTTCCCCTGAGTGTTACCCATATTGTGGGGATAGAGCGATGGTCGTTGGATTGAAAGGTTGATTATTACTCTAGCAACATCACAACTGTTTCAATGATGTTCGGTCGATTGGCAGTCGCGTTGAACGTGAACGAGTCAAGGATTGAGATAAAATGAATACCGGCGAATATGGAGCTTAAACCGCAATTTTCATGAGAGGTGACCGAGTTTCGAAGGTAGAATGATCGAGCGGGGGTCAGGTGGTTCAGTTTCGCAAGTATGATCGATGCAGGTCCAGATGCAAATTCGCGGTTCAGACAAGATTTTTGCCAAAAAGAAGAAAAACAAAAAAAAGTCAAGCAGCAAAGCTATTTGGGTGAAAGAGAAGTAAAAAAGAAACGAAGTGAAGATCACAGGATGCAGGCCTGCAGGAGATGTATATCAAGAAATCGTCGGAAGCTACTCCGTAGAGGCCGAAGCGCAATCTCGGGTATAGTCAATAAAGGGGCGCAAGGCCAAGGATACAAGAGACAAATTGTCAAATGAGACACCAATAAAGACAATCTCCAGTTAACAGTTCGGGAAGTTGAAGCAGATGAAAGAAAGGGGATGAAGCGGGCGAGCGGTCTAGAGGGAGCGGCAGTAACTGCGGGCCAATCACGCGTGACACGCAAGAAAATGGGGAAAGGGGGATGAAAGAAAAAAGATCCCTCTCTTTTTCACCTATGCTTGTTCTGGCCTTTGACGCCGTGCGATCTACACGGTTCCACTACATTTCAAGACTAGTCGTTGCGTGGAAGATATTACCGAGCGTTGGTCCCGTCATCCGTGCCTTTGAAGTTTGGTCTAGCCATATATCTTTAAAAAAAAGTCCAATATGATCACAAAGGACTTTTGACTAACTATGTCCCGGGACCCACGATATTCTCCAGTACCAAGTCGCAAATGGCCGAGTGACGAGTGAAATGGTGGAGAGCAAATCGCCCTGACCAGTTCGACGGCGGGCCCGCTTAGGCTGATGGGCGGAGGCTACGATATCCGCTAATTGAATGCACAGACTCTACGTTTCGCCCAGTGACTTGTCCATTTTCATCTTAGATGAACATCCTGGCGATCAAAATTCCAGATAAAACGGGGGAGACATATAGGGGAGCCGGCACAAAGTACATATAATAGTCAACGCATTATTTAGGCAACATTGACATCTCTGCCCTACGCCTTCTATTGTGAAACTCTGTGCCACCTGAATCAATTGTATCTTTTGAGATGAGTTTCACGTTCAATTATGATCTAAGTTGGAACGGAAGATCTCGTACGAATTAGATAGTAATCACATTAAATGTAGTTCGAACCGCTCCCGATCAAGCCAAGCGCTAGTTGTAGAAGATATGCAGTCTGCATAGGACTCATCACCATTTGCCACGCGTTTGATATTCCCTATTCTACCCGAACTCTCGTGGCCGCCACGTTGTCTGACCGCCCCATATTGAAACGCGTCGAAGCTGTCTCGGGAGTCGCACAGAACGGTAGAGAACGGCCCTGGAAGCCTTGCAGAATATTCGATAGGAGGTTCGATCTGACCTATCACATGCAGGACCTACTTAAGTACCAAATAGTCTGCAGTTCGATCAAATCCCGATCCTAAACCAGTCCTGTTGCTCCCCCCCTTTTGGTAGATGTCAGAAACATATGTTTGCCCAATATATTATCCGTTTCTTATTTTTCTTAGGGATTTTTTTTGTTTCGGTCGATGCGAATCAAACGGTCTGGGCGTTATGGTTCCACTAAATCGGGAGATGGTCAGCTTTTTAGCGCACAGCCACAGGGTTCAAGGAACAAATAAAATGTCTAAATGGTCTAGGGACTAGAAACCTTAGTAGGCCAAGGTAAGCTTATAGGGTTCCGATGGAAGATCCCTGTCAACTGGGCTGATTTGGTTGTGCAATGGCAACAAAGAACGTCTGGTTTGATTGAGACTAGCGGACTAGCGGTTTCAGGTGTCGTTTTGGCTTTTGAGAAACAGATTAACTACCCTTGACCTCGGGAGCTTGCTAGGTACGGAGTAATTATTTCAATGATACAATCACATGCTACAACTCTAGATCCGGTATATATGGACATGGAGAGTGAGTCAGTCTAGTGATCCGTAATACCCTCCAAAGATAGGCATTGAGTTTACTCATGTAGGTTTATCAACTACGTATACCTAGGTATACTATTGTGACAGGCCAAATTCAGGCATATGGCCTTGGGCACTATGTTTCCTCGTAGTTCAGCTTTATCATTCAATCTATTCGAAACAGGAAGCTATGGCTACTTGAAGAAGGTTAGTCTAATTTTAGAATATTTGCTCCGTTTCGTTTAAGCATTCCTCTTCGTCTATTAAGCTCGATTAGCATACAGAGATATACAAAAATATAAAGTACATTATTAGGTGTTTCGTCAATACAAACTATCCGGCGTTCACAATTTGATTATATATAGATAGAGTTCGTAGATGGCGTTCACATCCTCAAATGTTGTGCCTATCCTGGAAACAGCTTTATGTTAGAAGTACTCTACCATGACACACAAGCAATGACTCATCAGTCTCTACATATTCAAGGGATTAGAGACATTGTTCCTGTCTAGGTACATTGTGAGAGTAGACCTCGGGAGTGGCTATAGATATATGCTATCCGTTACTCATCCATTGATAAGCAGACTAAGCATCCATGGATATTGGGTAGGTAATGAGGGGGAGGAGGAGAGGGAAGGGCACCTCAGACAGATTGGAGTCTCAGCAAAAGGCAAGCACTCGTCGAGTGCGTGAACATTAATTCTGTATGCTGAACAAAATGTATTTCACAACTTTGATCCTCGACCTCAAGCACATATATTGGAGTGCATTCAGTTGGCCAAATATGTTGGTGAGTTTTCGAAGTAGAGATGGCAGCTCGGTCACCGGGTAGCGCCTTCCTGGTTTGGCCCCTTCAACTCTACCATGTCATGTTGCGGCACCTCATCCCTTTTCCATCAGTTTCTCTCACCATCACTCTTGATCTATTGAAGAAAATCTTTTACCATGGAGACCAATCACAAGCCCCGGTCACTTCTTCAGCGACCGGAAAGCTCTGAGATTGAGGTGACGGACTTCTCTTTCACTAAGCCTGCATCCCACAAAAAGCCCTTCTCTCTGAGAAGTCTCTCGAAGCAAACTTCAACCAGCCGCCCTCCCATTGACAGTCAGATTTCCCCGACTGACCCAGCGGAATTTGAGGTAGCTGCCAATCGTCCGTTGATCGGATCAAACACGTACGATGATCCGGATCCAAACAATAATGGATACACTTGCAAACAATGAACTCACTTTAATGTGCCATACAGTCAACTGAGCGCTCACGCTGTTGAGATAGAACCCACCTTCAGTGGTCCGACTTCCGAGAGTCAATCGTTGCTTTCTCAACTACCCCAGCGGATGTTGATGACAGTCGACTCCACCGACAAAACTAAGATCGTACAAGTTATTGCAAATTTAGAAGGGCTAGAAGGGTCACACGCCGAGCGTGAACAGTCTATCGTTGGTTCCCAGCCCATTGAGACCACTGAACCTGCGAGACCTGGAGACAATCCTGAAACTGCACCAAGTCTCAGACCACCGGGTCACGAATTTGTCGACGTTTGCAAGGCTAGTGGATCTGACTTTACCATGCACAATGCCGTTCCAACACAGCGTACTAGGCTTCACAGAGAGAGCCAGGAGATCCCTGATCACTCCCCCCGGCACCGCTCAAGCCTTTCAATAATCAACTTCGTACTTCAATGACACCCAACTCTATGGAGAAAGAGGTGAATTCAAAGAAGCAGATGTCACTTTCTAGTGGCAAAAGAAAGTTACAGCTCAGCGAAGATGACCTTTTCGAGCAGCTCATTGGCAAAATCAGACAGCGAGAGGAGAGCGAAAAAATGGCTGCAAATTTACGACGGCATGTGGAAACGGAGAATCAGAGATTGAGAGAAGTAAACCATACTTTGCAGGACCGAGTCAAGAACTACCAGGTGCAGCTCGTCGAAATCTCATCAGAGAACAAAGGACAACGTGCACATATTGATCAATGGAAGGCGAAGCTCGGCACATTTAGAAGAATCCTCAATGAGATCGGCCGCGAATATGACAAGGTTCGTCAGCAGACAAAAGACGTGAGAGAGGCCGCGATGTCTCTTGGCAGGGAGAAGGTGGAGATAAAAGCCACCTTGGACGACCTCAAGATGCAGGTATCAAATCAAGCCGCAACGATTGAAGGCCAGCGGAACAAAATTTCTACCTCCGAGGGCACCATTGTTGCCTTACGAGAAGCCTTAGAACATTCGGAGAAAAGAGGCGACCTCATCAAGGCTCAATTGTTCAGTGAGAAAAAGCGAATTGTGACTCTTGAAAATTATATCCAAAATGAATCTCAGAGCCAGGCGCGATATTTGACCGTTGTCAAGAAAGAGCAAAACAAGATGTCTGAAAAGCTTGACTCGATGTATGATCTGCTTAGCAAATTTCCTTGCGAAACACAGGATACCATCCTGTCAAAGATAAGACCCGAGATCGAACGTTGCGTAGTTTGTTTTGAAGAGCTGAAGAAACAAAGTTCTTCCGAAATGATGAATGTCGAAAGTTTCACGAGCAGCGTTCAGGAAGCCGCCTCTCAGTATGTTGTGTGAAAAATTCTCGCATGTCATGTTATTGTTTCGACTGATCATAATTTTAGCTTCAACTCCCTTGCGGGTCATTTCACAAGTGACCTCGACAGAAGCAATGAAATGGGCAACACTATGTTGCAGGCACTCCAAGAAGGACTGCAATCAATTGAAAGCAATTTCGGCCCTTATTCATCGCTGTTCAAGCAGCTTACTAATAGCGAAAACTGCTATGGTAGTCTTCAGCGACAACTGCAGATCGTTGAGCCAATACTTGGCAGGCTTGGGACTTCAGTCAAAGCCGTTGAAACGACAGAAACAGACCTCATCCGTGGGTTGCAAGATTTCACGCAAATGCTTTCCGAAGCCAAGATTCCGGCAGGAAACTCAGTCCTAGAACACGAGGTGGCCACTAAGTTTGCCGAAAACACGCAGTTGCAACTCAAGCTCCAAGAAGTGTCCATTGAAGTGGAGTCGCTTCGAAAGCAGGTCAGCAACAAAATATCCGAAAATCAACTTTTTCAGCATGCTTTGACTGAAACTGTCACCAATGAGCAAGCATTCAAAAGCCAGCTCTCCCGGATAGAGATCGAGAGGACAGCCTTGAGAGGAGAACTTATGCTGCTCGAGCAAAGGATCCGAGAGGAGTTAACCACAGCGAACACAAAATCACAGGATGAGATGAGAGTTAAATTTGAACATCAAATCCACGAGCTTGAAACAGCCAAAGCTAGACTGGAACATGATCACTATTCCCTCATGTCTCAGCTTGCAAATGCCAAAAGCTCTCTGGTAAGCCCCTGTCCTCGCTGGCGAGGCAAGTTGCGCTAAAATTATCAAGGCCGAAACTGAAAAGATGACAGAGAATGAACGACTGGCAAAGGATTTGAAGGTAACAGATCATCGCCTGCTTTGCTGGTATGAGTGTCACTAACAGTTGCAGGTTAAGCAGTCAGAGAGCCGGATCGATGAGCTGAATGAGTCTTGCTCGAAATACATCGCTGAGGCAAAAGCCAGCGAGGTTGAGTCACGAATATCGAAAAGCTCAGAAGCTTGCTTGCGTCTTGAAAACGAGAAGCTCATACAGGAACTTGACCAATTCAAACAAAGGACGGCCGAGCTCGAATCCAACCTGGAGTTGAAGATTCAATCCGAAAGTACGAAAGATGAAGTAGCGCGGGAAGCGGAAAGAATGCTCAAATCGCTCGAAGTGGAGACATCCCACAAGGACAAGGAGCTTGAAGCCACAAAGGAAAGACTCAATATGCTCAGATCGCGGTCCGCAGCTTTGGAAAAGATCGGAGAGGAAGCCGATGCCGAGATTGTTTCCTTGCTTCGTCGGGCGCAAGAAGCCGAAAGCTGGCAAGCAACCATAAGAGAAGGTTTTGCAAAGGTGATGGAAGTGCATTCTGATGAGCCTTTCGAACGAACATGGCAAAAAATGGAAGACATTATGCAGTCTTTGGTCGTTCAGTCGACCACCAATGACGTATTTGACGCCAATGCCCATACGGAGAAGAATTGTGCAGACAAAGATGGTGATAGTCCCGTGGAGGTGGGAGAAGGTGGAGCGAAAGACATTAGTACAGCGGTTTTAGACAAACGGCTCTCCCAGACAGGTGGAGTTTTGCCAACAATTATTTGCGGCTCCTCTAAGCCTGTGCAACTTGATAATATCGACTCGCTGCCAAAGTTACCTGCTGAGCATGGCCATATTGTTCCATTTTCTAGCATCCATGACAGACTGTCGCGAGAGGATAGCCTGTCACTATTTAACGATCCAGCTGAGCTTGAGATGCTCATGATGTCAACTCCTGATCTCTTAGGAACTGTGGGTGTCAGGCCAACAGTGCCAGGCGATGCTCCCAAGGGAACTCAAAGGCTTGAAAAGCTTTCGGAGACAGTGAACGAAGGGATTGAGAATAGTGACGCTATTCTCGCCAAAAAGCCTACTGAAGCTGAAGGGGCCTCTGCCGGGCGTGCCAAGTCTGCCCTCGAAAAGGTCCACGATCCGTTCACTGAAGGATCTGTCAAATCGGAAACATCCAATACCAAGCGAAAGGTGGTGAGCTTCGAAGGAACAACACGGGTGATCACTCAAACAGATGTTGGCAGAACCAGACGAATGTCGGATGCAACTAGCAACAGTTCAGGAAAGGAATCCGAGAGCAAAGGAATGAAACGTCCCCAGAAGCGAACTTACAGTCGTCTCCGCCAGTCTGTTGCCCAGGAGGAAACTTCAGTTGAATCCAACATAAACATGGGATCAGCCAACCCAAACTCAGCAGTAATCCCTCAGAATACCTCGATCGAAATGGCCGATGGGTTAAGCGCGAACCAAAAACCACCAAAGAGATCACGCAGCATAGCCGATGGCTCAGAGCGACGCCCAAGCCCTAAGGGCCTGGCTTCAGGTAGTAGCAGAAGCAATTTAGTCGGCCAAGCCGCCAACGCGCGAGGCCGGGCTAAGCGCCGTACTAGAGGTAAGATATGACCGCCGTCCTAAGCCATACTTAGCTAACCAGAGGAAGGCGATCGCTATAACCAACGCTTCAGTCAAGATGCCGGCTGAGAATAGTCATCTGGGCGTGGTCCCGGATGACGAGGCGCTCCTGTTCTATCATTTGACCATGTTTGCACCCTCTATATCAATGTTGCAGGAGCAAAACGTGTTTGACAAGTCCGGGGGAGTTCAAGTATCGATTTATGGGAATTTGTTGTCGTATGATGAACTGGGTCTTCGAAATATATCATGTAACGGGGCGAGAGGTGGGATATGTATTTTATTCTTATTCAGGTACCCAGATCTGTATTCTTTAACGCCAAACACAATGCTCCAAGAGGTATACCGCAAAATATTCGAGAAATTATGAAATCCTCAACTTCCCTCCTGCATTCCTCCAGTAAATAATGTACAAGCAGGGATCGTGCCCCTGGCACCCTTATCGCATTTCCACATTCACACACACTCTCGGATATCGTTCAAAGAATCGAAATGGCGGCTGCGGAGGAAAAAGGTGAAATTCGTGTCGAGAGGAAGAGAGATGGCAACGATCGCAATTGGCCAATGCCTCACAAATGCCTAAAATGGCAAACTCGATGCGAGGAAAAGTCGACCTCAAAGCGAAGCGCTTATTTGTTCTTTCCACCCTTCGTCGCTTCAAGGAAAAGCACCTGCTTTTTGACGACGGGATCGTACTTCATCATGCTAAGCGGTCGGTGCACACGGGGCCGAATCATCGTGCGGTAGTAGCCCGTCATGGCCATGGAGATCAGCCGGACGGCAACGGTTCTGGACTTCGCTGTAGGAAAAGGGATGTTAGTGCTGGCCGGCTGAAATCCGGGGGTTCATGTTCGTTGCCATTGGTCCGGTAACGGGCGCAGATTCGGGATGCGAGTAGGTTTGGCGGTGGTGGATTTGATAGGGACTGGGTTCTCTTCTCACATACCTTTCTTGGCCATCTTGGGCGGTCTCGGGGTGCGTGGTCGAGTTGGGCTGCGGAACAAATTCGAGATCGGAGATGATTGTTTCACGGTCACGTGTACTTAGTCAGCACATGTTGGGCCCGCGGGCGGTTGGAGATGCAGAAGACAGCACCAGGGGGCTTTCACAATGTGATCTCAGTAGTAGGCTGAGGTCGTAAAAAGACATAGCACTTGAAATACAATATTCTACGGAGTGTTGGAATTGTTGACCTAATAATATCTATGCCACACCACCCTGCGCACATACCGGTTGGAGATTTAGGCAACCGTTGTTATTGTTATGAGATTCTAAACGCGAGTCAAATATATGTCTCCTCGCTCTAGACTCTTAAATTTTCAGATTCCAGTTCCGTACTTCGATGCAGTGTGTTGAGCAAAATGTGAAATGAACGACATTCTGACCAGACCAACTCATCGGATCGGCAACAAGAGAGTACAAGGGCGATGAACTACAATCGGCTTGTCATGCGAAGGCTACAAGCAGCTATTGAGTATGAGCCGGAGGTAGACATTACCGCGCAACTACCTGAAAATTATTCTCGCCGCCTGACCGAGATCAGATACCCCGATTATGCTCCGCCGAGTATGTGTAGAAGAACCCGGTGCATTATTGACACTTCCGTCGCCAAAGATTATGTATCGTCAGAAATTCCTACTCGGCGAAAGCGGGCCCACGATGAAGGGGATATTCGAGACTCCCTTTTTTCAAATAATCCGGCTGAAATCATCTTCCCGTTGTCTTAGGCTGTCATAAAGCTCCTGGAAGGTGTGGCCACGCTGTCAGAGCTATCGCCAGAACTATCGCAAGACAGACTCTCGCAAGATAGACTCTCGCAAGATAGACTTACTTTGCAAGCTTCTCAAAGACAGCGAAACTCTGTGGAAAGGTCCATCTCCTTCCCTGAGAATGACCTTCAGATGCTCTGAAGACATTATTGTCAAGGCAATCGCCAACCAAAACGATTATACTGAATATACCACTTTGCTGTTCCTTGAGACTAAGTCGGGTATTCCTTCTCCAAAACCTTATGGATTGGTGAACGTGAACAATGTCACCCTGACTTTCATGAGCTACTTGCCTTCAACGACTTTGAACGAAGTTTGGACCTCGCTAAATTCCGCACAAAATACATATATAAGTGACCGATTGGACACAATGCTCTTAGAGTTAAGGTCTATTCCTTACTCTGAGGGGACACCATCTGGTGGGGTGGGAGGCGAAGGATGCAAAGACATCAGGAGACACCTACGACACAGCTCGACACTGATCATGACCAGGAGCCAATTCGATGACTTTTTGTCTAATCGTTCGACTCCGAATGGAGATGTATTTCGCGAGCGGCTTCGTCGGCTATCACCATCAACTGACGACTCAGGAACTAGTGACTTGGCACCACGTGGTGTATTCACTCACGGAAATCTCGCACCGGACAACATTGTTGTCGAGGCAACTGACAGCGGCTACGCGATCACAGGTCTTCTAGATTGGGAATACAGTGGCTTCTACCCGGAATGGTACGAATCTGTCCGGTGTACCTACTACCTATCACCTTACAGCAACGACGACTGGTTTCTGTATCTGCCCGATTGTGTTTCGCCGAAACGTTACTCCCACTGGTGGCTTCTTGATTCCGCTCGAGAGCGACTGGAATTATAGATTAGAACGAGCGTGCGGGGCGGGTATACAAGTACACATGCAATATATTAAATCCTTTCTGCTACATATGTGCGTACCTAGGCTCAATGACTTCTACACCCGATTTTGGCAAGAATTACCAGGAATTTCTTGAATCGTTCAAGTCGAGATTTGGACCTTTTTATTAATTCTTAGGTTCCTGAGCGCAAGAGTCTTTTTTTGCGATATGCGCAGGCCTTAGAAGATTATCCACTGAGGGGATTTCCCATTTAGTCTACGGGAGTTGTCCACAGACCTAACACAGTTATTACTTCAATATTTAGACCGAGGTGGCGAGGTCCTTAGAATAGTGACAAAGTTCCACGTCGAGAGCTCCGATGTGACGTTATGCAGGACCCTGAAACTCCGCCCCCACACTCATTTCAGTCATCCATACCCAATCTCCTCTCTGGGAAAGTAATTCGGTCTCAGTCGTTGCCTGATAGGGCCGTTGTGGCTGGTCAGGGTAGTATTCACGCTCTCTTAGGTTAGTCCGTTTCATCCCTGCAGAAATCAGGGACAACCTGCATAGCCGATGCTGACCACTGCAGTTCATACTATGCTTGTTTTGATTATACTAAAATCCACTTTCCTTTCCTAGAAACTGGTTACCGAGGTTCGCATTCGTTAAGACGCTTCGTTGAATGGTTGTTTCAACTTCTGAGGAGCTATAAAATGCAGTCCCCGACCTCAAAACAAAAATCAACTTCCAGTTCTAAGTCTTGGCCGATTTTCCAACAACAAATATGACCATCAAGTATTCCATTCCCGCAGTCCTGCTTGCTTTGTTGGGCACTGGCTTTGCTCAGAGCGTCGATGGTGCTCAATACAACAACCCAACTGCAGGTCCGCCTGCAAGCTTCTTTGCTGCTGCGACGACAATTCCCGTCGCTGCTTTGCAGACCGCGGCAGCAAAAGCTAGCACTGCCGCATCGGATGCAACATACCCTATCAATGGCGACAGTGGTGCTAAGAAAGTGACCATCCATAGTGACTGGTCAAAGTTTAGTGAGGTATGCTAAATACTCGCCAGTCTAATAGCCAAGGATACTAATTGTTCGGCGCTAGGGTGCAGCATTTGTCTGGGTCGCAGATATGGATGTTGACTGCGACGGAATTGATCACGCGTGCAAGGCAAGCGAATCATGTATCCTTATTATTGGAAGTGCTCAGTCACTAACTAGACGGACTAGGGAAACCCTGATGGACAACCCGAAACCAATTTTGGTGCTTTGGCAGCCTATGAAGTACCATTTATTGTGATTCCCGATAAATTTGGCACCACATATCAGAGTGTACTCACTGGAAACAACATTGGTGCGGTCATCTGGTACGCTCTCCGCTCCACTCCAGTCTTGCTTTATCTAAATAAGATCTAGTAACGGAAAGATGTTCTACGGTATCTACGGTGATACCGACGGAGATACTCCGCAGGTGATTGGAGAGGCGTCTTGGCTAATGGCTCGAACATGTTTCCCAAATGATGATTTGAATGGAAATAGCGGTCACGGTAAAGTCGATGTAACTTGTAAGTCTGAACGAAGATGAGCGCTTGTTGGTTGATGCTAATTTTCGCAGACATTCTCTTCACTGGGAAAGAAGCAGTACTCCCCAGCAGCGCGCTCAACAAAAACTACGTCACCAACTTCAGTACACTGCGCTCCATGGGTGACAAGTTGATGACTTCTCTCGCAAAGAACTTGAATCTAGTGAGTGGAGGATCGTCTCCCACTACCACTACTGGCTCCGTACCTACTGGCGGATCTTGTTCTTGGGCTGGTCATTGCGCTGGTATGTAAATTTCTTTATTCATTTTGCTTCCCTTGACTTACTTACTATGAAGGTGCTTCATGCTCTAATGAAAACGATTGTTCGGATGACCTTGTTTGCAAGAGCGGGAAATGTGCTAGCTCTTAACTTGGCTCTACTACGGCAATGCTATATGGACATGTTCTCTCGGGGGAAAGCTGTCCCTGAGGATCTGAAACGTCGAAGCGAAACATATGTGCGGATACTTAAGTATATATTGGCTCACAGTTGTAACAGAACAGGCTAATGGAACTTTGGAAACTTTCAGTCTTCACTTTTTCCTTTCATTGATAATTAGAAACCCCACCAAAACTCCCATCACAGCCTTGGAAATGTCCATCGCCCTCGTCAATTTGATAGCTCCCGAGGTCCTTCAAGTTTATGTGTAATCACTTCCTGATCTTGAATCACGTCCTGTTCTTCTTCCTTTATTACCTAGGTACATGTTTCATATCTTTAACAAATTGGCAAATATGCACAAAACCCCCGACAGAATGATGGACTCACTTCGAGATCCACGGATTCCAGAATAGAATCTCCTCATTAATGCTCCAGCGACTGCTGCACGATTAGTCACGGTGGAAAGATTCTTCACTAGCGCGACGGGATCCCTGTCCGGCTGTGAGTCGAGCCATAGAATGAATGGCGTGGCTTCGCAGTGAATCTTATTGCAGAAAACCACAAGAAGGAGCGCAATAGTACAGAAGCGCCAAGATTTGAGTATCCGCTTGATGATTGTTTTGTATAGACCCGTGGACGGCTTCTTCTTGAAGTCTTTTGTTGGCAAGGTTCTTGGCTTCTTCGTTCAGGCAGCAGGATTCTGTTCGCCCGGGCATATCAGGGAAAATGAAGAACGCACTAGATGTTGTTGGTCAATTGGGGATCAAATTCAATTGTTGCGTAAGTTACTCACAGTAAAGCGACTGGGATCGTTATTATAGTGCAGATAACGAAAAGCCATTTGCGAGGAGGAATATAAGTCTTGAATCATCAAGTCGGTTGAGACTGTCATCTCTACTCACCTCCAGCCTTGAATTCCATACTAATTGCTGAAATATGTATATGCAGCGGCCTGTAAATACTCAGCGAACATTTGGCCGGCGGGGTTTGCGATCCAGAAAAGAGAATTCCGACGACCTAAATCTTGCTTTTTGTGCCATCTAGCAACAATGGTCAGAAGGCGTTCATCCTTTACAGTGATGGTTCAAGAGCACTCTCGAATTGCCACACGAACTAGGCCAACGTAGCAAGATGTGGTACTCAATCCAACAAACAATCTCATAATAACCAACTGCTCATAGGTTTGCGCGCAGGCAGTTCCAGGTCTGAAAAGCCCCCAAAGGATTTCTGCTGCTGGGAGATAGTATTGCGCCCTGTAGAAAGATATCAATTGTTTGAAACGTGTTGCTGAGTATACTGTAGGAGTGTAAACTTACGGATTTTTGATCAAGACCATGTTGTTAGGTATTTGAGACACGATATATCCAACCTCATCGGTAAAGCAAGCAGATGGATTTAGCCTCTCAACCCTCCGATGGGAAAGTTTTGTCACAGGAAAACAATCTTGCAGAAGAATAGGTGCTTGCTTACCCGCAGCATTGATATAGTTCAGTCTATTACCAGAAAGATCAAGATCTTGTTTTATTCCAGACGCATAAGCATTGGCTTTGAATTTTGTCAGTCTGCAACTAGAATCATTCATGGAATGTTCACATACTCAATCCCGAAACGTCAAGATGCTTGACAAAAAATGATAAACAAGCGTATGAAAGAACAATCTAGTCCAACTTTCGAACAAGCCGGCGTTCTACCAATGACATATTGGCGGGGAACCATCTTGTGGCGGTCTTAAGACGTGAAATAAACCCGGCCATTGCGAAAATCAAATATTCATCAGCCAAGAAACATTTCTTCGTTGACAACCCGCCTTTACTATACCTTTCTAGATCCCAGAAAAGTCTCATCTTAATTATTTTCTTATAGATTTAGGCTCGCCTGTTCTACATGAAATTGCGCTAAACGGCATCATATTCCCGATAACAACCCTCTCGGGCCTTTTAGCAGCATCTTGCCGAGATCAGAGGGTGTTCGGTTGCGCCATACTCTACTAAACTAGCACCAAAAGAAATTCTAAGCTTGCTGAAAGATATTCATCGGGGTTCGAATTTTGAACCAGATGGTTTTAGCCTGTCAAATGGCATTTTGATGTACTATGACGCAATTCTACAGTAGACTACGTTATTCGGCATTCTTCCGCAGCAGAGGGGGTGCCCCCATGAGTAATTGATCTTATCTCCTCGAGCTAAGTATGCAATCTTCTGATACGATCGGAGGAGGTTTCGTGCTTTCTAGTAAAGATGACAGCACTCAAGCACCGAGCGGGGTCAACTTCAACGAAAGAAGATAAATAGTATGAACCAGAACATTGAACGCGTAGAAATTTGAGATAACTGTCTTTTTGATTGAAAAGAACGTTAAAATTGGGCATTTCCATTTCGTAATGATATTCATTTACCATGGCAGCCGAAACTTCAACTCCTAAGCGGCGGATATATCTCAATGGCTTCGACATGTTCACTGTAGGCCATCTTTCCTTTGGCCAGTGGAAGAACCCGTCCGATCGATCAGCAACCAAGCGACGGGACCTATCTTACTGGACTGATTTGGCCAAAATTTTGGAGAAAGGCGACTTTAATGCGCTGTTTCTTGCCGATACCTACGGGCTGTATGACACGTATAAGGGCACGGCAGAACCCGCTATTCGAAACGCAGCTCAGTATCCCATGGGGGATCCTTCCATAGTATGTGAGCTGTCTGGACATTTTGAATGTGATCGCTGACAATATTCCTCAGCCAATCTCAGCGATGGCATCGGTAACGAAGAATCTTGGGTTCGCAATCACCACTTCGACTTCGTATGAAGCGCCATATGTTGTCGCAAAGAGGTTTTCCACTCTAGATCATCTGACCGGCGGTCGGTTTGGGTGGAACATTGTGACATCATGGAAGCAATCCGCCGCAAAAGCCGTAAGCTGAGACATATCACAATTTCAATCACAAGCTGACATGCATAGGTGGGCTTGCCCCTGGTAGATCACGACAAGCGGTACGAGATAGCCGACGAGTACCTGACTTCTCTTTACAAGTAAGCACCACCGTGATACATTTCAACATGCAAGTGACTGACAAGAAATAGACTGTGGGAGGGTAGTTGGGCCGACGATGCGCTCCAAGAGAATGCCGAAACTGGGGTGTATGCCGATCCAAGCCGAATCAGATACATCCACCATCACGGAGAGCATTTCCAGTTTGATGGTCCCCATATTCTGGATCCATCTCCACAGCGTACTCCATTCCTCTTCCAGGCCGGGACATCCCCTGCAGGAGTAGCCTTCGGCGCTAAACACGCAGAAGGTGTATTCGTGTCGGCTCCATCACCACATATCCTTGCCCCACGTATCCAAGCGATCCGCGAAGAAGCGGCAAAGAACGGCCGAGATCCCCGATCCGTGAAAGTGTTTGCCATTCTCACACCGATTGTGGGTCGAACAGAAGAGGAGGCGCAGGCGAAGTACCGCGAGGCTCTGAAATACGCCAGTGAAGAGGCGGGGCTTGCTTTCTTCTCCGGTGGAAGTGGTATCGATCTCAGCAAGTTCGACCTAGATACACCTATCATGGCGTCAGATGTACATGTCGACGCTCGAGTGCATTCGACGATCAATACGCTCTCCTACCAGAGTCCCGATGTACCTGAATGGACGCCAAGAAACATTGGCAAGCACATCTCCATTGGTGGAGCGGGTCCAGTTCCAGTTGGGTCCGCAAGTACCGTCGCGGATTTCCTGGAGGAATGGGTCCGTGTGGCGGACTTGGACGGGTTCAATATTGGCTATGTTCAAACACCCGGGACTTTTGAGGATGTTGTTGAGCTCCTCGTACCGGAGCTCCGACGTCGGGGGCTGTACGCACCCCTGAATGAAAGTGGTACAATGCGCGAGAGGGTCTATGGGCCTGGGCAAAATCGTTTGAGAGATGACCATATCGGAAAGAAGTACGGATATGAGACGTATGACAGCCAGTAGTCTAGATTTCTAATTCGGAGGCATTATTTGAGGGGTCTAGTTTGCAACCCACATTCATGTTAAGGTGCAAACGGGGGCCTAACTTAAATTGAACCTGATAACTTGGACATGGATCCCTGTACATTTCGGACATCTTTTTCCTTTCATACGCCCAGGTTAAAATCTGAAGATTTTACTGAGAAGAGGCTCAAAACATGTATCCAGGGGGACCTTTCAAAATATGGTTCCCCCAAATACGTCACATCAAGTCTCAGGGAATTTTATTGTAGATTTGACGCAAGGGAAACCTGCGGTGTTTGTGCGAAGCCCTAAAGTTCCGGCCGGGTAAGCGCCCCTAGGAATGCGCCAAGCCCAACCGGAAAATATTAAAGGCCCTTAATTGATCGTTCACAATGGCTAGAAGCCATGTGGTTAGGGGCCTGTTTGTGTCATTGGACCACTTTATTGAGGCTTGACACTAATGCCATTGAGATCGGGTATTTTGTACAATTTTCTTTGTGGGCTTTGGTCTACACATTCTTGTGCATGTCTTTGAAATTTGCAATTTCCTTTTTTCTTCCCTGACATCCATGCTTTTTCTCAGTGTATGCTTTATATTAGAAATCACATATTGAGAATTAGAATCCTTTAGTCGGGTTACTACGGCGCCTCCTAGATCTCGTAGTGTCTCTAATTAATTAAAGCCAACACGAACAAGATCACCGGACCCTCCGATTGGAACAATATCGACGCTAACGAAATTGCCTTTAGGGCCAGACCGTTATACTAGTCAGATTCAATGACTTCAATGAAAGGAACAGAAATTTCGTGGCAAATGAACGGACTCTCTCTACCGCGAGGCGCTCTTGGCAAAGGTTTCACCTCCGATCCTTATACTATTCTGGCCTAACTTGACTCTCATTTTCCTTCCAGCTGCGTTGTCCTTTACCTTCTACTGGATCGATCTACAGTCTGACAAGTTTGATTTTTCTTGGCTCGTTTAACGTCCCCCGCTAGTGGATTCGGCCAGTTTATGTCCGCGTTAATTACCCCCCACTTCCAGGGTCGCTCCGAGCCTTATACCTCCGATTTTGTGGGATTCTGAAACTGCCCTATGCAGGGCATAAAATATGGTGTTATCACCGATATGCTTGGGACTATAAGTATCGAGCATTTGGTCATGATGCTCTAGATTTGATCATCACTATCCTTCAGTCTCTCCTTTTACTGACACTTGCTGGACTCAAGTTGTCTATCCATTCTTTTCTACAAAAATACCATTCATTTCCAACACTCATTTTATCAAATTCCCGAACATGATGTACTCTTCCCAAAACTCGGGCTGGCAGGTCCTGGCGGCCAAGAAAAAGACACTGGTGTCTTGCATTCTCGGGCTTTTCTTCATTGCCATGGTGGCAGACCTTCGAGCTGGTTTTGGAACTGACCAGAGCCAGAAAACTCTCTTCAAGAGGGATAACACAGCCACCGACGCTGCCATTTGGCAGCCAGCAGCTGGTGTCAAGTGGCAGATTCAACTGATTGATGCCGTGGAAGACACCACGGTCGACGCTGATATTTGGGACATCGACCTGTTTGACAACACCGCTGAGACAATTACCACCCTCAAGAACAAGGGTCACAAGGTTATATGCTATTTCTCTGCTGGCACATACGAAGACTGGCGGTCGGACATTAGCAAGTTCAACTCGGCAGACTTTGGCAGCAACCTTGATGACTGGCCAGGCGAGCGCTGGCTCAACATCAAATCGGACACCGTTCGATCTATCATGAGTGCTCGTCTGGACATGGCGAAGGAGAAGGGCTGCGACGGTGTCGACCCAGACAACATTGATGCGTACGGAAATTCGAACGGACTCGGACTCACTGAGGCTGATTCCATCGATTACCTCACTTTCCTTGCTTCTGAGTCCCACTCTCGGGGCATGTCCATCGGGCTCAAGAACGGTGGCGATATCATAGGCTCTGTGATTGACAAGATGCAATGGTCTGTCAATGAGCAGTGTGCAGAGTACAACGAGTGTGATGTCTATGCTGCTTTCACCAAAGTCAACAAGCCTGTTTTCCACATTGAATATTCTGATGAGACCATCGAGTCCAGCGGCTCTGACACTGCCGCCAATACCACGACAGACACTGACAGCGATGCTACCACCACGTCCAGCACTCCTGATGCCACTGCCACGGATACCACAACCGAAAATGATAGCGATGAAGCCACCACTACCGTGGCATCAACCCAAGCCTCTGCTACTGCTACAAGCACGGCTAGCGTTGCTACCAAGGCTGCCACTACTGCTGCTGCAGCTACAACTACGGACACCACGGACACCACCAACAACGCCGATGCCACTTCAGATGATAGCACCGACGATGCTGAGGACGAAGACGACGAAGATGATAATGAGGAGGATGAGGATGACGGAGATGAGAGTGAGAGCACCGACGTCAAGACCAAGCAAACGTACGGGCACGGTCACCACAAGCTCCGAACCAGAGCTGCTCTCTCAGCCTCACTCAAGAACACAGCTTGTAACGCGGCCAGCGCTGACAAATTCTCCACTGTCATCAAGAACATGAACCTGGATGCTTGGGTTGAGTACTGCTAGTTCCCAGACTCATTGCCTGTAGATCTTACGCCAGCACGTCTCGTTTTTTGTATATGTTGACTGTCGGGAATTTCAGAAGAATTTCAGTCGCTACCGCATGTTCGGATAAAGCTTGGATGTATTCGTGCGACTGATATATTGAAATTTTTGAAATAGCCGGAGAATATCATGCTTATACTGCGAACCCGATACCATATATATAACAGAAGTAACGCTTAAGCTCATGTACCTTTCATCATACCTAAAAATAGTCGGTGTCCCGATATTGTCTCTAACAAAAAAAACCATATAAAAAACAACGAACATCCCGGAATAGTTCCTACTCACTGTCATCAAATACCCCTTTGTTTAATCATACTTAGAATTCCCGGGGCATACAATTCATCCTTCTTTAACATGACAGTAGATAACAATGTTCCAGAAGTCTCATATTTCAAGCATTCTTGATTTTGGTTTGAAGTCTAACCTCGTCAAGCGAGCCCTGTCCCGTTCCTTTGGTCTGTATATATCATCGAGAGCGGCAGTAGTAAGGAATAGAACTCGTCACAACTCAAAGCCCTCCCCTGCAACCATGTGAATCATAGTCACAATAGTATGAAAACTCGTCCTATCATCTTGGTGATTATATATGTGATGAAGCGAATGGGATTCATATATACGAGCAACCAGATGGTGAGAAAGGTCTTGATTCTATCGTCGCAGGCGGGAAGCTAGCCACCGCAACAGACACCCTTCTGGGGATTTTGAGTATGAAAGTGGGCAACCGTATGCTACTAGTGCATGCTGGACTTACTGTTGTGGAACTGGCATGTACTAAATGGTTGGTTCACTGCCTGCATGATTTTTTTGCTTCTTTCTGTCATGGGTCCTGGAGGGGAACCACTGTCTCTGTGAATATTGCAGGGCTTCAATAGAAATGCATCCTTATTGAATTATTTCTATCTGAGTCGCATGCTATCTAGGTATTACCTAGTTTGTGTCCTCATCAAGATGAAACTAATCAAATAGCTCTATAGATAAAGACACCAACAGAATCGCACTGATCTAAACACTGGTTGGGTCTCCATGCTTATGCAGGGCTACGACAGAGATAGTATGTGCCGAGATAACAATGTTTTGATGAACAAAGCAAGGCTAAGGACCAAATTGGTATGGTTGCATATGCATGTATGTGTTTGATATCGCTGTCGGGTAAATAATCCAAATCAATATGTCAGACACTACCCCGGCGATGTATTAATACCCCGCTTGAATTCTTTTCCTCTAGGATTGATTTTGTATTTTGTTCTTTTCAAAATCACAGGGTTTTTGTTCATATTCCCAAATCTAAGCACGTTGGCCAACATGAAGGCATTTGTATATAGCGCCCCGGGAAGGGTTGAGCTTTTAGACTGCCCCAAGCCGACTATTCAAGCACCCACTGATGCTGTAGTGCGGTTGATGTACGCCTCTATCTGTGGAACTGATCTTCATATCCTCAAAGGAGATGTCCCATCTGCGGATTTCGGCACAATACTTGGTCATGAGGGTGTCGGCGAGATCGAGTCTTTAGGCCCTGCGGTCCACAACCTACAAGTTGGCCAAAGAGTGTTGATCTCTTGCATTACATCATGCAGTATATGCCGGCTTTGCCGACGTGGCCTGGCCTCTCATTGCGAGACTGGCGGATGGGTACTGGGAAACCGCATTGATGGTACGCAAGCTGAGTATGTGCGCATTCCACACGCATCAAGCTCCTTGTACCCGCTTGCATCTTCTATAGATCCCCGCGCAGCAGTTATCATGTCAGATGCCTTCCCTACCGGCTTTGAGTGTGGTGTTCTCAGCGGAAACGTTGTCCCAGGAGGATCGGTCGTCATTGTAGGAGCCGGGCCTGTCGGCATAGCGGCGCTTCTAACTGCGCGTCTCTATTCTCCCAAACAAATTGTCGTGGTTGGGCGTAATGAGCCGAGGCTTGCTATTGCCAGAGAGCTGGGTGCCGACGCAGCTATCAGCTCTTCTGAACCAGATGCCCTCCAGCAGTTGATGGCTATTACCAATGGAGAAGGATTCGACTCAGTTATTGAAGCAGTTGGTACCCCTGAGACATTCGCACTTTGCCAGAACCTTGTCGCGGTAGGAGGCCGTATTGCCAATGCAGGTGTCCATGGGACCAAGGTGGATCTACATTTAGAAGCTATATGGGATCGAAACATCGGTGAGTTCAAACAGGTCTGCATTGAAAATAAAGCTGATCATCTAGGTATCTATACATCCTTGGTGAACGGAACCACGACTCCTCAACTGCTAGACTTTGTGGAGTCAGGATTGGTTGACATCAGCTCCTTGGTCACTCATAGTATGTGCGCAAGAAATCCGACGACTTCAAGTCTACGTACTGACTTGGAACTCTAGCCTTCCCTCTTGCTGAAGCAATGAAGGCATATGACACCTTCAAAGAGGCTTCAACACACAATGCTCTCAAGGTTGTAATTGATTTTACCACGACGAGAAACTAATCAGCGACAATATGAACTTCTTGGAATGCCGGTGTTCAAGATTGGGGTCTGAAGAGCTTTGTTCAATTCTATATTTCCTTCCAGGCTTTTGGTTGAACTTATATCGCTGTCGGGTCGACATAACTAGACATACTTACACAACGCAAGAGCTATTTATTCATTCATATTTCAGTAGCCTTCAAGTTAGCTATCACCTGCCATTTACTGCGAGGGGACAGGAAGCAAACATAGTCTTGGAGAGCATACATATTAGATCACCTGATATTTTAACAGAATCTCAAGAATTGAGCATTTTTTCTACTCATCGCGATTATGGGATGTAGTCAAACTTCGAGTAAGTAAGGCTACTTTGTTTCGTCAACTATGTATATATATATATATAGTCAGGGTTGGGTTTGGGTTTGTTGATTTAACCTTAGGAAATCAGTCTCTCCGCCGTCCATCTCAAATAACAAGCCTCAGAATCGAGATCCTGGCATGAGTCGACTTCTTCGACAATGCAGTGGAAGTCCCAGAAGGTTCCTGTCTCCCGTGTACATTACCCCCAAAGATCTTTCGATGTGTCTGCGTTGTGTACGAACATCGGACTTTCCTTCACGGCTTCCCACATGCCAGCGGAACTGCTGCCAAAGTGAGGACCTGTAATGATTGCTCCTTTCACCGGAGTCAAAAGGTTGATCATGCGCTTTGTTATCTCAATTTGTTTATCCCAATCCCACAAATGCATGAACATACCCGAATTGAGGACCTTCACTTTTTTCTGTAGGCTCATCATCTCGGGTGTCCTCAAAGAAACTCTGGACCAAGAAATTTGATTTCAGGCGTGATTTATCTTGAAACAGCTCATTTCCCAAATCAACAAAATCTTGTCGTAGCTCTAGCTCCATGAGATTTTCTAGCGGTGCTCCGTCATAAACTAGGCGGCGTATATCTTGGCTAAATCCACAGCCCAAATTTAGAAACAGGCTACCAGCTCTGGCTTGCTTCAGGATCATCTGGTAGAAGGGGGAGTGGTAGATATCGAAGTGGAGAAACATAAACTTCTGAAAGCAGGGGTAGCTTTCGATTTCAAATGCTTTCTTGGCCTGTTGATGTTAAAGTTTTCAATCCTCTCAATCATTGCCAGACTAGTACTAAAAATTTGTATGATATGCTGTCTCACGTTGGTTGGCTCAATATTTGCGTACTCAAGCAAAAACCGTTCGGTTTCATGGGTCAACTCTTTCGAGGGGTCAGCCTCTTCATTCCATCTGCGAACATACTCACTCCCTTTGGTCCTTGTGCTGGGTGGTATATGGTTCATATTAGTTTTAGATAAGCTCCTCAAGTGGAACTCTGCTCTGTGGGCTTTTATGGACTCATTCTCGTTCAAATAAAGCGCAGATAATGATATCGACAGGGCCAAACTAAAGGAAAGGTCCAAACTCTACATTGTCACACTGTATAATTTTATCGTTCCGAGATGTTTGATTCCCGATCTTGCAGGGTCAGGGATGGCATCACCAGGGAAGGCACCACTGCTTCATCCGCTACGCCAGGGATGGGAGTGCGTAACTTAGTTACACCGCTATTGAACTTATGATCACGTGCTGGGTTGGATGAATTGCTCGCGTTGCGTACATTAATGGACAGCAGGTTCCATCGCGTATCACCCTCTTTATACAGAAGTATGTACCGACAAGTATCAATCTTCGATCAATCCGCATCGCATTTTCTAGCCTTTAGAACTGTTTTGTTTCATCACCATTTGCCGACTTAATCCATATTCATCCGTATTCAGATTCAAACTAAAAGTGAGAGGTACGCTCTGTTCTCGTACCTCCCTAGAAGGTAAAGTGGTTCTAAGAACAAGAGAGTGATCTATAGAGAGTTTAGGCAGACTTTGTTGATTCTTTTTGGCATACTTACGACGAAATTTAAAGGAGAAGATATGTATGCACATATAGAAAGATTCACCGTCGGGCGATGATGTCAATTGCTTTGTTTCTACCTGACATCGGAAGCTAGCTCTGAATCTTAAGTGCAGGTGAAGTCGTTGTGTTTTCTCAGATCCAACTTCACTAGCCGGTGTTTTATTCTGAACCGCGTGTTGACAGGCCTCCACAGAATGAGTAATTCAGACGAAACCATTGGGTTCAACCTCTACTCCTCGCAACCATTTATCCATTGCCTTTTGCATTAATCCCCAGGTCAAATGCACCTATAATTGGTTAGTAAGTATATCAAGCTAGAAACTCAAGGAGATCAAGGGGTAAATGCAGCGGTACTTACCAATTCTGGTGATTCTATAAGTGTATCATGATCTGCATCTTCTACAACGCTCCACTCAACATTCTCCGGTCCGACCATTTCGTCCCAGCCACCAGCATCAAAGGATTCACGCGGGGTATGAAGCCAATCATCGCCAGTCCTTTCCGTTGTCCCTGGTCCATATTTCTCCAATAGTTCCATGGCTTCAAGAACCATACCAGGCATCCGGTCATGATCACCATGCCCAGCCCATATCAAGAATATTTGCGGTTGGATGGCATTGCCCGTGTCCATAGGACGAGGCACATATCCCATTTTCGCGTAATAAGATGAGACTCGGTGCTGCTTCCGAAAAGCGGGAATCTCCAAGTCAGGCTTGCCTTCCTGTCTAATGGGGGAAATGCACCCATGATCTCGAAGAGCTCGACGGTTGCCTGTGGAATCTTGGGGGGTGGTCGAGGCAATGCCAAGTCCAGCATTATTATTCCCAGAACTTGCTTCCCTTGATCTTGGAGTTGGCGTGCGGCTTCATATGCAGTAGCTGTCCCCATTGACCATCCGCATAGCATATATGGCCCGTGAGGATCAATGCTGAGAATGGTGTTTGCGTAGATGGCGGCAGCATCTTCTACCGTCCAATTGGACTCTGACTTGGTCATCAGGAACGGAGAGCCAAGGCTATACACCGCACGGTCGTTGGAGAATTTAGGCAGCGTCCTGTACACAAAGGCGTTTCCAGACCCTGGAGGGGTGAGGAAGAGGGAGGGAACGCCTGCCCGCGGGGTCCCCTGGAGCAGTACTGAAAAGCATATATTACCAGGTGCATCTTCCATGACTGGTGTGAAGTTGAGAAAGTCTGCCGTGTCGGTAATTGAACTGATCTGGTTGTAGACTGCGCTAACTGTTGCCTGGGTGAAGAATATAGATGATGGCAGTGACACTCGGGTTTCCGTGTGGACGCACTTGAGGATTGCGATAGACAAGATTGAATCAACTCCAAGTTCAATCATTCGAACGGAGAGGTCAATCGAACGACCTTTTTCTTTCTCAATTGCCATGCATAATGAATGCATGACATGAGAGCCTGAAATGGGACCATCGATGGTGTGGCCGTTATTCAAGGCCGTCGGCTCTTCTGTTTGTTGACGCTCACAGTATGTCCTAACCAGATCTTCTAGTTTGGTCTTCTGGACCTTTCCTGCCATGGTTTTAGGATATGTTTCATGTCCTAGTGCCTGTATCGATATGACATCCGCCGGAACATAAAGATTTCCCATTTGCGCCAAGACGGTGTCTTTGAGTCTGTTTGCTGTATCGCCATCGACTTCCTGGTTCACCACAACCATAGGGACTTCACCAGCAATGGGGTCTGGCGCACGTATAATCTGAGGTTGAAGAATGTTTATTTCGGGCATTTGACCCAGTACCGCTTCGATAGCTGATGGTTCAATATTCTCGCCTCCGCGGATAATGGTGTCTTTGTACCTTCCAATAAGATAGATACGATTGTCGCCGCTAATGAAGGCTTTATCACCGCTGCAAAACCAAGCAAGGCCATCATCCCCGTTGTAGAAGTTTTTATTGGCTTCTCCAATATATCCGTCAATCAGACTTGAACCGGAGATGTGTATCTCGCCAGTCTCTCCAGCTCTAACTGTCGCCTTAGTGTCCTGAGCGTATATCCGGACACGCATGCCAGGGAGTGGTGTGCCGATAGAAACATTCCTCCCTTTGATGATATCGCTGGCTTGGCTTACCACGTCGGTAGAAACCAGGACACCCTCCGTCATGCCATAGAGATTTTCCACCCCCGAAGCACCTAGAGAATTTAGGCAAATTTTAAGGATCTCCTCGGTTGGGGGAGAACCCCCTAGCAGAATGCGCCTAAGAGAGCTGAGCTTTTCAGATGGAAGTGGAATATTGCTCAGAGCATGAACCATTGTTGGCACCAATCCAGTGTGGCTCACTTGCTCCTCCCGGATGGCCTTGATCACGGCCTCTGGAACAAATCTTGGCCCCGCAAACACAACAGTGGCTGCATTAAGAAAGGCAGACATGATACAAACCCAGCCGAACCCGTGGTTGTTTGGCAGTGTAAACAAGACTCGGTCTCCAGGAAGCATGGGAACACTGCTTTGGCGCCAGCGTGAAGCGGCCGCAAAGGCATACGCAGATGGCACCATACAGCCTTTTGGGAGAGATGTCGTACCACTAGTGAAAAAGATCGATCGATCGGGAGACTTTAAGTGCTGATCTCGAAATAGACTTTGCTGGAGATCACTTTGCTGGGGATCTAGAGCTGAATTGCGCATCAGCTCCTTGAACGGTGTCCATTCGTTCATCTCTCCATCGACCAATATTCTAATGCAACTCAGCCCGGAAGTGAACTCTTTGATATGCGCACACATGCCGGATTCTCCTGCAATGATTCCCATAAGATCTGACTGACATCCTTTCATCGTGGTCTGCAACATGTGCCGCATCTCTGTGGCATTGGCCAGGCCTTTTGGATTGATTGGAATGTATACACAACCGATTTGATACGCAGCCCAGGTGGCAATAACATATTCGGCGGTATTTGCAATGAACATCACCAATGGATCACCCCTTTTCAGCCCTCGACTTCGCAGACCAGCGACGAGTCGCTGTACAGCTTGGTCGAGGGCCCGGTAGGTCCATCGTAGATAGTTTGCTTCACCTTTATCGCTGTCAATGGCGACGCTTGGGATTCCGTAGAGAGTGGACGCTTGCTGGGTACAGACAAGGGCCACGGCATCGGGGCGATTCACGAGATTACGATATAACACCTCATGGAGGTTCGCATCCGCATTTGGGAGGGGAGGTCCGCGGAGTTCGTTGAGGGCCACCATGGTGGATGAATTTTTTACAATTGATTGATTACAATCCTTTTAAACCCTTTGAAAATCAAAAAAGGAAAGGTTTTTCATTGATCACGACCCTCGGGGTAGGAAAGACCCGAAGTAATTAAATACGAGAGGCTATTCAATGCAAGCTGCACAGTACATATGTAAGTGGATAGCTTGTGCCTAGTCACACAGTCGGTGAAGCCCGGTAAATTCATGGAGCCCAGTGAAGGTATTCATTGACCACAACATACCAAACACCCCGGCTTGCCACAGGAGACATCCTGATATGTTTGATACAGTGTCTTGCGGGGATCCACATGGATATCGCCCTGCTTGCCATCTGATTTATACAAACTAAATCAATCAAACAACGGACCCAAGTGCTGAGAATGGTCCAGAATGGTCCAGAATGGGGTGACTAGCTGTCCGAGGGACGTTAGTGTACATGTCCGATGACAAATTTCGTCAAGACAGGGCAGATTTGGCTCACGAAGTCGGAGAACCCAAATAGTGTTCTTAGATGTGAGAGACCAGAAAATGCCACCCATGTTCGGCGCTACCACAGGTACGAGGCAAACTGTGTCGTGCTTCAGCCCATTTCTATATATTTGATTACACCGATCTTGGCATACGCACTTGATCTCTTCATATCTGCACGGTTTGCAAACTATGTGTGAGGTTTGAGCATGCACTGCAACCCAAGAGATGTAGACCTGGAAATGGCACATGCAATAGATTTTGCGTTGAAAGGTGTTAGATTTTTATTTCATTCTAATACTTTTATCAGAGCATCGATCATGAATCTGTATCATGCATAATTGGCTCGTAAATGCATGAATGAAAATGCAGATGAATGCAGGTGACGAAAATATTTGTGTCACATGATGCATGATGCGGTTTATTGGGGGACGAGAGCGAGAAACTCATGTATCTTGTATTTTCATTACGGCGATCAGATTGAGAGTCTCGCCCTTAACTGCCGATCAGTATCCATTAGTGTGCTTCTATTTTCCATGTGTAGCACGAGGGTTTCATGTGTCATCTAAATAACTCTTAGATAAAACACGTATTCCTCATATGCAGTGGCTACCATTGAATTGCAAACAAACACCCTGATTGACTCATCTCCAACAATCTTGCTTCCAATGTCTCAAACTATCACTACTCCTCGCTCGAAGACTACCACAATCGTGGGAGATCGTTCTTTGGACGTCGCTGATCTCGAAGTAATCAAACTTGAAAGGCTTATTACACAAGACCTAGTCGAGACAGCGAAACTTTTGAAGGCCGCCGAATCTCAGGGATTTTTCTATCTTACTTTCAATGATGACCTCTCGGAGAAAGTTTCAAGCCATCTTCAGACTTGTTACCTGAAATCTCATGAGTATTTCAGCAAGCCTTTGGACGAGAAAATGAAGGATTTCAGGGAGAGTGTGGATCGTGGGTATGTTGGCCTTTACTGCTGGAACGAGCCTTACTTGCAGACGCTGACCCATCGACAGCTACAAACCCGGACCAGGCATTGAATCATTTGAAGTAGGTATATTTATGCAATTGGGTTATATAGTGGCTAATTACCCCAGATCGCTCGGGACGAACAAGCCAGCATCACTTTACCAAGTCCCTTCGCAGAGCACGTTAGCGCCACGCAGGAACTTGCAGATATTTGCGACGCCGTAGTTCGCACCTGCCTCCGCAGCCTTTCCGATAGCCTAGGTCTTGATAAACTCTCGCATCTGGAAAATTCTCATCCCGCTTGTGGACCAAGTGACTCGGGGCTGAAGTTCGTCTCTGGTCCAACCCGTGCAATCGCGGCCGATGCACCAGATACTACCCACACCGATGGTGGTTCGATCACCTTACTCTGGTGTGAGAAGTGGGCCAGTCAGCTGCGAACAAAGGAGACGCAAGAGTGGCTATGGATCGAGCCCAAACGGGATTGTGTCTTGGTTAACATCGCAAATTATGTACAAGGTCAGACCGGCGGCCGCTTGCACTCCCCAGCCCATCGAGTGACCCAGCCGACCGATGGCGTCGAAAACCGATACTTTGTGTCCTATTTCTTGAGACCGACGAACTAGTTCTAAGAAACAATCCTGGCAGTCGTAATCTTGGGAACAGATTGGGTTTTTGAGGGGCAAAACCATGTTGATGCGGAATTTCATTGCCATATACAAGACTAACCGAAATCAAATGTCATTTGAATTCCCAGTGGCCTAGGAATATCTGTTTGGTGGTCTTCAGTGCATCAATAGCCTTAATTGAAACAAAACAGCTTCGAACCTTGTTACGATGGTACCAGTACGTTGATCAGGTCCAAATTCCAAGCCCAATTTATGCACGCCACGAGTAATCAACCTGTACCTCGTAAAACTGCCTATTTCATCAAATATTGGAAGGCAACTGAAGTTTGCTAGGAATGAAAGGGTCGGATGAAAAATACAGATTTTGAGGTTCACTACAAACCCGCGAAAACGGACCGATTCTGAGCGCAAATACCGCTGCCTTGCGTCTCAGCGCACCTTCAGAAAAGATTCAATGACCGTGCAACTACGTGCTCATCGACTACTCCGTATCATCACGCGAATTACGAATACCCCATCGTTATACGATGTTTGTGTTTTCATGCAGGAGCTCTACCCCATACAGAAACCTAAATTTATAACATTCCGACTTAGGTTTTCACTGTAACCTATACCGCCCATGCTCATAATGACATGGATTATATATTAAACCTCAGCCAGCCACTCTGGATATACCGAATTCCGCCGGATGAACCTGCAGAAATGATCAATTTGTTTGACTAGCATGCAGGGTCGCCACGCAATCTGAACATACAATATTGTATTTATTTATGCAAACTATAACCGTATCAGTGGAGACTACAGGCTAAAAGCCAAGACCAGATAGAAATATTTGGTTGCTTGGTTTTTTTATATTGTTTTGCATAATTTTCTATGATCAAATTCACAGATACCTATTGTTGAATGTTGTGCCGAAGTGAAATTGCGCAGCTAAAAAAGCAAATGGAGGAAACCTTGACAAATACTTAATAACCCTGCGATTTGACGCTTGAGCATCTAGTGCTAGTATATTACCTTTATTCGTCAAATTTTCCAGAAAATCTCGAAGAATTCCAGCGGAGAGAGACTCCTACGCTTGTCCAATTTTCCCAATATAGCGAGCTATACTGTGCCACAATTCCACAATGTTTTTCTTGAATTTGAGTTCATCATTGAGGACCTTCAGGCTGCCTTCTCCGTTATTCTCTTTGTCTTCGGCATTTGTATCATCGCATTTCTATATTTGAGCACCTCCAAAGACTATCCAAGGCTTGACAGATCCAAGATTCGGGTGGCGCAGGGGCACAAAAGGTTCAAAGTGCCGAGTCCAGCTATCAAGACACATGCTGAATGGACATCGACGAGAGAGTTGGAGTTCTACAAAGAGCTTTATTTCAAGCTCCAAAATTTGGAGCAACACTGCGACATAATACCAAGTGCACGACAAACGTTCATAATCCTGCTTTCACAGGCATTGGAAGACTACGTCAAGGCCCCCGGTATCAGCATACTATCGATTGAACACTTTGACAAAAAAAAACTTGCCCGCTTTCTTCAGAGTCATCAAGATGATGTCACAACTCAATACCATCAGTATATCAGTCGCCGACAATCCGGCGGCCCGCGTGAGCTACTTCACAATCAGCAGGCAGCTGGAGATTGGCTAAGGGAGACCGCACCGCTAAAACTGGTCGACGGTGCCTGGCTCGGGCATTTAAACAAGATCACTATGCCTTTCGCGTTGAGGCAAATTGTAAAGCAGACATGGCAGGTGTTCACAGAGGAATTGGGAAATGGCAACCGGGACCAACATCATGTCAAGATCTTTGAGGATCTTCTGAGTGAATTTGAACCAGATTTACCCTCGCCAATAACCAAGGCTATTCTGCATCCTCGGTACAGACTGGGTAGCCTCAAGTATTGGAGAGCGGCTGTGGCGCAGCTTCTAGTATCTCTCTTTCCGCGTGAGTTCTTGCCCGAAATTCTTGGGTTCAACCTACATTTTGAAGCCCTGCAATTGGATACCATGCAAGCGTCGAAGGAATTGCCGGAAGTCTGTCTCAACGCATACTATTTTCTGTTGCATGTTTCAATTGACAATAGTCATTCGGGGCATGCTGCCATGGCTATGGCAAGTGTCACAGACTACATTGAACATATAACAGAGACTGAGGGCGAAGTAGCTGCAGAGACCGCATGGAAGAGAGTTCAGGCAGGATATGTTTTCAGCGAGTGGCAAATTCAAAAAGGCAACCAGGCAACCAACATTCTTGCCCAACTCAATGACGAGTCTCCTGATCAACTGGAGTCAAAGGTTCTTGCGATATTTAGCTCAAAAATTCAAGCCTCCCATAGACTACATTGTGGGAGCCGGGTCAAGATTGGAGAGCGCTTGCTGACTGATTGGCTGGACCCCGAAGCGTTCTTGGGTGAGGAATGGCAGCGGAAGTTTATGCGATCCTTAAGCACATGTCAACCTTGGATATATCCTGGTGATAGCCAGAAAAGCAAATTGGTACAAGAGTTTCGATGGGGAGGGAGAATGTATGGATCCCTAACGAAGAGCGAACTCGATATATTTGAGCTCTGGGTCAACTCCCTGGGTCATGACCAAAACCCTTTCTATCACTCTTTCATCAACCCTAGTATGGACTCACAGGATCAAGTAAGCAAGACATCAGACACCGACAAGAGTGTAATTATTGCTCTCACTGTCAGTGAAAAGAACATTGAAACAGCAATTCTACTTTCTCAAGTCCCATCGGGGAAATATTCCGGAGACCTGACAGCAAATCTTAATTTGCCCTCTATGTTACCACTTTGGTTCACGCAGTGTTGTCTCTTGGAGTCATTTTTGTACGCCCCGGGGAGAACGACCGATAATCTTGGCTGCGCTGTGGTACGCTTCTTGCGCGCCCAGTCAGGCTTTGAGACAGAGGATTCAGTTGTGACGGGGACAGACGAGCCTCATACCACAGAGAATGGAGGAATCATTGAGTTTGGTCTGGAAATGATCCGCGCAGCGTCCCTTCCCATCCCTCAAGGTCTGCATGGTCTCCTGTCTGCTTGGCCGTCCGAATTTGCCACCACAATGCTCGAACTAGCTTCCAGTCCCATTCAGAATTTAGGTACCCTGTTGGGTATGGCCATGGCGTTTCTCGAATTACAGGAGATGGTATCAGAATCTTCTAATTACGGCTTGCTTTCTCCAAAGAGCAGCGAGCGCCTTGCATCACTGATTCGGAGGCAGTACGAATGCTTGCAGGTCTGTCTTGAGGAAATTCCTATTGGAGATGCACGTCGTGTGGCCTTCCACCGTGGATATGACATGGCGAAGGCGGAGATTAGCAAATGCTCCGGGTCAGCCCCGTGAAAGCTGGATAAAAGGCCTCTCGGTCGTTTCTTTTATGCGCAACCTTGACATCTTGTGCTTACAGGATCATCTGAAGATTGACATCTTTGCAATTTCCTCTACATTATAGAAGATTAGAAGAATATATGGGCTCATTTGAGAAATTCATAGTAACTAGATCTGCCGTGGCAGAAGCTTAGATACTTTCAGCGAAATTAGAATACAAGATTTCAGTGTTGCATTCATTCCGATGCACATATTCAAACTGCAACTCTACGAGGAGTTTTCATGAAGATTTGCATCCTTTGCCATTTTCAAATATTCTATAGCCTTCTGAAGTGCTGCTATCCCGTCCTTGTCTCGTTTTTTTGATATACCACGTAGCGGGCTACTATTGGCGGGACTGATAGATGAATAAATCCGCAGATCTGGCCAATTAAAATTGGGTGCATAGTAAAGGCAATAGAAGGTATATATGGTGCATCTGCGTATTGTGTGATTCCGTCGGAGAGTTAGAAGTATGGTAACTTTTTGCAGAAGATCCGAACGTAAACTGGATTCAGAGAACAGGGAGAATGCGTAGAACCCATAATCTGCAGGATCCAGCAGTGCCTAGATATTACAGCTCCTGTCAAAGTGCTGCGTGGAAAACAAGCCTTCGGAACTGCATGTAAGCCAATGGAGACAACTTAAATGCGGGGAAAGCTCGAACCTCGGACACTCCGAGACAGATATAGATATTCCAATCGGTTAAAGTGACCAACATGGTATTGGGAGGCTTGATAGCCATGGGAATAACCACTTGCACATTGCGGTCCATGTTCCCATATGTGCTACAGCCAAGCTGATGTTCTCGCTTCGGCTCAAGAGACCCAAATAAAAAACGGATGACTTCATCTTGCAAGATAATCACAAAAGCAGCGGCGGCGAGCCCGAGTTTTGGCTTTATCTAAGCGCCAAAACCGGAATCCCAATGCAAGTTAAAGGGGCATGTGAGGACGGGGAGAGCTGTATAGAGCCACAGGAGTGGAAATTTGGCGGCATGACCGAAACTGTGTTTATAGGACTCTGAGGGACTTGACTAGTTCCAAGACTCTTTTGTGCATTTATGGCGCAGCTACCGCCAATCAGGATTTTGTGCAGGCCGTCCACGCCAGCAGCTTTGATGATTGGTTTCGGGCAATTGAAGGCGAGGGAGTTCGGAGCCGACGCCGCCTATCTCCTTCAGCAGCCCCACATCTTCAGGTTGACAAAACTCGCGAAGTTCATTGGAGCCGATATGTGGGGCGGCCCGTGCCGAACTACTGACCATGTCTCTGACTATGAGATAGTTATTTGATAGTGTAGATACAGGACGAGATATGAAGGCAAAAATAGCCTGAGCGTGAAACACAATTTGAGCAACTGTTGCCGTCGTTGATATGCTGAAGAAGGAACGACATAAAGAGGGCAACTTCCCATCATCAATTTCTTCAGACAGCAACGACGACCACACCAATCTACTATAATCGGGCTTAACTCGACACAAGAACCACAATGGCTCCTTCCATCATGTCAGCGACTTCCCCTGTGGTCAGAAAGCGAAAGGGCCGTGCTGACTCTCCTCGTAGCTCGAATGACACTTCCAGTGTTTCTGTGCCACCAGTCAAGACTATTCAGACCACCAACGGTTCCAATGGTACCAACAGAAACGGTGTGTCTACTTTGAAGGAAAGCAACGTTGCAAAGGAAATTCCTACCGAACCTGCCCTGGACGTCAAGTTGGATGTTTTCATGAAGACGGAGCTTGCCCACGCCGAGATTCGCAAGTTCCCCTGCGTGAAACATGTCCGACCGGCTCAGTTCCCCGAGGCGATTGGTGCCCTGCCTTTCCCTCAAGAGCTGAAAGATTTGGTTGCCTGGACTGATGTCTTTGTCGAACGACTGGGTTGGGCTGCCTTGCAAGCAGAAAAGGTTAGAATGGTCTGATCATCCGGCAACCATTTATGCTGACATTGACGAATGACAGAAAACTTCTAGCACAGAGGTCTCCCTTGCCCGAGCTAAACAGGAGAACGAAAAGCTCAAGCTCGAGATTCAGGATTACCGGACTAAGCTTCACAACTCAACTACTGACAACCACAAGTTGAAGGGCGACATTTCTCGTCTTACCAGTCGCAACAGGTTCCTCGAGAACCAACACAAGTGTGACGTTAAGCAAATTGAGGCTTTCAATAAAACAATTGCTGAGAAGCAGACCGCAATCTGGGGTCTGACCAAGGAGAATGAAAAGCAGAGAGCTAGCGTGCACAGCCTGGTGGACCGGGTCAAGCAACTTATCGCTGCGAACAATGACAATAAGCATTTGATTGACGCCTTGAAGGAGTGGAAGGCAGCCGACAAAATCCACGACGACAAGATTGACAAGCTTGTGGATTCATTGAAGCAGGATGTGGAGACCCAGAAAGCTGCCACAAAGGCGGCTGAGGACAAGGCTGAAATCGCCAACGGGAAATTCAAGGACCTGGAGCATGAAAATGCTCGACTTGTGACACTGGAAGCACAGCTTGCGGAGCGTGTCAAGTCTATTGCCGAGCAGCTGAGGCAGCTCGAGGGAGACTTTGGAGTCACACAAGGACAGAAGGCGACGCTGGAGGCATCGCTTGCTGAGCTCACGAAGAAGGAAGCCGATGCCCATATCGAGATTCAAAGTCTCCACCAGAAAGTGCACGACGCCAAGGAGGAGGTTAAGAATGCCATGAAGAAGGTTCTTGAATCCAAAGACCATGCCAAACTTCACTGGAACATTCTCGAGACCATCCGTGTTGATGGTGGCTGGTTGCGGACTAATGAGAGACATGATTGCGATGAATTACCCGTATCTCAGCCCATCACCGATATCAACAACCCTTTCAATTAATCGACACTCTGATTGGGAAATTCTGTCTTGGTTGGAGACGTTGCCGACACGCTTCTCGCTAGGAAGTGACATAGTGCGTTTCTGTGGGCTTTCTTTATCTGATGTTTTTCTATCTCTTGTAAGATTCTCTCTTTGTGTTATTCTTTTGTCCACTTAGCAATGCAATGCAATTTTGGAGCCTTTTGGCCAAATAAAACCTAAGATCCAATCATGTTTCTCGCGCAGTAGATCATGGAATTGACGGCGCTGACGGTGCTCACTTGATAAATCCGCCAAAATTATAACTGATAAGTACAAGTGACACTGGCGTTCTGGTAGCAGAATCGCAGCTGATTATCAGGCCTATAAGCTCGGTGGCAGTAGTTTTAGTTGTGTAGGCGACAATGAATACTGAATTATATGTATGAACATGGAAAAGTAGGCTTTATAGTGTCTTTTATCGCCTAAATTTTTTCAGATTATCTGCCTGTTTTTCAAATCGAGCTAAAGATTAAGTTGAAGTAGTAATCACAAAGCTTGCTGTCTATACGCTGAAGAGCAAACAGTGTTTTTTTATAAAACAGAACAAACTCCATTCAACCCTACTCTTCTCCACTACAACTCTCTACATCCCATTCTTGCAGCTATGTCACCCTCAGTTTCGCTGGGCTTCCAGGCTCTCATTCTATGTGGGCCTGGGTTCTCCTTCAATACATTCACCTCCAAACCAGAGGACTACCCAAAATGTCTCATGCAAGTCGGAAATCGACCTATGGTCTACTATGCTATCGACTTTTGCAAACGATCAGGCATCACTGGTATGCTCATATAACTTATCAAGGCTGATACGCACAATTGGAGACAATACTAACTGGCCACAGATGTCACCTTGATAACGCCTCCATCCTCATTCCCAGCAGTTCAAGCTGCCATGAAGATCGATCCACATCTTACGTCTTTCCACTCGCATCCATCCATAATTGCGCCGAAAGGTCTCGATATGACCATGGGCACCGCCCAGCTCCTCCGCCTCCCCGAAGTCCAACGTGTTATCACAACTGACTTTATCATTGTACCTTGTGACCTCATATGTGAACTCCCTGGTGAATCTCTTATCGAGGCTTGGATGGCTACTCAGGGCGTCCTTGAACCAACTCGAACTGCCAAAGACCGACGCAACTCACTCGGTCAAAAGCCTTCCCGCTTGGACGTGCAGCAAAAGGGACGACGCGGCGCTCTAGCTGTGTTCTACCAAACAATCGACCGAAGAGAAAGCGTCCAGGGGGAGTTTACTGATTTTGTAGCTGTTGCACCTCTCACACATGATGAGGCCCCTGTTATAACACCTGCGGATATCGAAACAGCTGCCATCCGGTTCAACATTTCGAAGCTGCTGCTAACAATGCCCATGGGAACAGCCAAGGAGAAGATGGAACAAGATAAAGGCTTGCTCCTCCGGCATTCTTTGCTTCAGACGCACGGGCGCATTCGAATCCTCACCAGCTTCCGCGATGCACACATCTACGTCTTTCCATACTGGGTCAAGGAGATGGTCCACAGCCAGCGCAGACTGCACACAATTGGTCAGGACCTTGTCGGCAACTGGACCAAGGCAGGATGGCAAGAAGGGCTAGGCATAACTCTCGGTCTCACTCGTCCACTGTACCAAGACAGCCAGAGCGACCTCGAGGAGTCAAGCTTCGAGAGCAATATCGAAGCGAGATACATGGACCAGAAGATCGATCTTCAGCGCATGAGCACTACCAAGTCTGCGCTGAATACTCTGCCTCCCAAGTACATCCACCCTCCCAAGAGTTCGAAGTCGAAGGAGGAAATGATGCCTCCCAAGGCTGCCGATCTACCACAAATCCTATCGTATATTCACCGAGGACCCCAGCTCATTCGGCGGATTGACCATCCCGCTATCCTTCTTTCGACTTCTCTCCTTCTAGCCAAGTTGCAGTCCATCGACGAAGTCGGAAAGCAGGCAGCTTCGCCTTTCGCTCACGCACACAAGATCTCCTCTCCTGAACTCGTGGCTAAGCGCAGCATTGTTTCTCAGAATGATTGCCTTCTCGGTGATAATGTTACTATTGAATCCACCTGTGTGATTAAGGAAAGCTGCATCGCGTCTAACTGCCATATCCATTCAGGCGCGCGGATCAATCGCTGTGTGCTGATGGAAGGGGCGGTCGTGGAGGCTAAAGCTCTGCTGAATGGGTGCATTATTGGTCGACATGCTAGAATTGGCCGGGAGTCTGTGCTGAGGGACTGTGAGGTACAGGATGCCAATATTCTGCCTGAAAAGATGGATGCTCGGGATCAGAAGCTTATGGTTTTCGAGGAGTTGAGGAAGTGAGATGATGGTTGGCGAGCTAATATTTTCCGGGCCAGCCTCCATGCAATGACCTAGAACATTTGATTATCATCGTAGCAGTAACTCTTGAGCAATCAAATCAAATAACAGTTTAACTGATATTGTCAACCCAAATAGTAAATTTGATAATCAAATGTGGGACCCGTGCACCCGTACCCGGGTGGACGGCAGAGCCTCAGAAATCCTATACCAAGGTTCACGTTGGCACTAGCCAAACTTTCCAATGTTGCAATTCAACGATACACACGATGGACTCAATATTCTATAAAAGCGAACTCGTGATGCGAGTCTGCGAAGTATGAAATGTGTTATGATATTCTCAGGCCAAACCAGCCCGAGATTTCTAGCCACAACCCCGCATGTGAGTGAGTCACGTATAATCGCAAAACCATAAATCTGGCCTCAAGAAAGGTAATTTATTATGTCCAAAGTGAAATGGTGGGGAATACAAAGTGTGTGTGCGTTTCATGATCATCGGGGCTTGGCTAACCCGGGTTCGCCTCATGACTAGACAGCATGATGACTTACCCTACACTAGGTATTGTAATGTCTTAGTAAAGTAGGACCCGACCCGGTTTATGTTTAACAATTCAAGCCACATATTCAAATAGGCATTTTAAATTTCACTCATACCACATGTAACATAAATTCAATAATGGAACCTTTCTAAAGAGTGTGAGGCTGACAGCCTTTGCCGTGAAGGGCGCAGATCGTCGATCGTTAAACATGATTGACGAAAGAAAAAAAATCCAGAAACGTCAAGACATGCAGAGGAGAAGAACAGATTCTCCACATATAAAATGAGTCACATACTAACAGCCAATGAAGCACGCAGCAGGACCAACAAAACATGCATGAAAAAAGTCGACTTTCTGCCTCCGTCATTGGCTAATTCCTCCACACATGCGTCCCCAATGGAGGGACGCACGAGGCGCACCAACAATGGGGGCCAGCCAAGCGGACAGACAAGTGCGAGCGTCAAGTGAAGTCTCGAGTGACATCAAGTCGGGGTCCAAGGGAATCTTCAAATCCGGGACCTCGACAACTCGAGTCAGAGATCAAAATGGAAAACCAGGGAATTCCAAGGGCGCATCCAGGCAGCCCTATTCAACCTGACCAAGACTTGGTAGTGGGGGTGTCTAATGCCATCATATGCTAATTCCACATGTCTGGCAAGACGACCTGGGCAATCAATGCCCATGAATTGAAACGAGTTCAAAGAAATCGGAGTAGTAGACGTATATCGTGTTACGAGAGAAAACCAGTATCATCAGCCGTCATTCAATGGTGGTACTTGGCGGACTGATGCGGCGTCTTGTGCCGGCGCTCCACGCGCTCCACGCGCTCCTCACAATCGCTGTTGTACAGCGAGCCACGGATGGATGTTGAACGGTTGGGTGAACCGCCTGGTTCCCGGTATGTGATCGAGACGGGGGAGCGTGAGGTCCGAGGAGCTCGCTCAATAATCTTGTACGTGGCGGTTGGTGTGGAGGGGCGATCGAGTGACAAGGAGCCGCGACCGGGCTTCCGAGCCTTCACAGGATACGTTCGGTCGTAGCTGAGTGTTTCGTTTTCGTCGTAGCTGAGTGCTTGGTCGGGCTGCACAATAATAACCTTCTTTGGCAATCGCATGCCTTTCTCCAGGGCAGCAAGGAGATTGCGCACGGCGTAGGCTTCGTTGGGGAGCTTTACACGGGTGTCCTTGCCGTTCTGGGTGTCGACCTTTGAGTAGTGCTTGCCCTTGGAGCTGTAGAGGTATTCGTCTAGAGTGCGGGCATAGCTAGCTCCTTTGCCGCAGAGGGGGCCATTTAGGCATTTAAAGCAGTCAGCGACGTGCTTCTCGTAGTCTTCGACGACCAGGTTCTCGTCGGCGCGGAGCTTGCGCTTTACGCTGATAGAACGAGTTAGGCCAGGCATGGTGTTTGTGCGACGAAGTCCGAGGTGAGGCCGTGTCTGGCTTTTGTGGGCGTTTTTGTCAGTTGAGAGCGTCAAATATTCGACGCTGTATGAATTTGAGCGCAAGTATGAATTTGAGCGCAAGGGCGACACTGTGACTGATGTATGGGTGGGTCACGGGAAGGCAGTGGATGATCACTGTATAGATGATTTGACGATTGATGAATGTGAGAACCAAGTGTGACTCTGTGAATGTGTTGGAAATAACAAATGATTCGAGAGGGGAAATGGTCAAATATATAGTCATGCAAGTTGTAATACCGTATCTATATATGGAGCCTTGAGGCCCTGGAGCCTGGAGGGTATGGTATCGGTGGGTCCTGATATTTAGTACCTGGAGGCTACTTAGTGCCCCACATGACACAAGCCGTAGACGCAAGTACTATAATTGTACAAGCCTAGCGCCTGGAGGCTGTGTATGAACAATCGCCGTCTTCCGCTTTCAACTGCTCATCTGATTGGTTCCACTTGCCCTTTGAACGGTCAAACTTCACGATGTCATGCTTCTCTTCAAGGCCCGAGTTCCCTTTTAGTCTCCCCGACTTAATCATCTTCTTATTTTTTGACAACCCTTATCCTCATGACATCAATTCCATCATCTTACATGTAATTTTATTGGTTATAATTTATCGAATCGATGTGGCTTGTGCCCTCTCGTGTTCCTGCACCATTTTTTGCTAGGGTCTCGTGTACCCTGAGGAAAAGGGGCTTGGGATCGCTTATTTTACAACATCCATGACATGTTGACTTAACACTCAGAATAGAAAATTGGTGTTTCAAGATTCAAAGATTCAACCAGAGCCACTACATTTCAATGGGAGTGTTTGATCCCCAGCTCCCGCCGGGACATTCCCAACCCTCATAGGCCCCATGTAGCCGCTCCTTTGTATTGAGCGTCTAACAAAACAACTCTGGAACAACAACATCCGAACTTCCAAAAATTAAGCACTCTTCTATTGTTCCAATTTTGGAGATACCAACTCGCGATATTTGGAACTAAAACTAAGAATAGTGTCAACAAACTCGTGCTAATTTCGACTTTTGGACCCCACGCTTTGGTGCTTACCACCAGCCTCATTTCCCCTCCTCAGCCTCAAGCCACATCCGTATAGAACGGTTGCTCGTCCCTTCCTTCTTCACTTCATCCCTAATTCAGAACAATTGCACCGCCTCAGCCACTACTTTCACTTATTCCTGATTCTTGATTCGAGTCACCAGCCACTTATCTCTTCTTTTCCTTAGTTGCTTACTCCTATGTTCCATCTTTCTGGCTGCGGCCTCGACGCTCAGATCCTCAGGGGCTCCCATTGAGATGAGCGTTTTTTTTCCGTTGTTAAGTGTTTTCATCGATGTCACTTGTCGCGCGCCAAATTCTCTTAACCATGTTTGATTATTTTCTCCCAGGCATCGCCGAACCAATGCGATTTGCCCGATAGCGCGCGTTGACCTTGACGACGGAACGTTCTTTTTTAGTTGTGTTTCACCACACGCCGCCATACCAAAACGCAATCATGCCTTTCCCTTGTGCAATCTATTTTCAACACCGAATAAGAGTCGAATCCCACCCTCGACAGCCTCGCACTGTTCACACTAACTACTATTCCAATCAGGATAGGACCTGGCCGAAGCAGAATGCCATGTCTTCCACTTTTGAGCGAAACTTCCAACAGCCCATCTGGCCGGGCTAGCTCAATCGGTAGAGCGTAAGACTCTTAATCTTAAGGCTGCGGGTTCGACCCCCGCGTTCGGCTCTTCCTAAAAACCAAACGGTCTTTAAGATTTCTTTTTTGCTAATTTTTTCTTGGATGAAAATTCTGTTCCTCGGAGGTGAGTGGCTGATGGGGCGTTAAGTGCCCACATGTGGGGCGGGCCGCTGCTTGGGAACTACTCAACACGCCAATCACCAAAGAGCTATCTATGTTTGGCATGCACGTAATATAGCAATAACAAGCGAATTGTAGATCTTATCTGAGGCAGCAATTACAATATTGTACTGAAAGAACAGATTTCAGTAGCAAAACAAAACATTCAGGGTGAGACATCAGCCATCTGTGGCTTGACCTGGGCCTGAGCGCAAGGCGGAATACGCCTCGTTGATAAGGTTTTGCCTTCAGCTGGACATGGATTGTTGTATTTGGTACAAGGTATGTAGGCTTCAATCGATCTTTTGATATGCCATTGCTATGATTCGTCGTCGGTGGCTTTGATCAGAGAAGCTTCTTGAACAATTGATTTTCACCCGGGTTCTGTGGTATATGTATCTTCAATGTGGAATAGCGGAACACAGTGGCTGCAGCATCGGCCCGGTTTTCGACAAACTTGTAGAAATACATGCAACTCATACGTAGATGGTTCGATATTTGACGATTCTTACATCTTCATTTACAAATGAAGAGTCCGAGTTGGATTTGCTTCTAAAAGCCTCGGCAGCACCCGGGTTCAAGTATACTACTTTCTTCGAGGCAACATTCAACAAAATGCGAACCCGGGTTTGGTAAGAAGAGGAACTGTATCCGGTGATCTGATGACTTGTTGCAAGGTTCTAAGTTTTCACTGTAGTCTGCTGCTGCCTTGGATTTTTTGTGAGGGATAGTCATCAATTTCTCAAGTCGTCATCATGGACATATCGAATGCGGGCGCTGGTTGCCTTGGAACTTTCCTTGCTCTTTTAGTTTCTTACACCGGGGGCTCCACTACTAGTTTTGTTTCCTGGAGTGGTGGAGACAATGTCTGCCTATCTGGAGTCTTTCTTCGACATGATTCTACTTGTCATGTGGCTCATAGACCATGTTGAAGCGAATATACATATATACATATGTAGAAAAGATCAAGAAGCATTTATTACAGACACCCGATGAGGTTTAACTTCCAGGATCATAGTACATAGGGGCTGGATATCTCCTGATCTGTATTGGATAATAGATACAGTGATATTGAATATCAGTTTTAATACCATTTTCGATTTTCTTCCCGTCCTTGAAGGGCATGCTTCCTAAGTGTCAGGTGACCCCTCTACATGATCCACTATTCCGACGCTTCTTAGATGCAGCAATCGCAAGCCGTGGCCTGGAAGTTGCGAATATCAGCGAGACGCGCCCGCTGCCGTTGCTCACTTCCCGAATCGCGTGTGAGTTGCCTTACGTGTCTTTTACTGATTGACTCGGGCGTTAAGCTAACAACTTCAGCTCCTTTGAATCTACCCATTAGAAAACAATCGAGACTCAGCTGGACCGACTTGAGGAAACAGTTCACTCACTGGGAAACTCATTTGGTCGACTAGCGGAGACCATAGATGTCTCTCGTCTGCGCGAGAACGCAGAGACTGGGTGCCAAAATGATGGCCCCGAGCTATCAGACAAGACACGCGATGATACAAGACTCTATATTGGGTCGTCGAATTCATTCTCCTTTTTGAAGGACGCCGCGGCTAACATCGATGCAATTGCACAACCACTGGGCGATGCCACTCGCCAAAGCGCTCGTTCCGAGCTTCAATATATATCCAGCAAATTAAACACAGCAGAAATTGAGACACAGAGTCTCAGAAATCGTGGTGATTTTCACGTGCCACCAAAGGCAGCGGGCTACCGCCTGATTAGCAGTGAGGTGCCACATACCTTCAAAAACACGCCACGACTAACATTTGGGCCAATAATCTAGGGTCTTTGGAATACGGCGAGCTCGGTGAGCCATTTTTTTTCTCCATCAGATGAGTTTGTCAGACAAGTGGTTTTTGAACCCCACAAAGTCCGGGAAACGGCATGGATCGCCTACTTCAATTATATGATGCTTTCCATAGCTTCAGATGAGAACGGGGAAGGTGAAGAGACAAACAAGTTTCGCCGCAATGTTCAGCTCGCGCTGAATGACAGTCGAATTTTCCTCGAACCCCGTCATGCAAACGTTCAAACGTTGTGTTTTCTGGCAATGAACGACGAAGACTATGCAGCTCCAAATCTATCCTGGATGCTCTTAGGCCATGCCTGCAGACAGGCAGAAGCTTTGGTACTCCATTCACCAGCGTAATACAGAGTCAGGACAAAAACGCCTTTGCCTCTTTTGGCTTCTTTTCATGATAGACAAGTCCTGCTCTCTTGCATTTGGCCGACCGGCTTTCATTCCTACGACTTTATATAGGAATGTCCCTCTACCACAACGATCCTTCCTTCTTAGATTTAACCCCCATGAGCGCGCTAAATTTGCAAACTATCAAGACTTTGTCTATGGCTCCCAATATGGTGCCGAGGTTGTGACCCACTCAAAATCACACTCACTGACGATATCTTGCTAGGCCCTTACCCAAATTCTCACCCTTGAAAGCCCTTCTGCTTATGCTAGCCAAGTCAGAGAAATTTCCTTGGGAATTAGCAACATTGAGTTTCAGTACTTGCACGCCCTCGTTCTATTACTGAAAGGTGATAAGTCCTGCTACGATCTTCGCCTCTCATTTTCTCGCTGTGCCATCTCTATCTTGCGATCTATCGTTTCAAATTGGAGCTCTGTATACAATGGTGTTGTTTGGTATGCACAAAAGTCTAACGCTGTTCTTTTGGTTAAAAGAAATGCTTGCTTACTTACACTACGAAGGCAGCTATTATATTGCCCGTTTACCCCTTTCTTCGTGATACTCGAGCATATTGTTCGTGGCAAGGTCTCATCGCCAACCGCACTCAAAGATGATCTAGCGCTCTTATCAGCGACGGTCTCCTATTTTGTGGAGATGTGATCTCAAATGAGATTATTAGCAACCGCATGCTCAAGGCTGGAACACACGGCGTCCGTATTTCTTCAACTAGCACAAAATTACGTATCCCGTCCCCTCAGAGAACCTGCGCACAAAAAAGTGAGATTGTCTGGAAATCCTCAACAGCATTACAGTGGCCTGGTTGACCTGGACGTCCCAGAGGTTAACGTTGCCAACTATCTGGAATGGCTGCTTGCAGAACCAGAAATTGCAACTCCCACACAAGATATCGATGGCCATCAGCCAGACTCGTTCGGTTCTAACCAACGAAGGATGTCGGGAAATATGTTTGATTGGTTCTCCTGGGATAGCTACTACGCGGGAGCTGACACATGAGGAGCCTGCTCGGTAGGTTAATTGATTTGCTAAACTACCTGAACAAGCCGAACAAAATACTGTCAATCTTGCGGTGCCCGCTGACGCCCCGAGAAGACAGGAACTCAGAACAGAAGTCTGGTTGCAACCTAGTCATAAGACACGACAATATCCTATCTCACATGTAAATGCAATCAATGTTGTCGAACCGGTGAAACCGGCAAAGCTCGGCGATATCCCCTCATGGCCCGCGATTAGCGTAGTGGTCTTGTTGGTGGCGTGTAATCTACTGTTTGGGCGACCAATCAAGAAATGCATCTTTTTGATACACAAAGATCAACCCATCCAACAGCGGGGCCAGGCTCAGCTCTTAGCTGGATAGAAACTTGAGTTTACCGACAAAGCATGATTCCGCATGGTCTATATCCTAGCCTAGACCGAGTGAACCTTCCGCCCATCTCACCCTTCTAACGGCAATACCGCAAATGACTACTCGTTCATCAATTGGAATGCTGGGAGCCCGGTGGCGTCTACGCGACCGTGTTGACGCTTAAATATGACTTATCGCCTGGGATTGTTTCAGGCGATCTGTGACTCGGCCTCTTTTAGCCTGCACACCCTCGAGTGGTTTCCCATTGGAAATTAATTTCTATTTTCTTGGTTGAGCTTCTCATTTCGCAGAGCGATAGCCTCAACATTCAATATGGAGTCACCGCTTACGGTCGGAGCTATGAGCAACAAGCAAAATGGCCTATCATGGCTCACAAACTCTGGCATTATGAAGCTGAATCTCATGCTTGTGATTTTCCAAATATCGAGCTATGCCACCGGATATGATGGTTCTATGATGAACGGATTGCAGTCCCTCACCACCTGGAGAGCCTCTTTCGACAATCCAGGAGCTTCTGAGCTTGGCCTGTGAGTTTGACTTGACATATCTTCCAATGACGCAGGCTCAAAAAGGAATTGCCATTTCTTATTAGATTGAATGCCATACAAAACGTTGGCCAACTTATTACAATGCCAATTTGCGCCGTCAGCTGCGACAAGTTTGGACGTCGCCCCGTCCTCTTCGCGGGCGCCTTTATTCTATTGGTCGGTGTGGCCTTGCAAGCTGCAGCACAGAATGTCGGAATGTTTATCGCAGCTCGAGGCATCATTGGAATGGGCCTTGTTCTCAACATCACAGCTGCGCCATTACTTCTGTTGGAGTTGGCCTTCCCCCAGCAGCAGGGGCCACAAGTAGCCATCTACAACAGTCTGTGGAATCTAGGCGCTCTAGTCGCTGCATGGGTCACATACGGCACATTCCGAATTGAAAGCACATGGGCATGGCGCGTCCCGTCAGTCCTCCAAGGGTTGTCGAGTGTCATTCAAATTGGCCTCTGCTTTCTAGTTGAAGAATCGCCCCGATGGCTCATTAGCAAGGACCGCGACGAGGAAGCTCGAAAACTAATATGTAAATACCACGCAAATGGCGATGATTCGAACCCCCTTGTCATATTGGAAATGGGAGAAATCCGAACAGCCCTTCAACTCGAGACCGAGGCCAGGCGCAATACATCATACCTCACTTTCTTTCAGAGTAAAGCCAACATCAGACGATTTTTCATTATCCTCTCGGTGGGTTTCTTCTCGCAATGGAGCGGCAACGGCCTCATTTCCTATTATCTCACGCTCATCCTCGACTCGATCGGCTATAAAGCGGAGAGTACTCAAACGCTTATCAATGCACTCCTTACCCTTTGGTCCATGATTTGGAGTCTCCTTTTTGCTTCCCTGATGAATCGATTCGGTCGACGCACCCTCTTTCTTATCTCCACCGGCGGTATCCTGGCCGTTTACATTGTCTGGACGGCCCTCGAGGCTACCTATGAGAAGAAAACAGCTTTGAATGGGGATGGTGGTGATGGATATGCAAAAGGCGTCCTAGCGATGATCTTTCTGTACAACTTCTTCTTCTCCATTGGCTGGACCCCACTGCAAGTGACCTATTGTATCGAAATTCTGCCTTTCGATTTGCGCGCCCGAGGTCTTGTTCTGTACAACCTTTTTGTCGCGCTCGCTGGTATCTTCAACCAGTATGTGAACCCTATCGGTGTTACAAATAGTACGTGGAAGTTCTACATTACGTACGATGTCTGGTTGGCCTTTGAACTTGTGGTGGTGTACTTCCTCTTTATCGAGACCGGGAACTTGAGTCTTGAGGAAACTGCCGTAATTCTTGACGGGAAGGAATATGGGAACAAGTTCATCGAATTGACCGAATCAATCAGCGAGAAAAAGCTTGCCATGCAAGGGAAGGTCACGAGCGCAGCGGTGCCGGAATTATTATAGGTGTGCCGGAGAAATAGGAGCCACTTGTATTGCGGGGAAATACTGAATACTTGTTCACCGGTCAACAAATTCATGAGATACCTGTGTCAAAGCCGAAATTCATTTCTTTCTTAGATCGTATACAAGATAATGTGTGGGGATATGGCCAACCTTGGAAGTGCAAGGAGAACCACAGTTCGGTGATACACATTCCTCCTCTTTTCCATGTATAATTGCCGGGAGAAGATATGGATGTTATCCCAAGATAGCTTGCTCTTTGATTAACTTGGACAGCCGTGGCGTTATCTCTCCGCACGCGGGCGAAATGACCGGCCAAGTACCAAGTAGCCGGAGTATAGCCGACCAATCGCACTATTCTCATCCAAGCTAAATTAATAAGATAAGTATCCATCTTCGGGTCCATTAAGAACAAGGGGTCTTAATTTGGGCTTTTCAATCTGAAAAATACTAGGTATTATCCAAGTATAGTTTCAGAGCAAAACAATTGCGCATCCAACATCTTGCACGCGTGAGGTGTATCAAATCCAAGCTTTAAGAATGAGGACTCGGGAGATTTATCGCTGTGCCCTTGCGACGGGTGTTGCTTTCGTGACCTGCGTCTCAGTTGCTCAGGTCACGACTGAATTGACTAAGAGTAAACCTTTGTAATATGGTGATTTGCAAGACGAGATTGCTAACCAAACCGTTGCAGATGCAAAGGAACTCTTTGACTGGTCTATGTATGTCAATGATAACCGATGGGATGATTCCTACAAGTACATTTGGTATTCAGACAGGGGACCTTGGTCAACGCGATTTACGGCATGGTATACCGCCGGTCTATTGTATCGTAACCAGGGACAGGACTTGGTCAATGCGAAAGCAGCCATTGAAAATATGTATGGGAAGCTCTTTGGGTCAATGATGCCTAGATTCAGCTAACCGATGGAATGAAAGTCTCACTTGCCAGTTGACTGATAGCTATGAGTCTGCTTGGTATGGTACCTATAAGCTTTCTCCCGACGAACCATATCCGACACCCGACTCGGATTTGTATCCCCCAGAGATATATGTAAGTATTTCGTTCAAGTTCAGGAAAATGGTGAAACCCAAAACAATTTAACGCGTCTGTAACTACAGACAACTTATGATCCGAACTGGAGAGAGTTTATTGGCACTCAGCTGGTGCAGATTGTCGAGGAATTTTCCGACTTGCTCGGAACTTCTCTCGTGTCGCGAATTGAGGATAGCCTGGAGATTGCAGCTGTTGGCTCCATGCGACGCAACGGATCATACCCGGAGGGAGACAACTTGACCCCAGCATACTCCAATCCGGCTATCATGCGCGCGTGGTATGTTTCATGGATTGGCGACCGTCGAAAGAATCAGGTATGCATGCATCATTGAATCTCATTCTGCTCCCGAAGTACTAATCTATCAGACTTTTATCGATTATGCCAACGAGCAAGGCGATGCAATCTTAGAGCTATTCAAATCCACGGACTCTAACGTGCTATCTGAGTACAACGCACCAACATACTACGGAATGGACACATGGGCTCTCGCCGGTGCATTCAAATATGGGCCCAAAAATGCCACCATGACCAAGAACTCCAGATTTATGTTGACAGAGCTATGGGCAGACATCGCAGCTCACTACAATCCATACCTTGGCAACATGGTCGGACCGGTAGGAACCCTCTCTTAAATGAACCTATCGAAATACATCTAACGATGATCCAATATAGTACGATCGAGCCTATACAAGGGATATGATTTCAAACTCAGCTGTGATTGATTACTTCTGGTGGGGTCTGTTTGGGTACGGCGTTGGACCTCAACCCAATAAGCTAGAAGCAGATCTGCTCTTCGACATATCACAGGGTGCAGCCTTAGCTCTCGTCATGGACGTTGTGAAGGATCATATCTCCACGAAAGATCTTACCTGGCTCGGATCAAAGAAATACTGGGAGGGCCAGCGGATGATCACCAAGAAAGTTCCTGACGCCCTCAGCACCGATGGTGAGGTTCGAGTCGTCACCTCATGGATCACCGCCCCACTTATGATTGGTGCCCAGCGAGTGAATGAAACTATGAATCGCGGCCAACAGTACGTACCAGCGATTGTGCAGTGGGCCGGTGATAAATCTCACACCCCTCGGCCTTACATGAGTCTGTTCAGCTTGTATCCGACAGCGTCAACTATTGATGCTGTGACAGGGCCCAATAGCCTTGACATTTCGTACCCCAATACTACTCAAGATGGAACAGATATCTTCACCTTTGTACTCACACAGCTGCCCCCAAGCTGGACACTTGTCAAAAAGAAGGTTGTGCAAGGTCTCGAAGATCTTCCATGCCTCAATGTTACTATCAATGCAGAGGGTCTGGAGAAGCAGCCCGTTATCTATGGTGCTTCCGTGGAAGATAATCGTGTTTATAACATATCCTATGTTGTGCCGTCCACCTTTACCGGAGTACCAAAAGTCTCGCTGAAGTTTCAATACTCATGTTAATGCCCATTTGATGCCTGCAATGTTCGAGCGATGTCCACCGGGTTGGCTTATTGGTGATATGAAGATTACATAGTATTTTCTAGAAATGAATGCCTAGGTATATTACCAAAAGCCAAAAGAAAAGGAGATAAGTGAAACTTTGCAATAAATTTCCCCGACTACCTAGCACCTAGTGGGAGGAACCTTGGAAACCTTGGAAGTATTCCGGCATTCTCACCGAATTCACGGCTTGGCACATATGGATTCACTCAGAAGATTGGCGATCTACGCCCCATGCTGCCCCACATGCACTATACTTGTCATCCCGGCAAAATCACCGTATTCGCCGGAGTCCAGGCAAAGGAAATTGGTCCCGCCGGAGTTTTTTCATATGCTATACCCCTCTTCCCTTTTCAACTAGATTCACAGTGGTGAATCTATGCAAGCCCACTGCATAGCAACTGTTTCCCATCATGTCCTTTCCCTCCGCGCTCCCAGACTGGAACAACCTTAAAATTATTCGCAGGGGTACGCTTCCACCTTCCCATCTACCGAAGATTCTACCATTTAGGTATTAGGTAGTGACCTTAGATTATAGTCGGCTTAGGACCCCGTTCTTTATACCCTACTTATCACATTTAATGGCCGAAGCATTCCTTAGCGTATTGGTTTCCAGCGTATCGAATTAAAAGCCTCAACGGAAGCTGACTGCAGGTGCTCCTGCATTCCAAAATCAGCCTTGTTGCGGCAAGTCACTGTTCGGGCAAATATCCCTGCAAATCGTTATTTCCGCGGAGAAACTGTTAGCTTTTTCGGGGATCTTCGGATGTCTATACAAACCACACGTTACAGCAAGGATCCCCTATGACCGTCCACGGCGGCCACGTCGAAATTTGCCTATAATGGATATTCCACCGCTTGCTTTCATTGTCAGTTCAACACAAAGGTCAAGAGGTTGAAAAAGCGATTAAAAATAAAATTCTACGTTCAAAACAGATGTTTTAACCAGACGGCACCAAATACATGAAAAAGGTAAAAAGCTGTTGGCTTAAACGTCCCTCACGCAGAGGGCAGTGGTAATTGAAAAGGATTGGCCGAACAACACCTCGATTGAATCCTCGAATCACATGTATTTCCTAATAGTCTCGCACCCTCAGGTCAACGGCAGAAGAACTAGTGACGCGCGCTCTCTCTCTCTTTCTTGTTTGAGAGCAGCGAATACGATCGATTCTCTGCAGATTTCTTCCTTCTTCGTAGCCGGCGCCTGAGATAGAAAGGCAGGAAGAATACTGGAAATGAGAGTTCGATCTAGTACGGAGTCGAGCTACCGCGTCGGCGGTACTCAAAAACCTGCTCAGGATAACCTCCAACATGGTAACGCGAATTGATAAGCGTCGTTGATCCTGAAAAGCCACGTTCGTCCCAGCCTCGACTCTGCATTAATCTCGTCGGAGACCTGCCCCTGCCCCATTCTAGAGTCTCTGACTGTCTTCCAGTATCGTAAGTCGGTCGATAGGGTCTTCCATCTGCATATCTGAGATTGCCATCGAGATCGTGGAAGTCTTGATACCTCGGCCGAGCAGTTATCACCCTCACGTACCTTGGATAGCTGGGCCGAATTGTCGACACTCGTTCGTCCTGTTCCTCTCTTGCTCGAGTGCTTTCCAAGATCCCGTACGGTTGGTGGCTTGTGCCACCAATTTCCATTCTCGCATAAGGATCGTAGCTTGTTCGGAAGCTATCGTTATTCAGACGTGGCAGCTCCCGATGAATGGTACGGTCGACGTGATTCAAGAATTGATCCGACAATCCCATCTTCCGTCCATCGATGATCGCCTTCTCCATGCGTGTAATATATTCTGATCTGATTAATCCGTCGTCCTTGTACTCGCGGCTAACATAGACAAGAGCCTCAACCATCTCTAAATTCTCATGTCTCGGATGCCTCGATGCTGGTTGGTGCGGCGGGTTTTGATCAACAAAAGTGGACTCCGACACGTTGCTCCTCTTGGGTCCTGGAGCGGATGGTTGGTGCACTGGTTCTTTGAGATCAGGACGATCGTCCATCTTAAGTTCCTTTGCAACATGGAAGGTCTTGATCCCGCAGTTTGGTAGGGGCAAGAACTGAGTGTGTAGATGCTCATCGTTGTAAAACCCCAGCGCTACGCCTTCGCTGCGGTCTAGTTGTCGTTTGTCCTTGGCGTCGATTTGGTAAACAAGACCTTCGACATAATCTCTCAAGCATTCGACAACATTTGCAACACCACGCTGGTTGATCTGCCACCTGTATCCATCAATTCTGCCCTTTCCCATGAATAGAGACGACGGGCACCGTTCTGCCATCTGCTTTAGGCTCATATTACTACCGTATGCAAAATAGTACCAGCGATCCTGCCTCCTAGCCGATCTGGAAGCCATGGCCATGAGATGAGGAAGAAAAGCCGTTGAAATAGCTGCGAGCCACTACAACTTCCACTTTGTCGATGACTGCCACGACCAAAGTTGAAGGAAAGTCGAATGATCGCGCTGTATGAGTTATAGTGTACTAGCCAGTCACTTCAACAAAAATCGCAGATATGGGCTAAATGAATGTTTTGTGAGTAGCTCCAAGATGCTAAGATTCAATAGGAGGCAGCACTTGAGCGGGTACGGCTGCCTCTAGGCAAAGGGCCATGACCTTTTCTGCTTACAATGAAAGCTCTCACCGCTGGCCTTACCGCTCTATGTCATATTATGACATTACTCGCGTCGTACAGAACTTCTCTACCCCTCTACTCGTACTCTCCAGCATCAGTGTCCCGAGCCTTGCTGCCCTTCTCCGTCTCTGACATTCCAATTATTGTTAGTATTATCTATAGAAATCAGATCGTATATGGTCTGTCATGTATGTAATTGCCTTCCGGACTGAATCTCGTAGGTGGGTTCTAATTACCAAATGACTTATATCCTAATTAACGCAGTCGCTAAGGCTAATTATATCTATTCCTATTTTATGCCTATTTACCAAGCCATTTTATTAGATACTATAATAAATATAGATAGTGAGATATAAAGGAGTTCGGATGAATAGCCTCTTTCAGTGAACCAAGCAAGTTACATGTATGTATAGATCATACGAAATCGTATTAATTACCGAAATGACGATCCGAAACGGGCAGAAAAGGTTACACGGCTCTGCCCTAGTCTGGCCCAGTCCGGGGTATCAGCCAAAAACACATACGTGCCACCACCCACCCATAGCGCCGCGGGGGCGTTGGTGTGCGCTGGCACGACTACTTGCTGCAATACAGAAAGGTCCGTGGGCACAACTAGTGGTGAGGCATCAATGCCATCGGGCGTACTAGATGTCCTAGCCGTGGCGCACTAACTAGCGAGTAGTCACGCCTCAGCTGAGGAAGCCTTCATCACAAATAACGAGCACCGGCGGCTTACAGGAACTGTCCTCAATGGCCCAACCCAAGGCAGCAGCCTTCCACGATGATAGGTTAGGTTTTTTTGTACCTACAGGCCGGGTGCCTAGGCCAAAGAGGAGAAGAACGGACGAGACAACTCAGGGTGAAATTAGTGAAACAGATCATTTAAAGGCATGTAAATAGCTTCAAAAATGGAGATTTAATTCCGTGGGGCGGGTGTGTTCTCATTACTATGGGGATTACTAAGAGACAGGAACGCAAGATTATTATTCAAAAAATAGGTTACATCTAGCCCTCATGTGATGGACTAATATAATTTAGTGCTGGGTACAAAAAAGCCTAACCCGATGATGTTAGTACACATTGGAACGTAGTAAGGGACTAAAGATTAACAGCCTCGTTCGCTGCGGCACGAACGGAGTGGCTCCTCGCGAACATACTTGCGGCTGAATGGGGCTGACTGTGCTCGGTTCCTCTTGAGCAAATGTGTCAGATCACGCAGATGCAGCTAGGAACACCAACCTTGGGACTGCGGCCTCTTGATCCGGCGGGGGACGGCAGTAATAAACAAATAGGCAGAATTGAAACCGAATGCGCCTAACATGTGTCTGGTGTTGGCTCTGAATGGTTGTGATCTTTTGCCGAGGCGTTTTAGGATATATAATGGCCTAAGGCAAAGCCAGAGGCTCTTGTCTGCTGCATAGCAACAGCCTCCCCTTTGAACATATAAATGCTTAAGTCTCCAGCTGAACAATCCCAGCAGTGAAACCTAGATAATCGAGGACAATATGACCTTCTACTACTTCGGCGTGGAGATAGAGGTCATCGTCGAGCCGCACAATAAACAACAGCCCGTACCGGCACCCGTGAAAGATGACCTTGACCTCTGGTATGGCAAGATTGCCAAAGCTCTGCGCAACAGGAAGGGCTGTGACCAAGAACCATTGAAAGTAATTGCTGAATCCCGGAGGACCCAGTATCGTGAGACGAGGGAGCGCCACCTTAATTGGTGGATCACTTGGGATGGATCGCTGATTGCTCCAGACTGGCCCAAGCATCCCGGTGGTAGGTCGAATCCCGCACTTTAACTCAATCATCCTAAGACAGGCTGACATTTTGTGTCCAGTGCCTTTCGAGGCCGTATCGCCGCGACTGGAAACACGCAAGCGGTGGGAGGATGAAATTGATGCATACTGGGCCGCCATGAGGGCCGTCTTCCACATGCCCCGGCGCGTGTTGAGATGCGGTAGCCATGTTCACGTGTCCCCCGGTAGAGGCACCTTCTACCTCAAAGAGTTGCAGGCAATCGCCTTTGCCGTCGTATTCTTCGACGAGCAAGTCCAGCAAATTCTCCCTCAAAGTCGGAGAAATTACCACTACTGTGTGCCTAACAAGAAACATTCTCATCTCCTGAAAGGGAAGAGCATAAGCGAAGTAGCGGCGTTGATCAACGCTGTAAAGAACAAGGAGAAACTCGTCGAACTTGTACAGGGCTTGTCGAAAAAGGACCGCCCGGTACTCTGGAACTTCCACAATGTCACGCGTATGCCATTTACAGAGGAGCCGGCGATCGGCGCGGTTGAATTTCGAGGTGGAAGGTGCCTCAGAGGCCCAGTAAGGACGAAGCGGTGGATAAGTTTTGCCGTGGCGTTTATGATTCTGGCCATCCAAGAGGTTTGTCGCACAAATTTCAACGCTTGACGTAGTGAGGCACTTGTACTAACATGTCGCAGTTCAAATTGCCTCTCAAGAGTTCTTACGCGTCCAACACCTCGTCACAATTCTGGAAAAAGATCCGAAACGCCGCCGCTACCGAGAGCATGGCCCAACATTTGCCGGAAAGCTTCAAGACCATGAACGAATCTAATCGGTGCGTTTTTCACCCTTTGCTTTGGATGTATCCAGTAAATTAATATGTTTGAAATTGCAGATCCGAAATCGCTGACGACCCGGGTGATGATTATCCATTTGATCCGCCGAGTAACAGCTTCGTCCCTCAAAGTGGCAGCACTTCGGACCCTGAGTCGTAATTACCGCTTATCTTCAGCTCTGCACGGCCGATGCTCAGGGTTGCCGATGTTAATCCCTTCATTTATTTCAACCGGGGGGGGGGGGGGGGGAAATATTGAGACTTGGTGAAAGGGTGCATTGTCAATTTAAATGGGACCTGGTATGCATTCCATATGTCGGAAGGTCATTCCTAGTCACCTGTGCTATAAGAGTACGAGACTGGGGGATTATAATATATAGTGCAAGTTTATTACCTACACGTACCAAGTTTTCATTGATGTAAAAATTGATAAAGTATACGTAGGTATTTATATACAGATAAACTACCTATGTAGGCACTTAACAGCATATGAACCGGTTGTCAGTCAACACGTAGTATTGTTGGTACGCTCATACTAGAATACTAAGCTGGGGAGCAAGAGCTACCTGGGTAGCTAGGGGAGAAGGACGCATCTAAATACACAACAATTACCTAGTATTTAGGCAACAGGCAGAAGGATATTGGGACATCTCCACTCATACAAAACCGTATGACAAACAGCAGCCAGGAGTTGCAAACAGTCAATACTTGATTGTCGGTGCTCGCCAGACGTCTCATATAAGCTGCCGCAGAAAGCCAAAAGCTGACTGCCGTGCGTAGCTTGCTCGGAGCCCTGGGACGCAGGCCCGCCACAGCCATGGTTATATCTCTACAATCTAAAGATCAATTCAAGTCAATAAGGCTAATACTTCTATACTTAAGTTGAGAATTTCTTTGATTATAGTTAATTATTCAATTTCGTGAGAAAACGTTTTTTAATTCATTGAATAAAATCATGTTAACACTTCGGATTTATCCTATCGTAGCGATCCTGAGGAGATTTTGCGGTGCCTTGACTCTGACCAGAGCCAAACATTGACGACATGGAGGACCAAAAGCCGGTGGGCTCTTTGTCTTGTTCCTCTCTTGAGATTTGTTCTTCCTCGCCTTTTCGTGGGTGGGCTCTCCTTTTCCTCTCTTCGCATGGGAGGGGCTGTTTCTTGGAGTTTGCGCCGTGGCTCTTTTTACTGGTGTGATGAGCTCGATGGGCGTGATCTGGCCTCTGTGCAGCAGCGGAGTGCAAAACAGGTCCGCTTTTTGCCTTTCTTTTCCTTTCTTCGAAGACAGTCTGTGAAACAGACGGATTGGAAGTCGAGCGGTTTTCTTGGACGTCCTCTTCCGGTTGATACACATCTCCATTGACGTAAGGTTCAAGATACCGTTTCACGAAATCCCGCGAAACGTTGAGCTTCACAGCGTCGTTTATTGCGTTTTCCATCCTTTGGACATACTCGAGTCGTATCAGTCCATCATCAGCATACTTGGTGCTCAGGTATGTGATCGCCTCAATTTCTTCAACCTCAGCTGCCGGACTTCTTACTGAGGGCGGCGGCTTTTTGGACAGGACTGACAGCTTGGGCTGTGGAGTTACTAAATTTGCTGGATTCGCTGGAATTTCGCCAATGTCAAAAGACTCATCTTGAAGCCTGTCTCGAACAAACGCTGTCTTTTTCTCGGTTAAATTTGGATGTCGCTCCAGGTGAACATTCAGCACGACTCGTTCATAAACACCGAGTTTGATGCCTTCCTTGCGATCTAGAGTCCGACGGTCCTTATCGGTAATGGAGAACACGAGGCCCTCGACCATATCAGCTTGACCGGCTGGTCCACTTGAAACGTCTTCGGTGACTTTGACAATGTTCGCCACATGTCTCTGGTTGATCTGCCATTTATATCCTCGCAGTGTGGCCTTCCCGATGAAAGCGCTTCCGGGACAACGTTCTGCCATTTGTGTCAAACTCATGTTGCTGCCGAAGGTGAAATAGTATTGACGATGAATTATTTTGGACGACATTCTAGGCTTAAAGGTATTCCACGACCCGGACGGCTCAAATCACAAGCATGAAGTAAGGAATAACCAAAGGAGTCCGTCTTAGACACAATTGGACAAGAAATCCGTGTTGCGTAGAATGATTGTGTGAACGACAGTATGGTGTTCTTTTCCCACAATCAGATTTCGATCGGGCTGAAAAATCTATCACAGCGTAAGCCACGCGCCTAATGCCTATGTATGCAGCATTGTATATGACGTGTCAAGGAGGTGCATGGCGCAGTGAGGCGGAATCTGCACTCACTTTTAGCACCGCGTGATTGGTCCAACTACCTACGGCAGTCGATAGAGGCAAGGTCACAGATATTGCAGTTCTGCCTATTTTAGATTAGTAATTTTTGTGATATATACCATCTCGTACAGCCCGACGATAATTATATTGTCAGATCCTATGTAGGTTCGAGGTATCGCTTCAGGGCTAGCGACCGCATATACTCGTATCAACTGCTGTACAGTAAGCGTACCGGCGTCTTATCCAACTCAACAGAGCATCGTTCTCGCTGCTCTCTCGCATCAACCACTTGTTTCCGTCCCGGCATGTGCACTCCTCGAACCTGCCTGAGTCAGGGCGGGTAAGAGGCCATACTTGTCGTGCTGCGGTTTTCTCTTTGTCGGTGGCTGAGCTACCGTAATGCGGCTGTCTCTCACTTTGCAGCCACTGTATCGGACTCTTTCTCTTTTGGGCTCTTCGGCGCCTATACCGTCCCGGTGACTTACTTTCCTACTCGTACGGAGTACAGATGAGAGGGAGGTTGGGCGCTGAGACTCTGCCACCTCCATGCGGAGGGTCCTATTGGGACCTTTCCCCGCTCGAGTGGGGAGAGGAATGGGCAGGGGGTGTTCAATGTCGAGAAATTGCCAAGCGTCAATATCTGATTTGAAGAATCGGCTCGGAAACGGCTGATGAGGCTGAGAGACTAAAGATGTGATGAACAACATATTACCGGACTTCTCATCTTGTGTGTAGCAGCGAGCGCCCACCTTGAAGTGCCTGACATAAATGTATATATGAAGGAGCTGACGAAAGCGACATTGACACGAACATCATGGCAAGATACTCTTTCTACTTCGGCATCGAGATCGAGCTCATTTCCGGACCTCACGTAGTCCGACACCCACTGGGCCGAAGGTTCTACTACGAGAAACTCGCTGCATCTCTCCGCTCCCATGGCCTTGATGCAAAGGCAGATTCCCTGGAAGGCAAATACCGCAAGCATTCCGAGCATTACGACAAATGGTTCCTCACAAAAGATGGATCGTTGGGCAACCCAGCCCACCCTGCCAGTGAGAACTGCTGTTCATCCCGGGGACAGAGCTCTCCGTCCTAATCACAAAATACTAATACGCCGAGTCGGAAGTTCCCATAGAAGCCGTGTCCCCAGTACTCAGCACCAGCGACCCCTGGGAAACCGAGATCGACCTCTTCTGGACCTCGTGGAACCGGGTCTTCGAAATTCCCCGCCGCTCCGCCAAATGCGGCAGCCACATCCACGTCTCCCCCGGGCCCAACAAGCGCTTCACCATGAAGGAGCTGAAGAATATCGCCTGCGGCATCGTCTTTTACGCGAACAACCTGAACGACATGCTCCCCGCTCCTCGCCGCAACAACGCGTACTGCCAGAAAAACTGGCAAGCGTCATATGTCGGCATGTGGTACGAGAGCGGCTCCAACATCGACGTCCAACTGACCATGGAACGGATTTGGAAGGTCGATGACGAGCAGGAGTTGAAGCGCTTTATGCAACAGGACCGGCGCGTGATGTGGAACTTCGAGCACATCGTCCCCGGCGCCCGCTGTACCGGCACCATCGAGTTTCGAGGTGGGCGCGGCCTCAGAGGTCCAAACCGGACAAAATGGTGGATTGCCTTTGTCGTATCATTCATCCAGCTCTGCATATCCAGTAAAGTAAGAGATGTACTTCGCCGAGGCCAAACTCTCGACCACTAACCGTACTCGTCAAATAGCGCTTCCCTCACAAAAAGGCAAGCGATCGTCCACAGACAGATGACTTCTGGAAAAAAATCAAAAGATACGCCCGCACTATTCAAGTCACAGACGACCTGCCGCCAGACTGGCGCGACCTGAATGAGTCCTACAGGTTTGTCCCATTTCCCCTTCATCGGCCCGGACTTTGACTCCCGAAAGAGACGATACTAACGATCCCTTGTAGTAGTGGACATTGGGAAGACACGGTGGACAGCGACGAGGACGACTCGGAGATATCGTCGATCTTGTCAAAGAGTGCTTCCGAGTACTCGGATTCGGGCTACACATCGGGGGACGAGAGTTAATGGGTGAATGACATGGAGCAGGGAAGAGACAAATACGTCATCCTGTGATAACGCCGCAAATTCCGTTAGACCTAAGCTGCGTTGGATTAGCCGCGGAGAAGGCAATGTAAGATCTAGGTTATGTATTGATCTTGATAATGAAGATGAACGGCCTTGTTCGAAGCCGAGAGTCAGTCAACAACTTAGCGCGGTTCTCACTCGAAGATGCAGAAAATATGGTTCTTGTGAGCTATCTCCTTGAAGTTTATTGAAAACGTATCTACAACGCTTACAAAGCTCTATTGGGTATAGAAATTATCCGCCGATGACCTATTAGAAACGATGGACAACTTCGGCCTGAGCTTCACAGACCCGGCGTTCAACGCCCGCATGGCTTCCCGGGTATAAAAGTGTTGAGTGTCGTTGTCAGGCATACTGGAAGGCTTCATTGTTGCGCAGTTCACGACTTTCCAACCAAGTAAGCCAAAATAAGCATATTAAGTGGATGCATAGTTCGATACATAAATATTGGTCATTATTCCCAAGATTTTGGCCTTATGTACAAAGCTTCCGTTTTGATCGCGTCAACCCAATCTTGAGAAGTCTTTCCTAGAATCTAGAGAGATCCTTTTAAATAGATCTTGCGACTTTCAACCCTATCGGGCCATGCGCGAAGTATATCGGAGCTGTTGGTGGGACCGATTGGAGGTAAGACGTGTTAAGCTGCGAACGCCGCTGGCTTGCAGCAATCGGCAAGAATGTGGTACATCAGCAGGGCAATATATCCGCCGAAAAGTTTCCCATTATAGTAGCACATCTGCTGTGCAGGGCTCAAGAACAGAAGTGACTCTACCTCTTGCCCCAGAGGATGGGGTTTGAACGTGGGATGATAACCCTGCAACAGGCAACCCAACATTGCATCCGATGATTCCTGCAGTACAGATGCAGAGCTTAAATTTAGAGTGTCAGTACTATTATAGCGCAAGGTAACACATTGTTATTCGTACTCACATTGGTGCGCTTGACTAATTTGTCGCATGTATCTCAAGAGGACGGGTATTGTTCTGCCGATGATCGATATCCGCGAATCGATCGACAGAAGACAGATAGCATGATTTGCCGCTTCAAAATACGATACATTGTGTTAGAAATTTAGAATCTTCCATGCAAACAAACCAAGCAAAAGGGGAATCCTAATAGTCTGGCAAGATCCATCAAATACATCCATGGATCCCCCGCTCTCTCGCATCTTGGTACTTTTACACGCGGCCTTCGACTATACAAAAAATAGCTTCTATGATAGTCAGGTCTATTCTTTTAGGGTAAGGAATTTATGCTAAAGATATGTAGGCCGCTGCTAACTTAAAGTCTATAAGCCCGCTGGAGATCCCTAGACCTGGGTATAAAGCGGCTAAGGAGTATAGTGGGTGGTAGGTGTTAAAAGCCAATGAAAACATTCTCAAAGCTGTATACCGAGAAATCTGTGGTGTAATATTCAAGGACGGTCTAAAGCTAGAGCACGTCTATAAGGATCAAAATCCGGAATTCTTTTCTTGACAAGTCTTAAAGATAATAATTGCTCGTTCGTTTTCTAGGAGTAGACGCTAGGTCGAGGGCGTGAAGAGAACAATCCCTAATTATCAAGCAAGTTATAGTTTAGCCACCACCTCCTTTGGCGTTGGAGCACCTGAGTATTCAGAATCATTTTAACCACAACCATATTGCGTGCATAATAATCTCTGAGATTGCAGAGGTTATGGAATCAACATCATATAATAAAGTCGATCCCTCACTTTCCTGAGTTTGATAAAGACCAATGAGCTAATTAATGATTTAGGGCGCAACATTGATCAAAGATCCTAGGAGTGACTATGTGTGCCCTAAACTTAGATCGACGGGAAAGGTCTTTCGACAACTTGCAGAGGAAGCAATTGCTTTGGAGCCTGTTCTCGGATTAGAACTCATGGAGGATACCGTATGTTGGGCCAACTACACTCGAGCCCAATAGTTCTAGCCTAGAAAAGACTGTCGCAAACTTCGTTGAATTAATGGAGTTTAGAGAGTTGGACATTGCGGATGCGTAAAGCTTCTCCTTGAGGCCGATCACCACGTAAATGGAGTCAACTAACAGGCCGGGTAGGTTTATGATTACTGCGGTGAAGGTCAGCTACGCTGCGCGAGTTACACCCGAGGACGTTCTTCTGTTTAAATGGATAACAAACTTTACATCAGACATTATGTATACAAAATGATCTCTACTTATACGAAAAGGAAAGCAGTGAAACAGAGAACTACGGCTCTGCCCTTTTCAAACGCTGTCCAAGTAGTCGAGCAGTTCTTGGGCCTCCTTTCAAGCAATATAGCCATAATTATACTTCGCTCCATCATCTTCGAGGTAGGACGGTAGGTCCTCGAAGAATATGACCGATTGAGGGCATTGCGGGGTTTCAATGAGACGCAGCAGTAATATTTGCAGAGAATAATCGAGAGCATGGCAGGCAGCGTGATGTATCACTCTACCACCTGTAGATATGCCATATTTACGGGAGCTTTGCTGGGGTTATAACTTGAAACCGACGCCAGCCCCCGTGCTTAGGGTTCGAGACCTAGTGGGACATCCGGCTTCATGGTTGCTATTGGGGATTTCCTGCTCATTGGCAGTTATAATCCCATCTAGACTGTCTCTGAAGTATCTAGCATTGTGCTACCATTCTGAGTTCTTGGGTGACGATCAATTACGAGGATTGCCAGTGCCGTAATTCAGCGAAGTCCCACCTACAGATCAAAAAATGAAGGATTTTACTTTGTCTTTCTTTGATGTATAGGTTTACATGCACAAGGCATATGTAGCTATTCTTGCGCTTTTGAATTCGACCATGTTCAAGAGAAGGCTTTGCTCAGCACAAAGTACCATAAAATGATAACGTGGATCCTGGTCGTTCCGGCATCCCGGCCGTTCCGGCAGGCACTTCAAATTTGCTTCCCCTCACCAAGCCTCCTATTTTTAAACACCTACCATGCCTCCAATCCGCGGTCAAAAAGCTCAGAAATCAGTTGAGCAGGAAGGCAGAGTCCTACTAGCAATTAAGGCTATCAAAAATGGCCGGTTTACCTCCGTTGCTGCTGCTGCTCGCTCTTTCGAAGTCCCACGATCTACGCTACAAGACCGGATGAAAGGGGTAACCAGTTGGTCTGGCACAAGGGCTATAGGCCATAAATTCACCCAATTAGAAGAGGAATCAATCCAGGGTTGGTTAATCTCTATGGATTATAGAGGTGCTGCTCTCACGATCGCCATGTTAAGAGATATGGCTATTTTACTACTCGAAAACCGTGGAGATCATGCCCCCCAGACCGTTAGTAAGAATTGGCCAACACAATACATTAAACGACATCCCGAGCTTTCTAGTCGATTCTCTCGCAAATATGACTATAAACGCGCCTTAATGGAAGATCCAAATATTATTATTGAGTGGTTTAAGCTTGTTGAAAAAACGATTGCTCAATATGGTATTACTTCCGATGATATCTACAACTTTGACGAATCGGGATTTGCGATGGGAGTTAGTGCAACAACGAAGATTATCACACAGTCATTTTATACCGGTCGGAGGGGCGTTTTACAAGCTGGTAATCGCGAATGGGTGACTGTTATTGAAACAATTTGCGCCTCCGGGCGAGCGCTCCCACCATACGTTATCTTTAAAGGCAAAAACTTCATGGAACGATGGTTCGACGACCTTCCAAAACATTGGGCTCTTAACGTTAGTCCAAACGGCTGGACGAGTAACGAAATTGGCGTTGATTGGCTTCAAAAACACTTCATTCCGCATACAAAAAGTCAGATAAAAGGGAAACATTGTCTTTTGGTCCTTGATAGCCACGACAGTCATCTTACAGCGACATTCGATAAGATTTGCCAGGAAAACAACATTATACCAATATGTATGCCTCCGCATGCCTCTCATCTTTTACAGCCTCTTGATGTTGGTTGTTTTGCTGTGTTAAAGCGCTCTTACGGAAGGCGGGTTGCAGAATATACCCGATTAGGCATCGATTCTATCGAGAAAGATGACTTCCTTGATATCTTTCCAGCGGCTCGTAACGATTCATTCAAAGAGTCTATCGTTCAAAGTGCCTTCGCAGCTACTGGTTTAGTGCCATTAGATCCTGATCGGGTACTATCAAAACTCAATATTCGCCTTCAATCTCCGCCTCTACCAGATCGACCAGTTTCACAAGGTTCAACATCAGGTAGTAATATCTCTACCGGCATCCCTCGGACGACTAAGCAGCTAGAAAAACGCAAATCTAGGCTCAATTCTGGTCTAAGCTCGGCTGCTGATAAGATCTCTTCGCCTACAAAACGTGATCTTCAACGGTTTTACAATATGTCGGTTAAGCTAGTTCACGAGCACATCTTAATGCGGGATGAGATTAAGCGTTTACGGGAGGGAAATAGAAAACAGATAAAAAAAAGGGAGAAATCAAAGAAGCAGATACCTAACATAGGTAGTTTAACAGAGCTTCCAGACCCTACTGCCAATATGGGTGGTGAGGAAGATGTTAGTGTGAGATATATATCTAACCCTACACCTGCTCCAGAACCCCAGGTTGAACCTATACTTCCTGTTTTGGCCCCTGTACGCCAGCAAACTACATGTTCATTATGCATGGGGAAAGGGCATAGGTATACTACATGCCCGAAAAGGTTTAATTAGTCAATTTAATGGTGTTTTGGTTGTTTAATTGGAGTTTAAAAAGTGTAGAAAGTATGAAATTTTGGTGGGGTGCCGGAACGACCAGGATCCACGTTATACTATGATACGGGCGGAATTATAATTTATTCGATAGAGATTATCCAATAAGATGTGTATATATGGCAAGGATATCGAAACGCGGAATTGACCGAGAATAGGCGAGTCGAATCGGAGTTGAATCGGGGGGAAGTGGGTTGGAGTTGACTTGCGGGGGAAGTGATTCGAGGGGTTTGCCGACGGCGGAGATATCGCCTATTAATTGACGAACTAGAACATCGCGTATACCATTGCCGGCATCCAGATTATTTCAGAACGGAGATTATTGATCGCCCGAACCAACCCATTGAAATTCCTAAATGTAAAGTGGACCTGGCGTAAAGGAGGGGAACTTTCCGTTATCTGCTTCTCACCATTGTCATCCATCATGCAAATATCAGGTAACACTCATCCTAAACTCATCGTACATCATACATGCTCACTATGGATCTAGAAGAGAAAAAGAATAATCTGGGCGAGATTGTCAATCGCTACCGCCCAGACATCAAACCATTCGAAGATGTCTATCGACACCTCCACACCAATCCAGAACTATCAGGCCAAGAAGAAGAAACCGCCAAGATAGCATCCAATCACCTGAAAAGCCTCGACTTTGAAGTCCACACCAAAATCGGCGGCCACGGCGTAGCAGGCATCCTCCGTAACGGCGATGGCCCAACCATCCTCCTGCGGGCGGACATGGACGCCCTACCCGTAAAAGAACAAACAGGCCTCCCCTACGCAAGCACCAAGCACATCAAAGACAAAGACGGCGTGAAGCCAGTCATGCACGCCTGCGGACACGACTCGCACGTTGCAACCCTGATGGCGGCCTCTACGCTCCTAAACAGCGCCCGCGAGCACTGGAGCGGCACGCTAATCTGCATCTTCCAGCCAGCGGAGGAACACCTCGACGGCGCGCAGGCCATGCTTGACGACGGGCTCTACGACAAGATCCCCAAGCCGGATCTTGTGCTCGCGTCGCACGTCATGCGCATGCGCGCAGGCACGGTCAACCTGCACGCGGGGCCGCTACTCACAGCAGCAGACGCCTACGACGTCCGGGTCTTCGGTCGGGGCGGGCACGGCTCTGCGCCTCAGACGACGATCGATCCTATCGTTATTGGTGCCGCGATCGTCACGAAGCTGCAGTCTATTGTTTCGCGTGAAGTTACGCCCGGCAAAATGGCGGTTGTGACCTGTGGTAGTATCCATGCTGGCAATTCGCCAAATATTATCCCCGCGCATCTCGATCTGCAGCTCAATGTGCGCACGTTTGACGATGATGTGCGCAAGCGCGTGTGTGGTGCTATCCATCGCATTATTGAGGCGGAGTGCCAGGCTGCTGGGGCGGTTGAGAAGCCTATGGTTAAGCTTACTTATTCGACGCCATCGACTATCAATGATGGTAAGACTATTGATTCTCTTCGGGAGACGTTCCAGCCGTTCTTTGGGGAGAATCTTGTTGAGATGGAACCGCCGGCTGCTAGTGAGGATTTCTCTTTGTTGGCGACTGCTGTTGGGGCACCGTATGTTATGTGGATGTTTGGTGGGACGGATCCTGAGACTTGGGATGATGCTGTTGCTAAGGGCACTGTTGATCGGTTGCCTGGAAATCACTCGCCTTTCTTCGCGCCGGTTATCCAGCCCACTCTGCGGACGGGAATTGATGCGATGGCGCTTGGAGCCTTGACCTTTTTGAAGAAGTGAACATGGTTCAATTTAGGTTGATTTAATTCATTTTTATTATTTACATACGAAGAGGCTGTTCCTGGGATCCCATTGTGATGATAACGGGCAATAAAGGCGGGAGGCGAAACGCTGAGGTCATCGCGTAACAATTTCAAGATTGCCCATATCTCAACGTCAATACCAACTGCAAAATCATAAACAAATCTCAAACCGAATTTCCAAAATGGCATCACAACCCACACAAATGAAAGCGTGGCTCTACTCCAGCACAACAAATGGCCTAGAAAAAAACCTCACCCTGAACGCGTCAACACGCGCACCACCCACCATATCAGGCGACAACGTCTTGATCCAAGTGCTCTCCGCCTCTCTAAACCCCGCAGACTTCAAAGTCCCCGAAATGGGCCTCCTAGCACGCAAACTCGTGATCGGTACCCCGGCCTCCCCGGGCATGGACTTCTGCGGCAGAGTGGTGATTGCCGGGCCCGGCGCAAGCGCCTTCTCACCCGGCCAACTGGTCTACGGATGCCTGAGCAAACCAGCGCAGTTCGGCTCGCTCGGTGAGTACCTCGTTGCATCAGCTAGTCTTCTCGCACCGGTGCCTGAGGGCGTGGAGATCGACCACGCTGCTTCGATTGGGATTGCCGGTCAGACGGCGTACCAGAGCTTGGCTGGGTATGTGAGTGCTGGCGACAAGGTGTTTGTTAATGGTGGGTCTGGGGGGTGTGGGATCTTTGCGATCCAGATTGCTAAGGAAATGGGGTGTCATGTTACAGCTACTTGTTCTGCGAAGAATGTGGAGTTTGTGCGTGGGCTTGGAGCGGATGTGGTGATTGATTATTCTGCTGGGGATGTTGTTGCGAGGTTGCGTGCGGACGGAGTTGTTTTTGACCACATCATTGATCATGTTGGGTACCCTGCGCCGCTGTATCGAGAGTCGCATCATTTCCTTGCGCCTGGGAAGGCGTTCGTGCAGGTTGGTGCTTCGGCGATGGCTACCTTTGCTGAGAGGTTGGTTGTGCCTGGTTTCTTAGGTGGTGGGAAGAGGAAGTATGTTATTTTCTTCTTTAAGAATACTCGTGAAGACCTTGTTAAGGTTGGGGAGTTGGTCCAGAAGGGGGCTGTCAAGATTCAGCTTGATACTGTCTTCGAGTTTGAGGATGCTGTTCAGGCATTTGAGAAACTTCGGTCTGGGAGGGCAAGGGGAAAAATTATTGTCCATGTGGCTAAGCCGTAAAATGGCTGACGAGGCTTTGAACAATCAACAATGTGGATTTGATGTATTATGTGTACCTTTTAGCATGAGTTGTTATTTTCAATGTTTTTTCGTGTCTGCAGGCATGTATGACCCTACTTTTCTATCTATCTACCTATTCGTTTAAAGATCTATATATCCCCATATAGCCTCTTTATACATGTGAAGATACCTTGGTAAAATATGTTGTGGTGAAGGTAACTAGCCAATATTCGGTGGTGTCAACTGGTTAGTTTCAATGCACCACGCGGTCAGGTGTTAAGCTTACTAAGAACGCATAATGTCCACAGCTGCACGGGCCCACAGCTCCACGGGTTCACGGGTTCACGGGTTCGCGGGTCCACAGGTCACATATGGAAAAGAATGACTATTGACCAAAATGAGATATTGCCATCAATCCAACATTGATCGATCTTGCTCGATTCAAAAATGGCCAGTAATGAAGAGTCTGATATCAATCACCGTAGTTTCTTGCGCTGGGCATTGTCTAATGGCATTCAAATGAACGGTGTCGCTCCCACCATATTTCCTGGACGCGGTATGGGAATGATCGCAACCCGAACCATAGAGGTGAGCTATGAGCTACGCTCTCAAGCGTCCTATAGCGAGGTTCGGGCAATATTTTCAATAACTTACATGTTACAAAGGTCAATGAGATCATGCTCACGGTTCCTCTGTCAACAATGCTCAACATTGACTGCGTTCCTAGAGAGTTTGTCGATCGCTTTCCGCACAAAACATACATCCAGACAATCCTCGCCGCTTTTATGACACATGGAGATGCGAGCTTACTTGATCATTGGGCTCTCTGGCGCAAGACATGGCCTTCTCGACAAGAATTGCAAGAGTCTTTACCAGTACTGTGGTGTGAATGTCCGGAGACTCACAACTTAGGGCATACTACTCTACCCCCTTCCGCATCTGGACAATGGAATCTGCTTTCCTCTCCGCCAGGTGGTGGTAAAGTTGAGGGTAGGTACCACAACATCCTGATGAAACAGCAAAAACGGCTTCAGAGTGCTTGGGAAACTATTTTATCCGTGTTCCCTACCACGGATTGGAATATTTTCTCACACCATTGGTTTATTCTGAATACGCGAAGCTTTTACTATGCCAGTCCTGGCAAAAAGCCTCCCGATGACTGGAATGATGCCATAGGTTTGGTGCCTTTTGCAGACTACTTTAATCATGCCGACAAAGCGGTAAGTAGATGCCTCTTCGGCATGCTTCACGCTTTGCAGCTTGTTTTAAAACAGTAAATTAGCCATGCGAGGTTGTTTTCGACGGAGAAACGTCTAGAATTACGGCCACCGCTCGTCTTGGTGAGAGCTCTCTCCCTTGATGATCGGCTATGCTTTGGCTGACAACTTATGTGGTCTTAAAGAGAAAGGAGTCGAGGTGTTTACGAACTATGGAGAACATCCCAATGATTATCTTTTCGTGAAATGTGAATAAATTTGCTTTACATTCCACTTTTGCTCGTTACTGACTCGGGCGTGGATAGACGGCTTCTTCTTGGATCAAAATGGAAGCGACGCCGTTTATTTGGATGACATCATATCCCAAGACCTCACAATTGACGACAAGGAAGCTTTGCGCACACATGGATACGATGGGTAATTTTCCTCTCCTGGGGCGAGAAAACTTAAGCTAACGTACTCTTGGCCTCAGTCACTATGAGATAAACTCATCTGGACCCAGCCTTGATGTTAAAGACGTCGCTTGTTTCAAATGCATGAAATATGATGACTGGAAATTCTATGTCTTTGGTCCATCGTCGGTTCCTGCCCCCGACGAAGCAACAAAGTTGGTCCACAAATGGGTCAAAGTCTACTGGGAAGAATGCATATTGGCAATCAAGGGACTAGAGGGGAAGACTGGACTCAAAGAAGTGGTTGGGTCTTCAGAGAACCCATGGCCAAATCTGAAAGACCAAAAGATTGCTACACTGCTACGAAGATGGATTCAAGTCAGAGATCTTTGTAAGAAAGTTTTGGATATGTTAGCATGATCCAGCTTTACTTATCGATTAGCCTCTCCTGCATGGAAAATCGACACATTGGATTCAATTCCATTCATGGATGGTGTCTATCACATTGGTCTTGGATATAATCGATATAATCACAAAGCGACGGTCTCGTGAGCTCAAAATTAGACAGTGACACCTAAGTAGGTTTGTCCTGTGCTACTTGAGTTAGATAAATAATAGATCGCTTACCTAGCGCCCCATACCACCAAAGAATCCTGTCTAATCTTCAACATCTGCCATCATTGATTTGGCCTGCAGCCAGGTCCTTAGATGCCAATGAAGCCTAATAATTATCATCACGTCTAATTTCCTCCTTCTCCGAGGTAGACTGAGTTTCACAGACCAAGGATGGGTGTGTCACATTGGCTCTGGGTTTTCTCTTGTTTTTTGGCCGCTTGGAAGGGTTCTGGGCGCATATCTGGCATTTATATCAGCAGATATATGATACCTGATCACAGAACATTTGTGATTTTAAGACGTTATCAGCTCAATGAATCGTGGTCTCCGATAGATTTCATCAAGAGGCACTACCCTTTGCGTATCGATTAATTCAGTTCAAATTCGATGATATGGATGATTTTATCAAGTTTGCATTTTCCATTGGTCGAATAGGGCGCAACAATTTGGAATCACTGGAACTATTTTGGCTCAGCAGCAACGAGCTGGAGGCTACGTCGAGCCCGGAAGATCTTGGTTTGCATTTACCCCGATCTCACGTCTCAAGATGCGTGCACCTATTGAAGCAGTTTGAAAGACTCAGGTACTTGCGCCTTGTTTTCGTAAAAAAACAACCTTGTTAGCAACTCCGTGCGAGCATATCAAACTGGGCATCCGAAAGCTTTCTTTCATTCGGGGTCTATGATGTGTTGAGGTTTGGGGATTGAACCAAGAGCCTTTAGACTCCATCTTTCATTGTGCTAAGTGTGCTAAGTGGTTGAAACAAAGATTGGAAGGTAGGACTTGAGTCGCTAAACTCCGTGTATAAAATAATATTGTAGGGATCCACGCTACCTTGCGGATTGTTTGCATACCGAATTTGCCTTAATTATGATGCCTTAGAAGACGACTGAAGCTATTTTGATGATTAAGTACCGGAAAAATGCAAGCGATGTGCCAAGTAAGCCATGTAAATTTTAGCGATCTAGAGAGCAGAGTGCTTCGAAGGATCCTCCTTCAAAGGCGTCGAGTAGTCATCATCGTCCAGATCAAGCATTTCAATCCGATGGCTGGCCATGTTTTCTTGCGTCTGCGCCTCAACCTGTTTCTGCAACCGTGAATCCTCACCAAAACCTTCCTTGCTATTCAAAATCTCTTGGGCATCAGATGACTCTGGGTCTTTGACGCCAGCTTCTTTCTGATTCTGCAAACGTTGCTTTTCCTGTTGCTCATCCTCCACAGCAAGAGCGGCTTCTTCGCGCTCGATTTCACTGGCATCGAGATCTTGCAACCCAGTAAGGGTAAGGATCTTTCCGAGCAGATACTGGTACCGTAGGTGGCCGCTGATCATCTCGCTCACGTTGACGTTTTCAATGCCGGGGACACCTTCCACTGCTTGCAATCCGGCGACACCAAGCTGCATGCTGCTGGTACGGTAGAGGAACGCGAGCACAGAGTCGTTCTCTGAGTACACGTTTACAACCCGTCCGCTGACGACACTGCGGATCTTTTGCCAAGGTTCCTTGTTTGACGGGGTTGGCGATCCCATTAGAATAACAGACTCGATTAGGCCGTAGGCGTTTTTCTTTTCCAGGCTTTGAAGACAAGAGAAGATAAGTCGAGATCCCAGAGAGTAGCCAATTAAAGTGACTGGTCGTTCGCCCTGAGCTTTGTTGATCAGAGCATCGGCGAGTACTTCGCCCGCTTTATCAGCGCGAGATTTGGCCACGCTGAATGGGTTGTCGACAACGCCTGCAACCTTCATCAGACCAAGAGGAAGCATGACAGCGCTCATGAGAGTGGAGAAAACGGTACGTGCCAGGACCTCACGGCCGGCAACCGACCATGCTGCGCTGGTAACAAGTGCGGATATGGCATTGCCTAAGTTCATCAAAGGTTCCATTTCCCAGCGAAGAGCAAAGACTTCCGAGTCAGCACCAATCACCCGCCATGGGACCACGAAGTTCGACTCCTCCTTGACCCAACCGGTGACACCGATAGTGACTCGCAACCGATGATCCTGTTTGGCGGACTCTGTCTCTTTTTGGTTCCGGCGGCGCTCGCCTCGAATGGGGATGAAAGCGAAATCGTCAATCTCACGAGCGTACTTGTCCATCATACGACCAGTCATGCGCCCACCGTAGGCGCCAAAAAGACCTCCGACAACAACGCTGCTTCCCGCCAATGTACCGAGGAGTCCGGCAGCGGCTGTAGCGCCGAGACCCACTCCACCCAGAACGGTTCCCAGGCCTGCAGCCACCAATGGCGCTGCAAGTCCACCCGTCAGGCCGATTAGAGCGGCTCCAGCCACCGACGCGATGCCGACCTTCCATTTCCTCATGTCATCATTTTTCTTCGGTTTTTCTCCGGTACTTTGGTCTGCCGAAAGTGCAAGAGCAGTGGCTAGTAATCCGCGAGCGACCTTTACTTCGTCCTGGTTGAGCACATTGATATCTATGTTCAGACTAGACGCAACGTGCGCCATCAACACTCGCGAATAAGCGCTGTAGTGTTCTAGACTGAGGAGCAGAAGTAGGAGAGAATGCAGAATGAGCAATCTTGTTGCTTTGGGAAGTTCGGCCAATGGTGTTTCCACGGGGTGGTAGATTTCTTGTAATTTCAGCAGTCTATCTTTATCCTCGTCCAAGGGAATGTCGTCGGATTTGGCAGCTTTCTGCACTTCAGATTGACCTTGCTGGTCTGGCTGGTCATCGTTGTCGTTATTGACCACTTGGCCAACCCGCAGCAGAACAGAGTCTCTCCAGTTCTCGAAAGAGGAGAGCACAGTGACCTTGGCTTGAGGTTTCAATGGCTTACTGGTTGAAGCAGTTCGCTGGCTACCAGCTTCCCCGGGGACAGGCTTGCGCTGTGGCCTTGGTGGCAGGGACGGCGTATCTTCCTCGCGGTCTTCATGGGGCTGCTCTTGTGGAGATGGACGCGGAGAGAAGCGATTGGGAGACTCCTCTTTTTTACTTTCAAAAAGCTCGAGAATGCCAATTCGCATCGATTCAGCGGCTTCAGCAACAAGGACCGTCAGGTCTCCACGCTGCGACCTATCTAAAATCGACGATAGATCTTGACCGCGGTCGCTTTCCGACGTGTTGGATGCATTGGATTGCTTGGATTCAAACAGCGATGCGTGTTTCTCTTTGAAATTTTTGAACATTGGCGCTAAGAGATTGTGCAAGACGGGATTGAGAACGTTTTAAGGACAGACAAAAGTCGCCAATGTTTGGTGGAGGGGGCAATGTTGTCATAGGTTTGGGGGCCAGCTGACTCATGCGTTTGCCAGATTCCTCAGGTCGCAAATTGCCTGCTCAGATTACTTTGTTTGTCTGATGCTCCAATGAAGTATCTATAAAGAGGCGGTGGCTCTTCGGAGAATACTTAATTGCCTAGTTCAACGACGAAGTATTTGCCTTTCGTCTTTGTGGCGGATCCCAGCGCGTTTCCATCCCAAGCTGTCCCATCAGGACGATCGTTCTTGACACCTACAATGCGCTGGATTTTTCTCCGTCGCCCGGACACATGTTCCTTTGCTAGGGCTTCCTTGAGTTGTTCAATGCCAATGGTGTGTTCCTTCACTGCATCAGAACTTTCGTCACAAATTCTAGCAAGCGGTTCGACGCCCTTGGTGTCAACCAGTTGCATTTCCTTCACAAAATGGATTTGGGACTCGAGTGTATCGAGCATTGATTGTTCTTCTTCTTGGTTGGCAGGTTGGGGGAGAGCTGAGATTCGGAGAAGGTGATGTAGTTCCTTGGGAGTGATCGATGGAGGGGGCTTTGATGCTGGGTTCGGGAGCAATGACCTGACAGACCAGTTTGGTGTACCGATCATGGACTCAATGTCCGAAAAATCGGACATTTCAGAGGAGTAGAAGCGAGTCGATATCGTGGACAATCGAGCCGGACTCGAGCGCAGCGACTGAAAGAGTCGAGTCCCAGCGCGAAGAGATGCCATCGTAGAGTATATGAGATGAAAGTGATTTTGAAAAGCAATCCAATGAGGTTCAATTCAACAGAATTAGAAAGGCAACGCAATCTATAGTTGTTCAAGGCAGAGATAATCCAAAAATAGCCAAGTAATGCAAGTCAACACTCAAAGGAGCTTAGGCGGAGACCGAAAAATAAAGGACACCGCCTCCAGCGGGCCCGTCGATCAATGCTCTCATCAATAGCACGTTTGGCCACACTCCTGCTTCGCATCGAATATTTGCGGACTTTGTCTATATCACAAAACACAAACACACCAAAATGACTCAAGATCCCCGCGCGCTTCTCCAAAAGGTATGCCCAAATGTTTACCCGCTTCAACTGCATGTGCAATGACGATAGTCCGGATAGCTGACCAACGTCACTTGCTGTATTTGAATAGGCCGACAAAGCGCTATCCGGCGCCTCTGGCGGCTTTAGCTGGTTTGGCGGAAGAACAGAGAAATATGAGAATGCGGCAGATCTGTATTCCCAGGCTGCAAATGCCTTCCGAGTACAGAAGATGAGTGAGATACCCCGCCGCCTGTGATGCCTGAACTCGATGGCTGATACGTGATGCTTGTGAATAGACAAGGAAGCCGGTCAGGCTTTCGAGAAAGCTGCTGCAATCCAAACCCAAAACCTTAACGAGCCCGACGACGCCGCCAATACACTCCAGGAAGCGTTCAAGGTCTACCGCAAGTCAGACCCGGAGGATGCTGCCCGTGTTCTATCTAGTGCTATTCAACACTACGTACTACGAGGAAATCTGCGCCGTGCTGCTACACAACAGCAATACTTGGCTGAAGTGTATGAGGTGGAGCTTGGCGATATGAAGAAAGCACTTGAGGCGTACGAGAAGGCTGCTGAGTGGTTCGAGGGTGACAATGCTGAAGCGTATGGTTCCCATGATTTATCGACGCGCGGTATACATTTGAACAAGGTCAGCTAATACCTATGTGTTTTTTAGCCTTGCGAACAAGCACTTCCTCAAAGTTGCAGATCTGTCTGCGCTGGACGGCGACTACTACAAGGCCATCACGTACTTTGAGCGTATCGGCCGGTCTTCTATTAACAACAATTTGATGCGCTGGAGTGTGAAGGATTATCTGTTGAAGGCAGGTATCTGCCATCTCGCCACAAAGGTATGTCGTGCCCACTCTCAACCCAGCCAACAGGATATTAATCGGTTTACTATCTAGGACATGGTTGAGACCAACCGTGCTTTGGAGTCATACCGAGAGCTCGATCCTAGCTTTGCGTCAATGAGAGAGCACCAGTTGCTGGTAGATTTAACCCAGGCTGTTGAGGATGGTGACCAGGAGTCCTTTGCCGAGAAGCTGTTCCAGTATGACCAGCTCAGCAAGTTGGACAAGTGGAAGACTACTCTGCTCCTGCGCATCAAGAATAACATTGAGGAGGCCGAGGAGGACTTCTCTTAACGGCGATTGATTTCTTCAGTGATTCCCCGCGCGTCATGTCTAGAGCATGTTGACTCTGCAGTGTTTTGGTTTTGGTTTTGGTTTTGTTTTTATTTGTCTTTTGGTTAAATGTAGTTGGTCTGGAGATGAATACAGCTCAACTTCGATCGCTGCAATGAAGAATATTTCGCTGGCGATGTGTCTGGTTTCTTTTGTTCGTTTTTCATGGTGATACTTACCTCTCGCCCCCAGATGATTATTTGACTTGGATTCATTGCCAAGTGTTTGGTTCTACACATCCAAAAGATTATTATTTGATACGAAATGCAAGTGCTGGAGATTCGTAATTCATCATTTTAAGATGCCTCAAGTCTATATGTACTTTTTGGGTGTATCATGCTTCATCAGCAAGCAACCCTCATCGTCGTGTAATCAATTCAGTCAAATGGTATCATATCATCCACCTCGCGTCACTAACATCGACAGCTTACGCAGCAATCGCCTCCAAAGCCCGAGCCTTGCGAGGGAAGACACGCTTGTACAAGCTGACACCGACAGAGTCTTGTGGATTGATCTTGGCATCGAAGGTAGCCTTGAAGTAACCGTGTGTACCCAAGCTCTCCTTGAAGTATCCACTGCGGCCACGGCGGGTCCACAGTTGGAGGGCCTTGAACCATTGGATATCCTCGGCATTGAAGAACATGTACCGGATAGTAACGACCTTCTTGTGGATCTTGTAGGGGTGACCAGTGAGGATAGCACGCTTGGCGACCACGCGCTTCTGGTCAGGGGCAACAACGGTACCGGTACCGATGAGCTCCAATTTATCCATATCAATCGGCTCCTCCTTAGTCTCGGATTCGGTTTCCATCTCCTCATCGTCATCCTCCTGCACGGGTTGCTTGCTCTTGAAGATGAGAATGGGGACGGAACCCCAGGTCATGGGTCCAATCCAGGAGGCAATGGCGCTGCGACCAGGATGAAGGAATCGATCATACTTGTGGACATTGTTAGGGGTGTTATCGGCCGATGAGAAGATCGGGTTAACCACCATGCGGCGAGCACCGCACTGAACAATGAGTTGCTCCTTAGCCCGGAGAGGCTTCTCCACGCTGGAGTTCAGGGTCATGCTGACGTTGACCACAGTCTGCTTGTGCTCGTGGCGAAGGAGAGAGAAGAGCGCCAGGGGCTTGGGGCTGTTGCGGAGGACAGAAGGCACAGCGCGGAGGTGAACATCAACGCGTGTACCAGGGTTCACACCACCAATCAGGGCTTCTCTGATGATGCGGTTCTTGGAACCCCTGTGGTCAGCAAATTGCAGGAGGCGGCGCCAGTCCTCGGGCTCGTAAGGACGATCCTCGGACGTTTCCCAGTTGCTGAGCTTGAGGTTCTTCAATCCACGGTAACGAGCAAGGCGCTCTCTGGCAAGGACATTGGGGTGCAGTTCGATCTCGTCGGGGAACTCCAAGTCCTCTTCGGCCTCGGTCTTGCGGCTGGCACGATAGTCGGCTAATTCCTGGGCCTCGTCCTCGGGGGAGGGGTCGAGGAACATTTCGGATTGTGGGTATTCTGAAGGAGCACCCTCGGTCATGGCATCCTGGCGCTCTGGGAACACACCGTCTTCGGGTGCTCCGGCGGTATCCATCTCCATTGGCTCGTCATCGTCATCCATATCCGATCCAGAGTCCGAGACATCATCAAGGTACCAAGCAGATTGGTAATTTGAGGTACCCTTGGGCAGTTTCTTGGGAACTGGGGGGATGTGCGAATCGTCATCGGAGAAGTAGTGGTAGTCGTCGAGGAGAACACCCTTCTTCTCTGTCTCGGCCATGGAGACCATATCGTCATCAACCATCTCGATTTCCTCGGGGGCAACAGTGGCCATGTCGTCCTGGTCCGCGGTAGGGGTATCCAAAATCTGTGAGGTTTCGTTGGTGTCAACGTTCATGGCGTCGTCCCGCTTGGTCTTTGTGGTTGCTAGTGGCGCAGCTGTGATCGAGTCAATTTGGAAGTCACCCCAGCCAGGGAGGTGAACAATGCGGTCTGCCTTCAGACCCTTTCCACGAACAACTCCAGTAATGACAACATCGTCGACCACTTCCAAGCTGGATTCGGGGAACTGAACATCCTCGACGAACATCCAGCTGCGGTCGTCACGCCAGCGGATACCCTTGGGGGTGGCGGTACAGATAGATCGGATGGCGTTGGAAGATTCCTGGCGGGAATCGAGAGACATAACCTTCTCAATGCTAGGGAAGAAGTGGTTGATGAAAGACTTCAGAGAGCCGGCAACCTGGGGGCGTTTCTTGGGAGGGCTGATTTTGTCGAGACCTTGAACAACAGCCAAAACATTGGAGATACCCTGGCTCTGGATAGAGCGCAAAAGCATCTCTCCATCCTCGTCAACCTCAACCTCAGACGACATGACCAACACGACAAAATCGGCCATACGGCACACATCCAGAGCGCTAATCAAGTCGTACTTGGCAGGAACATACTGCACACTTTGGCGGAATCGTTCGATGCGCACACGGGTAGGTCCCTCAGACGAGGCATCGGTCAGGATGTCCACACTTTCGTTGATAGAAGCGATAGCAGCGGCGACATCAACATCGGCGGACAATGGCAGGACTGCAACGTGACGGGGAGCACCGTTCTGGCCGGCAAAAATACTAGTAGCCTGAGACCGTTCTTGATGCTTCAATGCCTGCCTTTGGCGGGCGGTGTTTCGGCGATCGAGTTTCGTCTTGAGCTGTTGGTGGGGTGTTTTACGACCGCCCCGCTCATCGCCTTCGATTTTGCCTGTGTTTGAATAGATATTAAAAATTTGTACAGTTGAAGATGTTTCAATATTCCAAAATAGGTACCTTTGGCCTGATCTTTCAAGGCGCTTTTGGAGGCATGCTTGCTCTTGTAGGGCTTGTGGGAAACCTTGGTGGTGGAGCGGTGGTGGTGTACCGTCTGGGCAGGCGCCATATTGGCGTTAGACCCTTTAAATCTAAAAGGGATAGAGGCCAGATTGAAGAGTATCAATAATTACTCGGTGAATATTCAACCAAAGCAATGTCTAGCTCGAAAGTACACAAAAGAAAAAATACCAATGTGCCTCTGTCGAGAAAAAAAAGGCGATAAGAAAACAAAAATTCGCCAGTGGAGGATAAGCGAGCGGTGAGCGCAAATCTTGGCGAAATTTTGGGCAAAACACTTTTTTTCTTGGAGCTGAGTTCTTGTCCGCCTCTTTTTCTCTCTGGACGAACGCAGAGAAATTGTCAGAAAATGGCCGACTCAGCCCGCAATATGGCTGTCGCCAAACCCGATAGTGCAGCGAAGTTAAGACTCGCACAAGCCGAGGAAATTTACGGGCGAGGCAAAGGTGTCAACGCAAAGAGTGCGCGGGATAAGAAGCTGCGCGCGAATCTGAAGAAACAAGAATACAAGCACAAGGAAGCAATCCTTCAAGCTAAGGATGCCGAGATCCTGCTTGAGCACACCGAAGGTTTCCTCGAGCCTGAAACCGAACTCGAAAAGACCTACAAAGTCCGCCAAGATGAGATTCAAGAAAGCGTCGGAATCGAAACAGCAAAGAAGGGATTCGAATTGAAGCTCCCTGATATGGGCCCCTACCGTATGGACTATTCTCGGAACGGACGTGACCTGCTGTTGGCGGGACGGAAGGGACATGTTGCAACAATGGACTGGCGCGAGGGCAAGCTGGGCTGCGAGTTGCAGTTGAATGAGACTGTGCGGGATGCCCGCTGGCTGCACAACAACCAGTTTTTCGCTGTTGCGCAGAAGAAGCACACTTATATCTACGACCACCAGGGTGTTGAGCTGCATTGTTTGAGCAAGCACCTTGAGCCTCTCTTCCTGGAGTTCCTGCCATACCATTTCCTGCTTGCTAGCGCTGTGAGTACCCTTCTTTACTGGATATCTCAACCCCAGACTGACTAATGTTTCATAGCAAATGAGCGGCCACCTCAAATACACCGATACTTCAACCGGTCAGATCGTCGCTGAGCTTCCAACCCGCTTAGGCAAGCCGACCGCTCTCGCCCAGAACCCGTGGAATGCCATCCTCCATATGGGCCACCAAAATGGTACCGTCACACTGTGGTCTCCAAACTCTCAAACCCCACTCGTGAAGGCGCTTGTACACCAGGGCCCGGTCCGCTCAATTGCAATGGATCGCCAGGGTCGTTACATGGTCTCCACTGGTCAAGATCAGAAGATGAGCGTTTGGGATATCCGCATGTACCGTGAAGTACACCAATACTCCTGCTACCAGCCCGGCGCATCCGTAGCGATCAGTGACCGCGGCCTGACCGCGGTTGGCTGGGGAACGCAAATGAGCGTGTGGCGCGGACTGTTCGATGCTGCCTCCGCCGACGTAGGCAAAGTGCAAAGCCCCTACATGGCCTGGGGAGGCGACGGAAAGCGCATCGAGAATGTGCGCTGGTGCCCATACGAAGATGTTCTGGGTGTTGGCCACGACCAAGGATTTGCCAGCGTGCTCGTCCCCGGTGCCGGAGAGCCCAACTTCGACTCACTTGAAGCCAACCCTTACGAGAATGTCCGACAGCGCCAGGAGCACGAGGTGCACTCGCTGCTCACCAAGTTGCAGCCGGATATGATCTCGCTCGATCCCAATATTATTGGAAAACTCGACACGGTCAGCGACCAGAAGTATCAGCAGCAGCGCAACCCGGACCAAAAGCCCGAGGATCACATGGAGAAGATCAAGAACCGTGGTCGTGGCCGCAACAGTGCCTTGCGCAAGTATCTGCGTAAGAAGGGTGGCAACAATGTTATTGACGAGAAGCGTCTCAAGGCTGAGACATTGCGCAAGGAGCATGCTGCTCGTCATAAGGAGAAGCTCAAGCGGGAGCGTAACGATCTGGGGCCGGCTTTGTCTCGGTTTGCCAAATAGGATCGCTGAGTTCCAAAGTTTGTTTCGAGCGGAGCAATCTCTGCCAAAAGCACCCAGATACCCAGCCCACACGGCTTCTGTGACATATTGGAGATTTGGCGACAGCTGCATTCCAGGCGTTCTCGGGGAATATCTTTTTTGTATTCGGAGGGAAAAGCAGTGTTTAACGAGTGTACCATCTACTTTCAGCACATGAATATATTGCAATTCTCGAATGATCAATTCTACTTCCAGGCCGGATCGCGATTCTCATGGTCTCGTTGAAATTGTCCTCCATTTTAAATCGTCCCAAGATGATATTGTATAGACCAAGATACCATGATCTACTCATCAATACTCCCAGAGCCACGCACAGCGCCCTCCTTCCACCTCTGCAAACTAACATCATAAGCACCACTCCCCTTCCAAGCACTGATAATCAAGTTAATAATATGATCCATCCCCTTGCCATGCTTAACAACCGCAAAGACAGTAGGACCGCCCTCGCGCATCTTCGCCGCATCCCTCTCCATAACGCTAAGATCCGCACCAACTGCCTCAGCCAGATCAATCTTGTTGACGACCAGCAAGTCCGAGCCGGTGATACCTGGCCCGCCCTTGCGCGGCACCTTATCACCGCCCGCGACATCAATCACGTAGATGATGAAGTCAGCCAGCTCGCGCGAGTAGTTCGCGGCTAGGTTGTCGCCGCCGGACTCGATGAGCAGCAGGTCGGTGGAGAATTGCTTCTGGAGTTTCTGGAGCGCGAGCAGGTTGGCGCTGATGTCTTCGCGGACGGCGGCGTGCGGGCAGCCACCTGTTTCAATGGCGCGGATGCGAGATGGTGCGAGCGCTTTGTGCCGGGTGAGGAATTCGGCGTCTTCTCTGTTTTGGGGTAAGTATGCATTGAGATGGTGGGTGATGTGGGGTTTTGCGAAGTATGTTGGTTGAATGAGGGTTATTGTATGCTCTTACCTTGTGAAGATGTCGTTTGTGACTGCGGCGATGTTATACTCGTCACGCAGAGCTTGGGATAGGGCGAGCATAAGTGCTGTCTTGCCGGATCCTACGGGGCTATTCGATTTCAGGTTGGTAAGCCCATTGACTCGGTTCATTCTATAGATTCCAAGATGCAAAGGCTGGATGATGAGGGGCTGTAGGGACATATAGTACATACCCACCGATACCAATGGTGAAGGCACGATCCTTCCAGTCACGGCCCTCAATCAAGGGCATCTCGCGGTTGACGTATGAGCCTGGACCATCGAGGATATCGTGGGAGTGGCCGTGGCCGTTGAAAGGGTCATCGTGAGAGTGGTCGAGACCAGCATCGTGGGAGTGAGAGTGAGCCATTGTATATGAAAATAGTAGTTTGCAACTCCACAAGATGTTCAAGATGAACAAAAAAAAAGACGAGGGGCAATGTATTTAGGCGGAGAGTGTGGGGAACTGATAACACAAATGCCGAGCTTCCTTTTCGATTATCAAATTGGCCGAACAACGGAGATCGCCGAAGTTGCTCGATGATCAATTCAATCATATTTCTTGTGTTTTATCTATCTAGCAAGTATGATTTGAAATCTATGAACACTTGAACTTGATTCTGGATATATCGGAGATCACATCTGTACGCTTTGTAGGCCCAGTAGAAGAAGACAAGGCGCATGACAGTCCTCAACATATGAACGATACAGGACACATAAAACAAAGACTGCCCGATGAGAGAGAGCTGATACAGCATCAACATATACAAACTACGATGCATCATGATTGGAAGCAGATATGTATGGATTCGTCAAACAGCGGCAAGAGGATCAACCCCGAAGGAGAGAATTACCAAAAACTCAAGGCCCACGACCAAACGGTCCGGAACATCGAACACCCCAATGCACGCAGACGCAGTCCCAAAAAAAAACATAAGAGCCGGACGCCATTTCAGTCGCCAAACACGGATATCAAAAATACTGTCCGTTAAAAAGAACAGACCGTCACAGGAGACAAGCAAACAATAGCAAAAGCCTACAAGACAAATCCAAAAGTCGTCAAAAATCCCAAAGGCGAAAGGATCAAAGGGAAAACTGAACGGGAATTCAAGATGGAACATGCAAAGTCAGGCGATGATCCTGACCCAACCAACAAAAACGCTGAAAGGAAGATAGAGTACATTAGATCGGAGTTGAGCAGGATCGATGAGACCGCGTCCGGAGAGGTGCGGCATCAAGCACCGATTAGATCCCGTCGATTGAAAATTGAGTCGTGATGGGCTGGAAACCAGGATAGATCCCTCAGGGGTGAAAGAGACAAGCAGAGTAAACAAGCAAGGGCGGTATGCCTCGCCCGTACATCCAGTCGTATGCCATTCCCTGCCTCAGACGGCGAAGGAGAACAAAATAAATCGAGAACAAGTTGGATGAAAAGGTGTTCCATCAGGCGGCGGCGCCCTTCTGTCGCTTCGGCACCCGAGGGCTAGCCTTTACTTTCGCTGAGCCCTGCGGAGCGCCGTTAGCATCGACTCCGGCACCATCCTCGTTTTCCATCTTGACGGTGCTTGCGCGGCGACGTTTGTTGACACCTACATTTGGACTGTTGTTCACGCCAGCTGGAGATGGCTGCATTGGTGGTTGCATTCCCGGGGGACCGGCCAGGTGGCTTTGAGCCGGGCTCGCATGTGCTGAACCAGTCAGGTGAGGCGAGCCTTGCTGTCCCGGGAGGCCGAGATGGGCCATAGCCGGCGAGGCAAACTGCGATGGGGCACCCATGCTATGGCCCCGCACATTTTGCATGGGCTGCATGCCAGGGTTCATTCCCGGGTTCATAGCGGGGTTCATGGCGGGATTCATGGCTGGGTTCATGGCTGGGTTCATGGCGGGATTCATGGCTGGGTTCATGCCAGGGCTCATAGCGGGGTTCATGGGGTTCATTCCTTGGCTCATGGCTGGGTTCATGGGGCCTGGCGCATAGCTGGGGTTGGGGTTCTGCGTCTGGAGGGTGTTGACGAGATTTCGCAAAGCATCTGGGGGTGAGAGCTGTGGATTTGATTGCGAGAACTGGAACAGCATTTGCATTTGGGAAATGGTCTCGGCCACCTCCAAAAATCCCATGACTTCAGTAGGAACGCCGTTGAGATTCACCATGGAATCCGGCAGCGCCAGTGGCGGAGTTGGCTTCTGTTGGGCGCGTTTTGAGTTCTTCGGAACCTTTGGGCTTTGTTTGTATTCGGCCTCCATAGACAGCAACAGTGACCGAGGAATGAACTCCTGATGACTGACGACATTAATATCAAGCATCTCGAGTTTGTTATTCACATCGAAATGCGCACGCAAAGAGCCGGTGGTATAGAGCTAGATAAAAAGGTAATTAGCAAGTGGTCAAAAATGAGATAAAAAGCAATGTACCTGGCATTCATTCTTGAACCAATAGATGAATGAGCATTTTCCAGCGTCCACATAGTGACCTCCGTTGGGAGATTCGCGCTCACGGGCGCCTTCCACTACCATCTGGATTTGTGTAATGCCGCTCATGAACTGGGTCAAGTAATAACGCGCCAAAGCGGGTGTTGCAATCTCAAATTGTTTAGATCCTGCCGTGTTGTTCCAAACACCCTGTCGCAACACTCCGCCAGGGCTGTAGAAGCGATCCACAAATGATTGCCAGTATAAAAGATCTTGTGCTTCGTTGCGGGATATAAAATTGCCTAACTGTTCGGAATAAGCATTAAGAGCCATGATTGATTGGTTTTGTTGCTTCATCCTTTGTTGCTGCTGCTGTTGCATCATCATCTGGTGTTGTTGCGTCTTCAACTGGATTTCCTGAGGCGTCATTTGCTGGGTCGGAGGACCTGGCTGCTGGCCCTGCTGTCCTTGTTGACCCTGTGCGTTTTGGAGATGCTGTGGCTGCGGGCCAGCAGCCTGTCCTGGTTGTCCGGGCTGTTGATTCTGAGGCAATTGCTGCGAAGGCGGGTTCGGAGTAGCCTGGCCCTGAGGTACCTGTGAGGGTGGAGCTTGGGAGGACGGTGGCTGAGAAGATTGAGAGGGTTGAGGAGTGCCACTTCCTTGAGGCGGACCCCCATGCTGAGACTGCGGGGTTCCACTTTGTTCGTGCATGTTTGGAGGCTGCGCCGATGCACGCTGCGGGGTATGTTGACCTGGTTGTCCATTGCTTGCCTGTTGCTGAGCCTGTTGGGCCTGCTGGGCCTGTTGTGCCTGCTGTTGTGCTTGCTGAATGGCGAGGAACTGCTGTTGGTGCTGGAAACTTTGCGGTTGGCCATGCGGCATTTGCTGCTGAAGATGCATCATGGGCCGCATTCCCGGGTTCCCTTGCATTGCAGCCATTTGAGCAGCGCTGATTCCTTGCGCACCATTGGGCATTGATACTGGGAGACCATGTTGCTGTTGCTGTTGTTGCTGTTGCTGTTGTTGTTGTTGCTGCTGCTGTTGCTGCTGCTGATGTTGCTGTTGCTGTTGCTGATGCTGTTGTTGGAGCATCATTCGTTGCCGCATTAATTGTTGATGTTGGTGTTGCTGTAAGAACTGAGGATTGTTCGCGACTAAACGTTTGCCAAACATGTTAGCATGCGATTGACTAGATACGGCGGAGAAAGATAAATCGCCTCGGACAGTTCAGATCAAATGTTACCCGGACGAAATCGTACAGACGATCACAAGCTCAATGAAACTGGGATGAGATGAGATACTAACAATTTTGTTGGAATTGAGGGCCCTGAAGCATATGCGCCTGCGCGGGATTCAGGTGGGAGAGAGCATGGGCGTTCGGAACGCCAGGGCCAGCAGTCCCAGCGCCTGGTGGCATCCCACCCATCATCGGGCCCGGTTGGCTGACCTGAGGTCCCCCTGGTGCGGATACGCCAGGATGCATTTGCTGTACCATTCCGGGGCCTGGGTGTCCATTCGGATGTTGCGCGTTCATTGGGTGTCCTGGGGGAAAGTGCTGCGGCATGCCTTGGTGGGCAGGGAAAGGCTGCGTCATCATCATTGCTGAGCGACGAAGTCACCGCAAAAGGGAGACTTCAAAATGATCGCTCGCGATGGCGATAGGAGATGGGCGAAACGTGGTGAACGCGACTGAAGACCGCTTTTGGCGTTGCCAAGACGTAACAATCGATTTGGAACCAGTTGTCAGCAGAAGCGAGATGCTTGGGTTATTGACCAAAGGCCTCCGAGTCACCTGCGCAATGAAGGTTTCTGTCTAGGAACAGGCTGTGTCAGTGGGGAGTGATAAGAGGAGAAGTGACTGGGGGCAGGTAGTTTAGGGGTCGTGGAGGGGCTGGGGTCCCAAAATGGTAGATCATATAACTTACGATGTAGTTTTTTAACGTAAACTTTCCGGGATATTAGGGGCTAAGGGATGTTGAGGACGCCCATAAGTCAAGAACTAAGGATGATCGCCCGGTGGGAAAGAGTGAACTGGAGACGGAGGATCCGGGTCCGTAGGGTGGAGGATCTAACCGAGACGACAACGCGATAGAATATTGGGGGGGGAAGAGAACTACAGCATAGTGAGAGAATATTGTACGGAATCCTTTTTAAAAATGATCTGTAGTCTTCTGCAGTCTTTTTTTCCAAAGAGATATATCCTCTTTTGAGCCTTTTTTCCCTCATTTCTGTCCTGATTCCATTTCACACCACACTATCCCCAATGGGGAATGTCACGTGAATCGGAAAATCTCTTAGCTTCGCGTCCTTTTTATCACAACTTTTTTTTTCTTTTCTCTTCTTCCTCATCTTTCATTCTTCTTTTCTTCTGCAGTGTGATTCAGAGTCCTCTGCTCTCTGCTCCATCTATGATTGCAGGATTTGCTGCATACTTCTGCTGCCCATCTTTGAAGCAGAAAACCAATTATTCAGTATATTGTTCATTCATGCTTTTCTTAAACATCGGGTGATCTCATGATGCTGCGAACACCTGATGCTTGAGAACAACATGATTGACTTTATTAAACTGTTTACAATGCATGAATTTCATCACTAAAATGATAGATCAGGTGCTACACCTTATGCTTAACGTGAGTCTTTTATTTTTCCTTCCCACATGCATTTGCATTCCCTATCTGTTCAAGGATGACAAAAACCTTTACTTCTTTACCCTCCAAATCGACAATGCGGAGACAATTCGGACCTTCCTTTCCCGGTCGGTCTGCTACTTGCCAGTATATCTTGCTGAGAACTCTTATAATGCAATGCATATTTTACTCATGTCTTGTATTGAGCGTTTGCTAATTTCGCTCTCAGTCCAGATTATCTCAACATTCTTGAACCATTCTCGATACACCATGGACTCGCCTATGTAATGGCTAAATGATCAAGTGACGAAAAATTCTCGGATGTAAACTCACAGACCTGTTCTGAATGCGCAAAACCGTGTAGAGATTTCCGTTGCCTTCCTTCTGATGATCATTTCGCCATTACACTTGTGTTGTTCGGTTATATATTATGGGATACTTTGAATGAAAAATATTATCGACGACTTTCACTTGCCATTCGTAATAGTTATTGTAGTCATGAAGCGTATATAGTGAGCTTTGACACCAATGCTAATTAGGCCTCCGCCTAGTCATGTTCGATGTCAACCCAAATTATACCCGTGGACAGCCCAACTGAGAAAACGTAATCCTTGCACATGATGCATGATGAGTAACAACCTTTCGCTGATATCCTAAGCATTAAGATCCACCACCCCGGATATTAAGACAGGGTTACAGAGTAGTTTCTTGGCCTTCATTCGATTCGCATGAGCCTGCCAAAACCTACAAAATGGATTCGAACGAGAAGAAAGTAAGCTACTTCAGAATACTCACTACCCCGATCCATCGTGCCCTCTCATCTATCGGAATTAACTTAATCACTTGAACAGAAGCCCATAGTCAGCGCAGACAAATATCAACAAGCTCGTGCTGTCCTTCTTCAACAAGAAAAAGAAGCTACACGATTACTTCAAAGGCTAGCCACTTCACGCCGAGAACTACCTATGGTGCAAATATCCAACCCAGAGCAATTCCAATTCGACACTCCAGACGGCGAAAAGAATCTCAAAGATCTGTTCGACAATCGCAAGCAACTCATTATCTACCATTTCATGCTCGGTCCAGAGGAGCATCGCGGATGTGTAGGATGCTCTTTTTGCATGGATCACATCCCTGATCTCGGTCATCTGCATAGTCGGGATACCTCATTTGTGGGTGTCGCTACTGCACCATTATCAGAGATCTCTGCGTTCAAACAGCAGATGGGATGGAAGTTTCCATTTTATAGCTCTGCCAAGACTCATCAGGCGTGGAAGAAAGCTGAAGAGGAGGGCGAAGTGATTACTTGGAAGCCTGGGAATGGGTATTTTGGTCTCAGTGTTTTTAGGAAAGATGGTGACCAGGTTTTCCATACCTATGATACTACATCTCGGGGGATGGAAAGTATCTTGTCGACATATCATCTTCTGGATATGACACCAATGGGTCGGCAGGAGGTTGGGAACGGGATGGGTACTTTCAAACTTCATGATGAATACTAGTAGGGTATCACAGAATAACTCGGGTTTGGAAATTATCAGACTGTCTATGTATGAGCCCAGTAGGAACTCCCGAGGTCCAATGTTTATATGTTGTACGGGCTAAATCTTCGACTTTGTGGCAACTGAGTTCACCTCAACTTTTGTCTGCTAAGAGAATTGATAGTATACGTGATTGCATGGCAAATTTTCATGAGGACATATGTAGGTCTACACAATGATTGATCATACCTAGCTTGTTCAAGTGATATTAATGAGTACCAAAATGTAGGTGACTCATGATTGTTGTCTATAATTATATGTTTATACGTTGAACATGTGCATTCTTGCACAGATAGCCAAGTACAAGAAGAAAGAAACTTGAAGTTTCCCTGCCAAAAAGGGACCAGCATCAGCCTACTAGTAAATACAGCTATTTATCACTAATTGATGGTCACAAACCAAAGCCACGTTCGGAGGTCAAGAGCAAGGGACCCTGCTACGGCAATATTTCCTGGCCATGATGACAATTCAGATATCCAAACTGCATTACGTTTATTCTGTGGGATCGAATCGATATATACATACAGGCTCTTGATTGAGTTATCTAAAAAAAAATTGCCATATAAAACAGCTTTTCTCAGAGAATGTCTACAAAACACAGACGTCAGGGTGGCCGCAAAAGGCTTCTGTTAATGTTGGCGGCGAAAACCATTGATTACGTTATCGTTGATTTCTCGCCGATAGAAGCCCTGCGGCCGCCACTGGTCCCTTAAATCTCAATACCACAAGTTGCGGTGACATTATTACTGTCACGGATGTATTCATCAATCCAGCAGGGTCGGCTGTTTGCTCACCCTTGCAGATTTGTCGCTCGCCGCCGCTATTCAGCGCCCTTCTCGGCACCGTCGCGCCGATTCCATCTATCACCAAGATGGCTAGCATCACCACAAGATCCTTATGATGCGGCGTCTACAGCGCCAGGGAACACCGTTGAAGACCCAACGATCAAGACCGAGAACAGCACCCCCAATGGCGCCCCGCCCTCAACTCCATCCCCCGAATCTACCAAGCCAGCCTTAAAAACATACGGGTCTGCCATGCGCCGAGCGATGAGGAACAGGAAATCCTCACAGGAGCCATCCCAGTCAGCGACAACTGTACCAATTTGGTTCCATGAGCGCAATACGGTATCTCACGGCCAGGAAGATCATGCTCTTGCGCAATCATTACAACAGGTCAAGATCACAAAGTCAGGATCACAAGCGGAGACGGAGGCTACAAGGGAAACGATGGCGTCTGGAGGAGACCCTCATTCATCTGCACCTGATGAGCCGCCAGCAGGGAACCGGTATGCGGTGGCTGAGGAGTCATGGGAAGAGTTGTGCGCCTCTGTCAAAGCAGGCCTGCGACTACCACCGGCAAAATATGCCCAAGAGCCTTCGGTGAAGAAGTCGCATTTGGTCCTACACTACCCTGGCAATGACGGTATTTCATTTCTCGACGCTGTAGTGAAGAGACTCGCCCACGAGTTGAGCACTGACTTGGTGACCCTCAATGCCCAGGACATCGCTCAATTGTTCAGTGAGCAAGATCTCGCAGATGTCGGTGTGACTTCACCAATTCGATCGCTCGGCTATGAGGTATATCAGAATTCTGCTCCTTCATGGCCAGAAGTTGAAGACCAGGAAGCAGATGGCGAAGACGACGTCACCGAAATTGGCCCGCGAGGGATGCGCGGCGATGTCGGCACACCGCGGTTTATCACAATCGAAAGCAGCAAAGAAGCTGGCGACATTGCGCTTCCCAACTGGCTTGGGCTGAAAACACTCTTGGGTAGATCCATTAATGGTCAAACGGACGCAGATCCCGGGGTCGGCGCTTCACGAGGTGGTCGTGCTGAGACTCGCTGGACTAAACTACTCAATGAACTCCTCGGACCATCGAGCCAAGCAGCGTCAGACTCTAGCGAACCGGCAGAAACCCCCCAACCAGATGCTAGCAAGGCGCTGCCATCTCGAGATATCATTATGCACATACAGGATTACCGTGATATCCAAAACACTCGAGAGGGATCAAAGTTCATTTCGCTCTTGCACAAAGTCATTCAAGATCGGAGAGGAGCAGGGTCTAAGATTCTGTTAATCGGAACTACCTCCCAGGAAATCCATACTACACCATCCCCAGATGGTTCTGGGCTTTACAGAATGTCGTTGAAGACCAGTTCTCGAAGACTCTGTTTATAACGCCCGCCATGAACTCGAAATCCGCCGAAAAGGTCTTTGTAGAAGACCGCAAGAAGCGCACCATGGACATCAATATCCGCCACTTGCAGAGCATGCTTCGTTTCCGACTGAACGAGCAGTCTTTGCCCGCAAAAGACAATGTACTTCACGATCGTGCTTGGCCACTTGAACCTTCGACAATCAAAGAATCTGGGATTGAGGATCGGTTCTGGTCATATAACCAAGTGCATTGGATTGCCACACTTGCACTTGGCTCTGCGGAAACCAACGAGTCTTTTGGGTTCGAACATATCCGACGCGGAATCGAGCTCATGGACAAGAGTGACCGAGTCACCAATGAATGGCTGAAGGAGAAATCCCCCAAGCAAAAGGACTCGGAAGCAGGACAGACTCGAGAGCAGCTGCTGGCCTCTTTGCGCAAAACATGCAACACGCACGAAAAAAAGCTGCTCAACGGCGTAGTTGACGCAAAGAGCATTCGCACCACCTTCAACGATGTGCATGTGCCTCCTGAAACCATTGATGCTCTTAAGACACTGACATCCCTCTCCCTCATCCGCCCTGAGGCATTCACATATGGTGTTCTCGCCACAGACAAGATCCCGGGTCTTCTCCTGTACGGGCCACCAGGAACCGGAAAAACACTGCTTGCAAAGGCCGTCGCCCGCGAGAGTGGAGCGACCGTCCTCGAAGTCAGCGGGTCAGAAGTGTACGACATGTACGTCGGTGAAGGCGAGAAGAACGTGAAGGCGATTTTCACACTAGCGAAGAAGCTCAGCCCCTGCGTCGTTTTCATCGACGAAGCAGACGCCATCTTCTGCTCACGCACAGGAGCAGCCAGTCGTACCTCCCACCGCGAACTGATCAATCAGTTCCTCCGCGAATGGGATGGAATGAACGACCTCTCAGCCTTTATCATGGTCGCCACAAACCGACCCTTCGATCTCGACGACGCTGTTCTCCGCCGACTCCCCCGTCGTCTCCTTGTCGATCTACCAACCGAGGAAGACCGCCACGCAGTCTTGAAGATCCACTTGAAAGAAGAACAGCTCCACGATTCCGTCGATCTCGCCGAGCTAGCCCGCCGCACACCCCTGTATTCCGGCTCTGACCTCAAAAACCTGGCGGTGGCAGCTGCCCTGGCTTGTGTTCGCGAGGAGAACGACGCTGCCTCCAAACACACAGGCGATGAGCCGTATAGTTATCCTGAGCGACGAATCCTAACACGCGCGCATTTCGAGCGTGGAATGGAAGAAATCAGCGCTTCGATTAGTGAGGATATGTCCTCGTTGTCGGCGATTCGCAAGTTCGATGAGCAGTATGGTGATCGGAAGGGTCGTCGGGAGAAGAGTCCTGGCTGGGGATTCATTCCTGGTCCTACTGGTGAGGCGTCGTCTGATTCGGCACGTGTTCGGACATAAGTTTTGTTTTGTTGGGGGTTCCTGGCTTGTACGTTAGTGTTTCTTATGTTGATTGGGAATTGGGGTTTCCTATGTACTTTTAGCGATGATAGACCTGTACCATTAGTCAAAACGCATATACTACTGCATCTTTTATCACCATACTCGACGATCTCTTGTGTGTAAGCGAGCAAAACACGATTTCAGGATCTATTGGGCCACAGATTCCAGACATGGCTTAACAGACCACTTTTGTCTGTGCCGTTTCATAGATCACTGTTGGATTTAATCTGAGAAGAGGACCTTTGCTTGAAGTTCCTGAACATACCTTGAATGGTTACCACATACATACATGTAGTTATTTTAGAACATTGAATACATAAACTCCGGGAAAAACGTCCCCAATCTAGACTAGCTAGTCTTGGTGACTCGGGGTTGGAACAAGAGTCACAGAAGAGTAAGAAGTGATTGACACCAATTTCAGGAGATACTATATATTTCACTGGAATCTTTCAGTTTTAGGCATCCTTTTATAAGTTGAAAGGAATGTAAGAGACGAGAAATTGAGAGAATATTGGAGAGGCGATCTCAGCGGGAAGAAAACCTTGTTAAACCAAGCTCTCCCCACTTTCTCAGAGGAGAATTCACCCCCACATCCATTCAACCCCGAACCATGATGGCAACCGGGTCACGCGACGCCTCAGTTCGTGAGGCCAAATTATTCGTCAAAGAAGTCGTCCGCAATGACTGGGACTTTGAAGCCGGTGTGATCTCCGCATCTTCCGCCGACGGCACCCTTTGCCACAACCGTGAAGTGTGCGAATGGCGAGTCCGCGAATTCGACAGCTCAACCTCGGAACTCGAACCACAAAATTCAGACAGTGAGGACGATGAGCTGCCCGTGAGAACAACCCCCGGCGCACAAGCCGACATTGAGCGCCGTCGCAAACGCCGTCGGCAGATGGACGATGAGATGGCGTGGAACGAAGGACTCCGTGTGTGGATGGCCAGGCGCAATGCGTGGTCTGGCGCGAAGACTCGACGGCAGATACAGACTGAAGAGCGAAAGCGTGCGATGGCTGGTGGGCAGACGGACACAACAGATCAGTCGGATGGTTTGGAGAGAGACACCGGGGCATCTTCCGCGACATCCCACTCCACAACTTTGTCTAGCACTGGTAGTGATGGTGTTTCCAGTTTGGCAAACCAGACCGAGACTTCCCTTGCGATTGTAGACCAGCAGAAGAGCGAGGAACTACAACGGCGAGTGGACTTGACTTCAGGGGCGCAGGGTGATCAAGAGGAAGGGCAATCTACAGCACCAGATGAAGAGGTCAAAGGAAAAGCATCTTCAGAAACCAATATTACAGAGCCAGATCATTCATCTGCAACTGATCCGTCGCATCTGACAACATTCCCAGCCGTGGAAGATCAAACTGAAGAGGAAAAGGAGGAAGAAGAGCTCGATGAGCCCCTTATCCCTGTGGCACCTCCTTTTATCTCAGACGACAATCCCGTCCGCGCAACCATCATGCCCTCAATTTACCCCTCAATCTATACGAAAGTCGTCGTGCAAGGAATGACTCCCACCATGCCCGTTAACCTGGCCCATTTGACGAAAGCCATGGTCCAGGGCTGGAAATCAGATGGACAATGGCCACCCAAGCCGGCAGTGACATCTATTGTCCTTGGAGATACCGCCACTGTACCCAAGAAACCTGAAGAGCGTGCCGAAGAAACACCGACGGGTAGGCGTAAGAACAGTATCACCAACGCCGTGAAGAAAGTGTTCCACTTCGGACACCCGTTCCATCGCCGTGGATCAACCAGCCATGATGCTGGGAATGGAGCTGCTTAGGAAGGCGTGGTGTCTACTGGTATCTATCATGAGTAATTGCATAGCTGTTATGGTCATGGCTAAGGGGATTGAGAGGATCTGTCCACTCTGGTCGGTTTGATCCTGGCTGCGTTTGGCGTCTGTTTGGTGGCTCTGCTCTTTATTTTTTCTTGTTCAAAATCTGAACATGGGTGTTTGATTTCCTTTCCAGTTTCGCACAACGAAGAAACACGATGCAATGTATATGGGCATGAATGAGAATGACTTGAAAATTTTGATGTTTGCCTAACATCCACGTAGTCTGATTGACTCTACGATACTCACTCCCAAAACTTCGATCTCGTATATTGTTCCTTGCTGAGTTGTATTCCTCCGTTTCTGCATCTCGACGGGTCCAATAAATCTGAGTGGAGCCCTATATTGCAGGGTACAATTGGCACTATGTATGTTAATCGAACATCAGAAATGCAAACTTGGTCACATTTATCTCTTAATCTACGGGGTCGGATTCTATGTAACAGAGTGAAACTAGCACGTTGGTTTGGATCTCCCTCCATCGGACTCGAGACCAATAACGTTAGTCTGTTTCAAGACATTCTACTTGAAACAATCAGCTCCAAGTTGTTCCATGCCTTAAATTCACGTCATATTTTCACCATGTGTAAACAGAGAAACAATGGATCAATGGAGTGGAAGGATCCGGTTCATGTTGCCCCTTAACTAAGCCCTGACCCAGCTTTGAAGGCCCTTAATCTACGAAATATGATATAATAGAGCCATTCCCCTCCCCTGTAAAGTGTGTTCATCCAAGAGTGCTCACACCTTCACCATGTCTACCTTCAGAAACCTCGCCGTCCTCGCCGTGTTGGGTCTTGTCAACGCACAAGAAACCATCGGGTTCGGCCCATACTTCGCCCTCGGCCCTACCTCGTCCTGGATCCGCGAAGCAACCACAACACTGGTTCTCCCCGAAGTCCCGAGCCCACAGAAAGACCGTCTTGCCCTTTGGCCTGGTATGGGGACAAGCGGCGGTGATTTGATTCAGGCTCTTGCTGTTTCGTTCGCTGACCCTGCAGCGTGAGTGGTAATGAGGAAACTTGTGCGAAGTGATTTCATGTCTGACTTGTGCAGCAACTGTGGAGCGAAAGCTGGTCAATGGTGCACATGGGCTAGTACACTTGAAGACACCCAGCTGGGTGGAAAGCAGGTGCCTGCTGATGCTGGTGATGAGATCAAAATGCATTGTGAGTAAGAGGTTAGTGGGAGGAAGTGATTTGAGTTAATGATTTCATAGACAAGTACAATGATGATACCAGCAAGTTCGACCAGACGGTCTCTATCAATGGAGAGGTTGTGTCAACTCTGTCAACGAGTAAGTTTTCAATTAGTTTCAACTGCCTGTACTCAACTTACAATCTTTTCTAGGTTCTGGCCAAGCCCAGGGCTGGGGTACCGCTGTCGAATGCCAGGATGATGCCTGCAAGGGTACCGCTGCAGCACACGGTGAGTTGGAGTCCATATTGAAGCAACAAATCGGACACTAATCTGTTATAGAATATCTCGATACTACTATCATCCTGAACGCGGCTGACTCCTCTTTCGGCAATACCCTGGCCATCAACGAAGCCACTTCTTCTGGTCTGAAGACAACTGATAACGGAAAGACGTGGACTGTGTCTAGCATCAAGATCCAGTCTCACACTTATAACCTGTAACCAATAGTCGCCTGACTACTCATGTATTTCACAAAGCAACTCTGTGAAAATCACCCATGTCTTTTGAAACACTTCTGCACAATCTCGTGCCCAGTTCTCTATGTACCAATATAGCCCAGGCAAATTCAAAGCTTAGACTTTACAGCATCCATCGGGTTCTTTTTTCTAACAATCAAAGGGTCCTTGATAGTAAAAGGAAATAGCGGAAGATCCTTCTCCAAAATATTCAAAGTAGACGCTAACGTCTGACGAGACATAGCCGTAGCCGAAGTCCGATATCCAACATCCTTAGGATTCGCCTGATCAAAGAAGATCAAGAAATGGAACCCTCCCTCCCCAATACACTCAATTTGGCGAGGATACGAAATCGGGACATACTACATATCTCCCTTCTTCAAAACATAAGCATCGGTAGACCCATCCGGATCCATGATGGTCATACGGCCCTCTCCCTCGGCAACATACCCCAGCTCCGCCGCCTCGGGGTGCCAATGTGCCTCGCGCATGCCAGTGTCTTCAACGCGTAAGGAGTACATAGATATATTGTGCAGAGCCGGCCAGAATTGGTTCCGTGCCGTGCGATTCGAGCCGACGTCCGAGGCAACGGGTGGCTTCATGTTCTCGATGTCGTACTTGTGCGAGTCGGAAAAGTAGGCTGTGGAAAGGACATGGGGCTTTTCCTTGCGCTGGACAATGTACTTAGGCTGGGTGTTTCGGGTGATATTCGACCAGTCGTCAGAGTGGTGGTCGTAGGTGTTGCCGAGGACGGCGTCTTTCATGGCACCCATCGAGGCGGACAGAGCGAAATCTTGTGGGTTTTCATGGCGGAAACAGATGATTGTCTCCGCTTCTTCATTGCTGATGTTTTCGATATGGTGTAAGGAACCAGATTCGACATGGAACATTTGACCGGATCCAATGACGAATGTAGAGAATACATTGCCTGTGTCGGGGATACTGACGAGCACGGTTTCGCATAGACAGTAGGCAAGCTCGTTGGCATTTGCAAGCCAGTGCGGCTCGCGGACTGATGAAGGGGAGAGGTTGAGTCGTTCGATAGAGAGGTTCTTTAAGAAGACCGGTTCATACTTGGAGTAAACTGCCAGAATAACGCATTGCGAAAGCTTCTTGTAATTAATCCACGAGCAGGACTATTCCGTACCAAACTAGCCGACAAGCTATATACACCCTGTCTAGAAAGTTGATATCGTTACATTAGCAGAAGCTTAATATAACATCTTTCCAGACCTTCTAAACACCATAGATGGTCAGCCTGATATGTATCCTTCACCCTACACTTCACTGAGCCTTTGAAGCAAGGCTACAATTTCAAGCCCGATTCTGACAAATGCGGAGAAATCAAATACTGGGGTATGTCTTATCCGCTATAGACTAATAAGGCTAGCGTTTCGTGTCCGGTGTCTAATTATATAGGTCGGTAATGGAGCTCCTACAACCGGTGCTTTGAAAAAGGGACCGGCGGATGTGCAATACACCTAGCACATCAGTCACTTTATCATATCTTGCTTGCTTATAGGATTCCGCATTTGCACATTGGAAAGCCTTAATACGAGGAAATCCATTCCATGCGCTTAAGCCCTTATCCGGTACTACCTATCCCACGCCCTGGGGAGAGATATTGCGGGGAATAAAACCACATTCACAGATTCCAACGCCGACTCGCCGACAGTGGGTCCCTTGAGAATCAAGGTCAGTTGGAGCAGCATCTAGAATGTCAGACTCAAGCCTCAAAATGCAGTAGTCAGCTTCCGCCGGCAAATACATTTTGCGGTCGAGTAGCTGGACGTTGTATAAAGGGTGGTCTTGAGCTCGTTCTTTCTCCAAACGACTCCCGTTTACCTACCTACTCCAACGACTCAGCTATGACATCCAAGATCTTCAACGTCGGCATTATTGGCTACGGCCTTAGCGCTAAGATTTACCAAATCCCCTTCATAAGGGCAGCGAAAAATCTCAATCTATATGCCGTTGTCCAGAGGACGCCGAAGCCCAATGATGACGCAGAGAAGGATTGGCCGGGGATTAAAAGTTTCCGCAGTACAGAGTTATTGATCAAGGATCCCGCCGTCGACGTTGTGGTTGTGACCACTGCCCCGGATTCTCATCTTGAGTTGGCGAAGCTAGCTTTGAATGCAGGAAAGCATGGTATGCTGAGAGTTCCCTCCACGCAGCCATACATGAACACCAAACTAAGATCTGGATCCCACCAGTCGTTGTTGAAAAGCCGTTCACCCCCACATATGAAGAGGCCCAGGAACTCGTGGAGCTTGCAAAGAAGCAGAACCGCCTGCTTACGGTATATCAAAGTATGTCTTCTTCCAGTTGTATTCAATCCAGCACTCGAGCCATGAGAGGATTGGGCAAACTGACACACGACATACACAACAGGCCGACGCTGGGACGCCGATTTTCTCACCCTATCGAAGATAGTCCGAGACGGCTCCTTGGGAAGAATAGTAGAGTTCGAAACCCGATTCGAGCGCCACGTCCCCGGCATCCCGGGATCGGCATGGCGGACCAAGGCCATGCCCGGCGGCGGCGCGATATACGACCTGGGTGCCCATCTTATCGACCAAACTGTGCTGCTCTTCGGTTTGCCGAAGCGAATCACTGCGTTCCTTGGTAACCAGCGCGAGGGCGTTAGCGGTAGCGATGATTCGTTTACTGTGTTGATGCACTACGATGGATTCTTGGCTACGGCTAAGGCGGCTGTTGTTAGTCCGCAGGAAAAGCAGTTGCGCTTTTGGGTTAAGGGTACCGAGGGGACTTTCAAGAAGGTATGTGGTTGTCTGATGGTAGGAAAGGCATTAATGTTCGAGTGCTGATTTTGTTTCTTTTAGTATCACTTCGATGTGCAAGAAGAGCAGCTGAAATCAGGAATGCGGCCTGGGGATGAGGGCTACGGGAAGGAGCCTAGTGAGCGTTATGGTAAGAGACTCATGATTGACATTGCTCAATATACCGTACAAGATGCTGTGAATTTTTGATTGCTGATGGTGCTTAGGTACATTGACTTCCGTTCAGAGCGATGGTACGTTCAAGAGTGAAGTCGTTCCCACTGTCGACGCACCTCTATATACCGATTTCTATAGCAAACTCGCAAAGGCTTTGGCTGGCGAGGGTGATGTGCCAGTGAATCCTGTTGAATCTGCGAGTGTTATTCGGCTTGTAGAGCTTGCTGTTCAAAGCTCTGAGACTGGACGTACATTGGACGTCAATGTTTGATCTCAATGATAGATAGTAATTTCGATACTCAAAATATACTGGGAGCATATGAAATTGATCTTTTGAACACCCGCAGCATACACTAATTCACACATTCAAAGTTTTAATGGGAATATGGGCAAGGGTTTTTGGAATGGTGGTACTTCATTAACATTGTTATTGAGGTTCCCTTGCTAGAATCTTTGAACTCGAACAATGGTGCATGCAACGTTAGCATAATTTATGGGGTTCAATCGAAACAGCGTCATCTCAGCCAAACAAGTCGACAGCGCTGTTCTGGACAACCTTCGGGCCCAGGACTGCAGCTAGTTCAGCAACAATGCCCTTGATGGACTGTGGCTCGGTCATAGACATAGTTTCCCATTTCACCAAATCCTAGTCATAGTTGGTAAACGCGGATCATCTCCGGAATTGACACTTGAAACAAAGACTTACCTCCATGTGAACAAAGTTGTTCCTGAAAAAGAGCAACCAGTGATCGAGATCCAGTGCCTGCACTTGATCAACAGTAAGAACGCCTGGCATACCTATGTCAAAGAGCGACACCTCATCTTCAGATTTGGAATCAGCTGGAATGGCGGGTGCAGTACCCGCTCTATCTCGCGACAGTGAAACATAAGAACGGGTATTAAGCTTCTCCGTCAACTCTCCATTAAGAGGGTCCCATTCACCGGACTCAGGGTCTGCGTAACAAGAAAAAGGGGTCAGATGTCGTGCAAATTTCTCACGGTACACAAATCATGTACCTGGAATAGGGGCCATACCAAGGATGTACTGTGGACGGAAGTTGGCCTTGTAGCGCATCTTCTGACAGGAGTGAATGTAATACCCTAGATTATGACATCAGATGCAGCCTATAGCATGTTTCATAGTTGCAACTTACCCATGTAGTAGTACTTGTACTGGTTCTCAATTGAGAATGCAATTTCGCGCATGGCGCTCAGCTTGCCGAATTCCCATTGCTCGTAGGCTGGATCGTGACTGTGGGGCCGTACGTCAGATTTGCGATGCACTGAAACGTATCTGACTTGGCTTACAAGACATAAACAGAGCTGACGCCGGTCGGTAGCAAGTCTAGGACTGCGACAGCAACGAGCTCGCCATCAAGGCGGTAACACTGATGCCATGAGCCGAGCTTCTTCTCTGTGGCGTTCGAGTTCGTTAACGGATTTGGAGACCGCTTGATACCAGTGCACAGGAAGCGCTGGAAGTCTTTGGGTTTCGTGCTGGAGACATCCTCTTTATGGACGGCTGTCTGATACTTGAGAAACAAGGCAAACTTTGCCTGAGACACAGAGTCGCTTTCGATGGTAACCTCGAAACGATGCGCTGGCTCTATCGGCAGTTTGGTGGCCGGATCAATAGGCCGCTTGACATTGTCGTACTCGCTCTCGTGCACAGCTGACAGAACGTCAAAGTTGCACTTGCGGTGCTTTTTCTCTCTTTGGAGGCCGTCAGCGAGTCCGACAGTAATCAAAAACTAGAAGAAATGCTTACTCGCGAGTGCGCGGACAGAGCCGGGCTGCCTTGCGCATATACTCCGGGCCCAGGATGAATTTGTTCCATTTGTTAATCGCTTTGCGTTGATCACGGCGGGGCCGATAGTCGGCAGCCTCCAACCTCAGTGTATAATGAGGACAACAAGACTGGAGTAAGTTTTGCTTATAGTAGAGGGACCCCGATCTTATGTTAACGTCATTAGTATATAGGGTAAGGGAAATGAACCAAAACACCTACCGTCGCCAACCGCCATTGATTAAGTCTTCATAATGTTCCGGGTGTACAGACGTGGAACTGGTGTAGTACGATGCGCCTGCTACGTGTCAACACTATGAGGACGCAATTAAGAGGGGTCCACGCACTTCCATCTTTGGACTTGCAGTAACCACACGAATTTCTTTGGTAACCTGTCAGGATCACATCAAATTAGTTTTGAGGGGTAGGGCGATCGAATCGCAGTTGATGGTCCCGCCAAGTCATCTCAATCGGCAAGGCCCTGGACCAGTGGAAGCGCCACGGGGTAACAGAGGTTTATCTCAGTGGTGCCCTGCATGAGAGTGGGACATACCTAGTGGGCGGAATAGTGAAAGCTTTCGCGCGCGTTCGGCGTCAACCACTTGCATTTTCCGATGTGGCGAGACGTAAATACGAGATGGGATGGTGTTGCGTGGTTATGGTGCAGTAATTGTGTAGTTGTGTAGTTGCGTGGTTGCGTAGTTGTTGAAGTTGGGGAAATTCTTTTAGTGGCGTGTATGTAAATAGAGTGTAAATACGGTCTTTTTCTTATACAGCAAGGGGAGCCAAATAATAGAATCTTTGAAACTATTGCATTGTCTCATCTCTACTACATATATGTACTCAGTCAGACTTATTGCCGCTTCTACCTAGGTAGATCTATAACATGATCAATTATATGAAGCCACATCGATCGGCCACGAATCGCTCCGACTTTCCCACTCGGTACCAAAACCCGGTAGGGGGTTTAGGGTCAAGCCCGATCCCGACGACTTCTGCACTATACGGAGTACTGTTTAAGTAGGGTAGTTAGAACATACATATGTACCAAAATACTAATTGACCTATGGAAGACATAAAGACCCCAAATGATTCAATTCGAACGCAAAGAAAAAAAGAAAAACTGAATCTTATCTCATCTCACTTTCGGTTCTTTTGACGCATCTGGAGAATGGTCACATGATCATATATAGATTGAAAGGAGACAATAAAAGAACCCCTAACACCACACAGAAGAAACAATAGTTATATGTCTTATAAATATGCATCTCGGAGATCTTCTAGCCACAAGTGTAACAATCGTAACAGAAAAAAAAAGAAAAGATAAAAAACAAATGTCTAAAAAACATCGTACATTCGTCCCGGACAGCGCCGCCGGTTTCTGCCCCTCCATTCCCACTTCTGTTCCCTTTTTCCCATTCTTCGATACACTCCCTACTACAGATATTACTTGAAACCATGCCTATTTGTACTTCTTTTCATTCCAATCCCCCGGGAATGAGGAATACCTGATCTCCTTTTCTCTCCGCGATTATCCAAAACGGAAAAAAAATTTCCATCCCCGACCGCCCTCGCAGTACATCTCCGTTACTGCACTTGGAAAAGCTTCCTCTCTCACCAGAGACCTTACAGGCTCCGAGGGAGCTCGCGAGAGTACTATTTTTTTTCTTGATCTATCTACCTCCTCTTTTTGACTTGGCCTTTTCCGCTCTTTCTCGAATCACCCACCTTTCTACCTGGTACCTCTTCGTGAACAAAAAAGAACAAGAGCCTCAATCGAGTCATACTCGATTTGTCTATCACAATGGCTCAAATACGGACTATGGAAGCCCGCGTTGGGCGGAAAAACCAACGTATGTGTCCCTGATTCTCGCGGCACGTGGCGCGCCACCCCTTACATCTCTGACTCTAACGGCTGGTAGGCTACGGATCTAAAGGCGAGCGACTGGTAGCCGGCGTTGTCCCTATTTCCGCCGACAAAACCAAAGTGCTCATGATCCAATCTGCCGGACCTGGAGGTTGGGTTCTTCCCAAGGGAGGCTGGGAGCTCGATGAAAAAACCGCCGAGCAGGCTGCATGTCGCGAGGCTTGGGAAGAAGCCGGCGTGGTGTGTGCCGTGAGCAGAGATCTGGGACTCATCCCGGACATGAGACCAACCGGCCTGTTGACGGCGCAAGCCCCCAAGGCCTCATATCAATTCTTCGAGGTCACCGTCGAGCGGGAGGAAACCGAATGGCCTGAAATGCACAAACGGAAACGTCAATGGGTTTCCTATACACAGGCGGCTACTGCTCTCGCAAGTCGACCCGAGTTGTTGGAAGCGCTGAATCGCAGCTCGTTGAAGCGGTAGTCTATATCGCATCGCACATCTCTCTTGCACATCTCTTCGCCTCCTTGATCTCCACCTCACACTTCCACATCTTCTTTTATCTTGTCTCCGACACTCGACCCCACCATGTGCATGAATATCTTGAGAGAGATGTTTCTTGATTATGACTCGACATGACCGATTCCAAAAAAGGGTGGCTTCGTCGCTTCTATTATTGGCTTTGTCTACCTTTTACTCTGTTTTGCATCTTTCTGACAGTCGGGCTGCTGCTACCCGTCCCTTGTTCAATTTGCGAGTGAACACTTGAATCTGTACTTCTTTGCTTCGTCGATAGACGCCTTTTTTTGCAAACAGGAAGGCTTTGGAACATTTGATCTACTTTTGTAGTGAAGGACTTCTGGCTTTTTCACCGTGGTATCGGACTATTCTATCTGAATCCCATTGCTTGCCCTATCCCTCATGTCAGGCTTTAGCCGAGAGCAAGTTTCATCTAGCTATTTAGCTCTAGATACCTTTCTATTTGGGCTCTTTAGATGCTAGAGTGCCTACAACCCTTGCCCCTCCACTCAATCTGAACTATTTTCTTCTACTCTCCAAGCCAGGAAGGATGAAGAGAAGAAGAGCAAAAAGGGAAAACGTTATTTGATTAGAATTCCAGTGTAAAAGTAAATAAAATGGCCTTGAATGGCCTTGAAAATGTGGACATTCATAGTGACTTGTCCCGATTAGGCAAAGCGCAAAAAGCTGTCTCCGAGGGAGCAAATCCGCGATGTCGTCCACCCTCAGGCGTTCGACCTCACGCCCGTCATCCACAACACTCACAGCATCCTTCTCAATTGCACTCCGCGCAATAGACACTCTTTTGCACAACCCTCGCGGATAAACAACCAAGCTCCAGATAAGGGTGGCGGCGACCAGCGCTGCCGCATACAACACAGCATGGAGTACGAGATGGACCTCGAGCCCACCGGGCCCCAAGTGACCGTCCGCGAAGTAAGCAAAAAACCCAGCAAACCTGAAGAACACCATCTAACAAAGAAACAGGCGGAACCCTACCGCGTCGACTTCAGACTATCAGCAGTAGACCTCGCATTCGCCAACTCCCTCCGCCGCACGATGCTCGCCGAAGTGCCGACCGTTGCCCTCGACCTGATCGAAATCGAGAGCAACACCTCCGTCCTCCCAGACGAGTTCCTCGCCCATCGCCTAGGCATGGTCCCGCTGAACTCGCTGAACTGCGATCAGGACCTCGACTACACGCGAGACTGCGACTGCGAGGACCACTGCGTGCGCTGCAGCGTGACGCTGTCCCTGCACGCGCGCTGCGGAAACGGCATCATGTCTGTCTACGCGCGGGATCTGATTGTCGTCGGCGAGCGCATCAACGAGACCATCGGTGATCCCGTGACTACCGATCCTGAGGGCAAGGGACCTTTGATTTGCAAGCTGCGCAAGGGACAGGAAATTAAGATGACTTGTCTGGCGAAGAAGGGCACAGCCAAGGAACATGCGAAGTGGGCGCCTACTGCTGCCGTGGGCTTCGAATATGACCCCAACAACAACCTGCGCCATGTGGATTACTGGTACGAGCAGGACGCAGCGAAGGAATGGTATGTAAAATAGAAGCATTTATCTCGATCCGCGAATCCACAACTGACGATTTCCTCCAGGCCTATCTCTGAAAATGCCGCGTGGGAGCCCGTCGCCAATCCAGACCAGCCCTTCGACTACGATGCTGAGCCTAACATCTTCTACTTCGACGTCGAGAGCATCGGCAACCTGGACCCGGACATGATTTTGCAGCAATCCATCATCTCCCTGCAGCGCAAGCTGGCAACCACCGTCTCCGAGCTGTCGGGCGAGGGCGAGAACCCCATGGGTGCCGAGGATGCCGAGATGATGGGCGCCAATGACCCCGATGCATACGAGCCTCCAGAGGGCATCGATGGCAACATGACTTCATACGGCAATGCCGCTGCTGGTGCCTGGCAGAGTGCGCAGACGCCGTACGGCGCCACGCCTTACGGCCAGACTAGCTATGGGTTCTGAGGGCTTGCGGAAAAAAGTTGAACTCGAGCATGTGTGGCGTTTTCATTTGGTGATTTGGGGCGCTTGGAGTTTTTAGTTTCGCTGTCATCTTATGCTATTGAACGGGAATCTTTGTCCTTTGTTCATACTACAATACTTTTTCTTACTTGCTTTAGTAAGTGGAGATTGTCAATAACATTAAATACTATTAAAAGTGTCAAGAGTCTGGGACGTGGACAGCAAAGTGTGTCAGTCAGAAGTTAGATATCGGTAGGTTATCAGATACATCGAGAGCGAATGATCTCTTGGATCCAAAGTTGCTATATATGTCGCATGTAGTCAGATATACCCAAAGAACAGCTTGCATAGTAATCAGACAGGTTTATTTTGACGTCCTATTAGCTATATGGCTTCTGAGGTAGCAAAAATGCCCTCAATCCCAAAAAGACAATATGCCTATTCCAACGCCCAGCAAAGTAAAGATGCAATGACCGAAACCCATCGCTAAAATCCCAAATGCAAGTACAGTGCCAGATAAAGCAAGACAAAAAGAAAAAGCAATCACTCCATCAACTCAACCGGCGGCCTCGAAGTCTTAGGCGGCATCTGCTTGACCGACATCTCAATCGGACTCAAATCGTCCATATCGACATCCTCCACATCAAGCGTCATATCCTCAACCATTACAGCCGGTAGATTCGGACTATCGCCATGCGCATCAGGATGGAAGATGATCGTGCTGCTCCTGCTGCGCTGCTGGGAGCCGCCAGCAAGCGGCCAGCTGGGCGTGCGCTTCTCGGAAGAAATCGAGACTGGCGTAGCGGGGTCGGTCTCCGGGGGTGGCGCCTCGGTCTTCAGCATGGATAGAGCAAGCGCGAGGTCCGAGGCGTGAACTTCTTTGTTTGGGGGGTCTTCGTTGCGCAGGACCCAGCCGTGCGGAGGGGAGGGAGGCGGCGAGATGAAGAATAGCTTTGAGACCTGGGGTGCTTCGAGGAGTTTGGGGCGGCCGCCGTCTAGGAGGGGCGTTGGCTCGCCGAAGTAGATGCGTGGGCGGACGCGGTTCAGGAGGCTTTGGTTTTCCAGGTGCTGGCGGATTTTAGTGGCGTCTGTTGTATTGTTGAAGGAGCAGACGATGCGGCGCATGGAGGGGAGAGGGGAGAAGGAGTTCAAAGGGGCGATGGAGGTGATTTGGGCGCGGATTTCGTCCAAGGCGGGGGGTTGGAAGACATGGAGATCATTGAGGTCTGTTATGAGGAGAGTGTTTGATGGTGGTGTTGGTTGGGATAGTGAGGGGATGTTGGCGATGTCGATTGATAGGGAGGGTCGTGTGGTTTCAGAGCTTGTGCTCAGTGCGGGTGAAAAGGCCATTGTGATAGTATGTGTGTAGATTATTGAACTTGTTTGGATTCGATGATTCAATGTTTGATGGAGGTTGGATAAGAAGAAGATAGAGGGGAGTTGTTGCCACCGGATAAGCGGTTCGGGTTCTAGAATTCGCGGCAAATTCTAGATTTCTAATCTTGTTGGTTGAGATGGCGAAATGAAAATTAGTATCTGGACAAAGTCTCCATTTAATATAATTTTTGGTGCTCAGTAAAACAATAAAGAATTTGCCTTAGACGGGCAGTGCAGCCAGTATAGCCGGTGACACCGATTTGCACTGCCTTCAGATCCCCCTTTCATGATCCACTTCCGGCCCTAGACGCTGTTTTGGTCTTTTTGCCTACGTCTTCAGATCTACACTATGTTGGATCGGAATGTGAACCCCGTTCCCGTCTACAACGTATTCCTATACCCGCGCCACACACGCCACATATGTCTCCCAATTCTCAACAAATCATACTCCGCCCCTTGTCTTTCCTAACCGCCAAATGGCTACCTATTCCCGGAGCTAGTAGTGATTGATATGCAAGGTTGTTTATTCCTCCACGGAGCTTCTAAGCCCCATTGATTTATTATCATTATCATTCTGCCTACCCTAGTTCCTCCAAGGGCTCCACTATCAATACGCATTGTCTTCCCCAAGCCTTGCACAAGGTGAAAGATATTGACATGATATTGACAAGTCAGAATTTCCACCTGTGGCGAAGGCAGAAGGTCAAGGTACATACATTCCGTGTCCTGGCATTTGTTCAAATGTTCCTAATTAGGAAAATTCTTATCTTTACTGACTCAGGACTTTTGTTCTGAGGCTATAACCAACTGCAATGACAACACCAAGGTGTTGTTTGAGAACATGAGATAAGCGCTCGTAACTTAGCACACATAAGCACTACGCCCTACATCGTATCGCGTTATACGGCTTAGTGCTCTAAATACTTTTGATGAAAGGATACAAGATGTTGGATGTAGATCCATGGTATGAATTATTGGACTGTACAGCGAAACAGCGGGTAGTAGCACGGTTGCTGAAGCCAGGAAGCTAGTCGACGAACTGATGCAGATTGTTTATTTTTGAGGTATTATAGCTTCCAATACTAAATATCGATTTAAAGATAACTCTAAAATCTCTGTTTATAACTTATCTCTGTGTCAATTGAGTCATCTGATCTATTCTACAATTTACTTCCTTGAAACGGCGACGCTCCACCAACATCCATACCCACCCGCTGCGCCTCACCATAATCCAACTCTCCAACAGCGCCAACAGCGCCAACAAAAGCAGCTTCAACATCATGTTCCGACAACCACTCCGTACTAGGTCGATTCTTCAACCGGGCAACAAGGGCTTCATCCTCCGCCTCAGCGTTCTCAAAGAATGCCGTCTTTTTATCAATCTGGCCGTGCACAATGCGCAGCAACCGATCCGTGTGCGGCTGCCTAGTTTGACTGTACAGCCTCAAAGTCTTGTCAATATCCGCAGCCGAGAACGTGGTCTTCCCCGCCAAACCATGTTTGAAGGCAAGCCCAAGAGCGAGCGTGTCATCCAGTGCCAGCGAGCCGCCGGCCGCGAAGGATCCACCGTGCGCATGCGCTGCGTCGCCTATTAAAGTTGCGCGCGATCCAAAGACCCAGGTTGGTAGGGCGTCTCCGGCGAAATTGGGATAGAGATTTGTTGATGGTGTGAGTTCTGTTAGGGCTTTGACGGTGGGGTTCCAGTCCTGGGGTTTGGTAAGTGGGCCGTGTACAAGGCTGATCACTTGGAGTTTACCTTGTATCGTTCTCTGAGGAACGCCACGTTGCCGAGTTGATCCCATGCAACAGAATTTTCTACCTCTTCTGTTGAGCGGGGGTCATCGTATGCACCGACGGTGGTATATTGGTTCTTGCCTATATTCCGTTAGCCTCGTGCAGTCTGTCTGTTCGCTCACTGCTTACCAAGTCGGGATGCAAAGAAGTTGTCCTTAGGTCCCCACTGTTGATTTCATGAGCAAATGGCTCCATATACGGGGTACTGGGGAAGTGTTTACATACCCAGTGGATCGAATCGGCCGGCAAATTGGGGATTTTCCTCTCCACTAAAGAGGCATCAAAGGTTGCCCTCATAAACACCTTCCCGCTGAATCGGAGCTTATAGTCCGGGATGAAAGACTGTCTGACACTCTGAACTAACGTTAGTAATGCAAGCATCTACCAATAACCTTTTACAAACCGATCGAATGCCATCTGCTCCAATGAGGACATCCCCATGGGTACTGCTCCCATCTTCAAAGTACAGCGAGACACCGTCCTGGCGAGCTTCCGCGCGCGCAATCTTCCTGCCCAGGTGGATTGTTTCGCGAGGCACCTGCTCCAGTAGAGCAGAGTGTATATGGCCGCGGTGGAAGCGGGTAGTATGGTGCCGAGGGTTCGGAACGTCTTTGTAAGTGTCTATCGACACTACTTGATCTGTCTTCCAGTGGCTGTTGAGGATACGTGCTGGTTAGGACGTTCCGGTTACTTCTAAATGGCCCCAAAATTTTTTACCGGAAGATCTGCGGTATTCCACTTGGCCCTTTGAAGCCAACATCGTCAGTGAGGGCACTGTTCACGCCGAGTTTCTCTAGTGTGCGCATTCCCTGATATTGAGGGTGGATGTTAGATACCATTCATTGACTGTAGAGGCACACGCAAACCACTTACATTTGGACTAAGTGCGATACTAGCTCCGATCTCTAAGAGCTCCGGAGCCTGCTCATACAGCTGGATATCCAGGTTTGGAATAGTTGATATCCGCTTTAGTGATATGGCCGTCGCCAAACCTGCAATGCCCGCGCCAGCAATCAATACTCGTAGGGGCTCGCTTTTCTGTGTCATGTTGGTACAATTGAACCAATACCGAGCCTGCTGATATAGATAAAATGTTTTGAGGACGAAGTTCTAGATTGACGCATCGCCATGAGCTTTAAGCACGCCAACAATGCAGTTGTGACGCAACCCCGCAATGGCGACTTCCGACGTGCTTCTGCCGCTTTGTCGCGTTTTGGTAACAAATCTATATGGAAGTAAGCAAGTTATCTTCTGCCAAGGGGGATGCAGTTGTATGACCTTCCAGAACAGGAGAAAATCGAGCTTCGCCCCCACAACCTCCACCATCTATGTCGGCATCTCCCCGCGATGTGAAGACGACGAGGTGTCACGGCATTGCGCCATTGTATCTAACTCTCTTCGGGATAATCAGTACCGATTTCGTCATATAAAGCTGCTCCTATTGTTCTGAATCAAGCCTCTACGCGGCCTTATATTTCGTCGTGCATAGGCCTCAAACCATGGGGGAAAATCAGAAATTTGCCATTAAGGCAACAGCACAAGCCAGCGAAGATAGCGATAATAAGCGGCGCACTGCACCGAAGGTTCCTGATCAATTTGCTGATGAGAGTTTTAAATTGTTTTCCAAGATCCAGGTCACAGATCCTACTCCCGAGGAAGCAAGACGGATTCGAAATAAATGCTTATGGCGCATTCTGCCATTTCTGTGCATTGGATATCATCTGATGTATGTTGACAAGCAAACTGTACGTGTCATTAAATATACTATGTCCTATGTCAGAAAGGTTAGTTATAACATCTCAACAGCTTGGAAGTTCCGCCATTCTCGGAATTATGACAGACGCCCATCTCAACTCAAATCAATACAATTGGCTTTCGTCTATCTTTTACTTCGGTTATCTGCTAGCTGAGTGGCCCCAGAATTGGGCTTTGCAAAGGTTTCCTGTGGGAAAATGGCTCGCTGGAAATTTAATAGTGTGGTGCGTTCCTCACTTGCAATCCGCACAACAACCCGAACAACAATTGACTTGACAGGGGTGGGATCACTCTGCTGCATATCCCATGCAATAGTTTTGCCTCATTGTTCGTGGTTCGATTCTTCCTTGGGGTAGCAGAAGCATCTATCGTGCCGGCATTCCTCCTTTCCATGTCCATGTTTTTCACGTATGACGAACAGGCTGTGTTGATGCCGGTCATGTGGTCAATCGGCAATGCAAGCCCTATCACCTCAGGTTTGTTGTCTTATGGTGTTTTGTGGATTGATACAGGCAGCTTCTCTCCTTGGAAGTGGTTTATGGGTATGTTTCCCAAGTACGGTATTCGGTCAATTGCTAAGCTCTTCGTTAGTTATCACCGGTGTGCTCACAGTCATATTTGCTGGTTGTGTCTATTTTCTCTTCCCGGACAGTCCTCTCCATGCCAAATTCTTGACTTACGAGGAGCGGGGACTAGCAATCTTGCGGATCAAAAAGAATCATTCCGGGATAGAGCAGAAGCTGTTCAAGAGATATCAGTCAGAGGACCTCGTTCACAAAACTGATTTGATTTGACTGGCTGACATTTTTATTTCTAGGTTTATCGAAGCTATCCAAGATCCAAAGACATGGCTATTCTTTCTACATGCCTGGTCACAGGAAATGGCGAACGGAATAACAAATCAATACTCACTGATTATCAATTCGTTTGGCTTCACCGTTCTCCAAACAACACTATTGGGAACTGTGACCGGTATAGTATCATTCTTTTCCCTTGCATCGGCGGCCACAACATTATACCACACCAAGGTAGGCAAACTCGAACCGTTTGATCAGCTAACATAATACGCTAACACTGCCAGAATTTTCGAGCATGGATTTCACTTATCGCATATATCCCAGCAGGCCTGTCAAGTATTCTATTGTTAGGTAAGTATATTCAACAATCGGAGTATGTTCCAATACTGATTGTTTATCAGCCTTGCCCTGGACCAACCGATGGGGTCTCATTGCTGGAATCTGGATTCGATCCACAGCCGGCATCCCATATGCAGTTGTGATGATCTGGGCTGCAAATGCATCAGCGGGTCATACAAAGAAAACTACCGTCATTGCGCTGTATCATATTGGTTACGGACTAGGAAATATTATCTCTCCACAGCTGTTCCGACCAGAATGGAAGGTGAATCGATAGCTCATTTTGAGCCCCTGAGATCAATGCTGACATGTCTTCAAGCCTCGATACAGACCAACATGGGTAATCTTGCTTGTGGTAAGTTTGACTGGAATTGCGTGTGAAGTGGTTTACTTATTGTTCCTAGGTCGCTGCAATTCTTCCATCGCTTGTTATCATCTCTCTCAGGGTATATCTGAGCCGGGAGAATACACGTCGTGACAAGCTTGAGGAAGTCAACCAGGTTACTAGCAATGGTATCATTGAGACGGTCGATTCGGAGGGTGGTACTGTGACTCGTGTTGTGGATAATACTCAGTTGGATCTCACTGATAGGGAGAACTTGAAGTTGTAGGTTCTATTAGCAGGTCTTTGCTCTGTGAGGCATGATACTAACGCGCCAACAGTCGATATGTACTTTGATAATTATTCCTTATCTCGGAAGTTGAGGTTGTGAATTGAGAAGCGTGTTCGCCATCAACTACGTTTGGCTTTGGGAAAATCATATAGATCATTTAATCTTCATCTTAACTTTGTTCTAAAGTTTGTCTACGAACGTGTTACCCCATAAATTGCAATCTTGGAGTTACAGCTGATCTTTGAGATTGTCTGCCTCGACACTATATCCCATCTAGAAAGTCTGGCTACACTCCAGATCTATGATAGCTGTGATTCATGCCAACAATGTCAGATACATGTTGGATATAAGGTGTCAAAAACTTTTAATTTTTAGCATCTCCCGCCATAATATATAGGTAAAAAAGGGTTACAACTGGCCACCTGCAGTTATACGTAGTTTACCGAAGTACACCGGCACATCCGCCTAATCGATTAATGCCAAATGAGCCACCACCCCTTCATTTCTCGGGGCCCAAGCGTTGAACAACTCACCGGTTTTGTGTCATTTTGTTGCCTCCAGCTTCAGTGATTGGCAATCTATATACGTTATCAAAGAAGAGAAAAATCACAATAAGATAACAAAATGCATAGGGGGCTAATTTAGACCATTTGTTGTGTTGGTAAAAAGAATTGTCTATAACGAGACTCTAAAGGGGCTTCCGGGAATCAGCCGCCACAAGCGTCTCTAAGCCCTAAACAAAGTACCAACTTTATACAAGCGAAATAAACTGTGGGGGGGGCCGGGGCCTCGAAAATGATGCATATTCCATATTCAGACAGACTAGTCCTCCATTTTGCATCGGTAATGTCGATATCCGATATTTTGCATGATTCGTAGAGTTGGGGTGACTCACTTGAGCCATTAGAGCCTGAGTTTGGGGTAGTACGATAACAGTAATTTCCCCGTACATAGGTACCTAAGCAGTAAGTACTGATTACTTATATTTATCAATGTATTATGTTGCATATAATCAATTGGCACATCAATACAACTCAACGTAAATTTGGCTGCCATCCATATGGTCCAAGACCTGCAAAAACAACCCGTGGATGACTGGCCTAGTCCTGGTGCATCACGATAAATTACTCCCATGTTGCACAGTGCTTTGTTTTTCGCGGTTCCTAACTTTATACTACAGTTTTGATCCCCGGACACAAAGTCATTTTGTTGTTCCTTAGTAAAGGGGCTAGTTTTGAAGGCACAGAACGAGGTTTCATTCCTGTGTCGTATTGACAGGGATAGCGAATGGGGGCGCAATCATTTGGAATAATATCTCAGCCGCTTTTCATGGGCGGAAGTATAAATCCACCGTCAGCCCAATGGTACAAAATGCTACACACAACAAACACACACACCTTTAAAACATAGCCCCCTATCGACCGAAATAGAGACAAGTGACCAGAAAAGAAGATCAAACGAGAATCTCAAATTTTCGGAAGCTGCTCAATATGAATGAGGTCAAACAGGCAGAATGCACTGCCCCTCAGGCATGTATGACATGTAGGTGGAAGAAGAGAAATTGCGACAGGATGACCCCAACTTGCTCTAGGTGCAAACGGTACGGCTTGTGCTATCTCTATCCCTTTTTTGAAGCAGAAACTGACTCTAGTCGAAGGATCTCTCGCCCCTGTCATTATCTCGACGATTTGACGTATGCGCAAATGAGGCAGAGGTAAATAATATCAATTTTGTGCATATTTCGGTACAGGAATCTCTGATGCGGTCTGTTTCAGTTTTCTCGACTCGTCAATGCCAATTCCTCAAATTCAAAAGTCTGACGGGGCTTGCAAACGATGCAGGGAAAGCAAAAGGTACTGCAGTAGGGTCATACCCCACTGCTCTCGTTGTTTACAGTGAGTTGTGTATGACCCTGTTGGCATCACTTTATGGCTCCAATTTGACACAGCATGACAAGATTGAAGTTCCAATGTGTATACGATCGATCGTTGCCGACTCGACCGCAAAAAGCGCAGCAAGGCGTGCCGATAGAAAATTCTGGCAACAAAGATCCATATCCTCGATCTCATTCTCTGCTACCAGGACAAAATCAAGTTGCACTGAGATGTAAGGAACAGAATCAACCTCATTCTACCATTGACGTCTTTGAAAACGCTCACCTTGACCCCTTCCAAACCTATCCCTCTGAACTCAGTCCGGAGTGTATAAGCAGGGTTCTCAACTATTGTATGTTCAATTTTCTTCGGTTACATGATATGCTTTACTCACAGTCAGTTGTAGCAATCAAGGAAATGTGGCCGAAGCTACTTCCTGGCGTTACTCACAAAGGCAAGTCATTCATACACCACGGGATGATTTCCGCTATGAGTTGTCCAACATTGTTCAATGCGTGGCTTCATTCGGCGGCGGAGCATATGCAACTCCGCGAACAATCAAGCAATCCATTCATGCCAATATCAGCCCAGGCCACCTATGAAAAGCTCCTCATGCAGCGCCAGGCCATCCTCGGCTTGAAAAAGGTCGTTGAGTCTGGATGTCATGAAAGAATCACGGATGAAATTGTGATGAGCGCTTTGTCGATAGCTTTGCATCCCTCTGAACGCCGTAGGAGTGCGGCAATCCGAATGAGGTCGGCTCCTTTGTCAAACTTGCAGTTACTTACAACGTTCACGGATATGGGTATATCGGATCAACAGGTGCGTGGCTTACAGTACCTCGTCAAGGCTAGGGGCGGATTCGACGAGCTCAAGATGCCTGGATTAAGAGAGGGACTATCAAGGTGAGTGCATCCCTTGGTCCGAAAAATCAGTAAATCATAATATAAAATTGACCATAACACCAAGCTTCAATCTTTTTGTTGCGAGCAAGAGACTGACAAGGCCATTTTGGCCCCTTCGCTCAAGGGTTAAAGCCGAAGAGGTACCGAGATTCTTATCCTCATTTCAAGCCACTTCGTCCATAATCGATGAATCTTCATCACCTTGGCTCAGTTTAATATTTCCACAGAATATGACATGGGAGGTCAATTCTGTCTTCCAATACAGCACTCTGCTACACGTCTATTCACAGGGTCTTGTACCTGACTTGAACGCTGGCTATGTGCTTGAAATTCGAAACGCCATCCACTATCACATCATGAGTCTTCCTCCTGCTTCCGAGATCTCACAAGATTTACCGCATAAGTATGAAGCATGCCGATTGGGTCTCATTACCTACAGTTTGTTAATTTTATTTCCTGTTCCGTTGATGGTTGACCCCTATCCGAATATTGCGCGACTTTTGCGACGAGAGCTGGACTCAACCACGCTGGACTCAAGTCCCTGGATGAAAGATCTAGAACTGTTACTTTGGGTGTTGATAATGGGTGGAATAGCTGCTCTAGGAACAACGGACCGATGGTGGTATGTTCAACAGTTGCATTGGTTAGCTGCAATGTTAGAGATTCGTACCTGGGAACATTTAAAACCTACCTTGGTTTCCATATTATGGTTGGAAGCCCCCTGTGACTTTGAAGGACTTATTCTGTGGGAAGAAGTCTGCATGCTTGATTGAAATTGTCTTGTGGTGATTCACTGTTGATACCTTAGTGCCTAATTTATCAGGTCTCCCACTCTTGTTTCATGCATTAGTTACATGTAGTCTATAAAAAGCTTGGTTGGGCCTTGACGTCAATTTGCTTTACTTAATTATTTTACATCTCCTTTTGGTTTCTTCAATACATCGAGATCCATGGATATAACCATGATGACTCCAAATGTTCGTGGAAACGTGGGCATAATATCGTGGAGGCTGCAGGGCCGAAGATATCAACAACACGGTGTATTTATTTTTATATCAATTCCCACTGAAACAAACCGAATTTGAACTTATCTTTATATTGATTTCAAATCAACTGATAGCTCAGTACTCATGACCTGTCCAGTCACATTCCAATGCCGAAAATCAGGTGAATGTGCAAGGATTGGATACACAACATTCGGCTTGAATGACGTGCCAGCCAATCTGATGATTTCCAATCTCCAAAACAAAACATCATTCAGTTGACGACATTGGATGCATCGATTTGTCTGCACCCACTTGACACTTAAATCCGATGATTGCCATCAAACCCACATCCTGTTGTTCACTTTCCATCATACATCACGATGGGCACCCAAGAACAACAACCTCTTTTAGAGCCATCAACCCAATACAGTACCGTCCCGCAAAGTCGTTTCCAAGAGCCTGTCAGGATCTCATCCGATGAACTACTCACGCCATTCCCCGATACATTACCAGGCGCGACATATAGAAAGAATCTCAACTGGTCAAGTGCATATATTTTGGTCGTGTCACGCGTGATCGGAAGCGGAATCTTTGCTACGCCAGGCTCAATCGTCAAATCCGCCGGAAGCATCGGATTAACCCTGCTAGTATGGTTGGCTGGAACAATCCTGTCAGGCTGCGGCCTAGCCGTCTCGATGGAATATGGCTGCATGCTGCCTCGCTCTGGGGGAGAAAAGGTAAAGGCCGTCGCTGCAGGAGCGCAGAAGCACGTTGGCTAAACTAGTCTATAATCTGCTAGGTGTACCTCGAGTATACCTACCCGCGCCCGCGGTTCCTCGCTTCTAGCCTGGTCGCTGTTCAGGCCGTGCTATTGGGGTTCACTGCAAGCAACTGCATTATATTTTCGAAGTATACGCTGTTTGCGCTCAGTTCTGAGCCTACTGAGCTTCAGCACAAGGTTCTTGCAGTCGGACTTTTGACAGTTATCACTATCATTCATGGCTGTTTTTTGAAAACGGGCATCTTTGTCCAAAATGTGCTTGGATGGGTTAAGATCTTCCTCATAGGCGCAATGTCCCTAACTGGTATATGGGTTGTATTTCTCCGTTTGAATGGAGATACTGGTAATATATCTCCAGGTTCAAGTGTCGGACCCCTTTCTTGGGACTCGATCTGGGAAGGGTCTAACTGGAGCTGGAGTTTGCTTTCGACGGCATTGTTCAAAGTTTATTATTCCTACGCCGGGTTGAGCAACATTAACAATGTTCTGAACGAGGTGCATGACCCGGTGGGGATAGTGAAGACCGTGTGTCCTACTGCCCTACTCACGGCTGGCAGTCTGTATTTTCTTGCAAACCTATCATACTTCCTCGTCATTCCTCTGGAAGAAATCAAAAACAGCGGGGAGCTAGTCGGTGCATTGCTTTTTGAAAGACTCTTTGGTGATCAGATTGGCAGGATATTCTTCCCCTTGGCCATTGCAATTTCTGCGGCTGGAAATGTGATGGTGGTGACCTTCGCCTTGGTATGTCTTGACCCTAAGAATCAAGTTTCCGTATACTAACCTTCATAGGCGCGAGTCAATCAAGAGATAGCCCGACAAGGGTTCCTCCCATGGCAGAGCGCCCTGTCTTCTACCAAGCCTTTCGGAACTCCTCTTGGTGGGCTCATCGTGCACTATATACCTTCTGTTCTAGTCATTGGTCTTCCACCCCAAGGGGATGTCTACAACTTCATTCTAGATCTAGAAGGATACCCAGGTCAGGTAGCTGCTTTGGCAGTTACTGTCGGCTTGCTGGTCGTTCGTTACCGTGAGCCCCATCTCCCGCGACCCTTCAAGGCATGGTTGCCTGCTGTCTGGTTACGTGTTGTGGTATGTCTCACTTTGCTGGTAACACCATTTATCCCGCCGCCCAATTGGCAAGGGGACGTTGATTTCTTCTATGCTACCTATGCCCTTGTTGGCATTGGAATGTGAGTATCTAGTTTTCTCTGTGGAGAGGAGTTCAAGTGACTGACAATCGCAGAATACTTTTTGCTGTTCTCTATTGGTATATCTGGACCGTGGCACTTCCACGCAAGGGAGGCTATCGGCTCGAAGAGGAGAAGGAGATATTGGCTGATGGAACCAGCATCATCAAGCTTGTTCGTGCTTATGATATCTAGATAGTTCAAAGTGCTTTGATAATAAACAAACCACATGGTAACCTTGTTTGATGGTCCTCGTATCAAATTACCACACGATGCTCATTAGATGCCTGATGCCACGCCGTCCATCAATCACGTAACATAGAGCTGACGCAGTATTTTGTCGAACCCCCGGAGCCATGTACTAGCGTAATGTAAGACTGTGAGTCGTCAAGCAGAGCGCCGGAAATGTTGATTGCCCATATTTACAACACTGTATGTTGGCTCAAAATTAAGGAATATTTTCCTGAGACTGACCACGGTTCAGAAAATTGTAGATGCGTGATATAATCGATTGAAGGTTGAGATAGGTCCTAGCAACAGGACTTAATCCAGCATTAATGACAATAATTCAATCATTCCGGTCGTAGGAAGGTATATTTTAACAGTTGTCTCATGGTTTGTATCCAGCTTATAGGATAAGCTAGATCAGTTTTACGAAGATTATCCATGAAATGTGTTCAGCGTCTTCAGCATGATCGCCGATCTGATAGAAAGTGGAAGAAAGTCATCTCGGCCCAACATTGTTCCATATAAGGCGGTGTGCTAGGATATACCCGAGGAATTTTGTCCGAGCAAGAAGACGCTTCCGCTACTTGCTTGAATCTCATCCTCAATTGCAAATCATACCATTCATAATGTTCCAACGAACCATCCTCAGACAGGCTCAGGCCGCCCGCTCAATCCTCTCCACTTCCTCTCCCTCTATCGCATCGCTGGCGCTGCGACGGACAACACAACAACGTCTGCCGGCCCTCCGGGCATTCGCGCCCCAGACTACTCGCTTCTACTCCACGGAGAAGGAGGCTGAGACTGCCGAGGCTGAATCCGAGGACTCCGATGCTAAGAAGCTCGAAGCAAAGGACCGCGAAATCATTGAGCTGAAGGTACAAACATTCCCCGTGTCCTCAAAGCTACTTGCTTCACACCTTCCCTATAACATTAGCTAAACTCAAATGTCCATTTAGGACAAGTACCTTCGCGCAGTCGCGGAATCCCGCAACCAGATTGAACGCAACAAGCGTGACATGGATGGCGCCCGCAAATTCGCCATCCAGGGCTTCGCCAAGGATCTCCTTGACAGCATTGACAACTTTGACCGCGCTCTGCTGGCCGTGCCCAAGGAACAGCTCTCCGCTCCCAAGACTGAAGACAACAAGGCTCTCCACGAGCTCGTCGAAGGTCTTAACATGACCCAGAGCATTCTCCTCAACACCCTCCAGAAGCACGGCCTTGAGCGCTTCGATCCCGCCGAGCTGGTCGAAGGCAAGCCCCAGAAGTTCGATGCCAACCTGCACGAGGCCACGTTCATGGCCCCCTCCCCCAATCACGAGGACGGTGATGTTATGCATGTTCAGAGCAAGGGCTTCCGTCTTAACGGCCGCGTTCTGCGGGTAAGTGCTTTTCCCAATTTCGATGTTCTAGCAAATAACAATGACTAACTTTTTCCCCTCTCTCACAGGCTGCCAAGGTTGGTGTTGTCAAGAACGCCTAATTTGTCCCGGACTATTTTTCAATTTTTTATGATCCTCTGATCTTCTCTCATATTCTTCGCCTTTTAACTCATCCTTCTCTTCTCTGTACCATATCTCATACATCACGATCACGATAGGGTTTTGTGCTCGGACGTGGCTGGCTTCTGGACCCGGGAAAATCTCTCTTCCTTGTTATGTTTTTGCTTGTCTGTTGGATTCGGCTGTATGATACGATACACCATTGTTGCATGTGTATGGAGGCGTACGGATTGTCTCGTCTTGTTGATGTACTTGCACTGTTCGTGACGTCTGTGTTCATACACCCAGATAACTCTCACCTCTCCATCTGTATAATACACTCTACTTTAGGGGCATTGTCATAGCCTCTGAAGATCTGACGTTTTTTCGCATTCTTCTCTTTGGGGTAATACTACAAAATAATAAGCTTCTGGCTATAAAGTGCGTGGCATGCTATCCATACATCAAGTTGAGAGGACCTTTTCGGGAATGCTCTATCTTACATATCCTTCCCTATAGAAACAGTATAATACAAAATATATCCAACCTCATCTCAACTCCACCCCAAGCTCTCTGACCAACTTCTCCCGAACCTTGAGATTCATCTCATTAGACTCCTCATTAGTCAAAGTCCGCTCCAAGCTCCGATAATTAATACGGTAGCACATGCTCTTGCGCCCAGTCTTAGGATGCGTAAACTCATCAATGAGAGTAACATCCTCGACAAGATCTCCACCAACCCCGCGAACAATCTCCATAACATCATTCTCATGGAACGGCATCGCTCCCCCAGCAGCACTACTCCCACCCGTCACAGCAGCAGGCGGCAACCAGAAAGCAACATCTTTATAACAAGCCGGATGCTTAGAGAAAGGCTCAAAGCGGGCAATGTGGCCCGCCCGGAATTGCGACAAAAACCGCTCATCCCGTGACCAGAACAAGCGGATGTCAGGGATGTTAAATAGGAGCATGGCGATGCGCTCAAGACCAAGTCCAAACGCCCATCCAATCCGGTCTGGCACGTCCGAGTTGATCAGTAAATCCTGCTTGATCACACCGCAGCCCAGAATCTCAAGCCAGTCGCCCTGCCAGAAAACTTCCAGTTCCCATGACGGGCTGGTGAACGGGAAGTAAGCCTCGACCCAGCGGACCTTTAACGGCTCGGCCTCGGCGCCGCCACTGCTGGCGGCTTTGCTCGCTTCCGTGAAGATCTTGATCACCATGCGCTCTAGAGAACGCTTCAAGTGCGCAGCTACGGCTTCGACTTCCTCGGCGCTGTGGTGCTCGTCTTGCAGGGGATTGCGTTGGGCATGGATAGTCGGGTTGGGGTCCTCGACGACAACATCATGAGACGGGATTTTCTGGACGTCCTCCATGATCTTAGCGGCTGTTTCTTTCGATGCGGCGAGAGGGTTCGTAGTCGGCCGCTTCCACAGCATAGCGCCCTCCATCTGGTGGAAGACTGGGTAGTGGCTGCGGTCGATGGCGTCGCGGCGGTAGACATCCGCGATGACGGTGTAACCAACCTCTTCGGGGCGCGTATTTTCATTCCGGGCGATTTGCTGGAAATAGGCCTGTTGGTGTGCGCTGGTGTGGGTGCGCAGTACCGTCTTATCGTTCACATAGTATGTATCCGTGCGACTGCGGCCAGGGTGATCTGGCGGGAAGCCCAGAACGTCGAAGTTGTGTTTGGTTGAGACGACTGGGTTCTTCTCTGAGTAATTGCCGTAGCTTGGGGCTGGGAATTGGCTTTCAATGAGCTTCCGGGTAATAGCGAGAGGGTGGTTGTCGTCGAGGTAGAGTCGGCGTCCAACGTGGGATAGAATTGTGTCGGGGGTATTGGTCCATTTATCAGTTTGATAGGTGTTGTCTTCTATCTTGAGCGTGGGCTTTTGCTTTGGTGATTGGCTAGCTGGAGCGGACAGGGTTGTCCAGCGATCTGGAGTTGAGCTCCATTCGCGATTGAGGGAGAGGGTCGGCCGAGATGCGATGGAGCGGGGAGTGGTTGGCCTAAAAATAATTGACCATGGGCCACTGCTGGACCACAGGGCTCGACTGGTAGCTAATAACCGCATTGTCGATGTGAGTTTGACGGTGTAATTGTCTGCAATCAACGCTATCAACATGTGTTCGGGCCGGCGAAATTAGTCCCCGAACTACATCATGCTTTCACGTTTACCTTTCACCTACTTGCCTTTGGGTGCCCGTCGACTTTCATTCTACGCTTTTCGGAACGTTTGCTCTCTGTTCGTTTTCTATATTTTTTTCTTTGTGTCTTTCCCCCGCTTCCTAACTAATACTTATATCTTATAGATCTCATTGTAGGGTTCTGGGTGTTGTCTGTCCTGAATTCGGCCTAGCTTGACTTTACGGCTTTACGGCCCCTATATCCGCCTCATTCCACCAATCATATCACCGACTCTTCTCCAAAAATCCTCCACCTTGCCCTACAAAATGGGTCCCAAGCGCAAACAACCCTTGCAGAAGCCCTCGTCGTCTAAGTCTCGAAAAGGGCGCTCTCCCACAGATTTGAGTGTACCAACCCCCCCCTCTGATTTGTCTGCTATTAGTACCAATGCTGAGGATGATCTCTCATGGGCGATAACCAAAAGAAACGCCGGAGCAAGGATTGATCAATATGAACTCGTCGGCGAACATAACCGACGAAGGGAAACAATCCTTAAGCAATCCTTACATGCATTGCTGGAGTGGCTTCCGCCAGGAGGCCGTGATTACCACGCCAAAATTATTCGCGATGCGAAGACCGATTACGAGATCTGGAAACATTTCGAGTCAGTATGCTGTCATTTAGCTGCTCCCAGTAGGTCTACCATGAAGTTCTTTGAGCAGCCGATGAACTTTGATGAACCGGTATACTAATCAATCTCTCCGGGAAGTGAAAGCTGTGACGAGTTCTATTTCCAAGTCCAGTGGTCCCCAAGATAACATGACAGATCATGCGCGTGTTGTGGCAGATACTATAACCGATCCCCAAGCACGTGTGCCAGAATTCCCACAAACTCTTGCAAGGCGCGACGACCATCGCTGTGTTATCACAGGCCATATGAGTTTCGATCGCTGGCGTGAGATAGGAGGTCCTGATGATTCTGCTGCGAATCTTGTGGGGGCACATATTATTTCATTTGCTTATGCTAGCTGGAAAACTCCAGTAAGTTCGCCCTTTCAATACCGACTCAGGAGAAACATACATACTAATGTGTACAAGGTGGTGAAGACGAGGCGTTCGAATGCATGGGTTATGCTATATGAAAGTTTCCCTACGCTAGAACGGGTGATACATTCTACATCAATCAATCATCCGTCAAACGGAATCACCTTGCGACACGATCTCCATACCTTTTTCGGGGGATTCAAGCTTGCATTCCAAGCTACAGTGAGTGCTAATTTGATGTCCGTTATTCCACTCCACTAACAAATATTCGCTATTAGGGGCAGCCACATGAGTATCATGTTCGTGTGTTCGGCGATGTCTCACATTACGCTCTAAAGGATTTTCTGGATCCAATTACTCTCGGAAATGCTGCATCAGATGAGGAGGGTATTGCGCTGCCAGACCCTGCCCTTCTAGACTGTCATTACCGGATAGCCAATATTCTTCATGCGTCCGGAATGGGAGAGACAGTCGAGAAACTCATGCGAGAATGGGATGATCTTAAGCAGGGCCCAGGATGTCATGGACTGAGGGAAGATGGTAAAACTGACGTGGAGACGTTTCTGTCCGCCGGGCTATGGGATTGTGTCAATGGATAATATAGGCTGATTGCGTATCCTATTGAGAGTGACAAAATGAATTAATTACCCTTCTGCTCCCTGAATTTTCTTCAATTGGAATTTTGGACTATTTCCAGTTCTCTGGTTAGAGCAAAGTGCTTGGCTCAGGGACGTCAAACGTTGGCCTCGAAATATTTACATATACTCGACTGTTGTTATAAATGACCTTATAAGCCCTTGTAAATAAAATTGTCCAGCACGTTGCACAGAGTGTCCCTCTTGGGACTTTGGGTGGTACTACTTCCGAGTGTGCAACAGCCATTACTTAGTCGAGGCTATATATGTCGCCAACACTTTTGCCTGTGAACAAGATTTTGCGAAGTAATCTTTCCACTGAAAGAATAAACACTTTTCTCACTGAAATGCCATTTCATCAAATTACATCACCGATAACCAGAATAGCCTTTATGCATATTTGATCACCCTGGACCCCTCGTATCTCAGTGATCGCCGCAAACCACCCAACGCCCGCAAAAACCCCGAAGAACCCCGCGCATGATAGCCGAATCCTGCCGGGGTGTTTAGGGGTGCTTATTTGAAGCTATGATCAATGCTATACAGGCGATTATAGTGTCGGGATCTATTTCAACGACCGAGAAACGACGATTGACTAGAAGGTCCCTTACAGACTATACAAGGTATGGTGTCCACCGGGAGATAAAAGACCGCAAAACCGAGAATGTGATTGGTGTAACTGAGCCACTCCTCGAAAATCCAACGATATGGTTGGTTGGACCCTCGCTTTCGGCTGGGGCTGGGCCGAGAGGCTTCGGGGGTTTGATTTGTCTCCGTCGGTATTTGGAGGCCAAAATTACGTCAAAAGTCACATTCAAAAATTCCTCTCGACGCACTCTCCCCTCTTTCTTTCTTTTGTTTATATAAAGGGTTCTTGTTTCTCGTAAACAAGATGGCAGACAGCGGCAAGATGTTGGCTCAACAGGTCGCGCCTGTTCGCACGCCTGTTCACACGCCCGCGCAGTCAAAACCCAAGCAGGTGCATTACCCGTTTTGGTTTGGAGGGTCGGCGTCATGCTTTGCTGCGGGCGTGACGCATCCGTTGGATTTGGGTATGTTGTGGTCCTTGATTGGAAATTTTGTGTTCTGGATGCTGACATTGCGCTTATAGTCAAGGTAATTGCGAGATCCCCTAGCCGTTCGCCCGAGATGTTGGAATCTGTGGCCAGGATTTGGAGACTGGACGCTGACGTTCGCTGTTTGTCGCATAACAGGTCCGATTACAGACACGTGCGCCTGATGGGCCGAGGACCATGATCGCCACTTTTGGACATATCGTGAAGAACACTGGCTTCACAGGATTATACAGCGGTGTATGTGTGATATCCCGGACAGCATATTGATCACAGTTGTCAGCAAGGGCACAGTCGACTAACGAATGACCGATTGGATATGGGAATATAGTTGTCAGCCGCCATGCTACGTCAAATAACATACTCTACCACACGATTCGGCATCTACGAAGAATTGAAAACACATTTTGCGAAACCCTCCGCAGACTCGCCTACCGGCTCACCAGGCATGCTTACTTTGATCGGTATCTCCTCCGCCTCCGGCTTCATCGGCGGTATCGTGGGTAACCCAGCCGACGTGATGAACGTGCGCATGCAGTCCGATGCTGCCCTCCCCCCAGCGCAACGCCGTAACTACCGCCACGCTTTCCACGGACTGGTGCAAATGACCAAGACAGAGGGAGTCGGTTCTCTTTTCCGCGGCGTGTGGCCCAACTCCACCCGCGCCATTCTCATGACCGCCTCGCAGCTTGCCTCGTACGACACCTTCAAGCGCATGTGCATTGAGCAGGCTGGCATGGCTGACAACCTGGGCACGCACTTCACGGCCTCATTCATGGCTGGTTTCGTTGCTACCACTGTCTGCAGTCCCGTCGATGTGATCAAGACTCGCATTATGAGCGCTTCTCCTGCCGAGAGCCGTGGCCACACTATTGTTGGTCTCCTGCGTGACATTTGCCGCAAGGAGGGCCTTGGCTGGACTTTCCGCGGTTGGGTGCCTAGCTTCATCCGCTTGGGTCCTCACACTATTGCTACCTTCTTGTTCCTCGAGGAACATAAGAAGCTCTACCGTAAATTGAAGGGTATCTGAACGGACGAAAGGGACAAAACATGATCATCCATCTTTTGATTCCTGTCTCACATACCTCCTCATCTCAAAACACCATTTACGCCTTCTTCCCGACACAGCTTCGGTACATACCACTTATTTGCCATTTTGCCAGATTTTCTGCTTGGGTGGTGCGCTTTTGATACTACGAGCAACAATTCCGCTTGTATATAGCTTGCATTCTTTGGGATATTTCTTACATTAGAGATTTGAGTGGTGGTCTTAGGGGGGGCCATGGAGCGTATCTTGACATGGTCTCGTCCTTGTATAGTGTGCTGCGTGGTACATTTTTCTCGTTGGAGGTGGGATCAATATAGAATTAGATACCCTGAGTTGCATTCAGGGCATTCCGCAAGGATACTCATCTCATTCCTTCTGTTTGGTCTTTGGTCTTAAGAGGATGGCTCTGCGAGCCGTATCATATATTTACTGAGCAAACATTAGGGACTCATGATTAGAAAAAGTCAGAAAGTACAAGTTGATGACGCATTGGACCTCGCAACACGGCGAGTCTATAGACATCCTGTTCTGCCTTAGATGGATGGAACGCCCTTGGAAGGGGGCTTGTATCCTCGCGTGACCCAGTAGAGTACATTGGAACTGTCGATACATAAAAAAATTGACACGGTTCAACTAACCAACCCAAACCGACTCATTGATCATCTACTTATCAAGGTGAACGGGGAAGTTGCCAGCCTCTGCAAATGTGGGTTAGTATTTATGGATCCAAAACTCAGGGGAGGGAGATGTGTACCGCGCTGACCGTCCCAACGGTCGGTCCAGGCCTTGGGGCAAAGGGAGCGGAAAGAGTGGTAAAACTGCGAGTGAAGTGTTAGGCGATTGTGTGGCATGATTCAATGGGCCGATATTACCTGCTTGCAGGGGCGGAAATCATCGCCCTTGGCAGTGGTGCACTTGTAGTAGTCGACATAGTTTTGCCAGCAATGCTTGGTTCTACCGATCATATCAGTATTGAATGGCAATATACAGGATCGCGATTTGTCACGCACTGGTTCATCTGGGGGAAACGAGCATCGTAACCTGCGATTCAATCGAAAATTGTCAATTTCACCATTGTTCCAGCCGATCGGGAAATATGGGTGTGCACGCATGCGGCGAGCACAACAGTCGAATAAAGAGAAGAAGGATACGCACCAGCTGCGATTGAATTAGCCATTGACTCGTACTGCTGGCTCCAGGCCCCGGTTTTTGCGGGAGAGGGGAGTGGACTTACCAGTGACGAACTTGAAGGGCTTGGTCTCGAGGACCTCATCGGGATCGGCTTCCGGAATGGCACCCATATTTGCGATGTGTAGCTTCTAGAGAAACAACACAGAGGAATAATTGAAGTGGAGTGGAAACAGAGGAGGGGGGAAAGTGAGTCGGGAAGAGAGCGACGTTGGGTGATTGAAGCTGCGAAGTGCCGGGTATGACCGCGGGCGGTCAAGCGAGAGCCACTCACAGCCTCGCTTTTACACCCGAGCCAGTCACGTTCTTGGAAAGCTGGTGTCCAACCTCGTCTTCTATCCCACTCTGCCTTCTTGAACTTCAAGGTTGAACTACGCGATCTCACCATGTATCCCACTCGCATGCTGCGTATGCAGCCCACACGGGCTTTTGCTTACTCTGTTCCCGTATGTTGATTCCCTTGGGCTATCCTGTGATCATACGATCCCGATCGGTTACTAACTCCTGTCTACAGAAGGAGCCCCATAGCGGTATGGATTCCCACCATTGCTAGATTTGGTGATCCATGGAGTCATGTGGATTGCTTGTATTTTTACTGGGACTGCCATTGAACTGACCTTCCGACTACAGCCCACACTATCTCCCAGCGTCTGCGCCAGCTCAAGCGTGTTCCCCCGGAGTTGCTCCCCATCGGTATGTGCTTCAACTACGCTTACTTTCTTGCGATTTTCGGACCGAACTAACTGTCTGTCTGATATGTAGGCTTCGTTCTCGCGTATGTTTCTACCTGTTGATACTATTTGCCGCTTGATCCCGAAGCACATGCCCGATTTTTCTTCCCCTATGCTCCAGTGGCAAACAAGCTTCTGTCATCGATGCTAACCTTGACGATTTCAGTGTTGCCATCGGCGCTGCTGTCTACTCCTGCAGCAAGAAGCTGATGACTGACAAGACCCTGCGCCTCTACCGCAACAGCCCCGAGAGCCGTGAGCACTAAATGTACCACCATGATTCTTTGAGCTCTCGGAATGCGATCCCGCATTTTTGGATTCCTTCCGCTTGTATTGTTGATTAGGAGAATTTGAAGTCGTTGAACATGCTTTGTAACAAGCCAGTGGAGAAGAAAAAAACGGGACGAGCTCCAAGAGCGGAGCCCGTGTACATACTCCGGCTTCCCGAGCCTGAATTTTTTGGTAATGGGTAAATTGTACTGTCGGATTGGACTTGTGCTTTTGTTTGTCATCTTCGTCGTAGCTATCGTAAGTTGTAGCTGTAGTGTTCTTCACTCAGGTTTGGGTCCAGCAACATCTAGTTGTTTCAAACCCTGCATCGGGTCTCGGGGACGACTGCTAGCAGCTTGGGCCTCCTCCGCCGCTTCCCGATCCTCCTCACTGACAGCATGCTTGGCAAGATAGTCCTCCTGAAAGAGAATTCGTTAGTGGGAAATGGGACCATATATAAAGTAGAACCCGGCGCACCTGTTCCCAGATCGCTGTCTTGCTGCCTAGTCCCTCATTGGCATCCTTCTGTGGCTTGGCAGCGGCGACCTTGATTGTACGTCCGTAAATTTCGCTGCCATCCATGTTGTCGATTGCCTCTTTGGCGTCTTGGGGTAGATCGAATTCCACATATCCGAATCCGCGGTGAACTTCGTTGGAGTTGGGCTTCTCCGGCTTGGGCATGGAGATATCGACAACCTCTCCGAATGGAACAAAAGCTTCAGCAAGGGTGTGCGAAGTCACTCCCTGGTCGAGACCTCCCACGTAGACGGTGCTCTTCAGCCGTGCTGTTTCGCTCATGATGTGCAGTTGCTCTGGAAACCAATGGAAGTGTTGGGTCTGGGGAGTACTGCGTCAATACAGTACACAATAGTCGGAAAGCCGAAGAAAAGGGATGCGCGGCGACGAAAAAGGCTCTTTATTCCAAGACTTTCAATCCGAGCTGTAGATTGCTATCAAGAGCCCAGAACGGAAGGATGGATCACGTGCCTCGGCCTCGACGTTGTTTTGGCGAGTCTCAAAGTGGTCTAGCGCGAGTTCCCCGGTCCCTCCAAGTCCAGGAGGCCACTTGGTTTACTGCTATACTTGGAACATCTAGAGCATCACCCTACTGTCAATTATTCATAGGGGGTGGTTCTTGATTCCTCTCCTTTCTCCTTCATTTAGTTATTTTATTTCTTGGATGATTTCTTTCCTCTAAAATCATTGGTCTCGATCTTCACCGAAACATACCTACCCTACCATCATCATGGTGCGTCTGAGGGAAATCCCAAGGACGGCCACCTTCGCCTGGTCCCCTGGCGCCGCATCACCATTGATCGCAACCGGAACCCGCGCTGGAGCTGTCGATGCCGACTTCTCCAACAAGACATGCCTCGAGCTTTGGGATCTAGGGCTCGACCGCGAAGATGCGAGCGAAGAGCTGCAGCCTCTAGCTAAGATCGATACGGACTCTGGGTGAGTTGGAAATATGGAACTTGATTCTATGTCTAAATGCTGACCGGACGATGCTATTAGCTTCAACGACCTGGCCTGGACTACATCCGAAGATAGCAAACGGGGTGTGGTTGCGGGTGGTTTAGAGAACGGCTCATTAGACTTGTGGGACGCTGATAAGCTCCTTGCTGGATCTAGGTATTTTCAGCTCTGACATATGAAAAATACTTTCGGGAGCTTTGCTAATGGATATTGTTAGTGATGCTCTGATCTCAAGGACCACTAAGCACAGCGGCGCAATTAAAGCACTCCAGTTCAACCCCAAACACCCGAACCTTCTCGCAACCAGTGGCGCAAAGGGAGAGGTAAGCTACTGTTGGAAAACAACTGTTTGAATATCTGGCTAATAGATGCTACTAGCTTTTTATTTGGGACCTGAACGATATCGAAAACCCCTACCGATTGGGCAACAATGCGGCCCGCACAGACGATATCGATTGTTTGGCATGGAACAAGAAGGTTCCTCACATCCTGGTTACCGGTAGCAGTGCCGGGTTTGTCACGGTTTGGGATGTCAAGACGAAAAAGGAGAGCCTGACATTGAACAACAAGGGCCGGAAACCTGTCAGCGCAGTCGCATGGGACCCCGCCCGGCCCACCAAGCTCATCACATCCACACCTCACGAATCAGACCCTGTGCTCTATGTTTGGGACCTCCGCAACTCCCACGAGCCGGAGCGGATATTGTCAGGCCATGAGTCAGGCGTGCTTTCGCTTTCTTGGTGTGACCATGACCCGGATCTCCTTCTGTCATCCGGTAAAGATAACCGCAACATTTGCTGGAACCCACAAACCGGTCAAGCGTATGGAGAGTTCCCAGTTGTCACCAACTGGACTTTCCAGACCCGCTGGAACCCCCACAACCCCAATTTCTTTGCCACAGCGTCCTTCGACGGGAAGATCTGTATCCAGACTCTGCAGAACACCAAAACCGACAATGCTCAGGCTATTGCGGATCACAACCAGGCCTTAGATGGCGAAGACTTCTTTGCCAAGGCACAGACGCAGCCCCAGGTCTCCAAATTTTCCCTTCCTAAAGCCCCTCGCTGGCTTGAACGGCCTTGTGGTGTCACGTTTGGCTTCGGAGGCCGGGTCGTCTCTTTCAGCACTGGAAAGGACTCTCGTGTGTCCAAGATCAAGATCACACCCTTCGAGGTCGATGAGAGTGTTGGCAATGCCACTGAGAGCTTCGAGACCGCCCTGAAAGAGGGTGATATCCGCTCTCTGTGTGAGGCTAGAGCCTCGAATGCTTCCACCGAGGCCGAAAAGGCCGACTGGAAGGTTATGCAAGCTTTGATCTCCCAAAGCCCGCGCAAGGACTTGGTAGAATACCTCGGGTTCAATGATCAGGCCGATGAGGCCGCCGACAGCTTGTCTAAGCTCGGCTTGGACAAGAAGGAAGGAGATGAGTCTAGTGTTGCGGCTTCCAAACCGGCCGGTGCTAAGAAGCACAAGCGTCTGCAATCCATGTTCGATCCTAACCCTGAGGGTGATAGCTTCCTTTCAGAACTCGCTGCCTCCAAGGGTGCTCAAAACAACAACCCATTCCAGATTTTCAATGGCTCCGAGAGCGAAGCAGAGAAACAAATCACTCGCTCCTTGCTCCTTGGCGAATTTGAAAAGGCTCTGGATGTCGCCATTCGCGAGGATAAGATGGCGGATGCTTTCATGATTGCCATCTGCGGTGGCCCGAAGTGCGTGGAGAAGGCACAGGAATACTACTTCTCTAAGCAAACGGGTGGACCGAACTACATGCGCTTGCTTGCGTCAATTGTGGGCAAGAACCTCTGGGATGTGGTCCACAACGCCGACCTGTCCAACTGGAAGGAGGTCATGGCTGCCTTGTGTACTTTTGCCGACGAGAAAGAATTCCCCGACCTCTGCGATGCCCTTGGCGACCGCCTGCAAGAGCAAATCCAGATCAGTGGCGATAAGAGCGCCCGAAAGGATGCCTCTTTCTGCTTCCTGGCAGGCTCCAAGCTCGAGAAGGTTGTCGCCATCTGGGTTGAGGAGCTCCGCGAGAACGAGCAAAAAGTTATTGAAAGCAATGCGGACAACTCTTCTTTCTCTGTCCACGTTCGTGCTTTGCAAGGCTTGATTGAGAAGGTTACCATCTTCCGCCAAGTTACGAAGTTCCAAGATACTGAGCGCACCAAGGACTCGGAATGGACCTTGAGTGTTCTGTACGACAAGTACGTCGAGTATGCCGATGTTGTCGCCGGCCATGGACGTCTGCAAATTGCTCAGAAGTATCTCGACCTTGTTCCCGAGAAGTACCCGGAAGCCGAGTTGGCTCGCAACCGCATCAAGTTTGCCACTCGTCAAGCACCTCAAAAGCCGCTGGGCGGTACTGCAAGCAAGGCTGCTTTCAAGGCACTTCCGCAACAGCCGAATACCTATCAACCGGCATCAACATTTACTCCTGCGGCTGCTACACCCCCTGTTGCTCCTCTCAACGCTTACGGGTCGCCTGCTCACCAGCAGGCTAATCCCTATGGCCCTCCTCCAACCGCAAATTCGCTAGCCCAACCCCCCAACCCCTACGCTTCCATCCCCAGTGGCGGGGCCTACAATCCGGGGTCTGGATACCAGCCAACGCAGGGTATGAGAGCTCCCGGCTACGCCCAACCTTCTGCATTTGGCGCACAGCCCGCTGGTGCAGGCGTACCTCCCCCTCCTCGTGCTTCTGCCAATCAATCGCCGGCTAAAAACATCACTACCTACACCACGGCCACTGGTCTTCCTGCCTGGAACGATTTGCCAGAAGGGTTCGCCAAGGCCCCCACCCCTCGCCGTTCTACTCCAGCTGCCGCGACAGGGACTATCGCTTCCCCGTTCCCTAGTCAGTCCCCGACCCTACCACAAGCACCTCCCCAGGCCAGCGGTCCCCGAGCACCATCCGTACCTCCCCCGCCAAAGGCGGGCAGTGTGCCTCCACCGCGCATGATGTCGCCAGCATCTGGTAGCCCGGGTATTTCTAGCATCCCTGGACCTTCCCCACCGCCGCCGGCCAACCCATACGCATCTCTTCCCCAGTCACCACCGTTGGTTTCGGGATCAACCATGGCCCCTCCGGCGTCGATCCCCCGCGGAGCATCGCCCTACAACGCCCCTCCCAATATGCCGCCTCCAACCAACCGGTATACGCCGAGCCCGGCTCCCCAGTCCGCTGCCAACCCGCCAGTCCAGGCCCGTGGACCGGTGCCTCCCCCTCCCCAGGCCTCTGCCTCGCCATATGCCCCGCAGGCGGTATCACAGCCCCCAGCGAACCCTTATGCACCCACCACCCCTATCGCCACGCAGCCCCCGCCTATGGCCCAAGCTGTTGCCCCTCCACCTCAAGGACCTCGGCCTGGCTCAGCCCAGTTGCATAGGCCGACTCCCCCTGCTCCTAAATACCGTGAGTTCATGTTCTATATGACTGTTGATCAACATAGCGAACTAACATCTATTCCAGCCCCCGGTGACCGTTCCCACATCCCGGCAAACGCACAGCCTATCTTCGAGATTCTCTCTGCAGACATGGAGCGTGTCAAGCTCCGAGCCCCCGCAGCCTTCAAGCAGCAAGTTGATGACGCCGAGCGTCGCCTGAGCATTCTCTTTGACCACCTCAACAATGAGGATCTGCTCAAACCCAACACCGTCGAGGACATGGCGAACCTAGCCCGCGCAATCCAAAACCGTGATTATGCTACCGCTACCTCCATTCATCTCGAGGTCATGACCAACAGGACTGACGAATGTGGCAACTGGATGGTAAGTCAATCCCATTTTTTAGTTGAGTGTGTACTAGAATACTAATAACAATAAACACAGGTTGGTGTGAAGCGTCTCATTAGCATGAGCCGTGCTACCCCATAAATGACTGCCATGTTACCTAGGTTGAGGGATGAAGGCTTTTTATAACTTGTGTGGTTTGTAGCCTTGTCCTCTATACTTCAGCGTTCTTCAATTTTTTTCTTGTCCATTTATAATTAATGTCTTGCGTATTTTCTTTTGTTCTGTTCTACTCGAAGGATGTAAGTCTGTGATGAGCAAGCAAACATCTCCAACATTTCCTATTTGTGGTGTGCACTACACGAGGCTGTGCAAAAATAAACTGCCGATAGATATGAATCATGAAGAGAGTATGTGTGACTTCCAATTTTACCTAGGTCTACAGGTATCCATGAATGTGCCTTGGGATAAATACAAGCTTAGAAATGGAATATTTTTAGCGACCAAAACAAGCTGGACACCCGATACATCTAGTTCTAAGATATATCAGTAATATATTGTTTCTATCCATGCATATACATAATTCAATCAATCACATCGAAACAAACAATTATCGTCTCCCAACCGGCAGTCCACTCCCAAGTCTCCCACCTCGACTAGCAGGGAAGTTGCGCGCACTCAACAACGCACCCTTCACTCCTCGAATATCCGCTCTAAATCCAGCAATCGCTTCATCCTCCGCCTTGCGTAAACCAGAGTTATCATTGGAGCCGTTGTTGGAATTCCACACCCCATACGTCGACCCAGCAGAGTAAGCAGGCGCACTATAGATCAACGTATCACAATAATGATGCAATTCCGTAAGACCAGTACGCATGGAATCATCCAAAGTACTAGCATCTTTCTCGGAATCGATAATCCCGCGCAATTGCGAGGTGATCGACTCAACACGGCTAACGTGATCGTTGACCTTCGTAGTCAGTGTGATGCCGACATCAGCTGAGTTGACAGCATCAGTAGTCGACGGCGCTGGAGTAGGCTCGGGACTTGTCTGCGTCGCCATGTCCCTATGGAAGAGCTCCGTCGGGTCCGAGGTAATGGAGTCATCGTCTTCTTCGTCGTCGTTGGACGTTGCTTTGCGCGCTGTCAGCTGCGGCGGAACGACGGAAACCGTCTGCTCTAGCTTTGCGTTGAGCTTTTGGAGGTTTTCTTCGGCTGTGTTGGCTAGCTCGTGGCGCGCGCTGGTTAGGCTTGCGAGCATTGGTTTCACGATGTATTCGCTTGCGCCGTAGATGGCTGCCCCTAGGCCTGCTGCGCCGTAGAGGGTGTACATGAGGTTTTGCATTGTCACTAGGGGCGGTGGCTTGTTTTGCTCGAAGAGGAACTCTGGGTAGGTGATTATTGGAGGGACATCGCGGGAGGCGGGCGGGGGGCGCTGTTGCGGCATTGTGGTTGTTGGTGGTGATGCAGTGACAGGTGATGAAGGGGTCACTTCGGTTTGGGTTGATGGGTTGGATTGGGTCTCTTCTTGAGGTTTCTCGGTTGGGGTTGAGCTCGCCTCTGCATTTCGGGAGACGCCGAGGACTTGCTGGATATCGTCTGAGCTTAGACCTTTGGACTCGAGGAATGAGACTTTGCGGTCTATGGAAGCATCACGGATGGACTCGTCTTCTAGAAATTTTGATGCTTGGTCTAGGAGGGTTTGTCGGGGGGTAGTTGTAGTTGCGGGCGCATTGTCGGAGCTCGGCGATGGCGACTCATTAGCTGTCTTATTTGGTCTCTGCCATTCGGGAATAGATGCTGGTTTGGAGTTGTCTTCTGGCATAATGAAGTTCTTAGTAGATTTCAGACCAAATAGTGAAAGCCTTGGAAAGAAGGTGTAGTTAAGGAGCAAGATAACCTTCCCCCGGACTTGGCTTGGGGCCATGTGAGCTCGACCTCGGCTGTTGCGGTGTTGAGGCCTTAGGCATAAATTTTCAGTCATCCAATCTGTAGTTATGTACTTTTACTACTAACCGTCTACAAATTAGTATTGTTTTTGTACACAAGTATAAGGTCATTCAAGTCAATTAGAGTATGGTTTTATGGGCTATCAATTATCTAGATTTAGGCATATATGAAAGAGAAAAACATAAACAATGTATGCTGCGTGACCTATGTTAAATTGGCCAGTAGGTGAGACGAATCAATTACCTGAACCCAGACTCTATTGAACTGCATACAGGCATAGACCTTGAATCCAAGAACTTTCAATCCCCATTTATCTCCACTATTAATGTGTATCAGAATCAATTGAACATAAAAACAAATATAGCAAATTGATATCCCTATATAAAGAGACCGCCCGGCAGAATTGGACGGCTGTTTAAGTACTTCATTCGTTCATCCAGCGTCAGCGACTAGGAGAATCCGAAACTTTAGAGAAAAGTACTTGTGAGTATGGTACCCCTGATGAGTTCTTAGTCTTTTTTGTGTTCCTGGTGAATATGTATCCCCTAAATATATGCCGGTTTGTCGGAAGTGAAGCCAGCAGAAGCAAAGCCCCTGTAACTCGCGCTTTGTTCGCATATGAAATCCCCCGTGGCGTCTCATACAAGAACCTGTGCCTTCCCGGTTTGCAACTCCGCCTGCAACTCCGTAGGTGAGGGTGATTGGGCCCGGGGTATCTTACCTTCTTTTCCCCTCCCCGACAGGTCTACTGCCACTCACTCGTCTTTTTCTTTTTGCAAATCCCACACAAGTGCCCTGTCACACTTTGAACTATGGCGCTCCGTCGATCTCATCGATCGCGAGGGATACAAGATGATCCGCCAGAATCAGAAGCTAATATGACGACCAGGTCCACAAGACAAACCCGTGCCGCTGCATCTGTATCTGCCGCTGCTTCGGTCTCAGTTTCTAGATCTCCATTGAACTCTGGGCAATCAAAAAGATCTCTCCGTCTGACTGTCAAAATGCCCTCCAACAAATTGCGAGAGGCTACAGGTAGTGGTCGCGCCGCTGGACGGCGGTCCGTCAATGTTTTCCGGGAAGATCCCATTGTGTCGGGACCCCGCTCCAGTCGGAACCGAAAGAAGATTGTAGAAGTTGCAACAAGCGACGAAGATGAAATCGATGACCAGGAGGAGGACGAAGTCGACGATGAAGATGCTCCTGTTGATGATGACGAAGATGCTGATGCTGATGCTGATGCCGACGCTGACGCTGACGCTGATGGCGACATCGATATGGATGACACCCCGCCACAACCGGCTATCAGACGTGGTAAGGCCGCGCCAGTTCGCGCAAAGCCACCTAAGAGCGTTGAGGCCAAGGAGATGGAGATGGATGAGGATGAAGACGAAGAAGAGGATGAGGAGGAAGAACCCATTTCCGACACAGATGAGGATGCCGAAGGTGAGATTGAGGACCAGGATGAAAGCGCAATCCCCGACGTCAATGTCGATGATCTCGACGATCTCGACGAGGAGGATGAATTAGACGACGATTTGGATAGCGATGCTCTTGCTATGCAAAGCGGGAAAACGACCAAGCGCCAAAGAGGAAATCTTGGAAACGATTTCCTGCAACTTCCTATGGGTGAGAAATTACCCACAGCCAGAAATTCTGGGAGATTGGAGTTAACAAACAAATAGAGCCTCAAGTTAAGAAGCATTTGACCGCCGAAGAGCGACAGATGCGTCGCGCGGAAATGGCCCGTAGAAGGAAGAACCTTAGCGAGAAGCGAAACGAAGAGGAGAAGGTACACACAACCAAAAGCTTCTAATTTGCGGACTGAAGAACCCCCGCTGACTTTTAACACCAGATGGACACAATCAACCGACTTCTCAAGAAGCAGGCCCCTAAGCGACGGGGCCGAGCTGCGGCGAATGAGGCTGGCGACGGCACTCCTGGCCAAGAAGGCGTTGAGACCGAAAAGGCCGATCCCACAATGGTTCGCTGGATCAGTGGCTCTAATGGCTGCAAAGTTAGCGTACCAGAAGAATGGCTGGGAACGCCAGCTGGCCGCATGTTTGGCGCACCTGTCCCTGCCACGGGAAAGATGGTCGAAGAACTCTGATTCTACATGCGAACGGTACACTGGAATGGCGCTTTTGGGGGGTATTTACTAAGGGATTGGGAATGGACTAGAAGATTTTCATTTCAGAGGGACTGGGTTTCCTGCTTGTGCTGTGAATGGCGTTCAAAGCATGTGTTTGTGTCTCCTTTTCGGGTTCAAAGGTCAAGCAATACAACAACTATTTTGAGGGTTCCCAGATATTGTTCAATATGCCGCATGGCGATTATGGCTTCTATATTCGACTAATGGCCACAAAGCTTGGTTTTAGTACACAAGCCAACTGCCATTCTAAAATCACCTTGTAGTACTCTACCCGCAAGTACCAGATGGTGCCCATCCATCAATCCCATGTACAAGAGTTTCCGGTCTATTCACAAGACCTGACGAGTGGCACAGGCAGGGTTCTGCGCCGAGAGCGCCGGAGCCTCGGAGGTCGGGGGAGGCACGGCGTCTATTATAGCTCTTTGTGCCGAAGTTTCTGACAGCAAAAGCATACTTGATAGTATCCAGGCCCTTTTCCGTGTTCAAATTGCCGCTGCTAGAGCAACGTCATCGTCATTGAGTTGACGACTTGGGACCTTGCTCTGAGCTTGCCTGAGAAGAAGGTTCGGGGCCCTTCTGGGAAGCGGAGGGTTCAGACGGCGATGAAGACTTGCTTGCTTGGCTTTTCTCGTATTGGAGTTGTTGGAATGTCGGGTTGAAGGTGTAATAGCCTGTATATCGAAAAATTCAAGATTAGAGACCGGTACTTGACAAGGGCCATTGCCACGAGATAACTTACCTGAGAAAACACCCACGCCAATAGCGAAGAGAGCAGGAATGAAATTGCGACTCATTTTGGAGGAATTGAGGTAGACGGAGAGATTCAACGTTGAAGTTCGGAGGTGATGCGGGAGATCGGTTATCAGTTGGCTGATTAGCGTCCGTCGCGTGTGCTAAATTGCTTTTCGCTGGCACGCGTCCGATATCCAAAGTCCCTGCAATCAAGACAGTTATAATTCTGTACGAAGTTTTTACTTATTGGATCTCGTGATTTTCGACACGAGAAACATTTCGCGAACGAGTTTATCGCCCCGAGACCCCCCAATGACTCTTTAGAGACATGGGCGATCCCCGCCAAGGATGCAAATGGAATCATGGCGTCAACGAGGATATGTCCCCGATTCGGACGAGGAAGATGGCTTCGACTCGTTAGAGGCGAAGAAGATCAATTGCAATAATAGTCCTGAGCCTGGAAGTCTCGAGTATATCGATCTTCCGTCGTCTTCGTTGAAGGAAGGGTCGAGCAGTCAACCGAAGGGACAACGAGACCACAGGACCGAGAATGGCTCGATTACGCTCTCGGATACGGAGGATGCTCCTATTCGGACGCCCAACAGGATAACTCTAGAAGTCCAGATCCCAAGCAAGCCCAGAACTGAGCAGGGTCCTGCACAGAAGCGACAATCTTTTGAGAAGACCGTGAATGGGACTTATATACACTCGACGAATACTCAAAATGAAACAACGACCCCAGAGCAACGAAGAGGACGTAGGACTTATGGAACTCGATCGTCCGCTACGAAAATAAGGAACCGTCAGAGCAGCGAGCTTCCGAGCACCAATACCCCGGCCAAGACTACGGACAGCATATATGACATTCCGTTGTCATCGCAAGAGCAGGAAAGTCCTCGACCAAAACCTTCAAGTCACAAGTCTATACCGAAAACCCCAATGGTTAAGCTGCAATCAGAATCGCAAGTTATACCAGAGCCACAGACCCCATTGATTGGGACACAAGGTGAAGGGTCAAACACGCGGAACTCCTCGCCGGACGAGTTGATGTTGATTCCCGAAAGGACTCGACAGAAATCACATGTCGTGAAATATGTTCAGCCAGTAGATGAGCCGCCTCTACCTCCGCCACCCCAGGTAATCTCGGATGATGACTCTCCATTATCTTCCGCACCGTCGTCAATTGGGTCTCCACCATTCAACGAAGACCGGGTGAACCATGCCAATGGCGACAAAGAGACAGAGCCAGGATTCCCTGGAGATGGACAGGTAGCCTCACGCGAAGGAATACTGTCCCAACTAAATGCAAATGCAAAAGACGTATTACCTGATATTGACATCCCCGAAGAAGTATTGCGGGAACTGCCTCAAGGAGCACAGAGGAGATTTCGAAAACGCACAACAATTCAATTACAACCATACGCTCTGGACCTAGTCCAATGGCAAGAGAATCAGAAAAGAATGGGCCTGCCCATTCATCGACGAGGCCACCGAGGGGCCGAAGAAAGCCAAGAACAGGATTCATATGAACCTGCCTTACGTTCATCGAGCCCTCCGGCGGAAGAATATCTTCCACCGGTCAGGCACGATCGCCCTAGACATGACCGTGAACGAGATGGCCACGAACACGCTCCACCAGGGCAGGCTCGCGTGGTGAAGCGACGAAAAACATCGCACGCAACACCCAAGGGAAGTCGACAATTGCACAGACAGATCAAACCCCGTGGGATCAGAGATGATTATTCAGCTGCTGGAAACCAGAATGGACTCTCCATATTCGATTTGACATCAAGTCCTCCACACACGGGTCGTTTGTCCTCAACGTCAAGAACCCCACGCGCCTCGGAAGGAGGATTTCGATTTCCCCGTGGCTGGTCGCCGCCGGGAGGAGTCGCAGAATCTGAAACCCGGGAAACGGAAGAAGCAGAGAGCGAATCAATGGGCATTGCCGCAGATTATGATGATGATGATGGTGGTATACAGTCAATTCCGTCGGACAGTGAGCAGAGTGATGAGCAAGAAGACGATTCAGATGCCGAAGCACGTGAAATTCGACGAGCGCAGCGCCAAATTCGCGGAGTGCTCCCGGCATCACATATGCGAATCGAACAGAAGAAGCTTGCAGACCAACAAAAACTTGTTCAACGGGAGAAAGATCGACAAGCTGCGCTGCACCGTCCGGATGGAAAAGGAGTTGCGCGGAAGCTCGTCCGAAGAGGTGATCGCTCAACACAACCAGCAACACAGCAGTCAAGAGGCTTGTTTGACCTTGGGGATTCAGATGATGACGATGACGACGACGGCAATGACAATGCCAGCAATGCCCCTGTCTCAAGTAATACCAACCGAGGGGTAACTAGCCGCTTTGACTCGCAAGATCCCTTTGCGACTGATGGTGATATCCTCGAAGACAATCGAATCGACTACATGTTTGCGCCGGTTGTGCGCAAGGCCACTGGTCCTCGACACAAGACAAATATTCTAAAGAGACCAAAATCAAAAGGCAGTGCATCTACTGGGGAAAGACATGCCAAGAGGCCTCGACAGACCCGCATGACTGATGCTTCGTATGGAGGACGGAGAACGAAGAAATCCTCAACTGTCCAACGTCCAAGGATAGGCATCTTAGATGCGCCAGATGTCTCTACAAAGTCTCAGAATGAGCAACCGCGCTTCCTCAGGATTGCTGCAAGACAAGCTCACTCGCGCCGAGATGCTGGCAGGAGAAGCCCTACTCAGAAGTTTTTGAAACTTGCGTCTAGGGGCGACACAGAGGATGCAAATGAGTCTTTGCGGGATTGGAGACGGGGCGTGATTCGGCAGACTAAAGTAAGTCCACCTCGGCCTAGAGCTCGCCGTCACCAGCCTACGAAGACTCAATCACTTTCTGGTTCTCGAGCTCCGCCAGCTCCACGGGTTGCGTCAAATTCAAGACATCCGCAGATATACAGCCAGGCATTCCAGGAACAAGCCGATCTCTTCGTGCCAGATGCTCCTACGCCGGAACCAGAAGAATACCCGTCTCATTCTGGTGCTGTGCCGCTCGCGGAGCCAGTTCCAGTGACATTGCGGGTGCCCTCGATCCAAACCCCACAAGCCGAACCCTCTCGTCGACAACCAGAGAAGCAAGGCCACACATGGGTCGTTCCTAGAAATCGTGCAATAACATCATTCACGAGGAACGCCCTTCGGCCTGCTGAAGCTAGCGCTGCAGCGCCAATAAGAGGCCAGAAGGCAACTCCAGCCATTTTCAAAAATTCCTTGTCTACGATCAACCGCCACTATCGCAACCAACGCACATCCCAGAACCCCAGGCCTAGTTTGACTCTAGATCGTTATCTCTCCGACAATAGGTCGACTAGTACTGAAGCCAATCCCTCGCTTAAACAACCCACGCCCAATGCTGCAGCCCGACCAGACAACCGAGCATCAAATCAAAATCATCCCCAGCCCCGACGGCGGTTGAAGAAACGTACTCCAAACCGAATCAACCTTAATACCGAGCAGTACCAGCAAAATCCAGATCCTGCCGCGATAATCTCTGATGACTCGGAGGCCCCTGCCATAAAACATGTCGCAAAAGCACGCCCTTCATCTTTTACTGTCGGCGGCCTATTCAACTTCCAACGTTTCTACCCAGTCGAATTTGGCGTAACCTCCTTGCATGACAATACTTTTTTTCACGAGTCCACGTTCATAGGAAGCGGAGAGTTCTCTCGTTCATTGCATGTTGCAAAACGTAACTTGGACCGGCAAGGTAATTCATTCTCTATCCAGGTTGAGGATGAAACTTTCAGCTGGGGAAGCTGGAACGATACAGTGTCCTCTGAGATGGGCCAAGTCTTCGATGTAATCGTCGATAACGTTGAACGAAGTGCTACTACCTCCCCGGAGATGGGCATTACGCCTACTCTAGGAGTTGCATCTAATTTATACAGGCTGTTGATAAAGTACATCACAGAAAGCCTGGTATTCATTGACCCGGTTGACCGCACAGGTTTCGTCACCCGTGCCGCCGGACTAGTCTCTCAGGTGAGAGATCCTCTGACTGCATTCCTGAGCAGTGATGAATACAACAAGACCGGGCTAGTCAAAATTGCATGCTTTGATATGGTGCTATCAAACCAAATTCGTCAAGTGGCTTCTCATCCGCTTGTCAGCCCTGTTCTTGCCTCCGAAGCATTGGACCTCGTCAAAATATCTGCCAAAGATGTCGCAGGGCTGCTTGCATCTAAAGCTAGCTCTTCGGAGTTCAAAGCGCTATACAAAGACAATAGCGAACTTGAACGCCGCGAGTCAGGAATTCGAGATGATCATCCATCAGTGGAGGCTTATGTCGTTATCACGCATATTTTGCATAACTCGGATCATTACAAGGGTTACTTTGAAGAACTTCAATTCGAGACTTGCAACAGTGCTATTGTCCAAAATGAGAGAGATGTTAGCAGTCTGGAAGCTGGATGGCGTGGACTCTTCACAGTCTTGCCTTTGAATGAAGTAGATCAACTTGGGATAGCACGCCCTGGTTATCGTTTCAAAGCTGTCAATGACAACTGGAGACTGGCGAAACGGCTTCTAGCTGCTGCCCTGGATCACTTTGATGCCAATTCTATGACGCAGCCCATTTCATATAACAACTACTGCCGGGTTCTGTTCCAACGGTGTCATCGCCTCATTAATTCTTGGGGATGGCGAGAATGCAAACCTGTCTTGGACGCACTGTTCGATTTCTTCGCCAAAAATACCCTGCACAACTTGAAACTAGAAGAAGCTAGCGGCTCACCAGCATTTCTCGACGAACTTGATGGTAATCCTTCTCTGGATGCTCGTCCGGGGGAACCGTGCTTCCATACTTTCCTCAAGATTGTAGCAAGTGGTCTTCGATTCCTCACGAAAAGGTACGACAAGAAGAAGATTCGAAATTTCGCCTGGCGCCTTTTGCCAAACCATGGTCGTGTGTATCCCAAAGAGCAGCAATTAAGACGGGAGGACCTTGAAGCTCTGCGAAATCACCACGACCTGCTTAGCACCTTGTACTGGGCCGTTCCTGATGGTTGCCGTCCTCGACTCGAGACAATACGAAATCTAGTCCATCCTGCCACTTCGCACCGTGAAGCATGCAGCATCAGCCTACGCTCCTGGTCGAGGCTTGTCCGGTTCAAACTTTCCACAGACGAAGATGTTTCGGGACTAGATCCCTTTGGAGACTGGTATGGCTTCTTTGTAACGGAGCTGCATCAACAACATTCATACGCTCGCAAAGAAATCGAGTCTCAAAATACAGGCGACAACCGAGTCTCCCAGCAACTTGTTGAACGCACGATCTCCCAGAACCAGAGGCAGATCGAGGAGTTGTTGAGCTCTGCGCTTGCTGGGCTGCGGACTGCCGTGCAAGTCGCTCCCAAATTGGAACATTCGTATAGATTAGTTGCGAAGACTCCTTTCGAGTCAATCATTTCACTCTTCAACCCCAAGCTTCCGCGTGTCAATTCTGTTGTATCTGAGGCACTGCAGGTGGTGATCGTCTACACGCAGAAAGATGTCACAGCTACATCAGCAGAAGTCCCTGTGGCGGTGACCGCCGATGAAGACAGCCAGGAGTTCGGTGACTGGGATGCCATTGAGGCGGTTTGGGACGCGCAAACTCCACCCAGTGAAGGTGTCCAACATATCGCGAACGTTCTTCATCCGATTGTTTCCCGCCTTGTGTCGAATTGCTTCGGTGAGGACCATTGCCCAGCAGATGCAATGCTTCTCATCGTGTTGGAATGCTGGACTTCGGTCGCCTGTGTTCTCGTACGCCATGGACTTCGGAGTTGGGATAATTACTTGAGTGAATACGGCGATGATTCATGGACGCGTCTTCGAAGGACTGTTCAAACACGGAAGTTCGCTCCACTCTTCGTCGCCTTATGTCTTGAAAAAGATGCGTGCATTCTTTCTGACTGTCGGGTCGAGGTTATCAGCTTGTGGATGTCATCGCTGGTTGAGCGCTCTTCGATGCTGAAGTTTCAACATCGTCTTTCTGATGCTCTTATGAACGCAAGTTCCCAGGATCCCTTGCTTCACAATCTTCCTTTCTTCAAGGATAAGAAGACTGGCCGGTATACGATCACTTTAGAGGAAATCAATTCTCGGCGAATATCTCTTCTCTCCAGTCTATTCTCCAATATGCGCCAACAATTACAGGACATGGAGCTTTCAAGCAATCCAAAATTCTCCGCGACAAAGCAAGAGTACTCTGAGATAGTTCAGCGGGTGATGACTTCCATGAAAGACAACTACCAAGAGCTCGGGAATGGAACGGCACAAGCTGTTCAAGGAACCTACGTCAAATTCGTGCATAACGTTATTGGTTTCCTTCAGCAACATACCAGCGACATGAAACCCATCGACCCATTCTTTACAGATCCCGCTTCATTCCCCTTACCATCTCATGACCCACGCTACATTGTTGCGAAACTGAAACGATATGAACCCAAGCTGTTCTCCAGCAAAGAAATTTTGACCCTTAACGGGTTCATCCAGAGCCTCTCCGAGCGTGCCGCAATTGACTGTCAACAGACTTACCTGGTTGACCAGCTCCACACCTCGATGAAAGATACTTATGAGGCTGGAAACCCCGAAAAGCCCACTCTTCGCACCGTTCTGTTGCAGTGTGTATTCCCAGCTTATCTCGAAGCAGCACTTGAGAATCGCGCCGCCTGGATTCTCGCTCATCCCATCATCCAGACCATCACGCTGGAATTCCAGAACTTGCTTCGCAGCATAGACACTTTCGATCCAGCTTGCGTGTCGTCTGTCATTGAGATGATCGACATTGTATGTCGGGCGTCCTGTCAAGCACTGAGCATCGTCACATCTCGTCGTCACCGTCTACAGAGTCCTGCGACTTTGTCTATGATCGGTGCCTTTGTCGAGATGGTATCCTCCGTTCTGCCTATAGTCGACTACATTGACCGCGTTACTGACACATGCGAGGGTCTTTTCGTGCACATCAAGTGGATCCACAGCTTCATCAAGGCTGCGACTGAATGTCTGCAGTCTGCGGACCTAGATGCGGACTCGCTCTCGGTCAGTGTCTACGTCACATTCCCCGGTCAGCCGGCCTCGGCAGATAGCAGGAAAATTCAGCTCTTTGACACAGCCCACCACCTCGCCTCGACAGATCTCCAAGCATATCTCAGCAAATGGTCATATCACCAAGACAAGTATTACTTTACGCGTCCTGGTCACGAGTCGCAGGAAATCACTATCGAGCCTCGAATTGCCGTTGTCATGGCTAGCCAAAATGAAGCAAGGAAAGCATACGAAGAAGCAGCGAGAGGATTTAATAGTCGTGTAGTGAGTTTGGAGTTGTTCTGAGGTTATTGTTTGTTAAAGATAGACGGTGTTGGGGCAGAAAGATAACGCGTTATGAGTATCTAGAGAAGTCAAGTAATAATATCTTGTATTTACAATGCCACTGTACTAGTATCCAAAGAAAAAAGAAAAGCAATATAAAGTGATACTCGAAAGTTCCATATGGAAAGTAAGAAGCAAAAACAGAAACAGTGGGTTTCGAGGCTTATGGTGCCTTGAGTTGCTATGTTCTCCTGAGGTGATATATAGTTGCTGTAAGTCCAGCACTTGAGACTGCGAGTGGGCTATACCTAAGCCTGAGGATATACACCTTCCTGTGTATGTTGAAGTGTATGTAATCCTATGGCATTAAGGGAGCGTGCATATAACTTGCCTCAAAGGGTACCCCTTCTGAGAATCCTCTGCCTAGCCGAGTGGTTACGGTCACTGGGGCACTGCTCGCAGTGCTTTCCCATGGTAGGTGTGCTCATCTGGTTGGCCCCAAGGTTCGAAGCTCTTAAAAGAGGGTTCATTTTTTGCGTTTCTTTCTATTTTCTTTCTTCCATTACAGAAAGCTTTTGAAAGTGCTCACTTTTTGAATTGCTTTTTATATCTCAGGACTATGTTCTAAGAAATTTTATGACCCACTCTAGCTAGTCTAATGTCTTGGATATGTGGGTCGCGGCTCTAAGCAATGATCTGATGTGGAGGTGGAGGCAAAACTCCTGCTTTCCTTTCTTCTTTTTACTCCCATTTTTTTTATATACAAAGAATCTTGAATATTTGTGGTTGTTGAGCTTGTCATCATAGAGAAGGGGGGAAGAGGGGAGTATTGGAGGCTTCTTGCGAGGATTGCAGAAAATTGCACCGAGTTGCTGTGTTTTGGCAGGTGAAGTGGTTGTTTGAGGTAGGAACTATATTTGCCTAATCGGGAAGGTGGTGGCCCCATAACAACACGTGACTTATGTTAATGCCTGTAGATCATGGCAACAGATCCGTAGGGCTGAGATCATACTTGAATACTTTGGAAAAAGCACGTTGCTGAATTATGAGTGACAACTATATACTATTTAGTAATGGTCTAAGTTACCTTGTTCTATGGAATTATTGATCCAATAATTTGCATATGTGATATGTAGTAGTTCTTCATTGAGTCCAGACTTCACATATTACACCTGTACTATGAAGTTGATTACTCTTCGTAACACTTTGTGCTATTTTCGATATCTTAAAAACACCTGTATTACGAAGGTCTGTAGCGGTCATAGTTCAAATGCATTTGAACTAGTTTTGATGCCTGAAGATGCCCTAATCTAGACCTCTCTATACCCTATTGTTACATATTTTTTTAATTCCCTTTTAAAACCCCTACCTAGAGATTCGATCTTCAGGAGCAAGTCTATAAGCTTTCATTCCGCTATAGCAAGGAGTACTAACTAGTGGAAAAGGCATAGAATTGTACGGTGGGAATAGCTTTAATCTTTAAACTTAGCTTGGTAATGTACTTTGCTTACAGGGCATCCGTTATCGTAATTTATGTCTTTCAATTTCTGATCATAAAAATCGCATTTGACCCCTGACCACTCTGCACCTTCGCACACCTGGGTGAACATTCAATAACTCAGAGCTCACTCTACTCACTGATCGATCCAACATAGACATTGAAGTTATAATGAGTGCAGCTGTCTCGAACATCCAAACCACCCTGGCCACTCAAAATAGTCTTTCCATCACGAGTCACCGTGAATGACTGTGCACCAACACCCATGCTCACATTCGATGTTACAATTCCCGCAGGAACAGTGATTTTAACGGGTGCATTGTTGCCACTATGCACTGTCAAGGTGGCCGGACTCGTCAACATGGTTGCGACAAAGATGCTGTCGCTGAGCATGCTTATACCGTTTGGCGCTCCAAGAGAATCGCCTGTGCACACTACTCCCTTGGGGGTAGGGCGATACCAGTATACGAGTTTATCCTCTTCGACGGTGGGTGTCTTTGCGCCCGATTTGTAGGCCGCTATGTAAGGCTTGTACAACTCACGCCAAGCGTCATGGGGCATGTCTTTTGCCCACTGAGAGGATCCGTCGTCGCTGTGGTGTGCGGAGTATGGGCCGATATAGTGTGATTCGCCATAGTCTTTGTGGTTTGGGTTAGTCTTGGTATTTCCGCGAGAAGGATCCTGGGACAAAAGAAATATCAAGTGAGCTTACCGTTCCATGAAATTATCTCAACTAGGTCTGGTTGAAGAGAAAGCATTTGCTCCCAGCGCAATGTTGGCAAGTTTTCGCAAATGAACACCCAATTTTTGGAATTGAAGTGGGTAGCAAACCAAGGCGAAACAGCTGCGTTGGAGTTAGCTTTGGGTGACTTTCCGAGTACTGCATCGGTTTCTCACGAGCCATGTATGTTTTCCCAGCCAGGAAATGGAAAAATCTATCATCCCACACAGTTGTCATCGGCCCGGGGATAATGCTATTGCCTCCATCTGTAGGCCAAGCCAACCAAGAAAATGCACCATTGGCACTCTTAGCAGCAACCGTCGAGGCTTCAGCTGGATCTTGGAGATTTGGTAGGGGATAAATCGGGTGCGACGTGCCCTGCTTCACTGGATCCCAGTTGAAAGAGTCTCCAACAAACGTACTTACCACCGCGCCACCTCTATACTGCATCTGTGCAGGGTGGCCTGCGTACTGCTGCATGTACGCAGTGATCTTTGCGGTGTCCCCGTTGTTCCAATAGGCAAAGTCGAAGGAGATGAAAACTTTGAAGCCGACTTGCTCGGCGGCTTCGTAGGCTAAAGCCAGTTGGGTTGGCGTGTAGCTGTCTATGCTGGCGCAATTTAGGGCGAATGCATCAATGCCAATGGATTGTGCAGCGATCATGTCCTCTTTCCAATCTGCCAGCTGGTAGTTCTCCACAATGCCGACCTACAGAGATATCCAAGGTGAATATACACAATGAAAACTTCAAACCACCCGGGGAATAGTTGACTTACCATAAAATGAGCGAACACATATTTGTCCGTTGATCGACTAGCAAGCCCTAGCCCGGAACTCGGGGCACCAAGAGCTGGAAAAATGTAAGCCAAAGTGGCTGCAAGGCCTAAAAGAGTTTTCCAAATCATATTGATAGAAGTTGTCCAAAACATCTGCTTTGAGTATATAATTGTATCACTCGGGGATTGGAATCATCCTATATATATACAATCGTTCACATCTACTGACATCATCTTTCCCACACTGCCCAATTCTGCAAGTGAATAGAATTGCATACACCCCTCACCATGACTAAACCGGGGGATAAACAGCTTGGCCCTTTGAGCAGAGTTCATCACCATTGCAACCACCCTTCGTGGGGAAGTGTGCGTTTCAAGCCACGTGAGATAATGTCAATCTCTATGTAAATGCACCACACCCAAGGGGACCCCTTCCACCGTGTAGATCCCTAACAAAATTAAGTACCGCTAAGCACTACCTTATGCGACACAATCTATGAAGGGACATCAGGACCAACCGGAATTTCTCGCCCGGGCAAAGGGATACCTATCACACATGTGCGCCACCTCCCCACACCCAATAGTAATCCATTAACCCATGCAACCCAGCTGTCTACCCTCAGACCAGGTAGCATCAGCGAATTGCACGTTCCTGAATTTCCACTCGTGCTTCTCTTCCATGTGCCCTCTTTCCAACCTGTTCATTGATATATCCAGTTTCGAACGGGAATACAATGAGTGTTCCGAATGCTACAGTAGTGCTGTCTGAGATGGAGACCTCAGCACGAGGCTCCATTCAAGATTCTCATAGCAGGTGATCATCGAAACACCTCCGCTGCTACATCGAGGCCAAGTAACTACTGTTTAATGAATGTGATGAGAAGAAAACGATTCGGGCAATATTTGTTTCGTCGCCTTAATGGTAACCAAAAAGCTGCAACATCAAAAGATCGCTCAACTCCAAAATCGGCTAAATTTGTCAATACTCCATATTCATGCAGATATATGTAGCACTTACTACGTATTTGGATGCATATTGGGAGCAGATCGTGGGGTAGTGCTTGCGAATATATGCAAGGTTTTTCCTTAATGTTGTTGTTTTATACCCATCACCTAAGATTGAGCACAATTTTTATACATGTGCCGGGACACATCCATATTAATTGTCGTTGCATTTATTTCTTGAAAATAATTCTATTTATGGTACTTGAAAGATAGTTAGAAAGACAGTCAGAAAAGCAGGTAGAAATAAAAATTTATTTGTTTCCTTGGTTGATATAATGGACGGATCAAGCCTCTTTTGTCGGTCTTTCGTTCGAGGGTTGATTAGCAAAGTCCATGTGCCTACCAACACAATGTAATTCGCGGCAAAGACCGCAGGATAGACTACCTAGGTATATAGTGATATCGGAAGCTCTGACAAAAGATTTTCCATCGCTGATCAAGCATAAGGTTCTTTCTTTACATGTACGCCAAATGTATCAAGTTTCATGTAAAGTTTTTGTAATGAGTTCACTGGACACATCTTCCATCTCTTTCCATCTTCTCTTTATCCAATTTTGTCCGTTCCATTTCTCGTTGAAGCAGACCAAAAGAAGATCAAGACCCGGGGGCTTTAACAGTTGAGGTGTCGTAGAGAAAAGGTAGGCCACACACCGCCTCTTTGATTCTTTATTGCTTATTTGCTTCTTTGTCAGTCTCGAATCAAACAACCCCTGATTGCCATAATTTTAAGGCATTTATGCTATATAAGTACAGGATCAAACTTGTTTACACCTATAAACCTATGTTATTATTCAAATCGTCATATAGGGTCGCATTTCGGTTGTAATTTTATTGGAGTTATAGTAGTCGAAATCCTACCAAGAGGACTGTATGCAATTTTCGCCACGGTAGCTGGATAGGTGTGTGTCTCACTCGTATGTCCAGTCCCGGCCGAACGGGCTCTTAGTGCTGCTATCCTTTTGTTACTCTCTAACTAACCGGTACAGAAAGTTCTTCCATCGGAGGTAATAACACCGACTGAGAATTGATTAGCGGAGAAAAACGCAATCGTTCGTAGTCTGCCACATTGACCGTCAACTATAAATGCTTGCGTGTTTATTTTAGCGGAGAGAACTCTAAAAGTAAGTTAATCAGTGAACCAGGAGACTCGTGCAGCAGCGAAAAGCAAGCTTAAAGACAATATACTAACTGTCACACCATAGTGACCAATTAAAGAAAGTTACGGATGCTTGTGTATAATTCGTCAGGCAGCTTCACACTTTACTCTCACTCTTGAATATAAGTATATGCTTGTACAGACCAGCCGTGAACAGATGCATGTATCTATCTAAGCGATTCATATTTCCCAAACGTACGGTATCGGCAGATAACTGCTTTATTATGCTTATTTGTAGACAATCTTTAGGCAATGAATAGAGATACATCCGGACGTAGTTCGATTAATTTGCATGTACTTTACGGGGACCGGCATACGCATGAAACAAAGAACACTAATGCAGATATAGGCAATTATAAACCCAACCTGAGGATGATATCTTGCCAAGAATACGGCCAATAGAACTTGTTCCCGAGAGACATTATAAATACTGGCTGTGTGTAAAGGAATCGAACTAACATTAAGCTTCACTCCCAATCATTTCTTCAACCCAATGTCCGATATCATGGCACTTGTTCTCCTACTCTTTCGAACCATAAGTCATTTACTAAGATACCTCAATGGAACCATACTGGACATACTCTAACAAGGTCCCATCCCACAAAATGTAGCATATTTTGTGGATAAAAACCGACAACATGCCAATAAAAACGACGTGACAGTAGCCGAAGGGCACTCAGCCGGTGCTACGACACTAAAACAGGTGAGTCCCTCCAAAATATGGCAGATTGTTCTAGCAATTGGTAGATTTGAATAACTGACTTGCAAAGAACTTGGATGAATGCTACACACTCGGAACCGGGGTCATCTCCCTACTCGCATTCAGCTTTGAAAACTTCAAAAGACCGAAAGAGCAAGTCGAGACACTGACGCGGCTATTAGAATGCTTGCTTCTTTAAACCCACGGACCGAACACATCTGTGGAGAAACATGATGTCAAAATACGGGTCGTGGGCCAATTGGAATTGCTGGACAAACATTTTCCCAGTGCTATTGCGAGGATTATGGATACAACAAAGCATCACAAAGGCAAGGTTCTGAATATTTGCATTGCTTGTACTGCCAGGGATGAGTTTTTACTGCTATCGGAGAGACTATCACCGGGTGTGGCTTTCCTTCTGAAATCACGGGAAGCTCGGTTACGGAGATACCTGCGGACTTGATGATACGTACCTCGGGAGTTTGCCCTTTGAGTGACTTGATGCTTTGGCAGTGTCACCAGGGTACTCCGATAGAGGATGTTGACAGGATATGGCCGGATTTTGGGAGATGGGAGATGGGAGATGGGGGTGATCATATTGAGATGGCAACGCTGAAAGATGAGTTTGACTCGTCTTTGAGTATAAGCATGTATGAACGTTCTTCTTGTCAATAAATGTTGTTTTTGGTGATAATTCCATGTTTCTTGTAATCGTTGGGCTCTTACAACATTGTTCACAAAGGGCTGCAGTATTGGCGGAAAGTCTCGAGAGTCGAGGCACCGTGCAAGATATTTTGCAGTAAAGTCGGATAGTCCCATCCACATCCAGAAGCTGCTATAGCACTCAAGCTAGCCTGATCTTCACGGCCTGGTCGACCAGGACCAGTCATATTCTAGGGTTTGAAGTTAGCACACAAACCAGATTCAAGACACCTAGAGTACTCACGGGCTTCATGTTGATGTCAAAAATAGCAAATCCTGACTGAGGCTGGAAGCGCCGGACGTCAATGCGGATAGGTGCCGTAGCCTTGATCAGACTGGCTACTCCTTCGCATTGACGCATTGCCTGGCCATACGTCGAATCGCACATTTCATCCTTGGTCACAACACGCGAATTGGTAGTCACAGCGACTTTTCCATTGTATGGCGCAATGCCCTGGTCGTGATTGAACCTAGTCACGGGTGGCATGCTCCAATATTCCGCTCGGTTGGGAGACGGAGGCATCACCGTGATAGTGGCCTCTTCGCCAGCTAGGAACTCTTCAAGCAACACGACGGGAGATTCATTGAAGAGAGACTCGATATGAGATTTCAATTCAGTCGCACTGGGACACACTTTGACACCGTGGCTCCCGCGTCCACGAACGGGTTTCCCGACAATGGGATAGGCGAGAATCGACTGGACCAGGGCATCCACATCATCTCCTACCTTTACTTCCCATGCTTGTGGCAGGGTAAAGCCTCCTAAAGCACGCAGCTGATTGTTGAGATACATCTTGTCATCGAACTTTTCAACCAAACCTGGTGGTTGGCCTACCACTCGCAGTGTTGGGGCATAGGAATCCAGACATGATGCTGTTTGCAGAGGATGCGAGGCAAATACAATAGTGTTCGCCCATATATGTGTAGCACCTTGAATTATAGCGGAATGTATTCCTTCTTCTGAATCTGGGAAGCACCAGCCCTCATGTTGGGCAATAGAAGGGGAGGCCTGTCGTGTGATAACCTCGATTCCCTTGGCGCGCAATGTATATGCGATATCTGCGCCTGAGTCCTGATAACCTGTAGAAATCAATCAGTACTGGAGTTTATCCTCTGGGAAGATTTGTGGCTTACCACCTGGCTTGCGCGGCTTGCGCACTCCGTTGATTACTGGAGGCTCAATTGCTTGGAATAGCACTGCAACGGTAGGCTTGCTGGAAATGCTATTCCATCTTGCTCCTTTGATACCTTGCATGGAGCTCCTCAATGATGTCTTAAGCATGGCAGGAGAATTGTAGATGTAGATTCATCATGTTGGAGAGTGGTCATTTGGCGATCCCCCACTCTCGGGTGGCTCCTTTACTCGGAGTTGGACCGATCCGTGAGGGCTTTGGGAAAGGAATCTCACAATATAACGAGCAAAGTGGACATAGATAACTTCGTCATCTGTGTCAAGATTAATAAGCATAAAATACTACTCAGGTAGTTCAGGAAGCTATTTGTCAGGTCAAGGAGGATCTACCTATGTTCTCAAATCAAGCGCTTCAAAAAACCCCTCGAATTATTGATCAACGACAGTACATTTGACCCATCTATGGAGCAAAATCAACGGAAGTTGGATTTACACTGAAAATGAATTTATCATCTCGTTGTGTCGGCTTGTCAAACAATTTTAAAGAAGGATGGATCGTTCACCTGGGCAGTGCGTTGATTGTTGTCGGGTTCTGTCTCTAAATATTATTTATATACTGTAGATTTAAGCAAGGTCTTCATATTTCGGTATCTTTTTCCATTTGGACAGGCTCATTCTCAATAGTCAACTTGAACTTTCCTTAGAGCCCTCGATAGGCGAAAGTATGTTGAGTGTCTGCAAGCCTAACAAGCTCTTTTGTTTAGGGCTTCCGGAAAGTGGAGAGAACAACAGCATGCCATTCATACAAAGCAAAGAATCCCCCGAGGGTGCGAATTTGCTAAACGAGACCGTCGCTGAATCTGACACCAGAAAAGACAGATTCTATTCCTGCATCCTTTGAGAAAGAAGAGGGAAATAAAATGAGCGCTTCAATGACAGAAATGTAACCAAGGACTATGAACAGCCAGCATTTCATTATACAAAAGAATCCAAAGCGAACAGGATTCATTAACTCGAAAACCAGCTAGCGCCACATTTCTATTCCTTTCCGACGCACTCCTACCAATTCGCCACAAAACCAAAAGCAGGAAAAAAAACCAAAAAGAGCGAGAGAGACAGAGCAGGTAACCACCATCCCTCAGCCACAGCCCGGTGGCATATGCCCGAGAACGCCAGACACAGAGAGGAGAAAGGAAAGCCCTAGAAACCCAGCAATGCTATGCAGACAAGAAAGCGATCAAAGCAAGAGCCACGCCTCAATCGTCATCCCTCTCCAACCCATCAATCATAGCCTGACTAGGTTTCCTCCCAGCCCCATAAACCATCTCCATTAGCTTAGCCTTCTGCCTCTCCCTCACAGACCGAAGATAATCATACGTCCCCTCCAGCCCACGAATCTGCCCATCAATAACAGCCTCCACAGGCCCCAACATGCGCCCCGCAGCCGAATTCCCATTCCCACTCCCGCCATCAACAGACCCTACAAAACTGACAGAGTCATTCCGCCGCACAAGCGGACTAACAAGTTTTCGCCGCAGCGTCTCCAGGTTCACTTTCAGCGTCAGAAGCCGGCCGCGGTGATCGACGAGAAGATGTTTATTGGCGACTGTGCGCGAGCGCACGTTCGCGAGCAACTTCTTGTTCTTTTCGTATTTGCGCACGGCGAGAGCATCAGGCCCCAGAACGCGCGTCCACAGCGATGAGAGCATTTCGCCTTCGGCGCGTTCTTGGGCGTCTGACTCGCGTACCACGGTGCGCTGCAAGTTGAGGAATTGGCGGTCTATTGATTCGAATAGGGCGAAGAGCGCGGTTGAATGTGATAGTTCGCTGTTTATGGATTCTTCCAGGACGGAGAGGAACTCTGTGAAGGTGCGGGTGAGGGTTGAGCGGGTTCGCTGTGCGGATGTTGGGCCCAGGATGGCCATGACAAGGTGACCGAGGGGTGTTGTTGTTGAGGTGGCGGGGCCTTCGGCGACTGGGCGTTCCAGGGCGCCTAGGCGCGAAAGCATGTTGTGCATGTTGTCGAAGACAATTGTGGGGAGGGAGCTTGGGGGTTGCGCTGAGAGGGTTTCCAGTTCGCGCTTTGCCCAGTCCATTACTATTAGGATGGAGTCAATATCTGAGTCGACGTTTGCGAAGAAGCGGGTCAGCTCTAGAGAGAGAGATTTGAGGGAGTCGGAGAGTTCGTCGAGTTGGTGAACGATTATGGGGGCGCTGGTCATGTTTGTGCCGCGGACGGATTCGCTCAGATCCCAGACTGCGACGCCTGTTTCTTGTAGTGTGCCGATCTGCTGGACGCCGTTCTCCGAGTAGTAGATTAACGGCTCGAAGGAACGGGCGAATCCGGATAGTTTGACTAGATCGGGAATTGATTGGGGGAGGCCTGGGAGGACTAGGGCGCGCATGAAAGCGACTGAGATTAGGATGATGACCACGGATAACGTAGTGTTAGACTTTGAGCTGGTCATGCGCTCGAACTTTGAGCGCAAATATCCAAACATTGCGGCAATGGGTTCTCGGTGCTGGACTTCTGCACGCACGGCAAAGCGAATATCTTATCGCGACAACGTTAGTATACCACGCGCCTGGAACTGAATCTAGATCAGACAGGGCCTACAATTGCTCAATTTCTCGGGCCTAAAGCCTTCCTCGTCCTCTGGACTCTGGCGAGCGGTGCGATCTGTACTTGGACCTGGGTGTGGACTTGGGGATCGTCCAAGGAGGGGGGTATCTGCACCCGCCGGTAGAGGCACATTGGCCGCGACAGATATGTCACCCGGTGTAGCGCGATCACCTGTCCCTGTCGTGGGGCTCTCAAGCGCATCCTCATACTGTGGACTTGGCTCACGCGACTGGGATGGAGAGACGCTGAGCCCAATTGTGGGCTTGAGATGGTGGGGGTTACCTTTGCGCATAATATAAGGCTGATGGCGGTACCATCCACCTCTTTGGCCGTCTTCATTGAGAAAGCCAGGTGGGGACCAGCGATCGTCGACCAGTTCATCCTCGATCTCATCATCATCATTCTCCGAGTCGTCAGATCGGAAGCCAGAGTGCTGAGACGGTAATCCGAACATGGGAGATCTTTGTGTGTTGCTTTCGAAGTCTTCGAGCGACGCTTCCAGGGATGGATGGTCGTCGAAGACGTTGTCTAGGTCATCCAGCATTCCGGACGGCGTAGTGTGATAGTTGCACCTCAAAAGGAGAGGCACTGCGTGAATAGCGACTGAGCGCAGATTAAAGCCTGGGAATGGCGGTCACTTGCGGTCAACCCAACTTTGCAAACTAAAGCGATTAGTATATGCGCTTGCACAGTATCTCGTGCGCTAGCCGTTACAAAAGAAAAGAGTGCGATCAAATTCGTGCCAACAACGCGATAAAATATGATGCGATGCGATGCGACAAGGCAGGTCTTGGATTCTAGATGGTAACACAGGATATCTCCAGAAGAGGTGCATTCGATAGTTGAAGTTGGACAAGATGCGATCGTGCAAAGCGCTTGTTAATCAATAATTGGGATCAAAAAGGCTTAAACATATGTGGGCAGAAGTCGAGAATGGGAAGACGAAAAGAGCATCCCCCTCACTTGTATCCAACTCGAAGAGGTTGGGCCAATCAGCCTATCCTCGCAGGGGTCATGTGCTAAGACTCGAGGCCAACAGGGTGTGTACACATCAGATACCAGAAAGGTACTGCATAGGTACCACAAAAGTATCATTTTGTGGGTGGGTCTATTAGTGTTAGTGTCAAGGTTCCTTGTACCTTATGAGTACCTTGCCAGTTCCCTCTGTGCCTGACCGCCCATATTTGCCCAATTGATACATCATGCAGGACAAACAACCAATCATAACCCCAAGTTCCATGACAATCCGGAGGATGCGCAAGACACCAGGACAAATACGTTTGCACTTGGTCGTATCATGATAAAAATGGTTTAGTGATCTGCAATCATAGAGTACCTGCAGAAAAAAAAAGACAAGAAGAAACAAATTGAAGAGGAGATCAAATCTATTGTGGGTCATGGCGAAATTGTAATAAAAGTACATGCCCGGTCTTAATACCCGGGAATCAGCCCACGCCAGAACCAGTCCCAAACTTCTAGGGTAAACAGACAAAAACGGGGAATTAAAAAGACATCAGGTCGTTTATTTGCAAACCTCCTGGAGGTGACTGTGTGGTTGTTAGTATTTGTATATGGTTCAGGGGGTGTTCCGATAACTAACGTGATGAGGTCATTGCGCTCCTTGGTCTTCTTGAGACCACCGAAGGCCATCTTGGTACCGGGGATGAACTTCTTGGGGTTCTCGAGGTACTTGAACTATAGGCGCATAGTGGTAAGCAGATTGTGATTGAATAAAAGAAAGATGGCATTGATGTTTATTTCACTCACCAGAGTATCGTTGTTCCACTCAACACCGGCCTGCTTGTTGGCATCGGTGTAGGCGTAGCCCTCGGCGGAACCGGTCTTGCGGCCGAAGAGACCGTTCAGGTTGGGGCCGACCTTGTGGGGACCGCCAGCCTCGGTGGTGTGGCACTGAGCGCAACGGGTCTAGGAAGCAAATCTGTTAGCTTTTGTTTCATATTCGTGTGAAAAATAATTTGACTCACCTGGAAGAGCTTGGCACCCTTAGCGGCATCGCCTGAAAAAAGTTGAGGTTAGCCATTTTATCCAGGAACTCCATTGGCAAATATTTGCGCTCGTCCTCGCCCTCACCATCGCGCATGCGTTTGATGCTCCCGATACAAAAAGAAACATCGAAGATGTACATATTGAGAGCTTATGCATGCGGCGATGGAGGAAACGGGGGCAATGGTCGCAATTGGGAGAGATCGAGGTTGGAGCGTTGGTAGAGTATTGAGCGAGGTATATCACGGTGAAGGAAACATCTTTACTAGGTGTTCCATGGGGACAGGATGTATCGCGTCGCCGTCGCTGAATGGCCTCTTCACGGCTCCAACCACTTCCCCAAGCTCAATGCGAAAGAGAATGAATAGCTTACCAGGGGCGAAAGATTCTTCCTTCTTGGGAGGCATTGTGAGAGATTATGAAGTGATAAAGAAGAAGAAGAAGGAATTAATAAAACACTGTACAAGACAAAAAAAATCTGGGAAGGGAGAGGAAGAAAATCTGGTTATTTGTACTTGGCCCCGACAACCTCTCGTAATCCGTTGATCCACCAATCAGCGTGTAGATGATTCAGTTAGACGGGCGCAACCGGGAACTTCGGTGTGGCTCACGTTCGATACACTAGACGCGTTATATAGTTACTCCCCGGATATCTTTGTTGAAATTCTCTTTCACTTTGTGCATGGGGTTTGCCATGCGTACTGAACATATATTAGGGATTGTTGTGGAAAAGCGCCTCATGATCTCATGGCTCGTCATCAAAGGTACCCTTAACTATATCTCCCACGAGCTATCAAACCTGGAAGCCCATCAGAATATCCTTTGAGCCTCCCTAGATACCGAATCTTGGCTATGTGTTCATATCCCCTGTTTAACAATCCCTTTCCCCCTTTGGAGAACTGGAGCATTTCAACACTCCAACACTTCTCGGTCCACCATGGCTTCGAAATGGCTGGACTGTCATTCGCCCGACCTGGTCCACCGATGACCCGGTTTGTGGATCCTGAGGCAGAAACGGTCTATTCTCGAATGCTTCCCGGCGAAGGCAATTTAGCCTGTTACCGAGGTAGCAGATACATACGGACGGACATACGGCAATGGTATTCTGTAAGCTCGACAGTGATACGTAGCAGACATCATTGATGTCGAAGCCAGTGACGAGTTCACGAGTCATTCGATCATCCATGGATAAGCCTACAAGAAGAACACTGTAGTAAAAATAAAAAGCTCAAGCCTCGCAAATACTTCCCGCTCAATCTGCCAAGTTTTTTTCTTGTTCACATACAGAAATAGCAAGATTAGCGGTCATGATCTTTAACTACTGTGTCGGGCTTCCGATTTCCCGAATATGTCACGTGATATAAAAACATTCTCCAAAAATTGCATCTATGGTCCCACATTTAGATCAACAAAGACCCCTCCAAGGCATTCCAAAATGCCAGCTCCAATCCCAAGCTTCCTCCTACCAGGAGGTCCCCCAACAGCCCTAATGCTGCGCACCCTCCAGCGCCAAAACGCGCGCAGCTTCAGCTCGACCAGCGCGGTGCTCAAAAAAGCCTCAACCCCCAAACCCCGAGTCCTCGCCAAACCAGACCGCTTCCGCCCCCCATCTCACCCGCAGCGCATCGTGCCACCCTCGCCAAAGGGCGTACCAGCAGGCCAGCCATTCGAATATGGCCCACGCACAACAGAGAAAGAGCGCATCGAGCAGAGCAAGACGCAATACCCCGGCATGTTCCCGCCAGAGGGGACAGTCATGCACAGGTTCCTGACGAGCAAATGGATTCATGTCTGGATTGCGATGGTGAGCATACTGATCCCACAACAAGTAGCAAGATCTGTAGAATTAACCGGTCCAGGGCGTTCTCATCTCCTGTGCGGGCTTTACATTCACAACGAACTTCAAAGCAACGTCTCCGTTCGCGCATCTCCTCCCTCCCTGGTCGGGTCTGTTGACTTCCCCGTTCGGCACGATCTCGCAGGCATTCTCTGTGTGGCGGATGCATGTGCAGCATAATTCTATGCGGGTGCGGGAGCAGCGCCATCGCCGGGTTGAGGATGCTGAGAAGAGGAAGCAGTACCGTATTGCGCATGGGCTGGAGGAGGCGGAGAAGAATGAGGCCGTTGAGGCTGATTCGCAGTCCCCGGTTGCTGCGCCTGCCGCTGTGGGCAGTGAGGAGTATATTGATTTCGAGGGGAATAAGCGGCCCGTCAAGAAGTGGTTGGGGATTTGGTGATTGGGCGCTCAATTGCTCTTGGGGCTATACTATTTCGAAGAAAATATCGGTAAGAGTGTATGGCTGTCTGTGGAATTTGGCTCTGGATCCATTTCTTGACGAGGTGGACCTAGATGCAGGCTATAAGCTTACCATCTGCCGGCATGGGTCCTGGCCCTGCCTGCCATTGACGTAAATGGGCGAAACCTCATTTTGTACTCGCACTTTGTATATTAGAGCTGAATGATTCAGCTACGAAACGGAAACTACTCCAACTCTTGAAAATATAATAAGACGAAGTAAAAAGAACCAGCGCTTTCTCCAAACTCCAGAAAAAGCAGCTTTGATATTGAACCAAAATGGCGTTGATTATCATACAAACTCGAGATCTATTGCACCTCAACACCCTCGAGGCCTTCAAGGACCTCTTCGCCAACACCCCCCTTCCCAAGTACAGTCTTAACCATGCGCGCGATCACAGAGCGCTTAATACCACCCCGCCTAGGTCTCCAAACACCGCTAACCTCTTCCTGACCAGCGCCCTCCTCGCCCTGCGTAGCACTGAGAATATTCACATTCTCAGAATTAGGAATGGCAGGCTGGGTTAAGCGGGAAGGCGGGTCAATAGATCGGATAGAGAGCAATTTCAAGGTCTCAGAGTCATGGCTGCGGGTGATAGAAATGGCCAGCACGGCGTCTGCGACGGCAATTTCCTCACGATTGGGGTCGAAGATGACGTTCTCGCCAACAGAGATCACTAGAAGGGTCACGGGTGGGCGGACAGTGTTAAATGAGCCGGTCGATGATTTTGAACGCGGATACAGGTACTCAGCAGCAGCCCAGTCATCGTCGAAGAAGGGGTCTTCTTCGCCTGTGGACTTCAATTTTGGGAGCTTAGTGCTAAGGAGTGCGAGGTGGGTTGTGAGAGAGAGGAGGGGAAGGGGGTAAGCGAGGGGTTGAGAGAGTAAAAGAACCTGTGGTATAGTCTGTTAGTTTCCATGAATCTTGAACCACCACATAGAAAAGCACTTACATCGATATACAACCGCCAATGCCAGCGCTTGTTGATAACGAGTCTCGCCTTCAACCCACCAGCCATTTCATCCTTATTCTCAACAGAACCAACCAGACTCTCGCGCATCATCTCACCCAAGAAAACAGGAAGCGCATCGTCGTCCCTGAACCCCGGGATCTCAATAGACATCTGAACCCACTCTCCCTGCCCAGAGACAGCAGCGGAGCCTTCCTCGCCCTCGCGATTCAGCGCATCGCCATGCTGCGCCAAACTGCGTGAGTCGAGTGTATCAGCTGCGAGGACTGTCTTCTCGACCTCGGCTTTGACACCGACGATCGCTTGCGTGCCGTCTGCGAAACCGATGCGCGCGCTGCCATTTGTGCCGGGGAGGATGGTTGTCTCGGCAGACAGAGGCCGAAATTGTGTTGGTGAGCGGCCGTCTGGTCGAATTGGGTTTTTGGGGAGACTGAGGGAGGTGTAGAGGTAGGAAAGTTCGGCGGGTGAGAGGTGGGGGACTTGGGAGGCGGATGAGGCTTGTCTTTGGTTCGACATTTTGAGAGGTGTGGGTTGTTGTTATATTTGCCTTGGGCTTTTGATCGTGGGAAGCTCAACCAATAATCGGTTGCGCGAGATTTATCTCGGAGCTGTTGGCGGGCGATTTAATTTTGTAGTGATCGACCCGCGATTTTGAAAAATGCTTGTCCAAGGAACTTTCGGGTGTTCTAACAACTGGTAACCAGTGCTGAAAGCTCTCTTCAGTCGGATATTGACTGCGAGCGTGGTACTGGAGAGCAATTGAGGTGAGGGGAAAAGTTGTACAGTCGAGTAGAGCATTCTCAATCAGGAAATCTGGATGGATATCGGATCATTGTTATTCCGCTGGTATCGTGGGCATCAATAACTATTTCGAGATCTAACTATGTCCTTGAATACGAGCTTTGTACACCCTCTCCCCCGTGTTTCTGCAAGCTTAATCCAAGACTCGGACGACCCAGGCTATCGATCGGCGGCTTAAAAGAATTTTGGAGCACTCGCTTGAAATTAACTACTGTCGCCGACGAGCTTCTTTATACCATGTGTCTTGCTTGCGTTTTACGTTTGCGTAGGAAATGACCCTTAGCATAATCAATAAGCTAAAACCGGAACCGAGAGGTCTGTTGTGATATCGGGTCTAATGTGCTCCTTGAAATCTAAGGCCTGGGCATCTGGTAAAATTTGTCGGGGTCGAATTTCGCTCTCCCACCCGTACTGACCGAAAATGGCTACGAGACCCACCAATCCTCGAAGAAACCGTGCGTGTCCCCGAGAAAGACATTCGCATTTTGAATGTCAGCTCGGATGTATATCGATCAACGCCGAAAGGTGGTCTTCTTCTTGATCAAGTGAAGACTCCTCTTGCTGAGATCAACACCATGGCCCGCTACGGCCAGTCAAAACTCGCCAATATCTACTTCACCCAATCTTACGCCAACCGGTATCCTAATATCAAGTCTGTTGCACTGCAACCGAACTTGATCGGACGTAATTTTTGGGTGGGATGGCTGCGAATCCAATCTTGGCTTTTATCTTTGGCCAATTGAACAGGGTCGCTTCGGTAGACGTTCCTACTGAATTAGCTGTGGGCAAGTACTGCCAATTCCGATCAATTCAAGGGCTTGCGTATCATGTTCCATTGTCGAAGGAAGCGAATAGTTCGGGGGCAATGAGTGACAAGGGCTAAGCAGAGGAACTATGGCAATGCAGGGAGAGTGAATTTACTGACCATGGCTTTTGAACTTCATTTCAACAGTCGACTCAGCTACCGATCAGCTGATCCTCAAATCCTGCTTTCAAGTACCTAGGTAGTATCCTTGACTATATGTAGTTCCGAGGTCAATTTGACTGGTTACAAACTTTGAAAAGAGCCGCCAATGTGTGAAGTAATCAGTGCATATGTAGCAGTAAGCTGTGCGTATGGACATAGCCTCAGCCAAGGTGTAGTATATTACAATAGTATAGAACGAGCTGGATCCCCGCCAGACGTCATCAGAGAATGATACAAAAGCAAGAGCAGCAAGGCAGGAGTATGTAAATGCCGGAAATAAACGAACGATAGACAAGAATAAGGATGCAACAGGCAGTAGCCGGAAATGTACAAGGGGGGTGGGGGTTTAGGGTGAGAATTATCAACAAAAGAAAAAGCCATATTCATCGAGAATAATGTGCGACAGATATCGGAATTCGAGTATCAGTTGTGAGGATATGCCAGAGAAGGTAAAAGGCCTAGAAGGCCAAGGGAAATGCGGTGTATGATGCGACTAGCGCATGTGGTATCAAATGCCAATGAAAGAAAACACGCCCCATAAACAATGTGTATCAAGATGTAAATGTAAATGAAAGGACTCCGGAAGGAAAAAGGTAACAAGGCCCGCATCCATCTATAAAAGGCCTGTAGGGGTATGAAGTGGAAAAAAAAGCAAAACGATGGCAAAAGCCCAATGCCCATATGTGAAAAACATAAAATAACACCGTCCGAAAGTGGCCAGTGAGAATAAAATGATGCCCGAATCCATGCGCCTCGAGCTCGGTGGCTCGATTTCTGTGCAATTTTGCCAAATTTGTGCTTCTTTTTCGAAGAAAGTTGGAAGAGATGGTGTGATGTAATTCGATATTTTAGTGAAGGGAGTAAAGCCATCTAAATGAAGTTGGATCCACGCGCGAAGTAATCAGGCTTCTTGTTGTGGTACTCGGCCTCTTCGTAGGGAGGAGTGGGCCAATGGCGGCTTGCAGCGTGATCCATCTTGTGGATGTTCAGCTTGCTGGGCGTCGACTGGTGACCAAATGCGGCGTTTTCCTTGGCCGTCGGTGACGGGGTGGGATAGGGGTTTGGCAGAGCGCGCGAGGTACGACTCGACGGTTCAACGACCATAGACTGGGTCTGGGCAAGGCGCTTGGCAGCCTTGCTGGCGGACTGCAAGACCTCATCCAGGAGCTCATCTTCCTCCTCAGGAGTCTCGTATCGGTGAACAGGGTGGCCAGACATTTGCTTGGCACGGCGGGTTCGGCTGGATATGGGCGCAGACGTATTGGCAGTAGCTTGAGGCATTGATTGACGCTTGTTGTAGTCGGTGCCGTTACTCAGGTGCACAGGGACATTGCTGAGGGTAGACGAGTCCAATGAGTACTTGACACTCTGAAGCGCTCTGTCCAGCTCGCTCAAGTCGGAACCTTGTTTGGGTTCACTGGTAGGTCCGTCAAGAGCCATCGATGAACGATTCGACCATGGAATACACCCCGCGTTGGCTTCAACATCATCAGGGGCTGCAGCCTGGTTGCGTCCTGACAATCTGCGAGCGCGTTTTCGGAGGTGCGAGAAGAAGCTTTCTTTGGTGGTTGGGGTGTTGTTCCCTGAGCCGTTGAGCATTCTTTCGGCCTCTTGGCGGCTCGAGTCTGAGTAATGATTCCCGTTAGAATTGACAGAAAGCTGACGACCAATTTTTGTGCTTGCCGCTGTATCAGATGACTTGGATGATTCACCGTGTGCCACTGTGGCGTTGGCTTGAGCTGTAACGGAGTTTGATAGGGGAGAGACAGGACGGATGGAAGGAAGGATAGGCATAGGGGCACCGCTGGCCCAGGTAGCCCGCTTGGTATTTGCGGGACGCGCCTTAACAGGCTGGATCTCAGGGACAGTGACTTGAGTAACAGCCGACGGCCTGGCAGGACTGTCCTCGATAGTAGGGGCAGGGCTGTCTGACCGGGCGATCAATGATCTGCGGAACCAAGAAGGCTTTGAAGACAATGTAGGAGAGTCACCAGGGGTAAGGTTGGGCGACTTGAAGCTCTTCTCAGACTGCTTGCGACCCAACAGCCTAGATGAGGTCGAGGACTTGGGTCGTACAGGGTCGACCGCATCGGCGAAGTACTCGTGGTTCAGCGCTTGGGTAGACGTCGGGCGGTTCTTTGGGTCCCACATGAGACACCATGTGACGAACTCGGCGAAAGCTGCGGGCCACATTGGCGGCTGAAGAACGGATTCCATCGCGTGGGGTGCCATCTTGGGGAACGTGAAGCCAAGCTTGTGAGCCAAACGCGATCCTTCGCGCCATTCACCACCACCGATCTTCGCGCCCGCCTTGGAGTACCAGTTTCCGGGGCTGCCCATGATCTCGCACACGCGCCAAACTTGATCCACCTCGTTGCCTCCTGGGAACAGGGGCTTCAACGTAGCGATCTCGACTGCCATCGCGCCCATTGCCCACATATCGACCGGGGCCGAGTATTCTCCTGCGCGGAGTAGCACTTCAGGTGCACGGTACCAACGTGTTGAGACATAGGTTGTGTATGGTTGTTTGGAGTGGGTCTCACGGGCGAGTCCGAAGTCGGCGATCTTCACGGTGTAAACGGGAGGAGTAGAGGGAGGAGTGACGAGGTTAGAGTAGCGGCTAAAGGCGGAGTCGTTGGGGGCGGAGGTTGAGACCAAGATGTTCTCGGGCTTGATGTCACGGTGGAAGAAATGGTGGGCGTGGATATGGTCTAGGCCCGACAATATTTGGTAAAGAATACTCTTGACATGCTTGCCATCGAAGTACTTGTTATCACGAGCCTTCATCAGCTGGTACAAGTTTCCATCCATGTATTCCATGCAAATGTGAAGCTTGCGGGAGAGAGGGTCGAGGAAGATGTCGAGAGCAGGGACGAGATGGGGGTGGTTAGGTAATGTTCGGAGGAAGATGACCTCTCGTAATTCCAGACATGGGCCCAGTGAATCGAAGGTCTTCTTCATGGTTTTGATGGCAACCTATGATGGTCAGTATGAGCGTGTACACCGCCAATTCTTGCCATTCCATACCATAGTGCCTCGCCGGGCGATGTGAGCGCCGGCTGTCCGTACCCGTGCTACCGCAACGCTACCGAAGCTTCCATCACCGATATCCTTGATGACCTCGAAGCGGTCCTCGAGGGTGGCCATGGATGTATGTGACCCCCGCGTGGGAGTATCGTATGTGACAGTCATAGTGATATTCCTTCTGGTCTGCCAGCAGATCGGGAGAGGAATGAGGGGTTCTAGAATGAGGGTCAGTTTTCCGAACATTCTGATGAAGATCAGATGGTCTCACAAATTATGTTTTAAAAAAATGGAGATTGTATTTGTAGGGTCTCAAAGTGAGTGTGAGGGAAATCAAATGTAGCAAGTGTTCATGTCCGAGAATCAGCAGCTAGATTGGGATCCCATTGATGAGAAGTAAGGAGTGACGAAGTAGTTGGAGGGGGAGTGACGGAGGTCATGTATGAATAAAGAACAATAAAAAGGGAAACCACCAGAATAGGAGAAGACCCGTAGTGGAGGGATCGGAGGACCGAGGGTGTGAGCCCCTGACGCGCTGACAGCTCGAGCTTCCTGTAGACGGGGCCGTGGAGACGGTAAATTAATGACTTTAGGTCGTTGCAGATCAGCCCACCGTGGCAAAATTGGTCTTTGTTTGGGAAATGAGGTTGGTTTGTAAAAGATTATAGAGTATTCTTTTTTCTTCTTGGAAAAAGGGAATCAGAGGAGAACACAGAGTAGGGTATAAGAACAAGAAAAAGAGGCATATAATAGAGAGGGGGGATTCTATAGGTATAAAATGGGGGAAATAATGATGGTGGGTAAGATCATTGTAATTATCTGTAAAGAGGTGGTAATTATCGTCAGTTTGTGCATGAAAAGGAAAGAAAAAAAACGAATCGAAACTAAAGAAAATAAGAAAAAGAAAATAGAGTAACAATACCAGAAGAAACCAAAGAAACCAACGAAACCAAACAGAAAAAACTAAACAATCGAGATAAAATAAAATTGACCATTCAGAAAGATGAAATAAATCCCAATAACGGGTTCCTCCCGCGTCATCCAATGGTACGACTTTAGTGGAAACGGGTACCTTAGCTTACTTGAAATGACCTATTTACTTTACTTCAGTTCCTATTTACTCTTCATCATATTGACAATATTGTATCATTTCCTTTTCCCCTATTTATCATTCAAATTATTTTGGATGCACTATTCATTTATCCATTCTATAATGGAGTACAAAAGTACCATATCAAATCATCGTTAGAATCCATTATTGTAATGCATATCTTTCTGCATTGTAAATCTCTCATCTGACCGCTATGGATGCACGGCGCCTAATAATTGAGGAGGTTGGGCATACAATAGATGTGTGTGCAGCCTGTAATCGTTGCCCACGAAGCCCTAGCCTGTAACTTGTCTGGGGCGTCTCCGAAGCGGTTGGGCCGCGTTATCCTGTATTTTATTCCACCCGTTGATATTGGCTGCCTCGAACTATCCTGTCAAATGGTTAGTTGACTGACTAATAACCGATATACTCCGTAGCCTGCTACTTATAAGACCCCAGAAACAAAGTACCTTGGGATCATCGACAAACGGAATTACCTTAGACATTTTCAAATATTCACATTATTATCTCCTTACAAAATCTCCCTCGGTGTACGAGTCACTTGAATTGCTTGATGTACCAGATGTAGGATGTACAGCTCGCAGTTCCAGCTCACAGATTAGACAGCAAGGAGCATCCTTTCCTGAGCCATGTCATCTTCGTTATGTCATGTCCTACGTTCGGACTTCTGCCAGTCACGGTCTCAGGACGAACGACTGAATTATGATTACTCTCCTATCGGAAGGATCCTTGTCTCAGTGACCGTGGTTTACATTGGATATTATTCAGATTGACTTTCGTTGACCGGGCATCCTGCCTCTCATTTTTTTTTTTTTTTGCGCCACCTGATCTCCCGGGATGCATCCGAGCTTTCCTGGAGAAAGACACATCTTTTCTGACTGATCCTCCGACTGGTCGGGTCGAATGGTGTTCAAGAATGGTTGGTTCGCATGCCATATGGGAAATTAGTAAACTAGGTTCACCGGGGAGACGGAGACGTTTGCGGGAGAAAAAGGCACATAGGTAAATTAAGCCGTGCTGGGCTGGGAGATGCATATGATCGGTTTCATTTTTCCGTTTCTTTGTTCAAAGGCACAGGATCAAAACAGGTACACAAGTACGGTCTGGGCCCCGTGATGGTTAGAATATCATGGTTTCTCCCGCGACCGATTGGCCATGTAAAATTCGCTAAGTTGACGACTGGGGGGTGATTTGTTCAATATCCGACTCAAAAACTCGTCGCGCGAATTACTCCGTAGTGGCTGTTGCTATGGAGGTTTTAACGTATGATTTACTAAGTAAGCATAAGGAATAATACGGATTCTGTTCTTTGTATAGGATGGTATCGTTAATTAGAGTACTAACAGAGTGCTGACACTATAATGATCCAAACGCATGCAAGTCTCTTACCGCGTCAGTCCGGGGCCTCCACCGACTTCAAAGCCAAGGGACGTTCACGGTCCCGCGGACACAGTCGTGGAAATGAGCAGATGGTCATAGTCAATGGAGACTCTTGACACGGTAAATGTAATTACCTGCAGGAAGCGGGATGAAATGCACCTGTCAGACCAACGAACCCTGGGGCAACCGTTTGTGGCCCGCAAGGATCCAAGATTTATTGCACTCTGCAAGGCTGATTCGACCCAAGTGACCAGTATAATCAGTATAAAACTACCTAGGTATCGCCCCTGCACAAGCGTGTTTCCACCGATGTATCCATATATTCCTAACCACCACGGTTTCAATTGCTCGGCAATCACCCCTATCCGATCTCTACAATGTTCAGTGATTTTCAACCATTTGTGTAAATCAGGGCTGTACCATAGACAAACCAAGTGAATACACAGTGGATCTTCATGAAAATGTGTCCCCATCTTGTACAATACATATGGTAGGTTATTTACTCCATTATGGGTATCTCCATATTTCCAGTATCCCAGACCGCTGCACGCCATAAACAAAACAACACGACATTGGAGTACACACCGCGTACACAAAATACAACCAAATGCGCGAGATGACACAAAGCCACATCCAGACCTGAAATAATTCACAAGTGGAGATGTACTCCGCGCGTACCAAATTGGAAACCAATAACCACCGCGCAAAGATCACTAGTGTAATGGAGCCTATGCGCCAACAATGTTATTGGCCCCGACGTCAGAAACAGCCCACTTTCTCCAGTATTCCGCCTATGACGACCACTTGTACGCCTCTTATCGCTCACAAACGCCTAGTCGCGCACCGGTCGATTCGGGGCACCACGGAATGCTCCACCGTGGACCTCATCCAGGCCCGTCCCTCTACCCGCGCAGGGCCGCTATAGGGGAGAATTGATTTTTTCGCCACTTAGGAAGGGAAACTATTTGTTTTCCAAACTGCTGGGAGGCGCCGTCGTGTTCCTTCGACCTTCGAGAAGGATGTTCTGACAATGTGACCATCAGACATTGGGAATAATAGGCTCAACGGTCGAATTATTCTGATCTACAATGGGTTTATTGATCTCCAAAAAAGCAATTCAGACGGGCGAAGATAGTCAATCTTTTCGTTGCCCCCCTAACAAGACTTGGAGACGAAGGTTAAATTCTAAATCACCAACTTGGGAATGTCCAGGAGGTTCGCCCCGAACTTCCCACTTACGCAGGGACAAAACTGAGAGTAACTTTGTTTTTCTGTTACCCATTTAGACGCATTCGACTCACACTACAGTACAACGTAACGATTCCTTCGACGCTAAATTCACGGCCCACATCAAACACCGAAACGGTCTGTGTTTTCCAGAAGCCGTGGAAGCCTCGGGAGAGGCACACACCCCCTTGATCGCTGGGACTGTCAGATCTACCATAATGAAGCACCGTACGGAGTAGATTGCCCCAAGCACGAGGAACTAATTTAGTTCGAAGGGGATCGGTACTTAATTGCTTCCAGTATAGTGGCTCAACGGGACCGCCGTCACTCTAGTAACGTTCTAGAGATGATGAAGCTTCTGCGCATCGGGAAGGTGTCTACAACACTTGGGCAGATATTTCTGTCTGACTTTAGATTGTTTTTCTTCCCCTTGGGTGATTAGCCCTCAGTGGCAGTGCCTAGTTCCTGTCATCCTTCGTCGACTCCGACTCCGCCGGTGTATTATTAGATTGCCGAAAGGTGGCGGTGATGTCTTGCGTGCAATCACGTTGTTTATATTGCCCCTCCTATATTTCTCTCTACCCCTGTGTTTGACTGAGTCTTTCAGCGTGTCATCTTGGGTTAGCTCTCCCAGGGTTCTGGGAAATAATCTCCGTGGCCCGGTTGGAAATCAGACCCCCTTTTGTGATTGCCCCTAATGCAGAGCCTATCTCGCATGTGTTTCTATTTGGGGTTTGTGCGCCGCTTTCTATCATTTTCTCGAAGGTCATAGTCTGACCTCGGATGTCGCTGCCGTGATTTGGGCAGAAGGCTGATTTGAAATCTTCTCCTTTTGTGGCTCTCCGAGGAACCTGTTTGATGTCTTGTTTGAGCCTCTGACAAGGACGGTGATGTGCTGCCGAGACTCTGTAGGGTAGTTTTGGACTATGGGCCATCACGACAACTTGTACATACCTAAATAAAGGCCATTGGCACTACTACGTAAGATGAGCTTCCTTGGAGCCCTGGGGCAACCTCTTGTTGATATCGATGTTATTCTCAATGACCTAGATAGCACTGCAAATGATTCTGAGCACCTTTCAAGAGGCCTCGCTCAAAGACCTCTTCAACACTTTTTTTCTGGTATCTTTTCTATTATGTATTTCAGCGTGCCAATCTGTGTAGCGCCCTCAACCCAGTCGCTCGAAACAGAATCCAACCCTACAAAACTCTCACTAAATTCCAGAACAGAACCCACCCCAAAACACACAGCAAAACACATTAGCAACAATCACTCTTCTTCAAGCAACTTGAACCATTCCGGGATCTCCTCTATAAGCTTCCACATGCATTTCTCAAGCTTCACCGCACACTTGGTGTAAACCGTTGTCGCATCATTATACTGCCGACAATTATTAAAAACCAACTTGAGATCACTGACAAGGTCTTTTGGAGCAGCATAAAAATCACGCTCCAATCTTTCTTCTATAGTGGACAAATCCATTGGCGATGCAATTGTATTGTAGTAATCAGGAACCTCGTCTTTGTTAACCGGTTTGAGAAAAGGCCATGCTTGTTTATGGTTTTGGATCTCGTTGAGAAAACGTCGAAGTTCATTGAAATGAGGTCCATGGCGTGGTTCCCGTGCTAGTTCGTCCATCTCTGGAGACCAGCCAGTTGCCCGAATAGCAGGGATAGAGAGTGGATCGGTTGGGGTGACGATTCCGTTGGCCCATTGCTGAGGGGGCGGGTGGACGACGTGACTTTTGCTCAGGGTGCGGATCTTGGCTCGAACAGACTCCTTCTGCTTGAGAAGCATACGGCCAACTTCGAGATATCGGATTCGGGGAACCATAGAGCATTGCATAAGTGTGCCTCCTTCGTAATCTTTGATACAACCCATCCAGATGGATTTGTCGAGAGCAATCTCTTTGGTGAACCCTTGTTTTTGGAAATACCCGGTGGCATAGTTGTCGGCGTAGGTTAGGAAATGCATCACTGGGGAAGAAGCCTTGACATAATCCTTTAAATGAGCCATGAGATGTGCTCCGTATCCTTTCACCTGCTGATCAGATGAGACCGCGCAAAACACGATTTCGGCAAACTTGCGGGCTCGAAATTCTCGATATGATATTCCGCCAATGACCTCCAGGGGCATTTTGATGATGGCGATAGATAAGTGAGTTCGATCGTAGACGAGACGTGCGATATAATCTTTGGGCATCTTCGGGAGTTGCTTTTGAAAGAGGCATTTAAGGCCTGTCAGGATAATCATACTCTCTGCAGAGCCATCGTTATTGACAACTCGGAACTCGATGTCGCCATTTCGTTCTTCCAAGACCGCAGGCTTTAGAACAGTCAAAGTGGTTCCTGGTAGTGGAAGGTTTCGTCATACGTACCTTTTCTGGGAAAGGGACTATTCGCGCTATAACCGAATTTTTAACATTCGATTCCATCAAGCCATCATGGAACCTCTTGGTTTTAATCCTTTTGGCATCAGGAGCTGTGTTGCATTCTTCGCTAGTCATGCGCTTCTCTATGAGGTTTTGCCCGCCATTGACTGGGATTGACTTCGACTCTGGCTTTGCCATTACGCCGAATATCGGCAACACCGAGCTTGCAATGAGCTATATGCAAACAAGTGTACCTTAAACTGGGACCGACTGTAAATATTGTACACTTTTCCCTTGAATGTAATAGGTAACTAGAATCCGAATCCTAGATTTATGTTGTGTTGACAACTGCGCTCGGCAAGATAGCCAGGATATCCGCGGTTGGGAGAGTTCGTGATATTAATGACCATGAATATAGAAAGCGTATGTTGTTGAGCTATCATGAAGAGCAACTTGTAGTCCAAGGGGCTGTTGTCAGTCACGAATGAGGCCCTGGGGTCCGTGTCACACCGCTTTCATGTACCCCTGCATCCTTGACGTTTCGTGAACTGTATGTAGTAAGCAATATATCGACTCTCGGCAGGTTTGAGAAGCTAGTAGTTGACCATTAGATTACAGGTGCTCGCTAGTCTAATTCAATATTCAGTCTATTGCCACTAATGCAGAGGCTATCTTGCTATGCTTCTATCTACGGATATTGAACCGCCTTCTGCCCAGATGTGGGAATTCTATCAACGTCTTGACGTGGACATGAGGTTGATTTCTAATCCTTTCTCTCTTGAAGCCCCTGAGCCCTTGAGCCCTTGAGCCTCTCTTTACTTAAATCCTGGGTTTTATGTTACATTCAAATATAGAATCAGTCGTGACACACTAGATTGCACATTGTAGAAAGCACTGCCAAGGCTTTGGTTGTACAGTAGGCTTTTGGGATTACCACGACAAACTGACTATTCAGACCTTTCAGCCTATAGGTACTCCAGCATATATCTGTTGGACACCAGCAAGATTTTCCAGCGCAGATATAAAAGTAGCTGAGGAATTTTGAAAAGGAGCATCAAACAATATAAAACTAGACCCAAGGAGGTACTAGTTGAGTAAATACAAAGTTATAACTATCGAGAATATTCTCCCAAAGTGTACGTTTAGTGCATTTTGTTTGTTTCTTCAGGTGTATGCATTTATTGATACCTATCAATGTATCACATCTCTCACCTGCTTTCTATAATTCCAAGCTTCCTTCAGACATGATGATAAAGTAATGACATAATGAGATATATCTTGCTACGCTTAACATGGTTTCCTAGTTACATAATTATATATACGTAACAATCATATCATTTTATCTTGAAGTGTTTGTGTTCAAGAAAATCGAACAAATTGGTTCTGAGAAAGGTTGTATATGCTAAAAACTTCACTTTGCAAAAGAGCGACCACACGAATTCTCTCACGCGCAATTGCTATACCTTGCACATATAAACTGACTGCTTGACTTTACCTAGGTAATCCATTTTCAGCTTCTTTTCATCACCATCTGGGCATTCCATCTTGGTGACTTACTGCCATCACTTTTAAAGTCTCCTGCCCTTTCTCCAATATTCCCTCAAAATTCCTCGTCTTCAACAGTCAGTCCTTCTACCCACTGTTTTGCGACCCAAAATGCTGAGAGCTAAAGGTGAATTCATGTGAGTCAAAGATTATAATCTTGGAACATACATATGCTGACAGTGTAACAACAGAGGCGGCCGGCCTAAACTCCCATCCGAGTAAATATCCGCACAATCGTCAGTCCCACGCAACCTCGCTTACCGGTACAGAATTATCTGCTGCGTTTGCAAAAGGTCTCGAACGATCGGCCAATACTCAAACAGCCAGCTCACCAAGCTCCGCCGAGCAAGTTACAAGGATTATGGCTTCGATTTCGTGAAGCAGCAGGTGGCCAAGTGTGCACCATGCGCCAACTCTCAGATTGTCGAACTCAAATGCTACAAATGTGGACACATACTAGACATCTCCCAGTTCTCTAAAAATCAGCGAATCCGCGAAGAACCTGTATGTCTTTTTTTGCATGCTTAAATTCCTCTAACTTCTTTGATAGCTTTGCCAGCCATGCATGAACTATCAGCAGTCACTCGACGCCGGCGGCAAACCCCCTTCTTTGGAGCCACCCGAGGAGGAGGATGAAGATATTACTGACTTGCAGAGTCTGACGGAGGATGTTGGTCTGGTGAGTGATCAAAATCTGTCACTATCAAAATCTCGCTTATCATTGTATAGACTTTGCAAGAGAGTGATGTTTTCGACATTGACACGGCTCTTGTTCAATTCCAGCGGAGTGGGTGTTTGGTGGCCAGCAGTGATGAAATTTACAAGCGGAAAAGTCTCTTTGATAAGGTCAAGGTTGGTCACTGGCCTAGCGTTTCATTCCCTCACATCCTTGAATTTCTTAACTCACTTGTTACATTAGGCCCACCGTGCGTCGCCAACGCCCGTCGATGAACCCACACCAGCCCCGGGATGGACCTCCGACGGTATCAATGTCAATGACGGTACTCCATGGAAGGGATACAAGTATATTTGAGGCCACAGACGATGCACAAGCAACTCCATCTGATCTTGTCTTATTGCTCTTCAGTGCGCTTCCTACGGACATTTCTTCTGTGGTTCACAATGCTTCTATCTACAGTCTGTTTCCAGCGCGGTATGTGCCTTGCCATGGCTTTATTTGCAGCGTCTTATTGCTTCTTTTTCTTCTCCAATAGCTTCTCTTTTTTCCAGTCTCCATCTAGGTATCGTTAGCTGCGAACGTGAAATGAAATTTCAATTATACCTCTTTTCTGAGACCTTTGATGTGTGGTACTATAACCATCAGCTTCGATATAAACTAGTTGTCAAGTTATTTACATATGTACATAAATACATATGTATATATATATATATATTTAGGTATCAAATGTATACAAGATACCAATTTGGATGACAGGTCCATTGCATACATGTATGTACCATGGTTATGACATCGTAGGTACCCACCATCTTCCTAAAAATAGAATTGTTTATTTACTTTTTGATTCACTTTCTGTTCGACTTATCTTAACACTATGGTGTTTATGTCTACATAATTAGTGTATTGACTGCTTTTTAAAGTCAAATATGGGGATAATTCAAAAGACACAATAAAGAATATCTAGTCGAACCCAAAACCTGTGCTTTTGATCGGCTGATTGGGGGTAGTCCTCGGATCCCAGCCGACAGTTGGGCATGACATAGCTAATTTTTGAATAAAGTGTCCTTCCCAGCCCTGATAGGTGCAAGAAAGTTGTAATTGATATGCACGCATAGCATGGAAGATGCACCTTGCTCTAGTAAACCGCCGATCTTAACGCTTTTATGTTAATAATTTTACCCTAGCAATATGACAAGTGGAGATTTGTGGCACTCAAATATATTAAAGAGCGACCTAACTAGTAAACAAGTGACGTCGAGGGAACACAAAGAGAAAAGAAATATTCCAAAGGGCAAATTATCTGAGATCGCCACAGCGTATCGCTCTCAGCTCTCATCCCCCCCCTCCCCACTAGCCCCTCCACCTTTTCTTTTCCATGTAATTCGTAATCTTTCTAATTACACCTCTCCTACTTTACTTTTGAGAACATCTTGATTTCTGTGGCTGATCTACCTTCACACCCTCTGGGCATCTCTATCACATATCGAAAAACCCCCCTTGTGCTGAGAGGGCTTCTTTACCGTCCCTGAATTGAACCGATGGCCTACGATGGATATTACGCGAACCAGTATCAAACGGGCAATATGAACCCAGATGCAAACGAGCATGGGTACTCACAAGCCCCTCAATATCCTTACCACGAGACGGACCACTTGAATATGCCTCAGCCGCAGATGCCGACCGGATCACCAGCAAACCCAACCTCGGAATCATACGCGCCGGAGCCATACGCCTATCCTGAACCACAAAGATACACCCAGAACCCAAGCAGCGGACATATCAACGATGCAGTGAATTCTGCTGTTCACAACAGTGGATCCACAGGCTATCTGTCGCCAGAGGTTTTGTCTCAAATCACAGCGACAGTGATCCAGCAACTCAAAACGACCGGGTTGGACAGCAACCTACAGGGGTCTGGTGCACCCCCGCCCCGCTCGCAATCTCAGCAGCCACCATGGCAAACAGACACGTCTTTACGGGTTAACGCAGAGTCACCCCATGCTGTGCCTCAGAGGAGCACTTCCATCCCTCCGCCTAGTTCGCTGCCTGGAAATATCGATACCAATTTCCAAGCTTACGTTTCGGACTATAACGAGGGCTATCCGCGTAGTCATTCTAGTCTGGGATCTCCCCCACCCCCGACTGATAGACGTGCCTCTGTTTCCAGCCAGGAAAGCGGTCGGAGCCACTTGACTCGTCCTAGGCCCCCGGATCGAGACGCTACTGTTATGGAAATGACTACTCTGGAAAGAGTTTGGCAGACGCTATTTGATGAGGAGAAGCAGAAGCCGACAAGGAGATTGGGACAGTTCTTGCGTGGGATTGCGGTTCATTTGGTAAATGAGTTTGCTTTGTTCCAGTACCGAGGATGAATGGCTAACTCGACTAGATTGAGGACTATGAGCCGAAAAAGAGTATTGTCATTAGCCCCGAGAAGCTACAAAAGTTCTACTTGGACACTCATGATCCCGATGATCCTTATCCATGGCATGGTAGGTACTCTTATTGGACATCTTTACATTGACACCTTCTCTAAGTCCATATCTAGATATTTTCGATGACCGGACTTCCCAAATTTCTCGACTATTCCGTGAAGTCAAGGCCGAACATCATCTCGTCCAAAAGAACGGCGATCCCACACAACGCCCCGACATCCCAGGCCTAACACCCAAAGGCTTTGAACAATGGGCGACTCAAATGATTATCGCCAACCCAGACCGCGAACACAGGCGTCTGGCAAAAGCAGTCCTAAACATGCCAATCAGCAACCCAGACGACACAAAGGAGCGATTCCCCAAAGAGCTCCCCCGTAGTCTCTTCCCCGATAGGGCCGACATATCGACCAGAGAAAAAATTGAGGACCACATCATGAAACACTGCAACGTCGACCTCCCCTATATAACCGAGGAAGAACGCAATGAAGCAACAAACCCCCAACCCCCAACCCGCCGCTCACCATCGAACTCCGCCTCCACAAGCCAGCGAAGCCATTCATACGAGAGAGGCCGTCCCTTACGCGCAGCATCAACATCAACAACAGGATTGGACCGCTCATCAGCCAGCGACGACGAAGAAGTCTTAATCCCAGGCCCAATCGAGCGCGAGCGCAAACCCTACAGCGCCGCGCCGGGCGGCGGCGGCAAAAAGTACGAAGAAGATGTTCCGTCCAGGTCCCGACCGTCTGCTTCAGCCTCGGAGTCAACTCCCAAGCCAAGGCGCTCAGACCGTGACTCCCTACACGCGCATGATATGTACTCGCGTGGCAGCCGCAGTTCTTCAAGGAGCGTGCATCATCAGAATAGAGGTGATTACAGGCATTCTGAAAGTGATCTCCCGCGGGATCGGGAGTCGCGCTATAGCTGGTCGGCGCAGGATCAGCCGTTTGTTGAGTCACCTGTTGCGGATGATGATGCTCGTTATCGTCGCCGTGCGGCTCGGCATGCAGATGAGTACCTTCCTTCGACTGGGATGCTTGGGGGTCAGGGGGGTCCGGGCATGGGTATGACAAGTATTACCGCTGAACAGTCGGTTTCTTGAATTGAAATGTTATACGACAAGTTTTGTGTTCAATGTTCTTTTGATTGTTTTGCTTTCTGGTCTCGGCTCCAGGCTGGTGATTCTATCTCTGGGGTTGATCTTGAGATATTCACTTTGATTTCAGCTTTCAGCTTTTGGCTTTGGCTTCGATTCCCTCGAGCTGGCGTTCTCTCAACACGAAAATACCCCTTCTTTCTGGGGCAATGACTGACGATGACGATTGACGTTTCCTATCTTATATATATGTTTGATTTATAGCAATGGAAGAAAAAAGCGCACAGCAGACTTGACTTGGAAATACACGCGCACAAATTGTACACCTAACCGAACCCAAACTTCCTCATAACCCTCTGCCCATCCTCTCTCAAAGCCCCTAGCTCCTTCTCCCTAAACTTTTCCTCGCGCTCATACTGCCGCGCAATAGCCCTAGCGTCTTTCGCCTCACGCTCGATCCTCTTCCTCGCCCTCTTCTCAGCACGTCTCCTGTCCTCAAGAGCCTTCTCATCGCCTCTCTCGGCAGCTTCTTGTAATGAAGCGATCTCATCATCTGTAAGGACCCACGGCACGGAGAGAACTTCAATCAGGAAGCGCAGACGATCATCCAAGAATCGCATTTCGGCATTTGTATCGGCAACTATTTTGAATCGCTCGAGATTTACTTGCATTGTGTTGCGAAAAGTCGAGAGAACGCCTTTGACTAGCACTAGCGTGCCAGGCTGGAGGGACGAGATATCTATCTCGTCACGGTCTGTTGTGGTAGTATGTATTATCTGTGCGGGTGGTTGAAGAGTTCCTGGGGTCGTGACCGAGAACGCAGACCAGGGCGTTTGCTCTACGCCGGCTTCTTTGAGAGGTTGGCCAGTGAAAATATTTGTCTCGATTTCTTCAACTTCTTTGGCGCTGCTGGCACTCGGTTTTGGGCTGACCTTCTGTAGTACTGCGACCTCGATTGTGGCACCGCTGCTGTCATCGAGTGTCAGGAGTGTGCGCCGCCAGACGTCTGTCCGGGCTACTATCAGGCCTACTAGGCTGACATAGCGAATTGGGTGGTTGTTGTAGAAGAATATGTTTTGGACTAAGATTGTGTTAGCTTGGTACTTTTTTATGTATTATTATAGGTCTTGGATGTGATTTGAGGTGTAGATATTGAGTGTTTTGGCGATGTTAGGGACGTGGTATGCAGAATTGTGAAAACAGACCCAAAACCTGGGAACAATCGAGGAAAGCATAGATAAAATACAAAGTGGAAGTATAGCGCGCGATATCAACTTCTTCGCGCAAGCCTCTTTTTTGAGTCTCTGCGCAGAGGACTCAAGTATGCACACAGGCACTAGACACGTCGAACCCTAGGAAACCACGACAAACTGAAACAAACAAAGAAATACTTAGTGACATACCCGAAAATCCTCCGAATTCTCGGAGACGATGTACGTCTGCAGCCCCCATTTTCACCCAGGTGAAGTGCGTTGGTGACGCCTTGAAGCAGAACGCGGGGTAGAATTCGAGGCTCTCATTGCTGCTTGTCTCCATTGGCTCATCTTTAGATTTGAATGCTTTTCGGGGAAAACATTGAAAGCAATCAGGTTGCGTGTAGGACTGGAAACTCAGACTGGAGATGAGAGTCGGCTTGAGTCACGTGGCTGTATACCAACCAAATATCGATCGCGTTCGTCCACTTGCAATACAATTCAGGAGGGAAGTAATTTCCGTCTATCGTGTGAGCTCTTCAGCTTGGGGATGCTTCAACCCCTTCGTTCTACAGCCTTGTACATACGACCGATGCTCAATGGCATTGTGAGATCTCGAAAGAACCAGAAGAGTAACTTGGCAGATGCTCTGCACTTAACACTGAACTTTTAGGCATTAATGAACCAACATTTCTGACATGTCTACGTCGCTTTCAAGCCAATCTATCAAGCCTTACATTCTTTATAGATAGATATTGGTCTCCCCTTCCATCATCCTCTTCTTCGGATTCCTCGGCTGCTGCTGCTCTTCTTGCCTGCGTCTTTCCTCGGCACTAACATTATCGTTATTACCATCTCCATTCTTCTCCAAAGCAGCTTTAACCTCCTCCTCCCAGTTTTCATGTCCCGCAAAGGCAACCGTCAAAATGTCCTTCTCCAACCCGCCCACATGCTCCCACTCAATACCCGCCTTCGTCAACATCTGACAACCCTCCGACTCCCCAACAAAAGTTGAAGGCTCCTTGACACCAAAGTAAACCTTACTGATACCCTCGCGGCCACCCTCCGTCGTCTGCGCAATGCGTTGGGCGCATGGCACATTCCCCGACAATCGCTTCCCGCACGGCTCCATCGTCACGTACATGACGAGCTTCCGGTCGGACTCAACGGGTAGCACTGATCTAACGTTATCATCGGAGACTTCATGTACAGCCGCGTAGTTGGAGAAGCAGCATTGCTCTGCGTGTGTGTTGCCTGCTAGCTCCATTGTGTAGCCCGTTGAGAGGATCCGATCGTCTGCGAAGGTGGGGTCATTGTCTTTGCGAGAGAGGAGGATTGCGCCGACGCGGAAGTTTGTTGGGCGTGGAGGGGATTGCTCTGCTAGCGAGAGGCATTTCTTTAAGTAGGGACTGTGTGGGGAGGTGCTTGTCGCCATGGTGGTGATGTCAATTGTGGCTGGTTTGGATGCTGCTGATGTAGTGCCGAAGGGAAATTGTCAAGGTATGTGTTTGTATATATAGATTGAATACTGGGATCGAAATATCTCTGCGCCTTTTCAACGCTGAGGAGAGTCAAGTGTCGTTGTCAGGGTGAGCTTGAAAGTGGGTTGGTTGATAGACAAGGCGGGGAGCGGCAGAAAATGACGAAATGGCCAGTCGCGTCCAAGTCGCGTAAAGTCCTTCCGTGTACCGCCACAATTGTTTGTCTATCGAATCTCAGCGGCGTTCGATCAAGTATATCCAAATTGAGAAGCTCTATCGATTTATTTTCTGACCTATCCGAATCACGCTCGTTGCGTCACAATATCTCACAATGGCCAAAGACGCGAAACCCGCACTCGATACAGAAATGCCCTCCGCCGAGGAGGATCTCTACAAGATTCTAGGCATCGCATCTGATGCCACTACGGAAGCTATTAAAACCGCATATAAGAAGAGTGCCTTGAGAAACCATCCCGGTACGCATTTCCACCTACACCAAAGTACACAACGTGCTAACTTGAGAGCAGACAAGGTGAGCGAAGATGCCCGTGAAGCAGCCAACGCAAAATTCCAGCAGATCGCACTGGCATATGGTGTTCTCTCAGATCCCCACCGACGAAGCGTATACGACCGTACCGGCAGCACTGATGAAGCCTTCGGCGAAGACAGCGACTTCAACTGGATGGACTTCTACCGCGAACAATTCTCGGCAATGATTGACTCCCACAAGATTTCGGAATTCCAGAAGAGCTATCAGAACTCAGAAGAGGAGAAGAATGACCTGCTCGCCGCGTATGAGATGCACGAGGGTGACATGGATGCCATTTATGAGACTGTCATGTTGTCCAATGTGCTTGAGGACGATGAACGGTTCCGTGCGATTATCGACCAGGCTATTGCTGATGAGGAGGTTGAGGATTTCAAGGCATATTCCCAAGAATCTGAGAGGAAGAAACAGCAGCGTGTGAAGAAGGCACAGAAGGAAGCCGCAGAGGCGGCGAAAGAAAAGAAGAAGATGGATGCGAAGAAGAAGAAGAAGGGCGGTGCTGGCTCTACGAGCTCCAGGGGCGCTGGCGATCTGGATGCACTTCAAGCTATTATTTCTCAGCGCCAAAAGGACCGCGGCGGAGATTTCCTCTCTAGACTAGAGCAGAAGTATGCGCAGCCTGGCGACAAGCGCCTTGGGGATGATGAGCCTTCCGAGGAGGCTTTTGCTGCTGTTGGTGCTCGTAAGAGCACAAAGCCCAAGTCAAAGAGGGTCAAGGCTTGAGTAGTGTTTGATTATTATTCATGTGTCATGTCTCGGCGCTTATCATGGTGGTTTAGTAAAGCTAGGCGTTTTGTGATTGCATCTGGACAGGTTAGAAATGCTTAATTTGATTTTATCCTTGAAATCGTGGGTCTATTATATGCTCCGTGAGGTATGGAGTAGTTTTGTGTCTTGGCTCCGTGTCTTCCAATGTTGTAAATGGCTTGGTTGGCTCTACATCTGTAATGATGCTCTCAGGTATGTACACAATTGACACATGGTAGCTACATCCTAATCATAAATTCAATTTAATTGATTACAGTTGGGAAATAATATCCTAGCCTGCATTCTGGTGGACATGCAGCCACCAACTCGGCGTGGCTGCAGTAAGAAGCCTCAGATTGGGCTCTTACTCCCAACCTGCTTTCACTTTTCTGTCCCCTCACTATTCTTTGTGTTCACCTGTTTCTTTGAATTTCTCAGAGCAGATCTCTGTAGGTTTTTTATACAGATTCCGGTTGCCAGATTATCAACATTGCCACTACCTTAAACCACCTTATTTTCCTCTGAGCTATATCCGATTTTTTCGACATTACACCCCCAAGCGGCAGCTACCTACAATTTTCGGTACTTTGAGACCATCCCCGGCAACACGCTCGTCATAACTAGGCGATTTACTCCACATTCCTCAGTGCTTGGCGCGGATTGTTGGATGAGCGGCTCACTGGGTTCCCCACAGGCCGGAGGCGGTGCCACAATGTCGTACCACACTGATCGAACCTCTCCCATATCAAGCACAGAACAACTCAAAAGCCCCAGTGGTCAATCAACTGTATCAACAACTCCAATAAACGAGAGACAGTCGAGCCTGAATCGCGCTCTACAGAGTTTACTTATTGCCCCGCAGTCCAAGGGTGCGGGCGGAACAACTTATTCGCCTAGAGGCACCTCAACGCGCAGTCCAGTCGAACCACTTGTGTCATCGCCTTTACGCATCATTTCCTCAGCTATGGCATCTGCTCCAAGTTCGCCAGAGCGGCACACGGCTGATCCTGGGGTTATCCCTCGCAGATCATCCGACCAGCCTGTTGACATTGTTCGACCAACTACAGGCCGGCTTGGCAATGATTATGACGCAAATTCTGGGGAAAATCCTCATATCAAAAAGCGTTTTCTCCAAGCGCGGGACAGATCTCAAGGCCGGAAGAGCATGGCTGCCATGGTGTCTAACCGATTCAAAAGCTTCCGTCGGGACTCTTCACAGGGATCTTCCCATCTTCAAGACACATCACGGGGATCTTCCCAGCGTGGATCGTCACTTGACTCCAGGTCTCCCCATTCCCCGGAGCGGGGTCGGCCCGGTTCGTCTGGTGGCCATTCTTCACACATCGAAACTTTCAAGCGAGCTCCTACTAGTTCGGAAAAGGGGAACGCAGTAATTATAAACGATTCCCTCAATAAGTCTGACGACGCACTGGTGAGACCATCTGGGAGTCTTCCTGCTTATATCAAACCCACAGCCTCAGAGGAAGGAGGAGAGCGACTACCCAAGGACGTGTTCGACCGCGATAAGAACATGATTGAGAGCAGCGAGGATGAAGCCCACGACACCTCAAGTGATGACGACAGTACTCTCGAGGGCCAAAGAGGCCGCAGCAAGAAGAAGAAGGGTTCTGATATTACATCTATCACCAAAAGTGATTTTGAAACCCCCAAGGATAACAAGCCAACACAGCCCGAAGAACGTATGTTGCTTTTACCAGACCCACATTTATAAGCAGCCTGATTTACTAACCTTGCATCACAGAAAAATCGTATGACAAGTCAAGCGGGTCACAAGGAAAGAAACCCCGGAAATCTGCTTTGAAGGCTGTTGTACATCCACAGACAAGTTTCGACATCCCGACTCCTCGCCTTCAGTCGGTTGCTGGCACACCTTACGGTTCCGAGGATGAAGCTGAGATTGGCGACATTCATCGTGCCCAGAAGCTCAGCATTTCCATGTCGGCAATTGATAATGGTGTCCCCAACCGATCAATTAGAACCATCGTTCGCGGCAACTTTTCAACTCTGCAAGATCAAGGAGATGGCAGCCGTCGTCGACCGCGCAAATATTTAATTGCCACCGACCTAAGTGAAGAGTCGGTATATGCACTCGAGTGGACCATTGGAACAGTTCTGAGAGATGGAGACACAATCTACGCCATCTACGTCATGCACGAGGATTCGACAACCACCTCGGCCGTTCAGGTTGGTGAGGGAGCAAAGGTGATGAAAGATGCAACAGCTGTTGTTGGCAGCCAGACAAAAGAAGCAAACCAACATGGATCACGTACGATCCTGGGTCGTCTCGGAACCGGTACTAGCAGCAAAACACATTCTGCTGATTCTCGAGGAGCGTCTATCGCGGAGGCGGAACGGGTACGGGCAGTTGAGACCGTGTCTCAGACTTGCGTGAACCTGCTGCGCAAAACGGTCTTGCAGGTCCGTATTGCCGTGGAAGTGATTCACTGCAAGAACCCGAAATCTATGATCACCGAAGCCGTTGGTTCTCTCCTCTCTCAAAGCATTATCAACGCCACTAACTCTGCTCTTAGATTGATGCGCTGGAACCAACACTCGTTATTGTGGGTGCTCGGGGCCAGAGTGCCTTGAAAGGGTAAGTCTCCTACCAGCCCCCATGTTGCGGTTTCTCAAACAGAAAATGGAACTAACACCTACCTCAGTGTTCTCCTTGGCTCGTTCTCCAACTACCTCCTTTCCAGTTCCTCTGTACCAGTGATGGTCGCACGCCGAAAACTGAAGAGACATACTTGGAAAGAGAAACTCAAGGGTACTGCGAATGTGCGCCTATCCAATAATCTAATAACCCCAAAGAGCCTTTCTCAGGCGAAGGTGGACTGATGTGGCACTTTGTTTCTTCTTTTTCTCTTCTTCTACTTCTTCTGGCTTGCATTTTTATACTCTGTGGCAAGACTACTGTCATCTTGCGCAGCGGTTCAAACAGTGCATTAGATATGGGGCTTTTGCCCTCTTCTCTATTATTACACGGATACCCCACTTTTTATGGGCTTATAGTCTCCCCTTATATCATTCTTCTTTTTCTCGGTTGGTAGACCAGAGTATTCGGGCCCTGTTTTGTATGTAACTTCTGAAGAAAATCCACCCCAGCTCTGTGCTGGACTTCCCGAAGGGCTAGAATTGCGGTGCATCAACAAATCCTGATAATAAAACTGCAAAGAGGATGTAAGGAATTGTTTATTGTAGTTAAATATAACTATACTCCGTAGCAACTGAGGACATAGAAGGGAACGCCAAGCAAATACGGCCAGGCCTACGCAATTGGACATCACGTGCAACGTCACCGCCGAGCTCCATCGAGACAGATCAACCCCCCAGTTCCACCTTTGCTCACCTTCCTATCATTGCCTATTTGTTACTCGACCCTGAGCCTTCGCCATGGCCGACTTACTCGATACCCGGACTCGCATGAGGGTCAACCCCCAGCCAGAATATGGGACAATCAACAAGATCAACGGACCGCTGGTCGTCCTCGAGAATGTAAGTCGATGCGCAGTGATTGGAGGGAGCTATCAACCTCCATATACTCAGCAAGGCTGCCAGAAATAAAGGCCTCCGGCTTTTCTAGCTGCCCATATTTCTTTCCGCGACTTATGTGATCGAAGGGAGCTATATGCTAATAACATGCTGTGAAATAGGTCAAATTCCCTAGGTTCAAGTAAATAGATCGTCCGCCGATATTCTTCATTTATGCAACTAACATGTCCCGGGTAGTGAAATTGTCACCTTAACATTGGCGGACGGCACAGAGCGCAGTGGCCAGGTTCTGGAAGCCAGAGGTGCGTTCCCCGTTCCCCACATTTTTGAGCTATCGATGTGATTACATGGATCTAAACACGGAGTCTAACCAATCTATCTTTGATTAGGAAACCGAGCTGTTGTGCAGGTACGGACGCAGACCCATGCAGTTACCCACCCCAATCAACGTATACGGCATTAACACAGCTTGTCTACAATTAGGTGTTTGAAGGAACCCCTGGTATCGATGTGAAGAGGACCAAAGTCAAATTCAGCGGCCACAGCATGAAGCTCGGTGTGTCCGAGGATATGCTGGGTCGAGTTTTCGACGGTTCTGGGCGCGCTATCGACAAGGGTCCCAAGGTATTGGCAGAGGACTACCTCGATATCAATGGCCAGCCTATCAACCCTTACTCCCGAGTGTATCCCGAGGAAATGATTTCAACCGGTATCTCCGCTATTGATACAATGAACTCTATCGCCCGTGGACAGAAGATTCCCATCTTCTCCGCTGCTGGTCTGCCCCATGTACAACATCCCCATGTCAAATCTCCAAGCAGACCAGTGGAGCTAACCATTTCATAGAACGAAATTGCCGCGCAGATTTGTCGACAAGCCAGTTTGGCTAAGCCCACAAAGGATGTCCACGATGGCCACGAGGAGAACTTCTCTATCGTCTTCGCCGCTATGGGTGTTAACATGGAGACTGCCCGTTTCTTCACTCGCGACTTCGAGGAGAACGGAAGTATGGAGCGTACCACTCTTTTCCTCAACTTGGCCAACGACCCTACAATTGAGCGCATTATTACTCCTCGTCTAGCTTTGACCACCGCCGAATACTACGCCTATCAGCTCGAGAAGCACGTCCTCGTTATCATGACTGACTTATCCGCCTACTGTGATGCCCTCCGTGAGGTTTCTGCCGCCAGAGAAGAAGTGCCCGGTCGTCGTGGTTACCCTGGTTACATGTACACAGATTTGTCTACGCTCTACGAGCGTGCTGGACGAGTGCAGGGACGTAACGGTTCCATCACACAGATTCCTATTCTGACCATGCCTAACGATGGTGCGTGACCCAAAGATCATCTACCCCCTAAACCAAGTCAAGCACAACTAACCAACTATATAGATATCACTCATCCCATTCCTGATCTTACTGGGTATCTATCATTCTCCCCAAACTCAGTCAAGCACAACTAACCAAACTCCCACCCTATATAGATATATTACAGGTGCGTATCAGTAAGAGTGAATTTTCCTGAGTTGTTTACTAACATATTATCAGAGGGACAAATCTTCATTGATCGTCAACTCGACAACCGCGGTATTTACCCACCAATTAACGTCCTGCCATCGCTCTCCCGGTTGATGAAATCCGCTATCGGCGAGGGTCGCACCCGCAAGGACCATTCCGACGTCTCTAACCAGCTGTACGCCAAATACGCCATTGGTCGTGACGCCGGTAGGTTTTAACATATTCTTCTCCCAACCTACATACGTCGTATCTAATTCCAAGCCTTTAAACAGCTGCCATGAAAGCCGTCGTCGGAGAAGAGGCCCTGTCTTCAGAGGACAAGCTCTCTCTCGAATTCCTGGAGAAATTCGAACGCACCTTCATCAGCCAGTCGCCCTACGAGTCCCGCACGATCCAAGAGTCCCTTGACATCGCCTGGAACCTACTCCGCGTCTACCCCAAGGAACTGCTTAACCGTGTGCCTAAGCGCACTCTGGATGAGTTCTACGCTCGCCAAGGCCGCAAGATCCCTAACAAGGATACGCGCGATGGAGAGAACCTCATCGATGCATGAGGTGTGTAAGTGTAGCTGTTCTTTGTTCCAAACTACAGTTTTGAAGAGGGATCCGAGATAATGAGAAAGCTTTGGCTACGGGGATTCCGTTTGTCGATTTCAATTGCATATACTCCTTTCTTATTTCTTGTTCCTGTCGTGCAGTTCTTGGTACTTTTACTTGTTTTCCCCGGTCAAGCATGAAACACTCACAAAGCCGAATCTTTTTCGACCATTTTCGTTATCAAGCTGTAGAGAATGAATCTAGCTTTGCTCTTTTTGTAGAGCTTCATGGAAATTCTAAGCATCGCTTTATAGAGTATAATAAAGTATATAGAGCAAAATTGTGTAGAAACATGCAGTTCATAGCCTTGATTTAGGGAGCATTAGTTTCAGTATCACGAGTCGACAAAATTGAGGCCCGAGGCTTTCTATTTGGCCTTGAGGCACCAACGCAGAAACTTTGGCCCTTGGCAAGCAAATGTAGTTGCCTTTCTGGTAGTGATAATTGGATTAAATTCGATGGATCCGGCCTTTCTAATCCAGGGATTACATTACCTACGGACTCGTTTGTACGCATTTTCGACCATAGGTGGAACCGAGGCACCAAACATGAGCTGGAGTAAACACACTTAACTGGACTAATTTCAACGGAAGAAGAAAAGAGTAGACTTAAAAAATGGGGATATCAACGTGTTTTTGATCCTCTATCTAATGAGAGAACCCCGAGCGCAGGGGCAACGAAAAGAAATCAAAGGAAACGCTTTTTCCATGAAGTCCCGCAATGTATGAGTGTAAGGCATAAAGCATGAAGGGATCATGAAATCTCGCAAAGAAGCGAGTCGCAAAAAGAAAGAAAGACATATGAAACAAAAAAGTAATTAGTGCTTGTGGACTAATTGACTGACCCGAAAAAAGAAAAGAACAGAACAAAGGCCATGAGCTTAGAAGCAAAGTTTCAACCGAGATGCGAGATGCTTAGAAGCGCAGATCCCAACCGATCTTGGGGCCAATACGGGGAAGTTCGTCAGCAACTTGCTGGACATCCTTGTCACCACGACCACTAACGTTCAAAACGACGTTCTGGCCCTTCTTCATGGTCTTGGCGAGCTCCATGACACCCCAGACAGCGTGGGAAGACTCCAGAGCAGGAATGATACCCTCGTGCTGAGCAAGAGCACGGAATCCAGCAAGTGCCTGGCTGTCGTCGGCGGCAATGAATGTGGCACGGTTCATGTCCTTCCAGTTGGCAAGCTCAGGTCCGACACCGGGGTAATCAAGACCAGCTGAGATGGAGTGGGTCTCCGAGATCTGGCCATGCTCATTCTGCAGGACGTATGTGCGCACACCGTGGAGAACACCGTGGGAGCCACCGGACAGAGTGGCGGAGTGGCGGTTGGTGTCGATACCATCACCACCAGCCTCAACGCCGAGAAGCTTGACGCTAGGATCGTTTGAGAAGGGGTAGAACATGCCGACAGCGTTGCTGCCGCCACCAACACAGGCGACAACGGCATCGGGGAGCTTGCCAATTTGGGCCTGCATCTGCTCCTTGGTTTCATCACCGATAACGGACTGGAAGGTACGGACGATGGTAGGGAAGGGGTGGGGACCAATGGCGGAACCAATAATGTAGTGAGTGGTGTCCAACTCCACAACCCAGGCGCGGAGAGCCTCGTTGACTGCATCACGCAGAGTACGGCTACCAGCCTCGACTGCAACGACTTCGGCACCAAGAAGCTTCATGCGGAAGACGTTGAGGCCTTGGCGACGAACATCCTCGGCGCCCATAAAAACGGTACAAGCCATGCCAAACTTGGCACAAACGGTAGCGGTGGCGACACCGTGCTGTCCAGCACCAGTCTCAGCAATAATGCGGGTCTTGCCCAAGCGACGGGCAATCAGAATTTGGCCAAGAGCGTTGTTAATCTTATGACTTCCGGTGTGGTTAAGATCCTCACGCTTCAACCAGATGTTAGCACCGCCAACGTGTTCAGTCAAACGTTGAGCCAGGTGAAGGCTGCTGGGGCGGCCCATGTAGGGATAGTAAGAACGGAATTCCTCCCAGAACTTGGGGTCTTTGTTGGCGGTATCGAATCCGCGCTCAAGCTCCGCCAGGCAGTCCATGAGGGACTCGGGGACATATTGTCCACCGAACGCACCGAAGCGGGATGGCAGGGCAAATTGGTCCTTGGTCACGTTCAGTGCTTCAAGCTGGTCAGCAAGACCAGGTCCAGCAGGAACGTCATCATCAGTGATGACCCTGGTGGGCTGGGCGTCATGGGAAGGCTGCTGCTGGGCCTCTTCCATGGCCTTCTCAACGGCCTCGATGGTGTTGATTTCGCGAGTCCAGGCGCCCGCAGCATCACGTTCGCGCTTGCGTCCAGTAACGCTGGACAAGTACTCTTCGGCAGCCTTGGCGGCCTGGCCTTTAGGGGCCTGGCCAACGACGGTGATGATCTGACTGCCGATAACGACGCCCTCGGCTAAGCCTTGGAGGGACAGGAAGTGCTCACGGGTGCTGACACCGAATCCCAATGCAGCAGGGACGTTACCGGAGTATTCGTGAACTCGAGCCAGGAGCTGGGGAATTTTGTCGCTCAGCTTGCCGGTGGCACCAGTGACACCCATACGGGACACGACGTAGATGAAGGAGTCGGCAATCTTGCAGAGAAGACGCATACGCTCGTCGGATGTAGAAGGGGCAATAAGGGGAACGTATGAAAGGCTAAAGAGACAAAATTTTAGATATTGAGACAAAAGTGCATAATACAATGGTCGAAACTTACCTGTTCTCGGCACAGAGGTCGCGGAAGCGGACAGCCTCCTCTGGGGGCAGGTCAACCATGATGAAACCGTTCACACCAGCCTCCTTGCAATCTTTAAGCATACGCTCTTCTCCGTAGTGAAGGACAGGGTTGAAATAACCCATTAGCATGACGGGAGCCTTCAAGCCACGGCGGCGGGCTGTGCGAACAAACTCCAGTACCATAGTGAGAGTAACACCATTCTCAAGAGCCTTAGTGTTGGCAGTCTGGATGGTGGGGCCGTCGGCGATGGGGTCTGTGAAGGGAATACCGAGTTCGATGATATCTAGATTTTGATCCAGGCTGTCAGTAAAGATCGTCCGAGTCATCGAGGATTGAGAGTAAAGTACCGGCTCCACCATTCTCGAGGCCGAGGATGATGTCAACAGCTTCATCAACGGTGGGATATCCCGCGGTAATGTAGGCCACAAGAGCAGCGCGCTTCTCCTGCTTGCACTTGGCAAAGGTCTGCTTAATTGCGTCCATCTTTAATCAATATGTAAGAAAGGTGGCGGGGCAAAAGAATGTGGTGAGGATAAGAGAGATGGAAGAGGGAAAGCCCAATTGAGGCAATCGTCCTTATTTATATGCAATTTTGGACGATGTAATATATGACAAACGTCAGGTAAGGGAGATAAGTTGTAAAGTTGAGATGAAGAGAGCAAACGACCTCAATGAGTCAACTGCAATTGCCTTTTTCGACGCCGCCTTCGGACCCCCCGCGTGTCACGTGAAGATAGATGGACTTAGATAAGATATTAGATCATGTGACTTTATGATATAAAAAAGGGCTTTGTCTGTCACGTGGAACGTGGTTAAGATCGTACAATTGCTTCGATGCAATACAATTGTAGAGGTTCTGGCGGATAGAGAGCTCATTGAAAATTCACTTTATCATACCTCTTTTGGCTGACACACAGTGCATAGTGAGCGGCAAGAAATCACGTCTAAGTACCACTATCGCCGGAAACCACCTAATAAATGTGGCATGAGATGGAGCTTTATACCAATAGAAATTTGCAGTGGAAGAAGTATTGAAAAAAAACTATTATTCAATGCAATAAAAGCTAAAATCAAAATAAATGATAATTCAGTCCAGGCATTGAGCTTGGGATTTCCCAAACGCCAAAACAATGCAATAAATCACAACCCTCGGCTCAAGTAACAAGAAGTAATGAATATGACTCCAAAAAAATTCCAACAAAGAAGTCAAAAGAATAAACAATAAGCCAACGGAACCAAAGCCTATCTCTAGGAGACAAGGCAACGGCAAACCCATCGACAATGAAAAATGCACCTGGCAAAAAACAAACAGTGGACAGAGCAAACCGCCCAAGTCCCAAAACCAAAATCTATCCCAAGTCGAAAAAAACCTGCGAATGCAAAAAGGATTGACAGCAAGCGCCCGCTATGCCTAGTAGTACAGAAGCCCAGAAAGTATGCGCAAAAGGGAGTGTATCCGCAATGCCCGGTAATATGCAACCCAAGGAAGGAATGAAAGTGACACCGTCTAGATGCAGGTCTCGAAAGTGAAGTCCAAAGAAGTGAATCAGAAATATGCAAAGCGCGAATTGGGTGGGGCATCAGGCATCATGTGTAAGGAGGGGCGTAAGATCGTGATCAATGGCGTGGAAAAAAACGACCTCTCTCGAGGCGGATTGTCATCACGCGCTGGGCTTGTAAGGAGTGACAGGAAGGAAAATCGTATCTTCAAAAAAGCAGAGGGCAAGTATGAAATAGAAATGAATAACGAGTCAAATCAGTGGTGCGTGTTGTCGTGCATCGAGTACACGGGATCCAGATAGGTGTAGCATGCTCCGTTTGATGGTGCGCCGGTGTGGGGTGCGCCGGGACCCAGCGGTTGCATCTCCCATGCTGGTCGTGGGGCGGGTGCTGAGAGGCCGTGGGCGCTCTGCGGGTGGCAGATTGCGGGGTACGAGTAGCCGCCGACAGATGTGTAGGGCTGGGTCACTGCAATCATGGAACGGAGATCTGGGGCTGATGAGAGCTGCGATGTGGAATGATCTGGCTGGGAATAGCTCTGGACAGGCATGCCAGTAGCATAGGTGTTTCCGGCGTCGGAGATGGACTGGGGCGAGTTGGCAGTGTGCGCCTCGGTGCCGGAGTCGGATCCTGTGCCGTGGCTGGCGTGGCTGGCGTGGCTGGCGTGGCTAATGTAGTTGGTGGCCATCGGTGTAGGGAGGGCACAGGCAGTGGAGGAGTAGCTGGCAGACTGTGGGAACAAATGTTAGTACGAGATATATGACAGGAGATGATTGAATACGTACGTATTTCCCAATGATCTTCTTCAGGGCATGGGCAAGGACCTTCCAGGGGAAAACCTTGACATCCTTCTCGATATTGCGGGGCTTAGGAGCAGGGAAGCCCATAATGACCTTGAAGAACTCCTCGCTGTCGGCCTTGGCCTTGGAGACTGTCAAAGGACGGAAACCCTCCAAGTTGCGGCGGATACGGTTCTTCTCCTCAACTGTGAAGCGAACAGCCACGAGAGACTCAAGCAGGTAGATTGTATCCACACTGGTGACGTAGCACTCACTCTTGCCTTCCCAGGAGATACAGCTGATGCAGATGCTGCTGGGTGCGCGGTCCTCGGGAGTTACAGCCTTGAAGTCGGCCTGGATAGTGCTGCCAGTCTGGGAACGGGTGAACTGCACCAGACGACGCTGGCTGGACATCTCATCCTTCGACCAGCCCTTTGCCATGGAGTCGAGATCACCGTTGAGCTTCAGGACAGCCTTGGTAGGATACATAGCATAAGGATTAAAGGTGGGGTTGTGAGACATGCCGTTGGATTGGATGGTCGATGTGCGGATGAGGGTGGGGAGCACGGAACGGCTCTGCGAAGGACCCTTCTGTTGAGGCATGCCATGTGCCAAAGCGAGACCTGCGTTACGACCATCGTTGCTCACGGAGCCGAACGAGGGGCTCCAGGCCGGTGTAATGGGGGAAGGGACACGCAGGGTGGGCTGAGGAGTGGCGACAGAGGAGTATTGACCAGAGCCGTTTTGGGGGGAGGAGGCAGCGTGGAAAGGTGCGACAAAGCCAGTCATGGCGGGAAGAGGCTGCAAGTAAGGCGAGTAAGATCCGGAAACGTTGCGGCTGTGGTATCCCTCATGGTGCTCAACCTTGGGAATGACTTGTCCGTTGTGACGCTTGGCAGATGGGGCAACCTGGTGGTCGATATATGGAGAGAACTTCCTCTTGCGGTTATCCCCCGGTGGAGAAGAATGGGGGACCTGCTCATACGTGTAAACACCGACTTGGAGGGTAGTGGCTGGGCAGTCATCCTGGGTCTCCATTGAGACCGACAGAGGAACAGCGAAGGATGGGGAACCAGTAGACAAGAATGCAGGTGCATCGGCTGAGAGACCGTACTGGAAAGCGGAGCCCTGGAATCCGAGGAAAGTCGGGAGGGATTCACACTTCTTGGAGCCGAAGACCAAGTACAAGGCTGCAATTGTGGAACTGTGAAGGTCATAGGGGGATTGGATCTGGACCATCACTCGAGTTCCTTCCCGTCCACGCTGGGGGCTGTAAGTCACAATCTCGGGAAGCTGGCGGTGGCGTGCGCCCAACATAGGGGATTGAGACTCTTCGTACGAACTAGCGTACTCATTATTGGGCAGATATGGAACACAGTCCGAAATCTGACTCGCCTGGTCGGCCATGGGAGATGGGACCATCGGGGTAGTCACATAAGGTGATTGACCGTAGGCAGAGTAAGAGGCAGCATCATGCAAAGATCGTGTGGAACCGTAATCTGTATTTGGTCTCAGCATGGCTGCGCTCACATTGCGGCCGGAAAAGTCCCTCAGATGTGACATACCTAAGATGGCGCCAGCTCCGGGCTTCTGGAAAGCAGACATGGACAATATGGGCTCAGACTTGGCCCACAGGCCGTCTTGAAACGCACCGACAAACTGTGACTCTTCAGAGTCCGACAAGTCCAACGATTCACCAAGTATTAAAGGCGTTTGAAAATCAGGGTCGAACTGTGACGGGAAGAAAAGACAACAGTCAGCCCGGGGTTTCTCTTGTGTGCAGGGGAAAAAGACACCCTTGTGTTGGAGGGTTTAAGAATATTCAAACAAGATTCTGGACTGGGATTGGAAGATTTGGGCAAAACATGCGGGCATCCAGAGGAGAGACAATGTTAAGAGCCTGAAGTGGGAGGTTTAACTTACCAAAACACCGTGAGTCTTCGAATAAGCCAGCTTGAAGATGTTGCAGCGAGTGCAACAAGACAGAACCTTCAGAAGCGAATGACTGGGAATTTATCCAAACGATTGTAGGTTGAAAAGCACGCGAGAATGGAGTGCTCTCCGAGACAAAACGAGTGACAAGATGAAGCTGTCAGTCTCACAAAAAGGGCGGCAACAAAAAGCCTCGAATCACCATCCAAGAATGAACCACTAAGGCTGAGACTAGGAATGGCTGGCTGCAGTAATCGACTGAGATTTAGACCGCAGTGCCCAAATTTTCATAGAGAGAAGCAAAGAGATGCTTCGCTTAGCAGGGAAAAGTGTTAGAAAGTCCACTGCCAATCGTGCTGGAAAGGGCTGAGTTTGGTTAGACGACGAGGGAATTGAGTGCGGACTGGTAAGGTTTCGCTTTTGTTTCTTTTTGGGTTTCGGGAAGAGCCTTCAAAGAGATTGGGCCACAATGAGAAGATGATAGGCTAAGACACAATGAGTATACGAGAAGTTTTCAAAGACCGGATCGGTGCATAGACCCCAAGGAGAGAAGAGGTAGACTGACCGATATGAATCAGTAGAAAGTAAAAAAGAAGCTGTGAACTGAGACCAAATTCTGCTGTGACTTCCAAGATAATATGCAAGATCCGAGGGCCGTCAAATCTAAGGAAACGAGTCTAATGTCAACAACAAACACTTCTCCCGGGAGACAATAGCGGGACGGGGAAGCTATCCGACGGCTATGACACTATCGAAGTTCTTCATTTCCCTGGAGTATAGGCCAGAGAACATCACTGCAAGGAGATACGAACAGAGAGAAAGAAGCCCAAAGAGGAAGTATGCAAGGCACGAGGGGAACAAGTGAGACCGTGGGCAAAGGGGGGGTGAAATAGTCTTGATACTAACCTTGAGCTGATGAACTGATCTGCCGGAATAGTTCCAATATTCCTTTTTGAATTTTTGATGTTTAATGACTCTGAGACCCTTCCAAACAGAGGACTTCGTGCCCGCTAGATTCTGGATCGAACGTTTTCAGCCGAGACAATTAAGACACGATTGGTTGAATTTCAGTTCTTTGGGCGTATTTTCCAGGTCCGGGGAGGATAGCCAAGTACAAAGCTCCCCTCCAGTCGAAAGAATATAAAATGAACCTTTTCTGCCGGTATATTGGAGGTTCAGGACGGGACGGAGCAAACGGGATTTTACTGAGTATATCGCAAACGCAGTGTCGGACAAAAAGAAATTGTTGATTCCAATCGGATGAGAAAATTGGCCGAAGATCAGAGGCTTTTTCTTTTCTTTTTTTTCCACGCGCAAGGTCGGTTATTTTCCAAGGAGATTAGGTATTAATGTAATTGGTGAATGAATCCCAATTATTTCCGCAAGGTCCAAGTTAATAGAAACGTAGCGAACGTGGTTCTCGTAGCAGCAAGTAGCGAGCGTAAGAGCGAACGTGGGGGGATGCGAATAGCGAATGTGGACTAAGATGTCATAACGTGAAGATTCAAAGGGAGAATCATGCAAGGAATATGGGATCAGAAGGGTTAAAAGTAAGAAGGATGATATGGAATTATTATTAGCAGTCAGAGTAGGTCAGAGTACAAATCGTTTACAGCCTAACTGTATTCAGGCCACGAGCTGTGGAGATTTACTTTTTTCTTTTTAAAAAAAATTAAAAAAAATAAGTATTAAATATTTAATTAATTAATAATATAATAGATAAATAATATAATGTGTAGGAAAAAGAAAAAGAAATAACCGCAAAGGGACCCCTAATAAACTAGTGGGAAATCGTGGCGGGGGATGCACAGAGGATTAAAAGAACTTGGCATCACAAGGAGTATTTTTTACTACAGTACGGTGTACAATATGTGTATATTGTAATTGACCTTACATTTTGGAGATTCTAGTTACACAACCCAGGGTCTTAAGGTGTGTTCATAATTTCGAGTCTCGAGTCCAAAGATAACACACACATATACACAAATTAAAAAGAGAGAGAAGAATGGAACAAAAGAATTGCAATAGTAATATACCTATGTAGGTGAAAAACGTATCTTGCAAACGAAGTATCGGAAACTACTAGAAGCCGACTTTGTTACGCTTTCCGAGATGTCCGACCGGTCAAATTTAGATCCACCAAATTTATTGCATCTCTTTCACATAAAATCTGTCTACCGGTGTCAACCTTGGAACTACCGAACCGAAATCAGAATCTGCGAAGCATATCGAGCACGGAGGAATACCTACAAGAACGTGATGCTCTCGGGATAAACACCAATCTGGCGGCCTGTGCCGCTAAATAAAAGTGGAGAATTCAAAGGAAAAAGAAAAAAAAATTGCTGCCGACGAAGAAAAAAATGTAGAATGTATATACTTGTACTCCGTAGTCATATCAAATTCAAGTTACTGTGTACTATCTACACCTGGTTCCAGGTGACGAGAGGCATAGCCTCGTTAACTACTGTAACCTGTAACCCTGAATGACAAGGTCAACTCATGGCCATCTATCCAATCATGTCTATAAGGAACTCGCTCCGGGCAGCATCTTACCAACCAATCAACTAGCTTCAACAGCCCTGTTTTTTGAGATTCTTTTTATATTTAGCTCTCCTGACTTAGCCTAACTTAGCTTTCGGGTCCTTTTCCATCACGGAAACCTCTTCGATCCAATGACAGTTTAGTCTCCCGTTCTTTGTCCTTACTGTCAGATCTGACCTTGGGACCCTTCAGGGATATTTCTCCTTACGCCGACCCTTGGGTGCCAAACCGGAGAACTTGAACGAGACCCTTTTTTTGGGTGGCCCTTTTTTTACTCCAGGGATCCACTTCGGATCTTCTCTAAAGAGTTGGATCTCGTGTCGTCATGGTGGTCAATATGATAATTCACATTTTCTCAACACGAGGGATGCAGGTAATGGTACATACCAGGTATACCACACGTTGTGGTACTTCTTCAGTCCCACCAAGCCAGTCCCCAGATATTTCCCATTCGAGTTAAAGTCTAAACTTTATGTAGGATGAATTAGGGTAATGGGGTGATTGTGAGCTTACCGTCATCTGACTCAGGTATAAACAGAAACTATCATCATAATATTATAAAAGTTATATAATAATAATATCATCGTAAAAACCAAGTCCTCCCAAGAGAAAGAAAAAAAAAGACTAAAATACGAACGAGTCTAAGTTTAGCACACCTTGCAGTTTTCAGGTGACTCGGTGGCCTGACTATGCAAGGGTCCTGATCTCTGATTGGATTTCTTTTCTCTCCCTCTAATCCCAATCGGGTATCACCACAACTTGAAGTGCTGTTCCCATATCACTCTGCACTGTCACCCTATATAGATTCAGTTAGCCCTAACTCTCAGAAAGAAATATCTGGTATTCGGTCATATATACACAGTAGTTTATTGAACTTAAGAACTACCTACAGGAATTAAGATTCTCTTGGAACCAAATAGTTTATGTACGATATACTTAATTTCCAAAATTATTCAATTCCTATTCCAACGGCTCCCGGGACTCCCCAGGCCCTGTCGATCGAATAACGCGCATAAGATCGTTCTACAAAATTACCCGAGCGCGCATCGCGCATCGCGCAGCGCGTCAGTATCTGCATTTCCGTTCTGCAGTTCCGTAAGAATGTCAACCATGTTATTGTTACAGCTGCAAATGCAAATGCAGATGCGAGTCCACATGTTGAAAATAGAAACCCGTAATTGGTATTATTCGTATAATTACGGAGTACTAAACACACAAATACATGCCTACATGTACGTAGTAATGATCGCAATGGATCTCGTAGATCAAGGCTTGTGTTTACTCACACTTCTAATTTGAGGTCATGATCTCATCAGTGTAAGGGTCCGTGGTATTCGCATGTTAGGACTATTGGTATCTACCTTTTATTTGATCGATTTATTTTCTTTTATTTTTTTTTCCAATGTTGATGCTCGACTGGTAGATCGGACACGCTAAGCCCTCCCGAGGAGTTAACGGTCGGATGTGTACATACATACAGCTCGTTCCCGATTATTTCGTGCAGCTCCAGCCACGAACATTGGAAGGGGGGAAAGAAAGGGGCAAATATTGTTATTAAGCGGATACAAAGGATCTGAAGGGATGTTCCGAAAATTGGGATTATCGATAAGACCCAATATACTCCGTACATCTGCCCGTGGACACTAAAACTCCGCGATTTTGCCACGTTGAGGACGTCCCGAGGTAACCGTTGCGGGCACACTAAACTACATGGAGTATAACAGGCGTTCAATTTCCCTGGCTGAGCTGAACGACCAAAATAGTTTGCGATTCAAAAGTTAATTGAGGTTTACTACAACGTAAGAACTGTATTTTCTGATATCGGGTTGAAGCGCTGGACATGATCAGCGATCAGAGCTTCACGATCAGCGATCGTCTCCCAAGATGGGATTAAACGTTCATTAGATAGTTGTTGCTGTCAATGTTCTTTCCTTGCTATAGCTTAGTGTAATATAGTGCATATCGTATGCACTGTCAATCAGATTGTTAATGTTCAGTGTACTCCGTACATTAACTATACAATATTGTATGAGTTTCCCAACCACCTCAATATTCGGCCGTTGCAAGGAGCCTTTCTAAGGGACCAATTCAATGTCAGATCTTAATTATCCCTTAGAAAATTCTAAATCAATCGATAATTCCTTTGCAATTTTATCGGTTTGCAGAAATGTTCGCGTTTGCCATACAACGTACGTTGTGGTACCTTTGATTCGGTCAATCTTCGGGGGCATATTGTTCCCCACATCAAAGAAAATTCCCAACCTCCCGAGTAATCCCCAAGAAGAACAGCAATTAAATTGCAATAAATTACTAAATTGCTCATT